GAGAAAAGAAAGAAATAATAATAAATAATAATAAAAGACTACTACTTACTAATAACTCTTCTTTAGTTCTAATTCTATAAATTAAAAGAAAGAAAAATAAAAGAAAAGAAGAAAAGAAAAAGAATTAAGAGATCTCTTATTTCTCTAAATTAACTAGAGAAAGCTTTACTTAATCTAATAAAAGAAACCAGCTACTACTAAACTAAATTCTATTATATATTATATTCAGTTGATCAATTCTTTAATAATATTATAAAAGAAAGTAGTAATAGCTATAGGCTTATACTTAGGCTTATCTAGATTATAGTACCTACAGTAAATACCATAATCCTTGAACTTATATCTAGTATAAGCACCTCTCTACTATTCAGACAGTTAAATAGTCTATTAAAATTTTATTTAATTATTATACTCATAGTAATATAGCACAACCAAACTATAAGATATAATTAGGAGACTGTTAATATAAGAGGGGCACCTAGTATATATCTAATAATATTAGCTTTTTATATAGGAATACTAGATTATCTTATCTAAGTAATAGTAAGAGCATCAGCTCTTATCTTAAATTTATAATAAGAAAAGTGCCAAATATACTACTAGTCCTAAGTATAACAAAGTTAAAACAAAACCTTATTTCTATATACTAAAAGTTATATAGTAATCCAATACTCAGGATCATCAGTACAAGTATTATAGGTGGTCGAATAGCGTATAGGAATAAAGAGTAAATTATAATTAGAGGTAGAAGTAGAAGTTTAAGAGAAATTATAATAAATAGAATTAAAAGAATTATCTAATTAGTTAGACTTATTAGTTCTAGAACTAGAAAGAGGAGGTATTACACAGCAGAAGAAAGAGATAATAGTAAATTATATAAGTAGAAGAGAAGTAAACTAAGAAGAAAGAGAAGATACTTAAAAAAAAAAAAAAAAAAAAAGAGAGCTGACTTAGGGGGGGGATAGTCTTCTTATATAGTACTTTGTATATTCTACATAAAGCTAATAGCTAAGCCTGACTATATCCCCAGAACTAGTCATACAAGCTGCATGAAGAAAGTTCTATTTATTAAAGAACTATCAGATTCACTAGATTAAAAGAAATTGTATAATAGAGAGAATAATAGTAAATAAAATAAGCCCTATCTATACTTATACTATCTACTAACCAGCCATAACACTGCCTGGGAAGGAAACTAAAGTACAGAACTATTACCCCAAACCTGCACCACTGATCATACGAATACAAACCATGAAGAGAGATAAGAAAGGAGAGGAGGGCTTCTATTATAGGACTAAGATCCTGATATAGAGCTCAGCTTCAGACACCAGTTAGTGCCTAAGGCCTTATATACTATATACTAAACTAGTACTAGCTTAGTTCGCATATATCTGAAAGAATTTCATATAAATAGATAAAATAGCTCTCCAGCTATTTCTTCTTATTTAAAGGCATATTTTGATCAGTATAATCCATCTATCCTATAATAATAAGTAATACTTCTATAATCTAGTATAATTTTAAGTAATTTAGCTAGTTACTTCCTCTCCTGATCTATTGTATTATATTAGTCTAATAAATTATATCTAGAGATATATCAGCCAATCAGAATACCTACCGGGCCCCATCCTAGGTCTGATGAAGGTTCATCAGACCAACCCTTGTGGATTATATACCAGCCAATCAGAATGCCTACCGGGCCCCATCCTAGGTCTGATGAAGGTCCATCAGACCAACCCTTGTGGATTAGATAAATCTGCAAATAAAGAATACATCTTCATGGAACATGTCCAAGGAGAAAACCTAGATAATATCTAGTTTACTTTGTCTGAACAGGGAAGGATAATACAGATTACGAAACTTGTAGAGCTAGAATCTTGTCTATTTGGTTTGCGCTTTCTAGCCAGTAAAAGTCTCTATTACTATACCAACTTTCCAGCTTATAACTACCTAGTTATTATTCCAAGCCCCAGCTCAACCTCTCACTTCTTTATCGGCCCTGATACTTCGCTTGGATTATAGTACAGAAAAAGACTCAACCTATCAGTCGAGCGCGGACCATGTAAATATATTTCAAATTAAATAATTGAATATAGAAGACATTAACAGTAAAATATAGAAAGACTATGATCCTTTGGCAGTCCTCACCGCGGAAGCCACTAATGAGATTGCATACCTAAAGAGATTTAGACAATCTCTTCAGCCATTTCAGCGACTTCGCAGAGAGATGTACAACTACCAGGCCCAATCTCACCTCTATCATCTTCTGAATCTGGAGAAGTACCTACAAATTGCGCCTCACTTCATACCGCGGGATTGCCCTGCCCTGCATCGTCCGGTCCTACGACATCCCGATCTTCAACCAAACAACATATTTGTTTTCAGCGAGCTAGAAATCAATAGGTTAATAGATTGGCAACATAGCACAGTTCTCCCATTATTTCCACAGTGTGGCATCCCACGAAGTCTTCAAAATTATGGTAATAAGATCTCGAAATTCCTGCAAATTGTGATATAATAACCTAGCTATCGGGAGTAAGGTCATCGGTGTGGTTATGGGAGTCGTGAGGTTATCGATAGTGGTTCTACGCCTCCCCGACGCCTATAAGGTGCTGATTCCTTTGCAGGGGACTGCTGACCCCTCAAGGATCAGTCTATTTCGTGGATATAGGCTATTTTTGTCATTACTAGACGAATCCATGGTGTTTAGTGGTTGACTCCTTACCTAGTCGACAGGCCTTCTACCCTGACAAGTAGATCCTATCACGTAATCCCTACTTTACCAGGGAATTTCGATATATTAGAAGAGACACAACAGTTCTAATATACAGAATTTTTCCGCAAGCGTCAACTTTACTATCCCTATGTCAAATTGACTGCCGATAAGAATCCCAAATACTATAATATCTTAACCGATTGTTTCAGCACCTTGAGGCGGCGGATTTCCTATTATACTAGTAAGCCTTGGGAAGATGATAACATAATATGGAAAGCGGACTTAAATATACTACTGCGAAATTGGAAAGAAATAAACCATAATACAAGAGCACCTTGCCCAATCTTCTTTTTAGAAGACGAATCGAGTGAATGTCTGGGCCTGGCACGTGAACAATCCAAGACTAATGAACAAATTCAGGCTTGCTAAAAAGTAATTAAAGTTGCAAACAAGGGATGAGTGCCTGTTATATACTATGATAAACGAAAGAACACAAGAAGAAATCAAAAGTAGATGCTCTTGATACTACTAAACACAGGAGAAGAGAACCAGAATTAAAGAAAACCAGATATTCGACGACATTTGTAAGAAGAACTATTATTAGACTATACACAATAGAGTATCATCTCCGCCCAGTAGGCTCTACCAGACTGTATCTAATTACTAGTAGAACGGGATTCGATTATAACTTGTTTTCAAACTTGTGCTAATACCATCATTGCCGAGTCATTTAAATATTGTAGACACAATTCTTGATCACACACTGCATTACACGGCAATTTCCTAAGAAATTGACTACGGAATCAGATCTAACAACATAAAAAAACGATAGTTTACTGGAGTTCGATTGAGGAACAGGCGGAAAATATACGCCAAAAGAACAATAACTTTATTTGGAGGGCATACGCTCGCAATAGTTACTTTCGTCCAGAAATTAGGGTGGTTTTACTAGAGAGCAATTTGTAGCTACTAGTATGTCCTCGAAGGACTCTAGGTCCACAGATATCTGTACGAGGGTCTTCTCTGCGGGTGCCTCCCTCAGTCAAAGGCATTCCAAAGCGCACTAAGCCCTTTCGGAGGGTATATGGGACTCGAGAAAGAAATACAGGGGTAGTAGTAAGTATTCTTAGATCTGGTAGGTAAATTACAGGCTACTATACAAATTATATTAAGAACTATCGAAGGGGTATGAAATCCTAATTCCTGTATTCTATTAAATTAGAAACTTTAAAACTAATCCTAGATTTCTAGACTATTCCATAAATGTTTCTTAGAGGCTATAGGGGAAAGGGTAGGATTCTGTCAGCTATCGAAATCTGGAAGTTACGTTACTGTCATCTGCAGTATTGTGCTTTGCAAATGAAACACTATATCGACGCTCCGCTCTGTATACAATTTGCTCAGCAAGTTAAGCATATCACCGAGCAATCTAGTAGGAAGCTGCATGGTACAGTGGAATTGAGATGCTGCGAAGTTGGACCCAACCGGTAAGCAGAGGCTGGAAAATGGGATTCATTTGACAGAAGGTATATTGACAAGGTATTGGCGGCATCTTCTGGTAGGCTCACAGTCAATACCGTCTGCAAGAGCCTCACAAGTCGCAGCTTATCCCGGAGGGCACATTCAAGCAGTCCGTGCTGACCTTACCGCCCGTCACACTCACGCCGGACCAGCTCCAGTCCGAACAGGCACCACTCCCGCATGCAATGTAGATATCAGTGCAATCGTCGTCCGCGCAGGTGCCAATGATAGTCTCAAGGGTGAAATCGGTGATGGGAATCCCAGTGGTCGGGGTCTTGGAGGTATCATCGTAGTTCTGTTCAACAACAATACCGTAGTCCGTGGCGTCCGAGAAGGCAATCTCATGATAAGTGATGTCGCTGATCGAGCCAGTGTCTCCGTAAATGGCCTTGATACGAATAGCTGAAGGACTGCTTAGTATGGGACGCGCACATTGGAGGATCGGAGGAACGTACCTTGCTGAGACTTAAGAACATTGACGTCGTAGAAAGTGACATTTTTCACTGTGTTATCATCCCGACCGCCGACGGAGCCAATAGATAGACCATGGCCACCGGAGCAAACACCGGCAGCGAAGTAAATGTTCTGCAAAATGGTTAGAATCGGGGTTTCTCAGCGAACGGGAGTGGTGGAGTGTACCTCGCCCGAGTTGATAGCAACGCAGTCATCCTGATTGTAGACCGTGGCTCCGGTGATGGTGATGTCGGTGCTCTCCCCGATGTCAAAACCATCGGTGTTGGCGGCGAGATCATCAGTATCACCATCGGTGTTGTCGATCGTAATGTCAGTCATAGTCAAATCGGTCGAGCCATCGATACTAAAGACCTGCACCGGCGAGTTCTCAATATAGATGCTCTTGATTGTCGAGGAAGTCAGGTCGTGGGCGGCAAAAAACTTGGGCTTAGTCTTGCCACCGTCGCTTCCTTCTCCATCCCACCAGCGGCTGCCATCGCCGTTGAGCACGGCACCACTGGCGCCCTCAACAGTGATATCAGTTCCGGACACGGAAACGAGCGGGCCCTCCCACTCCTCGTAGCCGAAGGTGGTCTCGCCTTCGAAGATGACCTTATCAACCCCGTTAGCGCAACTTTTGGCACTCCTGGCTGGGAGATACCTACGTGGGTTCCGTCATTCAGGTCCTTCAAATCCAAAGTGGTACCAGAGGGGACGGCCAGGGCGGACAGGTAGATGGTGGAGCAATCCGTCTTGGACTTGCTCACCTTGGAAGCACCCTCAGAGCCCGAGAAGGTGCAGGTGGTGGCTCTCTTATGGAGCAGACTGGCATCCGGTGCTTCAGTCACCATAGGGTGAGCCGGTTCCGCAGGGGCTGCCTGGACTGCCACTGCTGCCAGCAGTCCGCAAGCCAATGCAAGCTGACGAACCATTGTTGTTAGTAGAAATGAATGAAGTTTGCCAGAGGCCGAGCAGGTGTAAAGAATGTGTATGACTGAGAATGAATGTTGAAGGATTGGAAAGATGTGAAGGAGTCGACCTGACTTCATCTTTATACTCTTCTAACCAACCTGCCAGCCCGAACAGCTAACCAGAGTCAATCTCGCTTCAGGAATGGAGGGATGTTCTGGTGGCGGAATCCGGTCCGTTCTGCAACGGCGGCACCTTCTGCAGCGCCGGAATTGGTTGCCCGATGGAGAATAGAATGGACAGGTACAGTCTCCACACTTCATGGTCCGATACCGAGAGGTTTGAAGTATCGTCTGCTGCACACGCACGCTTATATTGACGGCAGTTATAAGTGGGGAATTGACATGACACGAGAACAACGGGAAGTGTCAGGGTTAAGCTATCGGGGTCGGCCAAGTACTGCCAAGTTGGGATGCAGACCGAATGCTTAGAATAGAGCGGGTGGTACGGCGGTGGAGTTCCAAGAATGCTTAGTGGAGAAGAGATAACAAGGATCATCGCTCAGGGGAAAGCACGGATCAGTACCACCACCAGGAGTTTCAGCCACAATCTAGCCGGATTATATGCACCAATCATTGCAGCTACTGTAATATTCACATCTCCTCATTTCAAGAACACACCTACTATACAACACTCGAATATAAGTTACCTACCTGTTACTCCCATAGCCCGTCTAAATCACCCGGGCCACCTCCTTGCACTTGCTTTCTGGCAACGGGAACTTACCACCATGACACTCCAACACCGCCCCGACACCTCCATAATACGCCCCCGCAGGAAGGACGAACCATCAGTAAGCGGTTCAACCCGTCAGTCGCAACGCACAGCCATTGGGCGCTGGGCTCTAAGAATAACTTAAGGTACTGTGACTGGAAGCCTGGAAAAGCCTATCTCCGAGACCTCACGGTAAGACTTGATAGCTTTTGCGAATGCCATCGGATCCGTTGCACCCGAGCCGATATGAAGGCTCACTCCGATAACAGCGTGACCAATGAATTCCGCACCTTGCAGAAGCTTTCGTGAAAGTGTGGGAATAATCCATGCCTGGACTCTGAGAATCAACTAGACGGCTAGGAGCCACTGACGGATCTTAGACAGTTCGGCCTCATCTACAAAGGTCACTTCCCTTACACCAGACCTTTGCGCATATCTTAATTCCGATATTTCTGGGAATAGCAGACAATCGGTGTGTACCCCACCCCAGGACTTCTCCTGAAAGCCCTACTATTCCGAGGATGACAGTTCTCTGCAATCAAGATGTTCTCGACCGCGCGTGGAGACATATGGAGAGTTAAAAGACAAATCTTCGGCCTTCTCAACGATGGCAATTCCTTCGTTTTGTCGGCGGTAAGTATATGTCAATAAACACCAATTGGCAACCATGATTGGTTTTGGGAAATAAAAAAGCAAGAGCAATGCCATTGGAAACAACTGAGGCGCATGGGTAGAGACTTAAGGCCGAGGTGCTCACGAGGGAGTAACTCTTTTGGCGCTGTGCAGTTGATCTCGCTCGCATGCCAAGAGAAAATATTGCTTACGGTTCCCGACATCTTGCGGCATAAGACGATTGCAGGGCTACGTCAAATTACCAAATAAAAACTTTTCAGAAGGATTCCTCGTGGTACAAAGAGGTGTTTTGGGAGTATCGCCCTGGTCGGCGACCATTTCTCTTCGCCTCCGGGAATCACGTTGAAAGGAGTTTATGCCTGGGAACAGTTCCTGGCAAGGGTTCCAAGCTGTATTTCTCTCCATCCAGAAGATACTCGAGGCGAAGCTCTGTCATATCCGGATCTACCTGAATATTCAGGCTGCTCCAAGACTGGCTCAGTGGTTTTTCCTTCTCAAGCACTCGATAGTAGTTTATATCTAATGGATGATGACCGTGGAATAGACAGGCAGGGGACGGATCGAGATCCATGCATCGACCAAGGGGTAGCCACGGTTGGTTCATGACCGGTTCCCACCGCGTTGAGATACACAGTCCGCATGATGGAGGCAACCATGGCACTGTAATCATTAGTCAATTAGGGAGGCGTCAGGCAAGTCGAGAAGCGTCTCACTTACACGAGACCCGGGCGCATAAGGGCAATCAGAATCAGTTTCACATCGGAGCTTCGGGTGCAGGCTCCAGAACTTTAAGGTAGGATAAACTGCAAGGTACAAGTCCGACGCCGTGTTCATAGCTGGCGAGATTATCCAGTGAGATCTCCGGACATTAGAAAAGTAGAGAGAGGTCAGAGTAAGGCCACATACTAGCAAGACGGGTGAGTCTTGTCTGACGCACAATGTCAAGATATATAACGAACCATAGCTGACTCAAGGCACGAAGAGGAATACACCAGCTGAGCATTGGGAAACCATGGTTTAGGAAAAAGCCGGTAACAACTTGAGCTTCTGACCACAGAGCTTCTAGAGACTAAGGCAGAACTATATAGTTTTAGAGTTCAAGATTGACCTTTGGTCTTGAGTAGTAGGGCTTAGAGGCTTTTCATGCATTCTGCCTCGGAAGGCCATCATGCAGCACCTTTATTTTATGGGCTGCCTTTCACCCAAAACTCCGCCGGAGGTCTTGCGCAACAAGGTTGAAATGATCGTCCTCTGGCTTGGTACAGGTCTTTGCCAATGACACGACTGTGACCGACTCGACTACCTTATCAGCGAGTTGTCTACCGAATGTGCTGGGTCGTACAGCGGCTTCAACCTAAAATAAGGAATTCCTCTGACTCAGCCTGTCTTATAACTATTACTATAGTACTTATTACTGTAGACTAGTACTTCTCTAGCTAGACTTGGCTTTGCCATGTTATCGCAGAAGACTCCGGCGTAACAAAAATGTTTGTTCTAAGTCCAACGACCTGCCACAACGGCTGACCCCAGTTTTCCAAACATATCAATTTAGTACTTATATAGGCGTATCCATTCAAAATCTGCTCCCATTAGCTGGTCAAACACAGAGGTATCTCCGAAGTACTCCGTAGGACCCATGGCCGATTCGAGGGCACGTGATCGCCGATTGCGGGGTCAAAGTCAATGGCTGCCGATCAGTGGAGAATCACGTAGCCACTACATCATCCAAGTCAGTGCCTTACGTCTACTTACTTTCGCATCCCTATAACTTATACGGAGTCGTACTCCGTTTATCGACATGCAGCAACACAGCCATCCGTTACTGACGCAGTTTACTCCTGTGTAGTATCAGCGTCATGTACAACGATACAAAACAACCACAAAACGCTTTCATCGCGCCAACAGCGCACTCCCGCCAGCGGCTCCCTTGGCGGCGCATTCTCTTGAGCGCTTTCGGTCTCTACGCTCTCTATTGCTTCGCCCACGGCTCACCACTCCTCGCGTCGCCCCTGCCCTCCTATACCGGCCCTCATGGCGTCGGTGCTATCGATCTCGAAGTCCCTTTGAATGGCGGGTCTCGACGCGTCGCCGATGCTGTCCACAAGACCACCGGACAACCGGTGTTTGAAGTCGAGACCCTGCTGGCCACAGTTTATTATCCGACCGACCGTGACTTCCGCTCCCACAAGCCCCGATATCGCTGGATACCGCGTCCCATCAGCCTCACGGCGCAAGGCTACGCCCGTCTTGCCAGTCTAGACAACTGCATCACTCGACCCATTTTCACCCTGGTCCTGTGGGCTGTGGGCGGCGCCGTAACCATCCCCGCTGAGGTGGACGCTCCGCTGCTCCGCCCGGGGAACGGCCACGATTCTTTCCCCGTCACTGTCTTCTCCCACGGCGATGTCAGCTCGCGCACCGACTACACCCAGTTCCTCGCAGAACTCGCCAGCCGCGGACATGTCATTGTCGCCATGGAACATCGCGATGGTAGCGGGCCCGGATCCATCGTCAAGACCTCCGCCAGCTCCCCGGGTCGCCGTGTCCCTCCGCTCCGGCCCTCCGATATACAACACCCAGATCCAGATTCAGAGATCGAGTTCGACCGGGATGCCTTCAAACGCGCCCAGCTCGCCTTCCGCGACGCCGAATTCCACGCTGCTGTTGATCTCCTCCACGCCATCAACAACGGCACCCCAATCCTCAACACCCGCGACCCTGTCAGCACCCTCCCCTCGTGGACCGGCCGCCTCAATACCACCCATCTCACCCTTGCCGGCCACTCCTTTGGGGCTACGGGCGCCCTCCAAGCCCTCACCACCACACTCTCCAGCGCCCCGGTTGCAGGCTGGATCCTCGATCCCGGCAAGTCCAGCGGTCCCCTCAACCCCAACGCCACGGTACCCATCCTCGTCGTGCACTCCAACTCGTGGTCTCGCACCGTTAGCCCCTTCTACCAACGCCCGCACTTCGACACAGTCCGTGACCTCGTCAGCGCTATTCCCGCCCCGTCCTGGTTCCTGACTAGCATCGGTACCGCACATCCCAGCGTCACTGACGCCCCGCTGATTGAACCATTGCTCCTCAGCTGGACGACCGGCACGACACTGGACGTGCAGGAAGCTCTCCGTGAATATGTTCGAGTTGTTGACGACTTCTTCCATTTTGTGCGAGACGGCGGACAACGCGGTATCCTGAGTGAGAAAGCAACCCACCATCAGTACGATGAATGGGTCAGTGAGGAGCGAGAAAGGGAGTTCCCGCGGGATTTGGCGAGACTGTGGCAGATTCATGTTACGCCGGCAAATCAGACGAGGTTGATGGAGTGCCCCGTGGAGCTGTAAATAGGTCATCTCATGCGATATGTTGGATGTAAAGTATGTTCTGTTTGTACTTACCGAGCCTAAACGGTATCGTTCAGTATGGGAATAATGCGCCCAGCCCACAAGATCGTTATTAGCGGGAGAGATACAGATTGCTTCGCAAAGCTCGGGAGGCAAATGTCAATCCCTCTCGGTTGATGGTAGCAGCAGGTATTTGTCCGCATTTAGTAAACTTCACCGTGGGTGATGGTAGCCATATCATTTTTGACTCAGTCAAGGACGACAAACCAGTACAATCAGAGTGACACCTTTCCGATCATGCCATAGAACAGCATTAATTTGCCATGCTTCTTACTATGATGACGGCTCAGGATGGGATGCGGGGCGAGGAAGAGCCGGAGCAGGTCACATGACCATTGACAGCGGATATTCCCCCTGCTTTGTAGTGCAATGGTTCGTTCCCCTGACACTCTCTCATCCATATGCATGCTTGATACTCCCACTCAGACATGGCAATATTAGTCTTACGACGGGAGTCAATTCCCTTGATAAGTTTTCCAAACACAGGCGATATCTTCATCAACTGTTGATTACGCAAAGGCACGATGGCGCTAAATTGGGGCTATAAATGCCAGTCCTATAATGTACCCCGCCTCCCCTTATCTTTCAGCCGCATGCTTTACGCGAAAATTCTTTGCCCAGAAAATATGTCTCAGCCTGAAAGATGATGAACATGATTGTTACGAAGATAGACCTCGGAAACGCGAAAGAATTAAACATAATACAGCCAGCAACAGCCGCATAGACACCATGCCGAGTCCAGCAGCCCCAACCCCGCTGTGTGGATGGGAGGAAGCAATCGAGCGGCTCCGCAATTCGGAACCCAAGATTTATCAACAACTGCATGAGATGCTCTCGCTAACTTCGCCGCTTAATCAGAGCGTCTCCTCTACCAGCCCACTCATCACGGATGACGTTTGCGACGACAGTGACGACAGTGACGACAGCAACCTCCCCGACAGAATCGCCCAGCTTATCCAGAGTAGCATGACCCGTCTTCAGAAGAAGGACCACAGCCAAACAAAGTCCCGCAAGGCGCTTGAAAGAATCTTGCGCGCCGTGCGCCTGTTCCAAGAGGTCGGCACAGCCGCCGCGAGTGTGGATCCAATTCACGTGGGAATTCCCTGGGCGGGCGTGAATCTGGTTCTTGGGGTTGGCCTCCTTTTACAACCTGTTACCTTACTCTGAACTATGTGAGCTCGGGCCGTACTGACGAGAACACGATCGAGGTAGACAGTATTGAGTGACACGGAGCAGAACGCCGCTGCCCTCCAGGGCCTGGCGGAGATAGCGCCTCTCATCACACGATATGCAAAGGTGGAGCTGTGTTATTGGACCGAGAATCAGCGGAAAAAGGACACTGCGGACAAGTTTGAGCAAGACTTCCGCGCGTTGTTGGTTGAGTTGTATGTGAAGATCTTGGTGTATGAAATGTCGATTGTTGCGCATTGCCGGCGGGGCAGATTGGGTGGGATATTTCGTTGAGGGAGATCTGTCTGTTTCAAGCTGATCATGGCCTTAGTTCGGTTTGCAAGAGCATTGCCTCACGTGGATGACTGGCAAGATTTGCTGCAAGAGATCCGGAGTCAGGATGCGGCATGCAGACGATTCATCGAGGTTGCTCAATCCGCAGGTTAGTTGCCATCCTTGCCTGTGGAATGCTCTATTCATCGTGATCACAATCTAAGAATCGAGCAGATGCGATAGAGTTTCAATCAGAGATTAAGAGGACACTCGCAGAGCAAGATCTTCTATTAAACGAGGCCTCCCAAGATCTGCAGCGAGTGGGGGCACAAAGCCAGGCATCGCTAGACCACTGGAATGAAAATAGTTTGTTTTCAAGTTCAGAGGGTGGAAAAGACACCCTGAGCTGACTTCAAACCTAGAAAACCGTGCGATTCTCGATTGGATCTCCAAAGCACCTCCTGGAGCAGATCATGCTCAGACCCGCGAGAAAGGAAAATTGAATCGAGAGTATGCTGGCGCCGGGCAGTGGCTGTTTTCAAGCGCCGAGTTTGTTCACTGGAGCACGACAACAGACATCAGCCTCCCCATTTTCTGGCTCTGTGGTCCAGGTACGTGACGCTTCTGAAGCCTTTCGTCTGGGTTGATCGACTAACGAACTTGCAGTTGGCACGGGAAAGAGCTCCTTGGTGTGAGTTATTCTTTGTTCCCGCGAAGAGGCTAGGGCTAATTCAACCGGCACGGTACAGTTGTCTTGTGATAGAAAAGTACTTAGAAGGGCCTCACATTCCAGGGTCAAACGCAGAGCGCATTGCATACTTCTACTGTACCCGGAAGCAAGGTCAGCAAGAGGAAAGCAGCCCGCAAGCCATTCTTCAGAGCCTTGTACGACAATTGGCATGGGCCATGGACGACCTGTCAATCGCCAAAATAGTCAAAGAAAGGTACCAGCGGGCGCAGCGACTAGAAGGCTATGGGAAAAGCGAACTGTCCGTGGAGGACTGTGTCGACCTCCTGACGCAGCTCATCGCAGATCACCAGCATACAATCGTCATCGTGGACGCACTTGACGAGTGCGCGGATCCGGACATGCTATTATTGTGTCTCAAGAGGATTCATTCCTCCTGCGCCGACAGACTGCGACTTTTTGTTTCCAGTCGCATGCACATTGGCGTGCAACACATTTTTTCAGAGCCCATTCGCACCGAGATTGGGCGGGAGAATAGAGGTGATATGGACTTTTATATCCGGACAGAGGTTGAGGCGAATAAATGGCGCCTGGAGCAATGCAACGCGGGTGATCTGGCGAGTACCCTCATGGGGTTACTTAGTTCACGAGCACAGGGGATGTAGGCTTTTCTATCAACAAGCGTACCGTGTGAGCAAGTACTAACCTGCTTCCTAGGTTCCGATGGGTCGAGCTCCAGCTGAATCTGTTTTTCAGCCCGAGAACCAAACTTCGACGGCGCGACGCTGTTAAGAAACGACTCGACAGGCTGGAAGATGAATGTGGTGTACCCGCTCTGAGCGCTGCCTACGACGAGATCTTCGAGATGAACATCCAAGAACCGGAGGATGAGATTGCAGTCGCCCGGGCACTGAAGTGGATCATGGGGTCGTACAGGCCTCTCACGGTTCGTGAAGTTTTGGAAGCTGTATCCATCTCTTCCGATGGTATTATGGAGGAAGATATCACCGAGAGATATATCCTGGACATTTGCAGTAACTTCATCATGGTCGATAAAGCTGGTTTTGTCCAGCTGGCCCACCTCTCCGTCCGTGAATATCTCACTCAAAACAGAGGCAAAGAGTTTTCGGAGAGTGCAGCACATACCCAGGTAGCGGAGACGTGTCTTTCCATCTTACTCCATCACGGCTGTCCTGCGGGTACAAAGCTCAGGTTCCGGAAAGGAGGCGGGCTCCTGGGCTACGCCACGTTTCTGTGGCACTATCACAGTGCGATGACTGTAGCCAGCCGAGGGAAGCAAGACAGCACCTTGCATTCGCTCTTGAGTCAGTTTCTTTCCATGCCGCCGGTAAGCCCTGCATTTCGCAACTGGCAAAGCTCTCTACCCGCAATGCATGACATATCTCGACAAAACTTGCCCTATAGTCGGATGCTGTGCCAATGTGCAGGAGAGACGGGGCCAGACCCCCTGCTGATAGCGTGTGCTTGTGGATTCAGTGAGATCGTTCGACAGCAGATAGCACATGGAGTCCTGCCTTTGGGGCAGCGCCCTGACAACAAACACACACCGTTGTCTTTGGCCTGTGAATATGGCTGCGATGACGTTGTTCGACTTCTACTGGACCAAGAGGCGGAGGTAGATGAAAGAAGTATGGGCGGATATACGGCATTACATCTGGCGGCGCAGTCAGAACAGGAGAAGGTTGTTCTACTTCTGCTAAACAAGGGTGCAGACGTCAATCTGCACATTGAAGGAGTCATCAACAGTGGATGGACAGCATTACATCTGGCTGCGTGCCATGGGGCCGAGCGTATCATGGCCCGTCTGCTGGAAAGGAACGCCCAAATTGACAGCAGAACCAGCGACGGCGCCACTGCGCTTCATGTAGCAGCGTCCACCGGCGAAACCGCAATTGTCGAGCGGCTATTGCAAGGAGGGGCAAGTATAGACATTGCGGATAATAAGGGCCAGACGGCTTTATCCAAAGCAGCAATCACAGGCCATGAAGACATAGTGAGATTAATACTGCAGCACTGTGGGGAGCAAAGGTCAGTGGATTGTTGGATCCGGCAGGCGAGATTCAGTAAGGCTGTCACCGGTGGAGATGAACCCACCGTACGATCACTGTTGACTCAAGGCGTTGACCTGTGTGCAAAGAACAGCCGCGGAGAGGTGGCCCTACACTGGGCTGTGAGCAGGGGACACGTCGGCGTAGCGCGGATACTACTAGAAAACGGGGCCCAACTTGAAGATGTAGACAAATTTGGCCTGACCTGCCTTCATCTGGCCACTCTGCATCGGAACACTAAAATGGTGCAATTTTTACTGGATCAAGGGGCGGACATGGAAGCGAGAGCTGGTGAAGGCGAGACTGTTTTGCACCGCGCAACCGCCACCGCGAACACAAAAATGATAGAGTTGCTGTTGCGCCGTGGAGCCAACCCGCACAATGTGGCTCTCGATACAATGGAGCCTGGTTTTGGCATCGAGCCGGAAGACTTCGATGCTGCTCGCGATATCATTCGACGAGCACTGACTGCCTGATCTGCAGATTAGTTCAGGATTTAGCTCGTGCAACTCTGCGGATGCTTGGTTTAACCTGGTTCACTTCCTGCGCGCGCATGACAAGCAAGAATTATCTGCGAAATTCATTATCAAAACGTACGTGCGTGCGTCTCTGTATATACGTTCAGAAGTCAACCTAGGATGAATCAGTAACCCAGTCCAAGGACAATTCGGGGATCTGTATACAGTCGAACCACCGGCATGACACTCAGTTGGTCCTGATTGCCCGAGTCAATGCGCAGGGCAGGTCGATGGTTCATACACAATTTGACTGGACCTCTTATCTTTGTCTTCAAAATGGTCAAATGTCGAATCCGAGTGTTCTGATCAAGATTTCCTAACGAACTCTACTCTGCCAACTCGACACTGGTGCTAGAAACTGTCTTTTTAAGATGGACAAGCCCTGCTCGGTTTGATTTTCTGGGGCAAGCTTACATGCAATGACACTTCGCAAGACTTGTTTCGTGTTCGTTTGTCTAAACAGCTGAGAGTTGTTAGTCGGTGAACGCTGCGCAGTTTTTTGTCAGTATACTACGCAGTTGAGGTCCACTGAACATGAAGACCCCCTCGTTGAGTGTAACATAGATCGCATGGCTGTTCGAGCCACAGTTAACCGATGCTGCTTGAGATGAGCCACAGAGAATGAACCAGGGTCTGAACTTTCTTGGCCGGATATTAGAGTCCATTGTGACTTTTGTCGAATCGCTTCCAACGTGTACATGGAGCTACGCTAGGTAATGTTATAGATTAACCCCACTGCTTCCGTGGAGGCAGGCAGCCTGTGGACTAATTGCCCGGATTAATCAGACACCCCTTCCTCCTCGAGGAGACCGCGTTGATGGGGCTGTTTCAGAAAATGATGGTCTTATTTTGACCTGCTCACACGAATGACTGACATTCTGAGTCGATAGTCTGCTCTTCTCCTCCGAGTCAATGCGGGGGTACCTTCCCCGTGCTCGCGCCAAGTCGCACTATAGTCAAGAATCCGGTTTCGTGCCCAGTAGTTGTCCAAAGACGTTGCTTTTAGCTGTAGGGTTTCCCCTGCTGTGGGGCTTGCTGCCTCAACAAATTATACTAAGCATTCTCCTAACTCCAACATACAGAACGATTGATAAGCATCTGACAAATACAGACCAGAGATCGAGTACAGTAATCTGACGGATTTAAGATTCACTCTTTACCCCTGTGAAGTCTTCCGGAATGACGTTTACACTTGCAGCTATAATTTTTGCTCGACTTGAGTCTTCTTGTTTATATCATTCCTTTCCTACAACCAGTTGATTGCACTATTCGACACTGCAGGACAAATGTCCTCCCCCGATAGCCCTCGCATTATAGTGGTCCTTGGAGCCACGGGCAATCAAGGAGCAGGTGTAGTTCGTGCTGTGCTGGAATCTAAGACACCCGACGGCGGTCTTTGGCATGTTCGAGGTCTCACGCGAGATCCCAACTCGGAGAAGGCGAAGAAGTTTGTTGCCGACAACCAGACAAGTGATCATCGGCTTTCGCTCGTCCGCGGGGACGCCTATAATGGGTCTTCCCTCCAAGATGCCTTTGCAGGCGCCTATGGCGTGTTTGCAATGACATCCGAGACCCAAGCGGGAAGGGTTCTGGAGCAAGAGGAAGATCTGAAGCATGAAATCGAGGCGGGTCGTCAGATGGTCCGGGCAGCGAAAGCGTGTGGTGTCAAGCACTTTATCTTCAGTAGCTTGCCAGATATGGTCAGCGTCACTGGAGGCCGGTACCCGAACATTTATCACATGAACAACAAGCATGAGATTGAGAAATTCGCACGGGAGCAGTTGAGCGCTGTGACCTGCCTCATTCCAGGTCAGTAGCCTCGTACCGCAATTCGGTGGAACGGTTGACAGCAGCGGCACTTCTACTGACATCAGCTTTGGTACACAGGGTTCTTTTATACCAATCTGAAATGGCCTCACTACTGTGAACGTGGATGTAAGTTTGGCTCAATAGCGATACGTTTTGCCACAGGTAGATGCTAATCTTATCATCTGATAGCGGATGGCGTTGTCCGATTCCACATTCCCATCCCCAGTAGCCAAGTTGCACAGTGGACGGACCCAGTTTATGACATGGGCATCTTCGCAGCCAGTAAGTCAACCACTCCGCATTACATACTATGTTATTTTCTAGGTAGACCTTTGAAGGGTTGACTGATGTGGCGATTCGTCTCCAAAGAAGTTCTAGAGAGCGGCATTGAAAAGACCCGTGGAAAGACATACCTTGTGCTGAGCTCGCGAGTTACACCTGCTGAGATGGTAGAGACATTCACAAAAGTCACTGGTCAGCGCGCCATCCACGATCCAATCTCTGCAGAGGAATTTGGGGAGAGAACAGCTCCCTTCGTCGGGCCGGCTTTCAAGAGAGATGCTACAGAGATGATGGAATGGGCTGCCATACTTCCGGCGGACAAGATCTGCTACGGGGCCTATGCAGAAGATGAGGACCACTCCTTCGAGGAATTAGGTCTCAAGGCGTCATCGTTTGAGGAATGGCTTCACCGCAGTGGCTGGACCGGTCCAGCATAATGGGATGGGAAGAGCCAGTTGACTACCCTAGAATCGCTGAGTTCGAGCACAACCCTACTAGATTGCACCATTCCTCAGATACTTCATTTCGCAGCCGGTGACCGAATTAGAGATATTGTGGCAAAGGTTCTACCACTTAGTGAAATCTTTTCGTCATCCGATGTCTGCACCAGCCTGAAGAGTTTCATGACTTTTTAATTGACATTTTTATAGACGCTCAAAAATTTCTTGGTGGTTTCTTGCTCAATAAACTAGATGTTTAGGAGGAATCTTGACGTATCTCGGCTTCCGAGGACACGGTTGCATTTGTCATTCTGAAGCCCGCAATTGTGCATTTTTACTCAATTTCAACTGCAAGAAGTACGACAAAACCATGCTGAGAGTGCGGAGTCGTACGAACGATATATAACTTGAAGCAAAATAGGCTAGTCAATTATGGTCAGTGGAAGTTCCGACGGAACCACGTCCGAATTCCCCGGCGATGCGGGGTCGGACCCCCGAAATGTGAACTAGGGCAGACTACATTATATTCTTGTTCTTCACTGCCTTGTCATGCCAGCGAGTCTTCAGGGGCCTGACTAACATCAAAATCCTCCCAATTCATTTGACGGCTGTATTCCAGCGCCGTCTTGTGCTCAACTTCTGGTGCAGTTCTAGTACGCTTATTGAGCAGTCGATAGTGATACCACAGGGGCGATTTCTCCCAGTCACTCTCTTCCTGAATTCTGATGATGGTCATCACTAGCTATATGACATTTCAGTCAGTGCTAACTAAAGAGCACTGACTACACGTTCAAGCCAGCGCATGTACTCTTTGTCAACGCATACTAGCATACTCACACATAGGTTACTTGAGGACAGAACAGCTGGATAGAAGAAGATGCTTATGTACAACGTGTGATAGGTTTACCTGCCATTCTATGTAAGACCAAGAAGGTCATCATCCGACCGAGTCAACGCGGATATCAGAACGGTAGCTTTCTGTTCAGTCTGATCAAACTGGACAGTCAACCGTGACAGTGGTCGTGTAGTAAATGGTAGATACGACCTCAGAGTCCTGGGCGGCCGGCTCCGTCACCGCAGGAGCAGCGCCGGAGGTAGTGGCGTGGCCGCGGCTATTCGATCCAGTCATAGCGGCCTCCTGGCTGGTGGTCGTCCGCGACACCGCGGTCTGAGTGGCCGTGATCGGGCATACGGTGGTATAGTCGACCAGCGTTTCGGTCACCACATACGTGCTGCGTGCAGAAGCCGGGCAGTCGCGCACCGTCGACGGACAGGCCAGGATGGTTGAGGTCCTGGTGGTGAATACGGTGGAGGTAGTCAGGAGATCGCCCCCTTGTCCTGGACCGGAATTCTCTCCAGTAGTCGATCCAGCAGCTCCGGTCGGTCGACCAGCAGGAACTGTGATAGGACAGACGGTGGTCCCAATAACCACGGTCTCGGTAGTCAAGGAGGTCGTGCGTTGGCTGGCTGGGCAGTCGGGAATGTCGGACGGACAGGCCGTCACTGTTGCGGTCCGTGTAGTGAGGATCGTGGATGTCGTCAGGGCTCCGGCACCTGTCGGCCCCGACTGAGGGCTGGTTTGACCTGCACTGCCCGTTGCGGGAGTGGGCATTCCATGGGGGCCAGCTTGAGAGGAGCCAATGACCGGTACACTCGACGGCAGTCTACCTGGCTGCGAGCGAGAGGTAGCGAATGTGCGGACAGATGATGGGGTGACGCTGGGTGCTGATGACTGGCCGAGTGAACGTGTAGTCGTTTTAGGGGATAGGGATGCTACGGGGCTGATTGCTGGAACTGAAGCGCTGGACCGGGAAGAGACCGCCGACTGAGACAACGAAATCGGAGCTGACACGGCCACACTCGAGCTCGGTGCTCCCGAGGTCGCACGAGTCGAAGGCGAAGCAGGCGAGGGTGTGAGCGGGCTTGCGACCGGGATGCTGGTTGGGACTGCCGGAGATGATGCAGGAGGGACGCTGCTAGGACTGGATACGGCAGAAGATGAAGCTACCACCGATGAAGCCATCACCGACGACGAGGACGCGCTGACCAGAGGGGTGGGAGTCGTACTGAGCGTTGAAATCGCGACCGAACTGGGGGTCGGGGTAACCACCGGGGTCGAGGTGGTGCACACCTGCTGAGTGGATAACGGCAAGAGGATATTGTCGAAATCAAAGGTGTAAGTGGTATAATCATTGCAAGAGAACACAAGCATCATCGTGTGTGACGAAGTAGTCGACGTGAAGGGAATGGAATACGTGCTCCAGGCCGGGTCAGCGCCCCCGACGGCGGCCGCGAGAGTGATTCGGTCATAAAAGCTGCTCCATCCGTCGAGCATCCAGCCCAGATAACACTGGTTGTAGAGGCTAGGAATACTACTGGCGAGAGCGCTGAGTTTGTAGTCCACCGAGAGGGTGTAACTCTGTCCCGGCTCGAGTCCGGTGATGGACTGTTCAATATAGGTATAATGATAGGGGTCTGGGTTCATCGATCTGTGCATGGGGCGTCAATGACATCTGTCTCTCTCTCGTTTACGCGGTGAGATGGAACTTTACAGGTAGTATTCGCCCTCGGATGCCTCTCCGGAAAGGACCTGACCCATAGACCTGGGCGTTGCAGCGGCTATCCAGGCAGTCCAATCCGAGGCATCGCCGGTCTCAAAGGACGGATTGGAAAAGGCATTGACGATTTCATTATTGCATGTTACGACAGCAGCCAGCGAGCGAGCCGCCAAGCTGGAGATCACGGCGGCGATAAGGAGTGGTTTGGCCATGGCCTCGACTCGAAAAGAATGACAAGGGTCCGGAGAGCGAGGTTGGGGAGCACAGGGAAGAGAAGGAGGCCACGGGGAAGGCAATCGTTAACTGGGAGGAAATTGACCATATCTTATACTAACAGACCAGGGGTAATTGGGCTTTACAGACCCTGCAGGAGACAAGGTAGATATAAGCGATGCCAAGCGGGAGGTTGATTGGCATACAAGGCCTCCCGGTGACCCTAACAGCTGAAATACGATCGACTATCGATTCGGAAGTGGAGCATACCTTGAATTCATGAGGGACTAACTAAATCTATCAGATCTTTCACTTTCACGCCACCCAAGACCCACCAACGACCATTTCGCATTGGCAGGGGGCAACAAGGGAAAAGGGACCACCTTCAATCTAGACCCGTGACACACACAATCTGTGCATCCAAGATTGTTTGTGCTGAGTGAGAAAAGGTGTTTGCTCTTTTTGCACTCATCCTCCCCTCCCGATTGTCGCTTGGCCGAATGGTGCCCACCAATGACAGACTGCCCTCACTCCGACAACGGAACCACTTTACTGGCGGGGATTTTGCTCTTGTTGACATCCAGTTCTTCCTCCCGCTCCCCTTCACCACCTCCTCCAACATCACTCCCCGTGTCACTTGGTAGAGACTCATCGCTTACCACATATGCATTGGACAGTCTCGCTTCTCTTTCGGCACTGGCAGCCTTCTGATCTCGAGCAACCAGGAATTGAATCGCAGCCGTAACCACAACTGCAAGCCACGGTCAATGATGATGATATGTAACATACACAGCTTGCGGGGTTGACTTACTACTCAGCACTTGCAAGATGATGCACCACAAATAGCCTTTCTTCGCGGCGGGAAAGTCGGTCGTCTTCCACACAAAGTTTGGGGCCTGACACGCAGTCTCAGCTTTTGATCTGCAATTCCGCCAAAGCACTCATGGCAAGCACTTACCACAGCCTGAACAACATAGGCGAGATCATTGGCAAGCACAATCACCAACGCGCGCTCTTCCGTGTCGGCGGTGCAGATCTCATTGGCCCAGCTGAGAATCAGGGGACCAGCACCCAGCTGCAGCGGTCTGGTCAGCAACTGCAGGAGCATTCCCCTCTGTCGTGGAGTGCAATCAATACATACCCCGATATTGCTCAGCCAGTACACCGCCATCCGGCCCGTGATGTTGGTGTACAGAGGCATCTGCCGCAACAGCGCGCAGAAGATAATCTGCATGGCGTACGATTAGAATGCGGCGCGGCGGGACTGGGGCCCACACTTACTGTGATGACCGCACCCGCGTAGATGAACGGCCAACGAGCCCCTCGCAACGGGCCGTCAGACAACCAGCCCCAGGTCAGCGCCACGATGATGAACAGACCGGTGGTGAGCAAAGGGTCTGCGAGTGGAGGTTAGCACGCTCTACCGCCTCCGTAGAGAGAACGGCCGGGAAGCGCCGCTTACAGTCATTGATCTGGGGCACGGTGTAGCTCGTGCCCGGTACAGGCGCCGGAGTCGTGTTGAAGCTCTTCAGCCAGTATCCCATGCCAGCTTGAGGGTAGCCATTGTTCCACACAATGTACAGCAGCGCTGGAGCAGTCAGTGAAACGTCAAGTGCACCGGGGCCGCGACAGAACGTACGCAGAAGATAGATGTGCCAGCTGAGGAACATCCTCTTGACCTTGGCCTTGGTCCACGGGGACTGGCCCGCACGATGAACGGCATCCATGCGCTTGACGGAAAGGAGGTGCTCCTCCTGGGTGATCCACCAGGTCTTACGGCCATCTTGCGGCAGGTTGGGAAAGAAAATATACCCCGCCAGTGCCAGTGGCAGCGTGATAATCCCATCAATGACAAACAGCCAGCGCCAACCGGCCAGACCGTTCACGCCATTCAGATTAGTGTAGGCAGCCGCCTGGAGAAAGCCACTAAAGAGCGTGCCCATGGACCCTGCCAGCCAGAAAATCATGGCGCGTTTGCCAATCTCTTGCGGGGTATACCATGATCCGAGCAGGTAGTGGATGCCGGGGTAGAAGCCGGATCTAATCGTGCGAATGAGCGAGCGATAGGAGAAGCGGCAGCACATGATGAAGAGCTTACTCAAATAACCCGACCAGAAACCGGATGCCATAGAGTGCATGATAGGACTTCACTGTCGATGTGCATATGGTAGCGATGCCCCATCCAACTTCGAGCTGTGCCCTTGGATCAGCCATCGCATAGCTCTTTCACTCAGAGAGGAACGTACCGTAGGGATAATCCAGCGGGGCGATATGCGAGTCAGCAGCAGGTTGGAAGGGATTTGTCCGATCACGTATCCCACCGTGTAGATCGAGGTGCTGGTCACTAGTTGGTTGCCGTACATCTTCATATCCTCCTCCATCCCGCTCAGATAAGCATTATTGATGTTGTTGAGATCCAGATTCTTCAGAAAATAGCCAATCTTGTATCCCCGTTAGCATACACAAGTGGATCTGGATCGCGGAGAGCAAACGCACCGAGGCGAAGGTGAGGACGAAGGCATCCACCTTGAACAAGAGCCAACGCTGATCGTGGGGCAGCTCCCATGTGTCCCAGAGATATCCCTTCCACGAGCGGAGAGGTCGAACCTCAAGCGGCTGATCTGTATGACTCGACCCATCTTCTGGATGGCCATTGCCTGGCCGGGTGGTGTCCTCTTTGCGGTGGCCCATGCTCATCAACTGTCTTGTCTTCTTGCCATCCGCGTCGAAACACAGTACGGCGATCTGACCGCTGCAGAGTATAAGTATGCCTACCTGCGAGACATGGTCTCATCAAAGAATCCCATGACGCCATCTGCTTATCGTGATCTTCCTTGCGCTTAGCTCCACGATTATAGCTCATACTTCATCCCACCGAAACCATAACCCGACACCTGCTCTCTCAGCAAGGAATGGGGCCTTAAACTTCCCTGAATTGAAGCATGAGCACTTCATGTCCCTCCGAAGCATGCTTCATGATCTTTCACACATGTTCAATGCGCATCTTTGATTTTGAGAGTCTATGGCAGCAATCAACACCTGAGGGGGTTCTGGATGGTTACTAGTTTTGCGAGGGATTGCGCCATCGAGTGCATGGATTGTATGCTCCCAGTCGCAGCCTCGACCTGCAGCTATCTTGCATCCCCTCTTTTCTTCCGTCTGCATTGCCACCGCATGTGCTTGCATTTATTGGTCGTGTATCTGAGCATGGAACCTAAATCCATATCGACCCCCTACGTAGCCCACCAGTACAAGTACAGATGTTGTTGCCTGAGGCATCGATGTGTCGACCAGGCTCGGTGGCGGGGCACGAGCGTGGACGGACCAAGGAAGTGGCTTCATCGTTTACAGTATGAGTCACTTCAGCATTAAGCTACGTGGGTTTGTGCGTGTGCGTTGGTGGGGTAGAGTACAGCAACTATGGGTTGACTGGTCGACTTTCCGTTGTTTACGCAGCTCAGTACGAAGTTATGTCAAAACATCAAAACATATTCCCGGCCGGAGAACAGCACACGAAACCACAACTGGATTGTACAAATCATGTCCGCCGCCAAACTTCCTACAAAACTTGGACCTCGAGGTGCAGTGACTTTTCTCAACAATGACGCTAGTGCATGGGGTTCTTGGTGCTTTGGGTTGTATGTCGCACGCAATGGCGGGATGGGATGGTGAATTATGGGTATCTACTGTTTTCATCATTGGCTGATGGCTGACAAGAGACTTGAACACAACTTCAACCCTGAAGAAATGCCGTCCGACATCATCGCAGTTCCACGGGCGATCTAGATCAACTTGAATGCGGTAGTGAGGTCGTAACTGGATTCCACAGCGACTTCCGGTCACTTCGCAGTGGTTGGAAATAAACAGGCGATGCCCTGGTGAGGAGACGAGGTCGTTGTAGAATAGGAAGGAGAGTAAGAGAGAGGAAAAAAGGCGAAGGAGGGAAGAGAGTAATGATTTATGATGGGGAGGGGAATTAAATGAACGACTCCAGCTCACTCACTATTAGTAAGTTCGTTCGTTAACTTGTCGATACCAGTGAATCTATCCCGAAGACCTATAAATAGAATGATCTCCAGATAACCTCATAACCTGTTACGGATAAATGACTCAGTTGACCCACGTGAAGTTTGCGGTTCGATACAGAATCAATGTCTTCAATTGGCTTGGCTTCCTTAGCCCAGACCGAAACATATGAAAGCCAATCGCGCTGTGGCACTGATACAAGAATCCTTGCGAGGGACGGAGTATTGGTGCAGGAGTGATGTAGGTTTGCCGTGTTTGGCGGTCTCGTTTGCCGTGAGCTTGAAGCTGAGATGTGTTGGTTGTGCTTGATGCGCTTACTGCTAGATGCCTGATCACGCAGACTGCCATCCCCTCGCTTACTGGCACTGGCGCTATGGTTCGGACAAGATATATCAGGCACTCTTCAACATAGAAGATACAGATACATTGAGCATCAAATACTATCCACAAAATAACCAGCTCCTCAAACCCGCGTCGAACTCCTACCCTCTTCCTTCCACGAACACTGCCAAACACGAAGCTCTCAAGCCACAACCATCAGCAGGATTAGCCACGGCGCGCAAAGTCCCGCGCGTGGTTCCCACTGGAACGAGAGATGAGTGCGCTGAAAAGGGCCCGGATATCATCCAGAACTTCGGTAGCCGTGGTGGGAGTGGGCAGCACTGCCGCAGAAGCCGTGGCAGTCGAGGCAACCTCGATCGTCGCTGAAGGAGCCACCGCTGAGGTCACCGCTGCAGCAGCGGTGGAGACAGAGCTGGTGGTCACTGAAGATGCAACCGAGGGCGCGACGGTTGCGGCAGTCGTCTGGACAGCAGCGGTGGTTGAAGTTACAGTGGTCGCAGCTGAGGCGGTGGTGCTGGTCGAGGAGGCCTCCGCAGTGGATTCGGGCAGAGCAGAAGTAGAAGAGCTGGTCGAGCTGACGGAGCTGGCAGCGCTAGAGGCGTCCGCAGAGCTGGAGCTGGAGCTGGAGGAGCTACCAGAGCCAATCTCCTTGGTAATGGGAGCCTCCTCGATATAAATACCCGACCAGTACCAATCCTCCGCCGCATCGTTGGAGCCACCGTTGGGCAGACGCAGCTCCCCGACGTGCCAGTCCGCCGAGTTGGACGAAGCCGACGCGCTCACCGGCGAAACCACCTCAGTCAAAGGGTCTGAGCCGTTGGACGCCCACAGACCCACCGTCTGCGCGTCAAAGTCGATGTCATAGGCAAAGTTGTACCAGTTGCCGGCCTCCAGCTGCACCGACCACTGGGTCTCGCCGCCTGCGTTCCAGCGCAGAGTGTTGTCCGAAGATCCCGAGGCTCCGGAGGCCAGACCGTACTGCAACTCGGTGAAGTGGCTCTCGAAAAAGGCGATCTGGTGTTCGAACGAGGCGTTGGGGGCATTAGTGGTCTTGGTCGACAGGGAGAAGTGGTAGTATAAGTGGCCAGATCCGAGATCGGCCGTGGTCTGGGGGATCAGCTCGGATCGCTCCATCGTTTGGCCTTCCCAGAAAGAGGTCCCATCCTAAAATAAGTGGTCTGTGTTAGTCTGAGCTTCGAGTTCTCCAAAGGAATCCTTGACCTACAATGCTGATGCGCAGTCCCTGGGCGTCGCTGGTATCGGCGGGGTTCTTGAAGTCGGTGGAGAGACCCAGATACTCCGAGGTGTTGCCCGTGCCATAAATGTACCATTGCCACGGTTCGATTTGGTTAGACCAGGACCCTGCTCGGTCAGTTTGATGCGCTATGCGACCGGGGAAAAGGTGGACTTACAGTCATCGAAGTCCGCGACAGTGGCGGAGGAGTTGAAAATGCCGCTCCACAGCACGGTTCCAGCCAGCGAGGAGGCGGGGAAAGCAAGAAGAGAAACGAAAGACTTCATGGTGAGTGAAGGAGTGACGAAAGAAAGGAAGAGAATGGAAGATGTGACCGGCACAGATGGTTTGGAGACAGAATAGTGGATGAAGGCGTCTTCTTAAAGTGATGGATGGATGGATAAATACTAATGGCTCTGGAGCGAGGGAGCCGAAGTGGAGCAAGTGTCAGGGTTAAATTGACGGGCGTGTGCTGAAACACTCCGTTGCCCTCACTGGGTTTCATTTTGATATCCAGGGTCTCTTCCCAGCTCGGACAGCTCAACGGTGCAATGAAACGCCGGTCGCTCGCTGAAACATGGCCTGTCCTGTCATCCAGATTTATTACTTGTCCCCCGGTCGCTCTCGACTTCGGCCTCTCTGACCACAGAAGCATATTTCGCAGGGACCACGATGGGTCTCAGACAGGTACTTAAACTGCATGTCATTCGTTCAGTCACTGAGTGCACTATATTCTTTCCCTAGTACTTCTATCTACAAAGCCAGCACCGCCGTCTTCAGCTTGGCGAAGTCGGGGGTTCCCAGACCGGTGGCGGGATCCCAACCCACGGTGGCATTCCAGCTGGCCCAGGGAATATAGCCTCCGCCCGCCGTGCTGCCATCGCATCCAGTCGCTGTGCCCCCGGTAATATCGTTCAAGCTCTTGTAGCCGCTAGAATAGAGCCAGGGGTTGAGGAATCCCAGAGACGTCTTCCCCGCGCGCAGGCGAGCGTCGTTGAGCAGTGCGATAGTGGCAGCAACGACCGGACTCGCCCCTGAGGTACCGCCAACCAGTTCGAGCTCACCATTGATATAGGTCTCGTAGCTAATCACGCAGGAGTCAGTATGGTTGTGACAACAATCGATCACCGTAGGGAACATACTAGGGAGCACCCGCAAAGGCGGCAACGTCCGGGAAAGCTCGCCCAGAGAAGTTGACGAACGGAGTGTAGTACTCTTTGACCGCGGAGGAGATATGCTGCTCCAGGTAGGTTTCGACCTGATCAGCCTGGTAGGACGGGCGAGCAAAGTAGTTGCTGAAGCCGCCGCTGCTGTCCACCCAGGCAATCTCGGGGATGTCCTGGGTGCCTCCGACGGCAGTGATGTAGGGGCATGTTCCGGGGAACTCGGGGGTGAACTGAGTCGTGTTCGTTCCATCATTCGACAGACAGGCCGCACCAACCCCTGCATACTTAGTCTCAGTCGGTGCGCTGGAAATGTACTCTCAGAGACTTACCGGAATCGCCAGAAGATTCGAGGACCGAGATACCGCGGACGCCCATCAACCCAATCAGGTTGCAAACGCGAGTGGCATAGGAATATGGGACAGTCTGCCAGGGTTAGCAAAAGCCATGGCGGAAGGACTGCTGAACATACGTCCTCATCGTCACCGTAAGAGTTGGTGATCACCTGCGGCAGCTCGTCGCTGGTCTTGTTCAATAGATACTCATAATATTCTAGATAAGGCTCGTTGGTATCGGTGGTCTCCGCGACGTTGGGAATGAAGGGACTGGAGTCTCATTAGCCTCAGTCAGTTTGCCTGGAACTCACACGTGGAATACATACGGCGACCCAGCAGTGATGAACTCCACCACCGGCAGGGGATGCGAGATGCCAACAATGTTCTGCACGTCCAAGTCGGCCTCACCCCCGTCGTAGTCTTGGTTGTTGATCCCACCGTTGATCAGCTCCACGGTGAAGTTCTGCTGCGGAATGTCGAAGCGCTCGGTAAAGAGATCGAGGTCCGCATACAGGGCGGACTCCCCCAAGAAGCTTCCAAAGCCGATGCGGCTACCGGAGGACGCCTTCGGGGTGTAGTCAATGTTGTACTGTTGCTTCAACAAGGAGGGGGTGATGTACTGTGAGGCCGAGGTACTGCTGCTCGACCTTGTGGTCACCTTCACAGCCTGGATCGCGGCAGCGCGTTCGGCGCGCGTCTTGCCGAAGAAGACGGTGGGAGCAATCAGGTCGATCGAGCCAGTCAAACTGTCGGGCACCGAGTATTGAGTGGTGCGGACCTTCTGGGTGCCTGCCTTCTCATAGACGGAGAAGGTGGTGTTGAGCAGCTTGTTGGCCGTGCCCACCGTCGTGGCGAAGCTGATCAACCCACCCTGGTGAGAGATGTCGGTGACCCCGGCTTCAGCAAGCCACGAGACCACAGCAGTGGAGTCGGCCAGAGGGAACAGAGCGTTGACCTCGTCAGCGTCGAGGTACTGGCCGTAGGTGCTCTGCCCAGGGGTCGACACGGCCAGCAGCTTGGACTCCAGCTGGTCGAGGTTCTGGCGCGTCAAGGCAATGGATAGAGTGATGTTCGAGCTGGCATCGGCTTCTTCAACCAACGACCAGTTGTTGGGCACAGCCTGGATCTTCTCAAAGACCACATCGGCCAAAGCTGGGGCCGCAAGGACCAGAAGACCGGTGGAGATACGGGAAAAGGCGACCATGATGAAGTCAAACCCAGCGAACAGAGGAACGGACACTGGTGCAGAAGACAAAGGGAATGGTGACAGCGACGCTTCACCCGCCTTTATAAGGTCTCTCCGTCAATGAGGCCATTAGGGGTGGATAAATTGCTCCGACGGGGAGCGGCCGAACCCCGGGGATGGCGTGAGGAGTGAATGGAGTGCAATGCAGGAACATTAACATTTTCCAATCTTCTGCAGGTTCCTCCCGTCTGCCAAGCCGGGTCTAAGCTGCCTTTCCGGTTGCTTATCAGTGATTATCTTGATTATATATCCTGATCATCTTGCCCAAGTTCGCTTCCTCCCGCGGCTTGTATGCCGATGCATTGCATCCTGAAAATGGTAGACGATTGACTCCAAGCAACCAAAAAGGCATTGCGACCATTCATAGCTGAAGTCACTCACCTGGAATGGTTGACACAGCCTGGGTTCGACCGTAACCTCTCCTCATGGCAGCGCATTGCAGGTATCTTGGCGTGTCGGAGCGAGGCCGGAGTCCGGGTTATCGCGCAATGGCCAGGCGGGGCCTTGGCTGCTAGTGTGGGAGACCTGCAGGGAAAACGGCACAGATGCAGAAATGAGTTCATCTATTTTTTTGGCATGAGATCAAATGGTCTCAGTCCGGTGGCATCTGACGCGAGGGTCAAGCGAGCAAACAATTTATTTCCTTGAGGGTGGAGTGAGATACAGTATCCGACTACCGTCACCTCTGAGAGTCCCACAAGTCTTCAACTGGAAACATGGTCACTGAGTGGAAGTTAGAATCAAGTACTGAAGCTGCACACCTTCGATTGGTCAGCAAGCCAGACCCTTGTCCTGGATGGTAATATATCGTCCACTGTGTGGAATGGGGGAGTCTTCAGCTGCGCTTGCTTGTAGTATTTCTCCTGCATCTTATGGAACAGGTCCCTGCTCTCTTGATGTTGCGCAGTGGAGAAGACACCTGAAGAATCCTTTTTGTGACTTCTTTTCGACTTTTTTTCCAACTTCGATGGTATGCGGGTGCTTTGCTTGACTTCATTATTAAGCCTTCTCGACAAGCATGCCAAAAGTAACATTAACTATTTAGCTACTGATTCTCGACTGCTTCAAGGCGCTTGAGATCAGTTGTGGTGCGAAAGCCCTTGTGATACAGCCAGCCATGGATAACAGCAGTGATTATAAGGATAACTGCTTGCCACTGTCTGGCTCATGCCCATCGAGCTTGCAAATCGGGTATTTGACCATTGATCGCTGATAGACATAGTATCTGCAGTGTCTAACTCTGTTATAGGTACATTGAATCTGAGAATCTCATACCATTGGACTAACCGGCGCCTCCCAGTGCTGATTTCCCGATATTCATCGCGATGAAGGAACTGTTCGGTTTGCATTGGAGTTGATAACTGGACTCGATATCGTTGTTGTGTAGCTCTGTATCTCGTCCAATCACTGATCTCTTTATCTTGGGAATGCTCCAGTCGGTGGGTATAAGCATATCTGACAAATTTGAGCGCTGTTTCGATGAAGTCGCCAGCCTTGATTAGGCTGTCATGTACTCCTCCGTAGAGGGAGTCAGTCTTCCACAAGGTACCCAGTCTCCTCTACAAAAGCACTTAACCTCCCTCTTGCTTCTCGACCTGAGTTCATTCTACTGCCATTTATTTTTACCAACTTGCATTGATTCAGCCATCCGTCAGGGTTCGTCCACACCACTAGACACCCATACCCCTACTTATGAAATTTCACATTCTTCTTGAACAGTTAGACTTATTTCCATTGAAAACAAACACTTCCAAACACAATCCCACCCGAACCGTCCTACAAGTTCGACAACCGCCCCGCCTTCTTCGCCGTCCAGGTAGCAATCGCATCCATCAACCCAGGACTCAACGCATCATACGTCTCCAACCCGATCTGACGGAACCGATCCCTGACGGCGCCCATCCCCTCCGGCGGGAACCCCTGCTCGATAATGGAACTGACAAACGCCGCGAACTGCGGCTCCTGCCACCCTTCCTCCTCCGACAACTCGACATGCACAAAGTCCAAGCCGGTGAAGGGATGATCCGTCTCGATCCGGCCGAATAGATGCACCCCACAATCCCGACACGCGTGACGCTGGATGACCGCGCTGGGATCCACGACGGCTAATTTCTCCGCGTGGGCGGTCACGCGCAGTGCGTCGCGGGGGACGACGGCCACCACTGAGAACAGGGCGCCCGCGGGTTTCCAACACTTGGAACAGCCGCAGGCGTGGTTGTGGGCGACGTTGCTGGAGAGGTGGACGGTTACCGGGTTGTGGATGCAGTGACATTTCAGGGTGCCGCCGCTGAAGTTCGGGTTGCCTTGGCGGATGCGGGTGTCGAGGAGGGGGTGAAGAGATGGGCCCATTTTGCTCATTCTTGATGTCTGGGTGGGAGGTAAGGTATCAGGGATCAGGTATCAGAAGTTTGATTGCACTGCACTGGAGAGCTGAGGAAGGATATGCTTCAAGTTGCCAGACTGGGGGAAGACAATTTGAATCGAAAAATGATGATGGGAGAAATCGACAGTTGGTTGGGGGGGGAGAAGTCGACTGGGGCAGCACTGCTTAGTATAACTTATAGCAGCCAAATTCAATTCCCCCTCATCCCCTCATGCGGGGCGGGGATTGACTGAAATCTGCAGCATTTTGTTCACAGGCACCTCCGGGGGAAACATCGGGTAAGTTAACCCGTTTAGGCGATGGGATGCGCGAAGCGGAGGCATTCCTCCTCGCGGCAAAAGTAACCCTCGTTGTCCACCCGCCCTAATCGTTTACAGTCACTGATACGGAGTACATTACCAGGGGAACTCCTCGAACAAAAGCACTCACTCACTTTTAACGTCGGCAATGCTAGATGATTGATCACAGCTACAGTGCGAACTCACACTACAGTCTCTCTACTCACGCACTGCCACTGCTCCGATGCACCCTTGGACTCTCCTTCCAAGCCCGGCGTGAACGACTCCAGCTCCATCTCCGGATCGGCCGCCATCGTGACCAGAGACTGATCCGTGTTATTCGACCGACGATCACGATAAGCCCGTGAACCCTTCGTCACCCCCGACTGCCTGCTCCGGGTACTGTAGCTATGACTATACTTGAAAGACCGAAACTTGTCCGCCAGACTGGCGGGGACGTTGTACCATCGGAAGAAGACCTTCACAGCCGGGAGACTGGCCGAGGTGGCTGCCAGCGCCACCTCCAGCAGGGCCAGCACCCAGCAGTACCAGGCCATCCAGGAGCCATCGTACGATTCGTAGTACATGCGCCACAGAAAGAAAACCCGGATGCCCGCGATCACCGCCGTCAAATACCCCACCGAGAAGACCGCCGTCAGCGCCAGTTTCTGCCGGCGGCGCATGTGCAATCGAATGCAAAACACCGCGGGCAAGGTGGTCGCCAGCAGGTCCTGCGCGAGACTGATCGCGGTGGCGGTGATCAGGTGGGCGCCCTCGTCGTAGCACGAGTAGTGATGGGTCACTGTCCAGAACGGGTCGACCTGGTGCCAGAAGGCCCGGAAGGGTCGACACGACAGAAAGAGGGCGAGCACGAAGGCGAGGCTGTAGGCGATCACCGAGGCGATACTCACCCAGATCAGCGCCCGGAAGCGCGGGGAGACCGTGCGTTGGCTCATGCGACGATAGAACAGCAGCACCGACGACTTGATCAGCCCCGAGGCCAACACATAGCAAAGCTCCGCCGCCACCGCGACTTTGCGCTCGCCGATGAGCGCCGACACAGTGTTGTCCCACGTATGGTATTTCTCGCCGTACACTTCGGTGCCTGTGGGGGATCGGAGTCAGCCGGGTCGGGGCGAATATGCGAAGGGGCGCCGTCCATGCGTACCGATGGGAACTGCAATGATGAGTCCCAGAGTGGGTAGCTGGGAGTGGTGACGGTCAGTTCGAGAGTCATCGATGAAGGGAGACGCGACGGTCACGAACCAAGGCCAGGGCTATTAAGATGTCATCTATGCCGCCCTGGTGCTGAATGAAACAACGCGCGTACAGCCGAACCATCACCGTGACGAAGGCCATCCCCCCAACAACTGCAGCCAGCACCAGGGCAGCGGGGCCATGCGACTCAGGGTTGACGGTGTTGCGTGGTGGCCACGATGCGATCACCGACAACGGCGGATGCATCCCCCCGGGCATGATGGCGAGAGGTGGATTCAGTCCGCTGGCTGAATGACCTTGAAATGAATCCTGAGAGGGAAAAAAAATCAAGAAAGAGACAGCAAGGAGACAGAGAGATGTAGCAGGGAAAAGTCAAGGTCTATCAATGTCCCGCCAAGACTGACAATCTCCCCAGCCCTGTCGCCCGCAAACACACTGCGGACATCATCCTATTTGACATCCTGCCAGAATGTCAAAAAACAAGAAATTCGGTGCATCATATGGAGAACAATCTAAGTTATGGTGTAGATTCAGAAATTGCAACCCAAATCGAACAGGACTTGCTTCATTTACAGTACGCCGCTCCACTGATGTGGGCCATCGAATCCCTGGCGGCTGCACGGGGCAGCCTCCCAATTTTTGCGACGAAGCCTTTAAGGTTGAGCAACCTCAAGTGAAACGGTCTCCGTTTGACTCCATCCACGGCGAAAAGCAAATGGCACCTGTCAGTGAAAGCTCCACCCAGCGACCGAGAGCAGCAAAAAAGTGGAGAGGTGAACGCTGCGAGACCCATCGTGGTGATGATGCATCATCCAATCTGAACCACCCAAGACAATTGATTTTATTTCGGCCGAGCCAGGGGTCGGGCAACCCGCAGAGTTTGACAACGTTCAGACACTGACAGTAGACCTGGGTTAAGTTTGAAGTTAGAAAAATCATATTATTTAGGTAAGTTCCAAAGGCTACTAAGCCGGCAGATCATCCGGATTGTTTTCCCCGGTGAATTCTGTAGCAAATTGGAGCAGGGCTGAATATTGCGTCGGATGTGCTGCACTGGCCGGTCGCACTCTCCGTAGCAGCCCTCCTGAGAGTCTCGACTACGATGGACGACGACTAAGTTACGACTAGCGCTCGTAGAGATTTCGATTCCCGGCTAGCTCTGCCAATCATGCCCCAGTGGGGAAACTTCATGGCCCAATGGTGAAGTCATCGCATGCTCTTCCTCAAACTCCCGGCCCGTGCAGCTTGATTCATCACATCCACCATGATGTTGATCAGTGCGATGCAATCTCCACACAATCTTTACGCCGTAATCTCACTGACTCGGGTTACTACGGAGTACCTGCCAAACCCTGCATCCCGTTGACGCGCATTCAGAAGTACCGTGGTGGCCGTGGTAGGTTTAATAGAAAGACCAATTAAGCTGGATAGATAGGCTCCTGTCCTCCTCCAAACTAGATAGCTCATTTCTCCCGGAATTACTCCGTACTCTGCCAGACCCTCCTCACTGATCCCCGGACGGCGGGCCAATTGGATAAACCTTCACGACGACAAACGTCGTGAAAGGAGGGCAAGGCCGTTAAGTGATCGACGTACGAGGCCAGGTGGGGCCAATGGGTGGCCGGTCGGGGCATATCGCGCGACCATCGCATCAGCATCACTGCCAAAAAGTCCACCGTGCTCAAGGTATCCCCCACCAGGTATTTGGGATTATTCTCCGGAGTCAAGGGTAATCCAGGGGCATTGGCGGATCCCCGCAAGCGCACATCCAGTAAATCCCAGGCCCCCTCGATCCGTCGCTGGGCCAAACCGCGCACCGCCGCCGCCCCTTCGGCCGGACCGTCCTGGTCGGCATAGAACCAGTCGCGCATCGCGGGGAGAAGTGTGTTGGCCAGGTAGATCATCGTCTGCAGCCACAGAGCCCGAAGGGGCGCGCCCACTGCGGGCATCAACCCACGGTCGGGATGACGCTCGGCGAGCAGCATTAACAGAGCCGTGCATTCTCCACGAGCCTCACCATCCACAATCAGCGTGGGGACACGGCCGGTCGGGTTTAACTGTCGATACGTCTCTGTACGCTGCACCCCGGTGGAAAAGTCGACGAGGACGGCATCGAAGGGCAAGTCGGCCTCGATCAGCAGCCAGTGCACGCACAAACTGGCTGCGCCGGGCGAATAGTACAAGGTATAGCGGTCGGATGCCATGGGGTCCCCGCGCTGCCAGGGGAGATTAGCAGGGCTGGATCATCATCGTCGGGAAGAGGAATGGATGCATCGAGAATTACCGTGTGATGAGCGATGAGAGGATTCTCGGAGAAGACCATTGGTTACGTCGTGCTGGATTGAAGCAATGCGGAGGATTGTTTTTGTTATGCTCGGGGTCTGGCAAATGAGTCACAGGTGAATGAGGAAATAGTTCGGGCGCCCGGACCAGGAGGGTGATCGTGCATCAATCCGTGTTATTGGGATCTACGTCAAGCGCAGTCTAGCATAATTGTCTATCATCTATATGGACCACAGGTGTCTTCAGATCCAGTCTATCCCTCGTTTCGTTTCCAAGTAATATTCGTGCAGCCCGGTATCGTCCAGACGATATCTCGGCTTTGTTGTCGTGGTTGTTCATGATTCCGCTTTAGTGCAGGCGCAGCTCGCCATCCACATCCTCCATCTTATCCAGCGCATCGGCAATGCGCGACCCATCTCCTTCGTACAAAAGCGAGTCGTAGACGGTGGCGCCCACGAAACAACCGACGACGGGAGCGAACAGGGGCACAACAAAGTAGTAGTTGGCAGCCGTGAAAACCTCCCGACCGTAGAGGATGGCGGAGAAGAGTCGGGGTCCAAAGTCGCGCGCAGGATTAATTGCCTAATTGACCCAATTAATTAGCCCTGTATTACACCCAAATACAGGATCGCAACCTACATAGCCCGTCTGCCAGCCCAGGGCAGCGCCAATGGCCAGCAGCAGCAGGAACATGGAGAGCTGGGGGGAATGAAAGCGGTGGGCGTTGGCCGGGTCGGAGACACTCAGCGAGCCAAACATGAGCACGGCCGATCCGAGAACTTCCGAAAAGACTGCCTCCCAATTGGAAGAGAAAAAGCTGGCGGGATAAGTGGAGAAGATGCCGGCCGAGTGGTGGCCCCGCGGACTCAGAATCGATCCCCCCGGAATTGTATACTCGGGATCCCAGTCGAGGATGGCCGACCGGTAGTTGATGTAGACAATGGCGGCGCCCACAAACCCTCCCAGAAACTGGGCCAACAGCTTGCCGGGCAATTTCCTCCACTGATCAGGCTGGGGACGAACAAAGGCCATCACGAGAGAAATGGCGGGATTGCTGGCGGGACTGGGGTCGGCAATGTAGCCGGACAAACAGACCGCGGCCGCCCACGCCAGGTTGATGGAGAGCCAGGTGCCATACTGGTAATCGGAGAGCAGGGCTTGGGCCACGACCCCGTCTCCGATCACGATTATAAGAGCAGTGCCGAGAAATTCCGCAACATATGGCTTGAAGCTGCGGCGCGAGAGTCCGGAGAGATGGAGACGCATCTTAGAACGAGGGGTCTAACCGTCAGCCGGATTGTCTTGATTTCTGAACGTCGAGTGTGAAAGAGGAGATATGGAAAGAGGACAGGACACAAGGGAAAAGGAAATTGTTACCGTGGTCCGTGGACAGCGTGTGGAGCAGGTGGGGGGATCGATGGACCAAGCGAGGGAGAGAGAGAAGAGAGAGAGAGAGGCAGGGAGAGATGTTTGGTGATGCCGTCATCGGCCTGGGTGGCTCCTCTGCCGTCCCTCACCGCTATCTTGCCTGGTGAGGTTTGTTCTGTTTGCATGAAGTACTCCATTCAACGAGATCAATCCACAGGAATCTACAATCCGATCACTCAATCATCACCTGCTGCACATTCGAAAAGAACTCCGGTCGAAATGGCTCCTCGTTTGCTTCCATACAATGACACCGATGCCTAGTTCATCGTCAGCAATCCACTCTCACAGCGGTGCAAGAACATACCAGCACATCCCCCGAAAGATCATCGCCAAACAAGCATCCCGAATCTCAGTAGATGAGATCGCCTCATACCCAACAACCTCATCACAGGGCACAAGAACATCAAAATCACTCTCCAAGTCCGCCGAGAAGACCCCATTCGCCAACATCACCGCGCGCCATCTCCCTCTCTTGCGCACTCCCTCCTCAATGACATGCCAACACTCAAAGAGCGCCTTCATAGTCCGCCGCCACATAGCAAACGGATTATGCGCTTGGGTGTGCGGCGCCGACCCATGCTCACCTTTCTCAGCCCCAACCACAAATTCCATCCACGCAGACACCAAATCCCAGTAAAAGGAGACATACGTCCCGACAGCGGGATCGCTGCGCTGCACGAACGCCACGAGCTCAGCTTCTACCCAGGAAATCCATTCATGAACAAGACGAAAGAACGCATCAGCCGCATGATTGGTCTCGAAACTGGTCCACATAGGACTCGCCCCTTGGCAGGCGACCCAAAAGTTCAGCTCCGTCTGTTTTCTTTCAGCACTCACTAGCGGTGCTACAGACTCTTGTCCCGAGAAGCTTTCTAATTCCATCAACGCCTCACAGATCTTATCCAACATGCGCGACTGCCCCGAATCCTGCTCACGCGTTTGACACACCCCCTCCCGAAAGATGTGCGCGATCTTCGGCCGCACGAACGGACCAACAAGGTACCGATGGGGCTTCGGTACCCTTACAGCATACATATCCGGCTCACTAATTATCGTACAGCACAGAGCAAGCAAGCAATTCGCCAGACTCTGTCTCGGAGGCGTCTCGTCATGCGTGCGAAGCCACATGCGCCTTACCAAACTCTCCCAGGCGGCATCCCCGTCGATAGCGATCGCCTCATCGAACGTAGGAAGGAGCTTGGGAGCCGGGGGGATGTGTCCGTAGAACATAGCCATTGTGCCACGGTGAATGTGGAATGTCTCGCGTCTGGGACGCTGCAGCCGGGGGGGTTTGGCTTCGCGTTGTTCGTAGCGTAGTTGGGGCGTTGTGTCCTCCGACACTGCTAGCGAATTACCGACAGCTTGGAGGCCGAGTTGGCTGAGGAGAGAGGGTCTGGGCTCTTTTGACTGCAGGAACGGCCCATCGCACCACTCGAGACCGAGAAGACGATTCAAGACCAGCAGGTCGCGGAGGGAGACAATGCCAGTCAGACTGCCTGACTGGCCCGAGAGATCGTCCCAAGTACAGGGTTCGAATCGGATGCAGATCCCGAATTCCGAATCAGAAGCCGAGTTTGCTTGCTGCTTCGTCTCGCTGCGAAGGACGACGCCCGCTTCGAGGGCGCGATCGTTCACCCTGGCAGTCCCAGTCCCCAGTGGCTGGTCGACTGTCTGGCCCCCTTGGCTATCCTTCTCCCATACCGCCCTCGTAGCCTGGCGATCATAAATCATCAAATGCCGCAAAAAGAGCAACCAAGAGACATGAACCGGGATATCTGCATCAGCATCACCAGCCTCAAGATCGCCCATCAACCCACGAATGCGCATCGACCTCCCCACATACTGTGCCCGCCAAGCTCGATCCCGTCTGACTGATGGAATCAAATCGTACAAGCTCCAGCTCCAGCTCCACTCATCCTTCAAATCTCCCTCATTCCCCGGACGAGCTGGTCGCGGCGATCCCAGGTAGATCACTGGCCGGACAAACGTCACCTCGAACCGGAACTCCCGCCAGACATATCGCCGGTGACGAAACCGCGACCATTCCCCAATATACCGTCTCGAGCAGCGGTTGTAGCCTTGCGCGGTTGCAAAGTACTGCTGCAGGAGTTGGAGGATGGTCACGCTTAAAGCGTTGAGGGAAACGATGAAGGCTGTGAGGGCGATGGAGTCGCTCGAGGAGAGCATGTTTGCCTGTACTATCGGGGTGGTGTTGACGAGATGTCAGTTGTCGAAGTGAATGATGGGAAGTTGGCTCATCTCATCATAAAAATAAGAGATGCGCCAGCATGATGACAAGTTGCATTTCATGTGTCAGCCCTTGTCCCCAGGTTGTGTAAGATTGGACGCCTTTGAAGCCAGCCCGACTCAGCTGCTTGGCGTATTACAGCTGCCTGATTGGACCAGCATTGATGTGCATGATAGATACGGCTGCGGCTGTGGCTGTGGCATCAGGGGTGGCAATTACATTACACTAAGTATCTAGGCCAGTCGCCCGGTTTTGCATCCCGGTTATTAGAAGATAAGATGAGAGTCTCGATACCGATTTCGATTGTCATTACTGTTTAGGGTAGAAATTATAATTGCCACTCGATGTAGTTTCGCGTGCCAGATGACCTGCTATTCAGAGTCTCAAAAAGGATCGCTCTCAGACCGCATACACCCGCCAGAGTAAGAAAGGAATGGATCCAGCCCAGAAGTGATTTAGAGTGGAACAAGCCGCTAGAATGATATTCGAAGTACGAAGTAGATCTGACCACCCAAGTATTTTGCGGGAAGCTCTCTTGATTCTGCAATCGAGTGTTGGGCTAATGTGAAGCATCGACCAGCGCCTTGAAAGCCTGGAGCAGGTCATCTTTCAAATCTTCCCAGTGCTCAAGACCAATGCTGAGCCGCAGCAACTTTCGATCAACCCGCGAATCCGAAAGAGCGCGCCACTCAATCAACGACTCTACACCGCCTAGACTAGTCGCATGCTGAAAGAAGCTCAGCTTGCTCGGCAAGCTCCGTGCAAATTCCTCCTTCTTGAGCACGATGGCGAAGACCGGGCCGAACCCATTGGGCATTTGCTTCTGCAGCCACGGTTCGTCCTGCAGACTAGCATGATAAATTGTGCTTACGACAGCCTGCACGATACTTTCCTCGCTCCCTGGCACAGGGTTGGGAAACTTGGAAGATTGATCCAGCCATGAGACGAGTTTGCTGCAGGTCTGACTCGCCCGCTGCACACGGACTTCTAACGTCCGCAGACTCCTGACGCCCAACCAAGCCTCCAGGTTCCCAATGACATTGCCCACGGCCAAGCGATCTTCGATCAGTTGCTTCTTCCATTTCCCGTTTCGGGTAGCGAGGACTCCACATAGCATGTCGCTGTGCCCTCCGAAATACTTGGATCCAGAGTGTAAGACGAGGTCAGCTCCCCATAGAAATGGGTCTTGTAAGCCCGGCGGTGCAAACGTGCTGTCGACGATGAGGTAGGCGCCGCGGGAGTGCGCCTTCTTGGCATATTCTTCTATGCTAAATGCGGTACCCAGGGGGTTGATAGGAGTCTCCAGCAAGATAACATCTCCTTCCTCCAAGCTCTCCGCAGGACAATCCAGGTCAAGCTTCTGCAGCCCGGAGAGACGAGATATCACAGCAATCACTTCATGACTACCATGGTACCCTTGGCCCACAGAGATGTGTCGCGGATTCAAAAGAGTCAACGCCGCAGTGAGAGCGGCGAGGCCAGTCGCGTAGCTGATAGCATGTCCTCCGATCAAACTGGTCAAGATGGATTCGAAGCGGGTCGCATTGGGAGCGAATTCTCGGGAGTAGACATAATTCTTGCCGTTGAACTCGTCCTTGAAGAGTCAGTGCCAGTGCGATAAGAAACAGGTCTTGCACTTACAACAGGATCTCCTGATGGAATCAATTCATCGGGGTTGTCGGGGTACCGAAATGTAGTGGAAAGATGAATTGGGGGGGCGACGTCGGTCACCAGATGCAGCGGGTCGTCTGCATGCAGCGCCAGGGTGGCAGGGTGAGCTTTGTGATTTGGAGTCATAGTTGGGGCTGGCAATTTCAGTGGTGCGAAAGTAAATGCCGGCCTGAAGCACGGAGCCTGTCTTGTACTTATATATCTTGTATACTTCTGGAGGTGGCGGCGAAGAACAGCCCCACTCCCCCCACTTTCCCGATGTGGTAAGATCGGTTCCGCACTGCACCTACAGCGCACGAGCCACAGAATGGCTGACTAAATCAGCAGCCAATCACGGCCCGACCGGCCGATATCCACAATCCACGAGGAGGAAATGCGGCTCTGACGGCGCTGATCCTGCCAGTGCCGCTGCAGAATTTTGGCCGCGTTGATCACGTTGACGCACTTGGTGCTCTCCCAGAATTGCTCAAGAGATCGGATGAGGAACTCTTGTTCCTCAGTCACTTGACATTCCAAGCCCGCAATACAGATTGGCCAGAGAGCGCATTTCAGGAGATTGTCGCTGTCACGGAGTGTCGCGATAGACTGCATCAACTGGGCCAGGAGCGCCGCAAGTGAAGTTTCCGTGTTGGATAGAGTGTCAAGAACCCGCTGCCCGTAGATTTGCGCTCCGAGCTTGTAGGACATAGCCAGCATGCTGAGGTCGCTGGTCGCATTCTCTGCTGCCGGGCCAAACCGCGGCAGGTTCACGGCCCACACCATACAGTCAAAGTCCGCAACCATCTGCACAACTGCAGCGACATTGTACTTGTGGTACTCTAGCGCCTCGTTATTAGAACAGTCGTGAACAGAGTCGCGGGAGAGTGATATGCATCGGATAGCCATCAAGAGGTATTCAGGGCAGCCAAGGAATGACTGTTCGACCATCTCTGTCTCTCGGCACAGCACGCGCTCAGGTTCCAACGGGCTCGAGTCTGTCAACAGATGCGGCCGCACAAAGGTGGCGCCAAGGGTCTCAATGCTGCTTTCCTTAGTCTCGGATACTGGAGAGCTAGCAGAAGGGACCTACAGGTAAATCTGGCTATTGATAAAATCCCTAATCAGTTTAAGCGTCTGCCCGGAGCCTTGAATGGCTTCGCGCAATCTCCCGGGCTGTTGTTGGCTGAATTTGATCAGCTTCTTAGCGCCTTCGAGGTGGAAATTCCACCGATCGCTTCCAGATTCTAATAGGTCTAGAAAAATCAAGAGAAACACGCTGGCAACGGTAGTATCTTGAGCGCAGAGCGTTGGGTCGCTCAAAGCAGAGGAGATCGCACGAATGGCGCGATGTTTGAACGCCAGGGCATCCTGGTGCACGGAAACATCAGTGGGAAGACTTTCTTCATCGTACGCTTGGAATGACTGGCCCAGATTCGCTCTGTGACGCGCTGCCAGAGCGAGGGCCGCCTTCAGCAAAGTCGAGTCACTCAGGGCTAGCGACAAGAGTTTGCGGAAGGGGTTATGATCGCTGTCGTAGACGATAAAGAGGCTGCAAATGCAGTCCTCGTCTGTGTTCAGTCATTAGAAGCGTGTCTGTGAAGGTGGTGAAGAGTAGCACTAACAGTAGCTCAAATAATACTTTGATCCGGAGTCTAAGCAGCAGAGCGAAGGATCTCCGAGGCCCAACGGGACCGCGAGATCATCTGGTAGATGCGTTTTAGTCAGACCCACGTCAAGGCGGCTATGTTCAGGATCTTACCTGTCTTGCTTATATCTTCTCGAGAGAGTTTCGGCCGTGCCAAGAAGGGAATGATGGCAGATTCCGCGGAAGGAGCCTCAGCAAGCTGGCTCAAAGATACGCCCTTTCGCTTGCCTCGGATGGAGATGCCTTTAACCCATCGGATGGGGCGCTTCTCAAGACATTCCACCCCAGCCTTTGTGCATTTTGCGCAGGGTCTGGCAGACAAGTCACATTGAACGCGCCGATAGCGGCAGGTGTAGCAGGGCTGGGATAGTGTCATTTGGTTGAGACATGGAGGATGAACAGTGAACAGTGAACAGTGATCGGTGGACGTCAGATTGTGGCCTCAGGCGATGACGCCCCGCGCCTCTCAAGGACTAACCGCTTTGAGAGTGGTAGTCAGGTGACCGTCTATCGATATTCTGCCGCTTACCGCCGCTTCCCGATCAACAGCCGAGAAGATGTGAGGGCCTGGGAGTATCTGGAGTAAACAATACATGAAACCCTGGCAGTGCCGTCTCGAGAGTCGACTATACAGGCAAAAATAGCCCTGGTGCATGAAGGGTGGGAGGGCTGTTGGTGGAATACCATTATGGTTGAATTGAGCCAAACTTCGACAGCCCTTCGAAACATGCTGCCACTGCAGTGCGCTACTACTTGTATAGAGCTGTGCGGCAGCGAAAGCACCCCAGGGAACACTGCGGTTCTTGTCGCATCCCGACCGCGAATAACCAAGAGCTCATGGTCATTGCTAGCGCGGAAATTGCGGTATGGGATCACAGAAGCCCGGTCAAGCGACCAGCGTAGCCCGCAGGACCACCAGCTCAACGCATGGGGCATTACTAGCTACTCAATCCAATGCAGAGCTACACGAAGGGCAGCAACAGCACAACAACTGAGTACGACTCCGCACACTGCCCTGCTGAAGAGACAAAATGCCTTGACCCACCCCTGCAGATTGCATTGCGTGCTGGACCGATAAGAGTGCAAAATGGGCTGATAACGCGATGGCAGCCATTGTTATCCCACGCCCTCTTGATCCTCTTCCCCCTCTTTCTCCCGTCCTAACCCTGCAACTTGAGCCACCGGCAATATATCCGTTCCTGCAGACTTCAGATTAATTCAGATTACATGTTGAGCCTAATGCCCCATCAGGTTTAAGCTGCACAATGTCTCTGGACAGTGTGTGAGACCTGGGCTCCACTGCGGGCGCGGGCCCGACGCTGTCCGACGGAGGAACGAGACACTCCGCCTCTGACTATCAATCAGCAAGTGCACCCTCGCCAATTCCCCTGCAGATACCACCAACGAAGTGTAATCTTCCCCGAGCGAGGCGTGGCACAGGGTTGCATTGTGCACACCATGACCGGCGCATTTCCTGCTGTCTTTGCGTGGCCCCTGCGGCGACCGACTGGGCCCGACATTTTCATAAATGGCTCGCCCTCCCCCGCGACTTGTCTCCCGGTCGATCGTGTGATTCTTTATCTCCTCAATCGCTTGGGTGTACTGGCGCGCGGATACAGCGATCATGCGGTTTCAATTCCCTGCCAGTGTCGTGGCCGTTACGGCCCTGTGGGCGTCGCTTGCTGCGGCCATTCGTCCTCCCCGTCTGGCCCCGCGTCCGGTCACTGCCACGACGCAAGCCACCGTGGTCGAAAACACGTTCGAGCAGTTGATCGACCATAGTGATCCTTCGAAGGGCACCTTCTCCCAGCGCTACTGGTACAGTACGCAGTATTGGGGTGGACCAGGCTCCCCGGTTGTCCTGTTCACCCCCGGTGAAGTCTCCGCCGATGGATACCAGGGATACTTGACCAACGAGACCTTGACGGGCGTGTATGCGCAGCAGCTGCAGGGCGCCGTGATTCTGGTCGAGCGTGAGTCGATGCGCCCGAATCCAAAGCGTTCTCTCGCTGACAACCGACAGATCGTTACTGGGGAGGCTCATCTCCCTACACCAACCTCACTGCCGAAACACTCCAGTATCTCACGCTGGAGCAGTCCGTTCTGGATCTGACATACTTTGCGGAGAACGTGCAATTGGGATTTGCTGCGAACGGCACCAGCAGCAACGCGCCCCATGTGGTAAGTGGCGTCTCGGTTCTCATCAGTATGTATCGGGATGATCCCCGCTGACCGTCGCAAGCCCTGGGTGCTTGTCGGTGGCTCGTACAGTGGTGCCCTGACGGCGTGGACCGAGCGTCTCGCGCCTGGCACGTTCTGGGCCTACCACGCGACCAGTGCCCCGGTGGAATCGATCTACGATTTCGTGAGTATCCTCATTCCAACCTCTTCGGGGCAGATAACACTGACCAAACAGTGGCAATATTTCCGACCCATCCAGCAGGGCATGGCCTCGAACTGCAGCAAGGACGTGTCGCTGGTGGCCGAGCACGTCGATGCGATTGGCAAGAGTGGGACTAAAGCCCAGCAGACCGAGCTGAAGAAGATGTTCGGCCTGGAGGCGCTTGAGCATTTCGACGACTTTGCCGCGTAAGTCTGCCCGGATATCGTATATTGTAACCGTGCACAGCAGGCAAACTAACAGCCCAGTGTCCTCCCCATCGGTCCCTACCTGTGGCAGGACAACACGTTTTACACCGGCTATTCGGACTTCTTCGCCTTCTGTGATGCGGTGGAGGTGAGCGGAGCCCTACCATAACCACCTCATCCTGACCAGACTAACAACAAACCCAGAACGTGGCAGCCGGTGCCGCTGTGACCCCCGGCGCCGAAGGGGTCGGTCTCGAGAAGGCGCTGAAGGGCTATGCCGAGTGGTTCAAGAACGAAGTCTTCCCAGACTGTAAGCCATAACCCGCGCAAAACGAGCAACGAGCGCGAGGCTAACTTCCTGCGCGTCCCAGACTGCGCATCGTACGGCTACTGGTCCGACGAGTACAGCGTCGCCTGCTTTGACACGTACAACGCCACCAGCCCTCTGTTCACCGATACCTCCGTCGACAACGCCGTGGACCGGCAATGGGTCTGGTTCCTCTGCAACGAGCCCTTCTTCTGGTGGCAGGAGTAAGTAACTAGTACCGCTCTTTTGTCTCAGATCCTCAACTCAACTAACGCCACCCACCAGCGGCGCCCCCGAGAGCGAAACAACCCTCATCCCCCGCCTGGTGAGCGCCGCATACTGGCAGCGACAATGCGCCCTCTACTTCCCCGAGGTCAATGGATACACCTACGGCAGCGCCCAGGGCAAGAGCGCATCCACCTTCAACGCCTGGACCGATGGATGGGACATGACGGGCAACACCACGCGCTTGATCTGGACCAACGGGTAAGTCCGCCCCCAGCCCTTTTCTCACCGGAGAGTGTCCCGCACGTCTATATAAGTCCAAGTCGCATTGATTAACGCCCGCCACAGTCAATACGACCCCTGGAGAGACGCGGGGGTCTCGTCGACCTTCCGCCCGGGCGGCCCCTTGGTCAGCACCTCCCAGGAGCCCGTCCAAATCATCCCCGGGGGGTTCCACTGCTCGGATCTGTACATCACCGACGCGGAGGTCAACGCGGGTGTGAAGAAGGTGGTGGCCAACGAGGTCGCCCAGATTGCCGCCTGGGTGGCGGAATTCTATGCATGATACTGTAAGACTATCTGGCCGTGTTGGAAGGCAGCCGGATCGGTTTTGAAGAAGTGCAGATAACCACATAACATACAATGTATATATAGCCAGTGGAATGCAAAGAACTGGTTAGTTAATGATGAAACAGTCACAATACTAGCTCCCAGAGACTGAAAATCGAATATGGCATCGCCAGGCCCACCGTACCCTAGTCCTTGCAGAAGAAGCCCCTGGGGTATGGAAGGTGGTGTGATGGATGTTTTATGTTTCATGGATCATCATCCTTAACGATATGATTATTGTGCAGTAACAAGTACATAGATGATTATATTCTGACTCCCAGCTCAACCATCTCCAACCGACCTCCGTCCTAAACTCAGCCCGAAGCACCCGACGTGCAAGTGACCCCCAATCTTGACGGGGTGTGGGCATACAGCACCTGCGACTTGCCCGAGGGAGCCTTGACGCTCCAGTCGCTGATGGTCACATCGCAAGTGCCGCCCGATCCACAGTTCAGATTGGCCGTGGTAGAAGCATACTTGTTGCTGTGGTGCCGCGGAACCCGGTCACCGTGATATCGATCAACTTCGCATTGCCCGGGTGGGTCATGCATTACGCCGGGGTGCAGACAGCGCGCGGACTGAGTTGCACGGGGGAGGGAGCAGCCCTAACCAGGCCAATGCCGGCCAGCAGCAAGAAGGTCCAGTGGGGGGGTGTCATTCTGGTGATTGGGAAATGAAGTAGAAGAGGTGCAAGGGATTGATTATATAGTAGGTATATAAGCTATTCGCGTCAGTAGTGTGGGAACCAATACGCTTGTCGCCGGGATGGGCGGATGCGACATGACGCTATTTTCATAACGGCCAACACCCGCTCCTGTGATGTCTCAGCGTCTCATTTCGGGGCACCGCTCCGTCGAAATCAGGAGATGACGTGACATGTGAATGCGAGACAGGAGAGGGTCTGGCTGGCCAGAGACTGCAGCCTTGCTGCAGCCCTTCCTCTCAAGGGTGCGTCCACATGGGGAGAGTTGAGGGGGTTCACTTGCGGCTCATTCGGAGGTAGGTGGTCAAAATAGTGGTCCTGGGTCCTACATACTCCGAGTTCACTTGAGTGCCGGCTCCATTCCGGCTAACTATAAACTCCCTAGACTACCTAGACCCTGGTGAACTGCGATAAGTGGGGTGTCTGAGACTGAGTCAGTTCAGCCAGGCCCACAGCGCAGTCCGGCGTTTCAGCTGTCCGCTGCCACCCCGGATCATTGTCAGGGGCACTCCAGCTTTTGCAGAATCAATCTGCCGGGTGTCGCTATGGGGTTCAGAGTTCCTCAGTCATAGCACGATAGGAGGTGGAAGATCGACAGAAAGCTGCAGATGTGGGTCTGGTGTCAATCTGCTTTAGGGCGGGCGGATCCAGGTATATTATATGTATGATCTGCCTCCTCCGTAATCGCCAATTGAATGATCAACAGCCCGGAAATCAGCACTTTGCAATCCATCTTTCCTTCACATTTGTGGTCATGCATTTCTCCTCTGCTGGGATCGACCTGGGGGGATTGGGTTGACCGGAAACATTAGTGTAGGGGTTGTTGTAGGGGTGGAGAGATCTCTGTATAAGTCACGATTCTATTTGAATCTACTGTAAGATACATATATTTACAGGGGAGCTGATAAATATCATACTGGGAGGGCTGAAAAAACTTATTTACTATGCTCGTAAGTACATCAGTTGTACCTAGTTGCCACGCTGCAAATGCTCAGTGTGGAGGAGTTGTCCCAGTGATCAGTGTTATGGCCCTGGTATGAGGTGCAGTGATAGTAGCTCACCGGGCGATATAGCAACAACAACAAGAAGAACAACAACTGAGATGGACTCCTTACACTGGGGATTGAAAGGGACCTTTCCGATTGATCTCTGTGCTTGCCTCCGGACAAAGAATAGCCTCCTGTGAAGCAAAGCGTATAAATGGCTACCTGCGCTCAGCTGAGTATAGATACTCAACCACACCATGTTTGGCATCTCCGACGAGGTTGTATGCGTGGTTATGGCAGTGATCATGCAAGTCAACGACCGATATGTCGCGCCTCAGTTGCGACAACACTTCTCGCGCAATCGAACCGAGTGTCTTCTCTTCCTGGGATTCGTGTCCGGCCTCCTCACGAGGCACTTGCAGTTTGGCTACCTGCTGTACAAGATCTACGAGCTCTGTGATGACACCTCCGCAGACACCTCCGATCGGGCGTGGTGCGCTGCGCATCGTCACGCCCCTCTGCCGCAGACTATGCTGGAGGCGTTGAACGACATCGTCATCAATGGGAATCCGCCATACGCCGCACAGATTCAGTGGCTATTGGTGCAGGGCTACACGAAGGAGGCGGTGTTTGTGTGGGGCGTCGAAGCGTATACCGGGTTATTCTTCTGGTTCACGGCGTTTGAGAGCCTTTACACGCGGCGGTGAAGGGGTGGAGAAGGGTCCTGGAGTCGATGCGCAAAGCCTAGTGGTCTACAATGTCCGGCATCGAGCGCAATGAGAGCAGCGAGAGGAGGTTTTTCCCTGTAGTACCAATGAAGAAATGAGCTTCTGGTGCTTGGACTCATCGATCTCTATCGTGCAATGAACCAATCCATTTTCTTTTCTTTCCTAGTACTGGATTGAAGTATTTCTAGTACACCATCGTCTGGCGTGGGCAGCTCGATGAATCATTGACATATAGGCTAGGAGTAGCGGGCAATCTGTGATATTGTGTCAACCAGAGATATTCCACTCTTTGGCATAGATTCATGTAGAGCAAGCCACAAGCTTTTCTGGTCAGATCAGGAGATCTCCTTGAACCAGCGAAAGTAACCCCCTCATCAACCTTTTTAACGGAGGTTTCCATGTAAATTTCCGTCCAGCTATTACCAGCAACCCTCCTTGCTGTTGAACAAGGAACATATATATAAGTACTTTTCTATGCCCTCTCACGCAGAGAAACCCCAATCAAAATTGCCCCACCACATTGACAAGCTCTCATTGACCACGTCACACTGAAGTGCTTCAGCCCTAAGCACCGTCTTCACCTGACACGATGATGTGGCGAATGGCCCCCCGCCCTAATTTCTCGGAACCGACTGTCGAACCCACTGTCGATCCGCAGCCGTGGGACTCCGAATACAACTTCCACTGGGACGATCTCCAAACGCAGCTGGTGCTTGCCATTCTTCTCGCGCTCGGCGCCGTGATACTTCGTTGCGCTCTCCGCGTGGATTGGGTTGAGATCTTCAGAGAGTATCCTGGAAGCTGTCTTCTCCTCTTGGTTCTGGTTTGTTCGTATTGCTATCTACTCCATCTTTATTTCCAAGCAGAGCAAGGATTATAAAGCCTTGTTTCGAGATAAGAAGTAGACGTGACTGTTAGTTTTGAGCAGATGGTGAATTAGTGATGAAGGGGACGTCGTCGCGAAAAGTGCATTTTCATAATGGCGGCGATAGGCTGCCCTACGATGCCTTGTCCATCAATGCAGGCTCTGGTTGATCGACTACGGCCCTCGCTCAATAACGCAGAGCCTCTTTTTATCGGTCCGGGGTCTCGCTGTGCAGATTCACCGTCGATTGTTTCTCAATAAAAATCAGATTTATATCCCGGAAAGTCATCTGCAAAGTACCTCCCCAGCCGGCTGGCGTATGGTATATATGAGATCAGTAACTAAACTACCAAATCAGAGGTGGTCTGCTCGGATGCACATCTGAATGGAGCATCCGAGGTGCACAACTCCACCACATCCATCCACTTTGCTCCACCTGCTTAATAATTGCCTCGATGGGGCACAGAAAGTGAGGCCTCACCACCCCAATTGAAGTCAACTATTTAGTCTAATATGTAGCCAATTATGCCATACCAGCTCCTCGTAGAGTCACACCCCAGTCAACCATAATGAAGCAAATCATCAACCTCCCCGGCCCCAGCTGCAAGCTGATCGACTCGCCAATCCCCGCCATCAACGATGACCAGGTGCTGATTCGCGTGGTGGTGTCCGGGTCGAACCCCAAGGACTGGAAGATGCCTGAGCTGGTGAGCTCCGACGACTCGATGTTCGGGGAGCGCTACGCGCACCTCAAGGACGGGGTGAACCAGGGCGATGATATCGCCGGGGTGGTGGAGAAGGTTGGCCGGAATGTGTATGAATTCAAGGTGGCTTTCCCCGTCGTTTCCAGCTCCTCTTGCGATTCGCAGGATGCTGACAACTTGACTGATGTGTATAGCCCGGAGACCGCGTGGGCGCCTTCCACGAGATGATGGAACCCGGTGGTTCGTACGCCGAGTACGCGGTGGCCTGGGCGCATACGACCTTCCATCTGCCGGAGAAGGTGTCTTTTGAGGGTAAATTCCCAGCCCAGCCCTATCTCAGACAATAATAAATACTAACACCCCCCCAGAAGCAGCCACCATCCCCCTTGCAGCCCTAACCGCCGTCGTCTCACTCTACCACCACCATCGCCTACCCCTCCCCTGGACTCCTCCCCCTCCCCCTACTGCTGCTGATGCTCCAAGCTCGAAGCAACATCGCATCCCCCTCCTCATCTACGGCGGCAGCACCGCCGTCGGCGCCTTCGCCATAAAACTCGCCCGCGCCAGCAACATCCACCCGATCATCGCCGTCGCCGGCGCGGGCGCTGGCTACATCTCCCGCTTCCTGGACGCCAGCAAAGGCGATGCGATTGTGGATTACCGAGAGGGTGCGACGGCGACGATCCAGGGGGTGAAGGATGCGCTCGCCCGCCGTCCCGCCGCCGCCGCCGCAGCAGCAGCAGCAGACCCCCCGCTCATGCATGTCCTCGACACGATCGTCACCGAAACCAGCTCCGAAGTCATTCGTAACGTGATCCACCCCGGCGGCCAGGTGAATTACGTCCTGCCCTGTCCGTACGATATCTCCCCCGGAGTCAAGACGAATACCTGGGTGAGTAGTGCGCATCAGATCGGGGGGGACGAGGATGCGCGCGATCTGTGCTTTGTTTTCTGTCGCTGGTTTGGGCGCGCCTTGGCCACGGGGGCGTTTGAGGGCCATCCGTTTCAGGTGCGCGAGAAGGGGTTGTTGGGGGTCGAGGGGGCGATGCGCGATTTGAAAGATAATAAAGCAAGTGCGGTGAAATATGTCTTTCGTGTGGGAGAGACGCCGGGGTTGTAGTGGGGAGAATGTTTGTGGTTGGGTTTGTTTAGAGATAGACTTGCGGAATTGCAGCTTTCAAAGAATGTATTAATGTTATAGCTTCGATTTTCTGGTTTGGAGTGAGAGGTGATTGTTAAGGAATGACTACTGTGGTGAGCAGTATTCAACGCACCACACAAGAATCGAGCGCTAATTAAAAAAATTTATCATTATTTGAGTATCTCTTGCAACGCTATCTATTACTTGATGTCCTATATACATACAGTTCACCACTCCTCACGAGTCAAAGATCGACGGCTTATACACCGAAGGATCGATATACGGAGTGCCGCCACGACGCGTGAAGCCCCACCGGATCTGACTGGCCATCGCAATCTCCACATCCAGATGCTGCGCGAAGGTCCAGGCCAAGCCGGGATCCTTCTGGAATCCACGACCCACCAGGATCACATCAATCCCATCCTGCTGAATGATCTCCTCGGCTTGGCGGCCGTTCGTGATCGCCCCGACAGCGGCCACGAGCAGCTTGTCGCCCACCGCCTTCTTGACTGCGGCCGCGAAGGGAACCTGGAAGCCCGGCCCGGACTTGACCTTCTGCGCCGCGTGCACACCACCCGAGCTGATGTCGATGAGGTCAACCGCCCCCTGCTTGACCAGCTCCTGCGCGAACTTGACCGTGCAGTCGTTGTTCCAGCTCTGCTCGGGGAGGACCTCCTCCAGCCAGTCGGAGGCGGAGATGCGGAGGAAGATCGGCATCTTGGGACCGACGGTGTCGCGAGTCAGCTGAGCGATCTCCAGAGACAGACGGATGCGGTTCTCGAACGAGCCGCCGTACTCATCGGTGCGGTTGTTGACCGCAGGCGACAGGAACGACGACAAAAGATAGCCGTGGGCGTTGTGGATCTCGATGAAGTCGACACCGACTGCGACCGCCCGCTTGACGGCGGCGACCCAGTCGTTCTTGAACTGGACAATCTCGTCCTTGGTCATGGCCTGGGGCGAAGGGAAACCGTCGGCGAAGGGGATGTCGCTGGGTCCCTTCACGTTGTCGGGCCATCCGCCAACCTTCTCCGTGGCCACCATGGCGAATGAGATCCAGGGAGCGACGGTGCTGGCCTTGCGTCCGGCGTGAGCCAGCTGGACTCCGATCTTCTGGTTCTGGCTGTGCACAAACTCGACGACCTGGCGCATGGGCTCAATCTGCGAGTCCTTCCACAAACCCACGTCCTGGGGAGTGATGCGACCGTTGGCCTGCACGGCCGTCGCCTCAATCATCATCAATCCGGGACCGCGCTGGGCGATCGAGCCCAGGTGGGCAATGTGGTAGGGCGTCATGTGGCCATCTTGGGCACTGTACTGGCAGAGGGGAGCAAGCTAAAAACCAAAATGTTAGCTCGGACTATGCATGCGACTGGCAGTTCCGGCTTCAGTCAACTTACCCCCAGGCGGTTCTGGAAGGTGACGCCGCGAATGGTCAAGGGCTGGTAGAGCTTGGGAACGGGCTTGCCGCTCGTCTGAGGATTGGCAGCCGTACCGGCGGGGGGATCCTGCACGGGGGTGAAGTAGGAAACCCCCGGAGCGGGCGCGTTATCAACGTCGGGATGAGAAACGGTCATTGTGATGATCGATGGTACTAGGTGAATATGTCACTCGAAAGCCGATCAGACCTCGGGAGCATGATTCGCGTCTTCTTTATATGGCGAGGATAGAATCGGTTGGAAACATGATTTGAAATCCAAAGTGGAGATGTCAATCGCTGGAAATTCGGCATTGAGGGTGGTTTTTGGTGGAGTAGGACTCGGAGCCCCTCGATCATCCTCCCCCCTTTCAGTTTAAGTCTCCGAATCCATTGGCGATCGTCTGATTATGTCGGTTTGTCAGCATCATAATTTGTGCAGACCAGCCGATGACGGTGGAGCATCTTCCGAAATCCCATCAATCACAGCCCGTGCCTGAGCAGCCTCTGATGCAAAGTTTGCCCGAGGCAAAAAACCGTCGCCCCACTGTGGCATTCGTCAGGGCGCTGGGCAAGTCCTGCATTTTCGAGTCAAGAATTTTGGTGGTTGTATCGATTCTATCGAATGTCTCCGATGCTCCACCGGCTGTTGAAGAAGTGGTTGCAGGGGGCCTAGCAACATCATCCACTAGCACTGTGCCACGGTCAGAACATAATTGACAGATTGACAAATCAAAGTGTTAGCTCTGTCTAGAGTGTGATGGCTTGTGACGAAAGCAGTGGGCATCAAGGATCATGCCATGCCGAGATAAGATAGTGATGTCGCTGGCTGGTGGGGTGCGATTGTGGCGGGAGGACGATGAAGAAAAAGAAGTCAAAAGACCGAAGGAGATGGGAAGTCATGTGATGACAGCATGAGTTGAAGACTCGCCGTCAACTGGCCTCGGCAGATCGAGTGAAAGACGGGGATGTCGGAGGTCACGTGATATTCAACCACGCCACCCGTCAAGCCTTGATCGTTCTTTCGTAGGCTTGCAGTGTCTCACTGTCTCAGAAGCGTTTCCACGATTCGCATGGATGTGACTTCTAGATCAAAGAGTGTGTAGTAGTCCATCTGGGAAGTATGATATGAGGACATCTTGTCGTGCCCAATGTCCTTGAATATTCTAAGTGGCTGACAACAAGCAATGATCACGAGCTCAATACTGGGAGGGTGAAGGGTACGAATCTGAGCGCCAGTACTGGATACCTTGCTATCCTTGGTCGGACTTTCTCCCTGTTATCGGCGCAGGACACTTCGAGACTTGCATATATTCATGCTAGGAGATTCTCCTCCTGATGAACCATGATTCATTATTGATCAGATCTGATTCAATTGTAGCTGCTGGTTCCAAGACCTGCGTCATCGCTAAGACGATGCCCGTGGAGACGGGAGTGACAGGTTGCCCAGGGTTGGCAGGTCAATAGCAGATCCTCAGTGAGAAGTGGTTCGCCTTCTGTTGGATTGGTCAGAAAACCGATCTACTCCACGTGGCAGGTAGTCTCACCAAAGAATCCTTAGGCTCATATGCATTGTGCAGATCGTGGGGAGCCCATGGCTGCCAATTGGAGGGGTCTAGAAGGCGGATTGACACATATTTCAAGATATACCGTGTCATGCACAACCATTCGACTGTGAAGAGAGAATGCTCTGATATGTTACAAGGTGTCCAGGTTATTTGGGGTTAGTTCAGCAATAATGCAGGTGGGTGTTTCGAGCAGCATTCGTGTTCGCGGCATGCACCGGAATCACAACCCAGAGTCTCGCAAAGATAACGATTACGGATAAGAACAGGACTGGTGACTATTCTAGAGCACTGAAAGGCCTTCCATCGAGCAATCAGATGCACTTGTGACTGAAGGCAAGTCATCAATATTGTCCAACCCCACTGCCACGTGCAGGCCTGCTGCAGGATCTGCTAAAGCAAAGATAACCTTTGGCAACTCGTATCGCGGCTGGTGGACAGCGACTTTCTATGGATACCTCGAATCCTTTCAGCATGAACAGATACAAGAGCAGACCGAACTCGGCTAATCTTGCCTCGAGGGAATCCTACGACATTTCATACTTCTGACACGACAGCGGTTGCTTCAGCTCGACTCCCGCATGAATGTATCGCAGGATTCAGACTATACGAAGCGGGAAAATATATAGTATGAGCCATGTGTTCCCCTTGAAGACGCGAATGCAGTGGCTGTGTGTTAGACCAAGATCCCGCCAGTCAAGTACCACGTATGACCATCAAGTAAATCTAGTAGTTCTAGTTCTAGCGTAGTGTACTGTATGCTGGTTAGAACTCAGCCTCGTGCGCGTTAGTTGTCTGTGGAACCACGCAGAATAGCTGAGAAGACGTGATTGCAGGGGATAATTCATGAGCTCAGCTTGGTTCGCAAGTGCTTTGACACCACACAAGGATGGCCCCGAGTCTGATCATCAACCCAATCAACTCCTGGGTGGACATCCTGGGTGGACAATGCCCCTTCTAGACCCCAATGCATGATGGCTCACGACTGTCCGTGTCACACTCGGGTAATTGATGGCCAGTCTCTCTCCCCCAACCCGTTGGTGATTGGAACCTGGCTGTGAGTCTCTCCGTCACACGGTCAACGGGCAAGTCAGCTCTGGTACATACGCCGACAAAGTCCTTGTCACTTATCAGAAAGGCTTAGTCAAGTGTCCCATGGAAATGACGGTAGCAGATTTCGCAGGCTGTTGCATCGCCAGAATGTTTTGGAAAGTGAAACAGTGCAATGGAGATGGTGCTCATAGCATGATGGCAACAAAGCAACTTCAATGAATTTACTAATGCAATCATAATCATAACATAATGGCCCAGATGCAGCAATTAGGCATATACATAATACTAGCCCAGGCAGACACATTTACTACGTAGTAGATATATCTTGACCTCTTTATCCATGACTCCCCAAGATTTCCATACTACTTCATTCCATATTGCTTAGACTTGCTTGTTCTTGACCTTTCTTGCACCCCCGGGTTTGTCTGCGCGACTCGAGGATTGACTGTTGTTACCAGATGGCTTGAAGGGTGCCTTGATGCCTGAAATCAAATCAACTCACGGGCAGGAAGGAATCTTTTCCCGCCCGCCCCCTTTTTCCAAAAGCCTCCGCAGGCTAATTTCTACACTGCCCGCGATCACGCACGACATGAGTCAATTGTTGGATAAAACCGGGATTGACGACAAGTGGACGCTCAGACATGGATTCGGCCGATGCACCACCAAGTCTCCTTATCGGACGCGACGAACAGACAGCGAAAGACACGAATAGTGAGCGCCGGGTGAATTCATACCAGCATCAACTCCCGCACCAAACAACAACATCATTCTTTTCACGACCAACAATAAACCTATCTCCGCCCCAAAGAGCCACGCGACAAATGCAAGCCATCGGAATCCTCGCATCAGCTCCACTGATCATTCGCGGAATCCGCTACTGCGCCGTGGGGGCCAAACGGCCGGTGCTATCTGCAGCTCGTAGCTACGGGCCACGAGGCTGAGGATGAGCTAGCTCGGTGATAGTGAATCCTTCGCAACTTTAGCACCGATAGCATGACCTCCAATTCGAAGGCAATGCGGGAAATCCATTTACATGCGGAGAGAAACTATCCATCAGGATTGGACTCCGTCGAAATAGATCAGACGATGGAACGAACGCCTTGGTTCTAAGCGAGCGGCGTCTTTTCGACGACCCAGGCGGTGCTGAACCTGCGCTCAGCCTTTCTGTGTTCCCGAGGGCCAGTGCTCAAATCTCGGGCTGGTTCAATGACCTGAAAATCCTACTTGTCTCGCCCCAAGTCCTCCTCCGTGTCAAGGGATTGAGTCTGGTGGGAACCTTGTCTGTCAGATTTTGCTTTTCCCTCGCTGTCACGAATGATCGACCTCGACTTAGCCGCGGGACAAGTCCCCATGGCTGTTGACACGGATGCCCAGCGCAAGCTGGCGCGCATATTACTCATTGAGCTCATGGCGTAAGTGATGACACGGGTTGACGTGTAATGGCTGCGAAAAGATCAGCAGGAGAGCTGATCTCTGGATGTTTGCCACCTCTAGGTCCCAGTTTGCCTCACCAGTACGATGGATTGAGACTCAAGATGTCATTCTTTCAAACCAAGAGTGCGACAAGATCGTCGAGATTGGACCCAGTACCACGCTCGTGGGCATGTTTCAGCGAACAGTCACCAGTGCTCAGTATAAGACACAGGAGAGCACCAGAGTCAAATCGCGAAAACTCTGGAGCTCCGAGAGAGACACCAAAGACATTTACTATGAACACACCCCGGCTGCCCCAGAGGTCAACCCCAAGCAGGTGACCCAGACAGAAATCAACTCGAGTACGGTATCCCCACCGGTGGAAACTCGGATAGAACCTGCAGTGGTCCCAGTGGCGAACTCCGAGCTCGCAACTCCCAAGCCAGCCCCAATTGAGCTGGAAGACGTGGCCGTCCCGGTGCGCGATATTGTGACAACGATACTGTCTCGAGCGCTGAAAAAGGCGCCGTCTGAGATAGACGAGACTAAGTCCATCAAGGCTCTGGCTGGTGGTATGTTCATGATCTAACCATCATCACCCCCTCCCCCCCTATTCTTGAAGCGCTTGAAGTACTGACGGCATTTCTAGGCCGGTCCACACTGGAAAATGAGATTGTCGGGGATCTCCAGGCTGAATTTGGCTCGCTTCCAGAGCGCGCAGAAGACGCTCCTCTCAGCGAGGCGTGGCAGGCAATCCAGTCACATCATGCCGGAACGCTGGGGAAAGTGTCCACCGCCTTGATCAACTTGCTGTTCACTTCCAAGTTCCCCAGCGGTTTCACAACCGCCGTCGTGCGAGATCGACTCAATTCGCAATGGGGGCTCAAACAAGGAAGACAGGACTCCTGCCTTCTGTTGGCGGTCACGACGCAGCCGGCCACACGAATGGCTACCGAATCAGACGCCAAGACGTTCATGGACAGCGTGGTTGAGACTTACGCCTCGAGGGAGGGCATCACTCTGGGCCCATCCCACCCCGCGGGGGACGGGGGCTCAGCTCCCTCGGTCATGCTCGATTCAGAGGCTGCTCGCGCGCTCTCGGAGTCACAAAAGGCTCTGTCCAGACAGCTCCTCGATCTCTACGCAGCACACGCCGGCTTGGATCTGGGCGAGGACCGACGTGCACTGAACACCCTGCGCCGTGACATCGAAACCAAGTTGCAAGCTGAGCTGGATTTCTGGGCCGAAGAGCTTGGATCAGACTACACCAACGGAATTCAGCCCCGTTTCGATGCTCGCAAGGTTCGATCGTACGATTCTGCGTGGAACTGGGCCCGCCAGAGGCTTCTTGAATTATTCGACCTGGCCACCTCTGCGCAGCGGGGAGACAATATCGCCTTCGACCGCACGAGTGTGCTGCAATCCTGCTACGCAATCGCCAATGCCGCAGACCAGACTCTGATTCCTGTGCTGAACGAGATGTTGACGAAATTGAGCGATACTGCGTTGCGCTCCATCTTCATGAATCTCGAAGCATATTGCAAGCACACAGTGGAGTTCGGACCACTGCTCAAGGGGCCCCCCAGACAACTAGCGCCTCGCACTACCGTTGCTGAGGATGGAAAGATAGAATACATGGAGAAGGAACGCGACGGAGGAGTCTCATTTGCAGACCTGGCCATCCCTACCTCGGAGGAGGATGGACTCGTCCCCTTCTTGCATTTGAGGGAAAAACAGGCAGATGGATGGCGGTACAGTCGCACCTTGACCACACAACTCCATGACGCCCTCACTCGACTGGAAGGGGAAGGCTCATCCTTCAGCGGGCAAACCGTGCTGATTACCGGTGCAGGGATTGGCTCTATTGGGGCTGCGATGATCGAGCTGTTCCTACATGGAGGAGCCAGAGTCATCGTCACCTCCTCCTCCCTCTCTCCGGAGACGGCCCGGAAGTATCAGTCAATCTACATGGACCACGGGGCCAAAGGCTCTCAACTCATTGTCGTTCCATTTAACCAGGCCAGCGTTCAGGACGTGGCCTCGCTTGTCGAGTACGTCTATTCGCCGAGCGGTCTCGACTGCGACGTCGATTACCTGATTCCGTTCGCTGCTATCAGTGAAACGGGCAGGAAGCTGGACTCCATTGACTCGAAGTCTGAGTTGGCGCACCGTCTCATGCTAACCAACGTGCTCCGTCTACTGGGAACTCTGAAGACATACAAAGAGAAAAGCCACTACGATACAAAACCTGCCCAGGTGATCCTGCCTCTGTCACCAAATCATGGAGTCTTTGGTGGCGATGGTCTGTATGGCGAGTCCAAGCTGGCATTAGAGACCTTGTTTGACCGGTGGCACTCGGAGGGCTGGCAGGACTACCTCTCCATCTGTGGTGCGGTGATCGGTTGGACCCGAGGCACCGGGTTGATGAACCAGAATGACCTTGTCGCCGAGGGCATCGAATCCGCCGGCATGCGCACCTTCTCCCAGGAGGAAATGGCCTATGCTCTGGTCGGCCTTTGTGTGCAGTCGATCAGTGAGCTCTGTCAGGAGCAACCCCTGTACGCGGATCTGACCGGCCGAATGGCCGAGATGCAGAGCCTACCGGAAAAACTGCGCAGCCTGCGTCAGGAGCTTACCGAACGCAGCGAGATTCAAGCTGCCCTCCTCGCCGAGTCCGTCTTCGAGCAGGAATGTTCGACCGCCGCCACCCCCCGAAGTGAGCCCCAGCCGACCCAGCCGGAGCAGAGAGCACACGTCCGCCTAGACTTCCCTAAGCCGCTTGATTACGAGCAAGACATCCACCATCTCCACGCGGACCTTCATGGAATGGTGGACCTAGATCGCACGGTGGTGGTGACCGGCTTCTCCGAGTTGGGACCTTTGGGGAATGCTCGCACGCGCTGGGAGATGGAGGCATATGGCCGATTCTCCCTCGAAGGCACCATCGAGATGGCCTGGCTCATGGGCTATATCCGCCACTATGCCGGAACCATCGACGGTGCGCCTTACTCGGGATGGGTGGATGCCGAGACCAAGAAGCCCGTCGCAGATGTTGATGTCAAAGCCTTGTATGAAGAGCGGATCCTGAGCCATACCGGGATCCGTCTCATCGAGTCAGAGCAAAAGCCCTTCCTGCATGAGGTTATATTGCAGGAGGACCTGGAGCCCCTGCAGGTGCCTGAGGCTCTCGCGCAGCAAATGAAGTCCGAGCATGGAGCCTTCGCCGCGGTACGATCATCCGCTACCCCAGATCTATGCACGGTTCAGCTGCTTAAGGGTGCCCGACTCTTCATCCCTCGCGCAATGCAATCGAATCAGCCGGTTGGCGGACTCATTCCCACCGGCTGGGATCCTCGGACATACGGGATCCCCGAGGAGATTGTGTCCCAGGTCGATCGTGTCACGCTCTTCACGCTGGTGTGCACGGTCGAGGCGCTGCTGTCATCAGGCATCACTGATCCATACGAGCTGTACCAGTACATGCACGTCTCCGAAGTGGGAATCTGTATTGGCTCGGGCATGGGAGGAGTGACGTCTCTCGAGAAAATGTTCAAAGGGCGCCAGACCAGCCCTGAAGACATCCCCAAGGACATCCTCCAGGAGACCTTCGTGAACACGACGGGCGCATGGGTCAACATGCTTCTGCTCTCAGCGAGTGGACCGCTTCGCACCCCAGTCGGAGCGTGCGCCACCGCCCTCGAGTCCCTCGAACTAGGATACGATACCATCGTCACAGGCAAAGCACGATTCTGCCTCGTGGGCGGCTGCGACGACGTGACCAACGAGACCTCGCAGGAGTTTGCCAACATGAAGGCGACCAGCAACCCCGAGGAGGAACTGGCCAAAGGGCGCGCTCCGCACGAGATGTCCCGGCCAGCCACGAGCACCCGCAGCGGCTTCGTGGAGTCGCACGGTGCCGGGCTGCAAGTGCTGACCACAGCGACCCTAGCCTTGAAGATGGGGCTGCCCATCCGTGGCATAATCGCATTCGCCAGCACCTCCAGCGATAAGGCCGGCCGCTCGGTGCCCGCGCCGGGCAAGGGAGTCCTCACCAACGCCAAACACGTCGCCTCCACCGTCCCAGCCCCGCTCATGAACATCCGCAGTCGCCGCAAGCGACTGGAATTCCGTCTCCGTCAGATCGCAGAGGCCCGAGACATTGCTCTGCAGGACCTCGACTTCGAAGTGGCCGCCGTGGTGGCGCAGGACCCGACGGTGGACGTTGACGCGTACGTCCAGGCCCGCCGACAGCAAATCGTCGAGGACTTTACGCTCGAGCAAAAAGACACTCGCTTCCGACTGGGCAACGAATTCTGGCGAAACAACCCTCAGATCGCCCCTCTGGCCGGTGCGCTCGCCACATGGGGGCTGACCATCGACGACCTGGGCGTGGCCTCCTTCCACGGGACGTCGACGGTGCTGAATGACAAGAACGAGTCGAGCGTCATCCAACAGCAACTGCGCTCGCTGGGACGACGGCCGGGGAATCTCATCCTCAGCGTCTTCCAGAAGGCGCTGACCGGCCACTCCAAGGGGGCGGCGGGCGCCTGGATGCTCAACGGCGCCCTCCAGATGCTCGATACCGGGCTCGTCCCGGGCAACCGCAACGCGGACAACATCGATCCCGCCCTCAAGGAATTCGACCTGGTGGCCTACCTGCACCGACCGATCCGCGTGCACGAGCTGAAGGCGGTCTCCGTGACCTCCTTCGGCTTCGGGCAGAAGGGCGCGCAGGCCCTGTGTGTCCATCCCCGGTATCTCTTCGCCACGCTGCCCAAGGACGAGTACCTGGCGTACACCGCGCGCTGCACGCGGCGCCAGCGCAAGGCGGATATGTTCTTCTACGAAGCGATGAACGAGAACTCCCTCTTTCGGGCGAAGACCGCGCCGCCATTTGCGCCGGCTCAGGAGACGGCCACCTACCTGGATCCGACAGTCCGGTTTCCTTAATCGCTCTATACTTAATTTGACTTTAGCTGTTGTTCATCACGCCTATGGAGGTCTTGTTTTGCTCTGGCGTCAGATCTAGTGTCCCATGTGATTTATACCATTGTTATCGAAGCTTTTTCGTCTTAATCAATCGAACTCATTTTAATCTAATATACATCTGGCCCCTTGCAAACTCATCTCACCGCACTTGATCAAAGTAAACCCTCAGCGAAGGTAAGATCTAATCCAGAAGCGCGCTGGTCAGTGCTGACAGCCTAGGAAAACGTGGGAACCGGGTCTGACGTAGGGTATATGATCGGTCACAAGTAACCATTCTGTCGGTGCCGGACGAGATGGTCTTGGAGGTCTAGTATTCGATGCATCGTGTATTACTATATAGACATGTTTCGGTGATTACGATGGGGTGCTGAGTCACTCCAGCTAATCTCTACAGCGATCGATGCTCTGTGAGTTTCCTATCTCCTGATGTTGTTCTTGCCTTTGGACACACCGTCTGGGTGGGTTCCGTTAGGCCAGTTATATCATACCGAGCAAGCACTATTCAAGGCAGGCTGGCCCTTGCTACTCCCCCAGCTGCGCCTGGCGTGTAGACAATGGTCGTGGGGCCATCAGGTCTGTGTCATCATGACTAGCTCCGAGGTATTTCGTATGATGCGTGTAGGAGTATATCTATGCAAGCCAGGCACCGGCGCGAATTCCGCGGAGACGATAGCCGTGTTCTTAGGGCAGAAGCCGCAGTGGACCGGAGTCCGGGCCGAGATCGGCGCAGGCATCGGGGATCCGCACGAGTCAAGGCGGAGACTGGATTCAGTGAGTGCCATAAATGCTGGTGGTATCACTACAGTACTAAGTAGGTATACTTCGAGCAGTTAGACAGAAGTACTGTGGTTGCTTCTGCTTAAGTTGGCTGAGAGAGGGAAAGATCCCCCGGCAAATTCCAAGTGGTTAGCTGGCATAGCAGTGAGAGTCTTTGTGAATCATGGTGGTATATAAGCACTCACAATATTTCCGTAGTCGCTTCAGAGTGTATTCTCGCTGCATCGATTTCTTCCTTGTCATCGGTGACAGGCACGCATGCGGAGACAAAAAAGTTAAATCCAAGTATACTCCGTACACTCTCCGCCAATCGTCTGATGAACTCCGACGGTGATCGGGTGCAGGATTCGGATTGAACCCCGTCCAGATCTCCGTATCCGTCCACATGATGTCATCTTCTCCGTACAAGCAGCAACATCAAAGATTTGAGCAAGTGTTTCATTGATTATGGAACAGCTACTTCACACACATTAAGCAGAATGTAAACATCCATCATCATGGCAAGCTATCAAGCAGAACACTTCCCCCGCTACAGCAATATCCAATCACGCCGCTTCAATCAATGAGAGAAAAGAGCAAGTACCGGTCCCGCGACACAAACGCCGATCTTTATCCAGTTTCAGTCCAAATGCTGTGCCCAGAAGTTCCCATATTATACATGTCCCCACGTCATTGCAACCAGAGATGAAGGGTATCTTTATGTATTGTTTCCCCAAGATGCAGGATGAAGGTCAGAGAAGAATAGGTCAGCGTTCGCCCACTCTGCCATACTCCTGTTGCCATTTGAGGAGATGGCGCGTGAGAACGTCCATCATTTCGACGCTACTCAGCTCCTTGAAGTCTTTCTCAAGGGAGGCCGGGCCACTGCCTGCGTCGCTGTCCGAGGCAGTCGCGCTGGCCGGATCGATGTCGCCAACGGCCAGCGCCAGTGCGCTTTCCAACAGACTGCCATTAATCCGGGCGGTACCATTAGGAGGCGTTGTGCTCTCCCCGGCTACAGCCATTTCGACTTGCATCCGTGAGATGAACTCGAGAATAGCCGTCACGCGTCTCTTCATCTCATTCATTGTGGTGCGCTGGTTCACATAGCGCGGACGACTGGGCTTGCCTGATTCCCCGCTATGGAGATGTATGCCATTGATCCTAGGCGAATCGCTGCCAATGTCATGCGACTGCCCGCGCCGAGGGGATCGAGTCGAAAAATTGGAGTCGGTCCCATTCATATCCCGATCCCGAGTATATTGATTGCGGCCTACGCGACCGCCGCGACGTGCAGGGGGACGGCCCGATTTGCGAGTGGCGGGGCGCGACGGTGCAGGTTCAGGAGCCGGAGCGGGGGTGACTTCAGGACTTGGGGGTTTGGGCTCGGGGTCGGTCGCAACTGGCTTGGTTGGAGAGCCGGGCTCATTCTCGGACTCTGCCTCGTCTACTTTGGTTAGTCTACCGCTAGCATCACTCGAACAGCCAGAACACACCATTATTTGCCTTGTCGGGCCGACCTTTCCTACGATTTGTAGCGTCTGCTGCCTCAGACTCAGGTTCTTCAGTCTCTTTGATACCGATGTCACGCTGTCCGCGCGACGCAGCCCTTTGTCTCCGAGCGACGAGATTCGTTGATTTGGTTCTCGACTCATCCTCTGAAACCTGTTGAGACACGGGGTTGCTTTTGGACGCGGCGCCGGGAGAGGGTGAGCTTGTTCGTTGGCGCTTCGTGGTTTGCCTATGGCTATGCTCGGTCAGCATGATATTAAGATTGTTACCATGGAGACACATACGCTTCGCTATCGCTGCGGCTTCTCTTAGGCCTCCGAGCAGCGAGTTCGTCTCCGGGTTTTGTTTCTTCCTTGCTTTCTTCGATTGCACGCCGCAGTTGCTCCTCTTCATCATATGCTGCATCCCGGCTGTTCATGGTAGATCGGCGCTTGGGATTGGCCGCGGTATCATTAGATCGTGATTTTGTGTCTTTATTGCGCCGGGAATTATCGCGGGAGGATTCTCGTGACGAGACGGTGGTGGGGGGAGGAGGGGGCGCGACCGGGAGGTACTGGGAGGAGTATGATCTGCATCGTCGTGAGCAAGGCATGCAGGACAGTAACATGTTTTGCCAAAAGCATGAATGAAAGCCAAACAAAGACATGATCTCCAGTTGCTGTAGCTGCGACTTGGCTGATGCGGCTGAAATCCACCACAGCAGCATGCACAAGCAGCCCCATCGAGAGGAAACAATCACCCAGGGAAAAGATAACCGAACGAAAGATGAAACCGAAACTAGGGACGAACGATATGACATACCCGTTTATCTCACTCAGAATCTTGTGCAAATCCTTCCGGCACTCCTCGCAGAAATACTCGTCCGGGCTCATGGCTTCGTCCATGATGCCCACACAGCCACCGTGCTGCCAGACCTTGCAAGAATCACACTGGATGAACATGCTGCCAATGTCGTCCGACAACAGATCCGCAGCATCAATGGAAAAACCCAAAATGGCCTCGTCCTTGATGCTGCCCCGCAAGCCGTTGCGACCAATTGCCTCCCGACGCGAGGGAGGCAGACCCGGGTATTCCTGCTGTCCACAGAGACAGCGGGTGATCTCCTCCTCTTCGTCTTCGTCATCTTCGCCGTCTTCTTCATCACCGTCGGCTAATTTGAGCTGATCATTGTCCTCCTCCCCTCGAGCACGCTGGCGCTGCCGCGTCTCTCTGTAGTCACCTTTTGACCCAGTGTCCCCGTCGTCGAACGACTGGGACCGGTTGGTGGAGGAGCGCTGGGGGGAGGAGATCTTGTGGTGGGACCGAGTATTTCGTTCGCGAGTCATTGAGTTGGAGGAGCTGGAGGAATTTGTATGTTGGAGGATGGCAGGAGACGGTTGTTGTGAGGCACGAGCACGAGAGGAGCGCCGAGGTGTCATGGTGGGAGGAGGTGGGAGGATAAAAATAGCGGGAGAACTCTGCAAGAGACCCCAGCCGTGCGAAGAGGAATGTCAAGAAAGAATATATAGAACAATGTCAGAGTAGAGGGTTCAAAGCTGAGCCGGCCTGCCTGGCAATGAGCAAGCTGTCATACACGGATGGGAGAGTGGAAGTCAAGAGCGAACCCCACGGTCGTGTTGAGAGGAGCAGGATGGGAGAGTAAAAAGCCCGGCAGGTCAAGGAAAGGAAGCTGGCAATTGGAAACCAAAGCAGAGAACGATCCGAGAAAAACGCCTGCAAGCTCAACTTTCAGGCTGAGGGCTACATAGTCAGAGGGAGAAGAAACGGTGGGGGGAGTTTGAGCGAACAAAAAGAGGAGAAGAGGAGAGAGAGAGAGGAGTGGAGGAGGGAACGAGAAGAGAAGAGGAGGAGGAGGAGGAGGAGGGCAAGGAACGGAGGCAGCAAATGACGGACGGTCGCCGGAACAGATTAGGATTGAGTGACTGTCTTTCATCCATTTCTGCGCGCGGGTTTCGCTTTGCGGTCAACGCGCATAGTTTCCTTCCCCGCTCTCGCTCTTTTCTCCGTCACCTCGTCTTCTTTGCGACCCGCGCGACTCTATCACGTTGTCTCATTTCCTTGGGATCGTCTTTTCTTTCTCCCTTTCCGATTTTCCCCCAAGTACCCTTCGCTGTCGTTCTTATCATCTTGCGCATCGAATACTCGACCAGGAATGCGATGATGCACTCATCCCGGTGCCTTAGAACCCCGCTTACCATCAGCAGTCTCTGAGAGCAGTGTCCAGCAAAATCATTCCCTGAACTTCTAGCGAAGCTTTGCTTGATAAGGCCTAACTATATGTCGCAAGACGCATTACAAATACAGGCTACCTGTAACTAACTAGCTTAACAACGGGTGGAGTTGAACAAGATGATACGTGCGCTGCTACGCCCCGTTCACGGCACTTCGCCATGAGCTATCATCCCCTGCCAAAAGCCATATCGACATGGTACATTCCAAGTGAGCCTCGATTTTAGACCCTATTCTTTTGGATGAGATAGACCGGCCCCCGAGATGGTCGCACGACTGCCTCTTCAATGCCTCTGACCTAACAAATCCCAACCCAACCGGTCCAGATCGGGCATACTGATTATGAGGAATAGGAGGTGCGACGGTGTGGGCGAAGACATCAGTACAAAGTAGTTTCGGAGTGGCTTTTGTGTCTGTGGTCGAGGATGTGGACGGGCTAATGACTGCGCGGGGATAATGGACTGTAGAACTCTGCTGATGTTAGTGGTTAATGTTAGATCGCGAACTCCTTCCCGATGTCTGGGTCCCAAGAATGTTCGCTAGGGGTGCTGCATCCGTGCAAGTTGGTGGAGGATCTTGTGTAGACTGGAGGGAGGATGATTGAAGCAAGAAAGTGAGTCTTTGCGCTGGGACGGTGGGTGGGGTCATGTCCATAAAGGGTCTAGCTTTCGGGAGAACTATGAGCCTTGCAGCCTCAGGCATTAACAACTTTGTAGCTCCCCAAAGGGAAAGCGGATCACTTATTGGTCATTCATAATAATTATCGACCGAACGATTCGATTCCACCCCCTCCGCCTTCTTCGTCCCCTATAACCTATACCCTTTTTCCCTTCCTTCCCCCCCCCTCCCCTCTCCTCTTCACTCGCCCTAGATTTGCCTTCACTTTCAGTAATTGTTGCATTTCCAGTGTTTGTCTAAGACTTCTTTGTTCACTCACCTCCGACCCCCGATAGTCTCTAGTCCGGGGTTGGGTTGGCGTCCTTTCTCTGTTCTTCCCTACCAATACCTCGGGCTGAGTCAAAGTCTGCACGAGCAGTATTGGTGCAGGGTCAACAATGTGAGTCCCTTACTCTCATTCGGCATCTTTTTTCAGGGCTGCCCTGGCAGTTGAAATTCGGTGCAAACCTTGAATGCATGCTTGGGCAGCGTTCCGATCAAACTTCGTGTGGTTCCGTTTGCCAGCGTTGGGGAAACATGACAACTAAGTGTGGTGCCAAATCAGTGCCGGTTCACGACCAACCCACCGTCCTTCTCCCTCCTCTTCTCCGTTTCTCGCTATACCCCGTCGGCTTGACGGACGTAATTTTCTTGGGCACGGGGTGTGACGGCAAACCATTATTACCAGAAAAACAACGCTAGGATAATCGGACATTGGTCGGAGTGGCTGTTCGGAGAACCAAACCCGGCGTTTCAGCCGTGACTGTGGTTAGAACGAGTTGAGTCTTGCAGAATGACTGCTACTCTGAGTATGTCTTTTGCCAACGATATCTGTTCCTCGGGAGAAGGAGCGCCTGGCGTTCTTGGTGCGTACAAATGAATGGAAATCGCCCCCGAGGCAGGCTAGAGAGAAGGAAGGTAGAGGTCTGCTGGCTGCTCGGTTGCTGATACTGTTCACCCGCAGATGGGATGTTCAATGCGGCTCCTGATACACCGTCTCCAGTCTACCCGGATCGCTTAATTCGTCCTCTTCCCAGGCGGACGCTCCGCTCTCGCCTGTCTACCGAAGCGGCCGACTCGATCCTCTTTCCCCCGGCTCCGGCAAGTCAGCTCTTCTACGGGACCTCGGTGGATAGTGTGGACCTGGTCAATGACACGAAAGTGTATGTGCAACAGACTGAAGGTCGGGATCAGAGTCCTGAGCGGGACCAGGTCCAATACGAGAACGGAGTAGAGCTAGAGAGTGGTGATGAGGACGGGCCTGTAGTGGTTCGACGCAGTGCCGGTTTTCACGGGTCTACCTTGTCGCCGACGGCTTCCAGTGCACAACCTCAGACCGTCCCCACCAACGGGGACCGGGCGCCCATCAAGTCATCCGTGGCGGGTCCGGATGGGTACGACGCGTTTGAGAACACTAACAACAAGAAGAAACGCAAGATCCCAACCCCCGGCAACCTTGGGAGCCATCACTCCACACTCTCCCCCGAATTCTCCACCATGGGCCTGGCGAGCTCTGTTCAACCCTCCTCAGGCAGTGAAAGCAGTCATGTGAGTACATTCTACGGCACTGGGAGCCCCGCGTCTCCCATATCCAGTGGCATGTCCGGGGCCGGCAGAGGTCGTCTCGGTCGTCAACCACATCGCAGCACCGGGCGAAACTCTTTCTCGCTTCACTCACCCATCAGTTGGCCTCGGACCCCGAGCCGACGTGATGGTCTGTTGTCCTCCCCTGGATCCGCAGGTACGCACCCTCCCGTCTCCCGGCCGACCGATTTGTGCTTACTGACTTTTGCTTTTCGCGGTTCAGGTGACTCGTCGGAAAAACGCGACCAAGGGATCATTTCTGCTGCCATCGCCAATGCCGCCGCGTCCGCGTTCGCCCCTCCACCTTCTGGGACCGGTCATGTTAGCATGCTGGAGCAACAAACCCCCACGCCTACCAAGGGACAATTCACCTTCACCTGCGAGTCGGACTCCTCCAAGGGCATGGCGCTCCAACCCCGAACCTCATATCCCACACACCGCTCTCCTTCAACTCTTCCGGCTCCTGTCCAGAACCAGAGGGGTGCCTCTCAAGGAACACAAACGAGTCCTCCGATGATGTCGCAGACTAGCGCGCAAGATGCTTCGCATACATCGCAGGCACCACAAGTGGGTACGGGGGAAACTTCTGTGGCCACGAAGAAGAAGCGGTCGCCCGGCAGCATCTATGCTCTGGCGGCGCGGCAGCGCAAGATTCAGCAGCAGTACTCCAATCTCCACCATCCGCCGAGCATTGAGGACATTTGGATCTGTGAGTTTTGTGAGTACGAGGCGATTTTTGGCCGCCCACCGGAGGCTCTCATTCGACAATACGAGATCAAGGACCGCAAGGAGCGGAAGCGACTGGCAGAGAAGAAACGGCTGCTGGAGAAAGCCAAGATGAAAGGCCGAAAAGGCAAGAAGGCGACCAAGAATGCGACGAAGCAGGCAGCAGTCCAGCCGGCAGCGTATGATCATGGATATGATCATGCCTCGGTCGATCACTCGACCGGAGGCGCTGGCACACAGGAGGATGAGTACGGAGGCGAGCATGAAGACGGGGACTCCAGCACTCCACCTCTAGCTCCACCAAACGCCAAGGGCGCTTTACCCTCAAGCAATGCGCCTAAGATGAGCGCGCCGGGGTCGGGCGCTAAAGCGACGCTTGACGGAGGGACGCGGCCGCCCTGACAAAGAGCAATGGCGCTCGGGTAGACGACCAATGAGTGGCCATTGCGCCTGTTTGTTCATGGTTCATGTTTTGTTTTGTTTTTTTTTCTTTTTGTCGTGTTCTGCATGATTGATTGTTAGCCTGTTTTGTTGCATGGAATGAATCCCCGCTCTGTCGATGAATGTCACGTCAGCGTCTGCACGGTTTGGTCATTGGTGATGAACTGATACATATTGAATGAGTCTGAGGTTGTCTTGGTCTGTGCTGGCAGGTTGTTGGGTTTGTTGAGTATGATTTGGGGGGAAGATGTCGAGTATATGGTTGGGGGTATTGGCAATGGCAGTACTAGTAGGATTAGTTGCTGGGCATTAGTGGAGAAGTACTCCGTAGTTACTAGTAGGTAGAGCTGAGAATGAAAGAGTTGTCTGGTCTGCATCAACCCGTTCACTTTCTGGCTGGTCAATCGCCAAGCGAGGATGATTGGCATCCAGCCACCGAGCGCTTTGTCTTTGGGAGTGGCTAAGCGCCGCGATCGATCTGAAACGAAGTGTAGGAGTCTGCAGAACCATCGGATCCTCGCAGTGGCAGCTAGTCTTCGCGCGCGTTTGCTGGGCCGTCTGGAGCTGTCCCTGGTGCCATGCAAGGTTTCAAGCCCCCTGGAGAGGGGGTTTCTGAAGAAGATAAAAATAGGTGTTATGTGGATGAGGATGAGGATATAAAGAGTAAACGGCTGAGATTGTCGAAAAGGCACCTTCAAGCAAGCCGCACTCTTTCATCTATAGTTGTCTATCGTTCCTTGTGTTCTTTGAAGATTGTTGCAATTATCTCCGTACAGTACTTGGAGTCTTCATTCTCTACTTTGTTTAATACGGTTGACTCTCCCATCTCATACTCGTTCTGCATACATCAGACAATCCTCTCCGGGGACGGTTCTCATTCCCCTCTTCTTCAGTGTGTGGGTGCATCACGCACTGGCACTGCCTGCAAAAAGTCCTACTACTGCTACTACTACTTCAGCATCACCCACATAGACCTACCTACAGCAGCTCTTGAAAAGTTGTCCTTGCGCCGGCGCATAACAACACCACAATCACCACAACCACCACCAACCACCCCGACGACTCACCCCATCCAACTCGGAAAGAAAAAGAAAAGAAAATGTGGTTCTTCCTCCTCCGCATCTTCAAAATCGGCCTCAAAGCCCACAAAACTCACAAAGCGAAGAAAAACGGCACCCTCAATCCCAATGACAACAACAACACCTACCCGATGACCAGCAATACCGCCGCCACCCAACCCCCCGGCCCCCCACCGCGCAACAAACTCAAACACTACCTGGATCTCACGCTGCACACCCTCCATCTCGCCCTGGGTCTAACCGCCCTCGCCCTCTACGCGCACCACATCCACCGCCTCCACGAGGCCAGCCAGAGCGCCGGGGCGAAATACATCTACGCGATCGTCACCGCTCTGCTGGCTTGCACGACCGCGATGGGGTATCTCGTGTTGATACAGTATATTCTCAAGAACCGGGTGCCCGTGGCGAGACGGAGGGGATGGCAGTTCCCGCTGTTTGTGTGGGAGGGAGTGCTTTGTGTGGTTTGGTTGACCCTGTTTGGGATCTTCGGGGGGGAGTTTCTCGGGAAGAGTTCTAGAAGTGCTACTGGGAGCGTGGATAAAGAGGTGGTGAGGATGAAGAGGGCGGTTTGGATTGATTTGGTGAATCTGGGGTTGTGGGTGGTGAGTGCGGCTTGGAAGGGGGTCAGATGGTGGAGATTTCAGAAGGGGGATACTGGGGAGGATGGAGGGGATGGAGAGAAGGAGGTGGAGGGGGGTTTTGTTTAGGATCTCACATACGCTGCAGGGAGGAGTATGGGGTGATGGGAAGAATTGGCGGTTGAGGTCGTTTGCATAGTTGTATCGGGATGGTGGGTAACAATCTGAAGAAGCTGGCAGGAGGTGGTTGGTGATGTATGTTAGGATTGTTACAGCGCCTGCAGGCAAGGGAGAGTGAGGGTGACAGGGCTGGGCTGTATTATCTACAGAGAGGTAGAGACATTGGTGGTAACTTGTCTTATCCACTTGGTTATTATGAGTATGCGCTTCATCTTCGTCGCTCGTAATATGAACATCATATGGTCCTTTGTGTAAACAATCGAGACATCTATCGGCGGCGGCTCTGGTCAAGCAAGTCACTAATCCCACTACGACGCGGAGGTAGCGAGAACCCACTCTGCCCAGCCAAATCTTCTTCTTCCCCATCGTTGACCTCCACGTCCGACTCTCCCGAGATCTCATCGTCCGACACGGTCTCTACAGTCGCCCCAGAACCCGGAGTCAAGGTATTGCCATGACCTTGGATCCCCGAATCAATCAGTGTGTCGGCTGTCTGCATCGGATTCGAGCGGGTCGTAGACACCCCCCAACTGCTGCCCCCCAAAGTCGACGCCAGGAAGTGCTCCGTGCGAACACTGTCTGAGAACCGCTGTCGGAAGTCCTTGTCGACCAACTTGGCAGTCGTGGGCTGGTAGTTCTTGGCCTCGAGGTATCGGTAGTCATAGCGCCGAATCGCACTGGGCACGAAGACGTTCGGCTTCGGGGTGGGTGGGTGGACCAGGAAGTCGCCCCATGGACGCTTGTGCGGCGGCGGTGATGGGGGTCTGGGAGGGTTGACGGGATTCAGCAGCTCTTTCAATTGCTCCAGAAATTCTTCCGGCAGACGCGGTTCCTCTGGACGGTCAATAACAGTAGCTGTCTCTGACTGGGATTCCACAGACAACCCTCCGTTCGTCCCCTTCGGGGAGATGGCAACCTCTCGAAAAGAATCAGAATCCGCTCATGTAGAGTTTAGTCACTGCCTACCTTTCACAGTCTCGGACACCTTCATTTCAGCCGGTTTGGCCTGAGTCTGGCAGTCAACAGTTAGTGTAGCCGACTCGGGTTGCTGCAAAGACTCCGACAGCATGGACTTGGGAGATTCGACAAGGTTCTTACTCCCAGACACGGAATCAGACTGTGGAGTGTGAACTCGGGCTGAGTTATCACTGGTGCTAGACGACTGGTGCGAGCCACGAGGTTTGGATCGTGGAAGCCCTTTAGCATCCACTGAGTCGGGGGGCGTCTCCACGACTGAACTGCTGGTCTCGGACTGCTGAGATGATTTACGCCGCATCAGAACTGGCCGACTTTCAGGATAGTCTGTCATGAGCGGAGCAGGGTCCTGAGTCGAGCTACCGGTAGTACCAGTTGAGTGCTGGGACGACTTGCGACGCTTGATCACTGGCCGACGCTTGGTGCCTCTAGCTTTGGCCGTAAGGACAATCTTCCTCTGGGGAGCTCTGGCAGCAGGCTCTGGCACGACCAACGGAGGGGCCGGTATGGGAGTGGGCGTGTTAGAAGGTTTGCGAGTGGTAGTCTGACCATCCAGGCCAGTCAGTAGGATCCGGGTGGTCTTGTGTGTTTCTCCGTGCGAGGAATGACTGCTGCTTGGCTTCTTGAGAATCGGTGCCAGTGGCTTGCCGCTGCTACTGCTCGGCTTGCGTGGTTTGTCTACCTGAGACGCTCTCTTGTGGGCCTATGAGGAGTTAATCCCGCCAGTGCGTACAAACAGCCCAAGGATTCTACCTTGTGCAGCTCGGATAGAGAAATCGACCGCTGGTCTGCAATCCGAGAAAACAGATCGGCCAGCATGGAGCCACTCAGTGACCTCGACAGACGCCGATTACCCCAGATTCTCCAGAAGAGGTTCTCCAGCCGGTAACCTTTGTCATCGTTATGCACTGACGGGTTGGCGCTGTACACTATAACAACACCAGGTAAGTCTTAGGCACGGATCAGGTGAGAGCAGATGCGGCCACGCTCACCTCTCCACAAACGTGCAACATCTGCGAGCTCAACCATGTCAGCCGCCGTCAGGTCAGCGGAAACCTTCTGAGTGGCCGTCGCCAGTAAGCCTCTGGGAAGATGTTCCATTGCGTGGTTTCTCGTTGTTGGGAGAGTTTGATGGTGAGATGTGACAACGACAAAACCTGACGCAAATAAGCTACATGGTAAGTGGGGGAGAAGTGAGTGAGGATGTAGTGAGGCAGTGAGTGAGTGAGTAGTGAATGGATGAGTGTTAAGGTAATGCTGTCAATATTGCGTGTGGCGGTGAATTGGGGAAGGGAAGGGGAATCCGGGGGAGGCCCATCAACTTCACGCAAATCACTGGATGGTCGGAACACTTTCCAGACCTATGGATGGATCAGCTGCAAGGGCAAGCAGACGAAACCCCGGAGATCCGGAGATCTTCAGCCTGCAGCCTTAATCCAAGTAACCCTGAACCGGACTCATCGGACGAGTACGGGTGTAGTGTATCAGATCTCTTCTTTTGTGTCTACTTTTGTGTTTATCAGTAACTATTCTCTGTCCAGCTGACCATCGCCCATTCCATTGAATCCTCACAGACGCGGATCCACGCGGATTGATTCACTGCAGGCTGACTCCAACCCAGTTTTGAGTGCAGAATATCTGCAGAAAGATATGAGAGACAGGGAGTGGGAAGAGGGAGCGGAGAGAAGTTGACCTGTCACCTCGGAGCGCTTAGCAAAGGCAGGAAACGAAGAGTACCTGTTGGCTGCCTTTTCCGCTTGCCGGAGCTTGCCGACAACAAACAAATCAGTGCTCTGTCTCCGTACTCTGTAACTTTCTCTACTATCGTCATCTTTGCTCTCTTTTCCCCGTGACCATCAGAATTAATTGGATCTGACTCAGATTTCCAGATGCTTCTGTGAAACTGATTCTCCCTCCCCCCGAAACTCTTTCCTGAAAAGCATCTCTCCGCATTGCATTCCGCTGCTCACTGCAGATTTCCCTCCCTCCCTCCCTCCCTCCCCATGGCTGTGCTGCATCCACTGCTCCATCATTTCCCCGGGCTGGGGCGGATCGGGCACTTTCCACACCTACGGGTCCAGGGCAGAAAAAGCAATCCCCTTGCCTGCCGGTCACACACACTACATCCACTGGACTGGGAGGGCTGCACAAGGCGTCTAAATTCTCACTGGTGGGGCATGGCAGCCGCAGCCAACACCAACCGAGTTGGGGAAGCGATCACCATCTAGACGATGCACCCTGTCTCACCGCTAGCCTCATTGCTGAGACCTTATCGACTAGTATCTTGAAAAGCCGAGGTCCACAAGGTTGCGTCTATCCCAGCCTATAAGCAAATTGAAAGACAGTAATGAGAGATTCCGCTTGTCAGCAATACTAGTACCCACGTGCTGTGCAAGGTGGTGTTACCGTTGGAACGCCTCTCGCATGCCAGGACCCTTCGGGGTCTCGTTCTTTTACTGCATTGGAACTGCATTAGGGTCCGCGCGTGAGCGCAATGTTGGCGGTGGCATCAGCGCCTGATAACGATAGGTCTGATGCATGCAAGCCGCGTATTCAGATACTGCAGGATATAGTTGTTCCGGTTCGGATTATGCACTTGAGGGAGGGTTTTCGGTATGTAAGTGATTTTACTCCATCAACTCCACTCGCACCGGAATGACACTCGGTTGCTAACTGTCGCTTCATGCTGTACTAGTCATATCAATCGTCGCGTTCAGCCACTCGCTGCCGTACTCGTCGACAACCCACTGACAGAAATCCTCCCATTGTTGGTTCCAGACTTGCATATATTGGGCTTTGATTCCAGTGCCCTGTTCTCCAAGGTCAATGTCTCGCACCCAGTCCGCGTCCGATTGGTCCTCAAAGTTGGCCCATCGAAGGCTGTTCTGCGCGAGGGCTCCCTGTTGCACGGTCGCTGGTTAGATACGAACAGTCAACAGAACCGGAAATCAGTACTCACCAATCCTGCCAATCCGATATTGTCGAACCCTTGGATGGTTTGATAAAAATCATAGCTCAGACCAGCGGCATCCTGGCCCAGGATAGCCGGATCATCATTACTGATAGCAGTCGCAATGCCATGGGCGATCATAGCAGGCAGCGGGTGGTGGAGAATGTCGGTCGCAAGACGCAGAACCTCATTCGAGATAGGGCAAACCTCGACCATGATCGAGTTCGTGATCACCTCGTCGATCAGCTGAGGATGCTTATACAGACTGAAGCCATGGCCGATCCGTCGGGTGTTGAACAAGATCGCATCCACCAGATTGTAGTCGGTGGAATTACCATCCCCGAGGGTCTCTCCGGCGTGGAAGAAGAAGGGGATGGTGAGGTTCAGTCGCTCTGCCTGTTCACGGAACCAGACCAGCTCCGGAGTCACGTCAGCCAGTGGACGGCCGAGATCTTCCTGGCCCACTAGGTCGTAACCGCTGATAAGTTCCGGAAACTTGGCTTTTCTCCCAAGGGCAACTTTCATGCCTGGTGCTGTCAACGTTCCTGTCCGAAAAGAGTAGAAAGGGCTACCCTACTGTTTGTGAGTGCAGTGCGATTCTCGCTTCTAATATCGGACCAAATCACACGCGCGCCCCAGAAGTTTTCTCCCTTGTCAGTCTGCTTGAAACCTTCCAACTCCTCGACCAACACCTGCCAGTAGACATCGAGGTTGGGATCGGCATCCTCTTCCCCCTCGTGGACCAGTATTCCAGTGGATGCACTCGCACGTATTTCCACCCAATTGATCCCGTCGTCGACCAGAGCCGCAAAGAGCCGTTGGTAGAAAGTCCGCAGAATGGGCTCGTAAGACATCATGCTATCAGCCGGGTCGAAGGCCGCCTGGAAGATCCTCCAAATCTCGTCGACGCCCAGGTCGTGCCGAATCGAGTCTTCCGGTTGAATCTGGACCTTAGACAAGACGAATTCACCAAAAGCCTTCTCACCTCCAGCGAACGACTGCGCGGCATACTTGACAGGAAGCTGTGTGTTGGGCATGTAGTCAGTGGAATCGATGGCTGGCCCTGAGGCCGCGATGGTGTGGTTGACATGAGCGAAGGTGACTGATGCGTTCTTCTGGGAGACCTCGCTCATCACCGGCTGCGACACGGAGACGACCATCCCCTCGGTGTTCATGACGGCATCAAGCAGGATTTCGAACGGAAGCATGGCAGCCAGGTGAGCGTGCAAGAGTGCGCCCTTGGGCATGCGTTTCACGATGTTCCAGAGTTGCGTGTCGGGGATCAGCGGCTTAGCTTTGGGAAACATCTCGCCCGCAAAGCGTTCCCTGTCCTCGTCCTCCACCGTCCCCGACACCCTCCAGAAACTGTCAATCTCATGTTGACGGATTGCGTCGACGATCGCATCCGCCTGCCGGGCTACCGCAGAGAGATTCTGGCGGAAAGCGTGATCTACGCTGCGTCAGTCATGGTTCGTTGAGCAATTTTGGCCTGATCTCACGTACCCTGTCGTTGTCGCTTCTCCAACGTGATCAATGCCGACCGATCTTGTAGATGCTTCTGAACGGCACTGCTATTGACATCTGGCGCTCCATCAATCACAATTGCAGTGGATACAGCCGCAAAGGAGAAGGCAGCGACCAGCGTCTTGGAGAGATGCATCGTGAAGTAAGGGTGTCAATGCCACTGCCACGACGCAGGAAGTGCCAGAATTTGTATGACGCCTCTGAAGACGCCCTCCGTGGCTGCGATCAATTGATCATTCCCAGAGCGGGGGGGGGGGTGATTCTAAGGGACGACCAGCGAGCGAGGGTTTCGGGGGAACTCATCTAAGATATACCTAAACAGGGCAAGCAGGATAAGCTGCTAGTTGCCCCAAATAGTTGGGGAATTCAATAGCTCATTGCTTCGTACGTATGCATGCGAGAGCTCCGGAATCTCACTTGGTCTTGGCGGTGGGCGTCGAAAGTCAACCCGGCGTTGGATCGATGGGCTTCACTCAGTGCGTGGCCTGGTGCTACAATACAAACAGTATCGCTGCTAACCGCGCTAGACTATCACCAAGCTGCAGTGCTAATTTACATGCAACCAAATCATCTCAACACAATTGATTTGAAAGTTCATTTACGAAGCAAAGGAAGGGGCAAGACAGATGCCAATGCAGAGAATAATCCGAATCTCGTTGCCAAGCAAAAGATACCCGAAACAAAAAAAAAGCACAGCTTGCACGAAGGATAATCAATTCCCATGGTTCCAACCCCGATTGCCATCAGGTTCAGGGACGGAGGCTGGACCGGGGGATCCCTACTCGGGCAGCATCTCATCCTGCAGAATGCCAAACAGTGAGAGGCTGGGCCAACTGGAGTCGAAGCAGGCGGATCGACCCCTCCCGTGTGAGAGAAAGAAAATCAGGGAAAAGATTCATTGTCGTCGGGGACCTGGGCTGGACTCCAAATCCATCACTGAATCATCATTGAAGCCTTCTCATTAACTTACAGCTGGACATGATGTGCTGGGGAGATTAGGAGAGGCATGATGCAGTATGATGGTTATGACTGTGTTTGTGACAAGCTGATGGATGGATATTCTAGTTATGACTGAGGGATTGCGTCAATGGAGCAAAGCACACACCACCGCCCCTCCGCTGTTCCCGCTGCTTCACCAAGTAGATCTATTGTACAGATGATCGGCACCGGATTCGGATTGAGACCCTGATCCACCTCCACACGCTATTCTTCCATGGTACAGAATCCATACTAGAGATCCGTTTGGAGTTCACTCTGGCTCCGTTGCACATACCATCCATCCCGATTGCCAGGTGTCTGCCGTGGTGAAGAAGTGAACTCTAAAAGCCACTGACTTTCAGTGCCCGATAAGAAGAAACTTCATCAATGCATCGAATAAATCACCGCCCAACTCACCACCACTAGCAATAATCGTCGATCCGATCGGCCGACACCAGCTGCATCAACACCCCATCCTCCGCAAACAACACCATATTGTCCTCTCTCTGCTCAAATTCCGGCCATTCGAACACACTCGCATTGTTCGGATTGCCCGTCACCCCCTCGATCGCCAACCGCACCGGACCCCTACTGGGCGCCTCCGCGAAGGACAGCCACAGCGCCTCCATCGCATAGCTGACCTCCCATTCAAATTGCGTCGAGGGGCTGCCGCCGTACTGACTGTGCGTGCCGAACAACAGTGGCAGCTCGGAGCTGTGGTAGGCGCCGAACCAGGGAAGCGGGGAGATGTTGGAGAAGTTGCCGGCGTATTGGTAGCGGTAGGTCGGAAGGCCGACTAGGTTGCGGTTCTTCACCTCCTCTGCGACGGGGCAGGCGATGATGGACTCGGTCAGGTTGAGCAGCGTGGCGGCACCGGGGCCATCGGGCGTGAAGGAGACGAAGCCGGCGCCTTCGTTGGTGTTGCTGCCGATTAACATGGGCTTGGTTTGGGGTTAGCTTGACTGCGTATGGTGGAAGGGGTAGGAGGGACTCACAATCTTGGCGACCTTGCCTTCCAGCGCGCGTTGAGTCCAATTGGCGAACACAGTGACATTGTCTACGGAGGGCTTGAAGGAGATCGAGGGCGTGCCGGCGTAGGTGGAGAGAGCCGTTTGGAGGGTCGTTGCGGGAACACTGCGCACGCAGCTCAGCTCCGCGGAGCTGTTCAGGCCTCCGCAGCCGACAAGGCCCGCCAGGAAGGTGAAGTTCGTGTGGGCGTAGTCCGTGAAGCTGATGAGGCCGGGAGCGCCGGAGTCGGCGGCGATGGCCGCTACGATGGGATTCTCGGGGTAAGAGTAGGTGTAGAGCGAGACGCTGCCTCCGCCGGCCGACTGGCCCCAAAAAGTGATCCGCTCGGGGTCACCGCCGAAGTTGGCGATATTCTGGTGCACCCACTCCACGCTACATGAATCAGCCGACCATACCGTCAAAAGCTCGGTGGGGAGTACGTACGCTAATCGCTGATCAAGCAGCCCCGCGTTCTGATCCTCCAATCCTTCGGCATTCGGGAAGCCAAAGACATTGACGCGATAGCTTTGAGACATTAGCCCCGTCATCCATGCCAACGGCGGTTTCATCCAGGTGACTTACTTCAGAATGACAACAATATGCGACTGCGTCCGCTGCACCCAGTTGTCCGGGATCTTGTACAGCGAAGCCTGGCCTCCGCTCGTGAACCCGCCGCCAGGGACATAGAGCAGGACCGGCAGCGGCCGCTGCTGGAACCGGATCCCGTCCACCTTCGGTGCCCAGATGGAGAGGTAGAGACAATCCTCCGAGTCCCCTCCGTCGATCAGGTAGCCCGTCTCATACTCGGTGTAGATGGAGGTGCTGTTGCTCGTCTGCTGCATGCATGATGACGGAAGTGCGAAAGCATCCACCGTTCCATTGGGGCTCTTCGGAACGGGTCTCGCAAAGCGAAGATTCCCCACGGGGGGCTCTGCGAATGGGATTCCCAGGAACTGACGCACGTCGGGGGTGGTGAGGTTGACGAAGCCTTGGACGGGGCCACTGGAGGTCTGCACAAGCAGGCCCTCTCCAATGGTCGAGCCGGGGGCGATGGGTGAGGCAGATGACCCAGTGGCCAGGCCCAGGATGGCAGTGATTAGCCCGGAGGCTCGAAAGCCTTTCGAAAACATGATTCTCGAATGTGGTGAGTGTGTTCTGCGGATTGAGGTGGGTGAGCGACCGGCTTTTATGTCTGGGATTTGGGGGGGTCCCCCTCCCCCGGACACGGAAAATTGAATGGCATCGCCATTGCTCGAGGGTTAAATGATCTCTATGAGCAAGCGGAGCAGGGAGAAGAATTGCCCGTAGAGAGTTCAAGGCTACTAGCGGCCTCGTATGTTCATCCCACCGCAACCCTTAGGGTCGAAGTGGCAGTGGCCGATGACGGCTCCTGGCTCTGTTGTATAGCGCCTCAACTTGGCCATGGAGTACGCCGTAGCATGTTCCGGGAAACAAGCTCCTTGATAACTGATGTAATGGGATTATCAACAGACCGTGGTTCACGGACCAGGAACACCCGAAAAGACAGGATCAACCAGAAAGGCGGGGGCGGGTTGGATTGAAAAATAGATGGCTGTGGGGTAAATCTGGGGCCGGGCGCAAAGTGACATCTCACCGGGTCTGGGGAATCCCGTCAACCTGGAAGAACGCAATGCCCCCCCCTCCCCCGGCCTCTGAGCCTCCGGTTGTGGCAGCCGAGGTTGATCCTACTGTATCGTCACGGCGGCTGAACCCTTTACCCTTCTCCTGGCCAACACTCGCTTCTCTATTTAAGTGTGTCTTTTCTCTGTCGTCGGAACGGAACAACGGTTAGTAATCTTGTTTCTGTGCAGAGAAGTAGCAGAACTAACTGGCAGACATGATGGCCGACTACAACCGATCAACGATCGCAGCCTCGTGCATGAGGTACGATATCGACCTCCATTTGCATTAGTATTGCGACCAGGGGGGATTGAATCCTGCATTTCGAGACAGCACAGCACTATCTGATGGGTGAAGTTATTCAAACTCACTGCGCAGACGTTGTTTCTGCATGGTGTGACTCTGAGAGACCATCCATCGTATGATCAAGCGGAATATAATACCGTTAACTTACTGTGTATGGTGGGTTTTCCGTACAAACTAAGGCACTCTTGGCAACTGGCAAGCTTTCCTGCTCCGCCCTGTCTTTCCTCCTTGGATATGCGGGGATCATGCAGCGATTCTAAGCATCATCATCATCATCATCATCATCATCATCATCCCTCTCGTTCTCTTTCAACCATTCCAATCAGCGTAACTATGTCATGTGGATAAGAGCTTCCATGAACACCAGGATCCCGACAAATCACTCATCCCCGACCCCACCTCACCACCTCACCCACCCCATGACCGCAGAACCAGCCAAGTGGATCCTCAGCTCGGTCAACCTCCGTTCTCCCCTCGGAGATTTCTCAATCATGTCTCCACGCCCGGGGGGCATTGCTTTGCGGAGAAATACCTGGAGACTGGAGATATCGAACCGGTCAGCCGTATCGCAGCTCGCCAGACTATTGGTTGCCATCGCTTCGACCTCTCAGCTCACCGGGCGTGAGCCGACATGGTCGGCGCGGTCGCTTGGCCGATTGTCCGTGGGAGGGGGATTCTGATTTTGCTGCCCCTCCCCTAACCCACTCTCGGTGCGAGTGATGATTCCTGCTGGAACCCGGCAGTTGTGTTCTGTGCTGCCGGTCGGTGACTCCCAATCATGCAATCATGGGCAGCGAAGCCAGCAAGCTACCTAGCCGAGAAGAAGCCGAAGGATGGAGGGTGACCGGCTCGACTCTGGAACTGGAGGGCGATAACAGACAGCCGCGTGTGTCTGGGGCTGTCTCAGGTGCTTCTTCCTGGCTTGACCCAACTACTTAAGCCCCTTCTGACACCCGTCTTTCCTTTGCTTTTCAATCCCCCGGGTTCAAGGACCAGAAACCAGCACAATGAAGGGACCGGCGCTGCGCTACGCACAGATCTTTCTGGTTTCTCTACCCTCCTTCGTTCTGTTCGGGTACAATCAGTCCGGTGTCGGTGGACTAGATGACTTCACCTCCTGGATCCGACAGTTTCCCCAGATCGACACGGTCAACACAACCGGGGCGCAGGAAAGTCACAATGCTACCGGGCAGGGTGCCGTAGTAGCATCCTACACGCTTGGTGCTCTCATCGGAGCACTGTCCTGCACCGTAGTGGGTGACGTGCTCGGTCGCCGCCGGACGATCTTCGTGGGCGCCCTGATAGCTCTGATCGGCCAGGCCTTGGAGTGCACGGCGTTCGCGCTCTCCCATTTCGTCGTGGGTCGGGTCATCCTGGGGGTCGGGGTGGGCATGCTGAGCGCGACGGTGCCGGTGTGGCAGTCCGAATGCTCGCCGGCCGCCCAGCGTGGCCGCAACGTGGTGCTGACGGGCATGTTCATCGCGCTGGGGTTCGCGCTCACGCAGTGGGTCAACTTCGGCTTCTACCACATGCAGTCCGCGTCGGCGGCGTGGCGCGTCTCGCTCGCCATTCCCTCCGTCTTCTCGTTCGTGGTCATGGGCAGCATCTTCTTCCTCCCGGAGTCCCCGCGCTGGCTGGTCATGGCGAACCGCTCGGACGAGGCGCAACGCACGCTCGCCGCTCTGCGCGGCGACGACCCCAACTCCCTGGAGGTCCTCGCCGAGCTGCGCGCTTTTGAGGTTTCCCTCGAAGAGACCGCCGCCCACCGCCACTCGCTCAAGCTGCGCGACATCTTCACCATGGGCGAGGAGAAGCTCCTCTACCGGTTTCTGCTCTGTATCGTCCTCCAGTTCTTCCAGCAGATGAGCGGCGGCACGCTCATCTCGGTCTACATCCCGACCATCTTCGAGACCGACCTGGGACTGGGCGCCGATCTTTCCAAGATTCTCGCTGCCTGCGCCCTGACCTGGAAGTTCCTGTGCTGCTTCGTGGGCTTCGCCATCATCGATCGCATGGGCCGTCGCGCCGCCTTCATGGTCAGCGGCGGGGGGATGTCCTTGTGTATGCTGGCGTTGGCGGTGTCCAATTCGTTCGCGAACAATCATACGGCGTCGATCGTCTCGGCGTTTTTCATTTTCCTCTACAATCTCTTCTTGCCGGTGGGATTCCTGGGCGCGAACTTTTTGTATCCGGCGGAGGTGGCGCCCGCAAGGTTGCGTGTCGCGATGCAGTCCTTTGCTATTGCTAATCAGTGGTTGTGGTATGTCTTCTCCAGTCCAGGCCTGGACCCCAATCCCTCCAAGACATCCCGCCCCTCTGACCCAGACCTATAGGATGTTCGTCGTCGCCATGATCACCCCCGTTGCCGTCACCGACATCGGTTACAGATACTACATCGTCTACACGGTGATCGCGGGGGTCATCCCGCCGGCCATCTACTTCTTCTACCCCGAAACCAAAAACCGGTCGCTCGAGGAGCTGGATGAAATCTTCCGGGAGTCAAGGTCGATTTTCGAGGTGGTGGTTTGGTCGCGGCGGAAGCCTGTTCGGGAGTCGGTGGTGGAGCGGTATATTGAGAAGATTGAAGGGGAGAAGGCGGGGGTTGAGGAAATTGAATAGTAGTTCGGATTCTTTCAGAAATGGATTGAGGGGGGGGGTTGGGAGGTTTGGGTTCGATATGTATAGATCTAGTATGTTGTTTTAGGATTGAAGAATCGAAGTGTTTGACTTGATGGGTCCGCCCGGGGGGAGGTTGTTGTTCTTTTGGTCGTATAGGAGGGGTAGTAGTTGTGTGGTTTGTATCTGATTATTACAGGAGGAGCTGACACTGTCTGCTTCGGCTCGCGAGCGGCATCTGTACGGTGCAGTACCTGTACTTGCTTTCACTACTCTGGGTAAGCCTACAATCTTGCCCGTCGAGCGCAATCTACTTGTTGACATGGTACTAAGAGGCAATACTGTTTGAAAGCGTGGTCAGTGCGACATGCACGCTTGTCATGGATCAATTATCAAATACAGACCTGGTCAAGATAAAGCCAAATCAATACTGACATTCAAAGGGTCAGTAAAGGACCCGGCTAGGTACTACGAGCACTCAGTCATGAAGTAGAACTTCAATGTTCATCTACTTCTGCCAAGTGACATCATCTACTTTTGCCTCTCACCCCATCACTCCTGTGTACATGGACGATAATGCTACCAGAGACATCACCATTCATCACATTCCATTATCCCCCTATCATACAGCAAGATGTTCGTCATAATGCAGCTGCGGTGGTCGCATTGAACCCCCACTGAGTACCAAACACATCCAGGAAAAGCAAAACGCAGCTGGAGTACAAAGCATAAAGCAGACACGCTGATCAAAACATCCATCGAATGAACACGCCCCGCTCTATACACCCATTCTTACATCATTTCGATTACCGATCACATTCACGAGGACTCGACGCGAATCTGGAAACTGGGCTAACTAAGTCAAAGTGTACCCCCCATCCACACGCAGATCAGCGCCAGTGATATACCGGGATGCGTCACTCAAGAGAAAAGTGACAGCACCCATCAGATCCTCCGGGGTGCCCATCTTGCCCACGGGGATCAACGAGATCCACTTATCGCGGAGCTCGGGGTTCTCGTTCAAGATCTTGCGCGTCAGCGCCGTCAGCATGTAGCCCGGGCTGATGCAATTGACTCGGATGTCATGGCCGGCCCATTCCACCGCAAGCGAGGCGGCGAGGTGGCGCACCGCGGCCTTGGCGGCGTTGTAGGGCGCCTGGGGCTGGGGCACGTTGACAATGGCCCCGGACATGCTGCCGATCATCACCATGCTCCCCGGCACTTTGCGCTGCATCAGGTGCTTGGCGACCCCGGTCGCGAACAGGTAGGTCCCGTCGACGTTGACTCCCCACAGCTTCTGCATGCGGTCATGTGGATACGATATCGCGTCGAAGTTCTCCGTGAACCCCGCGGACGTGACCAGGTGGTCGATCTGGCCGTGCTGGGCGATCACCTCGGCGATGGCCTGGTTTACGGACTCGGGGTCGGAGACGTCGGAGTAGTGAGCGGTGACCTTGGGCATTCTGCACAAGCTAATCATCAGTCGTCAAGAATCACTAACATAGACGGGGGGAGGTCGACATACTGGTCTGCTTCCAAGCCCGGGTTCTCCTTCTGAAACACCTCCACCAGCTTCTTCGCCTGCTCCTCGGCCTCTTGCTCTGCGGAGGGGGGGAGGTCATTAGCCTATGATTCAACCCATTCATGCAACCGTGGTGGACTACTAACTGTTCAGATCCACAATCGCAAGATCCGACCCCGAAGCGATAATGGCCTGGGCCATGACCAACCCTAACCCACGAGCACCCCCGGTCACCAAAGTTACCTTGTTCTCCAGCGAGAAGTTGGCCAGCGTCCGTTTAAAGTGCATGCCACCTCGACCCTGCACCACCGGCGATCGAGGCATGTGTTCGTCATCCGGGTACTCGATCTTGACATTCTCGTCGGTACGGGCGTATTGACCTTCGGCGTCCAGCGTGACCTCGGGAGCGTTTGTGGTTGCTGCCAGTAACGGGTCCTTCTTTGTCTTGTTGTTGTTGTTGTCTTTGCGCAGGGATGTGGTGGAGGAAAGGGGACGGAGGAATGGTCTGGGGGGTGTGGGACGGGCGGACAGGCCCAGTGTCTTTGCGGCTTGCCGGATCACCGCAGGTCTGAACATTGTGTGTGGGAAGAAGGTGCTGATGAATAAGTATGTCAATGGAAGATTCGCAAAGGGCTTGAGCTCACTATAAGTACTCCGTACTCAAGACCACTTCATGCAAGATCAAGCTGGCAATAGCGGTGGAAGACTGCGGAACCTCACAGGGGAGAGGTCAAGAGACTATAAGGCAAACCATTGGGGGGGGCAATGTATCCATCGAAGGCAAAATAGAAAAAGGTTCAAGTCCGAGAACAAGACAGCTTGACCCAATAGAGAAATTCAGACTCGATAATTCTGGGGAATGCGGCGCGGAAGTCGATGTATACAATCGGTGTTGTTGTTGTTGCGGTGTGATGGTCGTTGACTGGTTGGGAGATCATCCGTATGTACTTCCCACATTCCTCCAGCTTGTTCCACCACCGTCTCATCTCTACATTGCTTCTCGAATGTTTCTTTCACCTTCTCTGACCAGAACCCCAGCCATTCAGTCTTCGAAAAGTCAAGTCAGGCGGCGAACAAGGCATCACTGGCCAGGTCTCAACCGCCATGTAGCGATCGGGCCAGGATCGGCTCTTTGCCTCCGCATGACTTGTTTCGCTCTGACCGGTTTTCTGATCGATCCCTGTCGACTTCAACTAGTGAAATTATGGGTATGGAGTACCTGTTGTATAGTACACGATACCTATGGCTATAGCTTCCGAGACATACTCGAAAGCTAGATTCGATTCTCCGGGCGCAGTCATCTCTCTCCAATCCTCCAACCTCCTCCTCAATCTATATTCCGCCCCCAGCCAAGGACGACTGTTCAGATTCCAGACCGAGTCTTTTCCTTGTTAGCGCCAGACTGTATCTCAATACCTTCGTCCTTCGACAGACCCCATGACCCAATGTCTCACAGACTCACCTGGGTTCTATGTGTATCTCCCAAACAATTCCCCTTCCAGCCACGTCCAGCCCCATCTCGATCCTGTCATGTTTGCCGCGCCTTGACGCCCCCCGATACGACCCCCCCAGCAATGATGCCTTACCCGTGTCGCTATGAAGTTAATGTACCGATAGGTTACGCCAAACACCTACGGGGAAGAACCAATAATCGTTGCACCGCGGAAAGCGACAGAGGGTGCCACCCTATCGACTCTGACCGACAGACAGCTACTCCGTAGGTAAGTTGTCGTCACAAACCCCACACGCATGCATGTACCTCAACTGCCTGCCGCAGCTGCAAGCCCTACTACTAGTAGTAGCTGCCAACGGGCTGCAGCACGCCAGATCACCGACAGAACCAACCAGCCTCACAGACATGGACAAACGAAGGCGAGAGGCGAAGCGAAGCGACAGAACCTGGACACTTTGCCACTGATTGATGTATCGCCGTGTTCGCTCCTCACCAGTCGTCCAGACGGACAGACAATGGATCGATTGCCATCAATTGCATACTACACAGCACACCCAAACAACCATCGAATTAGGGGGGGGGGAGGAAACAGAATCATCATGTTATTGCCGCCCGCTTCCCATCGGCTCGAGCCGATTCTCCCTCCCTTCCTTACCCTTCTATACCTCCTACCACTAACTTGTTGTAAAACCGGGGAATTCCCGAAACAGCCAGCCGCGGACAGCTCATCTCCAGCTTTCCAAGTCCGGGCATCCCGTCCGCGCCCGCACGCTAAAATCGGGATGTGGACATGTGTGGGTCGGACTGGGGTTTAGTACGGAGTATGTAGTCCCAGAGTCTGGGATTCACTGGCATATCTTCTCACATATAACAAAGGTGAGGGTGCGGCTGTCTCCGATATGTAAGTTCCTCCACCTCGTACTCTGCATGTCTGACTGGTAGTTATGATGACTGCAATAAATGCTGCACAGCTGTCTCAATGTCATGTACTGTGCACATGCATGATTTTACTGTAGGACGCGTGTCACCACTTTTCTCAGGCAGACAGTCTGCTGCAAAGTGTGCTTCGCGTCTTGGTGATTGTAGGAATGAATACTGTAGTTAGCAGGGTGCAAGCAGTGCGCGGCTCGTCAAGCTGTCTATGGATTCCCGGCAGCAAACAAATCTCATAATCCCAGGCAAAGACTGCGATAAGCAACAATCTAATTACGTCCTCTCCCACAATACAGTATCTCAAATCTAAGCGGGTCTACAGGGCATTTCAGCACAAACATGCGATTCTCAATGTCAGCGCTTTCGAATAACTATCAAAATAGTTCACACAACAGATGCTGTCTACGACACTGCTAGTTCTCACCCTTCTGTTTACTTGCACCGGCTGACCTTCGTTCGTCTCCGGTACATCATCCCGTCTGATCCATATCATCGCTCCTCACTCACCCGCTGCTGCCATCTTCTGCAAACTCCACCAGCGGCGTTCCACTTTTGCATTGGTCCTGCAGAATACCTGTTAGTCACATGATGGCAAAGGTCTTGTGTAGAAAGGGAAATGATCGGGTGGAAGGGAACGATCAAGTGAGAGACCAGCGGCCTGTGAGCCCACGTGCCCGTGCAATGCAGCTGTTGCCATAGAGCACGACGATCGCGACACATCTGGCTGACATAAACAGGAGTCGAGACCCCAACTCAGGCCAAATGGAAACACGAAACAATAATCGACCAGGGATGTAGAAGGATCGCATGACTTACTCCTTTCTGATGGACCACCTTGGCAATAACCCCTCTGTGCGGGCTGCGGATCACCGTCTCCATCTTCATGCTCTCAATCACTACCAGCGGCTGGTCCTTCTCGACCGTGTCGCCGGCGGCGACTTCCACGCGCAGCACTTTACAGGGCATCGGTGCGAGAACGCTGTTCTTGACGTCCTTCATGCCCAGTGCTTTCTCCATCCATTTCGCCGGGGGGACGGTCAACCGGTACTGCGTGCCTTGCTGAAAAGCGATGATTGTATCTCCATCTCGGATGACCGTAGTATCGAGACGGGTGTGGGGGAAGAAGGAGGTGACGACGTTGGAGTTCAAGTTGTCGTGGCTGACGACCTGTTCAAAGACCTGATCCCGCACGGTGACGTTGTAGGTGTGGTCGCCTGTCTGTAGGATGCGCACGTCGTGTTGCGAGTCAGTCTCAACGCCGGGGGTCAGATCTGCGAACGAGATCTGATGCGCCTGGTAGCCGGGGCCAAATCCAATCGCCGAGCCCTCGACGCTAGCCGGCGGGCGAGATGCAAGGCTGGAATCCCGCTGAAGACAGGCCAACGCCACTTGTGCCAGCACCTCGGGATCGATGGCCTTTCTTGTAAACAGCTCCTCGCGGTGCTTGTCGATGTATCCGGTCTCCACATCACCAGAGATGAAATCCGGGCTCCGGCAAATGGTCTTCAAGAACTCGATGTTCGTGATCGGGCCCGCGATCTCGTATTCTTCCAGTGCGGCGGCGAGTTTGCGAATGGCTTCCTCTCGGGTGGCGCCTCGCACGATGAGCTTGGCGATCATCGGGTCGTAGTGGGCTGATACTTCGTCGCCTGCGACAAAGCCTGCGTCGATACGAACGTCCTCGGTCGCGGCGGGAGTTCGTACGTGCAGCAGGGTGCCCGAGTCGGGAATGAACCCCTGGTTTGGGTTCTCCGCGTAGATGCGAGCCTCGATTGCGTGGCCCCGTGTCGCCATATAAGCCTCCACCTCGTCCTGCGTCAGAGGCAAGTGAGCGCCTTCAGCCACCTTGATCTGCCAATGCACCAGGTCCTGCCCGGTCACCATTTCCGTGACGGGGTGTTCGACCTGCAGTCGGGTGTTCATTTCCATGAAGAAGAACTCGCCGCTATCATTGTCAAAGATGAATTCAACCGTCCCCGCGCCTTCGTAGCCTACCGCCAGAGCCGCCGATCTCGCCTTCGCCCAGATATCCTTCCTGGTGGCATCCGGCAGATGAGGCGCGGGAGACTCCTCCAGGATTTTCTGGTGTCGACGTTGTATGCTGCAGTCACGCTCGCCTAGCGCCACACAATTCCCATGCTTGTCGGCGAAGACCTGCACTTCAATGTGACGAGGGGTTGTAATGTACTTCTCCACCAGGACATGGTCATCGCCGAACGAACTCTTAGCTTCCGATTTGGCCGACTGGAGTTGAGCCTGGAACTCGGCCTTGGCGCGTGCTATGCGCATTCCCTTGCCGCCTCCGCCCTTGACGGCTTTGATCAGCACGGGGTATTGGATCCTGTCGGCCTCCGCTTCGAGGAAGTTGGGATCTTGGTTTTCACCGTGGTAGCCGGGCACGCATGGTACGCCTGCGGCGGTCATGATATTCTTAGACTGACTGTAGGGGGTCAGCCTCGTAGTGTTCAGGAGAACCAGGAGGCTCGCCTACCTCTTATCACCCATGTCCTCGATCGCCTTCCATGGGGGACCGATGAAGACCAGCCCAGCTTCGGTGCATTTCTTCGCAAAGGCAGAGTTTTCACTCAACTACAGCCATCAGACATGCCTCCGATATCGCTCCTCAATCTTAATCGCCAGGATCACTCACAAAGCCATAACCCGGGTGTATCCCTTGACAGCCCTCCCGCTTAGCGATCTCGATGATCCGATCGCCGTCCAGATACGCTGCGACCGAGCCGAGATTGAACGCGTACGGCGAGCTCAAAGCATGTTGAGCCTTGCTATCTGGGTCTGTGTAGAGCGTGGTCACGCGAATGCCATGTTGAGCGGCCGTCCGTCCGACTCGACTAGTTTGGGTTGCTTGTCAGCGCCCGCGGAGGACAGAGTCCGTAACAGTAGCAGCAGTAAGCATACAGTGCAATTTCCCCTCGATTGGCAATGAGGATGGAGTCCAACGACTTGTGAACTGCAGGACCGTCCGAGGACAGGGTCGAGGCCGCTCGTCTGGCCCTCCAAACGGCCGTGGGCCCTAGACGGGATGTAGTGCGGAGAAGCGCGGAGAGGGTCATTGTAGTGGAGTGGTTGGTTAGAAGGTTGTATCAATCAATACAGCCACAGCGTGTTTGAAGCTGATCGCATAGTCCCCTCAGAAACCCAAAACACAGCACAGGTAAGTACAAGGGGAATTGAGTGAACCTCAAAAAGTAGCACGTCACCTGCGGGCACTGGGCAGTTCCCCCGGGAGGGGGGGGTTTTGGTTCTTGTACTCCGTAGCCTCTCCTTCCCAGCTTCGGCGCCCTTGAGCCGACGCAAAGCGCACGGTTGCTGCGGGGAAGCCTGCCCACGTGACTCGAGGGTTGCATCGGGGTTTTCCGCATGAAAAGAAAAGGAAACGGAAACCGGATTGCATCAGAGTCTGAAACTTGCGTAAGTCAGACAGTCTCGTCCCCATTTGCGATCCGCATTTTTGGTCGCTCGCTAGTCAGCCTTCTTTATTGCTTCTACGCGCGGGCTGAATTGTTTCCCCTGGACATTTTGCCGGTGGTTCGAGTTTATTCTGCCTGTTTTGTCTGTCTCTCACACTCAACTCACTCGACTCATTCATTTCTTTCTTTGCCTGATTTGTCCCCGGTTATACACAACGCCAACCGCCCTGCAAATCTGACGCGCAACATTGTTACCTTGGGAAATCTATCGCATTCTACAGCAGAAGAAATCTCCGACAAGGATTCTCTCTCTCTCTCTCTCTTTCTCTCGCTCTCACTTGACCATCACAACCCAACACATACCACTCACACATTTCATTACAAGCACATATACATCTTACTGCGCAATCAAAATGTCCGACGACGAAGACTATTACGATGAATACGATGAGGATATCTTCTGGGTTGAGGAGCCTGATCCGACTATTGCTGTATGTCCCTCTCCCCTTTCGCCTTGCAATTGACACAACACCAAACATGAGAATCAATCGCATCTTGCCCTCCCCCCTCCCTCTCCCTAATTTTAACCCCCCAACACTCCCCACCCCTCCAGCAACTACATATTAACCCATGGCCCATGGAAAAAGGACGACCTAGCAGCAACTTCCACCACCGAAGCCATCTTCTATGACAACCCCGCCCTAGAAGTCGAAGACTATTTTTCCGACTGGGACGACCTCTCGGACGATTACTACGACGACGATCCGACCGCTGTGCGCCGCGCGCGGGCCTTAGGGTTGTTGCCACTGCCGACAGCCCAAAACCAAAAGCAAATCCAAAAGCAGCATCAGGGGGGTAGAGCGGGTGTGGCTGCGACTGCGACTGGCAAGCATACCGCAAAGACGACACTGTTCTTCGATCTAGGTGCTTTTCAGAGTGTCGTGTGGAAATCTTCCTCCCAGGAGAAGGAGGAACACCAACACCATTCAAATGGCGGGAAGGTACATGAGCCTGGGGAAGGGGAGAAGGTGGCGCTCCTGAAAAATTGGAGGGAGGTGTTTCGGAGCGTTAATCCGGGGATCACTGCTGCATCATCGGCGGGGGGAGCCGGGAGGAAGGGAGTGCAGCAGCAGCAGCAGCAGCAGCAGCAGCAGGGGGGGCTGTGTTTGAGGGGGAGTAGTGCTGGAGCTGTTGAACGGAATGGGGAGACTGGGCGTGAGGTGGATGGGGTGGATGGCGCTGCGGCCATAGAGAAAGAGCCGATTGAGGATGCTACTGTAAAATCTCTCGGAAAGGGCGAGGATGGGTTTGTCGCGGCGGAGTTGGTCATTGATGGCGGCGGAGGTAGCGAGGTTGGAGATGAGGTTTTCAAGGGGGCGCCTGTTGGAGGCGAGGGAAACATCAAGAATGCTACGAATGGTAAGGTGAATGGGAAGACTCGCGAGGCTGCATCCGAGTTACCTCCGCCGACAGTCCCCAAAACCAGGAAGCGCAAGGCCGACGAGGATACTCTGGACACCGCACCCCAAACCCGAGCGAAGAGAGTGGCGTCTACCAAAGTGTCCCCACCAGACGCCCCGGCCCCTGTGCGCCGATCTGCGAGGAATAAATAGTGGAACGCATTCGATCGAATGAGCGTTATGATGTTATGATTCTTCTTGCACTTGTGTTTATACCGATCAGATATCACAGACCTATGACTAGTCTTGAGTCTATGCATACTCCTTGTTGAATGCCCGCCCGATCACCATGCGGCGAATCTCGCTCGTCCCGGCACCAATCTCATACAGCTTCGCGTCTCGTAGTAATCTCCCCGCCGGGATCTCGTTGATGTATCCGTTCCCGCCCATCAGCTGGATGGCGTCGAGCGCGCACTCCGTAGCCCGTTCCGCGGCATACAGAATCGCCCCGGCGCAGTCCTGCGTGCGAATGACAGCCCCGGACGGAGAGCCGGCGGAGTTGTCGATCTGTCGCGCAGTCGCGTATGTGTAGGCCCGCGACGCCGCGAGTTTCGTATGCATATCGGCCAACTTGCCTTGGATCAGCTGGTTGTGCGCAATTGGCATACCGAACTGCTTGCGGACGTGCGTGTAGGGCAGCACCAGATCTAGCGCCGCTTGCATGATTCTGGTAATCCGTTAGCACAGCGCATGCCACTCACCTCCTCCGCTTCCTTGCACCCAGTGACCAGTAACAGGAAAGCTTACCCAAGAGGACCTGCACTGAGGACCAAGCGTTCCAGATCCAATCCCTCCATCAACACCCTGACGCCGCGGTTGACTTCCCCGAGAACATTTTCCTTGGGCACGAAGACATCCTCGAAGACCAGCTCGCCGGTATTAGACCCCCGCATGCCCAGCTTATCCAACTTGCGCGCGCACGAGAATCCCTGGGACCCTTTCTCCACCACAAACGCAGTAATGCCTTTGGACCCCTTCTCGGGCTCTGTTTTGGCATAAACCACCACATAGTCCGCATCGGGGCCCTGCATACTGTCAGCTATGTACATGAGAGAAAAAGTGTGGGGGGGGGACAAAGTCTCACATTTGTAATCCACATCTTCGTCCCATTCAAGAGCCAGCCCCCGTCAACAGCCTTGGCAGTGGTCTTCATACTCACGACATCGGACCCGGCCGAATGTTCGGACATGGCGAGGGCGCCGACCTTGTCGCCCGACAGGAGACCAGGGAGAAACCGCTCTTTTTGCTCGGGGCTTCCGTTCAAGGAGAGCTGGTTCACGCACAGCTGGGAGTGGGCGGCGTAGGAGAGGGCGATGCTGCCTTTGTGCAATTCTCAGTGACCATCCACAGACAGACGCAAAGTAGTATTCTTGAAGACGAGATAACGAATTGGGCCTACCAGATGCACGGCTAATTTCTTCCATGACAATGCAGTGGGCTTGATAGCCCATGCCGAGGCCGCCGTACTCTTCATTCGCGGTGATGCCTAGAAATCTGGTCGGCGGCAATGGCTTGTTAGTGGGATGTTCCTGTCATTGTTGTGAAGAGTGCAATTGATAATACATACCCAGCATCCCCGAGTTTCTTCCACATCTCCGCCGGGAATTCATTCTGGGAATCTGTCCGCGCGGCCAGCTCTTCGGGAATCTCGCGCCCTAGATTCCGCATACGAGGGTTAGAACCATGAATCTCGCGTGGTAGGAAGGTTACTGACTGGTGAATTCCTGAACTCGTTCCCGGAGCTCCAGCAGGTCATCTTCTGTGGGAGGAACGAAGTCTTTCGGGTGTTTAGTAGCCAGAGTGCGCAGTGCGGGGATTGGGATGAGGGGACGGCGTGGTCGGGCCACAATGCGCGAGGAAGTCCGGAGGAGACTGGGGAATCGAGGAAGGGCAGCCATGGTAAACAAGAGTCAGAGAAGTATGAATGACTTCAGTGATTCAAAAAAGAAGGGAAAAGAGAAAAGAGGGAGGATAGTCGCGGTGGTTGCAGAGGATGATGATCTCCTCCTCCTCCTTCTCCCTCTCCATCATCTGCGGCTAAACACGGCAACCCGCGCCGTTGTTCGTTCTCCGCATGTCACCTGCTCCTCCTCCTCCGCCGCTCCCTTTCCTGAACTCCTCCTCCCTCTCTCTCCTCTACTTGTTCCTCATTCCTCAAAAGAATAAAACGATAAAGAGCGTGCAATTCCTGCCGTTCACCTTTTGCTCAGTACAGGATTATGCAATAATAGTATGCTATGAACCCCGTCGGTCATTGGGATCCACACTTTCTTTTCCCCAGCTTTCCCCCCCCCCCCCCCCCAAATCCCCCGCAATGCGCGTTCCGTCTCCGCTTCTGCGGAGCTTGAGACCCAACACTCTCCCTCTGCCATTGCGTTCTTCCACATCCAAACCTGCATTACTTTCGAGAGCTATCGCCAATTACACACATCCTCATCATGCCTCTGCTATCTCCGTCCTACCCACTGCCGTGGACACCGCCTCAGCCGATTTTCAAGAAAATGCCCAACAGATGCAAGCACTCCTTGATCGCATGACAAGTCTTCACGGCACCATCTCCCAGGGCGGTCCTCAGAAAGCCAAGGACAAGCACCTCGCCCGAGGCAAAATGCTTCCGCGGGACCGAGTCAGTGCCCTCGTCGATCCAGGCACGTCGTTTCTCGAGCTCTCCCCGCTCGCGGGCCACGAGGTCTATGGAGAGGACGTTCCCGCCGGCGGCATCATCACCGGAATCGGCACCGTGGAAGGGGTGAAGTGCATGATAGTCGCCAATGACAGCACCGTCAAGGGCGGCACCTACTACCCGATCACCGTGAAGAAGCATCTTCGGGCGCAGGCCATCGCGCAGGAGAACAAATTACCCTGCATCTACATGGTGGACTCGGGCGGGGTCAACCTGCCGCATCAGGCGGACGTCTTCCCGGACCGTGATCACTTTGGCCGCATCTTCTTCAACCAGGCCCGCATGAGCTCGCTGGGCATCCCTCAGATCTCCGTGGTCATGGGGCCCTGCACCGCGGGCGGCGCCTACGTGCCCGCCATGAGCGACGAGACGATCATCGTCGAGAACCAAGGTACCATCTTCCTTGCTGGACCTCCCCTGGTCAAGGCCGCCACGGGGGAGGTCGTCTCCGCCGAAGACCTTGGAGGCGGTCACCTCCACAGCACGATCTCCGGCGTAACAGACTACCTCGCCGTCGACGACGCCCACGCCATCGTGCTGGCTCGGCGATCCGTAGCCAACCTGAACTACCCGTCAACCAGTATCCCGCAAAACACCATCAAAGAGCCCCTCTACGATCCCCAGGAACTCAATGGCATCGTCGGCACCAACCTCCGCCGGCAGATCCCCGCGCACGAAGTTATCGCGCGCATCGTCGACGGCAGCGAGTTCGCCGAGTTCAAGCGCGACTACGGGACGACACTGGTGACGGGCTTCGCGCGCATTCACGGCTACCAAGTGGGTATTGTCGCGAATAACGGCATCCTCTTCTCCGAGTCCTCCCTCAAGGGGGCTCACTTTATCGAGCTCTGCGCTCAGCGCAACATCCCGCTGGTCTTCTTGCAGAACATCTCGGGATTCATGGTCGGCGCCGACGCGGAGAAGGGCGGCATCGCAAAGAACGGCGCCAAGCTCGTGACGGCCGTCGCATGCGCTGACGTCCCCAAGTTCACGGTGGTTTTTGGTTCCAGCGCCGGCGCAGGCAACTATGGCATGTGGTGAGTGCATTCTCCCCATCTCATAACCTCCTCCCCTTTCCCACCAAGGTATACAGATAAACTAAGAACGCAGTGGCCGCGCCTACTCCCCTCGGTTAATGTTCATGTGGCCCAACGCCAAAATCGGCGTCATGGGCTCCGAGCAACTCTCCGCCGTGATGGAAGCCGTCGGCCGCACCGCCGACCCCGCCCTGAAGGAGCGCATCGACCGCGAATCTGAGGCGGTATTCTCGTCGGCGCGCCTGTGGGACGACGGCGTGATCCCGCCCGCCCAGACCCGCCATTTTCTTGGACTGGGACTGTCCGCGGCCGTCGGCGGCAAGGTCGATCCCGATGTGCGCACGCGGTTTGGAGTTTTCCGGATGTAAACCTATAAAGTTAGGTAGATAGCCGTCTAGCAGCTATTCTTGCTGTGGACTGGAATCGGGGCCCGGGGGAGGTGTTATGTTACATGTGCATGGACATAATCCTTTAGTTAGTGCTTGGAATCTACTAGGACGGTAGATACCAGCAACCAGTGCATGCATGCAAAGAAAATAACATATATGCATTTACATCACACCAGAATCCCCAATCCTACTTTGAAATATCTATCATCTCCGATATACAGTCCTTGAAAGTACTCCAACCACCGCGATCCACAGCAACCGTCACAACCGTAGAACTTGAGCTAAGCACTTTTATACCCCGCTCAATTCTTACCCTTCCTCAGATGACTAGCAACAACCAATCGATGACATCATCGGTTGTGTAGTGTAATGGTTAGCACACGGGATTTTGATTCCCGTAATCCCGGTTCGATCCCGGGCATGACCTTTGCATTTTCCTTTTTTGCTTATTTTTCGTCAGTGGCTTTTTGGGGTAGTCATGGGGAATTGAACACCGTGACAATAAATATGTTGGTGTTGCTGGTGTTGGGTGTTGGGTATTTGTTGGGTGCGATGGTTGGCGGGTGGGCACCGGCAATGGGTACGCTCGATACCAGTCCACTGGTGATGGCTTACTCGGTACTTCCGTATGTCGGATTAGGTGCAATAATCTGTCACTTTGCAAAATACGATGAATCACGGACAGTCTGATGGGAGTTACGGAGTACTTAAGATGCCTACAAGGGACACTTCCAGCTGAGCTATGTGTTAGCGTGGTCAGCCCGGGTGAACTAGTTACCAAAAACCAAGGCAAGTTCAATCTATAGTGTTTTGGAATTCAGACTGTCTTAACCATACACCACATAATCACCATATCAAACAAGGATACAGGCATAAGGCGCCAAGCCAGTCGGTCAAATATACACTTTTCCATTCCTGAAACACACGACGCATGAGACAAACAAAAAAAAGGCTATAAATCACATATATCTATCGTGGAAACACATTGACAGCGTATAGCGTATGATGAACATGGGCCTGGGATTTAACATTAAACAAGGCTTGTAGACGGAAAGGGGTATGGTATGTGCAGCCAAAGATAAGAGAAAAGAATCAAGTCATGCAGACAAGGAATGATGGAGCGCGTCAGGAGGATACTTCCACACATGCGCTAGATGTTGGGGGAGATTCTTGCTTTCGCGTCGTCGCTATGATTTCGATTATAAGATCACGCAAGGGCCCTTCCGCCGCTTCTTATCCTTCTTTTTGTCGCCGCGGTTGGGATTCTCGCGTTTGCGAGACGAGTCGTCACTCTTCGCGTTGCCTTGCAGGTCCTTCCGGATGATCTGTCGGCAAAGGTCAATGAAGACCTCATTCACGTTGGCTCGGCGACGAGCCGAGGTTTCGTAATAAGGGGCGTTGCCCCAGCTCTGGGAGAGGGCAAAGGCCCGGGCACGTGGCACGGCCCGGTCTTCCTCGAGATCAGACTTGTTGCCCACAATGACAATGGGTACTTTCTCGTCCTCCTTGATGCGAATGATCTGTTCGCGTAGTTCGGATAGTTCGTTCAGGGACGACATGCTCGTGATGGAAAACACAAGCAGAAAACCCTGTCCCTGCTTCATGTATAGCTCTCTGTGAGTGAGGTGTCAGTTGGGAAGTTGGCTGAATGACAATAGTGATCGTCTTGCGACTAGCTTCCAAAAGAGATGCTCGAGGGTGGGCGCAATGGGTTACCTCATGGCCGCTTGAGACTAGTTAGCAAGGAGGCCACATCGAAGACGCATGATTGACTTACTGAACTGCTCTGTTCCCGCAGTGTCCAGACTACACATGTCACTCAAGTCAGTCATTGATTCAACCATTGGAAGCCGAAATTCATCTTAGCGAACGAAAGCATACATCTCCAAAATACATTGTCGGCCCTGCCGAGGGTCAGTAGTTGCACCAGTCTCGGAAGAATAGCCCGACTTACGTCTACCTCGATCTGCTTTCGATAGGAGTCTTCAATTGTCGGGTCATAGCTCTCAATCCACACATTCTGTACGAATTGAGCTGTCCAGCGTCAGCACGGGGCGCCGCGTACATGACCGAGGTTGATATTATTCAGACATACCAGTCAGACAGCTCTTGCCCACACCTCCTATTGCGCCGACGAGAATCGCCCGTCGTCAGTGGAGAACCTCCCTGTAATCGCGAGAGGAGAATGTGCCTACCAGCGCCTAGAACGACGATATGATATTCCCGTCTGTGATGAACAACCGAGCAATCAGCTTTCTCCGTCCAGGGAATATGTCCAAGAAAATCAGGCGCAAGTCAAGAGACTTACTGTGGCCGCATTGGGGACGATGGCTGTCACTGCGCGATTATGGCGATTTTGGGGGCTGGGTTATGGACGATTGAAGTTGTGAAAAGAATTCTGATAGAACAATCGATGCGAAATGAGTTGTTGATCGGAGAGGAGATCGAATCTGCGGTCGAAACGAGAACGCGGCCGAATGCGACGATTGCGAAGGTTGGCCGAAGGAGGGGAGGGAGGAGAACGGGGATTGTTGGTGTTTGTCTGTATCGATCCGCACCAATCAATCAATAGATGGACCGGGGAGGGGGAGAGGAGAGAGGTGGAGTGAGGGGGCGAGGGAATGGTCGGAGGTGAAGAATGAATTGATTCCCTTTCGGAGGATTGGAGGCTAGTCGGGAGGAGAGCTAGAAGAGCAAGGGCAACAACCACACGCGATCCGTTACATCGGTCTTAATGCCAATCGAACCCCAACCAATTCCGCGGGAGCTGGCAGGCGGGAAGCGTCTGACGAGAAGGCAAGAGAGCAGTCTGAAGCAAGGTTGGGAGAGGGGGGTGGGAGTTTGTAGGAGTAGCGGTTATTGGTCGAAGAGGAGGTCGGAATAAAGGAGAATGAATGGGCGCTGGGGAAAGTTGAGGCGGCGAGTTTTTGGAAGTGGGTGGGAAGGTGTGGAAGGAGGAGAGCGAGAGAGAGAAAGAGAAAGAGCGCGAGGGAGGGGAATTTGGCGCGTTTCTGACCACGGCGGGAGACTAAAAATTAACTAAACTAACAAGCAGTGGGAGGTGAGCAACTGAGCAGGCAAGTATTCAACAAGCCTCAACTTCTCAAGAAGTGTTCATTGAGGGGGAAACTCGAGGGAGAAGACAGAGAGACCAGCCAAGGCCCAATCCACTTTTAAGTGGATGCAGCTGTGGTGTCGGGTTGTGGTTCGGCTTAATGTGGGGGAGAGAACAGTGTGTGTGTGTGTGTGTGTGTGTGTGAGTAGAAAGAGAGGGAACTGCGATAACAATAAAGCTGATTATTCAAGTGTCGACACACACACACACACACATACACATTTACACTTACTTTAGGCTTGTCCTGATGCTCCCTGTCTTGGTTTATTGTAGCTACTCCCTTCAATCTCAATCCCTGAATGGAGTACCCCAGCGGTGAGGAATCAATGGATGATAGCAAGGTTGAAAACTTTAAAACCATGATTAGCATTGCTCGAGCTTCTCGCCATCAAGATAATCACAGTATGCCTTGGCCAGGGGAGATAATCATTGGATCGACCGTCCTGTCCTTCCTGCTCTTATGCATCCAGCCGACCTTGAGCATTCGAGGGGATGTCTCTGCATTGTTGGAGCTGGGGAAGACGATAAACAGGCAATGCAGCAGCAAGTAGAAGCATTAAACGAGATCACACTATCTTACTCACCTGGGCTTGTGGGGGATTTCATCAAAATTGTAACACTACTAATAGGACAAGAAGCAAGTGGTAGGTTCAGGGGAAACAAGAAGGAGGGAAAATTAATGGGCGGTTGCTGGACAATATACTTGTTCTTATGTTTTACTCCCTTGGGTTGGCAAAGAACTACAACTTGACTTCTGATCCCGATATGGAATCATCATCTATCCTCACCTGCCTGGTTCAACGTCATCCATCTGCAATCACCACGCAGTAGCACCAAACATTGAAACACCTCATCTCATTCCTCGATCATCATCCACACCCATACTTTTTCTCCCACTCACTCACTTGCCAAAACATACCTACCCATCAATCACTTCAACTTGCAGCGAGAAGCCTCAAGCAAATACAATCCACAAAGAAAGTACCTACGCTCATCAGACCAAACCAAACCCACAAAAGAGAAATACAAAAGAAAGGAGAGAAAAGAAACCCCCTCCCCCCCGGCAGGATCATATCGGGAGGAAGCATCCGGACAGGGGCAACGGCCAGCTGTCAGGGACGGGATCAGGCCCGAATCCTGCAGGGTACTTTTTCGGTGCTCACTGGTTTACTCTTTGCGCAGCACCAAAAGATATACGGAGACAGTGCAGCACAGTTTTAGTTCTCTCTGCTTCACATGTACTGTGCCTACCTACAAGACGAAGTACAGGTACAGGCATAAAGTATAGCACCATGTAATTCCACATTAACCCAGGCGAAACTGCACAGTACCTTCCCGTGGCCCGGGCTTTCTGCACAGTAGTAGTCCTCTATAGTAATCCACACAGACCAACCAAGCATTCCCCTGTACTTATGTCCTCCACACTGTAGCTTATCAGGCACAACAATCAAGCAATACTAAGCACCACGGAATCTCATACCATATGGGGCATGGATTAAATCACCGCTGCGGTCTAGCAGGGAGGGGGGATGTGTCAATGGACAGTATCACAGGTTGAGCGAGAGCGGGGATCTGATCTATCATTCCGTACTAAGCGATTTTACCCAATTTTGATCCGTGGCGAGGAGGGAAATATGTACTGTACTCAGTATGAGTACTTATGATAGCATGGCGGATTCGTCATCGGACAAACACACCTCAAGAGCAACGCGAGTCTGGATTATCTGTTGGTTGACTTAAGTAGTCAGTTATGAGGAAGCGGTGACATAAGTCGCATTCTTGCATTGCATTGCGTTTCGGTAGTAGCTGTGGACGTGGGCGGTGTTTTGACCAGTGACTGCATTGTACAGCTACGGCAATGTCAACGCGTCAAGGGTCATATATACGAGACGGCTAAGGGACTGGGTACCTCGTCAATAATCTTCGGGTGCTCTGGTCTAAACTGATACATTGCCACAAACAACCTTGACGCCTTAACCAGACAACACAGGCAGGCAATCCTGATGTTTACAATACACAAAGAAGAAACAGACCCCCCCTCTTCCCTCCAAGCAGTATGATAAAGTACCATGCATCTATACATGTATATTCAATGCATCTAGCAGCCAATTGGGTTCGAGCCGCTGCAATGAGGCTATGTGCTAGCTAGCTAGCCTTCATTTTCAGGTAACCCGGCTTCTGACAGAAAGGCTTCCACAGGTAGTAGAGCAATCTAAAAAGTGAAGGATGTACCCATCGAGCTGTCAACCCTCCGATCTAGGTGAGATGTACATGGCGGTACATTCAATCCTCCTCTACATGTGACCCCGGCCTGATCGAGCCATACGAAACTAGAGAGAGCACAAACCTAATCGGATCCTGCCACCTCTTTGACACCATTAACGTGATCCGACCCCTTGCCCTTGCGGCCATACTTCTCCAGCGCATCAAACACATGACTGAACACCCGCTGGTTCACATCATGGGCCCACAGGAAATCCAGGTGCTCGTATTCGGGGAACCCCTTAGCCACAGTTCCACTGGGTAGCTCGGATAGCATGACATTGATGTCGACCAGACTGTCACTTCCGCCGTAGAGCAGGACGATAGGTGTTTGGATGTTCTTGGTCGGGTACTTGACCGGCTTGTAAAAGCGCTCGCTCGCCACGATGCTGAGCGGAGCATGGATTTCGTCATCATAGAACTGGAAGTTTCGGTGCCGGATAATCTGGAACCAGTGGACGACCGACTTGGTACTCGTAAAAGAAAATAGGTGCAAGTACCCCGCCAGCTTCTGCCAGCGACTGATGTTTTTGCATCGCCAGTTGAAGAGGCCTCGAAGCGACGTGTCAATGATCCAGACGAAGATAGGAGGGTAGAGAATGGTCTGCCACATTGTGGTAGAGCTCAAGATGCTGCGTCGGCCAAACAGGAGGAACAGGAAGTTAGGCGAGGCCTTCATCAAAGAGTCTACAAGATGGTTCGGCAGACCCGTGGGCGCCGTGGCGGGCGCGAGGGCCACAAAAACATCGATCTTCTGGTTCAAGAGGGGATGGATGGAGAGGGTCGCGAAAGCCTGCGCCGTGCCTTGCGAGAATCCGACATATGACAGCGAGGGCTGCTCGGTCACTTCGAGAATGTAACGAATGCTATCGGGGATATCGTGAAAGGAGAACTGGTCGATGGAGAAGTCCCAGAACTCGTTGGTCAAAGGGGAATGCTTGACGGACTTTTTGGAGTACTTGTTGCCGCGATTGTTCCCCAGCCACACATCATAGCCGCGCTCGACCAGCTGGAAGGGCAGGCATCGCTCCTCCTCGGACAGGCAGACCCAAACCTCACTGCACATCATCAACCCATGGTGAAGGTACACCACTTTCTTCTTGATACTCCCTTCGCCCTGGTTGATGCGCTTGCCTTCCTCGCCCTTGCGACAGGAGAGTCGATGTAAGCCGAGCAGGTATCCGTCACCAGTCTGAACAATATGCTCCTCCGCCTGGTACCCGAACAAAGCGCAAATGTCCGTGAAGTCGGACGCCTGCGCCACGGCCACAGCCACCTTTTCTTCATTCTCACGCTTGTCAAGGTCTTCGCCAGGCGGAATGAGGAGGTTGAAGATGGTTTTTGAACGATCGTAACAGAACCGAATGACAGGTTCGGCTGCTTCCAATCAGTATGCGACCCCTATCGAAGCGAACATCAACCGGGGAGGGGGGTTACTTACGCAGACAAAAGGTGATAATATGAATCACCCATTCCAGCAACACCAGGATGAGCGACCCAAAGAGCGCCAGGTACTCGAACCAAAACAGCCTCCCGATAACCGGTACGCGCGCCATGATGTAGGCCAATCTTTACCGCGCCGTAGGAAAAGAAACAAAGAATAAGAAGAGAAACTCTGTGTACAAGCAGTTGCAGTAGCTCATAGCGCTGGGACCCTGCATATTATAACAACAAGAACCAGCAAGGATACCTCCCGCCTCCTACAAAGGAGTTAAATCACAGGGTTTGTCCATCTCCTCAGACGTCATTGGGGGGAGAGCGAGAGAGAGAGAGGAGGCCGGCCGTTTCTTCATGTGATGCTTACCTAATCCGGGGAGACAAGGTCGGTTTCCCATCGTCAATTTTAAAAGATGGGACCATACAAATCAGCGTGTCCATTGATTCACTCTTCCGGGGAGGGGATCAGTCGAGCAACTACAAGTCACAATGCCGGCTTCCTGTAATGAGATTAGTGAGTCACTGTCCTTAATATTGTCCCTATCAGCCTCAATCGTCCTTGCGCGCGCGATCCAGTATCCGCGGTGGAGGATTGCAGAACAACCCCCGAAATAACCAGCCTCATACTATCGAGCGGACATATGAGACTTGACACCTCCGCTCTAACACGTTCCGTGTCTTTGCGGGACTCTAGGGAATGCATTGGCGCAATGCCTGCAAGAATCCGACTGCATCATGGTCCAGCGACACACGCCGCGGGAGTGTCTCAGTGAGCCTCACGTCGACCAACTGCCCATTCGGTGCCAACAACTGAAGAAGGGCTTCAGCGAGTGCAAGTGAGTAGGCCCTGCGATTGGGGGTGGTTGGCTCGGCGTCCTATATCTCAGCGACCCTTTCCTCCCTGCACCAATGGCTGGCTAACTTTACCACCGAAAATAGGCGCGGCTTGATCGACATGCGTAAACGATTCCGCGGGAACCAGCCCATCTCGGTGTCCGTTGAGCTCGAGGGCGGAAGCTCCAGCAAACAGCAACTGTATGCCGGAAAGCCGGCGTTCGAGTCAGTCAAAGAGATCAGTGGAGATGAGGTCAAAATGGATCCCGAGAAGACGAGAGGTCTGTGAAGAGGGAGAAGAAGAAGAAGAAGAAGAAGAAGAAGTAGAAGGAATACGCGGTCCTGTGTTAACCCACTGAGAGGGGGAAGGGAAGGGAGGGCCGAAAGCTATGTTTTTAGCAACCTCCCATGCATTTCTCCTTGGTACTTGGTAACATGGATTGGATTCTTCCTCGATATACCACCTACCTTTCGGGTCGCTTCTACTGGATTTTACTCTTGATACTCTATTTACTGTACTGGCATGGCTTTGGAGTTTGATTGGGAAAGTATGGGACCACCTAGCCTCCTCTCATGTGAATTATATCCTAGAAATGTACATACTTCGGAAGCAAATCCTCCGAACGGATTCTACACTCCTATCTTATTACTTGCACGAGATAGACTAGTGCGAGAGGACACCGTGACAGATATAATGTACGGAAACTGTCATTGACTGGACATCTAGATAAAATACAATCACTGGTTCTTCTTAACCTTGGCGGAGGTAGGCTCTGAGTAAAGCCACACGGCCACAAAGGCCATGAAGCCCCCGATGACAGACCACAGCCCGGCAATCCAGACCCAAGCCCCGCTGATCTTCCAGCTGCGGGCGAACTCATTGTGGGCAAAGTGGCGCACCGTCACCTCGTGCTTCTCCTCAATATTGGTGAGGAACGGACGCTTGTAGTTCACACGGAACGAGAAGATGCCGTGCTGATCGGGAACGGTGAACTGGGTGCGGAAAACGGTGCTGTTCTCGGTGTGGTAGGCAGGTTTCAGCTTCAGGCGGTGGAAGGGGGAGAGCATGGTGAACTCGAGCTGAAGGGCATCGTCGGCGGGCAACTCAAAAGGCACGAACTTGTCGTAGCTGTACTCAGAGACTTCGATGCTAAAGACCTGTGGTTATGAATTAGCGCAAGGCTTGGTATCGTCAAGGCTTGCAGAACATACAGTCTCGTTCTTGACCCGGTAAATGGTAGGGTTTAAGTCCTGGGCGGTAATTTCGTCCTGGGCGAGATGGTGCTCAATCTTTCCGACCTTGAGGACACCAGTCTCTTTGAAGGTCCAAGCAGTCAGCTGCTTAGCAAATTCCTGGTTGACCGTGGTGGTCTCCTTGCCACTGCCGGGGGCCTTGACGGTGGCGGTGAACCACTTGTCCTGTAGACTCTCCACGGAGCCAAGTAGGGTGAAGCGAGAGGAGCTGCGAGTCTGCAGGGTTGAGACTAGAGCAAGCTGGGAGCCGGTAGCCGCGATGTCCTCGATCGCGGCGTTCTCCTCCTTAGGGTTGTAGCTATAAGCAGTGGCCGGAGCACGCAGAATAGGCGCAATAAGGATGTTGTCGCCGAGAGTGTGAGGCGCAACCCGAGGAAGCGCCAGGACACCTTCGCCGTCGAAATACGACTTGGTGTCGGGTCTCAGCTGGCCGGGGCGCTGCAGAAGCAGAACATCGTGCTTCTCAGCGGCGGAGATGGTATCATAGTTGAAGTGATCAACGACAATTGACGAGCGATCCGTCGACAAATGAAGGTCAAGCTCCAAAAGAAGCGAGCTGATGGCGCTAGGCGTGGTGGACTTGCCGGAAAGAGCGAGGAGGACGTTGCCGTCCTTGTTTAGGAAGTCGACGATGTTCTTGGGGCTCAGAGAAGGTCCAAATCCTGAGACAGCCAGTCAATTGCACGCCCCGCTGCGATTCGCTCAGCCATCAACTTACCCTTGGACTTCGGAGGAAGAAGAAGGAGATGGTCATAAGCTCTCTCGCCAAGCTCGAAGAGGGAGAGCTTGTCATTCTTAGGAGATTCAAAGGCGATGTCATATCCGCGAGCTTGAATACAGCACCGTCAGGACCAATTGCTTCATTGAGGTTGCAGAACCATTACATACCTTTTAGATCCTCCCAGAACGTAGAATAGTTACTCTGCTCGGAGGCATCCTCCAAGACGACGAGGAGACGGTTCCCGGAGCTACTGAGCGCATTCACAACGGCGAGAAAGCCGAAGAGGAAGAAGGAAAGACACCAGCGCATCATGTAAAGGATCCGCACAGCGGCGCGCGGATGAGCAAACGACAGAGAAGGTTACCGAGGGACGAGGAAAGAGCCAGCTCCTGGCAGACGAGAATGAGAGGGGGGTGAAGAAGTTGAGGAGGAATCAATCGATGCCTGTCTCGCCCATCAATTCCACAGATAAGTATTGTCAAGAAGTACGGAGTAGTTTAGTAGTTGAAGCAACGAACGGGCGACGTGTTTGGACCGAATGCCAAGACCGACTGCCGCCGCATCCACACTTCGGCTTTGGCGTCACCTCCATCGAACCTCGTCGTTTAACCCCCCCGCCCCCGTCGCATTACTCCCCTCAATCCTCAACGTCCCCGTCCAAGGCTAGACGACCGTGCAGTCAAGGTTCTTGCAATCCGTCAACGTTCCCTGGCTGAACTCATACCAATCGCTACTATCCACAAAAAACCCGCCGACGTCCGCGCAGACCGTGTCCAACGCAAGAAAAACCCTTTCCAACCAATTCGAAGCTATCCTCCCCCAACCCGCAGCCATGTCTACTCCTCAATTCTGGTCGACTCCCATCCGCTACTGCCGCTGGGCCGCCCACGAGAAGCCCGCCATCTTCTACTCCCTCATTGTCGGCGCCATGGGTCCCGTCGCATTGGTGACCCTCCCCCCGATCAGACGCTACTTCGGCTCCTACAACCTCCCGCCTGTTCCCTTGACATATCCCAGTAAGAAGCAACTTTTTCTCTCTTTGAACAAAGACACACAGTTGTTGCATGAAAGGAAGCTTTAGTTCTTTTGCTGACATCCTGCAAAGTCCCCGCCGGTCCCCGAGTGATTCCGGAAGGCTACGATGACGAGTAGACGCAATACCACACCATCAGACAACATATACAATTCAGCCAATACAATACCTTTTCTTTCTTTGTTATCTTGCTCCGAAGTCCAGAAGTTCTTGTTAGGGGTCCCAATAGTTGGCTTTATGGGTCTTAAGTAAGCAATATCAGAAGTGAGGGAGGAGAGGACGGTCCCGTTGGATTGGGAAATTTTAGCAGCATATACACGCCATGTGAGGTTAAAGGGTATAGCATAGTGTAAAGCTGGCTGAGAGACGGGGGAAATATCTCACAGAGACATGAAATGGCCTTGACCGTGGCGGTAGCTTCTCAGAATTGAGGTTCAGCTTCCATCATGCCTCGTTTAGCTTGCCTTTAACTTACTTGGTATGTTTTCTGATAGGACTGGGACCTTGGATGGTTTGCTGCATGCCAATTGAATGGTGTAAAATCTGACTATGTACCGTTCGTGAGATGAAGCTGTCTACCAAGCAGAAAGAAATCGAGGAACCATCCTGTACAAGGAATCTCCTTTTCATTTTCTCAATTCACGTGATTGTCATTCTCCTAACAAGGCTGCAAAATACAAATGCTTCAGATTTCAACCTCCACACCCAATCTCCAGAGTGTGCCGATAGGACTCTCCAAGCATGTCTCTTCTCCGTCCTGGTCTTCAAAGAAAAAACCCAATCCTAATGAAGTGACTCGCTCCGATGAAAATCACGAAATAACTTCTCCGAAGTTCAGGTATTGAAGAAGTGATATGTCGATTGGTCAAGGGAATAAACATTATCATTTTCACATTAGCATGGGTAGGGGGAGCACTGGGGCAAAGCAGAGTAGGCGAATTCAGTACTGGGGTTCCTTGCTTTAGACATATTGAACGAAATCAAAGGCCATGACATTAGGTGCAAGGATGCCGAATAGATCCAGAAAAGATAGATATTGGTCAGCATAAAGAAGCAATGAAAGATCCACAGGCATTCAGGTCACCGATTTCCAATTTGACGCGCATTGCCCGCAGATAAATTAGAAATCAATAAGAGATTGGAAAAGCAGGAGGCTCCAAGGCAGAGAGACGCAGAGAGCAATCCAAGGTAATGTCAAAGATAATAAGCAAGTTCCTGGATAGACGACCTTGATCCAATTTTGCTAGCGGAGGTGCGTACCAGTAGTAGAAGCCGCTTGGATGATCAATCATCATGATCATTATCATCACCATTACTATTGTCGTCGTCGTCTTCTTCATCATCAAGCCCTAGCGAAGGGGTTGTCTTCGTCGGCAAACTTGGTACAGAAACTTGGTACAGGTCAAGTAATCGCCCGGGCCGACGTGTGTTTCACAAACCAGCAGCGGCCCTACCAGATCAGATACCTCTCCCCTGATGAATTCCAAAGCAAGATTGACTCTATCTCGGTATTCAAGAGGATACGTTTCGTCGTGGTCATCGTAGTCGAACGGGTCAAACAAGGGGGCCCAGTCCATCTTGCCTGGGCCCTCGTCTCATGTGGCTGTAGGAGCTCACACCTCTATCTTGTCCACGGTAAGTGCGTTCGGTTGCGATGCCATTCCAGAGCGATTCTCGAAATCTCGCAGCTGCCACCCACTCACATACCGTCCAGCCCAGAACAGTAAGACCAATCACATCCGCAGAGGTGATACTAGCGATACTTTCAGTATGACCATCCCAACATTCCAAGCTCATGAGTTCGTTATAGACTTCTTGGCATATCTGGACGGGTTTATTGTAAAATTTCCTGCAGACGTGGCGAGCGACGGCAACTGTCCCTTCAAGATCTTAAACATATTTCGCCAAGTTTTGCGGATACCAAGGGGCCAGTGCAAGGAGCCGAGATCCCAGTTACCATGGGGTTGTCCGCGTATGGTCTGTAGACCTCCCGATCAGCATATATTCTTACGCGCAAAATCTCTCACAGCGCAAGGACTCACCTTGATCTCCAGCTCGCCATATCTATGATCCGGTGCAGGCATCCCAACGATTTCGACCGGGATGGCATTCGGCGAGTTGGAGATCCCGGCACGGTTCTCAACTTCCCCCAGCATCTGTCAAATGGACCGAGGCTCTGAGCAAGTGCGGAAGACTGGAACCTGTACTCCATTCGGAAAGGAAACACAAATGCTTTCAGATTATCCCCGGGATCATATAACACGGGCACAGGATCCTTTGTAACAATCCATTCTGAGGCGGAGGGTACAGGGCAAAGAACCGTCGGTTTCCCAATTGAGGGGGTGGAGCATCCATCGTGGCAGGCTGCGTTCAACAGAGGCGCGGATAACAGAGGCGCGGATGCTGTGAAAGAAAACGCAGCAGGTGGGGATGTTACAACAGATGGATGAGAGAAACACGAGTGGAGGCAGGTTGAGAGGCCTCAACTGCACCCTGCTTAGTCGTTGCTTAGTCGTTGTGGTGCATTGTGAATCTTGCAGCATAACATAAAGAACTGGATCGTTCCGGAAGATTGCATGTTTGCGTAGGAAACCAGCTGTACCGTGGGTTGATGGCTGCCCTTCCGTGACTCCAGGACAAGCACCCATGATTGCGTGTGCAGTCTGCCCAAAGAAAGCACAGGAGAAGAAATTACAATGATCAGGTGAGCAATAGGTAGACATAAGAGCACGGACAGAGATCAAGCAGGTGCGATTTGAGAGGTCAATAGAAGGTAGATTGATTATCAAACAAACTTGGAACCACCGGTGTCAAAACCAGAGACAACCATGTAAAAACCAGACATTAACGCCGTATATGCTCATATCTACATATAGCTCGTGGACAGCATCATATATCATCGAAGCTCCTACTACCCGATACTGCGGAAAATCGGTCGGTGCTCCTCGCCAGACTCAAGACATCGCAGGAATGATTCCCGGCAAGCCCTCGATAACAAAGGACAGAAGCAACAGAAATCAAGATACCATAGCCTATTCACAAAAGAAGCAACCAGACGACGCAAGAAAGAATACCCAGCATGAAAAGGAGATTCAGAGACAGCCAACGCCGATATTGCAGATAGAAACAAGCCACAAAGCCCCCTCATCCCCGAACACAATACATGCGGGTCAATCTCGAGGTCCCAATTTACCAAGCGTCCCCGCATGTCCATTGTGAGCAGGTCCGCTCGAACACGAGCCAACGTCAGCGCTGACGTCGAGCAAGGGCTCCGATGTAGATGAAATAAATATATGAATGGTATCCAGGTCGAACAGTATCCAGTACTCCAAGTGTCTGGCTCCGTAATTCGGATTCCCAAAGTCATGCACGCTTTTTTTCCCTTGGCCTGATGTTCCAGTAAGGCTAAGAAATGCAAGAGGATTGACCCTCATGATGCTCCAATACCGGAGCGTGAATCTGGAAATGCCTGCAGTTTCCAGGGGGGTAAGGCCGTCATTATAGCACAATGAGAGATGTGATTCTCGCCTAATCCCACGAGCATGGGATGATAGTTATGCCTTCACCGGGTTCGGCGAGGAGCTTGGCTTTCTCTTGTGGGCTGAGGCCTGTTGCGGTCTGGATACGTCGACTCAGGAGTGTATCTGGGATCCATTCCAATCCTCGGATCCGCGGCTGTAGTGGGAGGGTATGCGATTCCGGAAGTCACGGGGGCATAGTCCTGATCGGTCTCATACGTTGCCGGGCCGGGGTAGCGTGGAGCATTGTTTCTTCCATTTTCATAGCCATAGCCGGTGCCGTATGTGTAGGATGGGTGAATGTCGGCAGAAACCGCAGGTTGACTGGGAGCAGAGTAGGGAATTTGTGTCGGAGGGTAAGGGGCCTGGCCAGTTGCAAAGGGTGAATGGTTCGCAGGGTATGATGAGGGAGTAGGGTACGGGGGACTCTGAGTCGCCGCGTACGGGGGTTGAACGTAAGGATCCACAAACTGCTGAGGTGCTGGAGGAGCAGTGTACGCCGGTGGGGGTGAGGGGCCTCCTTGCTGACGTGCTTCATGAATGGTCGTGGCTGGATAGGTGACGGGGGAGATGTTAGGCGCCTGGGAATAACTGTAGTCGTGTGCGTAGCTACCTCTGGGATTGCCTTGGTCCATTCGGCGTGAAACATCTGCCTCCCACCGAGCAGAATCGGCTTTGAGATCGGCAATCATTTCCTGTGATGCGAGATTCCAGTCAGTTGGCGGGTACACTCGAGGCAAGAGCCACTGGAAGAGCTTGGAGGGAACATACAGAGGTAAGATTGCGGTAGGCTCTGATGAAGTAACCTTGGCGACCCTGTTGAATTGTCAGTTTCGCATCCTCACAGATGGTTGCTGCCAGCAGTCATATCACGGCATAGTCAAAGATGCAAGAAGAATATCAGGGAACAGACATTGTGGTTTCCAGGTCTTACGAGAGCATCATTCCCGAGGTAACGGCAAATATCTGCTTGGATGACTTCCCGGCTGATACCGTCACCGGGGATGAAATATTCATTCTGACGCTCCGGGCGTCCTTCAAATCCATGACGGCCAGTCATTTTGTCCAGGGAAAAGATGGTCTCCAGATATTAAATTTATAGTCAAAGGGTCCAAGTGGCCAAAGGGGAATCCAGAAGTATAGGGATAGCCGACGGGTCCAGAGGAATAAGACGATGATGGATGGTCTTTTAGGTTGCTTGCAAACAAGAAACGGAACGAAGTGCAGTTTTCTAAGAAGCTGTATCCGGGAAATCCAAGGCTGGTTGACACAAGCACAAATGCAGAACACGAAGGCGAAGCTGAGTCCCCACAGTGGTAAATCTGGCTTGGTGATCGACTAGAAGAAAAGAAACAATTCCGGCTTGGGCGCTCGATGGATCCAGGAAAGTTGTCAAGAACGATTTGAGAGTTTCAGGTCACTTTGTTCATTAAAAGTGAACCAGAAATGGAAGAGACAGTCACGGTATGGGGGGCAACGGTCCCAACGAGGCGGATGTATAAAATCGGAGCGAAGTTGATGGCTGAATTCAGGTCCGAGGCTGGCAAATCAAAAGGCTCAAGGTCCTGCAAAGAGAACTGGATCTTCTCTTCTTTATTCTTGATATTTCTTTCAAGACACGCCCTGCAGACAAACTCGAATTACCTGAAGCTGATAGACAGTACCAGGAATGAGAGATGAGAGGGTGGTGGATGGATGGATGGGTGGGAGGGAGGAGAGGGGTTAGGGAAGTTAGGGGGTGGGAAGATGCTTGAGGAAGAGAGAGAGAGAGTAGAGGAGAGGAGAGAAGAGGAGAGGGAGAAGTAGACAGAGGGGGGAAAGATAAGAGAGAACCTTTTCCAGGTGAGCGGCGAAAAAGGAGAGGAGAAAATGGAAGAAATGAGAAAATGGGAAAAAGGGAAAATAATGTGAGGAAAAGAAAGAAGAAAGAGGGGAGGAAGATTTGCAGACTAAGCTACTACAGGATGAGTTGAGGGAGGGAGTGCCTCACTAGCGGGAAGACAAGGCGGAAGGGAAAGGGAAAGAGAAGGGCAGTTCTGGATGTGGATTGGGTTGTTGGGCCGGCTTTTGGGCTGCCTGGCCATTGTCCTGGTGCCACGACTGACTCCACTGACGACCAGTAGACCCTCCAGTGGTAATTATTGTCTACCTTTATTGAGATGGGTTAATGAACTAACCAACCCATGATGCGCGTGCGTGCGCGCGCAAGAGAGAGAGAGAGAGAAAGAAAGAAAGAGGTGACTCTGTTTCCCTCTCTCCCTTCCCCCCTCCCCCCCCCCTTCGCATTAACTGACTGACTCCCTCCTTCTGCCCAGTGGTTGGATATTGGGTGCAGACGATTTTCCTGCCTCTACCCGTGCGGCTTGCGGTTGAATGATTATAATTCGATGACTATGACGATCCTCATCCAAACCGAAACCCTCTGGCAAGGGCCAAATGACCAGGTGCCGTGACTGTGAGCACTTCTGCGCCTCTTTTGCCATTGCCTCAATCTATTACTTGCTTTTTATCATCACCACGAAAGCTAAACTCCTCCGACAACTATTATACACTAAGTAGTTATACCTATGAGTACGGCGTACACTCATCATGGTATGTACCTGGTTGTCCCTGACCAGAGCGCCCTGAGCCATGGATGGACTTGGTGGACCGGTGGAAGGCTTCCGATGGGGAAGATTAGATGACCCATGGGTGGCGTTGTCAAACCGAGCATCAACAGAAAGTGATGCTGAATTGCTGATCGGATTGTCCACTTGATCATCATCCTCAACCTGCTGCTACCGGTATTTGCTTGAGTCTTCCCACCATCACAGACAGCACTGGCCGGGCCTCGTTTACAAGTACTCCGTAATCCATGGAGAACTCGAGCTGATGAGTCAGCACACAAGTTCACACGAGCGATTTGCTTTATTCACCAAGGCTGCATCATTCATGATTTCACAATTCAGAATCCCTGAAGCTACGGCGTACTCCGTAGTCGCCCCAGAGATACATGCAGCACGGGGTCATCCGTACCTAACCAGGGTTATACTGCGGACGACATGATTGATTTTCCTGGAACCAGCGAATGAATTATCTCAATATCTATCGGTACTTTGACTCCGAACTCTTCATGCTTTTAGGCGCTCTTCTCGCCCCCTTTCCACCTTTGGATCCTGTGGTGTCTCCTAGATGGGACTGGACAGTGGACACAGCCTTCCGCCTGTTGTTGGTCAGGGTTTTGGGATATGTAGGCAGGTTGGGCAGGAATGCGTTGAGTGGCGGCTTGGGCACTAATCCACCACTCGCCCGTTAAATGGCCTGGGGCACAAATCCTGTCCGCAGCCTATCCCAGTGCTAGATTGAGCTCGGATTCCCCATTTAGCGCGTTCCGTGGGCGACGGGCTGGCCTCGCTAAAGGGACTAAATGTCTGCTCGGGCCGCTAATCGGGGCTCAGTGTGCCTGTGGGACTGCAACAGTGGGTTGCACTGCAGCCCTCTTCTCCAGATGTATCCAACAAGTTAAAAATCCAGAAAGAGACGAGCCTACCAACATCGCTAACTGAATCAGATTAAGTTGAGGAGAAAACTCAAAGGACCAAAGAAGCACGGCAAATTCTAGTTAATTTCCCCCTTCTAGAAATTCTCGAATGGCCCAGTATTGGTCTTCCTTTTCGCGGTCCTCATGCAGCAAATTATTCCCAGGAACACAACCACCAACGCCTACACTCGGCCAGCCGCAGAATCGCAGAATCTCAATCTGCCCTTCCAGCTTGGGTGACCTCAATAGTCTCGGGGGGCCAGTTCTTCCAAGAGACCATTATTGTGTCTTGATGGTTTTCACCCTGCTACGCGCGGCTTTCACCCTCCATCTTCACGAGTGGCGGATGGAAACACAGAACGTCAGCGCTCAAAGATCATGCCCACCGTGTTCGTGCAAGGGCTCACATGTAATTATCGCCCACAGAAGCTGTTCCGTCATCTGCACGGCGGTGTGATCCTCGAGTTTTGGACCCATCCCTCTGCTCGAATGATATCAGCCCAGGTGTCTTCTCTGCCGCATTGTCTCCATAACGCCTGCGTCAACCGTCTCATTTCGACTGGTAGTTAATAGATCATGAGCTGATATTTCGCTCTTCAGAACAAGTTATGCAATATTCAACTCGAATCAGAGGCTGTCTTGCTCGCCAGAAGTCTATACTAATGCTTGCTATTAGTTAGCTATCGTGGGAATGCATTTTCTGCCTGCGACCAAGCCCGGGCAGAGTTCTTGAATCAAAGCTATCAGAAGATCTTGCAGCTACAGAAGTGCAGCACCGGCCGAACGGCTGCACCTTCATGTAGGGGTGAAGCACCACTGCCCCATTGTGCTGCGGTCGCAAAGCATTATTCCTACTACGGGAATCGGTGAAGAGGCCAACCTCCGATTCCTGGACTCATGCTCTACTGTGTAGTCATTCAACATCTAATGCGCATATCCTCCGTAATCCAGGCAATGTGATATCATGGCATCGTTCTGACCAGATATCGCGAAGTACATATGGTCAACGTTGAGTCTGTTGCATTGTAGTTGCCTCGGCTTGCATGAGGCTCAGAAAGTGTTTTTTTCTCGTCATGAACTCAGATGTCGAGTTCGAGGCGTTCGCATACTGAATAGACCAGCAATTAGCTAAGGATTTCGTTATGGGCTTCAGCACTTTCTACCCAACACAGATTTGGGCGCTCACCGAAAATTGACTATCGACCTTGAAGGTAATTCAAGCCTCTGACTATGACTTGGGGTGGAAATCGGCTCTCTTGGGGTGAACAGCAGGGTCATCATCTCCGGGTTCCATGCTTTGTATTGTCGCAGTGAGGCATCAAGGCAGCAGGGTGCTCTCTTTCGGCGCTAATCCTCTTTGGGAAGCGAGATCTTCTGGCCCCGCCGATTCTCGAACCTCCCGAGTCCTCACCAGCTGAACGCGATCTGACCAGCCTCGGTCTCCAGACCACAAGGCGCGCGAGCGTGTTGCCTTTAGGATTTTCATCTATTAGATTTGCTGGCTTACATATGTCGGGTATCCAGTCCGCCATGACACTGCTGCCTTCGCCATGTCACACTCTTCCCCGGAACCCACATTTTCGTCCAGCGATCCCTTGAGACCCGAATCTCAGTTCACCTATCGCCAACTCCAACTTCTGCGACAAAGCTCCACGGCGACGCCTCTCCGCGTGATCGCGCACGTGGATCTCGATGCATTTTACGCCCAATGCGAGATGGTGCGGCTGGGCACGCCGCGCGACGTGCCCCTCGCCGTACAACAATGGGACTCGCTGATTGCCATAAACTATCCGGCCCGTTCCTTTGGGATCACGAGAATGATCTCTGCCGGCGAAGCCAAGAAGCTCTGCCCGGAAGTTGTGCTACAGCATGTCGCGACCTTCCGAGAGGGGGAGGGTGGCAAATGGGCTTACCGTGACGATGCCTTCAAGCGGGTGAGCACGGATAAAGTTTGCTTGGATCCATACCGGGCGGAGTCTCGCAAGATCCTCAGGGTCATGAAGGAGGAACTGTCCCGCTGGCATGCGAAGGTATGCAGCGAGGGCATTGCGGGCGCGAACGTGCAGCAACCTGGTCTTGAAAAAGCCAGCGTCGACGAGGTCTTCATGGACCTGTCGCCGATCGTGTATGGCGTCCTGCTGGAACGGTACCCAGAATTGCGCGCCGGGTCACGTTTAGACGATCGAGTTGCGCGGCTGCCCACTCCGCCCACGACTGCACTGGCATGGCATGCCGAAGATTGCTTGGTCGATCTCGACGAGAACGAGACGGAAGTGGACGACCCGGACTGGGACGACATTGCCATCCTGATCGGGTCGGAGGTTGTCCGCTCGGTTCGCCAGGCTGTTTGGGACACTCTCGGTTATACCTGTTCCGGTGGAGTTGCAAGGAACAAGATGATGGCCAAGCTTGGAAGCGCCTGCAACAAGCCCAACAAGCAGACGATCATCCGGAATCGTGCGGTGCAGAACTTTTTGGGTGGCTTCAAATTCACCAAGATCAGAATGCTTGGAGGCAAACTCGGGGACCAGGTCACTGCTATGTTTGGAACAGAGCAGGTGAGTGATCTGTTGAATATCCCCTTGGAACAACTTCGAGCCAAGCTGGATGATGATACCGCCGCTTGGCTGTACGGCATCATTCGAGGAGACGATCGCAGTGAGGTCAACTCCCGAACGCAGATCAAGTCAATGCTTTCGGCAAAATCCTTTCGACCGAGCATCAACAGTATCGACCAAGCGGAGAAGTGGCTGCGTATTTTTGCAGCGGACATTTACGGTCGCTTGGTGGAAGATGGCGTGTTGGAAAACAAGCGGCGCCCGAAGACAGTCGCCTTGCATCACAGACAAGGCGCTCAGGTCCGCTCACGGCAGATCCCGATTCCCGGCTCGTCGCCAATCGACGAGGAGCTGCTGTACAGCCTTGGTTCGACACTGCTTCGACAGGTCATCGTTGACGGCCGTGCCTGGCCTTGTGCAAACCTCTCTCTGAGCGTCGGCGGGTTTGAAGATGGAGTGTCGAAGAACAAAGCGATCGACTCGTTTCTTCTCCGGGGGGAGCAGGCGAAGTCTGCACAGAATACTCGACTTCTGTCGGGTGACGATGCAGTGGATGTTCAACAACCTCATGAGAAGCGTTTTAAAACTGAGCCGGACGGAATCCGGCGGTTCTTCGCTAAACCTCCGGGGTTTGCTGCGTCGCCTACGGCGGCTGAGACAAGCCCAGGCGAGGCATTACCAAGCACAGAGGTTGAACCGCGTGGCTTAGACGCACCGGCAGAGGATAATGCGCGGCAGTCTCTAGATGCGGTATTTTTTTCTTGCAGCCGCTGCGGCAAGTCACTACCCGAGCACGAGAGGGCCGAGCATGACGACTGGCACTTTGCCAGAGACCTGGTGGACCAAGAGAATCAGACCGGCCGCAGCTCTCCTCAGACTCCGGCAGCATCATCCACTGGGACAATTCAGACACGTAGCCGGGGTGGTCGTAGTGGTCGGGGTAAGCCTGAGAGGGGACAAACCCGACTGAATTTTGGGTAGAATCGCATTCCGGCTTGCGAAAGCTTCAGGCATAACAGACTTGGGAGCCAGTAGCTAAAACCAGCCTAAGCAGTAGGGCTGGTGGAAAATCTTGAGTCGATTCTCTCTCTCTGACCAGCACGGGACCTGGACAGATTGGCTAGCCATGCTGGCCATCCAACCATCTTCAAACCACTATCCTGGCAAGCAGCTGGATGCGACGTAAGGACAGTGTGGACGTCGCATGGGCTTGGGCTATCACCCTTGCAACTGCGATGCCATTGACGGAATGACATCTGAATCCATAATAATCAACTTCGCAAGTTTGAAGAATCGGCGCTTTACCGAACCATTTTCCAGGATCATCGATTACACATGAAGGATTGAATTGGCAAGTCTGGCTCTAGGAAAATCTGAACGTATCTTAATCTTGCTTGAACACAATTGAACTTTCATACGGCATGGAAAGTAGACATTCCCTACTTAACTTGAAGTTATATATATCAGCTCCGCTCCCGAACGGGATTATTAACCCTGGTTCACTGCACTACTCTACACTCTCTCGCCCTTAGACAAATCAAACTTGAATCTCAGGAGCATAAGAACCTGAAACCCATATACAGACACTATAGCCACATCCGCAGAAGAAAGCCCACCTCCCATTATCCGCCTCACGAGGCTCGAGCGTCACAGCCCACTGCAGCATGACATCAGCAGAAGCAACCCTTCACTACACAGCACTACCGCGTACAGCCACAGACAGGACATTCGATGCTAGACTTACACAAATATACTTATACTACACTCCTGTGGCGTGACTTTTGAGAGTGTACGCTGGAGGTATGCAAGATGGTCAAGCTTCCCACAAGCCTCCGCATAAACATCAACGAGAGTGCACGCCGCAGCATAGTTGATGCGCCCTCTTCATAAGCTGACACTGACAGTGTATGTATGGCAGGAATCTCACCTGCATCCTGCAGCAACGTAAGCCTCACCGAGACCTACTTCCTGGAACCGCAATCATCTCCCATCCGACTCGGAACGGAAACGAAGGATCCTACTATCTAATTGGCCACGTTAGTCTACTCAACCGAGCCCCAGCATCCACTGCTGACAGACTCGTCAGTATAAGTATCCAACATGGATAAGGTACTGGCGCTTACTCCCCCTGAGAAACAATCCCACAATCAAACCTCCAAGCTTAACTCCTCCCCCCCAAAATGACCCTCCCAAGATACATCTTCTATTTCCGCCGCAAACCCGGCACCACCCCACAGGAATTCAAAGAATACTACGAACAGCACCATCTCCCCCTTCTCAAAGAGATCGCGGGCGATCGGTTCCCACTCTCCCATCAACGCTACTACCTCGTCCGTGACGCTACGCCCAAAAACCCAGCCCCTTCCAGCGATTCGGACGCAGCGGACAGTACTGAGGTGAACTACGTTCCCCGCGTGCTTTCCGGCGCAGCGGACGATTTCCCCTGGGATGTCTACGCGGAGCTTACCTTTGAGGATACGCAGCATCTGCATGCGTTTCTGGGCCGGCTGGGGGCCCAGGGGAAACGGATTGCGGAGGATCAGGAGAATTTCATGGACTGTACGCGGGTGTATGGGGCGGAGGTTGAGGGGCCGTTTGGTAGTACTGTTTAGGGTTCGGGGTGAGGTACAGCTGGTATGAGGAGAAAGAAAAGAATATTTGGAGGGGACTGTGGTATGTATGTGGTTGAGGTTGAGGAGAGGCTGGCTGCTCAGTCATTCTGTTGACTTCTTCGCTGGCCAGTTTTTATTGGAGAATTGGAGGCTGGGAAGGAGGGAATTGGTTAAGTTCAGTACAGACGAGGCCGTAGTGCTCTGTTGTCTGGTGCTAGATTAGGTAGTGCAAAGGGTACTACAGAGATATAGGTGGAGCATACATACATACTGTACATTCATTGCCTAGGTAGTCGCTATTCCAAGAACCATCCTATTCCATGCCCTATTCTATCACTTTCTCTTCTCTCAGCCCATCTAGCAATCACGTAGACACGATAAGAATAATCAGTACCCGTCTAACGTCAACACCTGTATGCTGAGAGGTGCCATATGCGCAAGGCATGCGCTTCGTTGAGGCTGATCAAAAGAGGCTTAGGATGAAGGCGGGGAGATGCACATTAGGTAACTCCATCTGATGCTTTGGCGCTATTATGGGTAAGGAGTAGGGAGTAAGTCGACTGCTGGATATTGTCTGGAAATCATAGTCCGATTGCTGCTCTTGGACCGTTCTGTCCGAACGTCTGCCGATGCTCTCGACTACGGCAGGATCGTAACAGAGTCAGCAGGTGCCAGCTCAGCGTGTACTATTTCTGCTACTACCCTTTGGGTATATGCTTAAATAGAAACTAAGTAGGTAGAGACATATTTCAATGGAAGATGGACACAACTTATCCATTGTATGGCTTCCCATCATAGGTCTGGTTGAGTGTTTACTAAGTAGTTACGGTGCATAATCTGTGTTGTATAAGACTGGAATATTACTCCAATCACCTACTCCAGTATTTAACAAATTATATATCCGACTACAACCTCTGCACAAAAGAGTAACCCTTTCATGTACGTGGCAGTACCTACATTAGGTCACTGGACAGGCCATGCAGCAATCAGCAAAACACTAACGTCACCACCACCACCCCCCAGCCCAATAAACTGGCTGTGATGTGACGGAGGTGCGAAAATCCTATGCCACATGCACCTGCCGCCATCATCCTAGCCCAACACCTGTTTTCTGAGGTAGAGAATATATATCTATCTCATTTTCCCTATGTCTCCTTGTCGCGGCGGAGCATTGAATGTGCAATACGAGTGTCATCGCCGCAGCCACACCAACACCCCGCACAGCCCGAACCCCTCCAAACAACCACCCCTCCTCCACTGATCCACAACTACAGCTACATTCACAACTCGTCACCACTCGCATCAGGCTACACTCATGACCACTAACTATAAACATCTCGCAACGGAAATTGCATCTCCGAATGAATTCCAGATATAGACCCCCTACACCTCAACGCCAACCAATAAACAGACAGACAGACAGACCACGCAGCGCATACCCCTCACCCGACTTACACCGTGTAAATAATCTCCCGACATAACTCAAAAACTCCAATACCATACGGTTAACTAGCATACATTGACATCTACAAAAGATCAATTTCCGACAATGCCACGGAAGTCGCGTGCCAAAGATCACATTGAAGGAGACATGTATGACCGCGATCGCGATGCCTATCCCCGCCATAGCCGAACGAGAGACCGACGCCGGATTTTCAGAGAAGAGGAGGAACTGAGGTTCGATCGACGAGTACCGCCTCCACCACCACCACCACCGCCCATGGCCGTGCCGGTTGAGAAACTCGAGCGGCTGCGTTTGCGGGAGGAGAGAGTCCGGGGTGGTCCGAAGATGATGGTCCCTGTCTCTGTGCCGCCGCCACCACCGGTTGCACCGCAGCTGGTCCGGGAGGAGGTGAAGGCCATGAAGCCGGTGCGACGACCGGTGCAGAGAGTCGTCGAACCGCGAGAGAGGGAGCAGGGGTTTGAGAAGGTGAGGGATCAGAGGGGGAGGACCAGGTATCGTGGGGTGGATCTCGAGAAGGAGCGGTTTGTCCTTGAGGAAGAGGAGGAGGAAGAAGAAGAAGAGTCGGACTCGGAGTCGGAGAGCAGTAGTCTTGAGGAGAGTGATACAGAGGAAGAGGAGGGTATGGTCGTTGTGCCCAGGAAGGAAAGACTAAAACAGAAGATTGCTGATGAGTTTCACTTGCCACGGGGTACGGATTTCAAGCAGGGGCTGAGGGGAGGGCATCACGATCCTAGGCTTGAGGAGGATGATATGCTGCTGAAGCGTCACTATGAGAGGAGCCGCCATGGACCGGTCTATGCTGCGACTCAACGACATCGACATCAGCACCGCTCTCACCGGCATAAGGACTTTGATGTCGATGGTGATAGTGAGCTTGATGAGGAACTAGACCACGAAGAGGTCGTTCGTCGGAAGTACCGCGAGCGCAGACGTGGTGGTGAGGTGGTTGAGGAGGAAGAGGAGATTCGCCGGTCCTCTTCGGAGATGGAAAGGGCTCGACTACCCTCACCCAAGAGATCCCCTGTCTACGGAAGTACAGTACCTAGTATGCTTTTCACTCTATCACCAATCTTGAAACTTCTGCTGACTTGCACGCCTAGATCCCCGGAAGATTCATCACCCTCGACTGTCTGAGCCAGATCTCCTTTATGAGTCCGAGACCCGCCGTCGGTCTGTCCACGCGTCGTTCCGCATCAGCCCAATACGTAGCTAACTCCTTGAATAGTGAAAGATCGAGCAGAGGACGACGGGATAGGAGCGAGATCCCCATCATCCGACCCAACAAAAAGAGCAACCCTCCTACGCCGCATCCAGACCCTTATCGGCGGTCGAAAGATAGCCTACCCTTCGTTCCTCCTGAACCGAAGATCGCTGAGCGTCAAAAGGAAGTGCTCACCGTGGTACGCCGCGACGGGAGCCACGAATCCTTCAAGGAGGAAGAGTTTGTTGACGAGGACTATTATGCGCCTCCACGCCATCGTTCATTGCCAAGAAAGTCTCAAAAAGAGAAAGAGGAATTGGAGCTTGTCGGGCCAGCCCCCCGGGCGAAACATGACAGAACCGCGCCAGACCATGATGCGTTGCGATACCCGGAGCGGAGCCCTCTCAATTACTCCGACGACGACTCCGGCCGTCAGTTTGGCAGGATAGGAAGACGATACGTCGGTGTCAAGGACCGCCGCGAGCGCCTCTGGACCGAGATCACGAGGGACTTGGTCGTGAAGGAAGCCCTCGAACGGGCGGGCTATGAGTACGAGGAGACGGAAACGTCGTACTTCATATTCACCTACTTGGAGAAGGTGGGAGATGGAACACCCTACAATGCATGCCTACGACGAACCCGTGAACCCCCTAGCTGACTGCTTCTTGCACAGGAGGAGGTAGATGCACTGATCGAGCAATCGGAAGACATTCGCCGCGCACGCCGCCGCCGGGTCCAGGAGATCCACCGCGAGCGAACTTCGTTGCCTCCTCCCACAGCTCCTGTGCCTCCGCCGCCACCGCCGCCGCCTGCATCCGAAAAGACGGGGCCCCTACTGCTGGACAGCCCGCCTCCACGCTTCCCTCGCGAAGAACGATGGAGAACAGAGCGGGAAAAGGTTGCAGAAGGGGGTCGCTGGAGGCCACCACCACGAGCGGAGCGATGGTGAGGAGCCTCTTAGAACCAGCAGGATCAGTAAAGGATAGGAATTAGGCATTGGATGCTGCCGGCCACATGCACACAAGATTGTTGTGGTTTTGACATGCAATGATACCCTAAGTGACTCTAACGAATCGTGATTTTGGGTCTCATTGGTAATATCAAGACCGCCTTCTAGGTTATAGGCATGACTTAGAGGAGTAATTCACTCCGTACTTCAAAGAAGCCTTCTCGTGCCTGGAATCTCATGCACACATAAACAAATGAGAAGCGAGTCGAAATTTATCAGTCCATTACAGTCAACACATCTAGTTGCCTATGTTACTTCAAGCCCCAACCCCGACCTTACGATTGCTTCTTCAAAGCCATCTTCACCAGTAGCGTCGCACCCCTTTCCACAAACTCTACTTGAACAACAACAGCAGTAAACCATTCCATGGGACCCGTCCCCGTCACTCCCGTATCCTGTTACAGGAGCTACCCGACGAGTGACAGGTCGGAAGACGAGTCAGCCATCCATGACGATGCCGCCGCCATCCCTGAGAGCCCAACGCCGAGCTCGGGAGCTTCAGGAAGATCTGACAGATCCAATGGCTGACCTGTCAGCCCTGTTAGCTGGGTTTCCGACCGGTGGATGTCCCAGTGAACGAGGCTACGGGGTAATTTGATGTGTGCCCAAGGCTCTGGTAATATGTTGTTCTCAGCAACTCAAAGTTGTCATGACTTGAGGAACGTTGGACGAAATAGCGAGAATAGGAAGGAAGATGGGAGCTTTACGATATTATCATCACACATACGGAGTACACCTACCCACACACACATATCACCATCCACAGCACCTTGTAGGTAAAACGCTTCCTCGACTGCATCCGCTTGAGAAACCCATTATACCTCCGACAGCCATCCACGATGGAACAATTGTTCACAAGCACCGTTGTTCATAGGGAGCAGAAGACAGAGTACACACACAGTACTTCCGTACAACGAAAGGTACAATCCTCTGATCCTCACGTCCCGGCGACGGATGACAGATTGTTTACCGATTACCAAAATTAGGAGCACCGGGAGAAGTGGTGATGGGCTGGTGGATCCACCACTGACTAGAGCAAATTAAAAGTGTCCCACCAAAGGGGGACGGACGGAGGGGGAAGGGGCTGAGAGACAATTTATTGCTTGTGGCTGCTATTTTTTGCGATGGGAAGACTTCGATCTGTTAGTGTGTAAGCTAGATGACTTAACTACGCCGTAGGTTGTTTTTGTTGTGGTCTTTTGGGTTGTTGCTGTTGGGGATGGTATTGTCACTGCTAGTAGGATGGAAATAGAAACACATTCTTTGTGCCTGATTCAAGACACTACTAACTTATCATGTTTACTCGGAGGTCGGGGATCCTTTGGCCCCGGAACTACTTACCATAATATGTACTGTACGGAGTACAGCACAGAGAATGGTTCAATTCGGTGAACGTGAGCCTCGCTGGAGTGCATCTCTCAGTCTCTCTCTTCACTTCGAGATGAGAGATTTGAAGGATGAAAGTGATCGGCGGGTGACTAATCCGATCGATCCTTTTCCACTGTTCATATAGAGCAGTATCCGTACTGTGTATTTCGTACTCTCCGTCAGCCACTTCTCAGCCGCCTCTGAGGCGCGGTTTCGAATTGGGGCGTTGTAACTCTGTCTGGGAGGGATCGTCAGGATAATCTGTACTGGGTAGTACTGTGTCAATGATGATGAAGGAGCTACTGGGTCAAGTGTTCTCACTGCCTGCAGTATATCGAGGCCAAGAAATAGGTGGCTGGCTGGCCGGCTGGCTGGCGGACCTTAAGCATAATAACGCAAACGTCCTACGGGTACACCAGCCACACGATACTACAACGAAAGTCAAGTCTTACTGTGTACTCTGTTTTGGGGGCGTGTTTCACTCACTTTCCTCTAGCGACCTGACAGTCGGGACAGCCGTAGCTCCCGCTAGGCAGATGCGCCCCTCCCCTCTTCCATCCCTCTTCATTTCCTCCTGGCTTGTTGATTGTCCTCGCACCTGTTTGAAACATTGCCCGACTGTGTAGTGACTACCTCGTACTCCGTACTCCGTACAGAAACTCACTGGGGGAGCTTCTGGAGATGATGGGGAGGGGATCAGGTCAAACCCCAAAGGAATGGCCGGGCGAGAACCCGGAACCACTGCGAGTTTTGTCGTCATCCATCTTCTTAGCTTTTGTGCCGGTGCTGGATGTGCCCAGCATTTGGGGAATTGGTGAAGCTCATTGGACGACACGCAGCCCTGCGCGAAGCCTAGTTGCTTGATGGTACAGTAGTTGGGGCGCACCACCAGGGATGTACACAGTAGCTGCTGCATGTGCACTCGAACTCGACAATACATTCATTCATGCGCATGCATAGTGGCCCTTGGCAGGTTCCGAGGAACTTTCAACCCGGCAGCCCGTGCGCGATGACTATTTTGCTGCAAATGGATGGTGGTTGGCATCTCAACTCGAACAACACGGTCGGAGGTCGACCTCCCCCCACGTAATCATGATGTGGATGGAGATTGCCGAAGCTTGTCTGGCTGTCGTTTCCGCCCAGTGTCCAATTGTACGCGGTGCCTGGAACTTGACACGAGGGAATTTCGAACCTTGGTGACCTTGGAATGGGCTGGAAAGAATTTCCTTGGGTGGTGTCAACGGGAATGACCGGCTCTTCCTTTCTTCAATTGCTCCACCCACCCACGGTCGCTCTTTTCATGGATGATTCCAGTTGAAATGGGATGGAGACAAAAACTCACTTGGGCTGGAGTATGGATCTACGGAGTAGATACTGCTGGAGTGAGTTCTCTTCCCGCCTGTTCCAGCCCCCCCTTCCTTTCTCCCTCCTGCCCAGGAACAAGCCATACTGTGTACCTCATCGACATAGACAGCTCGAGTCTGGTCAGCTCCGATCCCTTCTAGACCACGGTGTTCCGTCTTGTCTCGCCCGGCCTGTGACTCCACCGGTGCAGGTTCTAAGACCAGCGGCTGCCCCGTGCGGTGGCGAGTACAGGAAGTGATGCAGTTGTGGTCGTTACCTCCTTCTTTGCCTGGGATGATGGTTTTTGCGGTCAGCTTTCAGGCAATAGGATGCGCCGCAGATACTCCATAATACGTAGTATCTATGCTTATGCTAAATACTCAATTAGCATCCTCAGCCGACTGTGTACAGAATATACAGTGTTTCTCTCCGACAGAATGATTACAGGCAGAGTACCTTTAGGCCACGCAGTGCCTGACCAGCTCCCACCAATTGGCAGCCCCGGATCTGCGTCTGTGGCCTGTTCTCAAACGCTGAATAACTTGGCTCGGGTAACTACAAAGTGGCTGACCCCCGGTAGATCCATGCAATTTGAGCAACGTACTTTACATCAGTCCCTCAGTGACTACGGACAATACTGTGTACTTACGTACTCCCCGCTAACCATCTCCCCTCCGCCGTCTTGCCTTAGTAGCCTGTGTCAGACAAAGTGACGCAGGCAGAGAATCGCAATGAAAATCTTGCCCAATAAGACTGCCTTACCGAGTTCGGTCGGATAACTCAAGAGAATTGGCACCGAGAATCGCGGCCGCCCCCCTCCTCTCCTTCCGTTACCCCCTCCCAAGGATGAGGTTTCAGAACAAGGACCTATCGCATTTATCATGCAGCTAGTAACTGTGTCTGTATCGAATAAACATCGAGGTTTGCTTTCTGGTCTGCCGTGCGTGCTGTGACTCTGGACTGGTGCTGTCTGGCTGAAAAGCCCGGACTGCGCCTCACTAGTGTATGATTGTATGGATTGTGAGTCTGAGTCCGAGTTCACCTTGATGTCTATGACTCTTTGCTACCTTTGTTTCTTTGTTCACTTGTTGCTGTCGATGCTGTTCATCTTGTTGTCGTCATCGACTCCAGCGGTCCCCCTTTTTATCCTCGCTTGTTGTGCTCCGTCTGTTCTCCTTTCAGCCTTTCTTCTATTACTTTTTTCGTTTTGTCATTCGCCGTAGGCCCAATTGCGGTGGCGCCATCACGTAAGCAGACAGTCGAGAGTCTCCCTAGCAGATCGGAATTGGGATCCAGTCCACGTACTGTATGTACTACTATGTACACAGTACTATGGAAACCAGATAGGCAAGGTGTACGAGTGCTGGGCGAGGTGTCCACAGCACGCGGCACTGGGGGCGGGAGTCAGTGTTTCCAGATACTTCGCTTCTTTTTAAGATCGTTTGCTGTCAGAGTGATAAAGAGTGATTCTACTCCGTCTACTCCGTAGAGATAGAGGGCGTATTTTGTGCTAAAATCAATCTCGGCGGGAGATCAATCATCCCGTCCGTGGTAAGTTGTTACCTGGTCAAATCGAGGAGATTGTCTTAAAGCTCCGTACCAGCAGAGCGACGCGTATGGTCCCGACGGTTGGTGAAGCCACTAAGCCCGATTGTAGCCTGCAAGCTCCACTCCCAAGCGGGTAAGCCGGATTTTTATTTTTAATTCTTTTTCGGCCGTCTCTTGTCTGTTTCTGTTTTCACTTTTCACTTTTCCGTGGCTGTGTGTGTTTTTCAGTGGGAAGTGCTGTGTTACTCCCCCATAGTGATTTTGAAGTACATGAAAAGGGGTTTATATGCAATTCTTCGACAAAGAGATAATCCATGAAAGGAGGGTGGAATGCTGTGATCACTCTCACCGTATTTGATCTATACTTACGACCAGAGTAAATAGTAAATAAAATCTACCATGGTATACTCCGTACTCCGTACAGTGGAAACATCGGGACTGAGCCGGATCTGGTCCCATTCTGGTTCCTCCCTCCCACGACGCCCGCCCGCTGCTACTGCTGCAGTCCGGGTACTAGACTAGTAACTAAGGAAGTACTCCGTAGGTAAACTTACAGAGTACTCACTCCAGAGCAGTCTCATCTGTTTAGTTAGTTAACTTAGTCCACTCTGAACTTGCTTTCTTGCTTTCTTGCTTTTCTTGCTTTTCTCACCTCTTCTCTCACTCACTTTCTTTTTCTTGTTGTTAACAATCTTCTTTTTCTTTCATAGCCTCTAGTCCAAGGGAGCTAGTCCACACCAACTAACACGATCGCTTCGCGTTTGCTTCTCTGTTCTTCCCTTATCTACGCTGTCTTTCTGGCTCCATACGATCGCTCTGTTCCTTGCCTAGCAAGCCATTCACTTACCCCCCCCCCCCCTCCCCTCCCCTGTTCGGAGGTGACGATGCCGATAACCTGCTAATCCTACCGGCTTCGCCTTGAATCCTGTATCTTCGACTTTCCCCTCTTCTCCCCTCGATGTTTGGCTCTGCGTTCTTTCGCTCCTAAGAACGCCCCATCGTTGCTCCATCGCTCGTCGATTTCCACCTGTCGCTCGTTGAACCAGTTCGACCAGAAGTCGTCGATCGATCAACTTTTGGTAGGTTTCGGTAATCAATGTGGCCTCTGGCGTCTGGTAGCTGATCGACGTTAGTTACTTTGGCCTCGAACCAAGCCCACAAGGAACCTTCTGCGGGATACCTGATCCGACCGGCATTGTGGTAGCTTGAATTCGTTTCCAATCTCGGCACGGGCCTTCCGCATTCCATCACTTATCTTGAGGAATCTTCGAACAACCAACCTCTGCAGAACGACTAACCGCGTGATTCGAGGTTTGTCGTGCCTGCATCCCGTGATATTCTCCGAACCAATCCACTCGGGAGAAGAAGGTCGTTGTGAACTTGCCTCGGAAGGACCTAGTCTCCTTGTCTGTTCATAGCAGCATCTTCGGAGACGACTCCGATTCAGAGTCACCAGTATTTCGGCTTAGATATCATTACGACAGGTGCTGGTGAAGTCCTTGCCTGCCATGCGGGCTCAATTGGTGCTCCCGTCACTGCTCGGGGCAATCATTCTACTCGCTTGGCCAGTGTCGGTTTCCTCGTCCATCACCTACTGTTCGTCCGTGAATACCGGGTCTTCCCAAGCCGCAAGTATGTACTCGCCAACGGCATCTACGGCCTGTTCTGACCGTTTATAGATGAGAGTACCTTTCAATCCAATGGGCTTTGCGAGGATCACTGCAGCACCTATGCATTTGGAATTCTGCAGGGCTATGACTGTTGGTGTTCGAACATTGCTCCCAATTCTGCCACCAACGTGAACAACTCGAAATGCAGCCAAGATTGCCCTGGATATCCAGATGATAGCTGTGGAAGCACGACCAAGGGCCTGTATGCCTACGTTGAAGTAGTGGGCAACCAGCCGTCGGGCACTGCAACTGTCTCTTCAACTTCAACCACATCCACTTCGGTCAGTAGATCCCATGCTTCTTGAAGTATGCGCTTGTGAAGGATGCACATGACTGGATTTGGTACATGCAGTCCAAAAGGGACCGTATCTCTTCTCTGTCAAAATGGCTGTTGAGTGAGATTGTACCGGCGCATCCTTGACGAGTTGCTACACAGAGACAGTCCATATTTCACGAATGCAACTGCACAGACCACTGACTTGGTTTAGACATCTTCGACGCAGTCGTCGTCTACAACCACGTCGGAAGCTACCACGACCACTGGTCAGACGGTCTCGACCGAGACCAATGCTGGGGGTGCGGTCAAGACAGTCTTTGTTGGAGGAGGCCAGGCGACTGCGACGTCGTCCAGTACCAGTACTTCGTCCAAATCCACTAGTAGCTCGGGCATGAATGCGGGCACGATTGCTGGGATCGTGGTGGGGTCCATTGGTGGCGCCCTCGCAATCATTGCTTTGATATTCGTTCTCTTCTTCGCGAAGCGCAAGCAGCGTGCGAGCAGCCCTGATCCAAGTGTACAGAACATCCTACTGGACGGAAGACAAAGCAAAGGCTCACAGATGAGTTTCATGAAGGGCATGTTTTCCGATAACCATAGTCATACTCTCTCGGCCGGATCGTCGATCGCCGCTCACCGTTTGCCGACCTTTACGGACAACCGCATGAAGACAGATACTGTTCTCTTTGCCAATGGTCGTCGCGACAGCGATGCGTCACTCCAGGACAACGAGGACTATTCTCGTCCCGTGTTGCGGGTCAGTCATGTGCCATTTTGATTGTATGCTGTGTCCCAGGCTAACGAAGATCACCAGCTCACGAACCCGGACTAAGGAATGAATCCGGCAAACCGATCTCCTTGCTTGTCTTTTGTTTTACTGCATGTGTCCTCTCCTATGTCTATCTCGATTTGCGTGTTTCGGCGAAAACAGCGGTGTTATGATACCCATTTGTCACATAATCCTCTCGACTTTCACATTTTATTCGACTGCCTTGGGAGATGATGAGTTCGAGCTGTGAGCGACGCGACTCGACCCCGGCCCACACCACACCGAACCGCCGCCACTAACCAACCACCAAACCAACCAACCAAACCACACACCACCACCCGGTCCCATCATCATCCTCGCAATTTCTCCCCTTTTCCGCCGACCAAACCCCGCTTTTCCCAGGCAACGTGTTCCTTCACCAACCAAGCACAATCGCCCGATTGATCCCCTCTTTGCTCGATCTTCTACGCGTCATGTATCTGGTTCTATGACGCAATGACCGCACTCGGAAAAAGAGAGCAAGGGAAAGCGGTGAGAAAGAGAGAGAGAGAGAGAGAGAGAGACAAGCCCTACCGATCAAACACAAATCCATACGGACATGCTCGATTGGCCTGGACACGGGAAGAACTCACGGTCGCTTCAATGGTGCAGCGCGCTGCCGGATCATCCAATGTCCGCTTGTTGTCGACTACTACTCCTTTCACCATCCCCTGAATCCTCTACTACAACCCTCACTCGCCAGCTCAATGGTCGAGAGTGTTCATGTATATCGACGCACAGGACCTGTGTCACAGGCACAGGCTGAAGTACATACTCTAATAGATTAGCAGAGTCCTGTTTTCCTCTTTGTATTCTCCTTTCAATTCGCCTCTGTATCACAGTTGTTTCCTATCTTTCATTATTTATGTTCGAGTTCACGGAGGAGCATTATTCCTCCATGCATAACCGCCTGCATTGAATTCTTTGTTTACAGAATGTGTGATTGGCCAGTGGACGCTGTGCTTTGATCCTAATGGGCTGGTATAAAGCCAAATGATATAGCTTATGATCCCTTGGGCTTAGCAAGTATCACCTACCGTAAAACGTGACTAACTTTTTCCGCATAATCTTCTGAACCACCAACTTCGGTGCGGGTACATCCGTCACATCCGTTTGATGGACCTACTGAAAAACCTTGTTGATGATTCCTCCGAGAATAATGACGACGGAGAGGTAGATCGCGATGACACGCGCACAAACCCACACACCCACACACCCACAAATCCACACACACACACACATCCACACACACACTCCATCCTTTGCCACTCAACCTACTGGTTGGCTTTTTTCTCCATCGTCCAGGAACAAGAGATTCGATCCACATCACCCACCCATTTCACACCCCACCACAAAAACTATCCTTGAGCACAATCACTACCTTTTCTAATTTCTACTCGTGTGCTGACTCCTATCTTCGTCAATCACAATATAGAAAGCGGGTACCTGCATCATATTTCCCCCCTCGCCAAGCAGCTTGTGAGCGGAATCATCGTTCAGAGCATGATGTCATAGCTGTTTGCGTTCCTGGTGTTTTGCCTGTCCCTGACTGAGATGAACTCATCATGATCGGCAGCCTCGTTTCAGATTTGAGGGTGTGTTCAGCGTGTACCAACTGAACTCTTGGTCTGTGATTCTGATCGGCTCTCTGTGATTTGAGGAATCAGGATGAGATTGGGGGATGGTGGTTTTGAGGTTGACCGGGAGTAGTAGTTCTCTTCTCTTCTATGTACTCCGTATTGGTGGTTCTATCTTAGACGACCGTACTCGTTACCATATGATAGCTACTCGCGGCTTGTGTTATAAATGGACGGGTAGAGCAGCTGGCGATTGGTCTTACGTGGGATTTTGGTCATTGAGTATGCAGAGATCCTCAGGAACAGATAAATACCTATGCTAATGCTATACTGTTCTAACTGTGTACTGTATGTGTGTGTGTGTGGCACATGACCAGGCGGGATAGGGATAGCTTTACCCTTCCAGGAAATGCGGAGGTGTGCACTGCATCGACTGGACTTTTCTCCACTTCAGGTCGCTCGATCCGAACTCCCTTTGCCATGCACCAATCCAAGAGCAGATTGCTGTCTCCGGTAGTCATTCACTATGTCACTGTACGTCGACTTTGATCTCTCCCTGCTTTCCTTTGTGGGGGAGATAACGAGGGTTGAAGATGGTATCTGATGGCACTCCAGCCCCGCGAGAGTCTGGTTCTCGATACTGCAATTGTTGGAAGACGGAGTAGTGGACGGAGTTGACACCAGCAATCATTCAAAGAATGAGTGAATGGAGGTTGCAGACCCTACATGTGTCGAGCAAGACCTCTGGGTAAGGACAACACACGTTGAACTGCGGCGCAAGGATGCTCGACACACGGCAGTAGTGATCTCGCGGTGAGCTGATAAGCGCATTGCTGTGCAAGCATGTACAGTACAGTACAGTACATCAGCCAGGACACAGAGCTACCATCCATCACCTTGCTGCTCAGTACTAGTCCCATCGATAAAGCTAGTCACGCAGCAAATCATCTCCTAAGTTACCCCGTGGCGGTCGAATTACCTTCAAGGCATATATCATCGAGACCCCAGGAAACATCCAACTCACACACGCACATCACGGTCCTATCAAACCAGGCTAAGATGTCATGCATACCCCCCCCTCCCTCCTTATCAAATCCTCTCTGCATTCGCACACCCAACAGAGTAAAAAGACCTTTCGTGCACGCACATCACCTCCCCCGCTGAGCCGCAGCGACCGAAAATGGTAGATCGAAACGAAGGGCTAGTTACATACATCCATGCCCATCTCCGCCGGGGAGGTGAGGCTCGATTGTGGATCTTCCACGCGATTTCCTCTCTTCTTCTTATTAAGATGTCGCTGCGTCCGGGATGAGGGGACTTGGAGTGAGGATTTTCGGGACATCTCTACACAATACACAGCCCGTGGGAATCGGATTCGGTTGGGCGATCTACAGCCTACTTGATGAACTAGACACTCCACCTGGATCATGGATACGATATTGAATCAGAATAATGTCTGGCTGCTTGGCCTGTGCATGCTCGCGCTCTCAGGGATTTATCTCGTGGGAGAGCGGTTGCGCAGCTACACCAGATCAAACCGCCGCCGCACACGCCAGCCATCACCGTCAACAAACGAGAAGCAAGCACCCACCAACTCCCCGCCGGCCACGTATGTGGACGCTCTCCCGCCGCAGCGCCGGCAGTCTCTCGCCTCGCTGCCACTCCCGGTGGCGTACAAAGACATCGACGAGGAGGAGATCAAGCAGCACATCCTGTCTATGACGGCCGACTACCGCACCAGCCCGGACCGAAGATACACGCCGACGGGCTTCTCAATCGGAGAGATCAAGGCCCTGGGCGAATTCCCGGACTACGCGACCCTCAGCGGCGTGCCATTGCCGCAAGCGTACCGGGAATTCGACATCGACAGGGCGCTGCCTCGGCCGTACCGACCTTTTCGATGGGCATATCATCAGACGATGTGTGAGTTGGCCTCTGTCTCTCTACTATCCCTCAGCCCAGCATATGCTAATCACTGATACGACAAACAAAAGCCCTCACAAAAATGGAATCAGACTGGTGGATCGAGCTCGAAAACACCTACCGCGCCCGCATCGCGCAGCGCCAGGCTCTGTACGCCCAACACGGGTCGAATGTCCTAGGCTCTCTGCCGGGCTCCGAGCTCGCGTGCAAGGAGCTGATGGAAATGGTGCTGCAATTTGTCGCGGCGCGCTACCCGCAGTACTTCCAGCTCCAGAAGCTCGCGGGGGGGAAGGGACACGTCTTTCACAACCGCATCCTCGGCACCGCGCAGGACGTGGGCAGCCGGCACCCGCTGGAGATTTTGATTGAGAACATCCCCGAGGACTTTGGGATCATGTTGCGGGACGAGCGGACGGGGTTTTATTTTTTGCGGGCAGGCGTGGTGTGCTCGTCGCTGGGGTGGAATGTGGGGACAAAGATCGGGATGCAGCTGCATGAGATTCATGAGAAGATTCCGGATTATAAAGAGAAGATGCAGTTTTCGATGGATCGGTGGGTTCCCTCTCCCCCACTTTTTTTTTTTTGTCTTCATTCGGGTGAACAGAGCAGAAGGAAGAATGGCTGTTTCTTTTGAAACACAGGCTAATAATTTTTGCTATCTGGCGATGTAGATTCTTCACGAAAATGCCCACCGACAAACCCATCCAGCGAGGGTCCTGGGGCATCGAGGTGGGCGAACCGCTGTACATGCCCAAGGGCGACCCGCAGGAGACACTCCGCGAGACCCAGAACCCCGATCTGAAGCTGGAGGACTGCAACCTGCGCGTGGACTGGCAGACGCTGCGGCGGCTGCCGCTGTCCGCCGCTGTTGTGTTCAACTTCAAGGCGCTGTTCACGCCCGTCACCGAGTTCCGGGATGAGCCTGGGGTGCCGGCGCTGGCGGCGACGGTCCTCAAGCAGGGCAAGAGGAATCTGATGGAGTATAAGGGGACGTGGCATGTGGAGCATGTGGTATTGCCGAAGCTGGAGAAGTGGGCGGAGGAGCAGGTGAAGAGGGGGTTGGTCGCTAAGGGCTGGGAGGTGGCTACGCTGGAGGATAGTCCGTGGTTCCGGGGGTGGCAGGAGAAGTGGCATCGGCAGCAGGGGTTCTAGTTAATGCTTTTTTGTGTATGAATGGTTATTTTGTATCTGCTTAGAGTGGAATAAGGTAATCCTGAGAGACATTTGCATGTAGATACGCCGAACGTGCCTCAGTTGAGGGCTTATCTATCTGAGACGGCTTTCCTGTGTCTCAGGAGTCCAGCAGCTCCAAGTGTTCGACCAGAGCCCTCGCGGGTTTTGATCGCGCCTGAGCGTGACGAGCAATGGGTGACTGAGCTAGCCCAAAGCTCGAATTCGAGGTTGACGCAACACTGCCGGCCTTGATGCAGTATATGCAGACGGTCTGCACAGGGCTTGCAGGGGGGATACCGTCGCGCCGCGCACTGCGTGATGTAGTCTCTGGCTGCGGTCAACCCACTCGACCAACCCCGAGCAGCTAGTCCAGTACCTGTAATAAACTGATTAATTGCTTCGCGCGCGTCGACCAGAAGCCATAGCCTCCCAAATCGACGACACAAAAAGAACCCGAGGAGTAATTCAATCCTCCTCCTCCTCTCCCTCCTCCTTATCATCATCACTCCTCTCCATCTCGTCCAATTCCGCTTGCAAAGGACTAACCCTCTCCTCCAACAGCTCCAAATCCTCGAGTTGCTGGCGGGCTGGCAACTTCCACAGACTCGTCCCGCACACGCGGTCCTTGGTCAACAGCTCATCGACAAACTGATCCATGTACGTCAGGACGAACGAGTCGCGCACGCGGCGCTTCAGCTTCCGGTAATCCAGCAGCAGGGGTTCGAGCGTTTTGTAGACGTCGGCCGCGGGGAAGGTTAGGCGGACGTAGAAGGCGGCCAGCGCGCGGAGGTATTTGAAGTCGCCGCGGGTTTGGAGGATGGCCGCTTCGGGGTCAACGTCGTGATTCTCATTGCTGTTGTTTCCGGAGGAGTCATCGTCCTCGTGTCGGGGCTCACGTCTGGTGTCATTGTCCTGGTTTGTGTCCGAAAAATTCAAATACTCCAGAATAATCTCCCGGTCCGGATTCAGCTGCAACAGCTTAAAGGCCAAACACAGAAACGGGGTCGGCTTCTCAGCCACCCCATACACCCCGCCGATGCAGGTCAGCTCGACGGCGCGGTCGCAGAGAGTGGCCGCGTTCAGGCCGAAGCATTGCTCCTTCCAATAATAAGAGTCGGTGATGCGGTCGCGCACGGCCTTTTCGAAGAGGGTGGCGGGGTTGACGCCGCGGATGAGGGGGCCGGTGTAGCCTCTGTTGTCGAGGAAGGTGCTTGCGTCGGCGCGGTGGGTCATTGTTCTCTTTCAGAGAGGGGAGGGAGAGGGGGCAGGTGTATCGTTTAGGTGGAAGAGTGTGTCGTTGTGTCGTTGAAGGAGATGCCAGGTAGGTGTAGGTTAGAAGTGCAAGTGAGAAGGAAGCTATTCCTGCAGTGGCTCTCGGGAAGTGCCATGCCAAGCTTTTTTTCTCTGGCTCTTATCGATAATCGCGCGGACAACGCGCGCTCTTCCTACTCTAAGTTACCTGGGTGAAACATGGGTTGATACTTGTTAATTGTTTATGCGTTGACATCGAGGCGGACCCTGTCCCGCCTGATTTATTCCAGGATGCGTGTCAATTTGGAGTCTTTTAGTTATAACTAGTTAGTCCAAACTTAAAAGGGCGTGCCTGTACCTGAATCCTTGAAGGCAGTTAACTCTACCACATTCCCCCCCCCTCCCCCCGCATAATCCATGCAGTCACCATTCCGATCGCATCGCAAATATGGTCCTTCTGACCTCCTCCACCGTCTCCATCATCCTGTCGTCCAGCATCATCTGTCTGTTCACTTTCCTGCTGTTCCTCTCTGGATACCTCCTGCAACAGCAATCCGTGCGCAACATCCAAGACGCCATCCGACCGCCTCCACCACCACCACCAGTATACCCCATAAACAACGAGGCAACCAGCAACGACATCCTCGCCGATGACGCTGCCGCATCCTCAAAGAACCACCAACAGACCCTGTCCTCCAGCTCCACCGAGCACAACCCAGACAAGAATGCAGCCCCAGGAACATACGCCTACCTCCAACTCCTCTCCACCCCAGACCCGGCCGCCATCTGCTCCTCCATCCTCTTCTTCCACCAACTCACCGGAAATGAAAACCACACGGCCATCCAGGACCGCCTCTTCATGTACCCGCGCGAATGGGACGCTGTATACACCAGCCCCGACCACCCAAACCCCAACCCCAATCCCTCCAGCCAATCCCTCAGAGAATCAACAATATCAAAATCCCTCCAACACCTTCGCACCTCCGCCCTGACCCACAACATCTGGCTCCTCCCAATCGACACTTCCACCATCACCACCTCCTCCGGTTCAGGGTTGTCCGACACAAAACTCCTCCGTCTGGGCCAAATCCAATTCGTCCCCTACGACGCAGTCCTATACCTGCAATCCCCGGGGATGGTGGTGGATGTGAGCCGACTCGATTCTTTGCTCCTGGACAGGCCGGTCCCCGGCAAGCATGATCCCGAGCGGGTGGAGTCGTATAATAATGCGGCGTGGATGGCGATGCCGTTGCGGCCGGAGCGCGAGGATCGGTTGCCCGGTGGGGGCGTGTATTTGGTTACCGTGAACAATGCCGGGGGCAGGTTAGGGCAGGTGGAGGCTAGGGGGCATGTTGTTACTCCGGGTTTTGAGGGGGGAAGGGGGGTGGTTAGGGGGGTACGTGGGGTTGAGGGTGAGGAAGACGACGATGAAGGGGCTGGATATGTGGTGTTTGAGCAGGAGGGGGATGGGAAGGTGAAGTGGGAGGGGAATGAGTTGTATGGGGCTTGGAGGAAGGGGATGGAGGAGGTTTGTCCGGGGGTGGATTTGGAGGGGTTTTATGAGTAGGTGATTTGGGGTTGGGGTTTGGCGTTGATTTGGGGTTGGTATTCATGATGGTAATGATTTATGAGATGATTTTGTGGATTGGCTATGAATACGGAGTTTGCCGACGACAAGGCATTCGATAACTGACTGGATATAAAAGTAACAACCCCGTGTAGACTTGCTATTAGGGTCTGTATATCGTCAGATCTCGCGGAAGGAACGCATTGCACTCAGCGATCACGTACATCCCTCTCAACTAGTTGGTTACCGAGGAACTCCAATTTCATACCCCAACAAGACCTCCGTCGTATTCCCCTCCCATCCTCTGTTCCCACTCGTCGACACCATAAACCGACACGCCTGGTCAATATACAACTGCGACACCGTCCCCGTGCGATGCCCCGGAATGATCAAAAACGGCACCGTCGAGTGCCGCGTCACCTGCTCGTGCTTCAGATCGTACAGCCGCAAAATATCATGAGATGCACTAGAAGGGTCAGTCAGCTGTCCTGAATCAAAAGGAATTAATGCAAAAGGACCCCACCAGACAATATGTCGCCCGTTGGGCATCGCCCGCAGCGCCGTCACCGGCCCGCTACCCTGCGGGAACTTGAACGTCCGCTCCGGATCCCTCAGCCCCTTGTGCAGGCTGTATTCCTCGACCGTCCCGTTTCTCCGGCCCGCGTAGATGTAATTCCCGTCCGGGGACCAGCACGCGTTCATGCACCAGGGCGGCGCATTGCGCGGGATAATCCGCGCCACCGGGTCGGGCTGTCGCCGGTCCCAGATGCGGATCGTGCCGTCGATCGATGCCCCCAGGAAGGTGTTGTCGTTGCTCGGTGTGTGCTCGGGCTGTGCCGGCTCGCTGAACGCACTGCTCTGTGCGGTCGGTTCTGGCTCCTCCGCGTGTGGCAGGCCGTTGACCACGGGCGGAGGCTGTGAAGCCCCCCCATTGGACTGTGCTGTTCCGCTCGAATCAGGCGCCTGGTCCATGGCATTCAAGTCTGCGGGCGCAGGAACGGCTTCTGCGGGGGGCACGGCTTCTGCGGGGGGCACGGCTTCTGCAGCGCCATTCTGGCTCGGCTCCGGGTCACCGGCAGCATCAGCGTCAGGAAGCACCCCGTTGGTGAGCGCTTTGCTGAACTCGTCATCCTCATCGATACCGAATGCGTTCCCAGCTCCGCCGGCCTCTTCACCACCCGGCCCGTCGCCATCGCCGAACAGAGAGTCGGCACCGCCAAAGAGCGAGTCCGCTGGCGAGCCCGCCTGCGGGTCCGGGCCAGCGTCATTGTCGCCTTGGTCGTTTGACGTGTCCATGAACCCAAAGCTGTTCTCACCCCCTGCAGCTTCGTAGTTGGACGAGTACGTGCCATTTGGCTGCGGGGGCTCGACGACATCTTTCGGCACCGGTAAGCTGGACTCCGGCCGCATCTCAATCGCCGAAATCTGTCCGGCGCTCGACCCGAAAGCGCGGCGCGTCTGCCCGGTGTTCAGGTCCCAGTCGAAAACCCGCTTATCCCAGCTTCCAGAAAGCAAGGACTTCTCGTCCGAGGTCAGGGTCAGCACCGAGACGGCCGAAGTGTGCTGTCGCAGCAGCGCGATCTCCTTGCCCTCTTCGTGGCGCACGGACTGCAGTCGGATGTTGCCCGACTCGAGCCCCGACAGCAGCCACAGGCCCTCGCTATGGCTGGCCAGCGAGTAGACCGGCGATATCGTGTTCCCGTCCATGTTCTCCCAGTAGGTCATCAGCACGCCGGCCTTGATCACGCTGTCCACAAACGGATGCCGCTGCGCTACCGTCAGCATCAGCTTGCTGTTGATCGAGTCCACCCAGTTGAATTTGCGCACGTATCCGTCCGAGCCGCCGCTGAACACCCACCGCATGTCCGCGGTGGCCGTGACTGCGTTGATCGAGGTGCTGTGGGGGGCCGCTGTTGTGGGGACGATGTCGAAGGTCGAGGCCGTGAGACACTCCGGTCGCACGGGAGGGTGGTATACGGAGACTGGCGAAGCGACATTGGCAGCGCCCGGCGGCGTCATCTCCACGTCCTGGTTCTGTTGCGTCGCGCCGCCGGCGCTCTCGGAGACATTGGACTGGCTCTCCGCGTCGGCGTCGGCGTCTTCAGCGTCGGCGTCCGGGTCGTTGTCGTTAGCTCCCTCGTCCGCGTCTCGAAGGGCATCTTCCATTTCGTTATCAGAGCTGCCATCTTGGGAGCCTAGGTCGCGAATGCGTTAGCCGACGGCTGTTCGGAGGTCATGGGAGAGGCCATTACCCGCGAGATCGCGATCATCATCGTCTTCTGCGAGGGAGGCCATATTGCGGCAGGGAACCGTCAATTATAGCTAGCTTTGTGCCAATGTCAATAGATAGTGTGTGTGTGTGGCTCCTTTGAGATTGCGTATGCACGGTCGAGGTTGTTGCTCGAACGCTTGTGGGGGTGAGGCTTCGATAAGAGTTCAATGGAAGGCAATTGTTGATGTCGCATGCCATGCGCGCATACTTCTATTTATTTCGGATGATGCTTGCGAGTATAAGATATTCTGGGGGAGCACATTTCTCTCAAATTCATGGGTCGGAGGGAGTTAGCATCTCGAATTACACTGCCCACGAGTAGAGTACTTCAATGTAGGCTTGGAGTTGCGATCCGTCGCGGATTGCGCTGGGGCGCTCTCTCGGTGCGGGATCATTTCCCCGATACAGTCCACGCTGACCGCCTACCGATGCCTCAGGTTGGTAACGAGGCTGCATACGGTTTAGCGTCGTTTTCGACTCTACACGCCTTGTGACAACATCCAAGACATACACACTGATCTAGAGATCTGACTGAAGGAGTAGCTAGTTGGGTGAACTTGAATAGGTGGCATATTGCTAAACGGAGCAGAAATAGCACTGATATTCATGTCTGGATGGCCTGTTTGCCGTCATTCGTGTCCAACAAACAGAACGGTCGTTGAAGATGGCCCAGCTTCCTGTTTGCAAGCTGCTCGTCAAGCTGCAAAGCTGGCTTGATTACAGAGTCCGTGTTACTGGATCAGGCGGTGCCAACGCTGTTCTGTGCTGCGCGCCGGTAGACATGTTAGTCGACTCGGGATTGAATAATTATGGTCTACCTACCGTAGCGACGAGCTGGACTTCGGATAACACTGATCAGTTTCATCATCCAGGCCGATGACAACTGAGAGAATGCTTTAGTGAAGCAGATCATTTAGTCTGAGCCTGAGATCAAAGCCTTGTGTGAATTGTTTCACTTCCCTGCTGACCAGGTGACTTCACCCATCCGAGACTCTGCCTTCCACAGTCGGAAACCTTCTCCTTTTCCTCGACTCTCTATGCTGCTGGGATAAGAGCTTTTCGTAAATCTCGCCCTTACTACATCGAGGATAGCTTGCCTACTCTTCGTTTACTCGGACTTGTACGTGGGCAGAGTGCTTCAAAAGCTATCTTTCCCCTCAAACGCAGATCTTCCAGCCCTTCAGTCGTGGACAACACATCCAACTCCCTCCCCTGAAGGGACACCTTCTGGACATCGGCAGGGCTCTTCACTGAATACTGTTTACTTCCCAAGCATTGAGCACGAACAAAGCTATCATCGTCGTTGACACTCGCGCAGACGCCCAAACACGACCTACCTCGTCCCACCTTCCCGAACTAATCCCGCAACATGAAGCCGAAGAAGCACAAACGCGGTGTCTTCCTGCACACGAGTAAACTCTCTGAGCCAGCAGAAGTTTTCCAAGATAAGAAGAGCCACGCCTGTCCGGAAATCAGAAACTACCTCCTCCCTCCAGCAACCACAAGCTCCGAGCCATGGCTGAACCGTCCAGAGCTGCCCTCTTCGGAAGAGATCATGGGTACCGTGGATGCCAACGATGACGACTTCGTCGATCTCGTTCCCAATAACATCTTCGGTCCCTGGGAGTCAAAGAATGCATACCTGAAAGCGCACTATGAGCTGCTGAGAGAAGACGCTGTTGCCCCGCTAAGGGATGCTGTAGCACATGTCCGCGAAAACCCCAGAATGATGGACAATAAGGTAGCTTCGATCTACGAAAAGGTGAGCTGTTCTGTTAAACCGAGGGTCTTGTTCGTTTGTGGCTCACCTTCGCCATTGCCAGGTACATATCATCGGCCTTACTTGCGCTTCGACAGGGCTGGGGTTCCGTATTCAATTCTCCACACACCGTGCCGGAAAGAATATTGCCTGGGAGTACTCAAATCGATTGATTACTGGGTCTCTTCTAGCACTGACTCCCAAAGATGATGCCTTCCGCACCAAGTGTGTCGTTGCGGTGGTGGCGAGCAGAGCTCTGGAGAGCGTTAAATTGAAGCCTCCGGAGATAGATATCTTCTTCGCGAAGCCCTCTGATATCGAGTTCGACCCTCAAAAAGAGTGGCTCATGGTCGAAGCTAAAGATGGATACTTTGAGTCGGTCAGACACACCATGACCGCCTTACAGAAGATGGACCAAGAGGAGTGAGTGCAGTCCCGCTGTTGTCTCTGTGTGGTGTTGATGGTGACATGCAGTTTCCCCCTATCCGACCACATATGCCGCCTTGACCCTGACATTAAACCACCCGAATACGTCAAAGCCAATCCGCGTGTTGATCTTCATACTATAATTGACGACTGCAACGAAGACATTCGAGTTGACCTGCTTGCAGGATGGCCCTCATCACCAATTGGAGATTGCGATGCAACTCAGTGGGAAGCTCTCCATAATATGTTGACCAAGCGACTATCCATCGTGCAAGGACCTCCGGGAACTGGTAAGACGTATGTGTCAGTCCTTGCCTTGAAGATCTTGCTTTCGAATATGAAGCCCAATGACCCACCCATCATCATTGCTTCCCAGACAAATCATGCGTTGGATCAGCTTCTCGGACTGGTTTCGCTTATAGAGGGGAGATATATTCGCCTTGGGGCGCGTAGCTCTGACCCCTGTGTCAAAATGCGTACTCTGTTTGCTATTCGAAAGAATGATCCCGGCTTTGTCGGTGGCGGCGTTATGGCAGCAGCCACTCGGGATTGCAGAATGCTTACCCACGAAATAGCCGACCTCTTGGAGCCATTTGGTGCTGAGCATGCGGGTGCGCCGCTGTCGTCTGAGACTTTCAAGCGATATGACTTGTTGACCGACGCTCAGCTAGATCTACTGAGGAAAGGAGCCGAGGACTGGATTAGCTCCGAGCAGGATGACGAAATTGACCCCTTGGTTGCTTGGCTTGGCGAGGAGGCGGTGCCCTTCCAGGCCGAATATGCAGAAGATCACTTCGGATTCGAAGATGAGATAGATCTGGAGTACGAACAATTGAAAGAGCTTGAGGGGGAGCAAGGCCTTGAAGATGACGGTGCTGACTATCTAAAAGGCCGCTTCCTTAATCTTGTTGAGACCATGTGTGGGCGAAGTCACTCCGTCTCCCATGTGGTCACGGTGGATCATACTAAGGTTGTAGACTTGTGGAAGGTCAAACTCGAAGCGCGCGGACACGTATATGATACTCTTCGGCAGCTCCTCAAAGACAAGGTTACGAGACGCCTTCGCGAGCTTGCTTTCAAGTATCAAAAGGCTTGCAAGTGGCTGCAGGCTAGTAGATGGGAGGTAGATCATGCGATCCTTCAAAGTGCGAAAGTCATCGGGATGACTGCCACCGGCTTGAGCAAGTACAGAGGTCTTGTATCGAGCCTCAACCCGAGAATCGTTGTAATTGAAGAGGCTGCCGAAGCCATTGAGGCCCCAATCGCCGCTGCATGTTTCAATTCACTTCAACACCTCATTCTCGTTGGCGATCATCAACAGCTGCGCGGTCATTGCACTGTGCCGGACCTGGAAGGAGACCCCTTCTACCTTGATGTCTCCATGTTTGAGCGGCTGGTGAATAATAACCTGGAATATATCACCTTGCGCTGGCAGAGACGAATGCCTCCAGAGGTGCGACAATTACTGGAGCCCATCTACGGCAATCTCGAGGACCATGGATCCGTTCTTCAGCGATCGAAAGTGGTCGGTATGGGCGACCGCCGGTCTTTCTTCTTCTCCCACAATTGGCCGGAGAGCCGCGATAGCTTTGCCTCAAAATTCAATGAGACGGAAGCGCAGATGATCGTGGGGTTCTTTGTTTACTTGTTGCAGAATGGGGTGCCTGTCCACGACATCACCATCTTGACTTTCTACAACGGACAGAGAAAGCGCCTCCTGAGCCTCTTGAAGAAACATCCCTACCTACAAGGCTTGTACCTGAAGGTTGTTACCGTTGATTCGTACCAAGGCGAAGAGAACGAGATTGTCATCCTTTCCATGGTACGCAGTGGCGGGGATAACATCGGATTCTTGTCTATCGAGAACCGCGTCTGCGTTGCCCTGTCGCGCGCCAGATGCGGGTTCTATATCTTTGGGAATGCAACTTCTGCTGCAACCAACAGCGCGCTGTGGGCTCGTGTGCTGTCCATCATGAAGCCTCAGCGAGTTGGAGTGGAGCTGCCATTGACCTGCGTCAAGCATAAGGTTATGGCGTGGATGAAAGGTGGGTTTGCGTTCAGACGTGGTAGGGGTTTATGTCAAGGCTGACAGGTTTCATCGCAGACCCTTCGGAATGGGAGTACATCAATGGTGGGTGCCATAGAAAATGCGGCGAGACGCTCGACTGCGGCCATGCGTGTAGCCTCAAGTGTCACAGCTTTCCACATTCCGAAGTTGAATGCGACAGCATCTGCAATAAGGTGTGGGAATGTGGACACAAGTGTCGGTCATTATGCTCGCCGCAACATTCGTGTTTGTGCACGAGTTGTAAAGAGGACTTGGCAACAGGTTATGCAACAGCAGCAGCGACAGCGGAGGAAAATGTCCCGGTGGGACCTCAAGCGGATCCCCGCCCCGAGGGCATCCGAGTCTACCAAGCAGATGCCAGCGTCGGATTTACAGAGCACGACGAGACCTTGTCAGAGAAAGCGCGAGCCAATGGGTTATTGAGCTTACCGGACTTGTCCCACGCAGTGGAGGAAGATCTACTGTTGGAGGAGGACGAGGGGCTGGGGAGGGGCCGCAGTAGGAATCAAGCAGTGGGGCAGGGAGCGACGACGACTCGCCTACGGCTTTCAGTGTCACTCCTGGATTTGTACGATGATTGAAGCAGACTGGCCATGACTCGTGTAGTCTCGAAATAGAAGTTCCTTCATTGCAAAGGTCTCAGTCCTCTACTCGGTTCGATAGAATCCACGTACTTACTGTGCCGTAGTCAATTAGTCCACAGGGTGCCGAAGAGACTCGGTGGAGATCCACACCACCTTAAAAACCAGACCGACCATCGATGATGTCAGAGCCCCTGTACTGTCGCTGCTTATTGGCTCCAGGGGATTAATTCCCGCGGCTGAACAACGATTGACAGGCACAGTCCGGTTTTCTCTGCTCTTCTCGACACTTCCAATCTCTCTCCCTTGCCTTGATTGTTGTCGTCGACCAGGGCACCACGTTCTGGACCGATCGATGTTGTTAGTGCACTGATACTGGTACATGTACAAGGCTGTACGGTAGGTACAGGCTCCTCCACTGCTGCATGCACTGGGGTCATTCATTCACCGAATTATTTGGGGAAATTTGGGGAGAATAGTCCCTGCAAGTTTTGGGTCCCTGAGAGATCCATCATGAACTTTAAAAGATGTTGGTTATCTCTCCCCGGGCCAAAGGGAGCGGTGGAGAAGGAGGGGGAGGAGACCATGGTTAGCACTCTAGAACTGTTATTTATGTATAGGTACGGAGTACTAAGTACCACTAAAGAGCCATCGGGGGGGGGGGACAAGAAGTACAGTACCTCACTCAGCTCACTGGTGTTCGTTCACATCAACACCCCACCTTCTCCTCCTCCTCACTCCTCCTCACTCCCCTGTTTCTCCCTCTTCTCCCTTTCCCTTCGATCCCAGCCTCCTAACAATAAAATTCATTTGTACAACACAACAAACCACCCTCCCTGCAGCCTTGCTGGTTGGCATCTCATCCCGTCAATCACACCCACTGCAACCCCTCCGATCTTTGTTTCCATTTCGTTTCCCGCGTCGATGGAAGAATCGGGAACCCTCTGAGCAGCCATTGCGAGCGCCACAGACGTGACCAAACAGGCCGAGGCACACCCTTAACACTAGCGGCCGATCGAGATGCAGCTTTGTCAAGCTGTCATACAATCGCCCTGAACCCCGATAAAATCTTCCCCCTCTTGGGATTCCTTCGCCACTGACATTATTACCCTTCGTTCATCATTTCCATTTCCTGTAACTGCATCATCAATCTCAGGTATCATCATCATCAACAACAACAACCACCTCCACATCATACTACTACTATCCTCGTTGCTCCGATCGGATCTATACCACCCGCGGTCATGGCCGAGTTTATTCGCTCGCAGATCCTGGGAACCACCTTCGAAACCACAAACAGGCAAGAAAACCCTCCCCTCCCCCCGGCGGCGGAGAGACCTGGTAGTAGTCGTAGTAGTGCAAATGAACCTCTCCCCCGCTAAACTTGTCAATTGTGCAGATATGCGGACCTTCAACCGGTCGGACTTGGAGCCTTTGGGCTTGTCTGGTATTGGCTCCCCCTGTTGCCTCCCTACACCTATATTATCCTGCTGGTAAGGAAAGTAGAAGAACGGGGCACAACAGCTGACCCAAAAATAACCTCGCAGCTCCGCAAACGATCTCATCGCCCGCCAACCAGTGGCCATCAAGAAGATGATGAAGCCCTTTTCAAACCCCACGATCGCTAAGCGTACGTATCGGGAAGTCAAGCTGCTTAAGCACCTACGTCATGAAAATGTCCGTGCTAAGTGTTGCGTGGATCTGCTTGCTCTTGTTGCTCCCTGCAACTAACATGTGCACAACAGCTCATTGGCCTGAGTGATATCTTCATCTCCCCGTCTGAGGATGTGTATGTGGGACCCGGACCTAGCTGGCGTCATCGCCACGTGGAAGAAGGATCGAAGTGGGGATGCTAACAGGGTTGTTCAGGTACCTTGTCACGGAGCTCCTGGGTACCGATCTGAATCGGCTCCTCACTGCTAAGCCCCTCGACGGAAAGTTCGTACAGTACTTCACATATCAGCTTCTGGTAATCCTCCTCCATGGATGGTATCGTCGACTATCGATGCTAACACGGTCTAGCGGGGGTTGAAATACATCCATTCGGCGGGTGTAATCCACCGGGATCTCAAGCCTAGTAATTTGCTAATCAACGAGAACTGCGATCTGAAGATCTGTGATTTCGGCTTGGCGCGCCTTCAAGAGCCCCAGATGACGGGCTATGTCTCAACGAGATACTACCGAGCCCCGGAGATTATGCTGACATGGCAAAGATACGGCAAGCAGGTTGACATCTGGAGTGCCGGGTGTATTGTTGCGGAGATGCTGCGTGGGAAGCCCTTGTTTCCCGGCAAGGACCACATCAATCAGTTCTTCTTGATCACGGAGGCGCTGGGAAGCCCTCCGGACGAGGTGATTGAGAGGATCAGCACGAAGACAGTAAGCTTAAAGGAGTGGTCGAGATCTGGCTCAAGCTCTAACACCTGGCAGACTTTGCAGATCGTTCAGTCACTAGGCAAACGCAAGCCCCCTGTGTGGGGGTCACTCTTTCCAGGAGCGGACGCACAGGGTGAGTATACCTTGGACTACTTAGGAGGAATACGTCTAACGAAAATGCATATAGCTGTTGATCTCCTTGGAAAAATGCTCGTGATTGATCCCGACAAGCGCATCTCCGCCGAGGAAGCTTTGGAGCATCCCTACCTGGCTGTTTATCATGACCCGAACGATGAACCGGTCGCAGAGAAGATGTTTGACTGGTCTTTTCAGGAAACCTTTCACTCCATAGATGAGTGGAAGATTATGATGTAGGCTCCTGATCACGTGCCACACACCCGGCACTGGCTGACACGAACCACAGATACTCCGAGGTGGTCGACTTTCATGACCTTGGTCCGACTGAGCAGCCCATCGTCGAACCAGTGGCGCCAGCTGATTTGACATACGCCCCTGATGATATTACTGGTCTAGACCCGCAGCCAGTTGACGGCATCTACCAGCCTGTCGTTGACAGCATTGACCAAGACATTCTGCAATACTTGCAGATTTAGCCCAAGCGGTCCATGGTTTCATGGTACTGACAGCGGCAAGTAAGGGGAGAAACTGTCAGAGGTAGCCCAGCATTGTGTGTAGACATGCGTGGAAAGTGACATCATGACGCACATGTTTCCTTCCAAAAATACTCCCCTCTGGTGGCAAGGGAGTCTACTATCCCCCTTGCCCAATTCACTCTTCGATCACATGAATCTCGAACCAAACCTACATACAAATGCCCATTGCTGCCCACTCCCTGAAGCCTATTGATCCACCCGACATACTCACAGCGAACAAAATGAAACAAAGAGTTGCACCTCTTTGAGATCAGCCACCTGTCTCCTAGCGCCTGAACATTTACCGCGACATCCCCACAGCGTTCCGAAACACACAACCACTTCCCCCAGCAGCTCTTCTCACACCCCTCACCCCACCGATACTTTAGCTTATGATCCGAGTCTGAGCAATGAAGAACACACTTGCGGTCTGGTCACTCATACTCAGCCTCCTCTGCCATATCACCACCGCATTTCCTTCTTTCAAGGGATCCACACTGAACCCGAGCACTGCCTGGCAGATCTTACTGTACCAAAACAAGCGATGCACCGGTCAAACCACCTCGTTCTCTGGAAACACCAGTCTGCCCTGCCACGATGCTATTCTCAACGGTGGTGCCCTGGGATACATTGTGCAAATTGCCAACGGCACGAACTGCTCGGTTCAGCTGTTTAGCGACCCCAAGTGCAAGCAGACCAGCAACACCACTCTCACACTCAACTCAACCGCGTCGACCTGCCAAGTTATGAGAATCCAGGAGCAGGATATGGAAATCCGGCGATTTTCTGTCATTTGTCGAGCGGACAATCGGACGAGGCTCCAATCTCATGACCGTGTATGAAATTTTTCGATGCAGCGTTTGTGCCGTTCTTCCCTTTGTAGCCATCTTTAAAGCAATGTGAATTTAAAAAAAAATTTATTCTTTTGAGGTCGTGTGCCCTGCCTGCTAACAGTATTTATTTTAACTATCTGGTTAAGGTTCTATCCAGGATGTCTTGATACTTGAATGATTCCCATTGAGTATTTTTGATCCATGTGTAACTTTACGGGTTTGATATGGCTTGTCAGGGAGACAGCACTGTTTCAAGGATTGGAATCCCTGCACTTTCTCGGTTTACTAACAAGACCATCGGCTGTACTTTTTGAGTGTGGAACTGCAGGCCCAGGTGTGCACTCTCCCAAACAGGTACTGCAAGTGGGCCTCCGAGCGGGGCGCGGCGGGGTCCGGGTAAGGCTGCTCAAGTTTCGTCAGCCAAATAGTGTAACGTAACGTAATCGGTAAGCGAGTGGGCACCCCAAGCGAGTGGGCACCCGCGCCCACCCGAACAGCCTTTCCATGAAAAGATGAATCTTATATACACCATATAATAATGAAATAACGTGTTTTTTTGGTGTTTTAACGTGTAGGACACCTTGTTCTTATATATCCAATTGTATTACACTCGCTGCAGTAAGGTGGTGCCCGGCAGCGAGGTTGTTCCTTACCAGTAGCTGATTCTTTAAGCTGACTTCTACCAACTTGATCAGCTTCACGAATTCTTTTGAATGCGTTTTTGGCCTTATTAATAGTAAGGCTGTTTAGACCAGCTATTTAATAATAAGATCTCTTATTCTTAGTATTTTATCTCTCTAATCCAGTTCGCAACTTATCAACTTCCTGCTCAAGCAAAGCAGCCTAGTTAAAGACAATTTCGCATCCTTTTATAATATAGAATACCGATGTTTTCATCTGCGAGAATGGGTTGACTGTATATTTATATTAGATATCTTTTAATTATAGTTTTATACCTTCATAATTACTTTATATTTTTAGGTGTTTTTAGTATAGTTAATATAGTAGTAATACTATCAGTTAGAGTAGACTCATAGAGCTGTATAACCAGCCTATCAAGCACCTTATCCAGTTAAAATAGAACTAATCCTAAAGCCTTAAAGGCATTGCGAATAGTTGATTCTTTAAAGACAAGAGAACATACTTCTAGGTATATATCCAAGAAATCAATCTTATTAATATAGTAGATACCCTAGCAGATTAGTTGTTCTACCAAGCTTCCGTACGCTTATTTCAATAGTGCAAAGCAAGTAACGTTGAGTAGTTGATAAAGATGTAAAGAATACAGAGGTATATAGATAGAAATAATACTATTTTAACTATATATATTATCAAATTTAGTAGTTAAATAGGAGTTGTATCTATTAAAAATCAAGAGACTATATTACCTAATTTACTAGTTCTTGGTAGAAGAAATGAAGTATTCACGAAGTCAATATAAACTAATATTATTAGAAATCCAACTATTTAGTAATAAATTAATATACTAATTAGATAGAAGAAGGCCTTGATACCATACCTCTTTATAAACTTTATCTTTAAGAATCAAGTACAGTAACAATACTATACCAGCTGCGTTGATACACTCAATTAAAGTTACCTATTCTTAATTTCCTGGCTGTATAAGAGACAGCTTACTCTTATATTTAGACTATATAACTATACGGGCTGTAGCCACTATTCCCATAGCAAAGCTGGTTTCATCAAAGTTCTATATATCTTAATCAAGAATACTATATTCCCTCTTTATAGCTTTAACATAGTTGAACTACTTTATTAAAAGCTTTAGATCTTCACATTTCGCATATTAAATATAATATCTTCAAGAGAACTAATCCTTTAATTCCAGAGTATATTTAACAAAGTTTTGTACCTATTGTTTACCCAAGAAGACTATAGAATTCGAGTCTTGTTTTTATAGAAGAATTATTGCTATATTTTAAATATAAAACAGCTGAGAATAAAGCCCACGCTTTATAAGTAAAAGAATCTAATCTTTTAAAGCCTTCTCTTCAAGAAGAGTCAATTTTATAGAATTAGCATATATATCTAACCGTGATTTGACTTCCTTGAGACGTTGTTACAGAGTTAAATATAGAATATTAAAAACACTTGCAGCTTCCTTAATTAACAGAATTTCACCATTTTAGATAGCCTTAATGGCAAGGCAGATACGGCCCTCTTGTTCCACCAAAGATTTTGACGATCGAGGCATATTTGGTGGAATTGTTGGTGGTTAAATTACTTCAAGTTCAAGAACACGAAACTGACACGCGCGGGTGCCCACTCGCTTGGGGTGCCCACTCGCTTACCGATTACGTTAATCGGTCGAGAACCGCAATATCAGCGAGTCTCTCACCCAGGTTGAAGATACGTCAGACGATAATAGAAGCCATGAATGTCCAGATTCCTCTGACCGTTCGCAGGGTTGCCTTAGTCTCTTAGAAATCCTCAATATCATCGATGGTGTCTCTGCCCAGCAAGGGCGAATCTTATCATGACCACAAACGACCCAGGATCTCTTGACAAGGCCCTCCAACGCCCAGGCCGGGTGGACCGAGTCTTTTTCACTAATTGTTATTAAAAAAATTAGTTAAGTTACTTATAAGTTTATGATAATAATAGCAGCTCGATATCTTAATACTCGATTTCAAAACTTGGATAGTGATTAGTGACTATAACTCAACTTAGCTGTTTTTTCTTTATTCTTCGTACCATAAGTTTCCACTGTCATTTTTTAATTTGACAGTTCATATAGGCTTATTTTACTACTAATATAATACTAAATATAAACTTCGCATGTAAAGATAATATTCTTAGGTATGAGAAAATAACTTAGAGGGAGTATTGGCCAACTCGAGGCCCGGTCCTGCCGTCATTTACCGCCTCGTCAGGTTCTGCTGTCTTACCCCGCCTGCGGCGGCATCTTTTGCCTCAAGCCTTCTGGTCATTGATCCTTCGATATTGACAAGGATCAATGAAGCACCATTGAATAATCAGAAATCGCCTCCTGAGAGACTTCCTACGCCCATGGCAGAGAGAGACTACATAGACTCGCGAAGGCTATTTATATTGTTTATATTAAATGCCTATTTCAATGATAGCAATCATGAATAATGATTACTTATATGAGTTCTATGTATAATTGTAAATAAGAAGCGGTGATAGGTTCTATCATGCAGCTCTGGTAATATTTAACTATACTAACATCAAACAATTTTCTGCAGCCGAATAATTCTATGTAAACCCATATATTTTCAATACATCCATGACCGCAAACTAAGGAGCCGCTAACAAGCTCATTGTTAAGGTGAGTATATAATGTAAGTTCTAGAGTTCCATATGTAAGTGTCTGGGTGGCGAATAGCTACTGCTGATGATGATACTGGATATGACGTGACTTCCAGCGCCCTGCAGCTGCTACACGTAGTATTGTCACGCCCACACCTGGCTCTGCATACTCAATCTTCTTAATGCTCGAAGGCAAATAACCCTTCCGTAGGGTCGCCTAATTACCGCAAATCACTCGTTATGTCCGTGCTTCGAACGCCATACCTGGGAAAGGCAAACCAAGTGGTAGTTGTGTTGGGACTGGTGTTGAGCACAAGCTGTCTGGTGATGCGGATTTACACAAAGACTGCTGTAATGAAGAGATTTTGGTGGGATGACGGTACGAATTCTAGGAACCCCCCCCTTTCGGCTCGTGCTGCATCTGCGTTCCCCGAATACACAACATGACGCTTATGAATGTAGTTTTCATCATTTTGGCCTGGGTAAAACCCCTCAATCTCACGCTTTGGTCCTAATTCTCACGGCTTACCTATATCGTTCAAAAAAGACATTTGCTGCTGCCATCCAAGCGACCTTACTTTGTACGAGTGGCACCGCTCATCAAGCAGATTTGAGCTAATTAGGACTGCTGTAGATGGATTCAGCCACGCTGGGGTCGGCATCCACATGACAGAGTTGTCTCCCTCGACCCTGGTAGCTTTACAAAAGGTATAGCTCCCATGCGTGTGCAACTGCTGCCCACCGTCCACTTCTATGAAGGCGCACAGCTTACGCTAAGGCATTAAATCCGCCCCTATCCAACATTGAGACCGTGATAACCGCCTCAATTGTTTATCTCCCTTGTCTCGCATTCGCAAAGCTCGCCTTGCTCATGCTGTACTATAGACTCCTGTACACAGTCAAAGCGTGGGTATACACACTCTCTCTCGTGGGATTTGTGGTTGTTGGATACACGATAGCACTAACTGTGGTGCTCATCTTTCCCTGTCACCCCATCGAGAAAAACTGGAATCCGTTGATTCTCGAAGGGTCTTGCATTAATCGAAACGGCGCATACCTCGCGACCGCCGCCACGAATACTATCAGCGATATTATATTGCTACTGATTCCCGTTCGAGTAGTCTCGAAGCTCCAGATGCCGCTGATGGAGAAGTTGGGTGCCTTTCTCATGTTTGGCATTGGTTCTTTGTGAGCAAAACCCGGCTTGTTCCCTTCTTACCACGTTCGGACTGCAACGGCGGCACGAATATCTCGGAACCTTTAGGGTTTGACTGGTAAAGTCTTTTTGCCTTTGGATGACTGAGACGTAGTGCAGGACGATTATCATGAGTATCGTGCGGCTGGCGACCTTATGGCCACTGATCAATTCTCAAGATTTTTCGTATCACCTCGCCCTCGTCTGTACATTCGTGTGAGTAGAGTCTTTGCCCTCTCATCCATGTTTTCTGTGATGAATGAGAAACCGAGAAACCGCAATTAACGGTAATGGGCCATATCGTCCACACCAAGTGGATAGCAACATTGAAGCGAATCTCATCATATTATGTGCCTGCCTACCCTTTTTGCGCCAGCTCATTCGCCATTTTGCACCCCAATGGACACCATGGGGGGGGCACTCCCGGAATACTCGAAGCTCGTCGTCCAATTCAACTCCAGGCAGAATCTTGCGGGGTGGACCTCGAGCTGATGCCGTTGTGGTGGATCTTGAGATCTCGAGTATAAGTCAGGAAACGGTGCAGGACGGCTTTTGGCACACAGAAGGTTCTTGATGTTGACCCCGCCTTCGGAGGCTTCCTGAAGTGCCTGGTCCTGGACCATAATAAAAAACAGGCTTAGGGATAGAGCCACTACAATGTTCAATCAAATCAATACCTGGCATAAAGCTTAAGCAGAGCATCTACGCCATGCATATCTATCTTCCTGGGATCTTCATAATATTGCATTATCGCATATTTAGCGCTATTGAAAGTCAAGAACTTCAAAAGTCTTCCTAATGATAGTCTATATCGTGAGAAAATAAGTATAATTGAACTATTTTGAACATAGCATCTCGGACTCTTATTGACACTATATCAATGGCCACCACTCGTCTTGGTCTCATCAATTGATGCAGACATCCGCGTTTCGCGCCCGAGTATGCCAGTCGCTGCGCACGATAAGACCAACTTTTGTCCGATAATGCTTTTATATTTCTCACTTAGGAGTCCTGTGGCTGGAATCGCATACCGTATACCTGATCAACCTGATATGGGCCCAAAGCTTACAAATCGTGTTCCTGATATAGTTAGTCACAGTCACATGGTATCTGGGGATCATGCGTACACCTGGAACTCCGGGTTACGGACCAGCACCTAGGGCTTGGTCAGGAATGAACAACTCGGAAGTCCGTGCCTAATGCGCAGTCTCCCTAGGGTTCTGCAATAGGGAGACATTTAACTTTGGATTTTGCTTAAGGGTTAAGATGCTCTATCCTAGTAGCATTATATGCGTAGCAAAGAACGATAAGATTTAAGACTTGACATTAGAATAGCCAGGGATGGTATAATACGGGGACACACTGTGATTTCTATAGCATGTCCTTGGAAATTGGTAATGCTCCACCTTGCACCACCTATCGAGTTGAACGGCACGCCTGGGCCGTCAGATACTCTTTGAAGGAGCGTGTTTATGTCTTCCAAGTACCAGACGGACATTGGCAAAAGAAGCTCCCTATAGCCTTCATATATTGCGGGCATGTGGAAGTCATTATGAGCAGGCCCGGGATGCGAAGGGTCCTGCGTAGCCTGCCAGGCTGTTCCTTAGCTTGTGGATCCGAGTGAGTGTTGCTGGAGGATTCATCGCAGAAACCTTGGGTTTGGGCGTTCGTATAGACGGACGGTAGTCTACAAACAATACCTAGTTATTTTTCCGACGACGGAAAGCCGTTTTGTGATCTACTGGGCATAAAATAAGCTGAGCACTGGCATAATGCATCAGTGGCCCGCAAACGTGGGCAATGGACACTCGTCGCATTTACTATATCACAGTCGTCAGCGGTGGTCCTATCCACACTCCACCAGAAGGGTAACTCACCGATCGACATCATAATCATCCCAAACTCATTCGCCTCCTCAAGCCACTTCTCCGCCCTCTCCTCCATCTTAATCCCCGGTCGAATCCGATCAAGTTCACCCTGGATATATCCATGCCCATCCCATCTGGCAAGCCACCAGATATACAGAGAATTCACTTTGCTACCCGAAGAGATATCAAAGAACAATTCTCAACATTCTTTGTGATACCTTCAGCCCACCACCTTTATATTGTCGATCCCCATGATATGAAAATATATTATTATTTAAAACCAGCCTCCGCAAGTTAATCACTAACAGATATTATTCGATTATCGGGAACATTCGCTGCTAAGATTAAGCCGAATACATACAGAGCTGCAATGCTCCAGAATTACCTACACTTCAGAAATAACCCAGTATCAGCCGAGCATAACACAACCGACTGGATAATATATATAGGTAAGGACAAGATATTCATAGTAGCTTAACTAGAATAGAAGACTCAAAACACTGAAGTAAATAATATTCAAGTACTTTACTAATCTAAACCCGGGGGTCTCAGAAGCAGACAGGAAGACTAGAAATAACGCGTAACATTAGCTAGAATAGATAATATCAATTCGAAGGAATTCATAACTCACCTTATATTATCTGGTACCTCTATATCTTTATGATTTCGGAATTTAGCACAAACTGGAGAATAAAGAATATAAGTCCTAGATTATACAAACACGCAAACATACCACTCTGAAGACAGGTTCCGCACAATGTATAATAAGTCATCTAAGTCAAGGTGGCTTCTTCTGACATATGATTACTGTTCAATACGGTCGACAAGGAAGTCAAGCTGAGAAGTTAATTTAAGGGGATTATGCTCCCATTCATCGTAAGTGATAAAGCCGTACTGTCCTGTATTGTCCATCTCTAAGACATTCCGTCATCATCTGTTAACGTAATCGTCAGCCGAGCGAGCGAGCAGATCCACCAAATGCAGCACCAACATGGATTTTTGATTTGTATACAAATATATGGTGTTTTGAAGCCTCAATTACACCATTTTAAACGTCTTTCTACACAGTTCTTCGGTTTGGACACCTCGTACGTATATGTCCTTGAACACCGCACTCGCTGCACCTGGGAGGTGCCCGGCGGCGCGGCTGATTCTGATCCTCAATCTGAAGGGCTTCATCCTTTTCATACTCGCGCTGGAATGCCTCCCTTGCTTCGTTAACAATGAGGCCGTTAAGGTCTGTAAGCTGCTTATTCCTTTGTCGTTTCTTGGTGTTTAACCTCTTATTTGCTCAGCGGAGTTCTCGAACTTTCTGTTCCAACAAAACCGCCCGGTTTAACGCCATCTCAGCGCCTTTGAAGACGTAGTCTAAGGCTGACTTCATTGGTGTATCAGCTACACCACTAAGCAGTTGTTCAAGCCTTGCCTCTTGCTTCTTAAACTGATTTGTATTGACAGGCGTCTTTGAGATTGTTGACCGAGAATCTTGGCTGCTTGGCCGGCTATCACAATCCTCATAAATCGGCTTGTTAAGCACCTGGCTTGGATCGTACGGAACTAAGCCTGAAGCCTTGAAGGCACTCCGTATATTGGCTTCCTTAAACGCCAAAATATGGGCCTTTGGATACTCCTCCAAGAAATCACCTTTATCAATCTTCAAATACCGGGCACGTGCAAGGCGTTCCACCAAGCTGTAATATGTCTTCTTAAGAGGTGCGAAACAAGAGACATCCAACGGCTGGCAGAGGTGTGATGAATCAGGAGGCATGCAGATAGGAATAATGTGATTCGTATAACATAAGTTGTCAAATTTAGGTGTTGAATGCGATTCATGGCCATCAAGAATCAACAGGGTGTATTTGCCAATTCGTCGGTTGATTATTGATGGAATAAAGTGATGTTCAAGCCAATGTAAGCCGGTTTTATTGCTTGTCCGGCCATTCGGAGATGTATTGATTCTCCAATCGCCCGGAATTGAAGCTTCATACCAGCTTGCTATATAGTTTGTTTCTTTAAGAATTAAGTACGGCTTCAACGCCCAGCCGGCGGCGTTGGTATACTCGATTGAAGTTACCCATTCGCGGTTACCTGGCTGTGTAAGAAAAGGCCTTCCTGGATAGCTTGATCGAGTAACTACTTTGGCTGTTGCAACTTGGCCTATTATAAAGCCGGTTTTATTAAAATTGAAATTGTCTTCTTCAAGAATTCTATACTCCGATATAGTCCTTTGAACATAGTTGAACCAGGCCTGTATAATCTATGGATTCTTATACTTCGCCTGCTTAATATTCAGCTAGTAGAAATATCGACTTTTTAAGGCTTTATGGCTTATAACAAAATTTATAACTTATCTTTCTCCCACGGTTATTAGTTTTTTCTGATCTCTACGCTTTTGAAGCAACGTATTGGCCATCTCACGAACTGTAGAGTTTCTTGGAGGTGTTCCGCTGTCACAGTGCAGCCCCAGAGGACCTACCCGACCTGCTTAACTCCTACCCCTTGACCGCCCTGCACGTGATCCACAACCTCCCTAATCTTCTTCCCGCTCCTGATTCTGTTTGTAGCTCTTCGAGCTATGTCTTGTCTATGAACCTGAGAATAGCCTGACTAAGTAGCTAGAAGATAGAATCCAGAAGACCTGTATTAAGAGACCTCCAGCCAGAACTGCTAGTCCTACCACCTCGTCTGCGATTAAGCCAGCCAGCCCGCACCTTGACACTTAGATTAATACTATTAGTACTTAAGAATATATTGCATTTACAAAGTTTAGATTTAAATATAAAATAATTATTAAATTAAGACTTAATATTTTTTTTAAGAACTAGGTAAATAATAAATATACTAGAAGATAAAAATAAATTATGTAATATTAGTAGAATATATTTTATTTAAATTATATAATTAAATTATATAAATTTAGATAAAAACTTAGAATAATAGTTACTTCTCTAGTATTTACTCTTAGAGTAATCTAGGACTACTTAGGGATTACTCAGGACATGTACTTCTATGCTACCCTCATGCTCCGGGCCGCTCAGTGAGCAAAAAGCAGCGCCAAGTTCGGCCTAAAGCGGAAAGGGAAAGTCGTTGGATTTCCGCAGCAATCCAGTTCATTAGTTCCTTATTACGGAGTAGGGGTCAGGGAGGGAGCTCATCTGTTCAGCCCAGAGCCAAGAGAATTAGTGAATGAGCTTCAAGCTCGCTCATGCCTCGGTTGTCGGTCTTACCTATGAGGTGAATTCACATCGCATGGACCCTTAGATGACGAGATCTAAAGCAGTCCGGCACGCATCACAGGGTCCAGTATCATCTTGCTCTGAAAAGTGATGATGATGATGAGGAGGAGGAGGAGGAGGAGGAGGAGGAAAGATAATGGTCATTCCATTACTGGGAAATAGTTCTTGACGTGGCCCAAGGACTTTCCGTGGCATATTTATTTCTAAACCTCCAGCACAAGATATATCGCTCAGACATCATAGTTTGACGATGATCCGAAATGTGGGTCGTTGCGTAAAATTGACTACCTCGAGCAAGCGACAAGCTTACCCGAATCTAGGGAACTAAAGTAAGACAATTCCAAGCTGAGGCATCGAGCGCAAGTATCGCCCAACACATTTGCACTCCCGGCCAATGGAAACTTGAAAGGTAACTCGATTCCCACTGACCCTATCATCCATTAAGCACAAAACCATTCCAGAGGAGCATAAAAGGCACCAAGTATCCACTACAGTCAACTCTCCCCCATTCCTTGGGATCTCTCCCGTTGCATCCCATCCTCAAATTCAGATCCTGCACCATGTTAATGTCCGAAGCGCGCCTTGCTCGGTGCTGCTGCTTTTCAATTCTATTCGCCTCCCTCTGCTGGCTGTATGTCGCTTATCAAGGCTTCGATCCGGACGTGAAGTTTATTCTCTGGACTTTTGTTGGTCCGGCTTTCTATGCTACTTTTGGATGGCGGTGGGATACCGTTGGTTGATTGATGGGTAGTGGCTGTCTGTTTCTGGTGTGTCTACCTATGGTGTTCAGTTGAAAGGTTAGAGTCTCCAATGGGATTCTCTTGTCTTTGAGGTGGCTTTGAGCGGGATGGAATACGACGCCACCACAATGACGACCAACGCGACGACAAAGCAACCGCCAACTATCGACTTGGGTCATCCGTGAGCCCGTCAGTCTGCGAGAGTAGCATTGTTCACATATCCCAGTGTTCGACCATTGCAGGACCGTCTTCCGCTGGACATCGGCGGTCGCTGGGAGATTCGGGCGTTGTCCCACCTGAGGGACTGCAGCTGCCACTCTGCAAAGTCGCCGGGTGATCGTTTGAAAACCAGTATCTCGAAGCAATCGGGAGCAACACCCTATGTTTAGACTCTGCGACTCGCTTGATGCATTGGATATCATCTTCACGATCTGATAGAATCAATGGTGTGTGAAGAGCACACTCACTAGGGGTCTGACCGATAATCGAAGTTTGTCTCTCCATCGTCCAGTACTGACGAAGTCGTAGCTTGGTTTTTATAGTCACCTTGTTCTACAAGTATTAGGCTGGCAACAGCGGTGTACAAGCACACTGGCAGTCAGTTCCTGGCAGTATATCTACAGGGCTGCTTCATCATCGTACGACGAAGCCTCTTTGTCATGATGCTGCCGCTGAAGCAATAGCTTTGCTCCATGCTGTAGATTATTTCACTCGCAGGCGAATTTGACCGCTACAGACATCCAATGCTAAGCATATACGCACGGTTCAACCATGCTGATAGAGGGCTCCCTCTTATATAACCAACCATCAGCATACTTATAACCGATCAAGAGACCGTCCCACTGTTATCAGCGCACGAGAACACCCCATCCACACTCCCATCCCTATACGCCTGGCGAATCTGCACCACGACTCCATACGTGCCACCGACCATCATGAACAGCCCCAACAGCACCAAGCCCACATGCACCGCACACAACACCATCCATACCAGCCCCTTCTTCTTCTTCTCCTTCTTCTTCTCCTTCTTCTTCTTCCTCCCCCGATCACTCCTCTCACCTTCTTGTTCTCCCTCCCTCCCTCGCCAAACATTAACATACAACCAACAGACTCCCGGCAAACTAATCCCCAGCGGCGCGAACCCCAACGCCCCCACCAACGCCAACACATACGTAAACACCGGAATCGCACTGGCCAACACCCACGCCGTCGCCGCCATACCCACCACACACGCCAGCCACGTGCCCCAGTGCACCAGCGTGTTGGCCTGCAGATGGCGTCTCCGCTGGGGCGAGCCCCTTAACACCCGCACGAAGAGGTACTTGGCCGCGACGTGGATGTACAGCGCCCCGCTGACGAGTAACCCCGGCAGGGCGATGCCGTACGCTACGCGCTTCAGCACGGGGCCTGCGCTGCCCAGCGCCGGGGAGGCGACCCATTTCCCGCAGTAGCGGTACAGTACAAGACTAAAGGTTAGGTAGCTGGCGGTGATAAACGTCATGCAGAGGGCGACGGCTTTGCGGTAGGCGGGGGCGGTCGGGGGTCGCATTTCGGCGATCACAGGCAGAAAGGCGGAGGTGGCGGCGGAGGAGACGAAGATGGTGGAGGAGGCGGTGATGCCGGCGGCGAAGGTTGGGTGGTTGGTCAGGTGGTAGCCCAGGTCGTAGGGGCCCTGTTGGGGGGCGGTCGAGGGGCGGGAGAGGGTTGTTACGCCAATGCTTTGAGAATGGGGACTGTTAGTTGGAATTGGTTGGTGGTTGAATGCGGAGAGGAGAGGTAAAAGATGGGGAAATCAAGGGTAGGTACAGTAGACACAAAAACATACACAATGATGAACACCGCCCCGAGGATACTCGCAAACCCCACCCAGGTCAGCCAACCGATATGGGCAAACTTGCGCACGCTGGCGCAGAGTGCGATGATCACGGTGGCTATCACTGAGAACCACACCGTGCACAGCGAGTGCAGCGACAGCGCGTTGAACGCCGCTGACACCCCGATCACCCCCGACGCCGCCGTGATCACGTAGGTCATGATGAACAGGAACCCGACCACCTCCCGGAAGATAGGTCCCCCCATCAGCTGCGCCATGTCGGCCACCGTGTGGCATTGCGGGTACCGGTCCCGGAAGTCGCCCAGCACGAGCGCGCCGTACGTGTTGAGGCCGCACCAGCCCAGCACGTTGAGGGCGCCCGGCACGGCGCCGAGATCGTACATGACGGACGGAATGGAGAGGATACCGGTCGCGAAGAGCACTGTTCGCCACCGGGGGTACAGTCAGTCAGAACAACAGAGTTTAGTTATTGGGCTGGGTGGGCTGGAGGGTTGGGGTGTACTTTTCAGGAAGATGGCTGATGCTCGGATCCAGCTGACGGTCCGGAAATCCACTTGGCCTTCTTCCTGTTGGAAGACTTCGAAGGGCTCATGATGGTTGCTGGATTTGAGGTGCTCGCTGTCTGCCACAGCGATGTCTTCGCCACCAGGCATGGCTGGCGAGATCTTGAGGTCTTTGACCTCGTTGGGCGCCATGGTCCATTCGTGAGGTTGGTGTGAACAATCGGGGAGGGAAAGCCAGCCAGCACCCGCTGTTGATGCGGGAAATTAATCATTCTTATAAATGGTTTCTGAGCACTGCAATTAAACCTGCATGTTGATATGCAGGATTGGCGGTAGTATTGTCCTGCAATAATTGCCCATCCTTATTGACTAACCCTGCTACGATTTGGTAACTAGGGATGGCCTCTTGGCTGATCGATGGTGGACGTTGCGATAACAAAACGGCTCACTATCTATCTCTGTTGGAGTACGTACATCAGTAGTGTTATCATCAGGTTGGAGTTGCATTGACATGTCTGCCCTAAGCTATCGAATATGCAAGGTGATTGATAGGGAGTTGGGGTAGACTGTCACTCACAGCAGGGCAGGCGATTACAGGCATGTTCTGGGAGACAGAAAAGGTAAAGAGGATGTGATTTCCGCGCTTGAGAACAAGGTTAGGTTGCGGGTTCTCGGTCGGAACGGCCCAGGATGCCTCAACATCATTCCGACAGGAACAACCCACTCAACTTGAGGTCAGGTCAAGTCAAGTCAAGGACCATCGTTGCATCAAGCTTCAACCGACAATGATCAACTGTCATCTAACAATGGGGTTAATTAGCCTCTCGTGGTGGGTTCCAAGTTGGAGTCTTCTTACCCCAACCCGCGATAAGGCCTGTGGCTTGGCAGTTGGAGCAATGCTGCTTCTTTCGACCGTCTCCCCGCATCAGATGGCGTTGTTTCATCCGGTGCACTGGGTAGCAAGATCCTTGTGGTATTGTGATCAGTTGACGTTGGACTGTTCTCTCCAGATACAATTTCTTAAAGACTTCTGCCCGCCATGTCGGTCCTGTTTACCTCCATCTCGCCGTACGTCTACACGCCAACCCGCTATAGTAGAACCCGCCAGCTTATGAGTCTATAGGGAGAACCCCGTCAAGAAAGAAGACGCAAACCAACTCCTACAAGCCCTCGGCCTCTCCGTCCGCCCCGAAGAGGAAGACGACTTCCACACCCTCCTAGCAGCCGTCCATGACTGCGCGGAAACCGTCTCCAATCTTCCCGATTACCAGCCCGTCCCCGATCTGAAACGATACCCTCGACAGAATGTCCGACGTCCTTCTCCCGAAGAGCAGGCCTTCGGTCAGGCATGGGCGCACAAGTTCTTCATACAAGGCAATCCGCACGGGGGCCTCCTGGCGGGCAAAACCATTAGTCTCAAGGATACGATTGCCGTCGCGGGCGTGCCGCAGCTCCTCGGGAGCGACATCATCCCCTCCTGGACACCGGTCACGGACGCCACGGTGGTGACCCGAGCGCTTGACGCGGGCGCGGAGATCCATGGCACCTCGACCTGCGAGAACTATTGCCACTCGACCTCGTCGTATACTAGCGCGCAGGGAACTGTTGAGAATCCTTTCGCCTCGGGGTACTCGTCTGGCGGGAGCACTTCAGGCGGTGCAGCCTTGGTCGCTGCTGGGCTGGTCGATATTACTATCGGTGGCGATCAGGGTGGAAGCATTCGTGTGCCGTCCTCGTTCTGTGGTTGTAAGTGATATCGGTCTTAGACTTGGGCCGAAGTTCGTTCTTGTTGCTGATGTATATTCTAGGTGTTGGGCTGAAACCGACATACGGGCTTGTTCCGTACACCGGGATCGCGAGTGGAGATGCGATCAATGACCACGCAGGTCCCATCGCACGAAGTACTCTGGATGTTGCACTGTGCTTGGACGCCATCTGTGGCTATGACGGGATAGACGATCGGTGTCTGGGCAGCCCTGCACACGGTTCGACCTCGTATGCAGAGGGGCTCCGGAATGGACCTGAGAGACTTGATGGCCTCCGCGTGGGATACTTGAAGGAAGGATTCGAGCACGCTGCCGTGGACGCGGCAGTCAAACACGTTGTGATGGACGCAGTAGGAAAACTCGCGGAGCTGGGTGCAGTCGTCGAGGAAGTGTCTATTCCAGACCACTACCACGGGCCTGCCATTTGGACCATCCAGCAGCGGATTTCCGGGTCAATGACGCTGCTAGGCCAGGCCCATGGCCGACGCGGTCTTCATTTGACCGAGATGGAACGCGAAAGACTCCCGTGGACGGCCGACGGCTTCGAGCGGGCGTTCCCCAGCACCAAGAACGTAATCATCAACGGCCTGTATCTCACGACCAAATTCCCCGATCTGTACGGCAAGACCGTCAACATCGGCCGGCGGCTCCGGGATCTTTACGAAGAGGTCTTCCAGACGTACGATGTCGTGGTGATGCCGACGACGCCCACTGTCGCGCCCCGGCATGGTTCACGCGGCCTGCCTGTCGAGACTCTCAAGCCCAGCATGGGCCTCACGATCAACACGGCCATTTTTGACGTCACCGGACACCCCGCTATGTCGATGCCTGTGGGCTTTGCAACTGCAAAGGATAATGCGGCCCTTCGATTACCAGTCGGGATGCAGATTGTCGGCGGACTGTGGCAGGAGGCTAAGGTTCTCCGTGTGGGACACGCATGGGAACAGCACTATGACTGGAAAAGCTAAGCGAGATATAGAAATGCGTACTTGTAAACACATGCCGTGGAAGGTACAATGGCTGGTCACATTGATCAAGGCCCTCATCATCATGAATCATCATTGGACGTAACAAACTCGCAACCATTCAGTTAATGATATACCCTCCATCCACCACCAGAGCATGCCCCTGAATGAAGGACGCAAAGGTCGAACAGAGGAAGAGCACCGCATCAGCCACCTCTTCGGGCTTTCCCATCCGCTTCATAGGCGCGATCTCCACAGCTGGCCGTAGACGCTCGCGGACTTCGTCGCTGGAGGTGGTCATAGGTGTCTCAATAACCCCAGGACAGACGCAGTTGACACGGATCCCATCGCGCGCATAGTCAATGGCGTCGGAGCGTGTCATTGCGATGATGGCGGCCTTGGAGGCGCAGTATGCCGCTACATCAGCCGATCCAGAACATGTTAGCCGTGCTTCTGTACGCAAAAGACAAGGAAGACGGCGAAAAAGATAACTCACGAGCACCCGGTTGCCCAACGATCCCTAGCTGACTCGCAATATTCACAATCGCTCCACGCTGAGGCTCCCGCGCCGGACCATGGCTCGGCAACGGATCCTGCTTGATCATCTGCTTCAATTCTGCGCGGGAACAAAGCCACGAGCCCCGGTAGTTGATGTTGTTGATCCGATCGAAAACCTCGGTCGAGGTCTCGGTCGAGCGCAGGGCGTCCCCCAGCACGCCCGCGCAGTTGACGGCATAGTCGAGTCGGCCAAACTCCGAGACTACCGCCCCGATAAATGAGTCTACAAAGCTCTCGTCAGAGATGTCGCCGGCCTGGACGAATAGGCGCACGTCGGGCGATGCGGCGTGGATGGCTTCCTTGGTGTTATTCAAGGAGCTGGGGTTCAGGTCGGTGATGGCGATTCGGTCGCAACCGGATAGGGCGAAGCCTTTGGCGACGGCGGCTCCAATTCCTGGGTGGTGTATGGGTTAGTAGTTTGCAGTATTGACAGGGAGAGTAAGTAGTGTAGAAGGTTGCAGTAGTACCAGTTCCGCCGGCTCCGGTGATGACAGCGACACCCGAAAAGATATATGTTCGCGTCATAAGTAGCTGGATGAGTAGTGAGGGTTGGCAGTGAGGTGAATTAATTGAGGCCAGAACAGAAGCAGCAATTAGCGATTTGTTTTGAACTTCTCCTCTCTCTGTACTAATCACCCTGACATCATCTTATAGATTGGTGGAACTGAAGGAAGTACTCCGTACGGAGTAGTTGGGGTCCCTTTTCTTTCCTGTTGTTGTTCGGTCTTATCGGGAAAGTCGGAGTGGGGTAAAAGCAGCAAGACAGAAAAAAGTGGCGTTGGAGTCGGTCACTTTGCCTCTTCTGTACGGAGGACCTTCTGCCCAATTTCTCCATTTCTTTCTCACCATCTCCTCCAGTGCAAACGTTCTCCAATTGGAGAGAGACAATTGCTCAGTGGAATCGCATACATACGCCTCCATCTTCAAATTAAAACCCTGAGAGTGCGCCTCCAAATGTCTTGATGCAGTCTCAGCCTCCTCCCTCACAGCCTATTCGGGGCAATCGGCGCTCGACCGCTGGTGTCAAATCTCGGATCTGTGTGCATTGTGGCCGCAGTTTCCGCCGCACCGAGCATTTGGAGCGCCATGTTCGCACCCGTATGTTTCAATTGCGACCTGTCTTAGCGTCTCAGAGCCCTGCAGGGATGTACAGTACATTGACTAACGCTTTTCTGGTCCGCCTGCAGATACGAAAGAGAAACCGTATATTTGCTTTTGTGGGGCTGCCTTCACTCGCCGGGATCTGTTGAAGCGACACACCAACATCGCTCATCCAGGCAATGGCTTGGTGTCGCCCAATTCGCAGCCAGACACCGAAAGTGTAGAACCTCAACAATCTCTCCCGCCGCCGTCCAAGCCCGCGTCAGCCCCCCCAGCTCCTCCTCCAGCTTCAGTACCACAAACTGCCGCCGCGCCGCCGCCAGGGTTTATCGTCCCGCCGCCGACATCGCGGCCGGACGCACCGCTCTCCGTCCCGCCGACTGTGGAACAATGGACCGGACCACCGCCGCCACCTCGGGAGTCATATATACCCCAGGATCGAGCTCCGGTGATCGAGCCTGGGAATAATGCTTCCGGTCTACCGACGCATAGCGGTGCAGTCGGTCATGACGCCGAGGTTCTCGAGGCGGCCCAGCTTCTGCTTCCTGGGAATTACCGACATACTCCAGCTCCGGGTAGGGAATCGCTTTTAGAGTAAAAGATGCAACGGAACCTGATATTAACTGGACATAGCCCAACCCATCCAATACCTGCCGGAAGAGTTGAATCACTTTCAAGATTTTACCCAGTTCCTCGACTCCATTGGGTTGCCATCGGAATGGGTTCCTGCCTTTGGAGATGTGCCTCAGATACACAATCCAGTGCCGGCCACTACCATCCTCGACATTGACAGAAACCATGCTGCTCAACAAGATGCACCTCGTCGGAGTATACCCGAGAGGTCTTCCCGGGCGGATTCGCCTTTTCGATCATGGCTTCCATCCGTGCCTCCCGAAGACCAGAGTCTTGGCTCGGTTCATGATTATGGTATGTCGATCATTGAGCGAGGGTCGGAGTTGTTCTTCTGACTTAGCTGCTAGAGCCCCCGCAAAACTCCAAGAGCAGTTCCTCACTGAAGGTGACAGAGGAGCAGCGACTACGATTGGCTGCGGCCTTGGAGGAGTTTCGTTATCTGATACCAGATTTCGTCTTGCCGTCGCGTCACACGCTAAGCAGATACTTGACCTCGTTCTTTGACGGCTTCCACACGCATCTACCTTTTATGCATGCCCCCACGTTCCGGATACATGACCATGCGCCGGAGCTCGTGCTGGCGTTCATGACTCTAGGCGCCCAGTACCGTTTCGAACACCGCAATGCGGAGCGGCTTTTCCATGCCGCCAAGGAGATTGTTCTCTGCAAACTGTCAAAAGAGTCTCATCACGTTATGCCATATAATACGGTTATTCAAATACCTTTGAACAACATTCGCGAGCCGACACTGCCGAGCCAGGCCTCCAATCTCTCGCCTGCCGACTTCGCTGCGGGCATGAGTGCCTGGAGGCAACTCGAAAACATCCGCACTCTGCTAGCCTTGATGGGATACTCAACCTGGGAAAAGGCAGAGCTGGTTCAAGAGGCATTCGGTCTGCAGAATCTGCTTGTCCGATGTCTTCGGGAGTTCGGGCTGGCGGAGAACATCATCGCTGCCCCAAGGCACTCCCCTCTGCAATGGCACGAATGGGCTGAGGAGGAGTCCATTCGCCGCACTCGATTCATCTCCTTCTGCTTCGTTCATATTCACAGCATAGCATATAACATCTACCCGGTGTTGCGCAGCAGTGAAGTCCACTTGCGCCTTCCGTGCTCCACCAAAGAATGGAACGCAGCCACAGCGCACGAATGGGAAGCGGCGCAGAAGGAAGTTGGCTCTCAACAATTGTTCTTCCAGGATGCACTCGCACTGCTGCTGCAACCATCTCGACACCCCGTGCCGCTCGAGCCGATCCCGGCGCCACTGGGCAATTATATCCTTCTTCATGGTCTGCTTCAGCGCATACATCTCGTGAGCGAGCTGTCTATACCAAACGGGGATCATTCATTTTCTCTCCCAACAGAGGAGTTGAACAAACTTGAGTACGTTTTTTGGTTCTCTGATGAACTTGAGGGCGCGGAATACCATTCACTTTTGTCAACTGCTAATAGTCTTGCACAGGAGAGCTCTAAGAACCTGGACATCAGTCTGGCAACAAGCCCCAGAATCGAGCCTCGACCCTCACAACGAGAATGGCCCCATCCCCTTTACCTCAAGCTCGTTTCTAGGACTAGCGTACGTTCGTCTGTCACTGAACCTCGGGTCTTACCGTCAACTTGAAACTCGCGACCCATATCGGATCGCCGCCGCGCTGCATCGGTCGCCTCGCCCTAGTCGAAGCTACCAGTTGATCCCGGCGCTTATTTATGCAGCACACGCTCTAAGTGTTCCAGTGCGATTGGGCATTGATCACGTGGCCCGCAGTCAAGCCTTCTTCTGGAGTGTCCGACATTCCATTGCCAGCCTTGAATGTGCTGTGCTACTTAGTAAATGGCTGCTGTCGCTAGCAGAGACTGGTGGTACCCAAGCTTTGAGTGGTAGGGATTTTACGAAACGGCTTTAGCTTCTGATACAGGTAGCTGACATTGAAATTGGACAGGTAATGAAAGCCGTATACTGCATTGGACACGCTGCATTGTGAAAGAGGCTTATGATTCTCTGGATCTTGACAAAGAGGAGACTTATCCCGGTTCTGACCCTACCAGCCTTGGATTGGCGGTGATCCAGCTTTGGGCTCGTCTGTTTCGAAAGAATACGCAGTGGCCTTTTATCAATGTGATGGGCGAGAGCTTGGAAAGATATTTGGACCTGATTCGACCGGAATGATGATAGCTTGCGCAACTTACAAGGAGGAACCGAAGACTCTCCACCCCAGCATCCAGGCGTGAGCGCGGATTCCACGAAAGGCGTCGGCACAGGAAACAGCGTTGCACAGTCACATGCAAATGGCGTGCCTGCTTGCAAGACTCCTGCAAATGACATGGATTGTAGCTGAAACTGCTGTATTAGGGGAACGAGTCCAAAAGACACTTCTACCTGTGTCGGAAGTCGCGGCACTCATATCCAAGCCTGTCTCCAAGGGGAATCTCAGCCCCCGCTCGCAGGAATTGAGTGCCGGATGATCTCATCCACTATGTACAGAAACGGCCAGAGGCAAAAGTCTAGCGGGATACGTCACGTCACCGAAATGTTCCCTCAAGAGGGGTTTGGTCCCCCTCAGGCATAGACTGCTCTGCACTCGGGTCTACTCGGATCTACTCAGATTTGCAGACCGCAAGTCGTCATAGACCTAGATGGGCAAAAGTGCCAGATCTTGGTCATATCTTGACATTCATTCACAGTAGTCGGAAGGCTAATAATTAAAGAAAAATAAATGATTACACAGGAATGGTCTTCCACAGATATTGCCGTTCCACCCAAACTCCATTGATCTCTCTCCACTCTTGCACCCAAACACGTCCTTCAACCGGAACAGACTAACCACAAAGCGAGCTTGATTGGAACTGCGTTTTCTTGCTTCCCCTGGCTTAGAAGAGCGCTCTCTTTGCCCAGCTGGGAGAAGGAGTCGCCGACGCGGCGAGCGAGGCCGAGCTGGAAGCGGCCGCACTGGCGGAGACATTGGCCGTCAGAGTGGCCCCAATGGGACCGATGAACAGGGTCTGACCGCAAGGGGCCGGGGGCGCCGAGACACAGCCGCCGAGGTAGCGGCCCAGCTGGCCCTTCTGACTGCCGGAGGACAGCACGAAGGCCGGGCTGTAGGCGGGGACAAGCCCGGAGCTGTTGGCCGGGAAGAGAATGTCCTCCTGGTTGCTGGCCAGATAGTAGGCATGTGCGGTGTGCTCGGCGGCCAGACGGGCCCACAGGAACGAGACCTCGGGGGCCTGGGTGTATCCGGCCAGCGCGATGTAGGCGCCCGCAACGGAAGACTCAAGGGTCAGGGCAGTCTGGACGAAGGCCTCCCCGCTGTTGGCGCTGGGGAAGGTGAAGCTGCAGTTGGGGGCCGTGAAGCCGGAGGTCTTGGCCCCGAGCTGCTGCACGCCGCGCACGGCCAGGCGGTTCAGCCGCTGCATCCCCTGGAAGTTGGGGTAGTACTCGGCGTCGGAGTCATTAGTGGCGCCGCTCAGGAAGGTCTGGTTGAGGGCGACTTGGTTGTAGAAGCGGTCCAGGAAGTAGGAGAGCGCGTAGCCGTACTCGACGACCTGGACGTCCGACGAGGAGGGCGAGCAGCTGGAGCTGGAGGAGTTTTGCGCGACCGCGCCGACGGCGAGGAGCAGCGGACTGAGGGTGGTGAAGAAGCGCATTCTGGACGTGTCTAATCGATGATATGATAGATAGAAGGAATTGCTCTGATTCTTGGATCTGTTGTCGGTTTGGACAAAAATACTTGCTAAGACAGCAGGAGTTGTAGAGGTCAGAAGCCCAATCGCCCAAGATTATCCCTACCGTACGATACTATCCACTATATATACGCTCAAGAAGGAACCCAGCACAAAATCTAGAATGTCTCAAATGCAATGATATGATGCTGGATGTGGAACCCTCATCCGCCCCCCTCCTCCCCCGGTTGATGCAGAGGCCGCGCGGTCATCCCAGCGGAGTACGGTTCCTCTCCACTGATTTGCATCATGACATTTCCCTAAGCTCCGTAGTAAGGGTAGGTGTTTAGTTGTCTCCGGGGAACTCCGAGGGGGAACACTAGCTTACCAGTGTATCTCCTCCTCCTCCTCCTCCTCCTCCTCCTCCTCATCATCATCATCATCATCATCAGCAGACCCAGATAAAGTACAAGCGGTGGTTCCACCGACGACGAGGTTCCCAACCAGAATGAATCAATAGGCTAAAAAGCTAAAGCGAACCGAACTGGGTGTTCTCTCGACAGCTGACTCAAGACAAAAAAACCTTCTCCATTTGGAAGCTCTCACCGGGACACGAGCAATTGGTTCTTGCCTGAAGTTTGGCTCGGTTTCTTTGGTTGTGATATCATTCCCACCGGACAAAACCGCTTCACTAGGCATGAGGTATGGCTGGACGGTTACCCCGGGTTGGAACGGAAGAAAGGAAAAAGAGGGTCGTCACAGTTAGGAAGATGGCGGAATGATTGCTGCTGCCTTCTACTGTCCTTTGCTTGCTGCTGGATTCTGTCTGACCTTTTTTTCAAACGGTTGGTCGTACTGTCATACGTACTGCCAATTTTGAGACAGGCTGGTGAATAATGGTGATGGCAGTGCAGGTGGTGATATCATCCGCCCGGAAGGGAGTGGAAAGACCATACGGTTGAGTCGTGGGCGTAATACCAGAAGTACCTGACTTACTTCGACTAGTGCCGGCATAATGTGCGAGTGCACTACTCTTATTAGTGAAAATTTGGTGGCTCGACTTGTTTGGAACGGGGGAGGCTGCTCAGCTCTGCTGCTGCGCAACATGCAGCATCTGTCATCGAACTTCCAACTTACGACTCACTCATAGATGCCCGCCCGGATCGGCCGGGGAGATCTCCTTTAGCTGCAGGTGGAGTGGATTAAGGTAGAGAGCACTAGGCTGGATGAGGTTAGAGGAGGGATAGGTTATTTAGTTAGTGGGTCACGTGTAGTGATTGGTGAAGGAATAGTATTTTCGAATTCCTTCTTGCTTTGTTGGTTTGAATTAGCGGATTACACTTGATCGTGATGATTCACTGAGAGGATGGTAGAATTGGCTTTCATAGGGAAAGGTCGGTTATTGATGTAAGCTTGAAGAATTTGGTTTCATCATCGAGTGAGGAACGCTCGGCAGAAGCGCGAAGGAAACAGAAGTGCCGACGTTTTTCCGCGTTCGCTAACTTTAACTGATTGACCTTCATTGATCACCAAACTAGTCGCAATGCCCTAATTAGAGCTACTTAGCTATAATGACAGACTCTGAACCATGACCCTATCAAAAGAAGGGCTCCTTCAATCTACTCCTAGCAAAATCTGAGAACAACCACCTCCCCACCGATAAGTCCCAGCTGTTTCCCCACACACTAACCTAAGCATAAGCATAAGGATTCCTCCCCTTCCCCGCCAACATCTCGGCAAAAAACTCGCGAAACAGCCGCGGCCGCAAATCCGGATACAGCTGCCTTGCATCCAAGTACCCCAGATATTCCGCCACATGCGGCTGATTATCCTGGCGCACGTACTTGCTCACCCGGTACTGCGTGAGCAACACCGGCACGAGCTTCTCCCAATTATCCTCATCGTCAGGATTGACCCTACCAGTAGTGCTGCGCGCCTCTTCCAGCTCGCGGAACGCCTGCAGCGCCTTCTCGGTAGTTACGTCAAGCGGTTCCTATGTATTCCCACAGCTCTCCTGGTTAGCCTTATCCCCCACCCACATTCCCCCACCCTTCCCGATAATACCTCCCCTCGAGGCACTACTAGTAGGCAGGATTAGAAAAACGGAACAGGAGCGATTCACATACATAAATCCGGTCCACCTCCTCCCCTGCCATCTCCTCCACAACCCCCAAGACTTGATTTTCGGTCAACACCTCACCGCACAGATACACGTACCGGTTCAGCGTGCGCGCATCCGCGAGGATCCTCGCCACATACCGCCCGATATCCGCCAAGTCAATCAAGATGTTCGGGGCGTCGCCGGCGCCGTGCACCGTGCGGGTCGCGTCCGGTAAGGGGATGGCGTAGTCGATCCGGCCCGACGGGAGCGGCGGGCACGAGAGTTGGTACCAGTAGCCGACGTCGATGATGGTGTAGCCTAGGTTGTGGAGTTTGATTTCGTTGATGATTTCTTCTTTCTGCAATCAAGCAATCAATGCATCAGTGGTTCTTGTTTGGTGTAGGTGCAAGACAACTTTAAGAGGGACTGACTCACCATCTCTCGAAGCAGCATCGCCCCCCGTGGCGGCGCGATCGTGATATAGGAGCTCGGGACGAAGCGCTGCACGCCCGCCCGCTTGGCCGCCCACACCAGCTTCTTTTGCTGGGCGACGAGGGCTGGCCCCACGGTGACGATCAGGATGTCGACGCCTGCCAGGGCGGGCACGAGCTCGTCTTCGGGCCCGTCGAGGTCGACGATGCGGCCGGGGATGCCCCGCTGTGTGGTAAGGGCTTGGACGGATGGTTTGGTGGCTGAGTTGGGGCGGATGAGGATTTCGATGTCCTGGTTTCCAGGGTAGTGGTTCTGTCAGTACTAGTACTAGGGTTTATGCCGTAAGGGGTTGGTGTTTGGAAGTATATGAAGGTATAGAGTACGGAGTACAAGGAAGACATACAAATTGGTCGGCAGCCAGCAGGGCTTCTAGGATGGACCCGCCGACGTTGCCGGTGGCTCCGATCAAGAGGACTTTAGGTCGGGTCATGGTGGTTTTCTTGTCACTGCAAGATCAGGAGATGAAAGGTTTGGATCTTGCCTGATGATAGAGAGCAGACAGTGGCTCCTTATGTATACAACGAGGTATACCTCAAGGTTTGGAGTGGCTGACGGGCCGATGGGAGCCCCTGGGCTGCTATTGGCTGGCCCGTGTACAGCTCAAGCCGCGATGCGCGATTAATCCACAGTCCACAATCATCTTCCTTCAGATGACCTTGCCCCGTCAGAAGCAATCCTAGTATTTTACGCGAATCATTTACGGTCATGGCTTCACAGAGGCCGACATGTCCGAAAGACCATTCCTCGAAGAACGCCCTGTCACTTGATAAAGACCGAAGACAATCGAATCATTCTGTACTATAATTATCATATACGATTGGATAACATCCTTGATCCAGACAAGACACACATACACAATTCTAAAATTGGTCACGCCTAAATATATTATGTACCATAACTTTTATGGCCCCAGTAAGGAGAAATAAACAAATCACAGCGAACCACAAAAGGTGTGTAGAAACACACTCCATAAACAACACATGACTAATAATATGCCGGCTCTATCTCGACGCCTGTCCAGTCTGCGCACTCTCCCAGGCCCTCTTCGCTCCCTCCAAGAGACCATCCATGTTGCCACTGTTCTCGCACATACTGCGGAACAGACCATCCTCGCGGTTGATCAGCGTCCACGGGTGCTCGAACTCGATGACCTGACCATGGTCAAGCACCAGGACCTTGTCATAGTCAATAATGGTTTGCAGGCGGTGTGCAATGGTGATGATGGTGCTTTCACGGAGTTCGCGGAGCGTCTCCTGAATCTTCGAGTCGGTATTGTAATCAATCGATGCGGTCGCTTCGTCCATCATCAGGACCTTCGGGTTCTTAAGAAGGGCACGGGCCAGGCAGAGAAGCTGGCGCTGACCCTGAGACAGGTTGGACCCGGACTCGGAAACGGCAGTCTCCAGGTTCAGGAAGATGTTCTTGTTGTCAAGGACGGTACTGCTGGTCACGCCGTTTGTGCTGGGTTCGGCAACGGTGCTACTCGTCATGGGTGTAGCACTGCCCGAGGTTCCTGGCCCAATCAAGTGGACGCGTCTCAGAGCGGTGAAGATCTGCTCATCAGTGAAAAGGTCGAAGGGATCAAGATTGGTCCGAATGGTACCCGTGAAGAGAGTAGGATCTTGAGGGACGATGGTGATGGCTTCGCGCAAGTCGCGGAGACCGATCTTGCTAATGTCCACACTGTCGATGACGATGCGTCCTTTCTCGGCCTCGAGTCCACGGAACAGCGCGAGAGCGAGAGAACTCTTTCCAGCACCGGTACGTCCGACGATTCCCACTTTCTCTCCCGGTTGGACCTTGAACGAAACATTCCGGAGAACAGGATCCAGGTCAGACCGGTACCGCGTGGTATAGTTGACAAATTCAACGGAGCCCCCGCTTGGCCATTGAGCCGGCGGTCTGGAGTCGGCAATGACGGCATCAGCCTCCTGTTCAACATCAAGATACTCCTTCACTCGCTCGACTGAGTTCATGTTCTGTTGGACCTCGGAATACAGACGGACAAGCCAAAGAACGTTGTCTGTAAATGTCACCGCATATGTAAGCGAAAGTCCAGCTGCACCCGCGTCGACCTTGCCGACATTTGCGAGGACGAAGACAGCAGTGAAGAAAGAGACAAGAGCTCCAGTTACGTCCACGCGCAAGGCGAGCCAGCGGTTGCTGGCCCAGAGGTAGATATGAGGCCGGTTGTAGGCATTGATCCGACGATGGTTATCGACAATGAAACGTGGCCCATCACCATAGGCACGGATAGTGACAATCCCATTCAGAGTCTCACCGAACTGCTGGTACAACGGACTTCTCTGTACGGATTCGAGCCGTTTCAGATCACGAGAAGAGTTCACATAGACGGCACCGAGAGCGACATAGATCAGCGTGATGAAAATTCCGGCAATCAAGAAGCCAGGGGTAATGACTGAAATTAGAATCACGATCATGATCACAGATGCCAGGCTGTGAAGCATGCCGATAGCGACAGGAGCAACTTCTTGGTCAACTGCCTCGACATCCTTAGAGAAGCGGTTCATCAATTGGCCGAGAGGAGTCGAGTCGAAGAACTTGAATTTCGCATGAATCACAGATTTCAAGAGACGTTGGTGAATGGTGAACGAAGCGTGCAGCGAGCCCCAAAACAAAACGGCTTCTCTGAGCAGGGAGATCAAAACGAAAGAAAGACCCAATAGCGCGTACACACCAAGATAATACGTGATGTTCACATCATTGCTAGGCCCATCACCCTTCCGTGTGCTGAACTGAGGCGCGCTGAGGACCGAAGTTCGGGGAACTCCACCTGCGTTGAAAGATGGCATTTTGAAGTTGGACACTGCCGCATAATCACCGACATCATCCAATCCAGAACTCTGCGTTTGATATGAGTTTGCCCATTGTCTGATCCAGATGTTGGTAGAGACAGAGCCCAACTGCTGCAGGCAGAAAACTAGAACAGCGACGAGCCAGTAAGACCAAGATCCCATAGAAAGCAAGTACATCTTGATTGTCGACCATTTGATGCTGCCGGTTGTTTTGGATTCGTTGAGCTTGGATTGATCCTCTTTACCTTCCTGGATCTTGGCGGTGGTGCCGTTGACGGCCGAGCCATTCGCGTGAGTCTCTTCCTGTGGCTCTTCGGCATCAGAGGGTCTACGAGAGAGACGCGGCGTGCTAGCCCTAGATGTGGGCCGGGATTTGAGCAGTTCATCGCCCAAGGCACCCGAAGCTGCTACCTCGTCCGGAAGACCTTGTGCCGCGATCTTGCCGTTGCTAAGAACAACAACATAGTCTGCCTGGGGAACCGTGAGAGCAATATTGTGTGTGACGAGAATGCAAGATCTGTTGAGCATAAGAGGGCCAGTCAATGCCTGACGGAAGATGTGCTTTGCGGTGTGTGAGTCCACGGCACTCAAGCAATCATCCAGGAGCAAATGGCGAGCCCTGCTATATACCGCACGAGCAAGGGAGATCCGCTGCTTCTGGCCGCCGGACAAACTGATTCCCTTCTCGCCCACGAGGGTCTGGTCACCAGCATCGAGAATCTGGAGGTCCCTCTCTAGAGCACATGCCTTGATCACAGCGTTGTACCGGCGTTGATCGAACGGAGACGCAAACACAATATTCTCCTTGACAGTAGCGTTCACAAGCCAGGCTTCCTGTGCGCAGTATGCAACACTCTCAATGAGACCCGTCTGCGGATCCACAGGCAATTCGGCTCGATTCGCGGTTCCGCCGGGCAGATACACTCTTCCTTCCAAAAGTTTCATCTCACCCAGGAGGGCCATGAGCAAGGAGGTCTTTCCAGAGCCAGTAGCTCCTGTGATAACATTCAGCTTCCCAATCTTGAACGACACATCCATGTTGATGAGGCGGAAATTGTCTTTGGCGTCATCCAATGGGTCATCAGAGTATCCTGTTTTCGAGGCTCCCCAGCTAAGAGTGGCCTTTTCCAAAGCAATCTTGGGGGGTTGTCCAGCCGAATCCTCGTCCTCGAGCAGTCGATACTTCTCGGTCTCATCCTCGTTGAGATATTCATCCACACGATCGAGCGACACCTTAGATTCCTGCACGTGTGCCACCATATCTGCTAGCTGATCCAAGGGCACACGGAGCAGAGAGAACATAGACAATGCGGGGAAAGCAATCGAGGGAGTCAACTGTTTCTTTTCGACGGCCGTGTACAGGAAGAATGAGGCAAATGTGATCAAAATCGGCGTGCCGTACCAAACCGTAGCTGCTGAAGACCAGATAATGTACCGGAACCTGAGAGCCTTCAATTCGGTCTTTCGTTTCTCATTGACAATATCCTGGAAACGCTGCTCCCACGCGAAATACTTGATGATCCGGATGTTTTGCAGAATCTCGTTCGTGCTATGGATACGAGCATCGGTTCCTTTCAGAATCTGTTTCTGCACCTTTGAGAACTGCTTCGCGATGATCAGGTTCACGGGCAGCATGAGCACCATGATAACAATTCCAGCAAAAGAACTCAAGCCCAAGAGACGATAGAGAAGGGTTACAGCGATGACAATTTGAGTAGGGACACTGGCCCAAAGGAAGTGCAGGTAAGCGCCGACTTCGCTAACCTTGAAGGAGTCGATAGCCATCAGGTTGATGATAGTACCAACGTTAGCCAATTGCTTTTCCTCACCTTCCTTGGGGTCCTCGGCTGTTGTGCCATTGGTCTCTGGGTCGGTGGTTGCGTTTTTCTTGTTCTTGCGACCGAAGGAGAACAGGCCGCCCTTTTTCTTCTTGTCATCGTCCGACTCGGCAGCCTTCTTAGGGGCAGTTTCGACAGTCGAACCAGCCTTTCTCCGCAGAGCCTTGGCGTAAATCTCACCAATAATGATGGCACGGACCTTGACGCCGAGTTTACGTCCAATCCAGAGGGCTTGACCGTCGGCAATACCTTGAATGGCTCCGGAACAGAACAGAAGTATGGCATAGAGCCAAGCTGCATTTGCTGTGGTAGATCGTGGATCCTCAACATACTGGAGAATGGCTCTAAGCAGAATAGTTGGCAAATATGTGAACATATTCGAGAAAATCGTCCAGGCGCCCTGGTAAAGGAGTGTACCGTAGAAGTAGCGGGCCAACTTCCACCACAGCGCACCCTGATAATGTCTGCGTCGGAAGTCCTCCAGTACACTGGCTGCCTTTTGGGACGCAGTCAAGTCCCAAACATCGTCAAGCTCCAGAGGTTGTCTGTATCCTTTGAGGATCAGAGGGTCCAGCCAGCCGAAGGTGGCAAGCGAAAGCAAGCTGGCTGTGGGGTGTCTCGCTGGCTCGAGGCCATCCTCGTGCGAAATGAGAACAGCCTTGTTTCCCCTACGAGTGGTCACTGCAACGAGTAGGAGAAGAGTCGACAAGGCAAACTCGATCGAGCTCAAGGTCAAGGCGCGCTTGGACAGTGGATAGATGACAGCGGATCTGAAGATCATGACATTAAACAGCCATTGCAGCCCATACAGAGCGGCAGTGTGACTCCAGAGCCGGGGAGAAGAGTGCAGGTCCAGCGTCGAGAGTAGCAGCCGGATCAATGCGAGGAATAGTATATATGACCATGAAACTAGCTTCGCAATAGCTGGAAGGGAACCCTGACGACCCCATGCATCTGTCGAGAGAACAGCCACAAAGACAGCCACTTCTCCAGCAAGCGCAAGTATTTCCAGGGAAATCACGGCAATTTCGCCTCGGGGGCGATCAACCTCGAAGTGAGGCATCTCGCTTCGCGTCGCTTTGCTCAACATTGGATCTGTCTCCCCTTCTTCGTCGTCTCCGACAGCCGTGTCTTGCGTATCCTCATCCTCTGCATCATTCGCCAAAATCTTGTAGGAAACCCTTTTGCGAGAAAATAGAAAGCCGTATGCGACGCGGAGCACGATGAGTATTAGAGATAGTCCACATGCCGCGAGAGGGAAAATCACTTGTAAATAGCTACAATTGCGAATGATTAGTTTAGTTCTGGCGCATGACTTGGTATGAGCAAAGTGAATTCGACGTACTTGCGCTGAAAACAACGTGAGAGGTCATCGCGGGCCCAGATAGGACCATGACATTCCACCCCCATGATTAATCGAGGGAGATTCGTCGAAACACAAAGACTGCGGAAATCATGCGCCGCAAGTCCAGATATAGACCGAGTGAGCGCAGAAAGCAACTGTTGGAAGTTAATGCGTCCGGTACAGTTAGTATAGATACAACGTCACGGCATATAGATGCAGGACAAGCCTAGCACCGCCGAACGGCAAGGCGGAGAAAAGCGACGAAATCGACTTTTTGGCCAGGACAGCGGTTAGATACAGGCAGAATTATCAAACAGCGAAGATCGCGTAGAAGCTGGCAACATAGCACAGTTTCTGCGAAATTCGTACGGTACAGTAAGATTGGGGGGGGAAAGGTTTGGCGGGGGGACAGAGGATGGGAATAAGAGAGAGGATCGGAGAGGGGGGAAGAGGAAGGGTGGAAGAACAGGAAGACAGAAATGCGGCGATGACGAGCAGCAGGCGGACGCCGAGCAAGTGGGACTGCGCGTGGAGAACAGCCCGGCAGGCTACACAGCAGACTCACTAGTAGTTCTTTAAGACTCGTTAGTCTGTCCCCTCTAGATTGGCCCTGGAAAAAAACAGTGGAGGCTTTTTTCGCTTCCAGCTGCAACGAAGATTCCAGACCTCTACACAGTAAGTTACTAGAATCAAGCCAAATGCTTTCCAGGCCTCTCAGACTTATGCTTCAGTAAAGCTGCCTTTACACCCAATTCTACTAGTTGTGGTACTCGATAGTCGTCGGATTGGATATCATATTCTATGAATCCTCTGGACCCGTGGTTGACCGTCCGGTCGCATTCTACTGATTGCTGACATTGCACGCAAGACATGGCAAGCATGCCAGATTTGTCGCGGGATCGCTGTCTATCCTTTCACTTGTCATTGAATCATTATCAGATGCTTGCAGTCTCAATGCGACCACTTAATCTGACGTATCACTGATCAACCGGATAAATCGACCACCTCATTCACTACTGGTGTGGTTCCATGTTGCAAGATGGGATCTGGAGGCATTGCTTCTCACTTTATCTGAAAACTATGGGGTTCGTCCCGATTTCAACAAGCTCTATGGAAAACTACTCGAATCCTATGATGAATCGGATCTTCCCACACAGTACTTCCACCCAGAGTCCCTTTCTTAACTCCCTATCGGAACTACGTAGAGGGATGAGAGGGGTCCGAACTTCAAAGATACGGTATGGATATGCGAGAGCTTGGGAGGGCTGTCCGTGCATGCTGCATACCCCTTGCCGGTCACACCGACTCGATTGACAAAATCCATCCAGCCTCTGATCTTCTGTTACAATCAACGCGGTTGATTCGTCATGCGCGCTTGCCTATTAACTATCATATTTCGCATGGAATGGTGAGTCAAACTCTCAAAGGCTCATCATCTGACAGGCGTCGGGGTCTATAAACGGGATAGCTGGTGGATTTCGTAAGTTGAGTGCAACCAGGCACTTCTTTATCATCCGAGATAAGCATCAGCAGCAGGGCAACGCAAAAGCAAGGCGGCTAAAGGAGGAATTGTGCCTTTTACTCAAAGTGCATGTCTCGTCTCTCTCCAGCTCATGGTACTCCGAATGGTTTCTCCGGTTATTCTCCAGGAGAGCCGTCGGTCAATCCCCAGAGATAATCTTGAGCCAGGAACTATGCCGTAATGATATCGCGATAACTAATGATGATAAATAAACCAGCTGGTCCCAAGTCGTCCATTTTCCCCACTCGAAGGGCTGCTTTTCCCCTCTCTAGCCCCCACTGCTCGTTCTCCTCTCCAGCTCAGAACACCAATAAGAGACAGCGATTGTTCATCCATTCCTGACACTATGAGTGGCTGCCCTGGTTATCATCCCACCTGGTGCCTGAGTATGCTAGAACCCTTCCGACTTCAGAGTATAACACACCCCAAGAGCAATAACTAAGCCAGCCAGCTTACTCCATATGTCGGTGTTACTCTGGGAAAAATAGGGAAGGTTTCCGTATGGAACCCGGTGGTTCATGGCAGAAAAACTCTGCGGAGAGAACTTGTGATGAGGGAATCCGACACGCCACCCCCGGGGCCTTCCGCCGCGCGTGGGTAGCATGGATTGCCACAGCGGGACTAGCGCTTTCTTTCATGAGCGGCGTCTCTTGCGGACAATGACACCCTCCTCCTACGACTTGTCTTCCCCTCACCTCGAATCCTCATCACCGCTTATCAGATCTTCTACAACTCAAAGGTACGGTTTACCTACTTTCAGGACAACTCCTGCAGACTCTATCTCCACCTCTTGAGATCTGCAACCTCATCCATACCCATTGAAATCTGTTACTTCTCGCCGCCCGCCACACCTCTCCCCTTTCCGTCGCTCACCATGGTGGAACGCATCTTAATGAACGAATACAAGTCGTTGTTGAAGGAGCCTTGGGTCAATATCGAAGTATGCTCTTGCTCTCCATAGCACAGACTACCTATTTACCCTTGAATCCACCATCCCTTCGTTGTGCAGTTACTGATCGGACCTCGCCTACAGATCGATGAACAGAACATTCTAAACTGGAACGTGGGCTTGATCGTCCTCAACCCAGACTCTCTCTACTATGGCGGCTACCTCAAAGCTTCGATGAAGTTCCCCAGTAATTACCCTTATTCGCCTCCAGGTGAGTGCCCTTCCTGCAATATGACTGGCCTATAAGCGCCTTGATCTTCCCTTTTCTCGACTAACCCAGCCCTTCAATCATGCAGAGTTCCGATTCCTCCGCCCACTGTACCACCCGAACATTTATAAAGATGGCAAACTCTGCATCTCTATTCTTCACGCGCCCGGCGAGGACGAAATGTCGGGCGAGCTCGCCTCAGAGCGGTGGTCACCCGCTCAGCGAGTCGAATCCGTTCTCATCTCCATTCTATCCCTACTCGACGACGCAGAAATCTCCTCGCCCGCCAACGTGGATGCGTCCGTGATGCTCCGCAAGAATCCCGAACACTACAAATCAATAGTCCAACAGCACGTGGAGGACTCCAAGAGGGACATTCCCGAGGGATTTATCATGCCCACCCACCTCACGACGTCGCCGGCCAAGGTCATCGAGAAGGACGACTCGGACTTCTGGGCTGAGAGCGACGTCGACGATGATGTTTTTGGGGGCAGCGACTCCGACGAAGATTTGGATGTGGATGACGACGAGGACCAGGAAACAGGCAGTGAAGACGAGGAGCAAGCCTGAAAAGGAAACCTGCGTGATTTGAATTTGTGGCTATACGCCACGAATAAACCTGCCAGAACTCCCGCCTCATCAACACTTTCTGCGCCCACCTCCAATGTTTGGTTCTTGGCAGCACTTTGGTTCTTTTCTGATTTCATCACATTATCAAATGGACAGCATAGCGAGGCGCACTGGATAGATTGTGCTTTCATCGTCTCTTTTTGTTGCACAGCAAAATATTTACCTTAGCATCATTAAAGGTTCTCTTGTTCTTCCCTGTCAAAGTAGCAAGTAGCCCAATCTGAAACAAGCAATCGACTTCACATCCCCCTCAACCTCTTTCCACATATCCGAGTATCAGCCACGAACAAATGGCGCTCGACCGATGACAACCCGACCATGATAAGCATACACTCACCTTCACGCCCACAGAGCGCACAATACTTAGTTAGGAGTGTACTATGCATCAGGTGATATTAAAGCCAATCTTGACTTGATACACCACCACCAAGCATTCCATCCACTGAGCCCGAGGGTAAACTCCGAGCACAGCAGTGCCCGACCTGCCTGATGATGCTATCACGCGGTGGGCGCGCGGGAGCGGGGAAGACGGGGCGAGAGGGGAGGGTGCTCCTCCCCCCTATCTCCTCCGTTAATCGCCCCTCTCATCCCCTCTCGCAGTTCTTCAGCGAAAACACTAAGCTCAATTCACCCGGAACCATGACGTATTATGCAGTGCAGTGCAGTGAAGGCTGGAGCTGGAGCTGGAGCAGGTGGCAGGTATGACCTCCGCCACTGTACAAAACATACAGTATACTACTCCGTACTTACAGACATCGGGCGAAACAGAGACCGACCGAGCCGGGCGGGATCGGCATGTCGCTGTGCTGCAGATTCTACAGAGTATAGCTGCGCGTGAGCGTGAGGATTTATGTCTTGGGAATTGGGGTTTGCATGTGATGTTATGAGGTGGAATGGACTCGCAATTAAAGATGGTACTACAACGTTGGTTAGCGTGTACAGTGTCGTTGTAGGGAGGTTCACAGTGTTACTTATATTCGAGGCGATGTATATGTGGTGCCATGTGTGGGTCTGCACGTTCCAATGTTAGATGCCGAGGGAGAAGATGATGCAGTGTGGAAGATGCGAGTCAAGCACCGACATGTCTTTCTTGTGTTAGTAGAGGAACATGAGGAAAGGGTCTTTGTCTTAAGCTACAGCAATTGCAATGTACACTCCAATGTATTCACAGTTGGAGATCAATTGCGAGGATCATGTGGATGTTGGCGTAGTGCTTATCCGGACCGGGAATGTACTATTGTCGACGGATGATACAGGACTCAGCCGGAAGTAGACATGGATAGACATTCCTAATTGGTCTCCAGGTGGGAAGCACATTGCCTTGGCAGATGAATTGGAATGGCATCCACATCTCCATTGTCTTGACTGCTCACTTCTAGAGTGAACGTCGGACGGAACTATCTACGCATATGTAATACTAAGCTCCACACACTAGGATACTTATCTCTAGGACACTGGTCTCACACCAGCCTACATTGACTGATCACCATCAGGAACATCTGACATGTATCAGATTGGCAATTTGTGTATCGCACCCAAAATTCTAAATCAAAACGTCATAGTGTTCTTTGCGGACATGTATACTACCATAAAAATAGGTCAGACGGGCGAATAACATCAGGATGGTACAATTGACGCAGTCAATGCATCAACATCTCCAAAGCAAGCAAATAAAGAAACCAGCGCCAATGTCCGACCCGCTCTTGTCTTGATCTCAAGCTGTCTTGAAGTCAAAACTCTCAAGCTAGGTCTGTGTAGGAAAACAGCAAGTCTATGCAATGACAGCGTCCTGAAGCTCGCTGTAGATAGCACCAAGCTCCTCAGAGAGCATCTTCTCAGCCTTGTCAACCAGGTTCTCAAAGCGATCCTTGATAGTGGAAACCTTGTAGCCACCGTGGGAAACAATCTCAGAGTAGTTGTTGGAACCACCGCCGTTCCAGGCAAGAAGCTAGGGAAGGGAATTAGTAGCGTCCAAGGCATGAAGATTAGTGCTAAACTTACGTTGGGGGTGTCGTCGGGAATGTCAGTAAGAGCACCCTGGGTGGCGATGGAGATCAGATCCTTCTTGAGCTTGGCAGGAGTAAGCTCGCCAGCGGCGAAAGCAGAGTCCGCGTCAGGCTGGAGCGAAACGAAGTAGGCCAAGAGACCACAGATGTGAGGAGAGGCCATCGAAGTTCCAGAGATGGTGTTGGTGGCGTGGTCGCTACCAATCCAGGTGGACAGGATGTTGAGACCAGGAGCGAAGATATCGGTGCACTTGCCATAGTTGGAGAAGTAAGCACGCTCATCACCCAGGGTCGAAGCACCGACAGTGATGGCATTTTCAGCAGCAGCAGGGGAGTAGTTGCAAGCGTCGGCGTTGTCATTGCCTGCGGCAACAGCGAAGTGAAGACCGGCCTCAACACCGGCGTTGACAGCATCCTCAAGGGTCTTCGACTTGCCGCCACCGAGACTCATGTTGGCGACGCTACCCTTGAAACCCTTGACCTTGCCGTCCTTGGCATCCTTGGCCTTCTTGAGGTGGGACTGGACAGCCCACTCGACACCCTGGACGACATCGGACATGGTGCCAGAGCCGCTAGATCTCAAGACCTTGACAGCATAGAGGTTGGCCTTCTTGGCCACACCGTATTTCTTACCAGCGATAGTACCAGAGCAGTGAGTACCGTGACCATTGCCATCCTCGTCCTCGTCGTTGTTAGGAATGGTCTTGCCCCAAGTGGCACGGCCCTCGAAGTCGTCATGGTCAACGTTAATGCCGGTATCAATAGTGTAAGCATCAACACCCTCACCACCCTCGGAGTCAAACAAGTACTTGTTGAACGTGCCGAAGGTGAGGCTATCACGGTGGGAGATACGGGCCAAGCCCCAAGGTGCGTTCTTCTCGGTCGCCGCCTCCATGGTGTGAACCTCTGAGTCCTTCTCAATGTACGCGACCTAGTTACGCAGAGCTCATTAGCAGGTGTTGAATGGCAGATGACAGATATGGTCGAATACTCACATCGGGATGCATGCGGACCTGCTCAATAACATCCTCGTGGAAATGACCACTGTATCCGATCACGGATCCAGCGATATCGAAAGTGTTCTTGAGACCAAGATAAACTTCTTCACCAAAATCAAAGAGCGACCGCTTCTTCAGCTCGGTCCGCTGGCTCTGAGAGGAGTGGATGTCCTGCACCCAGCTGTGGTGAGCGGCGGCCGAGACCGGAGTGACATGCTTCTTGAAAACAACAATGTATGAATCAGGGACCTCCTTTGCGTTGGATGCAGAGAGAATGGGCGCGGCTCCATTGTGAATGGTATCCACAAAGACAGGCGACGCAGCCGCCAGCAGCGGGAGCACGGAAAGGCCGAGGATGCCTTTCATGATGAGAGTTGGAGAAAGATGGAAGCTCTAGGCAGTGGAAAAGGAAGGGAAGTGGTGATAGATGGATGGGGGAGGAGAGATAAAAGGAATGATCAGAGGGAAAGAGGCAAGAGACAGAGATGGAAGGTTGACAAGATACAGTTCGGGGGGAGGGAGGGATGGGGAAGAAAGGGAGGAGGAGGGCGAAGGATGGAGCTGATTAAGAAGCAGAGGGAGAACGAGTGAGATGAGGAGAACGGCGAATGGAGGTGGAGGTGGACCGGTTATCCTAACAAGAGGCAAGGGCAGCAGGTGATGATGCAACCGGGATACGGTAATTTACAGTGGACAGACCGGATGACACAGCAGATTTCGGTGGTTGCTCTGGGTTTTTGGGTGTCGATCGGCCCCGGTTATTAGCGCGCGCGGGCTTCAAACAAAGGTTTGGGACGGACCTGGGGTAAACTGGAAAAAGAGCCTGTACGATCACTTTCAAACTTAAGTTACCTTACTTGCCCTTGGCGTCAGGACGATACGGCGGTAAACCCGACGGAGTATCCCCCAGCCTATCGTGACTGGGGAACTCTAACTACCTAGGCATTGATCCCGAGGGTCTACGTAATAGAGGCTGATAGGTTCTATTGCCTTCCTGATCATGGTAAAGTTACTCTATACTATTTTCCGGAATATCTGAGATATCAGGAAGAAGATAACCATAATGAGGCGAACTGGGGCGCAGCTTGCATCCCTCGTCACCTAACTAGTGACCTACAATACATACGCTTCTCGCTGGCGGGTCGGTGACGAAGAGGTACCCTTGGAGCAACATGGAGCTTGGAGGCGGTGGGTGACTCAAGAATAGGTCAGCCCCCAATTGTCCTGTCGTTTTGACAGCCTAGTATGACTGACATAACTTGATTTTCCACCTCTTGTATGACCTTCTTCACGATCATCGTTAATTTAAAGCTCTTCCTTTCCAGTTGAGATCAAATGACCCTGCATACAAGCTCTCCAAGCTTACCCGTCTTGTTGCGGAAAAGCGCAACAACCCTTGGACTGCAGGTACCTGGCCCTGGCTGGTATGTAAGTTGTAAACCCGCCACCACTAACTAGGTAGGCAGCGCGCAATTCGGCACCTAGGCAACCCCGAGTCGCGTGCTCGGAAGAGTGTCCTTGGAAGTGCTCGGCTGACTCCTGCTCCTCCGGGAACGGGGGAGGGGGGGAGGGAGGGTCAGTGGTGGTCTTACCAGGAATTACCATCGCCCTTGGACCTCTCCGTACTGTGTACTGTAATGGTGGAGGGAGATAAGACCGCTTCGTGCTTATCAAGGCCCACCTTCACACCAATCATCATCTCCTCCGCGGAAGATCGCTTGTGTCACCTGCGTTGCTGACTGGAGTAACCGCTGGATTCACCTTCCGACCGTCCATGGATGCTCGAGGCTGAGGCAGTGAACCAGTCATGGTGTTTAGACGCCACTCTTTTCAATCTTTGAATCTTGAAGGTTGATCTGCCTGGTTTCTGGGGTGGGCTGCAGGTGTCGGAAAGTCAATGATTGCAACATACGGTGACACAGACACCACCAAGAGTCGAACCCAGGATGTTGGTGAAGGAAGGCCAGCTTCCGCTGTTTCCACTGTGGCTTCAGTTCCTGGTTGCTGCTGAGGCTTCTGGTTCTGTCCGAGGAGAGCCTTCCTGCCATGAGAAGGCAATTGTTTAGGAAGCGATTACTCGTAGATGAGTCAGCAGACGCTTCCGATAACTAAATGTAATTGATGGGTTGGGACAAAGTTATGCGTAGAGTTCATGAAGCAATGATACGATGATATGGGAGTGACTGTATACCTCCGTCGTCTGGCATATCAGGTATGATTCACGTAGACTAAGTCTTCTGTGTGGAGCTTTGAAGATGAGCCGAACTCATTCTTCATAGCATAAGCTATGGCGCAAAGCAAGGATGAGCAGCCCTGCAAACACACTCTCAGATCATGCGCGCGCATTGAAGGCCGATCATGGTGTTGGGAATGCATCACACTATAAATAGATTTCGCGAGAATGCAACGCCAAGTTGTGACACGCTTCGACGATTGCCTTATCATTGTAGGGAATACTATCTAACAACATCACTTTTGAGATATATATTGCCATCTGGAAGAACGTCGACAGCAAAATTGTTCATTGCGTGGAAGTCTGATCGTGTTAAGCGCTGCAGGTGTCACCTCTTAAGGCAGGCTCCAGTAACCTAAGGAGTCCATTCCCGGAATGTTTGCAATTCACAGACACTGCCGTTGCTCGGTGATCGTCTACGTTCAAGGTCGACGAGTGACAAACTGCCCTCCCGCCTGATGTCCCAGCTAGCAACAAGTGCGGATGCTCTCGCCGTTACTGAAGATGCGAAGGGACAATTGTGCGAGGCGAACGATGGTAGTATTGAATACACGGAATCCCGGTGGGCAATAACCGCGCGGCCTTTCTCGATATGAGTAACTTTCGCATGGACCAAGGATGCCATGGGAGCTTCAGAGCTCTCAGAATAGGACTCGTATTATCGAGAAACATCCATATAATCTCCGGTGAAGGTATTAGCAGGTGCTTGATGTTGAAGATAGCTCTTGGTGAATCGTGTTGATGCCACCGTTAAGTATCAAGGCCTGAGGTGTCCACGAAGCATGGATGGTAAAAGCAGCGTCGTCTCCCGATAAGCTTGAGTGGGCCACAACCTCAGCTGGAGTCCAATGGCTCTTGTCGATTCTCCTTGATAGTGGAGATATGGCTGAGAAATGAGGAATAGCTCGGTCCAGCCGAGACAGCCATTGTCGAAGAAGAGTGTAGGGCAGCACTGCCCACTTGCTAAGTTCAGTCAGAGCATTTTTCCTGGGCGGAAAAAGGACCTGGACGCTCCGATCCCAGCTCCCGTAGCCTCTCCTCCCCCGCCATGGTTCCGTTGTTGTAAGTGACGTTGGCTTTGGACCGATTCACCACCCACAGTAAGTTCTACATACACAGTGGAGTGTGCTACTTTTTTTTCTCTTGCCTACTCATTCGAACACAACAAGTTCTCTCTCTTCCGCACTGCAGACTATCCCCATTATCTGGGTCCCTGTTCCCATCGCGTCCCTCGTCCCCTGTGAAAGAATAGAGCGCACCAACTTTCTTTCCCTGTCCCTGGTGGATCTCGACAAAACCTCTTAAGTCCGTTGACTCCTCACGGAACGCACATTCGCTGATCGCCTCTTTCCTGCAAGCGTCCCGTCCTTGCTTCTTCTTGAACCACTCCCCGTCCAGTCGCCCTATGTTTCGCCAACTGTGTGCGTGTGCGGATTGATTCAGGTCGGCTAAGTCAACAATTTCACTACCACACATACCAATGCAGGCCGTCTTCACCATCACACTCAGCGAAATCTTATGGTGTCTGATGGTCACTAGTCGTCAGATAAGGAGCTGGGGTAAATATTTCGCAGCGCAATGAGCCAGGCTACCCCCCAATTGTCACCGTCCCCTTCCTCGTCCATCGTACGGCCGGCCGTCGAGTTGACCCCGCTCATTGAGGAGCTGAAGGCTATCGCCAGCAGGCATGCGATAGACTCGCAGCTAGCACTTTCTGCTACCGAATGTTTGCTTCGTCTTCGTCACACTTTCATCGATGATGACCATCCAAGAGAAGCTAAGGAGGGCTTCCGACACCTGCAGGGCTTCCAGTGCCTGATCGACCTCCTCCGGAAGATTGCGGAGTTATATGCCCCGAAGCAAGCAACCCAAGAACAGAATAAGTCACTTTTGACTCTATTCACGGATACATTGGCGGTGCTGGCGGAAGCATTGAAGGACCATTATGGAAACAAGCGGCACTTTGCGACTCGGATCTCTGGTGGAGGAAGAGCAGCCTTGGAGGAAATTTTTGCTGTCATAGCAGAGAAAGCAGATGGTGTGCAGGGTGGCACTGAGCAACTCTACGGTGGCATTCTGGCAGCGGCTCTTTGTCAGGAGACGGTCTCTAGCATTTTCACATCATTAGAGTCAAAACTGCGATCGGCTTCTGATCTACTGCCGGATCAGATTCGGACAGAAGTGGATCGATGCATAGGACAATCCGAGACGGTTGAAGTACCTGAACTATTGGAACCTTTCATCCGTGTATGGCTGCATCAGACGTCATTGTCGCTGGCCGACCACAATCTTCAGAGACTCGCCGTGCCTGCATGCCTTTGTCAGCTTGCCTCTCAGTCTCAGCGGAATGTCACCACATTACACAGTGCTGGAGCACTGTCGTTGATTCTTCCGCTCCTTTTCAGCGACGAGCGCTCTCAATCCGAGAGACTACTATACCAGGAACTAGGACAGTTGCTATGCACTCAAGGAGTTAGAAAATTAGACGACGCAGTGTTCTTATACAAGAGGGCACATGACTCTCCTGAAGTCTTACGCTTCCTGGTGGACGTCCTCAAGCGCTCGAAAGGACCCCCTTTCGTCCAGTTTGATCTGTCGTTGCATGGCTTCTGCTCGATAGAATTTCCGACCATGGGTCGTTCGTTCCCTCCGGCAACTTCGTCTGGCTACACTTTGTCAGTATGGGCGCGATTCGACCAATTCGATGCCAACACACACACCACAATCTTCGGGGCATTTGACCCCACCCAGACCTGCTTCTTGCTAGCTTATCTTGAGAAGGATACCCGCAACTTCATCCTGCAGACATCAATCAAGGGAGCTCGGCCTAGTGTCCGATTCAAATCTATTGCTTTTGAGTCTAACAGATGGTATCATATCTGTGTCGTTCACAAAAAACCTAGACCGCCGTCGTACTCCCGCGCCTCCTTATTCATTGATGGTGAGTTTATGGAACAGTTGAAGATAGAATATCCATGCATGCCTGTTGCGAGTTCTTCCAGTCGGTCGCCACGGGTTCAAGCATTCCTGGGTACACCTCAGGACCTCGCAATGAGACTGGGAAGAGGGGTATCTGCCTCTCGATGGTCGCTGTCTAGTGCTATATTATTTGAAGAGGCTTACAGCGATGATCTCATTGCTGTCTTCTACAACCTTGGCCCTCGTTATTATGGCAACTTCCAGGACTGTCTCGGCTCTTTCCAGACCTACAAGGCTTCGGCCTCTTTGAACTTGCGCAACGAGCACCTGCATCCCGGCAAGGAAGAGCAATCAGATATCGTCACTGCTATCCGGAAGAAGGCTAGTATCCTAATTCATGAAGCGTCCATCATCATAAATGTTTCCCCGCTGTCTGTCTTGGATGACGACGATAGCAACACGGTTGATGAAACACGATTGCTTAAGTCACTGTCCAAACAAGCCGCGAAGAATCTGCATCATATGACAAAGGCAGGAGGCAACGCAGTAGCAGTGAACGGTGCTACCCCTGCCTTAAATGATGCACTGACTCAACCCCACGGCATCGGTGTCCTGACAGGCGACCCTGTTGTGGTGGTACCACACTCTCTAGATGATGCAAGTTGGTGTATTGGTGGATGTGCAGCGATACATCTGAGCCTTCTACACGCAGCTGGTACTGCGGAGGCGACCCTGTTGGCGGTCGAGGCGTTGTACGAGGCCGTCGAGGATAATTGGCGCAATAGTGAAGCAATGGAGAAAGAAAATGGCTATGGCATACTTGCAGCCCTGCTGCGCGAAAAGCTTGGTATTTCCTCAGATGGAGCCCCAGCGAAGTCCTCTAGTGTTTGCTATAGCCAGGAGGAGCGATCTGCGTTGGCTTTAAAACTTCTTCGCTTGACGCTCAAGTTTGTTGGATACGACTTCGAGCAAGCCAATCGTTCCATGATCACAAATCCTCTCGCATATAGGGTCTTGCTCGTGGACCTGGAAATTTGGAGATTTGGCGATGTTCGTCTGCTTGAACTTTACTATGCCCAGTTTCGTGTTTTCGCCAGCGAAAGCCAGTTTCGTCGATTCAATTCTAAACGGCTCGCTAGAATGCGTGAGCTTCTCTTTTCCGTGTCAGCAACACCATAATAGCACGTCTTCGCTAACGAATGATAGGTGTCAACAAGAAATTACTTGAAGCCCTAAAGGGAGAGGACTTCACTCACGAAGCGTTAGGTCTTTACATACCTGCCTTCCAGTCGTTGATGGAGAGCTGTCTATCAGCAGATTTGCTTCGCTCGCTAGCTCTGTTCATCACTTATGCAATACACAAGCCCCGTGAACCGATCAGGCTACAGAAAAAAAGGAGCATACGCTTCAACACGGGTGCACGCCAACAACAGGTCGACAATGAAAATGTCAAATATGTATCCAGCCCTGCAATTGCTGCGGAGATGCTTCGGATGTATTGTTCTATGCTCTGCAATGCGAATGACCTTGGACCGATCAAGAAATTTGCCAGAGCCGTAACAAACAAGGTATGCTCAAGAAGCCGATTCATCGTATTGTGATATGAAAGACTGAATAATATCCTGTAGTGGCTTTTGTACCTCCTCTGCGAGGACGATCCTGAGATTGTGATCTCGGCACTCAAGATTCTCGCTCGCCTCCTTGTCACTCATGGTGGCAGTTATTGTAAAAAGTTCACTGACAAGACTGGGGGCTATATTCTCATGCGCCATTACTTAAGGAGATGGTGGCACATACCCGCTCTCTGGTCACTCTGCTTTGCCATGTTGCTTGGTCAAGACATCGGCAAATTAAACATCGACAGATCATTTGATAAACACGGCCTTGTGGAAACGTTCCTATCGGATCATTCGCTGGAAATCGCGTTTCCGGAGATGTTCCCTGTCATAACCGAGCTTATACAAATTGCCTTGGAGCGAACAGTGTCCGCAGAAAGCTCCTCAAAAAGGGCTGAGAATAGGTTGAACGATGCGTATCGGCCCTCGATTCTTGCTCAAAAGAGTGCAAACACCACAGCTGAGAAGATCTTACTTCTGAACACCGTCTTCGAATTCCTTTCCGAGCTTCAGGTCAGATCACCGGGCTTTCGTGACTTCGCAACCCAGGCGGACTATGTTCGATACCTATTATTGGCGCTCTTTCCAGTGGTTTCCGGCTCAGCCCCGGAGAGTGCAGATGTAGAAATCCATCCACGCGCAAATAGCCTTGGTTTTAGCGACCACAACCTAGTCATGCGCCCACGGTCCAGAGGTGTCAGCGACCTACAAACCACAACAGTGGAGCAAACAGGCACGCGAGATGGCCTCGGTAGATCACTGGGCCGAACGTCGTCCTTCATCCTTGTTTCATCCGATAAGGGGAAGCACTTGCCGTCTTCTACACGCATAGCTCATGCATGCAGCCCGAGTAAGATCAAATTGAAAGGCGCCATGGAGCATCATTTGGTTATTGGTGTGCTCAACCTGATAATTCCCGTCTTCCTTGCGCAGATCATGGAGAGAAAAGACTTCTCAGGTCTTGGCATTTATTCAAAGTCACCACCTGGATCCACTGAGCATCGTGCGCACTTCAATTCTTGGGTGATGACGCATCTTCTGTCAACGCTCAAAGAGCGTTTCCTTGCCAAGCCTGATTTGCTTGCGGAGACGCGCGTGCTAACTAATCTCGGTCGGTTTGTGACACATCTTGGGGAAGCAGTCTTCGAAGGCTGGTTTGTTGATGGGGTGACCAGCACCGTTGAGTTTGCAGGTATGGTCTTAGAGTACCTTCAAAGGCCTGATATCTCTCGTCTGAAGACCATAAGGCTCTGTAGTCAAGTGGTTACGACGATTCGATCGACTGTTTTCCGGTTAGTCATTCTTGGACTATCCGAAGTTGAAGGCACCGATGCGCTTAAATTTTTGGATCATCTATCTTACTGGCAGGTTGTACTACTGTCGGGCGATGCTCGGTCAGACCACTTGCAATTGTTGTGCTATCTACTCTACACCAAACTAGAAGATGAAGACAAAGGTGTACGTTTGGCTGCAGCGGGTCTCTTCAGAATCATACTCGTTCAGAAGCCCTCCGATATGGCTACTATCTTGAGTCACGCATCAATTTACCTTCAAAAACGGCTTGCTGCGGGCTTTGAGACTGTGGTGGGAATGGATGATTCCGAATTCTTGCAGTGGTTCAATGATCAGAAGGAGGATCTGCAGTCTTTGTTCTTTGGTGTCATATCGAAGCAATGGGAAGACTTTGTCCAAGAGGAGAACGCCAATATTGACGGCACTTGGCGAACGCGAGTGTCCAAGCGTCAAGAGAAGCTGAAGCAGTGGAAACAAGCGGAAGTACTTAGCAATGACGTGACACGCAAACATGAGGCAACTTTTCCTCATTGGGCTTCAAACATCTCGGCATCTGAGTTCCTGAAGTCCCAACGTGCACTTCAGGACCAGCAGGACGATAATTCTTTCATGTGGTCAGCTTTCTCCAAGCTAACTATGGATCTGCGGCGGTATGGCGGTCTTTTAGCTGAAGATCGGGAGAGGAGATGGCGGCTTGACCAGACAGAAGGACGTAGTCGCATGCGTCTCCGCATGATACCCGATGACTCAAGCGATAGACAGGACTATCAACCCAAGCGAAAAGCGTCGGCGCCGCCAGCTATCAAACTGGTCACACAAGTACACCCGTCTCCTGGCGCCGAATCACTTGATCTCACCCCCATGGCTGCAAACAACGAAGCTACGGATGTTAATGTTCACAGCATCGGTCCGGATGGTAGAAGCTTGCTGGAAGAAAGCTTTGAAATGATTGACGATCCCAAAGCCGATTTGGAGGACTACGAAGATAAAAATCGCAAGGTCATGCGGAGTCTACACCGCGGTGATCAAGTTGAAGGGGTGTGCAACATGTCTCGGGTCATCGGCTTAGAGGCACTTGAGGGCCTTGTGATTCAAGGCAAAGAACATATCTACATTCTAGACAATTTCTTTCAGAGGTCAGACGGTGAGATTGTGAATGTGTGGCAAGCGCCCACGAATGAGCGTGACCCATACGTTCAGATGATCGCCGGGCGACAATCTATGGAGCGCAAAGCGCAAGAGCATGAAACACGAAGCTGGAAATGGTCTGATTTGATTAGCGTCTCCAAACGGAGATTTTTGTTCCGGGATGTTGCCGTGGAGATCTTCTTCTCGGATGGTACCAGTTACCTTTTGACACTCATCTCGTCGCGGGCTCGGGACAGTCTCTTCAGTCAGCTCGCCATGAAAGCTCCTCAAGTCACCGGTAGTGTTGGGCACGCACGTCCTGAAGATGCCCGGAGATTTGAGACGCTTAGAAGTCAAGAGGATGCGCCACAAACGCTGGGATCGAAGTTCGCTAGCGTCTTTGGACATTCCCCGGTCTATCCAGCAACGCGCAAATGGGCCAAAGGGGAGATGTCCAACTTCCATTACCTGATGCTGATCAACACACTAGCAGGAAGAACATTTAATGACCTGACGCAATATCCGGTATTCCCTTGGGTGCTCGCGGATTATACCAGTGAGGAGTTGGATCTGACCAATCCACTCACATTCCGTGACTTGTCCAAACCCATGGGATGTCAGACTTCCGAACGCGAAGCCGGCTTCAGAGAGCGGTATAAAGCCTTTGCTGAGATGGCAGATGACAAGTTGCCGCCGTGGCATTACGGGACACACTACTCTTCGGCCATGATCGTTAGCTCTTACCTCATCAGATTGCAGCCTTTCGTCAAGTCATATCTGCTGCTTCAAGGAGGTACATTTGACCATGCTGACCGTCTATTCTACTCAATCGGCAAAGCCTGGGAATCTGCATCACGTGGCCATATGTCCGATGTGCGAGAGCTTATACCAGAATTCTTCTACCTTCCAGAGTTCCTCGACAACTCAAATAAGTATGATTTCGGTGTTCTTCAGGACATGACCACTACTATCGATACGGTAGAATTGCCCCCCTGGGCTAAGGGTGACCCCAAGATCTTCATTGCAAAACATCGAGAAGCTCTTGAAAGCCCATATGTCACGCAGAATCTGCACCATTGGATTGATCTTGTGTTCGGCTGCAAGCAGAAAGGCGAGGCTGCAGTCGAGGCAGTGAATGTCTTTCATCATCTCTCTTATCAAGGTGCCGAAGATATCGATGCTATTGAAGACCCTGAGGAACAACGTCGCACAGTTAGTACAATTCATAACTTCGGACAAACGCCCCATCAGATCTTCAGCCGGCCTCATCCACAGAGAGAAGACCCGGGGCAGAAGAGTCCAAGTTTAGACCGATTAGCCGAGTCTCTCACCCAGCTACCCCTTGCCCTTCTTGGTGAGTCCTCGCTATCGAGCTGGGGCTTTCGTATTCCTCTTGGCATGCTAATACCAGTATAACAGATATTGGTGAGCAGGTCTCTTCCCTATCGATGAGGCAAGACCGTCTCTTATGCGCGGCTGCTCTACGGTTAAATATCCCCCCCAGCTACGACAAATACATGGAATGGGGCTTTTTCGATGGCAGCGTTAGGTTCTATTCTGCCGATCATCGGAAGGTATGGGCACGTTGATTGTGGTTTGAGCAACAAGGCCTCTGACAATGCTTTAGCTTCTCGGCCACTTCGAGCACATTCATGCGGGTCAACTGTCGTGCGCTTTGTTCGCCGACTCTCGGACTTTAGTCACGGCTGGAACGGATTGCATAGTCTCGATATGGACTTTCACATCTTCGGGCAGAACCGTGGACCTACAGCCATCGGGATCATTGTTCGGGCATCGTTCGCCGGTTACAGTACTTGCAGTGTCCTGGTCTTTCAGTACGCTCTTGTCCGTATCGACCGATGGACAGATCATGCTATGGGATCTTAACCGGCAGTGTTTTGTTCGCGAGCTTCCGGCCAACGGACGTGTTGATGTAAGATGCGCGGAATATTTGTTAGGGTTCTGATGACTGACATTCCAGTAGTGTGCTAAGATCAACGATGTCACTGGCGAGATCATGATTTGCCGAGGTGATCGTCTCAGCTTGTACAGCCTTAACGGATCTTTGTTACTCGAGCAGACTGTAGGTGACTCTGCGGACGATAAGGTCATGACGTGCGTCTTCTACGAGGGAGTCAACAATATGTGGCAAGAGCGGGAGCTCCTGTTTACGGGGCATAAACACGGCGTCGTCAACGTGAGTGATACACCCCGCCCACCCATACAGCCGCTGATACCTTTGGAGATCTGGAGCAAAATTATTCTTCACGGACGATTTGAGCTAGAATTGATCCGACAGCTACATCATGTGGACAACCTTCGCGACAACGGTGCCAACATCTCGGCAGGGATTACCTGTATCCTTGCTTTGCCGCATGTTGTTTACACTGGTGATGATGTCGGCCGAGTGGTGAGTGTTCTTACTTGATGATGTGAAGCTCGATCGTACACTGACCCTGACTAGTATGAATGGAGCTGTGTTCAACGCCGCTGATGAGCATGCCAGAAAGGCTCAATTCGGCTGAGGTTATTGCTCGCAAGTCAATCACGAAAACTTGGTAATTTCGCCTTATTTGGGTATTGATCAATGCTGATCTTGTTCGGGTACCTGGATTTAAGAACTTGTCAGATCAGCATTAACTCACTTTAACCTACCCAGGCAGTGTTTCGGCTTTCACTCTTCAATGGCGCATTTTCGTCTCCCAGCCCGGTTCTTTTCCGCTGAGAATAACTTAGACTGGGAACTCCACTGTATATACCCAGTATAATTCCGTGGGGGGACATGCGGAGAAAAAAGCTGCGGTAGCCACGGATGTGTGGGGGCAGTTGTACTACATCAGGACTAGACAAAAAGGCCAGGAGTCGCAGAAGAGCGGGTATATTGACCTGAATGGGAAGCATCACTTCGAAGAAGCATTCGAGAACGGTTAAATACGGTTTTTAGTAGCGGATCAGGGACTCCGGAACCGAACAACCACCCGCATCGTTATTCCGAGTAACCCGTAGGGAGATGGAACTTGGTGGGCAAAAGCCACGAAGCAGAGACGGCCAGAGACCGCAGAACAAGCCGAAGAGGGGCAACCGAGGGGCAGAACGCTTATGACCATGCAGCAGACCAGCAACAAGCCAGCCAGCAGTGCCAGCAGCACGGCAACGGCAGAGCTCAGATACGCTGGGGAAGAAACCTTCGGTGAAGCAAAAAGGGCCTGGATGGGGTCGTGATTAGCCGGGCACGAGTGGACCGACCGGAGCAGTCTTGCCGGCGCAGTGTGCTCCGGTCTGAAGCAAGCAACACTGCATGTGTAGAAGAAGTATGTGATGGAGGGTGCAAGAGGTGAAGATGTGAGTGATACGGGGGTACTGAGTAGGACCAGTGTACCCCGTGTTTTTATTATTTTTTCTTTTTTTGGGATGTGAGGGTGAAGTTGAAGAAAGTTGTACTGTACTCTGTAGAGAAGGTTGAGTGGAAGGAATAATAGCAGCAACAGAAACGAGCAGAAAGGCATAGCGTCATCGGGGGGGAAGCTGTTCGCCCCACCATTCATTCGCTCATCCAGTTTCCCCCCCTCTTCCCCTCCGCTGACTCCCCTACTACTTAATTCTTACCGTATTCCGCCTTCGATCCTTTCTCATTCTTTCTTCAATCAATCTAAAAAAGCTCATTTACCCAATTCTGTACAACTTCTCCTTTAATCATCATTCTCAACCATCACAATGTCTTCTTCTCTCGAGCAGCTCAAAGCCTCCGGCACCGTATGTGATTCTTTCCCTTCTACCTCCCGCGGTTCTGTCAGCTAATCTTCTTCATTGAAAAGGTTGTCGTTTGCGACTCCGGCGACTTCGCCACCATTGGCAAGTACAAGCCTCAGGATGCCACCACCAACCCCTCCCTCATCTTGGCCGCCTCTAAGAAGCCCGAGTACGCCTCCCTGATCGACAAGGCCGTCGAGCAGGGTAAGAAGGAGGGTAAGACCGTCGACGAGCAGGTCGATTCCACTCTCGACCACCTCCTTGTTGAGTTCGGCAAGGAGATTCTCAAGATCATCCCCGGCAAGGTCTCTACTGAGGTCGATGCCCGTTTCTCTTTCGACAAGCAGGCCTCCATTGACAAGGCCCTGCACCTCATCAAGGTAAGATTTTTTTTGCCCGCGTCGCCAATGAGAAATGCAAGACTGACATTGTGTACAGCTCTACGAGCAGGAGGGTATCTCCAAGGACCGCATCCTGATCAAGATCGCCTCTACTTGGGAGGGTATCAAGGCCGCCGAGGAGCTCCAGTCCAAGCACGGCATCAACTGCAACCTGACTCTCATGTTCTCCGAGGTTCAGGCCATCGCCGCCGCCGAGGCCGGTGCCTACCTCATCTCTCCCTTCGTCGGCCGTATCCTCGATTGGTACAAGGCCGCCCACAAGCGCGACTACACCGCCCAGGAGGACCCTGGTGTCAAGTCCGTCCAGAAGATCTTCAACTACTACAAGAAGTTCGGCTACAAGACCATCGTCATGGGTGCCTCTTTCCGTAACACCGGTGAGATCACCGAGCTGGCTGGCTGCGACTACCTGACCATCTCCGTAAGTTTACCTTTTCTTGCACGCAATTGATTATGGGGTTTGGCTTGAACCAAGTACTGACAGCGTTGCTTTTACAGCCCAACCTCCTTGAGGATCTCTACAACTCCACCGAGGCCGTCCCCAAGAAGCTCGACGCTGCCGACGCCACCAAGCTCGACATCCCCAAGCGCTCCTACATCAATGACGAGGCTCTCTTCCGCTTCGACTTCAACGAGGAGGCTATGGCCGTCGAGAAGCTCCGTGAGGGTATCTCCAAGTTCGCCGCCGACGCCGTCACCCTCAAGGACATCCTCAAGTCCAAGATCCAGGCATAAATGGAAGTATGATTAACCTGCGTTCTGTTTGATCTAAATTGTCCTGTGTGTGCGTGCGTGCGCGGATTTCAAAACGTTTTCTTTTGTGATGACCCATATATTATTCCCACTTGTGTAAAGAAAATTTTGACGATCATGAGAATTTGATGTATTTCGAGACAGCTGGATTAGGGTTGGTAGATACGAAATGACGAACATTTTCTTATACTACATGTTCCAAGTCTTCTGGCCTACTCTTTCGACTCGAAAACTACTATCTACTCTGTAGTATGTAGAACGGTGTGCGCGAAGGCAGTCGCTGGTGGGGTAAATGCCTGGTACGACGCAAACACGCCTGGGCCCAACATGACAGCTGCAGCAAGGGTTCAAGCGAACTACTTCCGGTATGCAGCATGTCGATAATGTACGGTGACGTGGCCGTTGGAGAGGCCACTGTATAGACCACTACCACCGGGACGGGGGAAACATTGTCACTACGGGGAGACGATGTTGACCTACCACTGTTGCATATTTCGAATGACTTGGAAGGCGTCGAAGCAAGGAAGGATATATGATCCTCCAACATTCAGAATTGAGTCTTTGCCACCAAATATCACTGGGGTCAAACTACAGTAGGAGGAATTGACCCCAAGGAGAATGGAGAATGACTCCGATATCGCCGGTTGGTCAGCCTTGAGCTTCCGACCAGATACCGCTCTGGGCTCCCAACCCGTCGCCGCTTTTTGTCGTTGCTATGCGGATGCGGTTCGCGCAGGTAGCTGTTGGTGTGGGTGTGGGCGTGCGTGGTGGTTCGGAGGTAGCTGGACCCTTGGGGGTTGGCTCATACATTAATAATGCTCACACAAGTAACTAAGGTAGGTAGTAGTCTTGATAGTGTATAGAACATCTTGTGGGTGAAGCGCCGCTAGATTGGAAACATGGGTGTATATGCGTTTCGACGTTTACTCTAATTTACAGTAATCTGTACTCGAAGCATACCTTATCAGTTGCTGCATACGGTTGATGCAGTGATGATATAGAGGCAGGTGCGTGCTCAGTAAGCGACTGGTGAGTGTTCCGAGTACCTGAGCCCTCACGGGCTGCACCTCACTAAAGCGGCGGCATACATGGTGCAGGATATAGAGTCAAGATGAAATCAACAGTCAGACAATCCGACCGCAGTGTCATTCACTCGACTGTACTGTTTCTGAGGTTTTTCTGAGGTTTGCATCATATTGCTTCGGTGATCGGAGGAGCTAGGGATATTACAGCTTGAACTGGTGGGATAACCACGAGTGAGTGGGTTGCTTCTCAGCATAGAAGACGGAGCAACAAAGGGCTGATTCCATATACACCACATACTCTGTATAGTCAGTCCATATGGTTATACCTACTCCATAAAGCACTCCGCATTGTCCTCCAATGCAGAAGGCTGAGGTGCATCTGGACCCAAGCTGCTTATGAATCGGCAGGGAGAATGGAAAGACAACCAAACAAAACGTCATTCCCGAAAACCCCGCCTGGTGGGGTAAAGGAGACTCAAATTGGAAGCCCGTCGAAACCGAACCCACTGCCGCTGTTGCTCCCGTTCCAGCTACCACCGACAGCACTGCGAGTGTGTCCTCGGTGCTTTGCTCATTTTAGCTTACCCCTCGTTCGCTTTCCTCCACTTCCCTTCCCTCTCCCTCTCCTCTCTTCTTCTTCCGTTTCTTCCTCTCGTACCATCTCTTGCTTTCCCATTTTCTGAATTCCCAGATACCAGATTCATTCACAAACCGTCAAAATGGTCAAGGCTGGTAAGTGGGAGATTTGATTTTCTATCTAGTTCCCGTATTATTGGACTTTCCACGTTTCCGTGGGATCCACGATCGACCAACGGCCGGGGGGAAGGGGGACCTTGAGTGAGCAGATTTGAGCACCTTGCGATCTCTCCTCTTGGGTCGCCCGACCTATCATCGGTTGAGGACCCTGCTTGCTGGGCAAACAAGCTCAAAAAGCACTGCCAACTCGAGTCCCTGACCGTTCTGATTCGTCCTCCCCTGGTCACCTCGACAAGACAGTCACCACTTTGCGTCCATTGAACCCTACCAGTCGTCACGTTCGGGCTCGGATCGGATGATCCTGCGTCTGGAAGCCTTCTAGTTAGTGAAGTCATCGGCTAACTCAATCTCCCCCGTCTCACCAGTCGCTGTTCTCCGTGGAGACTCCAAGATCTCCGGCACTGTCACCTTTGAGCAGGCCGATGAGAACACCCCCACCACCATCTCCTGGAACATCACTGGCCACGACGCCAACGCTGAGCGTGGCTTCCACGTTCATCAGTTTGGTGACAACACCAACGGCTGCACCTCCGCCGGCCCTCACTTCAACCCTTTCGGCAAGACCCACGGTGCCCCCGAGGACTCCGAGCGCCACGTCGGTGACTTGGGTAACTTCAAGACCGATGCTGAGGGTAACGCCGTCGGCTCCAAGCAGGACAAGCTTGTGAAGCTCATCGGTGCCGAGAGCGTCCTGGGCGTATGTTCTCCCGACTCCTTTATCACCTTGTGCTCGTATCAACGGCCCTGCAAACTAACATTTGCAATACAGCGTACCCTGGTCGTCCACGCCGGCACTGATGACCTCGGCAAGGGTGGTAACGAGGAGTCCAAGAAGACCGGTAACGCTGGTCCCCGCCCTGCTTGCGGTAAGTCCTCCTTCGCATCGTCTTACTGCATCCTGTTACTCATATCTTCGTCTCTTCATAGGTGTCATCGGGATTGCCGCGTAAATGCATTTAGCAAGAATGATGATGTGGTCAATTCAGGATGCAAAAGACTGACCCAGAATGGAAGTAGTCTGCTAATATCCGATTGATGTAATGACAACAAATTGGAATGCATGAAAGACTTGATGCTAGTGCCCAGACGAGACCCTGTGTTTCCCAATCATGTATTGTAGATCTTTTCTCTTCTCGTAGTGTGTCGTGGCTGTGAAGGACGAGAGCGAAAGGAGACGCTGCATTATGGTCTCAACTCCATTCATTCAAGGTAGCCTTGTGTTTTAAATAGTAGATTGCTTGCATCGAGTCGTGTTTGAATAAGGAGTCGTGCAGGAGTATGCTAGTTCCTGTGCCTTGTGTTGATGGGTTGTAGTCGGCCGTAGGACCGGAAAGGGGTCGCTGTAAACACGGAACTTGGCATAGCGATCTATGTGAAGCTGGACTGACTGTCAATTGCAGTGCTCCAGTAAGACACAATGGATAATTGTTGAGCTAACATGAACAAACACTTGCAAATCTTTAGTCTCCCAATGTGCAGTACATACAACGTACATACGGAGTAGATACTAGGTAGCCAGTACTTAGGTTCCCTGTGCTGCACCATTGAGTGGCTAGAATCAATCAAGCCGGCGGAAACTCCCCCACAAAAGTCAGGTGTTCCGCCTCGACGCGATTGGTCTTGCCTGCCCGCCGGTGCTGTACCTGGCCAGATCAGCAGCATCCGTCCGTCGATACCTACTCGCACTCCTCCTTCTCTCCGCCTCTCCTGATTCCTCCATCCCTCCACTTTTCTCCAATTTCTTTTGTGCCTGATTCGATTGCTTTACCCTTCAACTTATCAAATTGACTGGGTGAAGATTTTGAATCCCTTTTTCTTCCTCCCCTTTTGCCCATTGCACCAGCTCTCGCCAGGATGCCTTTGGAAGCTCGTGTGAAATCTGTCCTATCCGGCGACACGGTGGTGCTGTCGCATATCACCAATCCCGGCCAGGAACGCATTCTTAGTTTGGCATATGTCTCAGCGCCCAGATTGCGCAGAGAAGGCGATGAGGTAAGTGGAACTGTCTCCAAATATGGTGTCCAATCCTTGTGCAAATCATATTTCCCTTCTCCGCCGCCCGCCCGCATATGTGTCCTCTGCATCGAGGCAGTGGGCGATACCATCTGAGCCTCTATCTCCCGACCCAATTGCCCCATATGGTGACCTTGAAGATCGTCTCGAGATACAATCGAGCATCGTTGCTAATCCGAAGTCTTCACTTTGTGTAGCCATACGCATTTCACTCCCGCGAATTTCTCCGTGAACTCCTCGTCGGCAAAGTAGTGCAATTCCAAGTCCTGTACACCATCCCCACCGGCGCCAAGCGTGACTACGGCACGATCAAGCTCCCCACTTTCGAGGTCTCCGTCCCTGACATCAGCGTTCAAGAAGGTTGGGCGCGTGTTCGCGAGGAAGCCGGTAAGCGCAGCGACGAGTCTGAGGAAACCCTTGCCTACCTCGAGCGCCTGCGTGCTCTGGAAGACCATGCCAGATCTGAAGGCAAGGGAACCTGGGCTGGCTCGGACAAGGGCCAGACTGAAACGAGCTATGAGCTGTCAGATGCTAAGGCCCTGGTCGATGAATGGAAGGACAAGCACCTTGAGGGTATCGTCGAGAGAGTTTTGAACGGCGACCGCTTGGTTTTGCGTCTGCTGCTTTCGCCGGAGGAACATTTGCAGGTCGTTGCGGCGATGGCAGGTGTCCGGGCGCCCGCGGCCAAGCGGGTAACTGCTGATGGCAAGGAGCAGGCAGCCGAGCCGTACGGAGACGAGGCGTTCCAATTTGTGGAATCACGTATCCTGCAACGCAAGGTTCAGGTGTCTCTGCTTGGTGTTACCCCCCAGGGTCAATTAATTGCCAGTGTTCTCCACCCCAATGGTAACGTCGCCAAGTTTCTGCTCGAAGCTGGCCTGGCCCGCTGCCATGACCACCACTCCGCCCTGCTCGGTACCGAGATGGCAGCTTTCCGCCGCGCCGAGAAAGCTGCCAAGGATGCCAGAGTTGGCTTGTTCACCGGTCTCGTGGCATCCAAGGGTCCTGCAGGCGGGGCTGCGGAGGACTACACTGTTAGCCGTGTGTTGAATGCCGATACCCTGTTCATCCGGAACAAGGCTGGACAGGAGAAGAAGATCAGCTTGAGCAGTGTCAGACAGCCAAAGCCCTCCGATCCCAAGCAAGCTCCCTTCGCTGCTGATGCCAAGGAGTTCGTTCGCAAGAGGCTCATTGGCAAGCACGTCAAGGTCACCGTCAACGGCAAGAAGCCCGCAACAGAGGGCTATGAGGAACGAGACGTCGCCACTGTTGTCCAAGGCAACACTAACATCGCTCTTGCGTTGGTTGAGGCGGGTTACGCTTCTGTAATCCGTCACCGCCAGGACGACGATGACCGTTCGCCTGAGTATGACAGCCTGATGCTCGCTGAAGCGGAGGCCCAGGCAGAGGGTAAGGGTATGTGGTCGCCCAAGCCACCCAAGGCCAAGCAGTACCAGGATTACTCCGAGAGTCTTCAGAAGGCCAAGATGGAAGTTTCGATCCTTCAGAGACAGAAGCGGGTGCCAGCCATTGTTGACTTCGTCAAGTCCGGCTCACGCTTCACGGTGCTGGTACCTCGCGAGAACGCCAAGCTGACCCTTGTTCTTTCGGGAATCCGTGCTCCCCGTTCTCCCCGTAATCCCACTGAAGCTGGCGAGCCCTTCGGTCAGGAGGCGCATGATCTGGCCAATAGGCGCTGCTTGCAACGCGATGTCGAGATCGACGTGGAGACCATTGACAAGGTTGGTGGATTCATCGGTACTCTGTACGTGAACAAGGAGAACTTCACCAAGATCCTGCTTGAGGAGGGTTTCGCTACTGTTCACGCCTACTCCGCAGAGCAGTCCGGCCACGCCACCGAATACTTTGCTGCGGAGCAGAGGGCCAAGGAGGCTCGCAAGGGACTCTGGCACGATTGGGATCCTAGCAAGGATGTCGAGGAGGAGGAGGAAGCGGTCAACAACAGCACCGGCGCTGAAACCGAGGACGTTCAACGCCGCAAGGACTACCGTGACGTGATGGTCACCTATGTTGACCCCACCACTGGTCGCCTTAAGCTTCAGCAGATCGGTACCGGTACTTCGGCCCTCACCGAGTTGATGAGTGCATTCCGTTCTTTCCACATCAACAAGGCCAATGACACTCCATTGCCCGGACCTCCCAAGGCGGGTGACTTCGTCGCTGCCAAGTTTAGCGAAGATGGTGAATGGTACCGTGCTAAGGTGCGTCGCAACGACCGCGAGAAGCAGCAGGCGGAGGTCCTATACATCGACTTTGGTAATTCAGAGGTTCTTCCCTGGTCCCGCCTGCGACCCCTGAGTCAGCCTCAGTTCTCCGTTCAGAAGCTTCGCCCGCAGGCTGTTGAAGCCGTCCTCTCTCTGGTCCAGTTCCCCGGTTCTGAGGACTACCTGCAGGATACTGTGAGCTTCATCGAGGAACAAGCCTACAACCGTGAGCTTGTGGCCAACGTGGACTACGTCTCTCCCGAAGGCACCCTGCATGTCACTCTTCTGGACCCCAGCGAGTCTAAGAATCTGGATCATAGTATCAACGCCGATATTGTCCGGGAGGGTTTGGCCATGGTTCCGCGCAAGTTGAAGGCCTGGGAACGCGCTGCCGCCGACACCTTAGCGCACCTTCGTGTCATGGAAGAGGAGGCCAAGCAGGAACGGCGCGGCATGTGGGAGTACGGTGACCTGACTGAGGACTAAGCTCGCGGGACTTTCTTCGATTGGATTGACTGTACAAATATCGCGCAGCTGATGCTTTTTACGTTTGATTCCCACAGGCGATGAATTGTATGGCCGGGTCTTGGTTGGGGACTGCCCGTTTCGCCTGAAAACTATTTTGATGTGACCTGCTAGATTAGTCTAGGATACCTAAAGGGGGGAAAATTCCATACTGATGATGTTGCCTTCTTTCACAGTGATCCTCTGCATAAAGTTGAATGCCGAGTACATAGATGACATAACCCGGCAGTTGTGACTCCTCTGAGCATCCGAAACTCTGTTGGAGGGAAGGGAGATTCAGCTTGTCCCCAAGGTTCAGCCCAACCCGCCGGTCTCGGGTTCCAATTCGCTCCTCTTTGGCAGTATTTTTTGGTCGGTTGGGTTGTAATCTTGCTGATCGTATCCGACTAATCATTAAATCTCACTTGTGTCGCTACGCGCCGGGAAGAAGACCAACCCGGTAGATCCGATCGATTCACGAGCTCTTCAGCTCTCTCAGAGGCGACCCACTCTAGATTCCCAGATCCTACAGCCTTGTTTTGTTTCAACATTCTTTCTCCAACTTCCCCCGAAAATCCAATCCCTGACAAGACAGACATCCAAGCCCAAATGCCTTTCTGGGGAAGCAAATCCACGCCGACCAAGGCGGAGACCGAGGCCAGCTCGACGCATGACGCAACCGATTCCAAGAACGACCCGGTCGCTGCGGCAGAGCAGGCGGCGGGCACGGGCTGGCTCGCGGGCCATCTACACCACCTGACGGAGGACCAGGAGCAGAAGCTGGAGGAATTCAAGAAGCTGTGCGAGCAGAATGGATACTACAGGCCGGAGCGGGATGGCGAGAAGGCAAGCCACGGCGATGCGACCATGCTGTATGGATTCATTCTTTCTCCTTTTCACCCGCCCTATTGCCACGAAAGCAAACAAGACACTGACGTTACGGGTCGGACCATAGCCGCTTCCTCCGCGCGCGCAAGTTCGACATTGATGGCGCTTGGGGTCAGTTCAAGGATACCGAGGATTGGCGTCGCGAGAATGCTATTGAGTCATTGTATGAGAATATCGATGTGGAGGCATATGAAGCTGCCCGGAGGATGGTTCGTTATTTCTTCTCCCCCGATCGATCAAGAACTGGTTGGAGTGAATATGGTCGCTAAGAACAGTTTTTTTTTCTCTTGCACTATAGTATCCTCAATGGACCGGCCGCCGGGACCGTCGCGGTATCCCTGTCTACGTCTTCGAGATTCAACATTTGAACAACAAGAATATGGCCGCGTATAAATCAACCCTTTCTGCCGAGACTCAACAATCGTCCAAGGTTCCTGAACGGCTGCTGCGTCTCTTTGCTCTCTATGAGAATCTTCTTCGCTTTGTCATGCCATTGTGCTCGCAGCTGTCTCGTCCCAACCCGGAGACACCCATTACCTCGTCTAACAACATCGTCGATGTCAGCGGAGTTGGGCTGAAGCAGTTCTGGGATCTCAAGGGTCACATGCAGGACGCCAGTGTGTTGGCGACCGCCCATTATCCCGAGACTCTGGACCGGATCTTTGTGAGTTAGCTCGCATGGTGCACTCGGAGGGAAGATACTAATACGACCTCATTTTAGATCATCGGTGCCCCCTCTTTCTTTCCCACTGTTTGGGGTTGGATTAAGCGCTGGTTTGACCCAGTCACCACGTCCAAGATCTTCATCCTCTCTGCTGCAGAGGTGAAGCCCACTTTGACGACTTTCATGGAGCCTTCGAGCATTCCCAAGCAATACGGTGGCGACCTGGACTGGAAATGGGGCGACATGCCCAACTTCGACGAAGAAGCCCGTCAGGTCATCGGTGCCCTTGAAACCCCACCGGCTGAAGGCGAAACTAAGCCCACCTTCATCAAAGGCCCTGTCTTGTTCAACGGCGACAACATTGAGATCCTCGGCAAGGTTAATGGAGAGAGTCGGAAGTCAACTATCCCTGCAGGCTCTACTGCTCAACAAGGAGAGCCTGCTTCCGCCCCTGTTCAGGAGGCTCCAGCGCAAGAGCCTTCTGAGGTACCCGCTGAGAATGAAAAGGTGGCTGCTTTACAGGAAGAAGCCGCCGCGCCCAAGCCGGAGGGTGAGACTGCCACCAACACCGTCGCCGCTTGATACACTCGCAACTGAAATCATTTCTCTCGTTCGACTATATCCCTTTTTCTTCGTCTCTTCTTCTTCGCCTCTTCTTCGCCTCTTCTTCGCTACATTTCTCTCGAGACATTCGAGAAGACACTAATCTATACACACACATTTGGGGGCGTCATTCGGATTGACTTCGTAGATTTCATATAGAAGACTTCTACACTGCATTTCATGGTGAGATTCTGCTTGAGTGAATGGAACTCTTTGGTCTAACGCGGATCTTGGTTGATCCATTCTTGTTGCCTGACTGTCCATTGCACCTGTTTCTTTGCTCTCCATGAAACCTACTACATTCGAGCGTGCTTGACTTTATGCTTCATATATACTACCGAACCTATTCATGGTATATTATATTTCAATTGAATTTTAGGGAGACTGAGATACGGACATTTGTCCTCTGAATTTCTTTCGGGTCTAGCATTGGGGTCTTCGTCATTACGCTATTACTTCAGGATCTTGGCTAGATAACCACTTTTCAAAAACATAAATACAAGCTTAGGATAGAAAACGGTTGGAGTTATAGTATAAACATCACATTTGACTTCTTTCCCCAGAGTATTGTAGGTGAGGAGGAGAGCAAGGGCTAGACTAGCCGCAAAGATTACTCGGGAGTCGGCCATCACCGCCCGCCCGCAGCTCTGCCTCCCCGGATAGCATCACTCATCTCTGAATTGCCAATCCAGTATAACAACAGCCGCCTGTAACCCCCCGATGACCGCCCGAGACTCACGGTCATAACCATGTGGCTACAGGCGACGCTCCTATTGCTCGCCTCGTGCGTTCCCTCCACCTCCGCCATCTACATCGACGAGGTCGGCCATATTGATTATCACCACGCCCTCCTCGGCCTTCCCACCTCCCAGTCGACCTTCTTTCTCAAACCGTCCGCCTCGTCTAATGCGTCCCTCCTCTACACCCTCTCTGAGGGCTCTCTCCTTGGTGCCGTAAACCCGAAGGATGGATCTCTAGTTTGGAGACAGAACCTCTCGCGATCCGCCCTCCCCGTCGACCCGAGCAGCGCCTCGGGTCTCTTACGCGCCTCCGAAGGCACCAACGCTTTAGTCGGTGCGCTGGGCGATTATGTCTCTTCATGGACTGCCCTTGATGGAAAATTGATTTGGGAAAACTGGTTTGCGGATGAAGCGATTGCGGATCTCGAGCTTTTGGAGCTCGAAGACGCCAGCACCGCGCCGTCAGCTAAAGACACTGTGGCGCTGTTCACTGGTAAGGCAGGCGTTGTCCGAAGATTGGATGGCATTTCGGGAGATATTAAATGGGAATACAAGGATGAAAGGTTCGATTTCAAATTCTGTCATGGCCCAATTTGAGTGCTTGTTGCTGACAACTAGAGCTCTCGTGACAGTGGGGACGTCCCGTTGCAGCTATCATCCTCGTCCACGGAAGTTTTCTACATTGCTCTGCAGGCCTCGGCGCGGAAGGGTTACCGGATCCGCGTGGTCTCTTTGAATCCCCTGACTGGTCTACCTACCCAGCAGCAAGTCTTGAGCTCAGAGAATGAGGTTTCCGACCCCAAGTCCGTTGCTTTCGTCGGCGCGAACACGGCCGCGCCTGTGATTGTGTGGTCTGATCCCGCGTACAAGACGTTGAAGGTCAACATAATCGGGACTAAGAAGATATTTTCCTTTGATATTGAGAATACGAGCGGTGAGAGTATCCAATCGATCACTGTCCATACCCCGAAGAAGCTGGAATCGCTTCCCCACTATCTGGTTCACTACGAGACGGGTTCGACCACCTGGGCGGAGGTCTACCACGTTGATCTGAGGTCTTCCGTGATCTCCAAGGCATATGAGCTGCCTCGCTTGCAGGGATGGTCTGTCTTCTCCACAAGCAACAAGGACGCCAATGTCTACTTCACCCGCATCACGGAGTCGGAGACCACAGTGTTCTCTTCCGCCTCGCATGGAATCCTGGGAAGATGGCCTCACCAGTCTGCCCCGCTGCAAGAGGCCGTCCACGCAGTCTCGGAAGTCGTGACCAAGGGTGACACGGTCGCTGTTCGGTCCGCAGCTACTCTCGTCTCCGGCGACTGGCAATTGATCCGCGGCGGTCACGTCGAGTGGACGAGATACGAGGCATTGACCGGGGCATTGGCCGCCTCGTGGGTGGAGACGGACGGCACCGAAGAATTGGTTCATCAGCTGGAAGTCGAAGGCCATGAGAGCATCTACAAGGCTTATAGCCACCGTGTCAAGCGCCATGCTAAAGACCTCCAGCATCTCCCGGAGTGGCTCAAGGACCTCCCTAAGCGCATCGTGACCAGCATTCTCACCGATGAGGTCTCCAACCTTGACAGCTTCGGCCTCTCCAAGCCTGTCATTGTTGCCGCGAAGAACGGTCGGGTGTATGCCTTGGATGCCGGGAACCATGGTTCTGTGTCTTGGGCTGTCAAGGCGGCTGAGAAGGACACATGGGATGTGAAGGCGATTGTGGCTCAACCAGGATCTGCCACTATCTATGCCGACGATGGCAGCTCTGTCACTCTGGACGTCACGACCGGCGAGATTCTCGCTCGCAGCCCGGGCACGACCACCAAGATTCGCTCCGTTGCTGTCATCAATGACGGCTCCGCTCCGATCACCATTGGTATCCAGGAGGACGGTACGCCGGTCGAGGCTCTTGATCTGCCTGGATTCTTTGTCACTCAGAGTAACGATGGTCGGGTTCTGGGATGGGTTGCCAAGGATAACAAGACCCCGATCTGGCAATTCCTTCCGCCCCATGGAGAGAAGATCGTATATGCTACTGCGCGGCCCGCTCATGATCCTGTAGCCTCGATCGGTAAGGTCCTGGGCGACCGTTCTGTTCTCTACAAGTACCTGAACCCCAACCTCGCTCTCATCACCACCGTCGGGGAGAACACGGCCACTTTCTACCTTCTCGATGCTGTCTCTGGCCGCATCCTGCACACTTCAGTGCAGGAGGGCGTTGATACTACGCAGCCGATTGCCTCGACTATCTCGGAGAACTGGTTCGCCTATTCGTTCTACGCAGATATTACCTCTTCGTCTCCGTCCAAGGGCTACCAGCTTGTGATCTCGGAACTTTACGAGTCGCCCTTCCCCAACGACCGCGGTCCCCTCGACTCCGCCACCAACTACTCGAGTCTCACCTTCCTGCCCTCTCCACACATCATTTCCCAAGGCTTCGTCATTCCCGAGCCCATCTCCCACATGACCGTTACCCAAACCCGCCAGGGAATCACCACCCGCAACCTCCTCTGCTCCCTCCCTTCAACTAATGCCATCATCGCCATCCCCCGCCCCGTTCTCGATCCCCGCCGCCCAGTCGACCGCGACCCCACCTCAATCGAGGCCGAGGAGGGTCTATTCAGGTACAACCCCTACCTCGAGTTCGAAGGCAGATGGTACCTCACCCACTCGCGCAACGTCGCGGGAATTAAAAAGGTGCTCTCGAGCCCGACCCTGCTGGAAAGCACAAGTCTGATCTTCGCTTTCGGCGGCGACATCTTCGCCACCCGAGCGACGCCGAGTCAAGCGTTTGACGTGCTCGGCAAGGGGTTCTCTAAGTTACAGCTGGTGCTGACGGTTCTGGCTCTGAGTGCCGGTGTGGCGGTGTTGGCGCCAATGGTATGTTTTTCCCCCCGCCCCAGATCATCCAGTTTTGACCTACCTTCAAGACCTAAACTAATTTTTTTTCCCTCTGCGTGTAGGTCCGCAGGAAACAGATCAATGCGATTTGGAAGGCGTCGGCGTAGATTTGGTATTTATGTTTCGGAAGTATGACTCGGTGCTAGGTTGGCTTCTCATTTGGGATTGAGGAGCTAGTTGAGGGTAAGATAGTTGAAATGCCGAGATAGATATCTATGATTAATTTGCTTTATCAGATGTGTGGTCTGCTGTCTTGAGGTGGCTTTTGGTGTAGTGATTGTTGAGTCTGTATATCATCACCTCAAGTACGCACTATAATCGTGTCTATAGGTATTCCATGTTGCTACGGATGATGCGAGATACTGATGCAGCTGGTCTGAGGAAGCAATCACCAGTTATTAGAATGGCATTTCAAGTCATAAAAACCCATGAGACCAGAAGTGATATGCATGGCGCACGGCTTTGCCTGTCAACTCAAGCCGAAATGGACACTCATTCATTTATGAATATAATCAGGAATGGTCAACTAATCATAGTCTGCAAGAATTACTCGAGCAGAGAAAGCTTCATCCAAAGCATTTCGTCACAATCTTCAAGTCCGTAATCTACCCCGCGCTCAACAAGTTCCCACTTGGAATAATAGAACAATCCATGCCTTAAGAATACAACCATCAAGCCAGACTCCGCTCCAAAGTCAATCCCTATCAATCACACCACCCAAGAAATAGACACCTCTCTCACAGTACTTCGAAACTTAACATACCCAGACCAAGCCTCAGAATCCCTCCTTAAACCATCATTCCATCCTAATCCATCATTCCAGTAAACCACTCAGCCCAGTCCTTCATTAATCAACCATTTACTCTAAGAGCTCCCACTCGAGCTAGAACTCGAACTCGAACTTGAACTCGAACTGGACGAGTTGGACGAACTACTCGACGACTCCCTGGAGCAACAACTGCCCCTACGCCGATATCTCTTGGCCTTCATTTTCTTCCGCCTGGAGCCCAAACAATTCCACCTTGACGTTAGCGCACTTATCCAACCTTTAACAACCCCCTCCCCCCATTCAATTCCATTCCACACGGTCACCCCTCCATCAGGACAAGAAAGCAAGGCAGGGAAGAACATACAGCTTACTAGCAAACTTCATCCCCGCCGCCCCCGCCAACGCACCCCCCGCCGTCCCCAGAATCCCACCGCCGAACTTTCGGCCGAGAATGCCTCCCGCTGCTGCACCGGTGACGGTACTTGCCAGGCCTTTCTCAGTTGCTGGTGGGGCCGCTGGGTTTGACGGGACGGGTGTAGCTGGAGCGGAGTATGATGATGGGGGTTTGAGGGTGGGGTTTGTATCTGTGTAATACGATGCGCTTTCGCCTTGGGGTTTTTGTGGTTGGGACTGTGTTGGGTAGGTGGTGTTGTTGGCAGTGTTGCTGTTGCTGTTGTGGCGGTAGTGTATGTAGGATGGTGTATTTGGGTTGGGGTATCCTGTTGTGGAGGCGGGGGGTTCGTTGAGGTTGAGAGGGATGTTTGTTTGGTGGATGTAAGGGTGGTTATTGGGGTTTGGAGGGGGGTAGGCGTGCTTTATGGGGTTGAGTTAGCGGGTTTTGCAGTGGAGGTGGGGGAGGGGGTCGTCGTCTGGGTGGACTTACGGCGGAGTGATGATATCCTGGCTGAGGGGGCTGATCGTAGGGGTTGTGCTCAAGGGGAGGGTAGGTTGCAAAGGTCTGGGGGTGGTGAGGGGTGTATTCGTTGGTGTAGTAGTTGGTTTGAGGCGGGATGTAGTGGTTGCTGTAGTTGGGGTTGGACATAATGATGGTGTGAGTAAGGGTTGTTGCGCGTGAGTTGAATCTCAGCTAGTTGATGCGGGGTATGATCTGGGATGCCGGTTGTAGTGATGTAGTAGTTATGCTGGTAGTATATGAGGTGAGATGTTGTAAACTGCGAGGCGTGAGAGTGAGTTGTTGAGTGAGAAGGAAGAGGGTGGGTGGTGGTTGCCTTGCTGTGGTTGAGATACAGCTTGCTGTCTCGCACACAATAGGTATGGTGATAAACTTCGGTTGCTGCTGGTAGTCGAGGGGATGACGTGCAATATGTCTGCTGCGATCTGTCTTCATAGCTGTCAACCCATTGTTTTAGCATAGCCAAGCTCTTGCGCTACACTGCTGGTTCGATGCATCATGGCGGCTGTGCTGAGGTGGTTGAGTATAGCCATGACCAGCAGATACTTCCTCCCGCTTGCTGTTGATATCAGATCATGCGTTGTGGTAATCTGGACTCTGCACGCGAATTGTATTTGCATTGTGTCAACCGAGCCTTGCAGACCAACAGAGTACGCTCAACTAGGGAAGACAAGCGAAGGATCGACGCTCCCGAGTGCAGAGAGGTGTGAGACTGTATTTCTGGCAAGTTGATTGAGTTGGCTTGAACCCTGTGTCAAAGCTCATTGTCCAATGTTTCCAACAGTGGTTCTCGTGAACAAGCTGACTGTGGATGTAAAGTGAGAAATCATTCTGACGCTTTTGTAGATCAAATTCCGGGTTCCATCTCGAACATGTGGCTGAATCAATCAGTTCATGATGCTCTCAAGGAAGCATCAGAAATGTTTGCCTATCACTGTACAATGGCATGACTTTATAGTTGATCTAGGCAAACGCAATAATGGAAAAATGAAAGGTAGGTCCGAAGTAATAGGAATAGATTCACTGAAGCATTTGCATAGCTGGATAGTCAGAGGAATGCGCCCTGGTACTCGAAGGAAAAAGAAGCTTAGTCCGAGTACTGAGGCGTATCTTCATAGACAAACACTGAAACAGTACTACCTAATGTGGTTGTCGAAGGAGATGACTGGTAGCCAATGAATGTGCGGCAGCCTGCATTGAAGTCAACCCCAGTTAACACTATTGCTTCGTCTTCCTTTGCGAACTTCAATCTATTTCCTCTTCCTCCTCTACCTCCTCCAAATTCCTCCATATTCTTATGCTTACTGTGCTCACTATCACCATAATTCTGTTCTTCTTCCTCTTCATCAACCTCATCGGTAAGAATCCTATTCACCTGTGACATGAAATCAACTGATTGCTCCCTCTAGTAAGTGCGATGCACTGAACTTCAGTCACCATAGATGAATCTTCTCTAATAAGTCAACTTTCCAGTTCGTACACGAATTCCAACACGTTAGCTGAGCCAGCTGACTCCCTTCACCGCATCTGACCCGGCCCTCTTGCGCACGATGCCACCTACACTTTGCCTTGACTCCCGGGACGTGTTGCGGTAGGCTCTGCAATGACTTCGTTAGCTATATCAGGCTATTCCATCTATTAACGAGTAAAATAGCCTCGTCTCGAGGAACGGAGATCCTGATATCGGAAAGATTGTCGCTTTGGCCAACCAGATACGTCGACAGAATCGACATTTAAGAGGAATGCATAACCTTCTAGAGTGGCTATACGAGGAGGTTCTTCGCATCCTTCGAGTCACAGGACTCAGAAGACTCAGCTCGAGACTTCATAAGCTCTAAGCTGGCGTCAACAATACGATCGTCGCTCTTGACGGTGGTAGTGTTCACTGTGGTTTCGGTCTTATTGTCAATTGCTAGCATTGTATTCTATCTTGTGTTTCCTTCTCAATATGAATCCTTGAAGGTTAGTCCTACCTCACAATTTTATCGGAAAGTACTCTGGAAAATAGGAGAGCACTAAAGGACTCGTACCTGATTCAAATGTATCCCACGGACTTTCCATGTGGTTACGAACACAAAGTACTGCCAAGTAAATTCCTGCTCAAGGACCATATCGATGCTTGATACTACGTGATGATCCTCTCATAGTTAGAGAAGTGAAGGTAATATTTCATATATTTTATAGCCAGGAATAATGCTGATTCTCCATAACATAGTCAGAAGCAACATTGCTCACATGCTTCAAGTCGGTGAGGTTTTCAGATCCTGAGGCTTTTTCGATGCAGGCCACGTAGAAACAGTACTCATCAAGCTGGGCAAGCAACATGGGCGATGGAATCTGACACTTTACGGGTGAGACCGTTGGTGGTTAAGCAGGATTATGACACTAGGAACCCAGTCCCATAAAACACACATACGACATGAGTGAATGAATGGCAGCTCGTAGAAAGAGATCCTACTTCACTGGCTGTCTTTCAGCTAGACCTTATTTAAAATGCCTCTCGCACCCGTCATTACCTCTCCTTCTTCTCTTTATGACTCTCCTCACCATCACTACTCCTATTCTCCTACTCTCCTCACCACCACCATCTCTCTACTTCTATTCTCCTACTCTCATCTCTCCATACATAACTACACCAGCACCATCTTCATGAAAGGTACCGATATCTGCTCCTGGCCTTGATCTCCATGACAATAGCTAATTCTCTGCCCTTGTAATTTCTAGACATAGTAAGTCCACCTCACTGCGTTCTCAGTCAAATATCACAACCCCAGACATGAAACCACGAACCAGCTAGGACGACCCACACATTCAAGCCCTCGATAAGCTGACTCAATACTACTTAGGAAGAAACAAATTCGCCCACTTTGGGCTTTCTCTTTACGAGAAAAACCCGACCTCTCTCGGATCTATTCACTTCAACAAGGGTAAGCTGTTTTTCTTTCTGCTACTCAAGAGACACAGATTACTGAATTGTCCGCCCTCTTCACAGCTCCCCTATCACCTTAGCCCTAACGCCGCTGGCACTCCCAGCTCGGCAGCGGAGGACATTGTCTCGCAGCGTGGGCCTTTGCTGCCGCCTGCTTCCTCTGCTGATTCCAGCCGGTCCACTACTACTCAGTCTGCTACTACTCGGCCCGTTACTGCTCAGCCCGCTACTATCCAGCCAGCAGCATCCACACCTGCCCCTCCTAAGCTGGAGACAGAGGTAACAGCACCATCTGAATGAGCTACCTTCAGTACTGATGTCATTCCTAGAGCATGAAACGTTCCATGTCCGAGTCTGTAGATGTCGAGGAGGCTAGAGCTGACGAGCGGCGTAAGGTAAGTACTCATCGATCTTACTCCACAAGAGGATTTGATCCAAGACCTGTGTTCTCTATGCTATCCACAGTCATATTCCATGCTCAAAGTCTAACGGAAACAAGGTGCACGCCGAAATGAAAGTCAAGCTTCACAAAACAGGCTACAGGATCCCTGACAACCTTTTCGACCCTGAGAAGGATGAGAAGGAGCAGGAAAAGCAAGCTAATGAGCAGGAGGCACTCAGATCAGCTCAGAGGCTCCGCCGCGCTGAGCTTGTGATTGAGGTTGAACAAGCGAGAGATGAGGTTTTGGTTCGGTACGCCGAGAGGACAGTGGACCACGAGGCCCTCGAAACTGCCAAAGAGTCTCTTCAGAAGGCAGAAACGAAGTTCCATGCCAGTGTTGAGGCGCTGCAACTGGCCGAGCAGAAGTTGGATAGCGTGCTCGAGCTGTACCACAACGTCTGACTTGTTGGCTTTCAAGTGCTATGTCCGCTCAAAGAGTGAGAAGAACACTCCCTTTGGTTCACAGTTGGCGTGAGGTTATGCTGTTTTACTTGCTTGGAAGAAAGTACGAGTTCAGGATGAAGCTTCTATCTTCAAGAGATTGTCCACAATGCTTTCTTGTTCTCTGAGATTATGTACTCGACAAATGACATAAGGTTTCTCCCTTCACAATGGTACTGTGTCTATGCGGCCTTCCTTCATATCCATGCTCATGAACAGTGGCTGTCACCTCCGTGGTGACCGCCCACTTGATCTCCTGCACTACCCTCACATTTCCATTCTCGGCTAGTTAAATCTCATCTTGTAGTTGAGTGAGCCCCTCTTTCCGCCGTGCTCGAGTGCTTTATCGAGTATAATCATAGTTCTAGTTCTGCATGCAACGCGCGCGAGGCTGCTATTCTCGCCAATTAAGCGGGGGCGCATAACGACGGAGAAAATGACGGATGAACGGAAGACAGGGGTAAATAAATGATGAAGTTGGCCTTCGATATTACTGCCAAGGTAAGGGTTGGAGTAATCAAAGTCGTACGTCTGTCCTGGAAGAGGCTCGGTGACTGTAGCATTTGAAATGGTAGATGCACTTGGGATTCAGGAGTCAAGCACTATCAGGAATCATCATGCTCTCTTTCTTGTCGAACATCAGATCGAGAAGCACTTGCCTCGACATAGAACAAGCATTCAGCCAGTCAAGGGTGGCACGAGATGAACGAATGTTTACGCCCAGACAGCCCGAGGAAGAGCAACGCAGCGCTTTCGTCTCCTGGCTCAATCTTCCTTTCATTGTGAGTGCCAATCTCAGGAATTAGTTGAACAGGGACTCGATCTCGCTTGGAAGCCGGTCGGTGTGCCGTTTCATCCCTATCACTTTTTGATTTATTGCTGCCCGATGGACAAACGACCACATCTCAGCTTATGTGTCAGATACAGGTACAGGGAATAAAGTCAAATCAATACATGCTCCACGGTTGGGATGTTGGTGCCTGTTTGATGGCAGGATTGTGTGGCTCGAGAGTAGATGAAGGTGGAGCCGAGTTCCAGCCAGCACGCGCCGCCGTTGATGGACGATCCCGCTTAGTTAGCGGCCGAGCCGTTCCATCCTCCTCCCAGTCTGCAACAAATCGTTCGCCTTAGTGCAACACACCGCACAGGGATCGAAAAAAAAGCAATCAGTCTTGTTATTTCTCTTACTCAACCGCTTTTTCAGATCCATCTACTGCCTCGGGAAAGAGCACCGAAATCAAGAACTATCATTTCTATAAGGGTTTACCCCGACAACAGATATTCGTGCATCTATAGAGCTTTGCGAGAAGTCATACTTAATGTGATATTATACTAGCCAGGTCACCATATCTTTTGACGATGCAGCAACTTCGCCAGACCGGCCTAAATAAGAGACATTGGGCTCGCGAACATCGTTTGAGAGACATCTGGAGCAGATCCATATCAAACACTACGGCCAAAATTCGGTCACCTCTACCAGTAGGAATGGTCAAACCCGTGTCCCCACCTCTTATTTCTTTCTCATTGCATCGTGCTATCATGCTCCCGACTGGTACTCTAGTACAATGAAAATCAATTCGCAAGTTGATTGCAATTTTTCATCCGAAAAGTAAGACAACTCCACCATTGAGCAGCAGATCTCTGCAGCAGTGAACTTCGTAAACAATACCCACAATGACCCGTGCGCATCATGGAACGGCATCTGGAAGTACAATTCAAAGACCGGACAGAACCTCATCGCAGACGCTCTGGAAAACACCAGGCCAGTCGCTTACCCAGCTCCTTATTTGATGACACGACCGACACGATGCGGTTCACCACGAGCTACAATCTCACCCAGGAGTTGGTCCAGGCAGATGGATATCAGTAAGCCTGATCCCCGCCCCGGCTCGGAGTCAAATACTGATAAATCCAGCGACATCTTCACGACCGGCACCTATGTCAATAACAACCAAGTCCTTCGCAAAGCAATCGACATCCACAACGAGAACATCGAAAAAGCCAAGGCTGAAGCGAAGAGCGAATCCTGGTCCATAGACACTATCGTCCAGCCCTGGCCCAAGCTATTCTGGAACATACTGTCGCCAAGGGCGGCAATGTACTCGGCCTAGAGCGGTTCGATGAGAATCTTATCCCTATGTCACTCTTCCTTCCCCAAATACACCCATCACAAGTTTTGAATTGAGTTAACAACCTCCGCAGAGGTCCTCTACGACTACTCCTGAGACGACGAAAGAGATGACGTTCTCTTCCCTCGCCTCGGTCGGACCGCCCTAAGCGACCTCGATGCATACGCTCAGTCGATCGGTTCTGACAACGAGTAAGTCTATCTCAACTATGCAGACAAGTCCCAGAACCTGCTAGAGGGTTACGGCGAGAACGTCCAGTTTCTCTCTCGCGTGGCCAAGCAGTATGATCCCCCCGGCGTCTTGCAGACCCAGGTCCCTGGTGGTTTAAAAGATCAGCGAAGTGGTCTGAGCGGTGCGAGTCGCTCGACTTACAGCACTGTCGTGGTTTATTCACAATCCAAGACCAAAAAACCGAGCCCCCAAGTAAAAGCACACTACTTACATACCAAACACAACAAGTAGAGGATATATGCATCATCACACAGAATTCTCAAATGCAACAATATTCCATATTATCACTTGCTATCATCTCACCCTAAGTAACAATTTACCTAGAAGAAAGCCTCAGAAACAAAAGCAAGCCCAGGCCCACACCCAGCAGCCCAGGGGGGACCCTCTCCCTACGGAGTACTCCGTACTACCGGCCTGGACGCGGATTGGTCGCCTAACCTTCCGTACTCCATCCTTAGTGTGAGGGTTTTTGTTAGCTCAAGTTGTCATTGGAACTTGTCGACGATCATCCGTCTTTTCCATCATCGAGGAATACATCCATAATCTGGCGTAAGAATACTCCGCGCATTCTACCGGTAGAATTGTATGATAACCGAGGGAATCGATCGGACCTTTGTTGGAGTATTCCGTAAGTGGTAGTCACATGCTGCCGACTCACCGAACCAATCCCACCACCAACAAGGAACACATCACAACTAGTACAGTTAGTTAGTCCAGGACTAGGTAACTACAACATACCACTAGAGAGCTTACTGCAACTCTTCAGAAAAAATAAACAAATAGATTAGAAGGAAAAACCTTCTACAACTAAACTACCGTAGCAAGCCCGGAACCCCATTCAGCCCACTAACTTACAAAAATCCGTCCACCGAAGTATCAAAAGTGGGCAGAGGCCCCAGGCCCGAACGACGCTTGGCACGTGCAAACTCGCTATCCGGTCCGGGCGCAGTGGACAATGATGTGAGCTTTCCCGATTCGGAAGTGGCAGGCAACTCAGCCGAGCCACGAGCGTAACTATGAACAAAAACTGGGGAAAGAATACCAAGTAGTTACCCCGTAGTAGCTCTGATGAAAATCCCCTCTTGCTTTCTCTCTCTCTCATCCAGCCGTTTCTCTCTTCTTTCCCTCTCCTGTTCATCTCATCATCTTCTTTAGAGGTTCCTTTCTCCGGCCCCCTTCGAGACATTTGATTGTTTTTACCTTGAACTCGGTTTTGGCCATCTGTGGGATACCTCTTCTGTGCGCTTTGAGATATCCCATCGCTTGAAGACTGATTGGGATTGTCTCTTGATCTCTTTGCTACACGATCCCTGCTGACACTGCACATGCAAGAGAGGAACTTTTAGCCTCTAACACCATTACATAAGAACAGCTAAAATGCTTCATTAACAATACAGGACGAACTCATCCTGACTCCTTTCGTGACCATCTATCATGAATGCGACGTATATATGCAAATGCTATGACAACAAACCAAAACACGCTGGTATCACTTCGAGAAAAACAAGCTCGCTCGAAAACAAACACAGCTAGACCAAAAAGTTATTTATGCAGACAGTGTTGGACAAGAGACTCTTAAAGAGCGAGACACGATGCTTCTCAACCGCTTTCGCAGGTTCTAGAGGCGATCGTCGACATATACAAAGTCCAAGGTACAAGTTGACTCGGGAACCTCTAGAGTGGTATAGCCACGTCTTCGTTCTCATTCCAGCCCCATTCTCGGAGTAGCTGATTTACACGATAATCGGTTGCCCAGCCAAGTTCGGCCTCGATCCCCTGCAAAAGGTGCAACACCGTTCGTCTTTCGGCAGCATCGGTGAGGCACTGGCCGCTAACGAACAATGGTTGAAGTGAATTGATGCGGGCCGCACCTGTTGGGCAGGCCATAGCAATGCCCACGATTTCCCGGCTGTGAAAACGGATGTCATTCTCAATGGATCGGTAAGAGTTAAGTCTATCCGTGATAGTGCTTCGGCGGCTGGTCGACGCGTGCGGCTTGTTGACCAGGAGGAGGATCCGCGCCATATGATAATGCTGCATGGCTGACGAGCACATGGGTATGCTGTACCAAATCTCTGACAGCTCTCCGGTGTCCGCCTTTTCCCCATCTTCGGCTGATGGCTCAGTCCTGGCACAGGGCTGAAAGGTATCCGGAAGCCTGTTGTACCACGCATCGAGTTCTGCCTCAAGACGAATCCATCGCTCCAACAGAGCTTGTTGCGACAACCCTAAAGGTCCCGTGTTCAGTGGGCCGGGGTGATTTAATTGCACCTTGTCACCAGCGCTTATGAAATTGACAATCTTAGACAAGATCCAGACAAGACCATTACAGATCATATCCTCTCGGATGACGTCGTCTGCGTCAAAATAGCCAGAGGTGGTCGTGCTGCTGGATCTGACAAAGCCCTGATTGTCGACCTGCAGACCTGCTTCCGTCCACAGAATCAAGTCGTCGGTGTTCAACCTCGTCTGGCCCTCGTTGATGACTAATGCGCATTTAGTGTTCCTGCAAGCTGCAGATTGAGAGGTTGGAGATTCGACTTACAAGCAGCCAGATAATCTTGCCGAGCAAAATTCCAGAATGTTGCTCTCCTCGCTCTTGACAGACCAGGCCTTTTGTGTTGCAACACAGAGTCGGGCCGTTGTTCAACTGGCATCATTCCCACTTCGGCCACATCTAGCAATGATTTTACGCCACTTAAATGTCGGTTCCATGCCGGACCAGTAGCATCAAGCAATTCATATACAGATAGTATGGCTGTTGCGGCGAGAATTTCGTCTGAGTGAACACCTTTTGAGAAGCGACTCTCGGAATAACGTCGCCGACGCTTGCGAGGGTTATCACTCTCCTCGCATAGCTCGGCAGCCTGCCATTGACCGAAAGCCTCCGGGGTACTCAGAGGCGGGGGACCTTTGTCCGGTTGAAGCTCCTTCATCAGAAGCTGAATTGCCTTCTCATAATACTTGGCACCTCTCCAGGACCAATCTACATTTTGCTTTTGAAACATGCCGCGTGTTGGCACCTGTTCTACCTTGACTCGCCCCAGCTGCTTCGCTGCATATGCGCATGCAGCATATTTCAGAAGAGGGTTTCGGAGCGCTCTTACAGGGATATAAGAGGCAAAGTAAGTTCCGACGTCGAAAAGGTCCATCCTAGCCATTATCAGTATGTCCTTGTTCCGGCGCGAAACCATTTGTCAAACACCTACCAGAGTCCCGGAACCTCCGAGAAGTGTCGCAATAGGTACGCCACCTCTTTGTCTGTTTCTGCAGGCACATATGGCCTTTGTTCCGTATTCGAGCCACGCGAAATGGCAGACCTGGCGGTCAACGAAGAGCTCCTACGCTCCAGAGCGTGATGAAAATTGGAATCCACAGGTGGCGAACGAGCTTGCGATGGATTTAGAAGGAAGTTGATATTATTATTACTGTTGTTATGGTTGGAAGTAATTGAAAGAGGGGGGGATATCTGAGGGGCCAGCACATTGCGCAACTGACTGGGTGAGGGGCCTGACGATGCTGTAGCTGACAGGCTTTCATAGGGTGAGGCAGCGTCAACTGCTAGGAGGGTCTGCTGGTCGATGGCCAGCTGATTATAAGATAACCGGTCATGGGCTGCCACGGTAGAGAGGGCATCCAAGCCATTATTTTCGGCCTCAGCGGACGGTGTGCGCTGCGACCACGCGCGATTTTGGGAGTTGGCTGCAAGTATAGCGGCTTCAGACTCGCCTAGGGCCGCTTCAAGATCTTCCGCGTACGGATCCGAATTATCGACGAAAATGACTAGAAAGTAATGACCGTCAGACAAGCTGTTGCTCGGCGCAAACTGGCTCCTCCTGCCACCAAGGGTTGCGCGTACCATGTTTCGGAATATCCAGCCACACGCTATCTTCATCAAAAGTGTTCTTGTACGAATAAAAGCCCTTCAGACTTCCCCGACCATTCGGATTTTCTTCGACGCTCTTATTCATCGAGGCATTTTGCTGATGACGAAAGACGATCCCCTCGCTAGGGCGACACTCCCTCCCACCCTTGCGACATTGCGAGCACTCCGGTTTCTGCTCGTCGCCTATTATCGCCCGGAAAGCTCTTAGTGTCTGCGCCAGGAGATAGATGACTTCGGCGTAATGTGAGCTTACATTTGAGTTTCCGAGTGCGACACGTTAAGCTGGAAAGAAGAAAAACCCATCGCAGTCAGCCCAACAATCCTGAGTCAAGAAGATGGAGAAACCGGATAAATAGTATGGAGTAAGCTGGTTAAGATCTTGGGGTTCTGACAACGCAGCACGGGGTGGGTGGTGGGTGATGAGAATGCTACATACCAGCCTGTGCGGGATCGCATACCGGATGGGAGCGAAAACGATTGTTGAGCTGCAGCATTCGAGACGACAAGGTGGGCCGGGAAAAGAAGATCGGAAGGTCGCGACCTGGAGGGAAAATGCAGGAAATTTGGAGAAGAACGGGCAAGTGGGACTAGTAGCCCGGAAGCGAGCTAGAACAGTCTAGGTCCGAAGACCGCGGAGAATAGAACCGATTGTATATCTGGGGGGCGAAAGAAGAGGGGGGGAGATGGGAGATTGGGAGGAAAAGAAATTGAAGAAGAGGAGGCAGGCGGCGCGAGGTGGAGGTAAGCAGAGGGCAGGCTGGGCAGGCAGGGGGGGCAAGGAGATGATGGGATGCTCAGTTCGAGAATCATCCAGCCACGAGTTAATGTAACAAAGAGACGGTCAAATCAGACCAGATTCTCTGCTGATTTGGCAAGATCTGGGTTATCTGCTCTGAGTGGAGAGCAGAGGAAAGAGGAAAAAGGCAAACGGATTAACTGCGTGTCAGTTGGAGAGGGAGGGAAGAGGAGTGTGAAAGTCGTATGAAATGGAAAGCCAGCGCCAGCAGCAGCAAGCGGGGAGAGCCGACAGCTCAACATAGAGTGAATGAGAGTCTGTGATACTCCATGGATCTCTTGCGGGGAACCTAATTTTCTCCCCGCGTGACCTGCTCGGTGACTAAGCCTCTCTTCGTTGACACCAACTTAAATACGGCGTAACGTAGTTACTACACTAGTTATTTGAACTGTACGCGGATTCTTTCATTGATCCAGTGAGAACAAGAGGACAGAGTTCAATCTCATCTCGTGCTACATCTTTTACCCCAGATTCAACTCGCATACTCCGTCGATTTCCCTGTTAAAGCCACCATATCCTACGAATAGTCACCACCCCTCCTCGATGCTGGCCACGAAGCGATCGATGACGTTCAATGGTCATGCTTCCAGCATGGTTGGTAATCCTGCCTGACGCGGCCGTCGAGTAAAACTGACGATTGCTCCTTCGACAAAAGAAGCGATGCGGCTGTGGCCCAAAGCAGTAGTTCACTAGTACGGCATACTGTGTAGTAGTTTGTTCCGGTCAGTGGCAACGGCTTTCCTCGCCACCACTATTAGCCCAGATGCACACTCCCAATTCACACCCGCTGCCTTGCTTGAATGGGGCTTCCTCTTTCTCTTTGAGCATTGGTCCGTTGAAATATACAAACTTACTCATATAAACGACTATACAAACGCACGCTCGTGAAGCATGTTAGGACTTGAAACTACCCTATAGAATGAAGTAATCTCCAGACGGTAGTTCTTCCGAATACAAGAAACTCTGAATCATTTTGAAAGATTGTTCACCGACCGCGAACTCGCGCGGGAAGGTGTAACGACTATCGAGTATGTACAGTACAAAAAAGCCATGCTGAGGAGACGGCCGCTGGGTGTCAATGGGACGATAGAGACCCACTTCTGGTGGTAAAAAGATCCCACGGGCCCAGATGCACACCCCTAGCATGGAGAGTAAAGTACAAGAACAATAGAAGAAGAGCATGGAGAGTAAAGTACAAGAACAATAGAAGAAGAGATGACCAATAGACACACGAAAATGGGACCAGAGATTTAATACACAGAGAAACAGGGGAGACACCTCCCGGAAATCGAGACAACGGCAACAATAAACGCGCTTTGTGCAGAGCATGAGTACTAGCATGAAACAGTGGAAACGAATGATTGGACATCTTCCAGTCAAGGAAGGGATTAGACACGAGTGGCATCCAACAGCAGAATAACAAACATCATTAGCGGTAAGTTGATTTGAAAGGTCAGAATTAGTAAGTCGGACTGGGGTATATTGGTGCTGTACTAGTAGTTCTTTTCATCTTTCAGAGGTCCCAAGAACGCCGTGCTGAGGCTTGGTTTTCAATCCGAGATCACGGATCTTCAGAAGCATGAGTGTGAGAAGACAATTTGTGCTGGCTTTTTTCTGTTTTCTTCTGTGCAGGCGTGTAAACAGCAAAAGGAATGGAGGTCATCTACAACATACGGCCAAGAATGCCAGCTCATATGGTTGGGGCGGCTGGGTTGGGCTGCTTGATCGAGTTGAACAGATACTCTGGAGGCAGTCGCCGCATATTGGATGGTCGGTCGGTACCCACGGCCTGCGGAGCCCGCATATAGCCCTGGCGACGACGCTGAATCTTGTTGAAGATGACGCCGCAGATAACAATTAGAAAAACGCAGCCGAGTGCCAAACAGAAAGAAATGAGCACAACAATGCCGTTGGAGAGGTGTTTGCCTACCTCAATTGTTAGTTCACCGATAATCATTTATACAGGCTTTGATACGCACCTCCGCTGGTGTATGGGTTCTTATTCTCAAAGAACACCTGAGACATGCTGCCTACCCCACCGCCGGACTTGGTGGTCAGAATGAACGGCGCCATTGTGGTTCCGTTATACAATGCTGCCGAAGCATTGCCAAAATCAGGGATCACCAGATGGCCAGTGACTAGAAGGGCCTGATCGTTATTGAGAGTGCTAACAGCATCGTGATTCTTCGATAGCGGGAGGATTTCGAGACCACGGATAATAGTCCCTTGGTCGAAGGTATTCTGAACGAACTGGAAGCTGGACCCGTCGTAGGCGGCCAAGAAACTGGATCCGTTGTTGTATCTACCACCAAGCCAGAACTTTGACACCGCACTATTGGCAGGGGTGAATGCTGTGACGGTACCGGGGATGTCGGACGAGGAAGCACCCGAGAAGGCAGTCCAGGTCTGACCCTTAGGTTTGTATGTCGCAATCGCAGTCTGGTTTCCATTGATACTCAAGTTGCCAACCACTAATAGTTCTTTGCTGTTGAGCCACTCAAGGGCCAGCACTGTTCCATCCAAGCTGGCCCCGGGCCGATTCCATTGCTGAGCAGAGGTGTCCCAGAAACAGACACCGGGGCAAGGAAGCGCACCCGCGGTTTGAAACTGTCCTCCAAAATAGATTTCCTTCGCACTCGGGCGCGCAGCGATGGCATTGACGGACACGCCATTACCGGTGAGCCGTGGTGGTTGGTTGTTGACAAAGGTATCGTTGTTGAGATTGTACAAGACGAAGCCATTCAAGGTTGAGTCGCCCACCTTGCCAGTAATATTACCACCCGCATAGAGGACCTCGTCGGAGATCATGAAAGTCAGGAAGGTAGAGTTGCTGTCGACACCTGATCTCATTCCGCTAATGCTGCCATCGCTGCCGTCGAAAATTGCAAAATTCTCGATTACCGATCCATTTGTAGCATTGGTAGAGAAATGACCTCCTAGAATAGTGCGATTCCGGCTAGAGCTTGTGTCGAATATACCTGTAAAAGTCTCACCAGTCGTGTTGCGATCAGACAGCAGTGCCTCCAATCCAAGATCATTGTCATAGAGGAGAGCAACAGCCCCAGCGGCAGCAAGACCGCCAGTGGACAGGCTCCCCGCTAGAATTGTGGTGTTGTCAACCTTGGCGTAAGCGGACAATTGCCCAGCGAACTCCAACTGACTGACATTCAGGTTTTGCAACCAGTTCTTGCGAGACGGAACCCAGACAGCAAATCCAGAGACGTTCGTTGACGACGTCTGTTCGAAGCCCATCAACTGATTAAAGTCCCCGCTGACGAGCACAAATGTTTCGTTAAGGTCGGCAGAAACGTTCAGCGACAGGGAAACCACGCTACTGACTCGACCATTGAGGCCTCCTCCTAAGGCAGACCATGTCTTTGTGTCCAATGAGTATGCTGCCACGTAACTCAGACCGTCATTTCCACCGTCGGACGTATCTGTGAAGTTTCCGCCAACGTAGAGGACATCGTTCAGTACCGTCATGCTGCTGACACCGGCATTCAAGCCCCCCTTGGCCATTGCAGTGGCGTTTCCATCTTGTTCAACGTACATGATATTGTTGATACTGGAACTGGAGAAATTTCCTCCAACATAAATGGTACTGCCATGACTGGCCAAACTCGTGATTGTCGCTTCCGAGTCCAAAGCAAGGCCTGCTTGATCGATGGCCGACGCGGAAACATTTAGGCCCTGCTTTGTAGTCGGGTTATATTCATACAATCCATTCAGTTGATCGTCCGAAGTGCCAGACACCGAAATTGGGACAAACTGAACTCGAGACGCAACCACAGTGATGTCACCTTGATTGGCTACTGGAGTGAGCTTGACACGGGGACGAAACGAGCTATCACTTGCATCCACATGGCCGGTGTAAATCGTATCGTATTTCTCATAATCATTGGTCTGGTAGATGAGAGTTTGAACGGGATCGGAAGAATCGCTTGTGGCAGTTATCGTCACGTTGACGATACCGCGGGAACTGCAAGTATCGTCCTGGTCGCATCCCGGTGTATATAACTTGATAGAGTAATTGCCTGAGTGCTTGACGTCAGGTTCGAAGATAACCGAAGCATCAGTCGCATTTGAATTCGTGACGTTCGCCGTCAAATATGCCGAGGAACTTTGACCAGAAGCTGTCGCTGACCAGGATCCAGTGCGCGTTGACTTGGATGGGTAGCTGGAGTTTGCACATGTTGGTTCGTTGAAAGCATTGATGGCGTAAGCGAAGATGTCTTCCCCAGTCAGTATATTCCTCGTAGCTTCTCACATTCGATTGGACTTACCGTCTTCGAGAAGCTCTATGCCGTTTAGACCAGCACCTTTGCCGTACCAACTCAGGATCTCGATCTCAAACCCGCTCATCGCTGCTTGGTTGACAAACGTAAATTCCCGATACTTTTCAGTCGCGTTGCTCGAAAGCGAGCAACTCTGGTCGCAGTAGGCGGCTTTGCCCGTATCAGGATCCGTGTACGTCAAGTTCATGATTCCGTTGTCGGGTAAGCGTCTGAACAAGAACGTCTTCGTGCCGCGTCCTTCGTAGTGTGTATTATACAGTCTAAGTTTGGTAGGCGTGTATTCGAATTGCATATCGGCGCGCCAGTACCCGGGAGAATAGTCATCCAGCAACCATGTCTTCCCTGCGCCGTCCTTGCCGCTCGATTGACAGATGATGTTGCGAGGGTCAACAAAACCCGTGGTTGAGGAATTTGCATCAGAAGTAATCGTGGCGTTCTGAAGATTGATAACCTGTTCGCCGTTTTTGCTTGACGTAGAGTTGCCAATACCATCGAAAGAGCCTCCAAATACAATGTGACCATCGCTGTCCTTCAGGATCGACGTGACTGGACCATTGAAGCCACCAAAGGTCAGGTTAGACCAGCCTTTAGTGCCGACCCAGGCCACGGCGTTTGAGGTGTTGTAATACGAAAAGTTTCCGCCAACATACACACTATTGGTTTCCTGATCACACAGCAGGGCGGACACTGAACCTGAAAGGCCGGATACCGAGGTGACTTCGTTTGTAGACGGATGATATATTGCGACACCTTCCGTTTTGACGCCCCCGAGACTGGTGAAATTGCCTCCCACAAAGATACCTGAAAACGTTCCATCCTCCTGCGTGAACGGGCACATAGCGCGAATATCCGCATTGGATGTCGATAACGTCGTGAGTATTCCGTTCGGAAGAGGGGTCAAGAGCGCTTGCGCGTCATTGTCTCCGGTAGAGGTGTTAGTCTGCGCGGTATATTGGTAGTAGGTAACTGCATCGAAGTCTCCGGTGAGCGCAATATGACCCAATGGCGAAAGATCCAATTCCGGCTCAGAGACAGACTGGTAAGTCAATGCTGACGCGAGACTAGAAAGGAGTAAAATCGACAGCCGGAGGCCTGCTGCAAAGCCAGCCGTCGCAGGCCCAAACAGTGAGGATCCCCTCATTGTTCGGGTTCGCGACGACAGGCAAGCTGTGTAAGCGACTCTCTTGTAAGGAGAGGATAGTGAAGGGGGATTAGAGGAGTCTTTGTTCTGGCGCAATCAGCGTGGCCCAGGACGAGTTACAAAAGGTGAATTGCTCTGGGCAAAAAACAGCGTGGGTAAGAAGAAGGTGGACTTGGTTCGGGTACGGCAAACACGCGGGAGGCAGAAAAAGGAGTGGAAGAATCAGCAGAACATGTAAAGAATGACAAAGGAGCTCAAAGAAAAACGAGTGTGTTCTATAGCCAAGAGGCCGAATTAGACTAGGAGTGGTCAGGTCTAAACAAATTAACGAATGAGTGATAAAAGTTGGATGGACCGAAAGAGTGACATGGCAGGCTTGCTGGCTGGGCTGGCAGTCAGTCGGTGGAGTGAGGAGAGTCGAGTGCTGCTGCTGCGGGCAGGCAGGCTTTTGGTCTCTTGGTTGTTTGTTCTTTGGATGAATTTCAGGTACGGATCAAACTAGTCTAGTGCGAGTTACGTTTATTGATCATCTTTCGTCCGTCCGGGTTCCACTCTGTAAGTAAATTTGGGTATGAGGGGCCAGAAGAAATGCTGACTCGCCAGCCACTCGAGATGAGCCACTGCTTGTGCCGCTATCGCTATCTTGAGCTTGGTGTGTCCACTCGTGGTGGGGGAAGCTGGTGTCTGGCCCATACGGAATACACAGTAACTTGAACTACGGAGTACGGAGTACAGCACCGAGTTCAGCAATCATCACGGCTCTTTTTGAGCATCGGTTTCAAACACACTCGCCTTTCATGGCTTGCAGAGTCAGAGGGAATGCAATCATCTGAGGAAGCTTCCAGACTCAATTGGATTGGCACCTTACGGCGCAAACTAGTAATGATGTGCATACAGTATGTATGCATGTATGCTTACCACAATTATTACTGGGGATCTTCGCTAATAATTTCGAGAGCCCGCTGCCCAAGGGGCCAGCAGGTCAACCTTCTTGGATGCATTCATAGAGTTGTAGCAAATGAACTGCAGTCAGCCTGCAGGCCTTTCCGACTGCTCTTATCTCATTTCTCGCTGGCGGTGAAGTATGCACTCAGCTTTGACGGCTACAGAAGGGTGCAGCAGCATACATGAATGTGCAGCATACAGAATACACCGGCAGCCATACTATCATCCTTATTTCGATCTACCTCATTGCTGTTACAGACTGCGACATGCTTCCGCCAAACCCAGCCTTACATTTATTTAGATACTCCGTACCCAGTAATATAAACTCATTACTGGACCCTTTTGAGGTCCCGCCACCCAGCCCCGTGCTTCAATCATGGCTTGGACCTTGCGCTCATAACGTCGCGCTAGGACAAGATGGCTGGCTAGCCCGGTATATCAATCACATTGAATCCAGACTAAGGAGCTCCCAGTCTCACGGCTGACTGATCCCGCTGATGAGACGATGAGGTTAATGGGTAGCACTGAATTGAGTTAGGCACTGTCCAGCCGACACTCCCAAGCCACGTCTTTATACCTCGATAAGCACTATGAGCGAGTCAGTCTTGAAGCCTAGAGCTATACACGACTTTGACATAGGAATCTTCAGATGATAGGTATGGTTTGTGTGTGAGGTTTTCAGGAAGTCTAGTCCATATGTAGATCCTGTTGACAGAGTAGTTCTTGTCGTTCTAGCTCATTCTGTTGTGACACTATCCTTGGAATCTTGATTTCCTTCTTGACCAGCCCAGCATACTGAAAGGAGCCCGACACTCTGGTACTGCCCCTCATATTGGGTGAGATCTGTGCTTTTCGGAGTAATTATTAATTCATCCTGGTATCAATGGTCGCTTTTCTCCCCGTTATTCCAACTCAACCACCTGGGAAACAACAGCGATAGTCCGTGTTTTGCCTGACACACACTTGCACTCTCTAATGAGACAAGTGCCCATTCCGCCGAGGTTTCAGAATACCTAAGATCCAACATAGCACGCTCTGATGACATTGGCTCAACATTGCCATCCAGGTGAGTTGAGTCTGTGAAAATTTCGCTCTGGCTCTCGGGGGTTATTTCCTGTTTATCAGCCCTCAACGGATGATTTGAGCGGTACTCTCTTGTACTATATAACCTAATCGCCAGCCCAGAGTATGATTACTGTTGCGTACTAGTAAGAAGTCCTTCATGAAAAGTCAATGATTAGTATTATGAGCACAAGGCCGTTAAAGGTTTCAGAAGCCATCTGTTACATATAGATAAGCACTACTAGCTTGCAGCATGTGGTTTCTATTACTCGGACAGAGAAGTGTCTTCCTTGTCGGAATATCTGTCTCACTTGGTTCTCATATCTCGAATCAGCTTTAGAATGATTTTTTGGGTTCCAGATCTTGTCCTGTAACTATAATGCCTGGGGATGAAACCGCATACATCGTAGTCAGATACTGTATGCCTCTATGCCTGAGGCATCGCAGCAGCGCCACCGGTGCCAAGATCCCCTGGCGTAGTAGGGCCGACGAACCACGGCGGCGCGCAACGCGACGTGAAAAAAGGATATCGGAGCTCTTTACTTATCGGAACATCCTCATTCCCCCAATCTCAGTCGCTGAATCAGACGTCTCCATCCTTACACCTTCCACATACTCTGTCGCCTTCATCTACTTTCTTCATCTCTTCATCTAATATCATCGATACCCTTCATTACCAACCACCTAAGGCTCCTCCAACATGTGAGACTCTCTTCGAACGCTGTCGCCTGTCCAAGCCATTAACGTCGCTACCAGGGAGAGCTTTGATAATATCTACCTCGATCTTTCCAAACAGCACGGAAGGTGCAAGCTCGCAGAATCTGGTCTGGGCTGGAAACCCTCCGGAGGAGGTGAGACTTTCACTCTCGACAAAAGCAACATCGGCGCAGCCCAGTGGAGCCGTGCGGCGAAGGGTTATGAGCTGAAAATCCTGTCGCGCTCCTCCGGAGTCATCCAGCTGGACGGATTCGAGCAAGAGGTATGCCTGAAATTCCTGGTCTTTGCTTAGCCACCCACACCCAGGGCGGCTTGCCGTACGTTCAACTTTTCTAATCTCGCGAATCTCCGCTGCGGTAGGATTTCGAGCGTGTGAGCAAGGCCTTCAGGATCTGGTATGGGCTCAACATGGACAACAGAGAACATGCCCTCCGCGGCTGGAACTGGGGTAAGGCAGAATTCACGAAAGCAGAGCTCTCTTTCAACGTCCAAAACCGACCGGCCTTCGAGATCCCCTACTCCGAAATCTCCAACACGAATCTAGCGGGAAAGAACGAGGTCGCTGTGGAATTTGCGCTCGGAGGCGACGGAAATGCGCCGGCACAGCCCTCCGGCAGCACCAAGAGCCGCGGACGCAAAGCCGCCGCGGGCCCGGACGAGCTGGTTGAGATGCGGTTCTACATCCCGGGAACGGCGGTGAAGACGGAGAAGGGCATCAAGGAGGAGAATGCCGATGACGAGAATGGCGAGGGCGAGCAAGAAGAGGGCGAGGAGCAGAATGCAGCGAACCTGTTCTACGAGACGCTTATGGAGAAGGCTGAGATCGGAGATGTGGCGGGCGACACTTTTGCTACTTTCTTGGATGTTCTCCACTTGACGCCCAGGTATGTGTCGTTTGGAAGGTGTTGTTTGCTCATGGGATTGACAAAGGTCGCAGAGGTCGTTTCGATATCGATATGTACGAGTCCTCCTTCCGGTTGCGTGGTAAGACATACGACTACAAGATTCAATACGCATCTATCAAGAAGTTCTTCTTGCTTCCGAAGAACGATGATACCCACACATTGATCGTCTTGGGTCTGGAGCCTCCATTGCGACAGGGTCAGACTCGCTACCCATTCTTGGTTATGCAGTTGAAGCTTGATGAAGAAATCAGCCTGGAGCTCAATATGACAGAGTGGGTCCCTCAGCACAAGAAGCTATGTCACGACTACCTAACAGTTCGTCTAGTGAACTTATGCAGACCCGCTACAAGGACAAGCTGGAACCCCGCTACGAGGAGCCCATTCACCAAGTTGTCACTAAGATCTTCCGTGGCCTCTCAGGCAAGAAGGTCATCATGCCGTCGAAGGATTTCGTCAGGTACGTTAACCGTTCTCCTGGACACTGACTATTATAGTCACTAACACATCGCATAGTCACCACGGTCACAGCGGAGTCAAGTGCTCAATCAAGGCCAATGAAGGTCTCTTGTACTTCTTGGATAAGAGTTTGATCTTTGTTCCTAAACCGGCCACATACATTCAGCTCGAGAACGTTGCCGTGGTCACCATGTCCCGCGTTGGCGGAGCTATCTCCGCCAGTAGAACGTTCGATATCACAGTCAGCCTGAAGGCTGGCTTGGGCGAGCACCAGTTCAGCAACATCAACCGGTAGGTGCTTTTTTGAAAAGTTATGTTGAACGAACGGTATCTGATCCTTTTTAGTGAGGAGCAACAACCACTTGAAGAGTTCTTCAAGGCCAAGAACATCCGCCTCAAGAACGAAATGTCTGATGACGTATGTGTCCCTTGGAATAATCCACTCTCCGTGTTTGACCATGAACTGACATGGTTCGATAGACCTCTGCTTTAATTGCTGCCGCTCTTGACAACGAAGACATGGGCTCCAGTGACGACGATGCCGTCCGCGCCGACCGTGGCTCGGCCGACGAGGATGAAGAGTCCCCTGATGAGGATTTCGAGGCCGAGTCCGACTCCGATGTGGCAGAAGAATATGATTCTGCGCACGAGAGCAGTGGCAGCGACAGCGATGCACAGATGGAGGATGCATCTGACGCTGGCGATGACGATGAGGATGTGGAGATGTCAGAAGGCGAACGGCCGAAGAAGAAGTCGAAGGTTGGCAAATAAAGTAACAGACCGCCGCTCCGTGCGCTGTCACGATCCTCTGCGCCCATAATGAAAACAATGTTTCAATGACTATAGCGTTGCGCTGCTTTTTTGTTTCTTATCGTAGGCAGCAAATCATAGCTGTCTGTAAAGACCAATGCTACGTGAGTAGCCACTGCCTCGGGGACGAATATGCGGAGATATGCTACAGACAGTTGACACCACCATAGGCTGCGTCCCGTCAAGTGTCCAATCACGACGGGATAGACAGCATACTTCCAGAAATACGATATGTCATATCCACTATGCGAATTGACTTTATCGGCAGCACTATTGAGCGAACTCTCGGCTGCAGATTCCAATAGTCCTTTGTATATATCATTTGGATAGTCCATATTACTGCTTTTCGAGGCCCTCACTTCGGAGCAAGATTTCTGCTTCGTAAAACTTCCGCTCCGTGGACTTTACGGGCCAGTACTTAGTTGGTACCATAGACTATCTGGTCTTTCCATGATACTGAGGGTTTGGTATCACGCGCGGTGTCTTACGCTAAAGTGTCTCACTTCCTCATCACAGGATACTTAGTGTAAGACCTGACTATAGCATCACCCATATCCGCCTTATCACCCAAAGTTCAATGCATGCTGTTCCCGTCGAACAGCTTGGGAGAGGAAACAAAACCTCCTATATGTGCTCGTCGAAAGTAAATTGGACAATTCATTGTTTTACTTGGGGCGTTGATTTGCAGAGAATAAGTCCGAATTCTATGGTCGGATCAGGAAACTATCACAAGAAGCCTCTGGAACCCAACAAAAAAAAAGCTCATCCGTTTGAGGCTTTGGAGGTTGTACAGCGTGCCGAAGAAGAGAAGGGGGGAAAGCAAGTGGCAGGCCAGACGGAGTCAGGATTTACTTCCGATAACTAGCTCCCTTGCTGTGTGACTTGATGTAAAAATGGGAGGGAGGGCCACGGTGGCGTGCAGTTTTCCTAGAAAGTCAAATACTACGGAGAAGTATGCATGGTTATCGCAGGTGCTTCCTGCATCATGCATATGATTCCATATATAGATCACCGCCCCTAACTCCCGTTTGAGAGGGAGGTCGGTTACTAGTAGTATGGATAAAGTCGCAGTAATGCTTCTTCTCGGTTGTAGGGTAATTTGCGCATCATTCTCACTCTTTTGTGAGACAGCCCGGACTAGGTGGTTACTATCTAATATTTATATACCGATCGTCTCCCCTCCGGAATAGTTTATTTGTTTCATATTGGAAGTTTACCGGGTGTACCAGGTATCCCCAGTTTGCAGCCCGCTCCATGGTGTGACCTGGAACTGCTTGTGCCCCGGACCGTTAGCGGTCAGCAATGATTGGCAAAGAGACCACACTTGGGCTCTTTTTTTTTTATTTTTGAGGTGGTGAGGTGGAGATCGGGTTTTTCCGTTCCACGGCTCTCTTTCCTCTTGCCGCCCTTGGGATTGTCTGCCCATCTGCTGTAACTACTGGATGGCACCGCGGTTACGCATCAGATGAGAAATCTGGAGACATATACGTTTGCTGCAAATGGTCAGGCATGGTCTACTCCATGAATTGGTCAGCTGCGGTGCAGCGGTTCTGTCGAGAGTACAAGTAGGTAGTTGTTGTTACATAGTAAATAGCCATAGAATATCTCTCACACGCGTCCATCGCACCACACCACATTGCTATCGCAGAGTGGCAGGGGAGGATCATCGGAGAGAAGCAAACTTGAAGGGAAGAGAAGGAATTTTGCATCCCCCCATTAAATCAATGGTTGGGTATGACCTATCTCGCGATGATGCACAGTGCATATAGTATGATGGCACGGGTTCAGGGAAGATCTCTTACACTCCACCCATCACGATTCCAACCCGCTTCATCTACATATGGAACAAGTAATCGCGGCTCGTTGGAATGGTTCCAGGTTTCCCCAGAAATCGTTCCCTGGTAAGCGTTGTTTACCCGGTGGTCAATTGGGTTTATTGCAATTCTTCTGCTATGTCAGCTATGCTTCAATTGTGAGGGAGGGAAGGGTTGACCTGACAGGTCTCGTAGGAAGATAGGTGGTGGTGGTGGTGGGTTTCTACAGTACTGGAGAAGTTCTTGTGGGTGATGGACCAGGGGGCAACGGTCGAATGTATGGGATCATCGGATGAGGAGAAGACTCCGTCCTCATTGTAAGCCTAATGGTAGTCCGATATGTAACGATAACCCCATGCAATTAGTCTTGAACAAGTTAAGGTGGCCGACAGTTGAAGTCTACAATATCTGAACATTGATCCAAGTGCCAGCATCAGTGCCAGTGGGCAATTTAGTGGTCGAGAAGACCATAAGGTGTGGTTCAGTAGGCGGTATTAAAGACAAAGAGGCGCAACGCAACCCCCCTTTCTTTTGCACTCACTTTACTGTACTCGGGCAGAGCCACCAAACAGTCCGTCTGGCTCCAACGACCCGAAGAGAGACTAAACAATCAATCAACTCCGCAAGACCCAATCGCTCTTGCTCCTCCTCCCTCTCAGTCTGTCCTCCACCTCCACCGTCCTCTTCCCTTCCCCTGTCTTTCCAGTAAGTGTATTCATTCCTCCTCCTCCTCCTCCATCCCCAGTCTTTTCCTTCTCTCTTTCTATCGACACTTTTCTTTTTCCTTCGCCTTCCTCGCAATTTTCTCTTTAGGCAATTTTCATTTCAGCCGAATTTAGCTTGCGCATTGCTTGCTTTCTCAAGTCGTGCTTCCCAAATCTCCCCTTGGTTTCGGTCCCATCCCTTTTACTCCTGCCCCCCTCCCTCCGTGAATTGACTGAACCTCAACCCTTTTCCACATTCATCCAATACACCCCCAGGTAGGAACGGCAATAGCCTCCCTTGGAATCATCTTTCCTTCCATCCGTTGTCACCCGTTAGCCACGCTTGGAAGTGACACCCTCTTCCTCATCTTGCTGGCTTCCATTATTACCTCCGAATCCCTTCCCCTTGATTGTAACCTGCAAGGACTCTATCGCTAACCAAGAAGGTGCTACCTCTTCAGGGGAAACTTCCTCACCGACGCTCGCTACCTCCCTCCTACGCTCGCTTCAAGATCCTACACCTTTAAACTTCCACAATGGGTAAGCCTGTCATCTATGACACCTTTCCCCATCACCCTGCAGTTCCGTGCTCTCGCTTCCGTTCGACCTTCATATCCAACCCTTGCCCTGTACCTGCCCTGGCTCTCTCGCGCCTTGTGAAAGAACAATGCCTCCTGTCAGGAACCGGAGTGCGGACGGTCGTTCGCAAGGGGACTCCGAAACCCTCGCACCCTCACCTCAGAAGAATTCACCGAAGCCTAAACGTCACTCGTTCTCGCCTGTCCTGGGTCGTTTGTCATCCGAAAGTGACAGTCAAGACTCTGAAGCGACCACTGCTAACTCTATGCCGCACAATGTAGCTACACCACCTCCTGCACCTGCTGCCAATGGCACACCGGTCTCGGCTTCGCCTCCCAGCAGCAAGCCTAGCTCGCCTTTCGTTGAACGCAGTAACCCCATGGGCTCGGGAGCCGCTCAGACTGTCAGCTCCAAGGACCCCAAAGCTGCTGCTCAGGCGGCCACAGATATGAAGAATGTCGTTCGTCGCAAGTTGACGGGCTATGTTGGTTTCGCCAATCTGCCGAATCAATGGCACCGCAAGAGTGTACGCAAGGGCTTCAACTTCAACGTCATGGTTGTCGGTAGGTCTTGCTCTTGGCTGCAGGGTCATGCTGTCTAGTAACACGAAATCCAGGTGAATCTGGGCTCGGAAAGTCGACTTTGGTCAATACCCTCTTCAACACCTCCCTCTATCCCCCCAAGGAACGCACTGGACCTAGCCACGACATTATTCCCAAGACTGTTTCTATTCAATCTATCAGTGCCGATATCGAGGAGAACGGCGTGCGCCTGCGCCTGACGGTCGTTGATACCCCGGGATTTGGTGATTTCGTGAACAACGATGACTCGTGGCGTCCGATTGTCGAGAACATCGAGCAGCGATACGATGCGTACCTTGAGGCTGAAAACAAGGTCAACCGGACCAACATCATCGACAACCGGATTCACGCCTGTGTCTACTTCATCCAGCCCACCGGCCACTCGTTGAAGCCTCTTGATATCGAGGTCATGCGCAGACTGCACACCAAGGTCAATCTGATTCCTGTGATTGCCAAGGCCGATACCCTTACGGATGAAGAAATCGCTGCCTTCAAGCAAAGAGTAGGATATGCTCCGACTTTCTTTCCTGCGAAAATTCTCTAATGTAGCTTCACAGATCCTTGCCGATATCCAGCACCACTCCATCCAGATTTTCGAGGGTCCCCGCTATGAGCTCGATGACGAAGAGACCATTGCTGAGAACCAGGAGATCATGTCCAAGGTTCCTTTCGCCGTGGTTGGAGCCAATGCCGAGGTCACTGCTGCCGACGGCCGCAAGGTCCGTGGACGTAGCTACCCTTGGGGTGTCATCGAGGTCGACAACGAGGAGCACTGCGATTTCGTCAAACTCCGCCAGATGTTGATCCGCACGCACATGGAAGAGCTCAAGGAGCACACGAACAACAGCTTGTACGAGAACTACCGTTCCGACAAGCTTACCCAGATGGGTGTCGCCCAGGACCCGAGCGTGTTCAAGGAGGTTAACCCGGCTGTCAAGCAAGAGGAGGAGCGTGCCCTCCACGAGCAGAAGCTCGCCAAGATGGAGGCGGAAATGAAGATGGTGTTCCAGCAGAAGGTGGCAGAGAAGGAAAGCAAGCTGAAGCAGAGCGAAGACGAACTATACGCACGGCATCGCGAGATGAAAGATCAACTGGAACGCCAACGCCTGGAATTAGAAGAAAAGAAGGGTCGCCTGGAAACAGGTCGGCCCATCGAAGAAAAGGGCAAGAGGAAGGGATTCTCTCTTCGCTAAACAAATACTCGCATGACCGGTGCTTTAATGCTTCCATCCAGGGGTTCTTCCTATGGGCCACCTAAGGTACGCATGGCTGTTGGAAGGCACTCTGGTGGTGTTCACGCATACTTCTCCACGATTGTCGGTTGGCCACACGCTCTTTTCAGCCGTCTGCCTTCTTTCTCCTGTGTTTATTTGTTCTCTCATCCCCCACGCTCTCTCGACCCTCTACTTTTCTCGTATCTGCTTTTAGTGATGACTCGACTTTGACGGGGAGGACCGAAGAGAAGGAATTTCTTAACTTCTTCTTTTCCCTCTCTTCGACCCCTTTATAATTCCGCACTGGGGTTTGACTAGGAGACAGGAACACCAGGGCTATATCCGACACGGTGCTCTAATTAGTGGGTCAGTGGTCTGGCCCTGGACGGGCAAGACGATGCACGGGGGAGACGGCCTGCAAGGTAACATTAGGGTCGGAATTCACCGCTTCATGTCCACTCTTCGCTTCTTGTTATGTACTTTTGCCTACGCTATACCTTGTTCCCGCCTATTTCCTATTCCCCACCCCTTTCGTGGCCTGGTACTCTTACTTCTATTTATCTTCGGTACACTTTTGCCTCTTCTAAACATTTTAGTGAGATCGCCTAACCCCCCGACTATCTTTTTCTTGACGTTTTTCCTTTGACTCCTCCGTGTTGTTCCTGTTGTGTTAGTTACCAATGTGAAGTTTTACCGAAAAGCGAACGGAAGTATACATGTGGCGTAGCCGCCTGGAGATGAAGATCGGATGCAGGAATAGGGGGGAGAATGGATATTGTCATCATTTTAGAACCATGACCAATGATATGCAAGTAGTGAACTACTCCAAAGAGGAAAATTGTTCGATCGTTGACTTAGGTTCCAAGGGACAAGATACGAATCTGCGTATTGTTTTGACTGTGGGGATTTTAGAGGCGGGGGGGAAGGGGGCAAATCATGATGTCGACAAGCTTTCGGCGGTGGTGATTGATTGTTGTTGTGTTGGTTCAAGGTTGCATCATTGCGGGCGGCGCGACGTCACGGGAAAGGGAAGCTCCGTCAAGCCGCCAGTTCGTCTCATCCTCGGCGCTGGCAGTCAAGGCCTGGCACTGAGTGACAGTCAAGTCCAGTTCTGCCTACTTTGAGCTCATCACACATATAACGAACTTACTCCGTACCCGTAGTTATTGAACTACCTAGTACTGTGTAAACCCGCCTCTTCCTCTCCCACTTTCACCTCCACTTCTCTTGCTGCCTTCTCTCCTCTCTTACCCCCGCCCAGCCCAGTCCAGCCAGCCTCCCTCGTCAGCGGTCTAGTGGAGATCTATTCATAGCCCACCCAAAACTAGCCCTTTTACCGCTCAATTCTTCTTATTCGTTTCGTTCCTCCCTTCTCCTCAACTTCCCTTCTTCGTCTGAACACTCCTAGCAACTAGCTACTACTCGATCTCGTCGAGGTCACCAAAAACGAACGCCATTGTCATAATTTGAACACAGCACATACATAGCTATCTGTCCTCATGGCTCCTCCACCTCCCTCCAATCTTCCCTTGACTGAGAGGCTCAAGGCTCTTGCTCAAACATTGCAGTAAGTTGTCCGCTTGCAGCCCTGCTAAATTGTGTCAACGCTGCTAATGAGATCTTTCGCAATCAGATTCGCCTGGTTCGTTGGGTATGTTCATCCTCCAGCCGCAAAAGCTCTTCTCCATCACACAAATCGGTCGCAATCGAAGTTTGATGCAACAAGTCTGCTTCACGGCTACCTTCCCCCGTGGCTAATCTGACTGCTGCATGGATCGCAAGAACTGATCGGACGATAGACATGTGACATTGTTACTCTCCGTCCTACGCTATTTCGTTTCTTACATCACATTCAACTATTACTCCAATTCGGCCCAAGTCTCTTACCGCCTGGCATTCTTGTCCGCTGCTGCGACCTACGGAATCGTGGTGTATAAGGGTCATATTGCTCGCGGCCGCCTCCAGGGTAGTGCTCCTAACATTGCAATTAAGCTTGCTGGTGATGAAAATGTTCAGTACCTCGGTGAGTCTCCTTACCTTTTCGGGAAATGAAAAATAGATGAGCGTTCTGCGTATAGCAGGTGAGTAGTATGGCGAAGCTTACACCTTTGACAGGCACTGCGTTGGTGTGGCTCTACTCGCGCCAGGTGTCGCTCGCCTTGCTGCCCTTCACCGTCTACTCCGTCTTCCACGTTGCGACTTACACCCGCGCTCACCTGATCCCCACCCTCCAGGGCCCTCAGGCTACTGGCACTTCGGGATCGCCTTCCTCTCCTAGCTCTGCCGCCAGACAGTCTCCCTTGTCGGAGACTATCGGCCGGTTCGTGAAGCAATACTACGATGCCAGCATGGACCTTGTTGCGCACCTCGAGATGGCTCTGTTGTTCCGCTTGGGTGTGGCTGTCCTCACCTTTTCGAAGGGAAGCATTGTTCTCTTCGCCATCTATCTGGCTTTCTTCCGCGCCAGATATTCCCAAAGCTCTTTTGTTCAAGGCTCCGTCCGCCATTTCACTGCCAGAGTTGATGCCTCGGTTTCGCACCAAAGCACTCCCCCTGCTGTTCGCCAAGGATGGGAGTCTTTCAAGGCTGTTGTGCGCCAAGCTTACGAGGCCACCGACCTTGGCCGTTTGAGCGGCGCGACTGCTAAGAAGCCCCAATAAACGCCAATTCGCATGAGATAGACGCGACTTCTCAGGATGCTAGATAGATGTGACAAAATTGTATCCTATGGCTGGGCCATGCCTGGGAGGCACTGTCTGCTCCGACTGTCGGCTATTGTGCTTTGATGAAAAGTGAATGAGTCAATGACTAATTTCTTTGACAGCGTTCCGAGGGTAATGGTCGCTTTTTGAGATTTGGAGACTGTGGATGGTTTTGGTGATGCTGAATGGAGGGTGGAACTAGGGAGGAAATGTAGCCTAGGTGATAGGCGCAAGCATGGATTTTGTTTTCCACATCAGTTAATCAGCGCGCTGCGAAGTTCTACGCGCTATGTCTAGTGTTTTTGCTTTATGTACTTGCGTCCTGTCCCTTATATACTTTGTTCCTGCAACGCGACAGTCATGTGATGAATGCGATGAGCTTTGCTTTTATTTGCATTAGTTGCCCTGTAGCAGGTCTGTGATTTGACTGACGCAGAGCAGCACGGGACTTACAAAACCGTTTCTGCAAGAGCTCTCGGCTGTAATTGGTGCCTTCTGGGTAGTAGGCAAAGTGCTAGTAGCTCAGTGTGTGGCCAAGTACGGAGTAGGTACTTATTCACGAATAAGAAATCCCTCAAACTATTCGCAGATCGGAAGATGCGATCGTTATTAATACCACTTGTTGCCTGAGGCGGCGACACGGACTTCGGGCAGCGGAGAAAACTCCAGGCCGACGAAAGGCCGACGAAATTTTGGTGTTTCGGGCAGTCGGGCTTTCGTCACTTTCACGCTGCGATGTCCCCTGCTTACTAGTTCCCTTTCCTCAGGGTCGATATTTCTCACATACTATTGTATCTCTGCACATATATATCTTCTCCTAATATTGCCATCTCCTCGTTTGTTGGGGTGGCGCTCTTCCGTTAATCCAGCGTCGCCGCATCCCAACCCCCGTGGTCTGGCCCGCACCACGATCCGGTGGGTTGCGGTCTTCTTGCAATGAGCTTGACTTCGCGTGTCTTGGGCTTCTTTGCGACGACAGAGTCACCTTCGTCAGATCCCTCCGTGTCCACACCCTCTTCTCAGAATGGCCCGATTGACTCCCGTTCAACGACGCCGATAAGCGCAACCAGCGACCATCATCTTCAGAATGCACATATCCACCATGACGAGGAGGAGGAGCCTCGTCCGCCATACCTACACGTATGTAGCTCTTGCTCTACATCCCTGCTATCATTCCGAGTTCACAAACCATGGCGCGCAATCTATATCGTTCAGGGATGTTAGGCTAATCTTCGGGGTCTGGACTTGAAGGCAATGTTTGCCGGAGGCATCGGTGGCACCTGTGGTGACATGCTCATGCACTCCTTAGATACTGTCAAAACCCGTCAACAGGGTGACCCCCATTTCCCTCCCAAGTACACCTCGATGACCTCCTCATATGCGACCATCTACCGACAAGAGGGTATCCTCCGCGGTCTGTATGGTGGAGTGACTCCTGCGCTCTTCGGATCATTCCCGGGTACCGTCATCTTCTTTGGAACTTACGAGTACACCAAACGTATCATGTTGGATGCGGGGATTAACGCGAATTTAGCGTATCTTTCTGGTGGTAAGAGCGCTACAGCATGAGTTCGTCGCTTGTCGCATGTTGGTGCTAATCGAGAATGGCTTTGCAGGCTTCTTCGCGGACTTGGCTGCCTCGATTGTCTACGTTCCCTCGGAAGTGTTAAAAACTCGCCTGCAATTACAGGGGCGCTATAATAATCCTCATTTCAACTCCGGATACAACTATCGCTCGACTACGGATGCGCTGCGCACAATTATTCGTCAGGAAGGATTTCCCGCGCTGTACTACGGATACCGGGCGACGATTTACCGTGACCTTCCCTTCTCCGCGCTTCAGTTTGCCTTCTACGAACAAGAGCAGCGGCTCGCAAAAGAATGGGTGGGCTCCCGCGACATCGGACTCGGCCTGGAGATCCTGACGGCCGTTACCGCGGGTGGTATGGCGGGTGTGTTGACATGCCCGATGGACGTGGTCAAGACACGTATTCAGACCCAGCAGAATCCCGAGAGCACGCCATCAACTCGTCCGTCGGGCTCTTCGCATTCGGCAGCGGATCATGCATCGACCAAAGAGGGACCGCGCCACCAGGCGGCGTCGCATACGACGTCGAGCCTCCGCACGCATTCGCGCCCAATCTCCACCTCGGGAGCCTCCACGTCGGTTAATCCGCCCGGGGCTCCCCGTTTGGACACATCATCGTTCTTCACTGGCTTGAAGATGATCTACCAGACGGAAGGCCTCGCAGGCTGGTTCCGCGGGGTTGGGCCTCGTGGTGTGTGGACCAGCATCCAAAGTGGAACGATGTTGGTGATGTACCAATACTTGCTGAAAAAATTTGAGGAGTGGGAAAACAGAAAGGAGTTTGACCCTCTTTGAATTTGAGCTGAGGCTCGGACAGGTCATTGTCCGCTGTAGAGAGAAAAGGGAGGAAGCTGGAGCATATTGATGCATCCTCGACGGGGTCTATTGGGAGGGCGTTCCGGCAGGGGTGCGGCATGACCATTTATTTTACTCATTTCTTTTTCTTTTTCTTTTTTTTTTTTTTTCTTTCTGTGTCTTTTCTTACCCCTATTTTCTATCTTGTTGTTATATTATCATAGAGAATCTCCCTCCATTTTGCCGTTTGCCGCCCTCTTGTGTTTGTCCTGTTGGTTTCTGAGGCATGCATTATTGATTGAGCAGATAGAGGAGGATTGGCTCCACTGCGGCTGTGTGTATAAAAGATCGAGAACGAACTGACTACATAGACTATTAGACAAATAGACACGGTTCAATAATTCAAACACGATCGTTTGGGCAGTTTGTTTATGGAGGGGAGGAGGAGGCGGGGAATATCAATTGACAAGATTGAGCCTTTGTTGGTTGAGAAGGGTTGAGTTGAAGTAAACAAAGCTTTGGCTCCCCCGGACTCGGATGCGGTCAGCCCCACACGAGATTGGCTCCATCACCCGTTGTCTGTTTACTTTCGGGGCTCCTTGTTCTTCTTCTACTGGTCTTTCTTCCCCCTCCACCGCTTCCCAGCAGTTCCCTCTTCTCCCCATTCCATCTTCCCCTCCACGCCACCCCCCATCGCATCGCGTCTCTCTTCCACTCGAATTGGATATTACTTCCTTTCCGACGCGAATTATCCTCCATCCTCGCAAAATCTAAGCTGTTCCTAACGATACAACATTTCTTGTGTACTCATTGCTGCCCCACCCCTTGCTCTGTACCAATTGTCGCATGATCACCGCAAATTGCGCGCGTCGTCATGTCTGCCGCAACCTCATTTTTGCAGAAACAGCTCAAGACCAAATTGGTAGAATGGGCTCATATCACCGACCTTCAGGAGTAAGCTTCATTTGACTCGCGGGTTTGCTCTGCGCTCGCGCCCGGCCTGTTGGGGTAGAGGACCTGACCATCTATAGTTACGAGGGCTTCAATAAGAACGATCTCGTCACCGCGCTTGACTCACACCTCCAGGCTCACCAATCTATCTTCATCGATGATGCACGCCTAAGGGACTATTACAGGCGCTTGTCAGGAGAATCGCAATTTCTGTCACCTGCCAAGAATCCATCGCCTGCAAAGGCGTCGCCGAGTAAGAGGGGACACAAGGTGGAAGCCTCCCCGTCGCCCGACGAAGCACCCCGGTCAACGCGCAAGAGAGGCACTCGATCCAACCGCGAAGTAGAGCAAACGTAAGTGCCCCCTTCCGGTTTTCGTTTGTCATGCCTTTCCTGGAAGTTGCGATTTGCGCTGGGCAAGGATCGCGTTTGCGCGCGCGATGCTCGGCATTTACGTCATCGCGAATCCTTGGCTGATCTGCGGACCTTCGCGCAACAGGGATGACTCCGATCTCCCCCAGACTCCTAGTCAGGTGCTGGTGAGCGTCCAGCGCCCCTTGTCGCCATTGGGGGCGACACTCCCGCCCTCGCCTGCTGTGGTGACCGATGTGATCGATCGCCAAACGGCCGCATGGGGCAAAAGCCTCAAGGAGATCTGGCGCGCTTGCAGGGTGCAGGAGCAATCGGAATCGCTGCGCTCTAATCTGAGCAGCGTCAAAGCAATCGGCGTCGTGCTGTACGGTATCGAAAGCTTCAGTGTCTTGCGCTTACTCTTCCCACTGAGACCGTTGACCCGCATCCCCGCCGTGGACGCGCTCCACCTACCGACGTTCAAGATCTGGGCTCCTGATGCTTTTGTTTTGGTCGAGAGCTCCTTCTGGACTGCGTTCATTGGGTGGTTGTTTACCAGTTTGATTATTCCCCTGACCCTCGCATACTTCTTCAACATCAGCTTGCAGGTGGCCCAAACCGGCGGACCGGCGTCCAATACTCGGCGGGCGGCAAGGCAACTCGCCAGCTTCGATCCTCTGAGCTTCCACATTGCCAAAGCAATATTTACATACCTGGTCTATTCCGGCAAGTTTAGCTACTGGGGCTTCTTCAACGATGCCGCCATCGAGGACGTCAACGATGCTATTCCGGGCCACTGGCCCGGCCTCATCACTGGTTCCGCGATCGGCGTGATTACGACTCTTTATGAAGCCATTCTGAGGAAGTAGACATGCGTTGTCTCACTGTATAGGTTGGTTCTTGAGGAAAGTGGTTATATAGGCTTGATTCGCTCGGCTCACGCCGAATCACCTCAAGTCTTGTCATTTTTGGGTACGAGGTCGTGAATTGGAGTCTAAGCAATTTCAGGTACTGTGGGGCGCCGACTCCTTGCGGAATGTCCTGAAGACGATCTGAGCGTGGAAAAATATTCACTTTGTGGTAGATGCAGAGGGAAAAGAAAGAGAGAAAGTAGATGGCCTATGTGAGTGAGGTCGCTGGGTTTTGGGTTTGTTTTGGGCTGCGTTGCTCTGCTTTTGTGGAGCGTATGCACGGTTGTCTTTCGGCGGATTGTGTTTTCTGGTTAAGATTTCCGGCGTGCTGTTCGGCGCAATCAGCAGGATGTCCGTTGTTGCTGTTTGATATTCTTGAGTGGATGGTGTTTTCGCTCTGTCTGGGATGCTATTCACTGCTAGTCAGTCGGCGCTTTTGGTTTCGGGGTTACTGTTCGTTTGGTGGTCGCTTTTGGATGTGATATATCTCTTTGACTATTTAAATGTGACGTAGCAATTGAACCAGAGACGTGCTTAACTGGTGAGTATAGTAGGGACTCGGAATTACCATGTAACTAACAAATTTAGCTATCTATGTCATCTATACCTGATATACGATGGACTGCAATGAAGACAAAGCCATACTTCCCGATCCCTTGTTCCATCCGCAAATCAGGGGGAAATCATTTCTTCTTGAACCGCTCCGCCAACTCCAACGTCAACAAAAGCGGCATCCGCGTCTCGACCTCCACCCTCTCTGCCCGAATATGATTGCTCGTGCTCAACTGGCCCCCAATCTCCGTCTTCCAATCCGTGACATCCCACTGAAACCCCGTGGTAGTGATCCTCGCGGGGCCTAGCAGGGGAATAATCCCAACATTTTCCTCAAGAAGGTGGCGCGTTGCTCCTGTTCCTGCTGCTGCTGCTGCTGCGGAAGAAGTAGTGGTACCAATTAGGCTACTGCCCCCGTTCCCCACCTTCGGTTCCATAGCATCTGGCCGATTCACCCCCGGGGTACGCACGATATTCCGGCCCGGCTGCAGGACGAACGTGATGCTCTCTTCCGAGATGAGGTAAAGGTTCCCTCCCCCCGCTTTCCCTGCTTGGGTTTCTTGCTGATGGGACTGCTCAGAAGCCGGAGAAGTAGCTCGGAGCTCCTGCGTCATGTAAAAGAGATGGTGGATTTGGGAGAAGGCTTGGTCAACTCGGCCGCCTAGGCCGCCGAGGACGAGGATTTCGAGGTGGGGTGGGGTTTTAGCTTCTGTATTAGTGGTGGTTGCTACTATTGCTGGTGCTGGTGCTGGTGCTGGTGCTGTCGCTGGTGCTGTCGCTGGTGCTGCTTGCCCTGTGCTAGTAGTAGTAGGAGGAGTAGTATTGGCATCAGCAGCTAAAATCGTCTTCGTATGCTTCCGAATATACTGCAAACTTTTATGAAAGTCGGTGCTGTAATCGTCAATATGCTGTATAACGGGAACCCCTATGGATTCGTAATGGGTGCGGATGTCGGGGTGGATGGAGTCGAGGTCGCCGATTATGACGGTTGGGAACTGGGGGTATATTATTAGTTTTGTCGGGTTTTTTTTGGGGGGGGGGAGAAGGTTGTCCTGTATATGTAGGACGTGGATGCTGGTTTATCTTTCTTGTGTGTTTGACATACCTCTGTGAACTCACTCCCGCGGGCTTTCATCATCTCGTAAAAGCGGTTTGCGCCGCCGTCGGCGCAGACGATGATGCTTGCTGTAGTTCTTCGGGGTTAGTTGCTTTATTTGTTTGTTTGCTAGTGAGGGGATTACAGGCAAGGTTGTTATATGCATGTGCATGGGGCAGAGGGTGGTATAGGACAAGAACAGTGGGAATTCCCGCAAGCAAACTCACCATGTCGCTGTAGCACATCATAGGCTTTTTCGTTGATTGGATGGTTGAGGACCAGCAGAGCATACGGGGAAGGTCGAGTGGATGATGATGAGGATGATGATGATGATGATGATTCTTCGCGGAAGAATTGAGTGGGATCCCAATCTGTCACTGGGACTGGGCCTGGGGGTTTGGGGCGGAAGGGCAGGTCCATGATTCTGTTCTGATGGGAATGTGCTGGGGAGGTTGAAGTTGAGCTGATGACAGGGAGGGGGGCCCTGCGTTAACTTATCAATTGCGGTTGTGGAGCAGATTGATCGCGTGCGTTTTGGTTTTTCGCCTGGCTGGCTATGGGTTTATTTGTGGTATTGTAATTGTGGTTGATGAGCTGGTGTCTGAGGTACTTGGTCATGAGGGTATATTCAGTTTGTTATACTTGATACATAGATATGTACTCCGTACTATTTATATGTCTTGTAGAACGATGGTCTGATCTGGAATGATCTCACTGGCACCGATAAACCCCTCCAAATCTGCCTCCAGCCACACCCACATGGCCGATCCGCCGGGAGTGGCTGATGCCTATTACATACACAGCAGCGATGGCTGATGGCTCACCAGTTGTCATTGGCTCCCCGCGTCTCGTATTCTCTGGGCCTCCATGCCCACTGCAGGCAGGTATAATCAAAGAGTTGTCCCGGTGTTCACCATCGGCTCACTATGCCTACTATCGTGAATACTCAGATCCGATCATGGTAGCTCGCAGCAAAGGTTGCGCACTTTGCGTACATCGTCGGGTCAAGGTTCGGTTAATCCACCCTGACCAACAACATCTACTAATCGCCGCAGTGCGACCAACGACAACCTGGCTGCGCGAAATGCGAAACCTACGGCGAGCCTTGCCCTGGATATGCCCCGCGCTTCAAATTCGTCGCCGGGAAGCCATACCGCTCTCAACGCCGTCCGAAGCCAGGCTCGTCCCAGGATGGCTCGGCCCCAGAATCAGTTGCTGTCGTCCGATCCCAGTCTCCGCGGCAACAACAGCCAAACCAGCGGGGCAGTTGCCTATCACTCGCGTCAGCTGATGTGCATATGAGCCAGTGCCTCGAAATCTTGACTCAGGAACTTTCTAAGCCGTTTTCTGCAAGCTCGGCGCATGTCACCTCGTGCTGGTTTAGGGTTCTGCCCACCGTCTACGGACGCAATCGAACCTTGGACTTGACGATCAAATCCTTCGCAGCCCACCACCTGGGCAATATGACGAGCGATCCGCAAGCGGTGCATTATGCAAGACAGTTGTATGTTGAGTCTTTGTATCGATTGCGGGCCTCGTTAAATAGCTCCCGGGAATGTTATTCGTCCGAAGTGTTTTGTGCTGTGTTGCTTCTGTGCCTGTACGAGGTAAGTGCGCGTTCCATCCGCCCTGGCACCAAGACTGATAACTAGGAGCTGTTCACGAACGTACATGACGCAGATGCTTGGATGAAACATGCCAAGGGATTGAGTCAGTTAGTGGAGCTCAGAGGAGCCACCCGCTATCATACAGCGCTCGACCATGTGTTACTCAAGGCCTCTCGGGGCTTGGTTGTCATGTACTCCCTCTTCTCAGGACAGAGCTGTTTCCTATCATCGGAAGAATGGCACGCCGTGATGAAGCAGCACCCGAATATCGGCTTGGGCGCCGAATTTGCGGACTTGATCGAACAGTTCTTCGCCTACTTCACCTTCGCACCTGGTCTTGTGCATGAGCTTTATAGCCTAAGAGACGCTGATCATGGCGAGCCAAAAATTGTCGCCAAAGCGGGTGAATTGCTTGTTCGTACCTTGACCATGAAGAGTAAACTGTGTGCATGGTTTGTTGGGTTCTCAAAAGTCGTGCCTGTTCCCCATGAAACTCGATCTTTCCCGGCGGACCTCTGCTATCCAGTTGTACTTGAGTACGCGGATGAGAACTCTGCATCGATTTACTGCGCGTATTACTCTTACATGGTCATTATACACGAAATCCTGAGGGTCTGTGGGTACCCAGGTGAGCACGCCGCCGCTGTTGTCTACTTTCGCGACCAGATCTGCAAGTCGGTTGAGTACAATGCTCGAGGCCTGTTGGGGCCATACCGCATGGGATTTCCCTTGAGGGTCGCCTACGAAGTTGCGGATCCTTCTACGAAGGCTTGGATTGAGGGTCGTCTGGAGATCCTCTCAAAAGTCTATGCAGCTGTGCGTCCAGAGAACTTCGGATAAAGGCAGCACGGCACCAGAGCACCACGATAAGACACAGCAATTCCCATTCTCAGTATAGCGAGAACTAAGCCAACTCCGGCTGCGTCACCTATATCGCTAGGCTTCTGCGCTACCCGGGACTTCTTTCACGGGCCACAGAGGCTCTGCGACAGCACGAGCCAGCAGCAAGATAATGACAATCAAAACCTCCATCACCAGTCCCATGCCCACCATAACGGCCTCACTACCATCGAAGGGGCTGAACTTCTGTGGCCCAAACTCCGCCAGCAGGAAGTAAACCACTCTGACCACCAAAAACGGAAGAGAGGCTAGTACTATCAAGACACAGCTCTTTCCAGCTGCCGATAATATGGAGCGATATGTCATGGCTAGCCAGATCACAAGGCCACACACGAAACAGAAAGTGGTAACGAACACGGCGCCTCCTGCATACATGCAGCCAGGAATCCTAACACACTCGCCCACCACAACCATGACTATGGAGATTATAACCGGGAATCGAAAGAAGTGGAGGAGAAAGCGGACGTGCTTGGGGTAACGCGAGTTGCCGGGGCCGGTGCGACCTGCTTGTCCACTATGGATCGGCCACCGTGTCAGGTCCTATTCGCATCACGGGATGGGACTTCTTCGTCTTACCTTCGCAGAAGCACGAGACTCACTTCAAATAAGAGAGGCGAAAGACCAATACTCCGCAGTACGGATTCTGCTATGAGCATTGACCGACTCGGGTGGGAATTGGAGATCACCATGGCCGAGCCGGCAATGCGGACTGAACGGCAGGGTTTAGCGTATGCTTTGTCCGCATGATGGCATACATACTCTGTGCCAATACGCCGAGCAGCCCCCACCATGAGTAAAGGAAACATCGGGCATGACGTTTCTGTCTCCGATGGTGCCAGTAGCGCCATTCCTGATTGTATCTCATGAGGAACTGGACGAGCTGGATGATCGAGAAAAGAACCACCTCAACAATAGCAATATATCGTTTCTGAGACGAAATGCTGGTGTTTACAGCGCTTGGAGCAGTCATCTCGAGAATTAGCTGAGCCGACATGGATGGTAAATGCAGGGAACTATTGAAAGAGTATGGATGGAAGTATAGAACAGTTGTTGGGGTAAGACGAAGAGGGCGCCACAACAGAGGCGCATACGACCAGACTATATATATCCGAGACCATCTCAGTAAACTTTTTATCGCATCTTTGCGCTTCACGTTCTTTTTCTGCTCGCGTGAAGGCTCAGTGCATACTAGCCATGGCCCTCCTCGTGCTGGGTGGAGACATCGCGATGAGTGACCATTCTAGGTTTAGCGCATCTTGAGCATCAGCGGCCAATCGCGGGATGGTCTTTTGCCGTCTACAATGAAGACCTCCAGCATTCGAGCTCCAGGCTGTCTGTGCGCAGCACTTATCATGGGTACATTTCAAAGAAGACTTACTTCGTGGCTTGAGCATGATCTGGGTTACAGAAGCTGACTTTCAATGAACGCTTCGATTGGCCTGTAATATCAGTACGTAGGACCTCGGATCTTTAGTTGGTTGGTCTATTACTTGTGATTTGGGCGATAAGCTAACTTGAAGACAGTTCGCACTTCTGAACCAAGCTCTCAAGGTGGAAAAACCATAGGTATCTCGTCTGCCGTCAATAACATCTTGGATCTATAACGCGATGTTGTTGCAGCGCAGTGCAATCTGATTGGCCCTGGCCGCATGAGCTAGCCCCTCTCTGGAAAGCGGTAAGCCTGATGCCTGAGGTGTCTTTCCTGCCAACCTTCCACCCATTCTCCGCCGCAGTTCGCACTGCATTTCCAATCCATTGACTATCCGTATTCTACCCAGACCTGCGTCGCTCTTGTCGGGCCTTGATGCCTCTCTTCTTCCTTTGATTCTTCTCATATATTTCTCTTCAATTGATACCTCTTTTTATAATTCCCGTCATGTTCCGCTCCGCAGCTCGTGTCGTCCTCCGCGCGCCGGCTGTCCCAGCCTGTGGCCCGGCCAGCAAACGATTGATAAGCACTTCTCCCGTGGACAAGAAGTCGAGGAGTTGGAAGGGTGGCATCGTCCGTCTGAGTCTGGCTGCAGGCGCAGTCTACTACTACAATACCAGCCCTGTGTTCGCGCAGGACCCGAAATGTACGTAATGTCCGCTATCCCGACATTTTCCTCCCGAAACTTGGTCATCGTCCCGAGATCAGAACTATGATATGTCGTCACCTCCAACAAAGATGCCGAAAATCAAAACAGTCGATTAACAAGATGCACATAGTCTCCTTCCGCTCCCAACCGCAGCCCGAATCTGTTGCTGAAGAACCTCTCCCGACCCTCGACTCCGTGAAGCCCAAGATCCGCGAGCAGAAGGCTCCCACTCCCGCCCCCAGTGCCGCGCCTGCCGCGCCTCAGCCCCCTGCCGAAACCACCCAGATCGACCCCGCGGAACTTGAGGAACAGGCCGGCCACGAGGCTGCCTTCAATGAGGAGACCGGCGAGATCAATTGGGACTGCCCTTGCCTTGGCGGCATGGCCCACGGCCCTTGCGGAGAGGACTTCAAGGCTGCTTTCAGCTGCTTTGTCTTCTCCACCGAGGAGCCTAAGGGAATTGACTGCATTGATAAGTTCCAGTATGACAATGGCTTTCCTGTTGACCCCGAAAAGCCTGTCACTAACAGTAACCTCCTCCCTTAGGGCTATGCAAAACTGCTTCAGACAATATCCCGAGGTCTACGGTGCCGAGCTGGAGGACGATGAGGCCCCCGCTGAGGGACAGGCCGCTTCCGCCCCCGCCACTGGTGACGAGCAGCCCGTGAGCGCCGCTCAAATCGATGCTTCCTCCACCTCTGATGAGAAGCACGCCCGTGCACACGAGGTCAACGCCGCAACCAAGTCGCAGCTCGCGGAGAAGGGCGAGCTCGCCGAAAGCGAGGAGCTGGTCCCCAAGGAATGGCATAACACGGAGGCCAAGAACAATGCCCCCGAGCAGACGCAGAAATAGAGCCGAACAACCGACGAGTTCTGTCATCAAGCGAGATCATGAATTGGAGCTGCAGCAAAGACAAAACCTGGGTAAGAATCGAATAAAATATCACAAGAAGAAGAAGAGTGATGGAGTAAGCTGGGATCGGGTTGTGTGTATCATCATATGAATCTGTTTCAGTATCTTATACCCCCTACCCTTTCCTTCTGTGTGCTCGTTTTTTCCTCTTTGCGTGCATCGGTCTTGTCAGCTCGTCGCTTAAGCCCATCCCGTCCAATTCAGAGCGTCATTGGGACCGGATACTGGCTGTTTTGTGTCGTTCTTCTGCCGACGACCCTCGCGTCCTGGACCATTGCCTTTTAGCCCTCCTCCCATTCCCTGTTTGAGTACCTGTATCTAAAATCACTGTACTTGTATTGTTCCCTTTTGTTGATGGTCATTTAGCAAAGCTGGAAGAGAGACGACATGGATAGAGATAGATTAACTGAATAGTTATCTTTTGATCTGGGATTTTGATATTCACGACTTCCGTATGAACTCGTTTCTTTCTCTTCTGTAAGGAGTACCTAGGATGGAAGCACTCATTCCGAGTGCAAAGGAAATGATCGAATCCTGTAGGCTTTGATCCACCTCTGTTTGATTTTGGAATATTTCTAGTGTTCTCTTTAAAAGTGGCGCATTCAGTGGATTACCTTATACTACGGAGTACTCCGTATATTGTAGCCGAATCAACATCTCATCAACCCTAATTTGGACTAGCGCGTTCCCGTCGCGTCTCCCCCACGCGTCAGTATCAACGCCGAAGGACTCCATAGAAACCATTGAAACCCAACTTTATCCACAAAAGAACTGGTGATGAAGATAGCGGCGCCATAAGTCCGGCCCACTATTCTCCCCTCACTAGTTGTCTTTGGTGTTTGCATCTCAAGCACATCCCAACTCTCCCTCTTCTCGCCCCTCTACACAAACAAAACCACCAAATCCCTCCCTAATTAGATGACCACCCCATCATCACCACCCCCCTCCTCGATCCCCCCCTCTTCCTTCGACCTAGCAGCCCTCCACGACCTTAGCTACTCAGACACAGTGGTCCCCTCCGACCTCGAATCCGAACTCCAACATCCGCCGCCGCTACCGGCCTCCCAATCCTTCTCCGACGATCTCGAGGCACTCAACCTACAGCGCCAGGAGCAGCAGGCGCGCAATCGAGTCGTCATTCAGCATCGCGCGTGGAATCTATCGGATGTGTTCCGGAGTGACGAGGATATAAGGCCTGGTACTTTTTTTTCTCCTCTCCGTTTGTCTTGGTGACTGGAATTGAGGAACGGGGTCTAGCAGTTGGATTTTGCTTCTTATGCTGAGAGGTTGCGTCGGGACGTGATTTACAGATACCCCTACGAGATTACCTAGGCGTCAATCGTTGGCTCGGTTGCCGTCCTCTCCGCCGAGTGTTTTGAGGATGCCATTTATTTCGTCGCCGGGTGCGGGTGCTGCTCCTGCCGGCGCTGCGGGCGCAGGTGAGGGTGTGGCGTTGGTCGAGACGCTTAAGCGGAAGAATGAGGATGGTGGGGAGGGGCCTGCTGCTGCTGATTCTTCTGCTGCTGCTGGTGGGGTGAAGAGGCCGAAGATCATGGGTGGGTTCTTGGACGAGGAGGATGAGGAGGAGGAGGAGGAGGAGGATGAAGACGGCATGGAGGCCTTTCGGGATGCGGAGATTGGTGGTGGGGGCGGGGATGCGTTGGGGGAGTGGGCGACTCTGTCGCAGCCGTCGTCGCTGGCCTTGCGCTCGGGAACGCAGACACAAACGCAGCCTGCCTCCTCTGCCGGGCCAAAGAGGCCGAAAGTCATGGGTGGGTTTCTGGACGACGACGATGAGGATAACGATATGGATGGATTGGAGGCGCTTCAGGATGCGCAATTCAAAAGTCAGTTCATGATGGAGGAGCAAATCATTGCGCAGCCGCTTGTCGAACTTCCTGCGATTCCCAAGCCGCCGCCGCCAATTGCCCCAGAGCCTAGTCATTCAATGCCCACGACGACGGCTCTACCATCGCGAAGACCAATGCGGTCGATTCAGATCAAGACCTGCTCCGGCAAAATGCATCATGTTGCGCTAAAGAAGCCGGCAAGTAGGGTGTCGTACGAGAAATTGGTGGCCGGTCGTTCGACTCATGCCCCTGGTCGAGCTCAGAAAGCCTACTATGGTATTGAAATCCACCGACTTCTGGATGAGGCGGCGAAAGAGGACAGTGCTGCCGATGAAGCGAGATCGCGGCCTACCCATTCGGTACAGCAGTCAATTGAGCCTCCGCTGCATGCTGACCACAGCCAGGCTGCCAGTAAACATGCCAAGGCGATGTGGACGGAGAAGTACCGCGCACGCAAATTCACAGAGCTTATCGGTGATGAACGCACCCACCGGCACGTTCTACGGTGGCTGAAAGGTTGGGAACCGATCGTCTTTCCCAACCTCGTCCGTTCAAAGCCGAAGAAACCAATGCAGAGCGATAAAGACGAGGAGGAATTGGCGCATCGAAAGGTCTTACTCCTGTGCGGCCCGCCGGGACTGGGTAAGACTACTCTCGCGCACGTATGCGCTCGCCAGGCGGGCTATGAGGTGCTTGAGATCAATGCCAGTGACGATCGGAGCCGGGATGTTGTCAAGGGTCGCATCAGGGACTCCCTTGGAACAGAGAATGTCAAAGGGATGAATGTCGAGGTCGGGGAGGACAGAGTGCGCAAGGCCGGACGGCCGGTTTGCGTGGTTGTGGATGAAGTAGACGGTGTCGTGAGCGGGTCCGGTGGTAGTGGTGAAGGTGGTTTCATGAAGGCCCTGATTGACTTGGTGATGCTGGATCAGAAGAACTCTGCCCGCAAAGCCGAAAAGAATTCGACTACCGGCAAGAAGAAGAAGGGCGACAACTTCCGCTTCTTGCGTCCTCTCATTTTGGTGTGTAACGATGTCTACCACCCTAGTCTACGGCCGCTGCGGACGGCTTCAATTGCCGAGATCATCCACGTGCGCCAAGCGCCGCTGGAGAATGTCGTTGCGCGCATGAAGCGAGTGTTCAGCATCGAAGGCATCCCCGCGGACAATGATGGCGTTCGGCGTCTCTGTGAGGCATCTTGGGGCATTGCCCGGAGAAAGCAGATGGGCGTCAAAAGCAGCGGCACCGCTGAAGGTGATATCCGAAGTGTGCTCGTTGCAGCCGAGTGGGTGGCTCATAAGCTCCGGAGCGAGTCTCCATCCACGCTGAGGCTGACACGCAGTTGGCTGGAGCAGAAAGTCCTCAGCGACAAAACCGGCGGTGGATCGTTCTTCAAGGGCCTGAACCGCGGTGGCCTGCGAGACCTCGTGGAGAGGGTGTTCACCGAAGGTGCTGGCTTCGCCGACGCCCCTGTTGGCGCCGATTCCTTTCGCGACCCCTACGACGATTCCGCCAAAGTCCCCGTAGGCGTTGCAGACCTGCGCAAGCGCCATGCCATCAACCGCCTTCGTGAAATGGTTGACGCCAGTGGCGAGCATGACCGCTGCGTGTCCGAGTGCTTCTCCACCTACCCGCTACAAACGTACCAGGATGATACCTTCCTCTCCAAACCCAACACGGCCTACGAATGGCTGCATTTCCACGATACCATCTCCTCCAAGATCTTCACCCACCAAGACTGGGAATTGAGCGCCTACCTCAGCCAGTCCGTTGTCGCCTTCCATCATCTCTTCGCCTCGACCCATGGCAAAGCCAAAGCACCCTCCACGAACGCGGACAAGGACGACCCTACTGGCGCGGAAGAAGAGCATCCGTTCTCCGGACCGCGCGCCGACTTCGCCGCCTACGAAGCCCAGAAGCAGAACCGCGCTCTGCTCACTGAGTTCCAGGCCTCCTTTTCGGCGCCGTTGAGTCGACTCTTCGGCTCCACAGAATCACTCGTTCTGGACTTGATTCCCAACCTCATCAGGATGCTCTCGCCGGACGTCAAGCCCGTCGTTGTGCGTGGCAGCGGCGAGCAGCGGAGCATAGCCAGCGTACGCAAGGAGAGCGAGCGGCTGCTCGTCCAGGCCGCCGTGCGCGTCATGACGGGTCTCGGAGTGCGGTTTGAGAAAGTGCGCGTCGAGGGAGCGGGCGGTGCCCATAGTGGATGGGCATATCGAATGGAACCGTATGTTAATGTCCCCTGAGGAACTCTTTTCAAACGACATTGACGAATTGCTGATGTGACGAATCAAACAGACCCCTAGACACCCTGATCACCTTCTCCCAAACCAGACCCACCACCTCTTCATCCTCAACCTCCTCCGCCCCTGTCCGCTACGCCGTCCGCCAAGTCCTCGACCAAGAGTACCGCAAGGAAACCAGCCTCAAGAAATCTGCCGACGGCCTCAAACACGCCTCTAGTAACAGGACCAGCGGTAGCCAGCAGGCCCACTCGGATGCTAAAGCCAAGGGCTCCGCTGCCGCAGCCAATCTGAGAAACGGCGTAGCGGTGAAGCGCGATTTCTTTGGTCGGATCATCGAGGAGAAGCCGCAACCTGCGTCCAGTGGCGGTGGGGAGGAGGTGCAGAAAAGGAATGCCGCGGCGCAGAGTGAGATGTCCAAGGCGGGGAGACGGGTGTGGGTAACGTACCATGATGGGTTTTCCAATGCGGTCAGAAAGCCGATCTCGATGGCGGAATTGTTAGCGGATCTGTAGATTTGTGCCTGACCAGGGAGGTATCACGATGTGGTGTGTAGTTAATGATTGCATGAAGCGTTTCACGTATATAGTTCGGAGTCTTTTTGAAAGATGTATTGATGTGCACCTGGAAGAGTATGCGAAAGGACCAAAGGATGAGAATTCAATACAAAATACATTGACCATTCACAAAGGAATCAACAGGAATCTGATACTCACGCCAATAAGGGCCGAATAGAAACAGGCAAAAAAAAATAAAATAAAAAGCCATACCATATCCCCATCGTAATATCCGTAATTGACACTCTCCCACGCAAACTTTTGGGTAGAGTTTCTTTCGTGTCATGCTACCTGATGCTCCCTCCATCCCTCCCCATTATCATCCGTGCACATGTACTACTCTGTATAATATATGCATTCTTCCTCCTCCCCTTCTTTTCTTTCCTCCTAAACACCCTACCCTCCGCCTCCACCTCCTCCTTTCAAGCAAAGAGAACAACATCACCTCAAAGCAAGATACGTCCCCAGCGTCTCGTAATCGACTTTAGCCATCTTCCCCCCCGACGAGGAGCCGGACTTGCTGTGCTTGTGCGTAGACGTGCTGGGGCTGGTGCTGGTCTTCGTTGTTGTCGTTGTCGTCGTCGGTGCCGGCGCGTCTTTCGAGTCCTTCTCCATATCTTTCGATTTGAGCTTGGTGAGGCACTTGGTGGTGAGGGATTTCAGGGTCGAGGCGGTGGAGGAGACGCTCGATGTGGAGGCGGCGTCGTCGTTGTTGTCGCCGTGGTATGTGGAGGTGGATTTAAGGGAGGGGGTGGTGGTTTTGGAGGGCATTTTGGTGGTTGGTTTTGTTTTTGTTCGTTTTGGGTGTGATGCCAGGGTTGGTTTGAGGCTGTGGATGTGGTTGTGCTTGACTCAGGTTGGTTGGTGCTTTGTTCAACTGTATAGATGTTGATGATGTTCAATTGTGTCGGTGTGTAGGCAAGGTGTCACTTCATACGATGATGATATATCCAGTACACAATTCGCGTCGAATGTCTCAATTGAGCAAGAGTATGAATAATAGAGGTATAAGTATGGCTTTGAGTATGAGTAGAAATAGAAGTATGATGATATGATTGAATGCTTTGATATGCAGTAGATCTAACCCTGCCACAGGGAAAACGCCCATTCCTTATATACTAAACGTACTGTATGTACACTTCCAGCTTCTACTCCGAACACCGAGTCTAGTCCTGGATGTATGTCCTGTACCCCCACGGTCCCCGTGCATCAATTACTCACCACTTTTCGGATTCTGTCAATTTCGAAACTCGATTGTCATACTTCCAAGGACAAACAAAGACAGAAAAAAAAATAATCTACTCCGAGCAATCCGGAATAAAGCCGAGCTCGTGCTTAGACGCGCCAAGAGTCCAGCCGCGGGCCCCAGCCACGAATGGGATGCATGTCGGAGGACGCTTGGGGTTTAGTTGACCGAGACATACAAAACATACTAAACATACATACCAAGCCGCGAAGGGCGCGAAGGGGTGACCCAACCTAGAGCCTTAAACTGAAGGCCCGGGATCGGAGTAGTTGAGACTTTGACTCAGTATGTGGAGTAACCGTGGACTTGGGGATTCGTATTCCGTATCTTGCGTCAAATGAAAGGGCTTGGGGTTGGGTTGTCTGCCTATGATTGATGGGTGCCTGTTGGCGTAAGTCCTTGTGGCTATGGTCATGAGAATACTGTAGATCTAGGATTGAGGATTGGATGCCTTTGACGGAAATGACGGCCAGCTTGACTGGACGATATCCGTTTGTTAGTTTTTAGGCATGTGTTCAGCACTGGCGATAGTCACTGTTCATGTGTTCCGAGTACAGTACAGCTCAGTCAGGTAGCACGCTCAGACAGATGATCGACGATAGTACTCGTACGTCCAGATCACCCCAGATCAGGATCCTGATTTCTAAGACTTGGATCTTGGGACACTGAATGATAACCTCTAGGCTCTGCTAAGGTTGAGTGGAGCCCAGCCCTGCCCACATGTGTGTCACCCTCCCGCGACCATGACTCAACGTTCTGGGCTGGATGATTCCATTCTCTCTGGACTGGCGGTAAGCATGTGCTGGTTGCAAAGTGTAGGGGCGATGCAAAGCGATGATCCTATCGTGTGTTCGATAGCTATTTCCGAAATGAATCATGATATCGCATCAAGGTGTATGACGTGGGGTTGCGTGTCTAGCAACTTTTTTTCCTAGTCCGAAGAGGGTCGCGTTTATTCCGAGGGGTAGAGGAGATTTAACTCCGATGCCGCTGTCCATTCCGAGAGGAGAGTGAGCTTCCCCGAGGTAGTCCGGTCGTTGGGTTCTGGTGTACTTGCTGCTACAGTGCTCAGGTTCTTCATTGAGGTAACTGGTATTGTTTGGGAAGACATGAATTGAGAAAGATGTTGTGGTAGTAGTGGTGTGTTCTGTTTGAAGTGAATGCGTACTCAGTGGATGCAGATGCGGCGGGCGATCTAATCTCTTGGCAGAGATACTCCATAGTTACTCTTGACAATTGACACACACTCGTCGCATGAGTCTCTTGCTGATGAACGACTTGACCACAATGGAAAGAGACTCTTCATCTCCAGAGGAAAGGGCACTGAAGCCACTGGTACTTTATGCTCAAGCCTCACACCGGAGAAGGTTTCTTGCATCCAGAAGTCTGCCTCTATGCTGAAGAAATCTTTCAAGCCTCCAGTGAGCTGTGCTTCCCAACACAATGAGCTTCTCATGCAAATATACAGCACCCAAACGGAAAGAGCTATGCTGGAGCTTTCCGCAACAACTTTGGATGTGATGAGAAGGAGCATCCCTCGAAGAATGGCAATCCATTGTTGAAACATCTCTACTCCAGAATCGATTTTCATCACATCATCATCATCATCACTATCATTATTGCCACTCGTTATAATCACTGGTAATCTACTCTAACACTCGTTTGAACCACCCTCACTTCTTTAACTGCAATTCAAATGGCGATGGAGACAGAGCGCAGCCTCTGGTTCGTTCCCGTCTACTTGACCAGTAGGTGCATATATTACCCCCTCCAGATATGCAGCATTGCTAAGCCAAGAGAACAAGTCCTTCCTATGTCCAGATTTCCCTTGCTCCAAAGGACATACCCCACGACTTTCTTCCCCCCCAATAATGACGAAACCCCCGAAACCCTCTTTCGAGACGGCGTATTCACCGACCAAGGACATATGCGCTGGGTCCATCGCGACAACCCGTCCGCAATTCTTTACTGCGTCAGTGGTTGCTATAGTCCCGAAAATAATCAGTATGGGGCCTCGGCTTTCGTCTACGGTCCGCAGATCATAGGCTACCCCGGCAGTGGCATGTTCTGCCTGGATACGCGAATACGCGGGCCTATGGAGCAGTTGGCCCCGCAGACTGAGGAAAGAGCGCACCTTCAGGCGGCGGTGTCGGCTCTGACGTTTGCGCGCTCAGTGGAGCCGACACCACGTATCCGGACGCTTGTGATTGCCACGCACCGCGATCACCTTGCCCATGGCGCCGCCATTTACACGCCTCAGTGGGTGGCTGACCATTGGAGAGGAGAAAACGGGGAGCGTGTTGCCAACTGCGATATCTGGCTGGAATTGCTGGCGGAGGTGGAAGGCCTTGCGCAGCGCGGGATAGATGTCCAGTTCTGGCGCCTCTCGAGCATCGGGGGACGCATGGGTAGTGCCAGGTTGGCGGCGGAGGCTGCTGCTAGGGTCCGTTGGCCGCATGGTGGTGGCTTCCTCACTCAGCCCAATGGCGTCTCCGATGGCGTTTACAGTTCTTCTTCTAGTTCTGCCCCTGATGCTGCTCCTGATGCTGGCCCCGATTCTGCTGCTGGTGATGCTGCTCCTGATGCTGCTGGGGATGCTGCTGGCCCTGATGCTGCTTGCTTCGATGCTGCTGCCGGTGCTGCTGGTCCTGATGCTGCTGGCACTAGTGCTGCTGCCAATGCTGCTCCTGTTGGTGCTCCTGTTGCTGCTCGTGTTGCTGCCCCTGTTGTTGTCCCTGTTACTGCTCCTGTTACTGCCCCTGTTGCTGTCCCTGTTACTGCCCCCGATGTTGCTTCTGCCGACGCTACTCCTAATAATGCTGCCAATGCTACTGTCAATGCTGCTGCCGATACTGGTGTCGGCACTACTGTCAATTTTACTGCCGATAGTTTTGTCTATACTGCTCTTGATACTGCTGTCGATGCTGCTCTTGATACTTCTATGGATTCTGCTTCTGATACTGCTATCAATGCTGGGTCCAATGCTGCGCCCTTTGTTCGTCATTCTATTTAGCATGCTGCTCCTACTGGACTACCAAACAGCATCCAAAATGGCGTCTGGCGACGAAATGTGGCGGGTTTAATTGGGATATAGGCGAAGACCTTTGGCAGACGGGTTTCATTCGAAATTGGTTTCTTTTGATATGTGTGAGATGTCTCAAAGATTCTGAAGTTGGAGAGAAGATTCACTGGGGCTATAGTTTGCTTTTGGGATACTCCGGCCGAGGAGTTAAGAGAGATTGGAGGTATTTTGCGAAGGGTTAGAGGTCTCTCGGGAATTAGATAGTCATAAATAGTCTTTTAACAATGTAGTATAAAGTAACCTGGATCATGAGACTGAGGTTTCAAACTAGTTGACCAGGTTGATTATAAGACACTGGGAGAGGATCTGCGCATCTCAGTGAAGTTCAATAGTGAGTAGTAGAAGTAGCATTCCTTTAAAAGTTCCTCTAGACTGAACAGCAATCCACGAAGGGGACGCAGAACAGGGTACGACAGAGAGTGTTAGGATACTGCTTCTGCTAAGTATGGCCGGAGAGATCGGAGAGCATTGATTTAAAGTATGACTGGGAGCTCCTAGTCCTGGATATCTAGCCAAAGGTGAAAAAGTGCCAATTTTTCAATGGAGGGAAGAGATTAGTGCGTGCTGATGGCGCAGAAGCTAGGGTGCCATGTCGCAGGCTGTTTGTTGTTCGATGGAGGACTGATGTGAACTAAGTAGGTAAACAAGTTAGAGTATACATGTCTATCTATATACATTATCAAATTAAAAGGACAAAGGAAGACACGTGAGTCCCTTCCTCGAAGAGACTGCGAGTAGAGATGAATACCTTTATTGCGACCTCTGGTTGAGATGTAGCCACAAAGTGGTAGGTAATAAAGGTCCCTAGGGTTTCAGGTTAGTAAGCGGTGTACACCTCTTCACTGCACGAGTCTACGGTCACCGTCACGAGGCACGGGTCCACAGTACGTCTGTCCACCAATCAAGCAGAGTAAACTCTCGGGTATTCTTTCTGGAAGATGTGGTTTCATTGGTTGGTCTAGAACTATAGACTGGAGGTTCACTGGCAGCCTACCTAGTCATAACTTGGAGCCTGAGCACAATGGAACCTAATGCAAGCACACCTGGCTGCAGATCCTTCCACAGAAGATGGATCCCTCTACCTTTACTTAAGTAGTCGAGAATAGCCCTATTTTCTCATACAACAAGTCTAGTTGACCAAGTCAAGGGGACTGTTACTCCTCCTCGCTCCTTGTTTTGTTTCCTTTTCCGAATGCTTCAAGGTTGTGTGGTGTGTACGGAGTAGGAAGCTAAATATGGGCCAAATCCTGAGCCAGGTCTTCTGTCTCATGAATAATACGAACTGACACCTCTCTCATTGTCGCGAAAGGTTGTCTGGGAAATTCTCTACAAGATACAACCCGAATCATCGATCGCACAGCATTTACTTTGGTCCCTTCAGGATACCAGATGTATCCATAGAACCTGAGGTAACGCATCGTCGTAGTTGCCCTCTGAGAACCCTCACAATGCAGGAGGGCTGAGTTTACTGCATACCTCGGATCCTCATTATCATCAACTAAGCTTTTGTTCCCTGAGAATCTTTCAATATAACGTACAAGTCATCAGATGATAGTATGAGGTTTCTGGATGAGAAAAAGATCGAACCAAGAGCTCAGCAGCAAAGGAAAACGTTGCAGGAGGATGTTCAGGCAACCAACAGACCAGTACAAACATCCCACGCACGGCCTGAGAATCCATGAGTCGACATCAGCATCCACATACACACACACACACACACATCACCAAACAAAAACAAAGGAGATACAATAAAACACAAATAAATCCGCCGTCATCATACACCTTCATCAAACATAAAATAAACAGGGTATGCCCACGCCGACGCTATGCGAGTCCTTGTGCAGAAATCAAATCAAAAGGGTGTGGTGGTAGGGGGGGGAGGAAAGAGTCAAGCGTAGCAAAATATGTACCAGGAAATGCCAGGAAGGAAAAGTATTCTTGAATGATATATGATTCTTTCTTATTTATTTCGGCTTGCGCCAGAAGTATTGCTAAAGAAAAACAGTCAGTGAAATTGCTCTGCACAATCATATGAAAAGAACATACTTTGTGCTGCTTGCGGCAGTTGCGCAGGCCAGGTTTTCTGAGGTCATGAACCACAGCCTCCCGTCGCATATCGTCCTCATCAAAGTCCGGGATATAATAGTATTCACTCTCGAGAGCCTTGCCTGCTGCATCCTTTCCCTCACGAGCGACCTTGCCAATGCACTTGGTGGTATCCAGGATGGTTCGAATCTCCTCTCGTGTAGGTCCCTGTCTTGAGTGGCTGTCCCGCTTCCACAGAGCTGGAGGAAGGTTGTTAAGGATCGTAGAGAACGGAGTCGAGGAAAGGCGTGAGAAGGCCAATTGGTTGACAGCGTGGTTCTGAACGCGTTCACCGCTTTCATCAAGAGGCTGGGGCTTGGTCGGTGTGACATCATCCTGATCCTCATCCGCAGCGGACTCTTCCACCTTGGATGATGTCTGACTCGTAGCCTTGACGGGTTGAGCGGGCTGGGACGCGAGCTGATTGCGGGGACGAGCAGGCCGCAGTGGGGACTCGTCTGCAGTGAAGGAGGCCATCCGTGGTAGGAGATTCTCGCCAAAGGGCCCGAAGGAATGAATGATAGGGTCATTCTCCTCATCATGATCCGAGAAGTCTTCATGTCTACTCAATTCACTCAAGTCACTCGACTGGGAGCTCTGCAGCAAGTCCTCTACACTGGACGAAGAGGTTTGCGTAGCGGCCAGCATTGATCCTGCAGATACAGGTCGGCGAACAGGAGAGCCCTCATCTTCGTACACAACCACAGCGTTCCGCGCGCGTGTCGGGGTATACAGAGGGGAAGACGGCGGCACCAGAGACTTGACGGCAGGCGAGGGCGAGACCGGGGAGGCCAGGCGTTGGCGGTCGACCTCAGGGCTGTCATGAATACTCCGCATCGATTGTCCCTTGCGTTGTTTGGGCGTGGCTTCTTCCTCCTCCCAGGTCTGTTCGGAATCGGTGGAGGTGTAGTCCTTCTTGTCGTTTCGAGGCCATTGAACGAGCACACGAGCCTCGTGGACATCAATCATGATGTCAGCGTCCTTGATATCCGAGGTGAAAGTCTTGCCCTTGCCCAAGTCGTATGTTTTCCCCTGGCAGTGCAGCTTGATTCCATTCCAACCCAGGCACATAATCTCCACGGTATCACGGTCGAATGGGTTGGGGGCTGGCTTGTACCGGGCCTTGACGTGCACTCTCGAAATCATCCGGTTGGCAGCGAGTTGGTGGTGGCACGAGGCACTGGATCTACCCATCAAAACTGGTTCCCCACTCTCGGGCAGCATCAATTCAGGGACTGTGGACAGAGGGGTTCTCTCGGAGGTGGCAGTCAACGTGCGTCGAGAAGCCGGACGCGGCAGAGCCATTCGAGGAGGCGAGGAGGACATGATATGGGTCGACGAGGTCGGGACCGGAGTAGGATAGGTGGACACGATGCCATGTTCATCGCGTGCTACACGCTTCTGAGGGCGAGGCAGTGACGGGGAGGAGCTCAATGGCTCGAAAGCAGGCAAGAGGGAGGCCGGACGCTTGATACCTGCCACAGGAGCAGCTATACTGCTCCTCGGAGGCGAAGACTCCATGTTGTTGACTCTGTCCTTCGCGTCGTACACGTCTGGCACGAAGCTAAAGTAATTAAGATTATGTCACTCGCGAAACTGCACACGGAATTGGGTTCAAGATCCCACCGATCAATTGGGGACCTATCTGTTCGCGTCGAGGACGAGTGGGAAGGGAAGATCTCTAAGTTCTATGGAAGTGGGAGGTAGGATAGCAATCGGGTGACGAGTGGTTCGTGCAGACCAGAAGGCAAGATCAAAAGGAAAGTACCTAGTCCCTACAGACGAAAGGAGACGACCAGGAAGCAGAAAAGCGTGAAGCGTGAGGCGTGTAGCGTGTCAAGGACGGGCAAAGGAAGGGAAGGAACCTTGAGGGTTCATCTGCCCCGAGAGACAAAAAGGGTTCAGGAGGTTGGTCGACTTGGAGGAGGGGGTTGAGCACAAAATAATTCAACCGTAGGGGAAAAAAAACGAGAAACATTGAAGAAAAGGGTGAAAGGATGTGTGGTGGAATGTCCTGCCCCGGAACGGAGCGTCTCGTCCTTCCAGCGCGGAAATGCACGCTTACAGTCCGAGACGCGTTCGATAGGCGCCGGCGAGAGTCTCAGAGCTCCACCACCGAGCTTCGCGCAGCAGCCTTGGATTGCATTGACACCGCATGGTGGTTATATTTATCAATGGAAAGAGGGTTTGAGAAGTGGCCAGACCCAAAGGCACGCGAACAATTTCTCTGCTGGATGAAAAGTCTGTCCGTTCTCTCTCTTTTTTTTATCTCTCCACCATTGCATTTCAATACTTGTTGTTAACTGCCACAGGCAAGGGGTGGGGATGGATTGGGGAAGTTTGAGCCTCGACACCCCAGGCAGGCAAGGCGCGTCGCCGGCACTCGAACCAGATAACGCGTGGCACGTGATGTTTTATCACGTGAACGCGTGACGACTGCCCTTGCCTCGCGCGGGAAGAAGCTGTCATTCCATGACCTCAACAGTCAACACTAACTAGTTAACCTTGACGTCTTGCACAATCTCCCTGACATATACTACTAATGTACTAAAACTTGCTTGCATCCTGCCGATCGATCTCCAGCCATCTCTTCCCGATTACTTGATAAATGTCTAGGATATTCCCCGAGGATCAAGACCATGTCGATGACGAGGATGAATGCCTACATTTCACCGCACGCTTCGCCCCATTCTAAATGAACCCTTCGCGTCCCAGCCTCCCCGTTGCTTCAAGGCCTGGTCCAGTCTTCAACGAGCACACCGGAAGACATCACCACCCTTCCCTTATCCCCAGTTCCAGGTCATGCTTAAATACCACACTCCCAGCCAGCCCAGGACAGATCGGACTTTAGCACCGTCTGCAATTAGAATCCAGACGCACTTCTCGTTCACATACAGATAGTCCACCGCTAACCCCCTCCCACAACTTTCGAATCAGAAAATCACGAATAGATGAGATTCACGTACATTTCTCCTCGTAGTTGTCACCAGGTAAACGAAACCCACCGCAAACCCCAACCTCCCCGGGATTCAGTAACTAGTGGGGATCCACTTATGTATGCACATTCCAGAACCATCTTAGATACAGTAGACCGTGCATGACGCAGGTGGGGAGGGCCGCGGTGTGGAATGTGTATGATCATCTGTCTATCCGTTTTACTACAAAGCCTTTTCCAGTCATCTTCAGCCATCAGTCTGGTTCGAGAATAAGGTCATTCGCCTGCCTTCAAATCGGCCGAAACCTACAAAATTAATCTTTTCTCGCTTGTGAATCGGAGAGTGTGTACCGTGGTCGGTACCGGACTCGGTTGCGGATGATGTGGATGCAGAATAGGAAGATGGTGGCTGCGGCAAGGATGGAAATTGCAATACATGCATGCCCTTACCCGCCTCAGATCCCGCGAGAGAAGACATGCCCAACACTCCGTACAGTCGAGCAATCGGTAGGGGAGGCGAAAGCCACAAGCCCGATGTGGCAAGGTTGGTTGCTTGGTCCGTCTTCCCTTGCCTGGTAAACTCCGGTTTTTGAACTCGAGCAAGAAAACTTTGATGGAAGTGGGTAGGTACTAATGGCATTGAACACTTGTAGGAACCCGGAAAATCATCAAAGTGAATTAGGTAGGTCATTTCGATCTGAGCAACATGAAAAAAAAAAAAAAAAGCAGCAGCACTACTGTACAGGATATCTCGCTAGGTTACATCCCACGCTCCACAGAAAGATTAGAAGACTGCGGCCTTCAAATGGGAAATCAGTGTTACTTGGAGGTAGAAAAAAGGTAAAGAAGCTAACCACAACCGCCCCCAAACAAAGGAAGGGGGACGTTACAAATGTGACAGGTGCTGCGAGCTCTTCCACGTCACATAAGTATAAGATACTAAGATACACGAAGGAGATAGCAAGCACACTGTGAACGGTGAATCATGATCAAGAGTGAAACAGAGGCATGAGAAAAAAAAAAGGTCTTCTATTTGCAATTGTGCCTTTGTCGGTACGGGGCAGCCGTCGGGAAGCATAAGACGATGTTTGACTACCCTGGTTGCCGCGAACGGTCATCTACTCTAGTAGAAGACATAGGTGGCGGAGCCGGAGAGGACCTCGACCTGCAGGTACGATTAACAAATAGGCCAGGGGATTGCCACAGGAGTGGCCCAAAGCAAGGGGCGGGGAACACTTACAGTGCAGCCGGAATCGTTGGAGCCAGACTCGGAATAGAAGACACCATCCTCATACTTGCAGGAGCCACTCAGGTCGTCACCCTCGATCTTGACATTGTAGTCCAGCTTCTCGGTGGTGGTAGGGCTGTTCTGGAAGATGGAAAGCCACTTGCCGTCGTTAACACCGACACCGAGGTTAATAGGGGCCCAGTTGCCGATAGCCTCGGAGCCGTTGCCCCACTGGCAGCCCTCCTCGGTAGAAACACCCTTGGGGTTAACGTAGTACTGAGCAGAGGTAATCTTGCCCTCCCACTTGTAGTAGGTCTCGCCATCAGGGCATGTCAAGGGCTGGAGCGCATTGTCACCGAGGTGAAGAGGGATGGTCTCGGACTCGGTACCTATAGATTGAGTCAGCAACTTTTCATGAGCGATGCAAATGATGCAGGGGACTCACCAGGGTAGTCAGTACGGCAAACAGCAACACTCTCGCTGAGAGTGTTCTGGACGTGAACACCACCAGTGCCCTCAATGCAAAGCTTCTTGGACAAGCTGGTGTTGGTGAGGTAGAGCTTGCCGTTCTTGCACTGGATGCCACCAACAGACTGTCCAGTAGAACCCTGAGCACTAGGCCACTGGGACTTCTGGTATCCCGCGGGGCAGGCATAGGAGCACATAGCGCCGCTGGTGCAGCTATCGCCAGATACACCGGTGGTGATCTCAGTCACGACGTTATCGGAAATCGTCACGTACTGAATACCGGACCAGCCGCCAAGTCCGAGGTAGTCAAGGGCGATAGCACCGTAGTCAGAGGGGAAGGTATCGCAGTCCAATTCTCCATCGGGGAAGTCCGCATCCAGGCCGGTGGCGGACGAGGAGCTGGATACGCTTGTAGAGCTGGCAGCAGCCGCAGTGGAAGAGTAAATGGCACTGCTGGAGCTCCAAGAGCTGCTGGAGCTCCAAGAGCTACTGAAGGAAGTGGCCTTAGCGACAGCAACTTCGACGAACTCGGCAACGGAGCTGAGGGCAGGAGCTGCGGTGGTGGAAGTAGAGGTCGAAGCGGCAGTAGTCGAAGAGCTGCTAGAGCCATTGCAGACATCAGGCACGTCCTGACCAGAAGCCCAGGTCAAGGTCTTGTCGGCGATACCCTTGCACACTTCCTCAAGAGTGATGGTCTTGCCGTCGAGAACATAAGTGACCACAGTGGGACCAGCAACGGTGACAACCTCGGCCTCAGGGTTGCGCTTGTGGTGGTGACGGTGCTGGTGGTGGTGGTGCTGGGCAGCCACCATGGAGGCCGTAGCCAAGCTGACAGCAACGGCGTTCAACTTCATTGCGGTAAGTTCGTGTGTTGCACAATTGCACAGCGGGGTATCGTGTTAAAAGATCGATGAACTCTGTATATGCTGTGAAAGAGAATCTCGTTAGTATGTGCCTCAGAGAGAGTGACGATCACCTCAGTGCATTTGCCTGTGCCACACAAGAAGACTGTCTTGATCCCCGCCGTTCATCAGGCAGATTAGGGAGCGTGAGAGACCCGCGTTGCGACTTATCATGTGGAGATCCATGGCGGCCTCAGCCCACGTCGCGCAAGCACTCCTGAGTATGGCGGGTCGTGGCAGAGGGAAGTATAAGAATTGACAGTAACACCTACCGCAACGTCACGGCAAACCAGTCGCGCGCTTTTGCCAGAAAGGAACAATTCTGTACACGAACTGAAGGTGTAGCAAAGGGATATGAGAGAGGTTCAATGAGTGGAAAGTGAGAATAAAAGGAGGTTCCCCAAAAGAGCGTGCGAGAGAGAAACTAGTCCCTCTGGTCGGAAGGAAACTGAAACGCTCAGGGAAGGCGAAGAAATTGGAGAGGGTCGCGAAGAGGGAGGAAGAGGAGAGAAAAGGGAATCAGAAGGGGAGATGAAGGGCAGAGTAAAGTATGGTCGAGAGAGTAAGCGGCTTAGTCGATCCGGTGTTGGGAACAGGGGTAAGGTTAGTTCGGTAGGTGTGAAAAAGGGAAAAGTTGAAAGGAGGGACAACAAGACACTAAAGCATGCGCGTAGGTCGGTGGTTTTTTTCCCAGGGGCTGAACCATAGGAAAAGTGTTCTGGTGTGTGTGGCATTTGGCTGTGAATGAGTGGACAGACCAAAAGAAAGGCAATATTTTTACACTAGTAGTAGTAGTAGTAGTTGACCATCGTTGGCGATAATAACGGGGGGGGAGTGGGAGGAGAAAATAATATTAATATTAGGGGGGCCCACATGGGATAGAGTATTAGTAGTTTAGTGTCCGGTCATGATTCAGTACTCGGATCTTACAATTCCAGTATTCTGTTGGTAATTGGTGTTGATTGCGATCTTTCGATTATCATATTATCATGGGTATACTTCACAGTTCTGCTAGAAAGTCGTTCAGATAAGGCGAGAGGAGATCTAAGGAATGCATAAGGCACATTCCGCGATGTTTCCCCCTCTCCTTATGACAGGGGATTGAGAAGTTCTTGACAAGAATTCCACATTCTTCATCGCGAGTTGTCTTTAGACAGCAGATAGGGGGCGGTAAGTACAAAATCCCCCCCTCTGTTCCCAAGCCAAGTCCGCCAGGATCAGCTCGCTCAAAGCATGACCATCCACAAGGCAACGTGAGGACCTCTCAGGATTGCAGCCAGGAAGTGGGGATGGGGGAGAAGAGGGGCCAGGTTCCATCCTCACACTCACAGTCGGTGTTGTTTCTCTTCTGTTGCTTTGGCAGATAAAAGCCAAGACTCGGGTGGACTGTCTGGAACGAATCCAACAAGTGTAAGTGACCGAACTTGGGGGGAATTCGTGGGCGACTCATAAAAATCCTTGCCTATTTTTTCTTCCACTGCATGTTTGGAGCTTTCCTGTTCCTGACACTCTTTTGCTTGGCGTTTGCCGAAATTAATTAAACTCTCCATCCAGTAAGAAGTACGATTCGGCCACCAGCCGGGGGAAACAGACTTTGCCCCCATTCAGGTACACCAATCAACGGCTGAGGCGCTGCCGAACCATTGCCACAAACTGGCCTACCGTGGAAATGTCTCATGTCTGATCTCAATGTTGGCCTGCATTAGTGGGCGCAGTCGGACTGGCGGCCGGGAAAAGGAAAAATAAAGAGAAAGGTTAATCAGCAGGGAATTGTGTAACTAACTTAGACAGGATAACAACAACAGCAACGAACAGATGGACTACCGCTATGTGTTGTTCTTGCCAGATAGCTGTTGAATGTACTATGCTGTCGATGACCCATAGCAAGGGTCCAATTCAACGAATCCTTTCGCCACTGGCAAACACCAAGCGCTTCGGGTAGTGATGTAACCCTCTCCAGTATTCTGGATCTTCAGCTGTTTCAGCTTTCCAGGTACCCCGACCTGCAGTATTCGTTCTGTAACGCATTACTGATGACCATCTTCTTACCTCCTACTCTTTCGGTCCCAAATAAGTTCAACAACAACGGAGTACTTGAGTGATCTGCACAGTGCGCGAGTCTGGCCAAATAGGGGCCTCTGATATTTTTAAACCCTTATCAACCTACTCTTAAGCTCTTATGTGCTCGGTGTTATAGCTCACCTGCGGGACCCCTGCAGCCGTTTTTAAACACCCTGCAAGTGTGATGATCAGAATCCCTGGCGACCGATCCGAGGCACTTTACATGTCATACGTTTAGATCGCCCAAAGCATCAAGCGGCTGAGGACAGCCTCTTGAGTATAAATCCTCCATATATAGTAGACACTAATTATACTTCCAGGCGATACTCTCATATATGAATCATGCCGCCTGTTAGAGTGTAGTTTATATTCAGGGGCAGCTTCAGGCTTTCCAAGAGGAAGCCAGCTTGCTGTGTTGATGAGATGATTGCAGGTCAGTTGGTGCAGGCAACGTTTCAGAGTCGGTCGCAAGCGCTTGGCTTGATCGTTGACAGTGTACCAACGTAGGCTCACTACCGTTCTCCACTATAACTGGACGCTACTACATGTCATCTTAGCGCCTGCTTGTGATCTCAAGTATGAGTATAACAATTCGGCGATGCTAATGAGGCATTCGGAACTTTGTTGAATGCATGCGACTAGATGTTGGTAATGCGAGATCCGATACTCGACGCTAGGATAGGTGATGCACCCTGACATTCTGCATTGATTAAAAGATGTACTAGAAACAGGTGTGCATTGATATAGTCGCATTTGAGAACTGACTATGTTCTGTTTAGTTGAGGGTCGAACTTGTGAAATTCGTTTGGGACGCTTCAAATATGCGGGATGCTAGACAACTCCGCGTAAGACTAATCTCGCAGGTCTCAATCGCCGTTAGAATCATGAAGTGACGAGCAGCAACTTGAGGATGCAACATACCCATTTTACCCGCTGTTGCGTTGTTCCTCAATTGACCATCACTCGGGGTGCTGTTGACAAGTGCGGGGTATTGGTGGCACGGAAGCTGCAGGGCCTTGTCGGGACTGCCAACAACAACAACGGCAACAACAACAACAACACCACGCCCATCTTTTACTTTAATAATCGTCTACAGTGATCTCTCTTACGGTGTTCTATGCCGTGATGCATACGTGCGAAAGAAGGAAATGGGTTTGTTTGTCTAGCATGATTTCAACAAGAAGCTTCGCTGATTGTTTGGTAAATGTATATTCCGGGCGGCTAGATCCCCCTTCTTCAGAATGCTGATAACTCGACAGGCTATCCTAGCACGTCAGCACGTGAAGAGTGCAAATATCGTGAAGACCTCCACAGATGATCTCAGTTACCACTTAAACCATGCCAACAGTACAGGTGCTGATGAAAATTTCTACTTTCATACAGTTTAACGACGCGATCCCTGTACGTACCTGCATCGTAAGGCAGATTTTATATCCAGAAGATAGACAAGCTCTCGAGGCGGTAAAACCAATTCAAGTCGCCAAACATATCTGGCCCACTGCCAGTGTTTGAGTTTAACAATACGACCAGCCTCATTTCAGCCCCTCGGACCCCGGGCCTTTTTGCAAACACAACATCTCCCCGAACGTCACGCGGTCCGGGTCCATGCTGATGAGATCTCCAGGTTCTGCTGGACCCTGAACGCCCTCGTCGGACAGCCAGCATAACTTTTACAGATGGCGGTCTGTGAGGGTTGAATCTTGACCAGCACGACCCGTTTCACCATTTTTCGACGATACCGCTTCCATACATACTGCTTCTGAAAGATGACTCTTGAATGCGGCCTAAGCCCAAAGCTTGGCAACAATTGATTACACTGCACAGTACGCCAAGACTGGCTCATCAGGGGCTTTACATACTGTACTTGGGGTATATTGTGTGTTGGCTACCACGGGACATTTTCTCTGAGGGAAGAAGAGCTTGAGGAAATTTTTGTTCCCTGACGGTGACTTGAAGCTTGCGTGGCTTTACTCAAAATTTGACGTCGGTTGTCTGATGCCAAGGAGTCTGCAGAGGTTGACCGCGTGGTTCATCCATCGCGATGAGCTCCTCGGACTGGCCGTCTCCGCCCACAATACGGAATGTTGGGGCCGACAAAGTCAATATTTTGGGTGGAGAGAGTCGTTGGCGTTTGGGTTCGTGGAATGACGAACAGTCTAGCAAATGCCCTTGCTCCAGAGGGCAGGGCTAGAAGGTCACTAAGGTGTAGGTAAAGGTACGTATAAGGGGGGAGGGGGGGGGGAAGATGGAAAGCCCCGAGGAGGGTGGGGATTTGGGGAAGGAGAATCCAACCGAGACTTGCTTAGCCTGACTCCCGCGGCGGGGCCAATCTCCCAGATTGGCAGATAAACACAGCAACCGTACCTTACTTCAAACCAATGCACCAACGGGCTGCAGGGAGCACTAAAACAAATCTTAGTTAAAGGATGGGGTCGCACTACCCCCGACCGGGTATATTGTGAGGGGCACAATCGTGGGAGTGCGTTTTATTTCCACGCATGCTCGCTGTCTCGTGCCATATCTACACCTGCTTGTTGACCCGTTGCGCTCCCCACCTCTCCTGTCCTCTTTGCCGTTGCCCGTTCATCCAAGGCAGACTATTTAGTTTTTGAAGGCGAAGCTAAATCGCTCGAACAACTCAACTATTGACGTGGACCTCACCACGGGAGTGTGGTACAGGAGATGACTGGTTCCATGCTCCGTGCCATTGAAGGTATTCAATAGGGGCACTAGCATTGAAGTTTAAGCTTGTGTTCACCTATCATTCGTGAGCAATCGCTGTTGTCTACTCGTATGCAGAGGTAAACAGAGCAATTGCACCTATCACCGAGGCAGTCGCTGGAGCAGTAACCCCGAGACCCGAAGGAAAAAGTTATTTTTCCGCTAGATAGCCGGCATCATGCGTTATTGATTTTTAAGGCACCGATGACATCGTCGTTGTCCTATCAGCAACTATCTGTGCCTGAACCACTAAGTCACCGACCTTCCCCTATCTACGAAGTCCTGTACAAGCTTCGGTGCATGTTTTCCACCCACTGTCTCCTGCGCTGATGACAAGTGTACGCATTTTGATTGGCTTCAACGCGGAGGACAACCAAACGGAGCCTTGAAAGAGCAGTGTACTATCCCGGAATGATTTTCAAAAGGTCACTTAACTTACTAGTAATCCCTGAGCATGGTTAGTAATTGGATGTAAAACACGGGAAACAGGCATTCGACTCCCTAACCACTAGGACACTACTGGGAGGTACTTTACAACCAGCTACACCAGCCGAATTAATGGCCAGACAAGTGGGTAAAGGAGCGGTCGGTTGGTCATGTGGCTTGTGCTCGGTTCTTTTCCATACCTCATACCTACTACGTAGTAGTCAAGTACACCAAGTCTGATATACCTCCTTTTCTTCTACTTGACATTTACTTTCTGCAGGTCGAATGAAGGAATACTCCGAGACTCAGTCCCTGGTTTCTCCTCTCTGCAATGGGCCACATGGTCAATGCGCATGTGTTGACTTACCATTGCACAGGACTAGCTAGCTCTCATCTACTCACTATCAATGGCCCAGGGTCATCTAGTCCTATCGTCGTAAATATGAAATCAACTCTCGAGCATATGGCTCACCCGTCAGGTTACGGAAGACTTTACCGCTCAGACTTATTTTTCAGTTGACGGTTTCGCGCGACCGGGTCCTCCTCTACGGTTGTGCGACGTTTTCCTGGACTTGTACACCTTGGGATTAGTGGTGCTGATGGTCAAATCACTCGGATTGTTACCATTGGCATATTTGGGAGAAACACGTTCAAGACCCTTGAAGCACCGTATCGCTGCACGTTTGGACGGTTCCCTGATATACGCAGCGAGTATGCTCAGGATATGAAAAACAGCAGCAATCAATCATCCCTAGCCAGGGTAATGGAGGGGGTGCGTGCATCTCCGGAACCCTTTACAATGTTGCTGGGCTTCTAGGATGAAACATGCAAGGGACCAGCCACCAGATCGTGAGCACAGATCCGTAAGGCATCACGTTCGCATCGGGGCGTGCTCTTTGAGCATGAAACCTCTGATCCCCTCGGGCTGTGATCAAGACAATGGACGCACAAAGCAATGAGGTAGACCGTCTAGCCCACCTTCTCACACAGACGAGCTTAAATGCTTGTCGGATCTGAGTCGACTCTGGTGATTTTGTGTAGACATCGTAGGATGTGGTATCTCGCAGGGGGGAAAGCATTATGAGCTGGAATGAGTAGAGTCCGCGTTGTTTCACCACGTCATGTCTCCTACGCACTGTGCACTACTTCAGTGTGACAAAGCAGTGGTTTGCGTGACTACCTAACTAACTTACTGTTAGTAGACTCTCCTTCAGGCTTAGTTAATGGCTACGAGCATATACGATCACATGACCGTGACGAGACGCACATGACTAAGCAAGGTCATCCACCGCCAAGACCGGCAATATGTGCTTACCGCCTTCCCATGAATTTTTTTTTTATCATTAGATTATCACGGAAGGTCGAGCCTTGTCGAACTCACGCAACATTCCATATCATCTCTGCAAAAATGGGGTCCTCAACGGCTTTGACGACTAAGGCGACTTCGGGAACTCCCTATCAGCTCGATAAGAGCCAGGTGCGTACCAGTTCCTCAATCTCGCGATCACCATTCACAATGGGGTCGATTGAGGCGCTCAAACTAACGGCTGTTCTGCAACAGGTTTCGCGAGCCTCGGGTGCCCTTCTGCGCCACATCAAATCGACGCAGGTGGAGAAGGAGAAGTCTGCGGCCAAGAAGACGCTTATCGGTGACAACGACGAGGATTCGGATGGCGACGAGAGCACCCCGACCAACAACGAGGCCGTGTGGCTTGTCCTCACGACCAAGAAGCACGTGGTCGACAAGAACCGCCTGAAGCCCGGCAAGATCCCGATCCCCCACTCGCTCAACGCCTCGTCCTCCCTCAGCATCTGCCTGATCACCGCGGACCCGCAGCGCGCGGTCAAGAACATCGTCGCCGACCCGTCCTTCCCGCCGCATCTGACCGAGCGTATCGACCGGGTCATCGGATACACCAAGCTGCAGGCCCGCTACAACAGCTTCGAGCGCCGCCGCCAGCTGCTCCAGGAGCACGACGTGTTCCTGGCCGACGACCGCATCATCATGCGCCTGGTCAAGACCCTCGGAAAGACATTCTACAAGTCCAGCAAGCGGCCCATCCCCATCCGTATTGCGGAGATCGAGAAGGTCGATGGTAAGAAGGTCAAGAAGGACGTCAAGGCGAAGAGCAACTCCAAGGAAGAAGGCAGCGCCTTCGCCTCCCCGGCGGTCGTTGCCAAGGAGATCGAGAAGGCGCTGAACTGCGCCCCTGTGCAGCTGGCCCCGGCGACTACTGCTGCGATCCGCGTGGGCTCGTCCAGCTTCACCGCCGAGCAGCTTGCCGAGAACGTCGACGCGGTGGTCAAGGGTCTGACAGAGAAGTTCGTGACAAAGGGCTGGCGGAACATCAAGGCGCTGCACATCAAGGGCGCCAACACCATGGCCATGCCCATCTGGCTGGCCAGCGAGCTTTGGGTCGAGGAGGGCGATATCGTCGAGGAGGGTGCCGAGGAGGAGGAGACCAAGGCCGTTGCCGGCAAGAAGCGCAAGCAGATTGCCGCTGTCGAGGAGGAGAAGCAGATCGAGACCCCAAAGAAGGCCAAGAAGGCCAAGGCTGCCGAGGACGATGAAGATGCCTTGACGCTGGCCGCAAGGAAAGAGAAGCTCCAGAAGCAGAAGGCCAAGGCGTTGGCAGATGGAGCGGCACCCACGAAAACCGCGGCCGGAGCTGGCAAGAAGAAGAGAAAGTCGATTCAATAGTCGGCTACGTCCTATGCTTGCTTGCTTACTTGCTTGCAAAAACCAAACATATTCAATCAAGTCTATACCTCCGGTGTTGTTTTGATTTCTCACGGACATGTATCTGAATAAGCAATGGGTTGTTTCCTGTCTACCGGCGCTATTTTCCAGTTTCTGTTTCTTATTGTTTTTTTTTTTTCTTTTTTCCTTCTTTTTTTCTATTGTTCTATCATATCAGGGCGTGTACCTCAATACCCCTTGGACGAATGAAAATCAAAAAGTTCTTTTTGCATATTGTGCGTAATTGATCCGTATAGTTGGCGAAGGGAGTCTGACACATGATCAAAGGATTGACCGAGGAGTAACTTATTGAAGTAACCGAACAAGCCGTCCGTCGGGAATTTGCCCGTATGGCCCGTCGGCGGGTTCTGCGGGCGGTCAAAGACAGTCGATCCGACGATAACCTTCAATTCCATTCCCGAGACTCAACTTATTGCTTCCTCCCCGCCTTCTTTCTCCTCACCTTTTCTTACGGTCTCTCAACCCGCTCCTCCCCTCTCCTCCCCTCCTCTCCTTATCCTCCTCCTCTCTTTTCACCGCCATCTCTGTCCAGCCATCAAGATGATCCCTCTAGCAAGACGCTCCGTGCTGCGCGCCGCCCGCGCCCAGATCCTCCCCTCCATGCGCACCACCACCGGCATCTCCTCCGCCGCTCTCGCCCGCCTGCTCTCCACCCTCGCCGTCCTCGAACAGCGCGACGGCAAGCTTCAACCCTCGTCCCTGTCCGCCATTGCTGCAGCCCAGAAGCTCGGCGGATCCATCACTGCCTTTGTGGCCGGCGCCAATGTGAAGGGGACCTCGGCGGCCGAGGCTGCTCAGATCAAGGGTCTGGACAAGGTTGTTGCCGTGGATAATGAGGCCTATGAGAAGGTATGCTGCCAGTCTGGATAATGAGACAGCCCCTCGCATTCTTCCTATCAACATCATCGAAACAGACTAACACAAATCCACCGGAAACAAACAGGGTCTCCCGGAGAACTACGCCCCGCTGCTCGTCGAGAATATCCAGAAGGGCGAATACACGCATGTGGTCGCCGGCCACTCGGCCTTTGGCAAGAGTCTTCTGCCTCGGGTGGCTGCTTTGTTGGACGTGCAGCAGGTTAGCGATATTACGGGCATTGAAAGCGAGGATAGTACGTCTTCCTACCTTTTTTTTTTTCTTTGGATATGCATTGCGAATGTTCCCACTCATCACTCTCTCCGGTGTCGGAGAAGACAATTTCCATCAAACCAAACCACATCCACCTACCGCCAGAATGCTAACCTCACAACCCACCCGGATCATAGCCTTCATCCGCCCCATCTACGCCGGCAACGCCATCCTCACCGTCCAATCCACCGACCCCATCAAGGTCCTGACCGTGCGCGGCACCTCCTTCCAGGGCGTCGAGACGACCGGCAACTCCGCCCCCATTGCCGAGGGCATCGACCCGCAGACCCCGCTGCAGACGGAATGGGTGTCCGAGGAGCTGGCCAAGTCGGAGCGGCCCGACCTCGCGACGGCGCAGCGCGTCGTCTCCGGCGGCCGCGGCCTCAAGTCCAAGGAGGAGTTCGACCGCGTCATCGTGCCCTTGGCCGACACCCTGGGCGCGGCCATCGGCGCCTCGCGCGCCGCCGTCGACAGCGGCTTCGCCGACAACAGCCTGCAGGTCGGGCAGACGGGCAAGAACGTCGCCCCGCAGCTGTACCTGTGCGCGGGCATCTCCGGCGCCATCCAGCATCTCGCAGGCATGAAGGATAGTAAGGTCATCGCCGCCATCAACAAGGATGCCGATGCGCCCATCTTCCAGGTCGCGGATGTCGGGTTGGTCGGGGATTTGTTCGAGAAGGTGCCGGAATTGACGGAGAAGTTGAAGCAGCAGCAGGCGTAGTTAGTTGCCGGTTGTGGCTTTTCTTTCTTTTTCTACTGCGGTATTGAGCTTTATTTTGATTTCCCCATACTTACCATCATGAGTTCGGTTTACATTTTCCTTTGTGTGTTTATTTCTGGTATGGGTAGGTCTAGATGAGAGCATGACGGGGTTGAGCCAGGAGGGAGGAGTGAGGTACATACTTACCAATTGATTGATCTGAATGTATTATTCTCTCCACCATACTAGTACCTGGCTCGCTGTACGCACTAGCTTGCTGTAGTCAGGACAGTAGTCCGTAGTACCTATCCTGTTATATAGCTCCATGCTTGACGGGCCCATGATAGTATAGGTATTTTCTTCGCAGAAAAGAGAGACAAACAGATAATAACCATTATTGTGGAAAAGAAACATCATACACAGACAAATAATCATTAAGTCCCAAAAGAACATACACACACACACACACACACATATATGAAACGGCAGTTCATAAACTCACCCGTCGAATCAGCCAGGGCATATCATTGCATTCTAAAAACTACCCACCCACCTACCCTCGTTCGCCTCCTGTCGATCAACCCGTACGGATGGCCTAAGATCGGGGAAGATAACTAACTAATTTCAACAAGAATACCTCCACCCCAGCAGCACTCAATGCATCATCGATCCATCACCCTCTTAATTAGATAGAACATACCGGCTCATCCGCGAAACCACAAATAAGCCCTGCAGCCTAGCCTGGAGTGTCTGCTGTATATCTCGTCCCCCACGACCTGTGTTGAAACAGACGCCGGGTGTCGTCATCATCGTCATCGTTAATCTTCTTTAGAAAGTTATGGGGCCGGCTCATGGGGGGAAACCACCCAGGAATAGGGATAGGATAGTGATTGTTGCCGTATAGGCAGACCGGGCTGACACAAATCTTCCCGGGTCCCGTCCGTCCCCCGTCAAGGTTTGTATGTGGCTCCCTGCTTTGGCCATCGAGAAGACATAAGAAGCTAGAGAAAGGGAGGGTCCGGTCCGTCCGTCCGTCTTAGGACATAAAAGCCTCCCCTCCCCACCCCCCCAACACAGATGGCCTGCATAATTTCTTTTTCGCTTTGGACAAAGACACCGTAGCTGTGGCTGGTGTTGTGTGAATCCCCTTCTTACCAGTTCACGTCACTTAGTTGGAGCTTCCGGGAGCGGAACGCCATGCGGTTGCTGGCGGACTTGTCGAGGCGGGTGTCACGATGGGGAGAGCGTTTCTCGGCGGCTAAGACGATTGGTCGGTCAGCTTGAGGTTTCATACAAGGACGTGGTGAATAGGTTGGGTGGGAAAAGTGGAAAGCAAAAAGGTAAAAAAAAAAACATACCTTCCGCATCAGCATCAACTTCATTGGTCATCTCATAGTTCAACACCAAATTCTTGATGCGCTGCTGCTCCTCCCGGTCAGCCTGCTGCTGACTTCTCATCGCGACCGCAAAGCTGGAATCAGACGGCAGGTCAATTGTGCGAGTCTGCTGCTTGTTCCCCTTCTTCGTCATCAGTGAGAAGGCCATTGTGTTAGTGGTCGGCTTGGGAGGCTCCGCGACGGGCTCCGCCGCGACAGCCTCGCGACCGGACCGCTTCATGGGCAGAGGAATGTCGAACACCCCCTTGCGCTCGAACTTCCTCGACTCCATGCTCTCCGCCATCATCTTCTCGAACTCGCGATCAAAGTCAGCCTCCGCCTCTGGATCCCGTTCTTCCTCCTGCCGAGTGACGAAGATCTGCTCGTCCTCGGACTCGCTGTCACCGGTGTTCTCGGCGTTGGGACCGGATGCCTAGACCTGATATTAGCAAGGAAACCTCCTGGACCCTGGCAGAGTCTTACCTCGGCCTCATCGCTGGACTCTTGGTCGTCTTCTGCCTCGGGAATGGCGTCCTCTTCCAGATCATCGTCCGACGAGCTGCTCTCCGCATCCTCGTCCTCCGGCTCGGCAGGCCGCTCAGCATCCTGCATCTTGTAGTTCTGCGCAACCGCCTCCCCGAACAACTGCGTTGCTTCGGTAAGATCAGCCGCCAGCTTCCACTGAGGACGAGTCATCGAGTAGGTGTCTTGGACGAGGAACTCAATATCCATCGGCAACGGATCCTTGGTGTAAATGTAATACTGATGACCAGGTCAGCTCTCGATTCTGGACCTTGAACGACAACGCATCGTACCTGGAAGAAGCTGAGGAAGAAATCAAGCTTCTTCTTCGCCGACCCGCGATCAAAGCAATGCCCGCACGTATCCAGCAACGTGCACACCAGGCGAATGCGAAAGAAGTCGTCGGGCTGGTCCAGTTGGTTGATCCGCCCAGCCATGGGCGTTCCACCTTCTGCACTCTCATCAGTATGTTCTCGTACAATAGACCAGGAACAGACTCACCATGGCCGAAGGTGACAATGCGATACAATGTGTCAAAGATGACAGGCGAGTCGATCATCTTGTAATTGTAGAGTTCTCCAAGATACTTGACCTCAGCCACCCGCTTCTGGTTGAACTTGAAGTCATTCAATTCGAGTCCCAACGTGATGTGCTCGAGAACATTGTCCACGATCCCGATCACAAACTCCTGGTGATATCGGTAAAGAGCACTGACGAGGATTGCCAGCAAGTGGATGTTTCCATATTTGAGCTTAACTGGTTTGCTGAAGACCTTCTCAAGGATACCTACCACTTCGCCCTCTTCCCAGTGTAGCTTGCGAAGCGATTTGAGGATCTTGGTGTAGTTGCGCTTGTGCATGTCCATGTACACCAGCCGCCGGATGTAGATCTCCATGGGGGTGCGCTCTTTTTGCTGGATCGCAGGCCGCGGCGGCGGATCAACGTAATAAACAGCATTTTCAATGACCATCCGCTCCTGTTGACCCAGATGCTGCACAGTCTTCTTCCGGCCCAGGGTCTCCAAGAAAGAAGCCATTCGCGGAGCCGTCTCTGGGTTGCGTAGCAGGTAGCGACCGCAATTCTCCAGAAGATTACCTATGATCTCAATGTTCATGCGCGAGAAGTCGTCCAAGGACACCTTGAAGCAATGGAAAATGATATGCTCGGGGACCACACCGAACTTAGTGAGCTCCGCCAAATACCGAACGTTGCTCATTCGGACCTGCCCCAAGAATTCCTTCGACTTTCGACGTTGAAGGCTCCTAAATTCCTCATCCAGATACGTAGTCAAGCCCTGAGGGATGTCGGGCATGTACTGCCCCAGCGTGGCAACCAGGCGGGCGTACAACGGCAGAAGATCGAGACGTCCCTTGGGAACATCGGAGACCGCCTTGATGAGCCTGTTGCGCGATGCTTTCGAATTGAGGAAGCAGAAATCCAAGGCCATCTGATCCACATGGTCCTTGGTCTGTAGGTCGGGCAGCTTGGCTAGAAGCGCATCCACCTGGGCTCCCACCGTCCTGCTCGCAATGGCAGTGGACTGATCGTCGGCATCCGCACCCTTTTCCTCGGAAGCTTGAGGCTGGGCCGAAGACTCGGTTTTCTCTGCGCCGGAATCTTCGCCATCTGCTTTCTTCTTGGCCGCCTCGTCGGACTCGGGTTTCTTCTTCTTGGCATCCTCGAGGAGCACGGCCGGCACCTTACCCTTAAGATCAACCAGGTTCTCGTAGAAGCGCCGTTCCTCTTCATCTTCCCAGATGCCAGCACCCTCGCCCTGGCCGCGCAGGTATTCCGTCGTTTTGACCAGCCCGATTCCTCCCGCCGATGCCGCATCGCTGGTCTCCTTCTCAGCCAAGGCCGGCATTTCCGCCCCGAGGGCCTCGCAGAGGACTTGTGTGTTAGCAACGAGCTTCTCCAGCGACTTGGTCTGTTTTTCAAAGTTGGCCTGACGATCCTCGAAGATCTCACCACTCTTCACGTACGCCTCGGCATTGCGCCTGCTCTGGGCCGCCAATGCCCTCTGGTCACGGACAACATGCGCCTTGACGTCTTCCAGGTACCGATTGAGGATATGGCGGAACCGCAGCTGGAGTTTCTCAGAAATCAACGGGGGCTCGTTTTCTTCCGTCTCGCCCTCAGCACCAGCGCCATTCGGCCCGTCTCCAGAGGCTCCATTCGTCGTGGTGGTGGTGGTCGTCGTCGTCGCGCCGTCCGCTTCCACGGTCTTCCTGCCTTCCTCCACCAATTTGGTTCCCAGCACATCCCAGCTAAAGCTCTTCACGAACAGCACGGCCAAGGGCAGATTCAGGTGATCGCGATCATGACCCAGCAGGTCCTTCAGTACCTCCAGGGGGAACGGCTCCGACTCCTTCTCACCGCCGTCCCTGGCAGCCGAGGGCGGCGCTTTACTGCTCTTCACAGGCCCGTCGGTCGTCTTGCCCACAACACCCCCGTCCTTGCCCTTAGTCGCCGCAGCACCCAGGTCCTCCGGTCGATCGATATCATCCAAGGTGCGCAGCACGCCCACCAGCCAGAGCTCCGTGACGACGCGCAGCAGCACCCGGTGGCGCGACAGCCGCTCTTTCTCCTCGCGCTCGCGCACCTCCTGGCTCAGAGCCTTGAGCTGTCCTTTGTCCGGGGTGCTCAGCCCGCGGCCCAGCAGCCATCCGATCTGGCGGGTGAATTCGCCGGGGCCGAACCGCTGGTGCAGGGCGCTGGCGATCTCGACTCCCGTGGCGATCTCGCCGGGTGACTTGAGCTTGCAGAGACCCTCGTAGCAGGCCGAGATGATTTCCGACAGGTACTTGTGCAGCGACAGGGTGCGGATGTCGGCGAGGAAGGTCTGCTGGGCGGAGGCGTTGATGCCCGTGCGGAGGCGCTTGATGAAGGCGGTGTTTTTCTTGAGGGCAGAATCGAGGGATTTGCTGACGGGGAAGATGTCTGGTGTGTTGCGACAATACTATTAGTGAGTGGGAACTTTGGCAGGTTGGCGAAGTGTGTGTTTTGTGTGTTTGTGTAGGAGAAAGTGACAGGTACGGGGAGGAGGGGGGGTGGAGGGCGTGGTGCGTCATTGTCGGAGGAAGGAAAACAGGCATTATTTACCAGTCTCGCCAGCCCAGGCTTTCTCGTTGAGAGTGCGGAGTTCCCCTGTGCATGAACAAGAATATCAGTGCACTGAACCACAGGGTAATGGCCGTGTTCGTGAGACATACGCTTCCGGTGACGATCCATGGCTTGGCCGCTGATGCGAAGTCCACAGGTTACAGTGGGTGGGATGGATTTCAACTATGCAGAATTCCTTTCAGCGAGAGGAAAAGGAGGGCGCATAAGTGACATGAACGCCACATTGGGGAGAGTGAGAGGGAAAGGAGATTGATGCACGCGCACTATTTTGGGCGTCAAGGGAGGCGTGAGTGAAAGATTGCAAAGTTGAAAGTGGCTGACGAAAGTTGCAGTGAGTGACGGACGGACCGAAGGCGGAGGGGAAGAAAGAGAGGCTCCACTAACTTAGTAGAGATAATAACTATAGCGTCGATAGCGGATGATCACTGCTAACCTGTTTCTCCCCATCAAGTATATTCCATAATCGAGGATAGTTAATTCATTATATTGTTAAGGAAAATTATCCTCGGGTTGTGGCTCGTATTACTCCGCATGAACAGTATTCATCAAGCAGAGTTAAAGCTATACTACTGCAGATACAGCGGGCATTAAAATAGAAACAATCACAATTCAACACACTCTCCCATCCACAGTGGATCACCGAGTGAGGGAAACAGCAAAATCATTCACTTCATCAAACCCAGAGCCCTCCTAGAAGACCATCCTCGCCCACTCAGTGAACCCCCGCCGGCGCCTCCGAGAACCCGGGTCTCTGGCCCTCCTCGTCCTCCAAACCCAGCAACCGATTCTGCAACTCATGCTTCTGGTCCTCGTTGCTCCAGCTCTGCTGGCGCACCACGGGCGGCTTCCACGGCTTTTGAGAGGTGCTGGGCCCCACGGGTGCGGCGCCAATATCAGCGCCGGCAGAGGAAGAAGACGCAATGGCGCTGGGATGGTCTGTGGTGGTATCTGTGGGCAGCTGGATGACGTCGGGGTTGACTTGAGATTCGTTGAATGACATTGTTCTTTTCCTTGGGTGATTGTTTGATGAGGTTTTGACAGTTGGTATTAGATTCACTTGACTGTGTAGGGTTTGAAGTAATCTTGTAAGAGAGTATCTTGCTTGATTGTGGAGTTGTCTGGGAGTTGGAGAGCGTTTAAATGGTTCAGAGAAGAGGGGAAGGAGTACAATTTATGCAAAGATAACACCACACAGCTCTTGTGTGGAATGACGTCTCTTGTGTGGCGGTGGCTTTATGCTTCCTTTGTCAGACCAAACCAGAGAGTAGACAGTAGTCAAAGAACTTCTTCGTATGTTCTGGGATGTGTGGAAAAGAAGGGGGGAAGAAGGAACTGGCCACCACCGCTGCGGAGAGAAATCAACGTCATTGAGGGGAAGGTTGCACAAGTGACTTTTGTCGACTACCTTTTTTTTCCAAACTACTCCTTCATGTACTGGCAGTACAATTCATCTACGCATGCGAACGCCACCACTATATACGAATCACTCATTCCACCCTCACGCAAACCTTGGAGAAATGCTTCTGCTCCTCCATATACTCATACGCCTCTCTCACCTCCGCGAACCCGAACACCCTCTCATCGATCGCCGGCCGGATGCCATGCTCTTCGATAAAGCGATTCATCTCCTCGAATTGCCGGCGTGTACCTAACAGAACCCCGCGCACGGTACACAAGTTCATCAAACAGTCAACCAGCGTGTTGACATTCTCACCGGGAGGAGGCCCGCCCAGCAAGCCCGTCATAGCAATCATCCCCTCGGGCCGGATGGCCTTCAGCGACTGACTGGCCGTCGACAGACCCCCGACATCGACGACAAGATGCACCCCCTTCCCGTCGGGCGTCAGCGCCCGCGCCGTCTCGCCCCATTTGGGGTTGCGCCGGTAATTGAGCACATGGTGGGCGCCGAGGGCCTGGAGACGCTGCGCTTTGGCCTTGGAGCTGGTCGTGGCGATGACGGTGGCGCCGGCTGCCAATGCGAACCACAATGCGGAGTATAAGAGACCCAATTGTCAAGCATGATGCGGCGTCAAGTCTACCCCCCAACACCAAAAAGCAACGCAGCAAGCCGCTGTGACCAGAAACAAAACAGAATACGCACCTGCAAAGCAATAACTGACACCCCACCCGTCCCCTGCACTAGCACCACATCTCCCTTCTTCGGCGCCCGCGCCGCGAGCCCGAACAGCGCGTTCCAGGCCGTCAGTGCCGCGCACGTCAACGTGCTCGCTTCCACAAAGGATAAGCTCGCCGGCATCTTCACCAGCGCCGTCTCGTGGTACACGGCGTGCGGCCGCAGCGTCCCGTCCACTTGCTGGCCCAGCCCGGCGCCGATGTCCGCGAACGTGACCGGCTCGGACTCGGGCTGGTGCGGTACCATGTACGTGCAGACTCGGTCCCCGGGCTGGAAGCTCTGCACCAGGGGGCCGACGGCTTCCACAATGCCGGCGCCGTCGGATGCGGCGACCACGTTAGGTTTGATGACAAGAGAGTGAGCACCCTGTATGAGTAGCGGAGATTTAGCTTTTATCTTTATCCAGGGGGGAAGAACGTAGGAGCGAAAGAGTGACAGCGGTCCATACCTTAGCTATAGCCAGATCGCGATGATTGAGCGATGCCGCGTGAATGTGCAACAAGACATCGTAGTCGCCCAGGGAAGGCGCAGGCTTATCATGGATGAGTTTGAGACTCCCGAGACCATCCTGGCCTTCAAGAATCCAGGCAGCGGAGGTATGCATTTCAGTTGGCTCCAGATCACAATTGCAGTACTTCTGCAAGGAATGTGTTTGCGAACTTCAACCGGTCAGGAGGGAAATAAGATGCCTCTAATACAACTAAGGCAGGAGACCCGCCCAAGTCATCACCACAGACAGCCAGTGGAACTGGGAACTCCTCGACTAGGAGGGAAAGCCTTGGATCCAACTCAGTGCAAGGACTGCCCGACTGGCAGGCTGGTCTGCCCCATTTTCGTGGCTGCCATTCCCAAGATTGTGGGGACCTTGAATCATGCGGATGTGCCCGGCAGCCAGCACCAGAGACGTTACGCGACTCGATGCGATACCAAGCTTCGAAATCTAGAACGGGTGTCAACCAATCTGAGGACAGTCAGTGGAGAGTCGAACAAACGTTGACCCAAATTTCGGACGGGATTTGTTGGCCACAGGTTGAGAGAAGACTTGGTAGTGATTTTGACCCACTCGGCAGAAGGTCGCCCGATCCTGCAACTCAGCTCAAAAGAGCTCTTGACTACAAAAGCACAAGCCACCATTGGAGAGACCAATCCGCATCGGATTCTGCGTGACAAGAATCATCTCTTTCGGCAAAAGTCTATATCCCAGTTTTCCACCGTATATACAGACGACTCAATTGTGCGGATAGATCGGGGAGTTACGGAAGCAAAAATCCTGTACATGATCCGTCTTTCTGACGGACAAAAAAAGGCACTCACAACACCGCTCCAAAGCAAACGACAAGTAAACTCCTTATAATCATGGCCCCAACAAGGGCAACCGGCAAAATGCAACAAAGAAGAGAAGCAAGATATAAGCAGCGAAAGAGAAAAGAACACTCCGCGTTGCTAGACAACCATCACGGCTTTTTCTTCATGTGACTACCGGCTTCCGAAGACGCGGGCGCCCCTTCATCTCCATCCACCAACCGCCACAATCGACGGACTGAGAAGCCGCTGCCGAACAGGTAGATCACAACCAGCCAGCCAGCCAGTATGTTAGTCAGATGATGGAGCAGGTAGGCGTAAGATACTCCGTAGACCGCCGAGTAGACCGCGATCGCAAAGAGGAGAACAGATGTAATGGTTTTTAATCTAGTACTGTCAGTCTCCAGTGCCGCAAGTAGCTTCAAATACATGCAGAGGTTCATACCGTGTGGTCACGCGGGGGATCATGGTTCCCGTCGTCATAGCCTCCACAAGCAGAATGAAAGGCATGATGGACAGGACATTGTGATGAGATGAGAAAGGCATAAACCAGTGGACCACGAGATTGTGCGCCCAAACAAGCAGAACAAGAATGTTGATCGGAAGGATCCAGAGCATCAACAAAAAGATTGAGTAGGTATAGTTTGCGAAGTTGTAGTGTGTTGTGGAGTTCTAGAAATTGAGATTAGCAAGGGTTAAAGAGATCCATGATTCAGGATTGAATGGTCATACAGTCTCTTTGGCATGCCACTGGGCGCGAACGCAAGTAGCTAGTTGCACAATGCAAGCCACCATGTAGGCAAACTGGTAAGGAACCACCGTAGAGACAAGTACCAACAGGATAACCGTGTTGATCAAACGCCGTCTAGGTGAAGGAGCTGAGAACAGCGAAAGGTTTCTGACGAGGCGGTCAGTGAAAATGTTATTAGGCCAGACCAAGAAAGAACTTACCCTTTATCATCCCGCTTGATGTAACCTGACCGGCTGTTCAATAGACCATATACGAATGTCAACACTGACAGAAGAGACAATGCGACATAATTGATCAGGACACAAACGCCCACACTGATCATACCGAAGACGGGCACCAAGAACCAGAAGAAGGCATCCTGAGAACCCAGAAGTAGATCGTTCTTCGTATAGTCCACTGGAGTTTCCGTAGCGTTCGTGCGCCAATGGAACATCTCATCACGTGGCGGCAGAGTGCTCGATGTAGCCAGGGAGGAAGCCAGCAGGGACATAGCCAGTAGCAGCAGGGGCAGAGACGACCGTATAGTGCTGTCAAGGCCTTCCAGAAAGGTGATGAAATAGCCGGTTTCGTTATACACCTGGAACTGCTTGCGGAGGACCAAGGCGATCACAAGGACTGGAAAAGCCGCGAAGACAGTGCGGTACCGCATCACAAGCTCGCCCAAGCTACCTAGAATATCAACTGCCAAGGATATATCGACCGATGACTCGCAAGTCGGGTCCGTCCACAGTTGAAAAGATACTCCGCCTAGGGCTGCCTGCTCGCGAAGCGGAGGAGGCATGAAGGGCGCAACACCGTGCAGGTTAACATGGACATGCTGAACATTGACGAAAAATTTCGACTCGTGCGGATCCGGGATCGACTGACGCAACAACGGAGCAAATAGCTCCTGCTGGTGCCGCGGGCCCCGTCGCACGATCTTGAGCTTGTAATTCAGCAGACTCGAATGCAACGCAGGAATCTTGACCTCCGTGAGCATCGGACGGTTGGCCGGCAGTCGCATCTTCACTCCAGCACTGAGGAGACCCCCCAAGCCCACATGAGCTCTGATCACGGAGTCCGAGCTATCAGAGAACTCAGCTACGACCCATCCGCGGGTCGGCGAACGGGCTTTGTCAACGACCGCCACGAACTGGTGCTCCGCAAGGTCCTCCAGATCATATTGTAGGTATGAGAATGGAGTCACTCTGTCGTAAGCATGTTTTGAGAAATGCGTGGATGCCGGCAAGTGAATGCCATCCTCAGCGGCATTCTTGCAAGCAAGGCGAGTTGAGCCCGTACTGCCACCGGAGAAGTCCATGTTTATCGAGAATACGCCGGCAAATTTGCCATTGTGCATGGGGAAAACGCTGCAAAACAGAACCTCCAGAGTCCCGTGCTCCCCCGTCTTGTCAAGTTGCTGGCTTGTAAGTAGCGTAAACTTTTTCCCTGACACACCTTGCGGAGGAACTGGCAGCAGATGGACGTTCGGGCCGGTATCCTGACCAAACTCACGAAGTACCAGTCGCTGGCCTTGGGGAAGGATGGTGTTGGTGCTGTCCTCTAATGTCAATAGCGTGCTAGGCTCTACAAGGCATGTTAGTGACATATCTAGCGGGAAGCGTTTTGTAATTTGTACCTTGTTGAGGGAGCGTTCGCTCTGCCACACTTTCCAGCCCAGTCAAATACCATTTCTTGAAAATCCGCATGCGCTCAGCTCTCGGTTTCGTTTGGCTGGCCCGACGAACATCTACAACATCAAATAGTGACTTGATGATTGCCTTGCGGAATTGATCACACCATGTAATAGACAAATGGTCCATCCCTATCCAAACGTCCGGAATGGTGGATGTAAAGACCGTGAAGCCGTGCGTTTCCGGAACGAGCGATGAGATGCTGGCGTAGTCAGAAGGAACCACTGTGTCACGGGAACCGCCGGCGATGGATATCAGCGTCAGGTGCCATAGCGGATTGTTGTTGGCCCATGTCTGTGAGTAGGCGTCGCGCCAGTAATCGTTGATCTGTTTGTAGGTGTGCACAATGTCCGATTCAAACGAAACCGGGGGCTTCGCGTGCGGCGCCGACATGGTGATAATGGTATTTACGGTATTTGCCTGATAATTCGCCATGGTCAAAGCGGTACGAGACACAATCCCTCCCATTGAGTGTCCGATCAGGATGACAGAGCTCGGGTCTGGCAGAGTGGGATCTCTGCGCGACCGGCGGGGATCGTGGTAGAGCGATAGGATGTACGAGATGGCTTCGTTGACGTATTCCGCTTGGTCCAGCAGCGTTTGACCATGAAAGGCCGCCATGTCCTCGTTGAAGTCGATCATGAAAAAATCCAGACTGCGAGTTCCCGCCTTAAGACGTTCTTGGTCATGACGGACCACGTCGGCATAGTGTCGCGATGCTTCGGCAGCCAAGGAGCGAACTTGTCGGTAACTGCCAGCATTTCCAGGCAAGAAGAGTACCGGGGCGCCATTCAACTATGACCACGATAAACTATCAGCACGGGCTAGGGGACAGTGAAGAGCTTAAGAATAGCATGAACCACAAACTTACCCCGAGATTTTCTTGGTTATACGGGTCCACCCCTTCTTCCCGATAGAGAAACAGATTGTATTTGCTGGCAAAGCGAGTATGTTCCGTATCGAATCCGACCATGCGGATGAACGTGGGGCTCATCACGGGGATGCCACATCCATCACCGCCGACTTGGCGTACGGTGAAAGACCGACAGATGAAGAATAGGAATATGGAGGCAATGAGCGTAGTGAGCGCCGCTAGAACGGAGATCGGCCAGGGACTGCGGAGGTGCGAGGGACGAAAGCGATGCTGGCCATCGGGGGAAGCTTCCATGGGTAGTCGCTGGGAGGCCAGCGGCGTCATAACCGACGAGGAACGGGATTCGTGCGAGGAAGAGGGAGTGCGCCAGAGGCTCGAGTTTCTAGAGCGTGTATTAGAGGTGCCTGTGGTGTCTCGCCGCAGGTCGAAGCTGGTGCCGGTTCTAGCTGCCTGCGAGCGGGATTTTTCCGGCGGATCGAGAACATGGGGAACATGGCTGGGCTCAGTCTGGGTTCGAGAGACGGTGATCACGGAGTCTTCAGCGTCGTCCTCGGCCGGCGAGCCAGACGAGCGTCTGTGCATTGGAAGTGGCCGCAGTCGATGGAATCATCCAGTACGTGAGAGAGACCGAGAACTTGAGTTGGGGGAGAAAGTGTGCGGAAACGGTGGACGGCGGCAAGGGGATCCGTCCGTGGAAGTCGAAGGCTGGAATGCGACGATGGGCGAACTCGAGAAACCAGCGAATGAACGGACAAGCACGAATTAGGCTGACTAGCTGAATGATTGTATAAGTCGTGCCGTGATTCCCTGTCCTTCCACCTCTCTAGAATGTTTGTGGTTGGTTCCAAGACCGAATGGACCCCTAAAGCGAACGAGCTGGGGGCTTCGCGGGAGGACGAACGAGCGACCGACGGAGGCGATAAGGAGGGGAACGAGGAGGAGCGAAGATAGTAGGAAAGGAAAACCGGTAACGGGGAGGAGGCCAGAGGAAGCTCGGAGGGATTGTGAAGTGATGAAAGAAGGTGGGCGAGTCGCGTTCGAAGGATGGCCACCAGGAGGGAAAAGGCAAGCAGCAGCAGCAGCAGTAGTAGCAGTAGTGGTAACAGGGAAGCGAGGCGAGGCAATCAAGCAGAGTTGGTTGAGGTTCTTTTTTGGCACCGCAGACGGAACGGGCTTGGCGGATGCAAGTCGGCACGATCGAGCCACGATCGACATCTGCCTGTTTCTCACCAAGACGTGGTAGTTGACTACGCAGTAGTAACTGAGTACAACCGAGCAGTGAGGTTTGCTAGTTATACAAGGGTTCCGACAACTCCCTTATGATGGCAGTGGGAAAATCTCCTTCTCTTCCTCATCCTGCGCACTCTTGGGAACCAGTCTCCAGACTGGATGTCATGAAGTCAGCGTCACATCGCTGGTCGGCTTGGATTCAAGGGACAAGAGATGCCAGGGACCCATAAATCGAGTCAGCCTGACAGCTATCTCATTCTCCAGCCCAATTCGAGTCAAGCAAAGTTGTGTACAGTCCATTGACAGTCTACATGGTCAATTGAGGAACGCTCCAAGGCTTGCTCGCTCCACACATACTCTAGAGTCCACGGCAGGTAAGACCCTGAGGCAATCCAGGCTCCACCACCAGCCCGCATGATGAGTAAGTGGATGGAGAACAGACCAAGCATTATACATACATACTGTGCAGTACATACACAAATCGGCACTGTACATATCATGCATCATCTACAAACAAAATATAGCATTGTAGTAACTACATGGATTTCTCGTGTTGATTTCCAAATTATACTATACATCAGACCACGCATTATCCCTGCAGGGGTCAACCGTGCGGGGTTGCCAGCCAACATCTATAAATCCCGCTGCTTTTCCCCGGCCCCCAAGACTCGGACAAGTCACTTTCGCTCCACACATGCACCGCGCTGCATGGAAGCTTAGGTGAGCTTACCTGTTCTTTCAATCTGGCATCCTGATCTAGAAAGGCATATGAAGAGACTTCAACCCTGTGACTATCTCAACTTGAGACAATGAGCCCATTCGAATTAAGCAGATGCTGATAAGGCCCCGTTGCGAGTGTGGATTGGACTGCATCTTGGTGTGCCCCGTGCCTTGGCTGACTCGGTCCGAGCCCAGATTCCGCAAGCACCTCGCTTCGAATGCAATTTATACCTAGTTTCCTTAACAGATTGCAACTTGTTCACTTTCTTCCAGGGATTGTTCTCGATCTTTGTATGAAAAACACTACGGTCCCTGAAGACTTGATATCGTCGGGCAACAAATCGGAATCCAATTAGATGTATGGCTATGCATGGCTAGGGCTCAGAAATCGCCGCCACCACATTCTTCATTCCTCAAGTAGTCCATAAATATTTGAATGCTGAATCGTTGCATCGTAGATTTCTTCATACTAAAAGTAAACAAAAGCATTTTCGTCGCGTCAATCAACCTTCTAGTGTCCGCACGGTGCCCTTCTCTGGGTCACTCTCGGTATTCTCACCATCCACGCCGCGATGGGCCGTCACTTCCGCCATGTCCGCATCGTGCGCGACATCGAACTGACGCCCCAGCCGCTCAGGACCCAAGAAGGTGATCAAAATCACATATGCGTACACACATCCCATGAAGATGCAGATCACCTTGCCATACTGGTACCGTTTGGCTCCGGTATCCGAAGGGGGAAGGGGGAACCGTTCTCCGATCGTCGATTCAATCGTAGAGCTAGCCGACGACACCAGGTTACCCAGCTGGTAAGCCGTACCCACGGCAAAAGTGCGAATCGAGCCTGGGGACAGCTCCATCAGGTGGATGGGAATCACACCCCAAGCACCCTGCACGCAAAATTGCTCGAAGAAGGCAGCCGCCGTGACGTTTGTCGAGGTCACGAAAGTGTATGGGTAGAGGAGGGCACCGCCGACGATGCTGACCACGATGATTGAAAATCGTCGTCCGAAGATCTGACTCGCCCAGCCGCACAGGGTTCCTCCCGTCAATGCTCCCAAGTTGGCAACAACTTGGGTAACAGTGACGGCATCAGCCGAGAAGCCAAACTGACTCTTGAGCATGGTCGGGTAGAGATCTTGCGAGCCATGAGACTGAGAAAAATTAGTGGGGCGGCGACCGAATCATAGAAGGGGAAGTAAGTACCATGAAATTGAAACCTGCCATCAGCAAAACGAGATAGATCAAGAGCAACCAGTGTCGCTTCAAGGCTGTCCGGCCCTCCGATAGGAAGGTCGATGTCACTCCACCTCGGACAGCATTTCGAGTCCTCTGGCGCTCGATGAAGGCGTCGGTCTCGGGCAGACATAGCCGATAGATAATAATCAAGACTGGAGGGCATGCCCCAAACCAGAACAGGGGTCTCCACCCGTGCGAGGTCGTGCCAACCAGCCCGCGCGCGAAAGCAGTTGCCAGCAGATACCCAAATGCATAGCCTTGTTGAAGCAGACCCGAAACAATTCCACGCGCCTCCATTGGACAGTCTTCAAGCGCAGTAGCAGCAGCGTTGCCGTATAGGCCTCCCATGGCAATTCCAAAGAGAGCACGACAAGCCAGGAACTCGCGATATGTCCGAGAGAACCCTGTCCCTAGCTCCAACACTATGAACAAGAGGTTGTTCACAATAAAGGGCCATTTTCGGCCCCATCGGTCGGCGGCTATGCCAAAGGCGATCGATCCGATGGACCGGAGCATCAGCACCAGGGTGATACCCCAGGTGATATCTGTTACTGATTTATCGAAGGATTCTGCGAGCTCAGTGGTGGTCAAAGAGACGGTAAAGAAATCAAAGGCATCCCATGTCCAACCGAAGAAAGCGACCTAAGGTTGCCACTATGAGTAAAGGATTTGGGCAGATGTGTTTCGAGAGCCACCTACCCCGAAGAAGAGCCATTGCTTGCCTGTGAGCAGAGTAAGAGCTTTGATAGGATTGGGAGCAGGATTCATGGGCGGCACTAGGGTTGGAACTCGAGTAATCAGGTATTTTCCAATACTCATTGATGGCAAGTCATCTCCATCCGAAGCATGATGCTGAACAGCGCGCGAGGGCCCGTCCTCCTTGAGGTGGGCCATGGTGGATAGCAGAGCAGACTACTGATCTTTGGCTGCAAAGGACTCAAAGCCAGGGTAAGGAGTAAAGCCAGAAGTAACAAGGGGGAGAATAAACAATTTAAAGAAAAGGACTGAAAATTAAGACTCGGCCGCGTCGTTAAACAGGCCGACGTCGGGCAGGTGATTTGTTCGCCGAGGCCATGAGGACGACAGACCCCGCGATTTCTCACCGGGTCGAAGCCACTGACTGCCTCCAGAGTTACTGGGCATGGTTTGGGTCTAAGGTTCAGGTTCGCTGGTTAACCTTTCGGACTCTTGCCGATCACTCACATGAGGCAATGGAAGCTGACACCTGGGTCGAATCAAAACCACGCGGGGGAGGAAGATAGAGACGATAGAGAGGAGAACTGGGGCATAATCTGAGTCAGAGAGAAGCAGCTGCTCCTGCGCCTAGACTCTCTTCCTCTTTTCCCAAATTCCCTCTTTGTTTATCCTACCTTTATCTTCCCACCTTCTTCCATCATGATGACCAACTTTTCTATCTCCGATGATCAAAATGCGGTTTATTGACTTCTGTTTCTCCCCCATCGCCAAGCTTTCCCCGGAGGCCAAGAGACCCCCCACAAATTCTTGTTCTGCCACAGTTCCATATCTTCGTGAACCTTCGAGTCTGGCAAGCCATGACGTCTACTTTCAATCTCAATCGGTTGTTGCTGGCTATCGAATAACTCGTACGTAGGAGTAAAGTCTTACCCGTTCGTTGTGGCTATTCTCCTGTGACCTTCGCGGACCAGGGCCCCTCTGTGTTTTCAACTCACCACACCCCCACTTAACCTCCCCGAATCCCCAGTCTTTACCAACGCGGGGTAAATAATTGGTACTCTTAAGAGTGCCAAGGGGATGCCCACCGAAACTCAACCAAATGAAGCTGAGCGTTGACCTTTTTACCTTTCTCGACCCACTGTCTTCACAAGCCACGCGGAGCCCGGCCGAAGGGCTTTTCTCCCTTTTTCGCCGGTCATGTGGTGTCACGCGCGCCCATATGCCAGTCTCACCCCGAACACTCCTGACCATTCGCTCCTCCTTCTGGCCGAGTCTATGCAACATCAGCTCTGGTCTGACTGGCCGACAGACTCATTAAGCCATCAGGATACTGGGATATCATGACACCCGTCCATCGGTTGTCCGGAGTCACACGCGGAGTCGGGTACGTACAAGGAGCATCCGTACGGCTGGCTACTCCGTACTTCTGGACCATTGGAATGTCTGTCGCGGGATGCGAAGGGGAGAGCTGAACTAACCCGGTAACGAGCCTAATCGTATAGTCCACCAGACCGGGTAATTGGGATCATGCCATGGTTCGTCACTCATTTCTACTCATTTTACTCCGTCTAACTAATCAATCGGGATCCCTTTCCCGATGCCGGACATTTTCACCCCGCCAATTGCTCTTCCCCACGGGCCAGCTTGTGGTCAAAAGTGCCGTGTGAAATACCTGGCGGGGACTTGTCAGTCCCATTTTCCTTGGCTACTGCCGAGGTCGGAGAGGCTACCTATCTAGATAGTCATTATCTTTCTCAACTACCAGACCGTTTAGCTTCAAGTGTGGGGTAGCGTAGCATTTCGGCTCTCTCAGCATTCACTGATGAGTGTGGGGGTTGAATTGACTCCAATTGACCTGACTCGTAATCACTAGAGATTCAAAGCCAGGTTTTGAATTGCTATTATAGTTGATCAAAGCAACGAGCAATAAGCTGTGTCTCGACGCAGCCTTCAGAGAATAACTATGCCAAGCCAAAGAAGGGCTTTCTGAAAGCTTCAGCTGCCAAGCAGCTGTTCGAGAAATACGTTGTCTTGGCACGAGCTCGGCGTGAACGAAAGCTTCAAGATCGTTGGGGTGAGAGCTATCATGGATGGGCAGCTCTCCCATTGTTGCGTATGATAGACTCTTTCTTCGATCATGATGGACAACCATTATATTTTTGATCTATTGACTGAGCTTCCTCTATACAATCCTCTAAGCAGTCTTTCATACCCATAATGCTCTCCGAACAAACCTAAGCAGAGATGCAAATATATGCAAGAAATATGGTACAAGGTATATTCACATAGCCTCACCGTTTCCGGAGCCGTTTCGACATTCGTCTCGTTGTCGTCGTCTGCGAGGCCTGCAGAACAGCATGGGTGTCTTTCTCATCCTCGGCCTTGATCTCGACACCATTTTCACTTCCTGCCCTCTTCACAGGGATGGTCGTGGCCGTCGTCACCTCCGTCTTGACCTCAACACCCTCATCTTCCTCTTCCTTGACTTCCACCTTGACACCCACGTTGGAAGAAGTCGCCGCCAGACGATCTGAGAAAGATCTCAGATTTGCCGTGAACAGCACACTCTGAGCCCAGCCAGCCTCCTTTCCCCAAAGCTTGCGGAAATGATTGCCCACGGCATCATACAGCACCTTGTTGAGAGACTTGTTTGACCCCTTTCCGAACTTGTAATCCCTTTGTGCAATCTGCCATACTGTATACAGTATCCCTATCAGATATCATCCCTCATCAATAACAAATGGAGCGGGGAAAACTCACCATGAGTATCGACCGGGACGGCCTCTCCCCACCCTAGACCCATCAAACAAACACAGTCGGCAACCTTAGGCCCAACTCCTTGCAACTCCAACAACTTGGCATGAGCAAGACGATACCCCTCCCTGCCTTCCTCCTTCCACTCTTCGCCACTATCACTATTATTAACAGGAGAGCCCTCGCCCACCGCAACGCTCCCTAACGCCACCGACTCTGGGTTCCGCAACCCCTCCAACCAGCCCTTCTCCCGCTCCAGCGCGACAATCCGCGCGGTCTGACAGATATACTTAGCGCGGTACCCGAATCCGAGCCCGCGCAGGGTAGCCTCGACATCCTCGTCATCAGTCTCGGCGACCAACGCCTCCGGTGAGGGAAAATCGTGGTACGCGCGGCCGTCGACACTCGCCACGAAGGGCCCGTACCGCAGGCAGATCTTCTCGACCATCTGCGTGATGCGCGATATGTTGTTGTTGCTGCTGCAGATGAAGCCGATGAGTGCCTCCCACGCGTCTTGTCGTAATATGCGGATCCCCGTAAACTGCGGCGCCTTCTTGCGGAAATTTGCGTCGTGCTTAGACCACCCTTCGTACAGGTTGGTGAGGTTGGCGGGGAGGTTGAAGTAGGCGGTTAGGAGGGGGAGGATGGGGTCTGTGTCTATGGCGGCGGTAGCGGCGGAGGTGTCATCGCTGATGTTTCGTAAGTGGTGAAGGGAGTTGCGTCCGTTAGTAGTTTGTTGACGAGGTGACGGAGGTTGTAGCGGGGAGATGGTCTTTGGAGGTTGGAAGGGGAGATAGGTTCGGTAGTAGAGGTAGGTCGGGTCTTGCTTCAGTGAGACGAGTCGGCCATGGAGAACGCAGCGCCATTCATCGCTGTCAGAAACATTGTGCCATCTGTTATTTACCAAAGACTGGGATTAGTTTTCCGCGATCATGATACGATGCAAGGCGCTGAGTGGCGGAGGAGAGAGTCGGGGTAGAATGACCGGAAGGATTGTCCACAGCGTAGGGTGGTGTTGATACACAACTCACTCAAGCTCACAGGCAGCTTGCGCCATTCAGAAAAGGCGCCCACTGTCATGATGAAGTCAATTGAGCCTCGTCAAGCATGTAAGGACTGAAATCGAAAGGCGCATTTCCGATCGATCCTTTCGATAGGAACTGCCGATACGATAAATTAGATTGTTCACCGCCCTCCGGCGCATAGCAAAACCAGGTACTCAAAACTTCATACTATGGATAATTCCGGACCTTGCCCGCTTCTTTTCCAGACAAGGGACAGACTGTAGACTTCATCGCAAGTAATGACCAAGGACTGAGCACGGGGTCTCCAAAAAGAAAAGATGCAAACGCCCAGGGATCTGTGAACTGGCACCGAAGGGGTAGAAGTCGATCAAGTCCGGGGAATCGTTTAGCCTGGGCCAAGTCCACCCACCCCACACAAGACTAACGGTCTCGGGAAGGGCTTCCTTCCCTTTATCTTTATCTCTACGGAGGAGCTCCATCTCACTCCTTGTGACCCCCTCGCAGTCACTCATCGATCTGGAGTGGAAATATTCACTACCGGTCGAAATGCTTTATCCGCCATATTGGCTCGCTAGCCGTGGGGTGGGTCAATTAAATCAGGGGAGCATATAAATACTTCTGCTGAAGCGCATGCCGAATTCATGGTTATCTTCGAGAAGGAAGAACAGAGTCTTCGTCAAGGAGGGAACAAAACCTTTGGCCTGGCAAGCTTCATGAGGAAAAGGTGGGATATAGGGGATTTTTGGTATTCTCATGCCCCTGAAATCCCCAGAGGCTTATTATATATTATATTCATAAACCATATACCACAGAGATTCAAGAAACCGCATGACGCTGAGATGGTTGAGTTTGAGCGAACCATCACATCATATTGGGCGCCGAACATACAGAAGTTCCTTGATGATGGGAAGATGAAAGACAAAGAGGTTTACGAGACAGCCTTCGCGACGCTTTCGCAGCCGTTCAAGCAAGCACACGTATCGTTATTCTGGCTTATCCCCTTCCGCGTCAGGCCTTTGGCTTGCTGCCCGTGAAGATTCTTCCTAGATTAGCTACTTTCTAAGAATTATAGCTAACTATAAAATCAAGATTACGATATACCAAGCATAAGCTTAACATAGGCTAAAATTGCTCACCGCCATCGGGACAGAATCAAAGACTACGTACAAGTTGTAGCGGATCGCCCCGAGCTATATACCAGTATACATGCCCTTTGACCCGCTACTTTTCCAATCCGCGGAGCAGGCACTACAATTCCTCTTGTTCCCCCAGCAACCTTCTTTAATCATTATCTTAATATGCTCCCTCGTCATGTGAATACTATATGACAGGTGAAGCTCGTGAGCTCAATTCCACCTACAGTTCGCAAGATCCTTTCCACACACCGCCCCCCTCCCCCTCTCGTGGGTGTGCTTTCGAAACCATTCAGGAGCGCTGAATATTTTCTCACTAAGCGGGGACGGCATGGATGACCAATCGTGGACTAACATATTCTTTCCTCACTGGCAACCACCAGATTGGATTAACTCAGTGCATGGGAAGAATCAACACTTCAAACCTTTTCCTGATCTCCAGAGAAACTGGATATTGGGGAGGTTAGTGGCTAGAGGAAGGCGTGCTAGCCAGGACCGAACTCAGGTTCTATGGCTGCTAGTTCGGTTTGAGAAAAGATATACGCGCAAGTGTGTGGCCAAAGTGGTGTGTACATCATCGGAAGGATATTTCTGCGCAAAAACTCACATCAGATGAAGTTTCCTGACTACACTGCGACGGATGCACAATCCCAGCTTCGACGCCTTCCCTCACGCATCCCTAGAAAGCTGATGGATGTTAGAGATGCCCTCGATCCATATCTTAACGACGCTCGAGCGTTTCAACGCATTGGTATATCGTGTCCAGCTTCTCAAAGGATATACTTTCCAGCATTCTACGGCGTCATTACCGACCTCAGTGCATCTAAGTTCACTTCCGGATATGTGAACTCTTGAGCTCTTGTTATCGAGTCCATCAGGCCTAGGCATGCATCAAGGCAGATTCTAGCGGCATGCGGAGAATGTAGCCGCGAGTTCAGGGATCGGCTCGAAGCGTTCGAGTCTCTCAGTGATTTTGAAATAGGATACTACAGCAATCTGTTTTGTGACCGCGTTCGCCGTCTTCTGGCGTTGCACAAACTTGGAATTACTCATGGGCGATGTGCGGGACGATCATTTCTGGCTCCCGGGCGACTTCCATGACACAGTTTTGTATGATTTTTCTGTCTCATATACTTATTCCAGACACACCCTACTTGGTCAACTTCCGTCAACCACGACCTCTGAAAGATATATCAGAGAGCGAAATAAGCATTGTTGGACAGCATGTACTCGAAAGGTATGTGATGCGAGGTGTTTCATTGATGCGAGGCTAAATTTCGACCAGGGCCTGAAAACTAGATTTCCGCGATCATCTTATGGAATCCATCCAGACCTCGCAGTCAGCAATCATGGCTGCTCTTGTTGAACCTCTTGAGACCGAGTCGTTGGAATTAATAGTCCTGAGTGTAAAATTTCGGCCTGAAGGTTAGTTGAGCCCTATTTCCACTGCCTAGAAAAATATCAATAATTCTTGAATAGCCCATCGTTGAATTCGCTCTTCCCTTTCCTTGAAGGGATTCGCCCAAAGAATGATATACTTGGCATATCCGGAGGGGTCGACTGTTGGAGCTTTACACGTCATTGTGGGTATCTTACACAACAGACAGTTTGGGTCAAACTGTCATTGATCCTTTCACCAGAATGGAGCGCGCTCAAGGGGAAATGAAGGAAAGAAGCGGATACTTACTTTGCTTGATACCTAAAGAATGGGGAGAAGAAGGTATCCGCATCCCGCTCCTTAAGCTCTGCTCAACCCTCCAATGTCAGGATGTTGGCTGCATCAAGACGTGGATTGACTTTGAGAATTGCATCTGAGGTTCAATCTCACCCCACAATACCCGGTTGACTTGATCGCTCGCCACCGGCTTTGAAGATAGTTCTTTCAGCTAGCCTGGACCTTTATCTGTACCTCTGTCAGGCCCGCAATACATATCACGAGACGGTAGGGTGCATGCAGTTGGATGTATTCACATTGTATCTTGTCAACCCAATAGAGCAACTTCAACTCTATTGCGCCTCGTACAGAATCCGGTATGGCTTCGACTTTTGCGAAGAAGGCGTATTGCTACTGCAAGCACTCCAATATAGTGACCCGGAGGCAAAATCTCCAAGGCCGGGGCGGATCGTTCGTCCACCATCCCACCAGCGAGTTATTTCTTCTTCAACAAATGACATGTCAAGCATCCCGGAAGCCTTGAAAGATATGTCAGTGGATTCTTCCATCCTGAGCTCTCCTGCAATTGATCTTCTAAGATACGTCTTCATCCCTTGGGATGCACATTGCCTTGGGTATTGACACCCATGCTAGGTCTCTCGCCTCGGAGCCGTCCAGAGTAGCCTCAACTCCTCTCGTGGATATAGCAGAGCAGTCAAGGCAGACACAGTCTCCAGTGACACCGGCTGGCAGCACGCAGCCCCCGCGCACACCTGTTGGAAAGGGAAACGGGGCATGCAACCAGCACCAGTAGTTCGAAGACAAGCGATGGTCCGCAGTACCACGATGTGACTATATTTGGGGCAAGAATCTTCAGTTGTCACAAGAATGATCTCGATGGCAAATGGGTCTTCACTGACCCTGTCAACAAATGCGAAGACACGATATAAAGACCCCGAAGCTCACTACGAAGATCATTCTGCCTATGCTTATGATACTTGTTTCGCTTGAAACGGATATCTAACAAGGTCGACTTTCGGCGCCTTGGGATGATATACTAGTACCCGATCATGAGAATATGTCGCCCGCCTTACCTAGGAAATTATCATACAAATTAGTATAGAGGGAAATATCAGAACACCAGGATTCCTCATCGTGATAGCATGAGATTACGACAAAATTGAGCACACATGACTTTTCAAATTTCTCCTCTTTCAGCTTCGGGAATCTGTACTTACATCATGTCATGTTGAGATTGTCTTCCTTAGATTGTCTATATCCGGACGAGATCTCGTGCTGCTTGAGTATGAGTAAATGCCGCCGACAGAACACCCAGTATCGTTGAGTATCTTCAGGTGGCGTAGCATATGGCCCAGAGGCTGAAAAGGGCGCCGGGCAGACGTGCGACTGAATGCTAACTGCCGCGATGCGCCCAGATGGCGATGTCTGCGGAAAGACAAAGAATCCTTCAACACACCCTGCGTCGGCAACTTGGACATCATGTCTAGACAGTTCATTCAACAATTGAATCATATCATAACAACGGATCTTTGTTGCTGCTATGCGCGATATGTGTACGTAGCAAAGGGTGCGTCCAGGACAGCGGTAGGAGAATTGCTGCTTGGTGAAGACGGCGTTGGGCATGTTTTCGGACAAGGACTCGTCCAGTAATAGACCATCATGTACATGGCGGTTATATTACCTAGTCATTAAAGCGATGCCATCGGCTTGCCCTGCGGAAAGGTAGTTTGCTGCTATAATCATGTAGTGAAGAACCTTGGAAGATATACATGGTATATGTGGGTAAAGCTTATATATCTATAATTGCAAGCAAAGACATCAAGTAGCATCATTGGTCTAGTGGTAGAATTCATCGTTGCCATCGATGAGGCCCGTGTTCGATTCACGGATGATGCACTCAATCTTTTGCTTTTTGACCTTTCTGCCGGCCTCCGTCTGGCCTGTGGCGGCCTTCTGTGAGTGCTCTGTGTGAAAAGATGCCTGCTACTAGCAAGAAGATTCCCTCTTTTTTTCGTTCATCCGGGACCAAAGGCATGTAAGGCAAACATGACAAACTGATCATTGCTTATTCGGGGCATATGGATCAGGTGACTTCGTGTCCGGATCGCGTCACGCTTTTTTCCTCTCCTCAAGCAGACCAGACAACACAGAAGGCTCAAAGGCCAGTCGTTGAGGGCAGCTAGATCAATGCTTGTATCTTCCCGGCAGCATGTCCCTTTTGGACTACTGGGAAACCCAGCGTCCGAACCCGAAGCGCAGAAAAACCGCCGCAGATGACAAGCCCGCCACCTCGAATACTAATTCTCCCGGTGACACGGAAAACACCCCGGACTCTTCTGATGCCCCGCCGGTCAAGAGCTCTGCAGTGCCAGTACTCGACCGGATTGATTCTTATCCCATCATAGCCGAGCCAAAGATCGAAGGTGAAGACGACTTCCCTGTCTCGAATAGCCAGACAGAACTCGAATCGTCTCTCCCGGCCATCCAAGATGACAGCCAAGCCATCGAGGAATATGAAGCTTCAAGGTTGGCTAGCCAGGAGGAGCCGGATCTTCACCAGAGACTCCAGAATGGCAAGTGGCGCAAGGGGCGGAGCTCCATCTATGTCGATGCGTTCAACCTAGCACTGGAAACTGTGCTGGATGAGGAGGCGCACCTGTTCGATGAGGTGGAGATGGAAGTCTTCAAACAATGGCAGGAGCTGGACTATGAGGCTCAATACCTGTGAGTTCGGTCTTAGCCTCAGTCGTAACTGGGTCGTCTCGGGAAAGACTCTAATGTGACGCATTCGGAGGTAGATACGTACGACTTTTCCTTCGAAAGACGTCCGCTTGGCATCGCATCAATCGACTGGGCTACTATTCGGACATCGCAGACATGCCCCGAGTGGTAGCCTCGTTGCGACGCCCTCGCAGCCTTCCGCCCTCGTCGTGTCCGTTATCCGCGGGTGGTGAAACCCCCGCGGACATCGACCCGGCCCCTGCGCTACGCTTGACCGGCGAGTTTCGATTCGCCGAGCACATGGACCAGATCACAACCTTAGAGGAAGCTTCTTCTTTGTTGCTTCTTGACGAGCTTAAGACACTCGCGAAAGAGGCCAAGGTGCAGGGCAAGAGTAAGAATGAGCTCATCGCGGCTCTACACCGCGCCAGTCAGAAACAGACCGGTCTGGGCTGGAGCCCTAAACCGAGCGAAGCAGAACCCCTGGGTCTCAACCGCGATGTGCATTTTATGCAGAAGATTTTTGACTATACGGGCGATTGTATCCGATTGGCAACGGGCCCACTCGCTCTGTTTGAGCGTGTCCATCTGGTCTTCTACCGCTCCACCGAATGGACTGAAAAGTCCCTCACCACCATCATCCTGGCCAAGATCTCCCGCAAGACATTCCCCGCCTACGTCGTTTGCCGGTCCGGCTCAATCTTCCCGTCCCGCGAATTCCTTCTGGAGTTCGAAACCGCCTTGCGCATCCAATTCCAGATCGACAACTACCTCGAGTTCAGCGGCACCCCGACGGGAGAACATCTGAACAAGATCAAAGACCTCGCGTACAAGGTCTACCCGCGGTGGAAAGTCTTACTGGCGCAGGAACAGCGCAAGGAAGATACCATCTATGAATACGGCGAAGGGGCGTACCTGCGCCGGTTCTCGCCCGCATGGGTCTACACGCGGATCATCCACAAGGGCCTCCACCCGCTCGGACGCTTCAAGGAACACCAGGAAGAACATCGACTTCTGACGGAGCTGCTTGATCAACGCCTGTTCCATGCCGCCCGGCGGGGGGCCTGGTATCAGCGCAAAGCCCTGCTCGAGGAACACTACATGTGGGCCCTCACTGACTTTGAGGGCCGCAGCGAGGAAGTCCAGCGCAAACACTGGCGGCGGATCGCGCTGCGGACCTGCGAGACGGGTCTCGAGGACCCCAACTGCCACCTGATCTTCCACTACGATCTGCAGAAACGGATCATGAAGCTTGAGCGCGCGCTGAAGATCGTCAAGCGCGAGCAGCATGATTTCGGGCATGTGCGGCTGGCGAAGCCCGAGGAGCGGACGATCGCGGGCATCCAGATCGTCGTGCCGGAGGTGGTTGTCTCGGAGACCACCGACTCGCCGTTGGGAAGTAGTAGTAATAGTAGTAGTAGTAGCACTAGTACTAGCAACAGTACCCGACGAGGCCGTCCCACGGTCTGGGTGGACGAGAGGGAAGGCGGGGAATGCCGCGTCGAGACCATGTGTCTGAACTGGTATCGAGCACAAGGCTGGAAAGGATACCACTCTGAGGGAGGCATTGTGAGAACCTTAGTATGCTTGCTCCCTATTCACCTTTCCCCCCCCTCCCCCAAAACAAAATCCCCCCCCCCAAAACTAACAACAAAACAGTTCAGCTACCTCTTCTACGACATCCTCTTCAACACCTACGTCCCCAACGTCTTCCAAACCCCCTTCCAAACCTCGCCGCTCGATCTCCACACCGACGCCTTCTACCCCACCCGCGCCAGCGAGATCAACCACCGCCTCGTCGAGATCACCAACGGCGCTGCGGAGCGCATCCTGCGCGAGGTCCACGCGCGCGAGTCCCCGACGCAGACCTGCGCCGTCGGGTTGGACTGGTCCTTTGAGCTGGAGGATCTCGTCGAGGTGGTGCGGTGTTTTCCGGGCGAGGCGCTGGCGTGCATCTGCAAGGTGTTGGCGCAGGAGTATTCCGTGCGTGGGGGTGGGGTGCCGGATCTGTTGGTTTGGAGGGTGTTTGATAGGGTGAAGGAGGCTTGTGATGGTGGTGAGGAGGAGGAGGACAGGCAGGGTGAGGAGGCGACGGGAAAAGAAGGACCAGTTGGAGAGGTGATGTTTGTGGAGGTCAAGTCGGAGAATGATCGGTTGAGTGACACGCAGCGGTTGTGGATTCATGTAATCTCTGGCGCGGGGGTGCGGGTGGAGTTGTGTAATGCGGTTGCGCGGGAGGTGAGGGTTGCTGGATCTTGATTACTCTGGTTTGGGCTTGGGCTTTGGCTGTGATCAATAAGAGGTCGGTGTTGCTACTGTAGATGGATGTATAGATCGTCTGCTGGTATGCGCTGGTGCATGTAATAGAGGCTAGGTAGGGTTGTCACGTCTAAGAACTACATCTACCCTCAAGACAGTTTACAACAACTACTACAACGAAACAAACAAAATTGGTCGTCAAATCTTTTTCCATTTTATATGACTTCCATGGTAGCCAGAATATATCTCCCAGATTCACACCTCAACAACCCTTTCCAGGCCAGCCAAGGGAAAGAGAGACACAGAACCAACCACGACACAGCGAAGTCATGCACACCACACCAGAACCAACCCAAACACAAACCGCTTAAGCGACGAGGGTGGAGGCGGTGGCGGACTCGTAGCGCCAGGTGGGGGGGAGGACACCGACGGTCTTGTAGTAGCGGGACAGACGGTGGATACGGGACTCGATGAGAATCAGGCGGAACTTGCTGTCCTTGTCCTTGCGGTTGCGCTCAAGGTGCTTGCGGACGGCGACGGCCTGACAGACATGTTAGTTTGACGAGTGTCGGTGGGGCAAGATTTGGGATGGATGCCTACCTTCTTGATGAGGTGGTACAGGTCCTCGGGGAGCTCGGGGGCAAGGCCTGTTTGGAAAAAATCACTCTGTCAGCCTAGGTTTTGACCAAGCAGAGGCAATACGGGTTGGAATATGTTCCCAGAGGAGAAACGCAAGAACAAGGAAGAGAGATGCCACAGTGCACAAAGCAAATTGGACCATGACTCTTTTGCTTGCTCAAGGTGCTCCCGCTGGGTTCACTCCTCCCTCCAGTGTGTTGAGATGTTTGTGATATGTTGGATTTGAGGTGTCGATGAGTGGGTTCGGGGTTGCGAAATGCGATAGGAGACAGTGCTGTCTGGCTTCAGGGGGGATTTGTTCCCCACTCCCCCGGACGACGACGGTGCGGTGTAGTTTCAACCTGCGTCTCTCCGTTCGTTGCTTTCCAAGTACCGTCCATAGGTGGATGGTGCAGCAATGAAGACCAGTTCGTCCCAAGCAAAGGATATTATTCCAATGCTGATCGCATAGTCGCGCCCGTTCCATCTCCCCAATTCATCTCCTTTCAACGAAGAAATCCCAAATCCCAACCAACAAATTCTCTCTCAAGGTACTGGTGCGACTGGGGTGATGCATGCGGATAATAATGGTGATGTCGTACCGTTGGACTTCAAGATACGGAGGATCTTGTTACCTGTTCGCGCCAACATGTCAGCACTGACTCTCTCTCCATCCCAAAAAAAAAGGCAAACATACCAGTAACGTGCTTAACCTGGGCAACACCGTGGCTGTCACGGAGAACAACACCGATCTGGGAAGGGGTGGCACCCTTCTTGGCGAGCTTGCAGATCTGCTCAACAACCTGCTCGGAGGAAGCCTTGAACCAGGCCGGGGGAGCACGGCTGTAGGGGAGAGCGGAGGACGCAATGCCCTTTCCCTTGGAGTGAAGACGACCCATTGTGAGTTGAGGTGGTGGTTGGTTGTCGAGAAAGGTGTTGTTCTGGTCGACGGAGCGAAGCTGGTGGTTGTCGAAGGATCAAATATTAGATGTCTGAAGCGGATGTGGAAATTCTCGTGGATCACATGACCTTGAATTTTCAAAGTTTGTGGGTACGGTCATGTGATTTAGTCATAACCAGTTCGCTTATTTTTTCGAGGTGCCTTTTATTTCTTGGCTTGACTTTCTGCAGGAAATTTCTGTTTTCCTTAAAGCTGTTGGATGTTTACCTTGCGTTCCTTATGTTTCTCATGTCGCCAACACCAGTCTTGAGAGGAACTGCAAGAATCAAGCTTATGTTGCTTGGATTCTCTCCTCTCCCTTCGTCAAGCTGAGGGACACCGCTCAATTCAGTGTGATTCTCAGCACTACAGCGAGGGACTGTCCCTCGGCCACAGCTCACCAGGTCAGTTCTACCGCCTCAACGCTCCTCCAGCACTTGCTTCACATGATGAAACACACCTTTTTTACTTTATTTTCTGGTACCTCTTATGTCAGAGATAGACTCGGGGACCTTACCCGGTTTCCTGGGTCTATCTCGATGATCTAACTGGACTTCTGATATCAACCATTTGAACTGCTTTTGTCATTATCTTGAGAATCAGGAACTTGATCAGCTGACTCTCATCTCAGATAGTTTCTCTGTAATCCTGGATCGAATGATGAATCCGAGGGCTTCTTTCTGGGTTTGCTTAGCATAGATGGTATCGAACCTGAAATCACAATTCTCACCTCGAAGATATTTTCCCGTTTTCAACTTAGCTCACCGTCCGTTTCTGTCACTGTAAACCTGGAATCACTTCTATGCTCCGCCTGGGATCGTAGATACACATGCACAGACCGTACTTGGCTCCATCTGTGTAGTCACCGCGTGGTCTCCAGTCCTACCCTCTAACGTACTGGAATCCTTTCTATAGCGTAGATTGGCGTCTCTTCTGCTTGTAGATGCTACGCAAAGGTCTTTCCATAGCCAAGCACTTGGATATAGTACTTGAAGTCTCTTTGAGGAGTTGTGATATACGCCAGTAAGCACACTTGACAAACCTGCTAGTTAAGAGAGACTTGTCCAGATAACACGAACATGGATACTCCCTTTGGTCGACTGTATGCCATACGCAGGTACGCAGTACACACCTCGTGTAGTATACTCTGCAAGGATGGCCGTTGGAGAGGATACAAAGTGGAGGCGCAACGTGTTGGATCCGCAGTGTCTAGGCCACTCCAAAGACGTTCATAATCACCATTATCCTGGAAGATGCGAAGACCACATCCCCGTATCTGTGCAGTGATCACACCGCTGGTTTGGCTGGATCGCAGTATCCTCCAGTGTGAGACCTGCAAGAGATTGATAGCAAGTGTGGCTCTCGGGTCGAGAAGTGGAGGAGGACTGAATGCATGGCTTGGGGGCCAGGATACAAGGGCCGAGACATACAATCAAAACGTCTCTGATTCCTGTTGGTGATTGTGTGTGAGTTTGTGTCACTGGTAAGATCATCTCGAACCCCAAGTATACGAGCCTCGTTGCGAGGGATAAGAGGATGTATGTTTAGCACATCGCGATCGCGGAATGCGAATTTCCGTACACCTCGTTTGAAATCAAATAAGCTCAAACGCTTCAAGTCCTGTAGTTGGTTGGAGAACAACGGTGAGTCACACTCGCCCCTCTCACTTCCCAAACCAATCCCCGGTGCAGAGCCCTGTATACCATAGTAGCACGTTGTGGGGACGTGTTGTGGAACGTGATGTATCACAAAGCCATGGAGAACACTGGACTCGAACAGCTCGTGGGTAAGGTGCACAGTGCGAGGGAACCACAAGACTATGCCCTTCATTCGCGACCCTCACGAGGTGGGTATCGAGTCGTACGGAATATCTACACACCATGAAGAGGAGAGAAGGACGGAGAACAGAAACGCTCGGACAGGATCTCACAGTGTGCCCTGATCGCGCTTGAGAGGCTAGCTACAGCCTACCGCACAGGCGGCCGAACGATCCAGACCCCTCCAACCAGGCCATAGGACACTCGCGATTCAGGGATCACGAAGATCATACAGCGTCAGGCAGCCCATAGTTGGCGCAGTTACAAGCGCACAGTTGATGGTGATTTGAGGTTGAGCGAGTAGGAGCCACGTCCGAACGCAAAAAGGATCGTCAAATCAGGGTCACGGAAAAAGGGGTCTGGACGGAGGAGAAGAGGGGCAACCAGCTGCGGCTGCTGAGCTGAAGAAGACTTTTCAGTAAGACCCATCTATAATGAGTGCATTATATAGCACTATATTGAGCAGCACCGTCACAGTGAGGTCGGAGCAGAGTGCGATTTGAGGGGAGGCCGAGTTCCGCGGGCGCACAGCCTTTTTGGTCCGTGACTGGCTGGGGATGACCCTGTCGCCGAGCCCTGTTCCTGCTGGTCCATCACGTAAAGCCCAGACTTGGCTTCATTGATTGGTGTCGAAGGAAGACCAATTAGCAGTTTGTATGGTATGTTGAAGGCAAATGATGGCTGGTCAGGATCTGAATGGTCCATTTTCTCGGAGGACAGGCGGGGAAGGAACCCGGCAACGTCGCCATCAGCTCCCGCTCTCTTTCTCTCTCTTATTTAGCGTTGTAGCAGGCTGTAAGAATTGATTCCTTGCCCTTGTCCTTTCGCCTCGTTTGTCCCACGATGGTCAAGTGACACTGGGACACCCAATTCCTTGGTAGCGGTACTGTGGCCAGTTGAGTAGGGTGGATGCCTATCCAAGGCATGGGTGAGAATCCCTCCTTAGCCGCACACACATCGTCCAAGACTCAAGAAACCCCATTTTGGCCTCTGCCTCCCCCTCAGCGTAATTTTTACTCTGGTTTGCCAGGCCAATAGTACTCATGAGTTTTGTAAATACGAAAATACAAAAATCAATTTAGTAGGTGAAAATCGAACGGACTGGGAGAAAAACGGAATGAACAGATCCTTCCCAGATATCCATGTACCCTGTGCCTGATTCGAACTATAGCACAATAATCGGCATCGAGTGTGCACTCCAGATACAAAAGATGAGTTCCTAATAGCAAGTCCGGCACAGGAAATGATCCTGTCGGTTTTCTTTCTTCATGCACCGACTTTTCAGCTGCTAATTAATGATCTCATAGCAGGATTGTACCTCACTTAGCGCGGGAATCGCCATCAGCAGCGATAGATATGATTGCCCACAGCCTACTGCAGCTGCGGCACCGTTTGCTTTTTGCAGATGGTGATCATCTTTGCCTTTGGATAACTTGTCCTTTCTGGTAGTTGCAGGTCCATTAGCGTCTGGGTGGTCGTGTACTAGTTGCTGCAACTGGTGCATATCGTGGGCACGAGCATAGCTCAATTTGTTGCACGGCAGATCCTTCTAAACCGGCGAGGAAGAGTACTGCCTAGTGCTAGCCCACGTTTCCTGGAGTAGGTACAGGAAATGTGAACCGTGGAAGGATGGAGGATGGGAAAAGGGGTAAGTTAGGAAGCGTCAGACTCAGCCCGGCAAGAGTCGTTAACCGATAACCTCATTCCCGAGAGCTTCGATGGAAACTTCTACGGACAGGCGTCGATGCCGTCTAGCGCTGCCTGGTATGACGACACCCTGGGCTATTTCTAGTTCCTCGGTTGCCGAAGAATTGTGGACATGATCGTAACCTTATTAACGCGGGAAGGAAATTGGATGTGGATAGCGAAGATGCGAAATAGGCGAGGGGGTGATGGTCAGTGTTGAGCTGTTAATGAGATAACTTTGGTAGTACGGAATACTCTACATCTGACAAGCTGTGTGGCTGGCCGCCAATGATCGTAGTCATCCCCACGTGCCGGACAACTGCGACAGATCGCGTGTCAGGTTCAAAAGCCCGACGTACTCCGGACTCGAGTAGTTATACGGCAAAGGGGAATGAATTGATTATAGACTTCAAAATAATCGGAACAAAAAAAGGTTGGCGATGACACAGCAATCATTGATTCAAGGTTGGGCAAGTCGGCACATTGTTGGCAGGTTCCTCTACCGACGTCGCATCGCAATACTCTGACGATGATCGTCGACGATGCGCATCCTCCATCGGCGCCTAACGCCGTCGAAGGGGGCTCTGTCAATCAATACTGAATCGCGCAAAAGCACCCTCGAGCCCGAGACCCATTGCGGTGAGCTTGTCGAGGGTGAAGGTTCGTACCGTGGAAACTGCCTCCGAGGTTAGGGTCGATCAGCAGCAGCGCGGCAGGTATAGACGCGGCCAGTACCGAGCACTACTACGCAGCGAAGACATCTGACGCTTCGCGTAGTCAGCACTCAGCAGTCAGCAATAAGCACGTAAACATCAGTCGAGGGGCTCCATTTTCACGAGAATGGTTGGCGATGATTACGTAGGAGAGGTAAAATCTCGAGCGCAAGCGGGCAGTCTGCAGAGTCGGACGCGAGAGCCTTGCAGCCATGGTCAATGCACATCGTGATGGGGAACGATCTAGATTACACAATGGGGGGGGGGAAGACTACAAGCGAGCATGGAACCATTAATATCCTTTGATATTATCACATTAATCCGGAGTAGTTAGACTGCACGAGGGGTGGATGGGTCCGGACTAGCGTCAGGAATCTGACCTTTCTGGTTCCCCATTGAGGAACCAATGCACGGAGGAGACTTTATTGTACTCCGTACATACGTACAGCATAGACCTCGAATTAAAATGATTGCAAGCCTGGTGCTGCGTATGGGTTGAGCTGACAGCGGCCACCAGCTGTATGAAGTTAGGGTGCACAAGGGCCAAAGCCATTTTGACTCGACCAGGAGGTGTGTACAACTCCTCCTATCAATGCAACTGAATGCGTTAGCGGGAGGAAAGCCTTCCGTTCCAGGATTAGTATCTCTCCAGCCCAAAGTTAATCGCCATGCAGCAGCAATGCTGCCAACCCCTGCCTGCATACGAAGACGTCTGTAAGGTACGGAGTACTCGGCTGTTTATCTGCCTCCCACCTTACCAAGCAGAGCAGGTTGATACCAGGTCGGCTATCCTTTTCCTGTGGTTAGGGACTGGGCGCGAGAACCTGGACTACTCCAAGGTCACATTCCACGGTTCAGCGGGTGGTCCCGGGATCATAGCGTGATGGTGTCAACTTCCTCACGAGATAATAGGATTGTTCTAAGAGAATTATCAATAGGACAAGGGAGTCCCAGTTTCAAGGGTTGCCACATCAAGCGGGATGGAAAGTCGCACTTGGGAAGAGACCGAAGAGACCAAAGAGACCAAAATTGAATGCGGGCATTGACAGTCGGGTAAGTAACAGGTAACATACTCCGTACACTTAGTTATTTACAGTAGGTTAAGAATGTACAGCCCACGTTCTGTTTCCGATCCTTGGGCCTCGGTGGGACTACCTCATAATCACTCCTTGGCCTCCAATGGTGAATAGCATTGGTTTATACCCATGCAAAAGGCTGCAGGGGAATTAACTTGAATCGGTTTAGGGCTCCCTGATACATTGTTTTCAAAATTTCTCCTACAATGGCATCTTACCTCTTACCTCCTGGTCCTCCATCATCCCCCGCTTTGCCTGGCTGTGCCCTACCCGATACTACAATTGAATGGATGGCTAGACTGAATTCCTTCGCCTAATGTTTTCTTCTTTCCCATCCATAATCATACACCTCGCCCGGTCCATTGGAATTTTCCCCCGATGGAGCGTAGAAACTTTACTGTACTTCCTCCCTGGCGTTGTCGCATCAGGCCTGTCGCTGCAATGCATGCCACCGACTCCACCCTCTCGTGCCCCTGAGGTTAAGCTCGGCGCGCAATGATGAAAATCAACTGGAAAAGTGGGAATTTCCACACGGACCCTTCTGGAACTGTAAGAATTGAGGTCCCAGATACAATCTGAGGTGTGCCCCAACCGAATCTCTGGATCCTGGCAGCACCCAAACCCCCCACCTCCTCCTCAGGGACGGTCCCATAAATGCGCATCGTTTAATCGGTGGTAGTACTGTATATCTGATCGTCTTCCCCCTCCGCCCTCTCCTCCTCCTTCTCCCCTTCATGTCCGTTCGCTTCCACCTGCTATTGTTTCTGGCTTTGCTTGGTGGCCCCCATGCAGTGATTCGATCCTGATCGAACGATTGTTCTCCGCGAACTCACCGTTGTAAATTGCTTGCGGGGTGGTGTCACTATCCGGAGTTGCTGGCAACCCTTCCTCATCTCGCCCACTCAAGGACATGACAATCTCGCCACCGCAGGTGCCCGCCTCTGTTGAGCTTGACGAGTATACTTGACAAACAGCCGAACATACATCATGAGCAACTCGACATTATACGGATTATGTCCGACTCCCTTTTACCAGGAGTCCCTGTTCCCGTCTACCGGTGGATGTATGCGAAATACTCCCCGTCAACCCCGTCTTGTGCGGCGCTGACGTGCTTCTTTAGTCATTGATGGACGTTACTGTGAAACACTCTCCACGACAGGAGGCAACATCTCTTGCTGTCTGCCATGTCCGTTGGCATCATGGACATACGGTGATGGTATGCGATACCACATAGTAAATGCGAGAGGGGAAACAAACTGACTGATCCGCGCACGGTGCGTCTAGATTTGATCCACAAAACCGAGGCCGCAGGCTGGCTCGGAGTCGCGATTCTGCCTCTTTGTATCTTCCTCCTGATCTCATATGCGGTTCTTCCTGCCAAATGGACGAATCGGCACTATCTGAGTATTTGTTTCACGCTGGGAATCTGCTGCATTGAGGTGAGTGCGCATGCACGCAATCACTTGCGCCAAGCGGGACAACGATTGATTCATTGCCCATCAGATTGCTTTTATCATCCCTCTCGGGATCAAGCCGGAGCAGTGTCATAACGCAATCACGCCGAATGACATGTACTCGGATATATCGTGTGCATTTACCGGCTCATTACTGCTGTTTGGCGGCTGGGTCGCTGTCACATTCAGTATGTCTGCCGGCTCCGCTCAGTTTGAAGCCGCGACAGGGGCTGACAGGTTGCATAGGTTTTATCCGTACTCTGGCTTTCCACCTGCAAGTGTGTTGGGAGGTGATTCTCGGGAGGAAGTTCATGTGGAGCGCATTCGTCTTCGGTTGGGGCATCCCGGTCATTGGACTGACCGTCATGCTGTGCTTGACGGGGGTGTCGTACCGGTTCGGAGGGACGTGCCATATCAATGTCCACCACAGCAACCAGGATTATTGGGCGCCCGTGATGGCCTTCGCCGCGGCCGCGCTGGTCCTGCAGTTGGCCACGATGCTGTACTGCATCCACGTCTACGTCAAATCCGTCTTCGACAAGAACCCGACGACCAACAGCTCGGGGCTTCCCTCCTACAGCGCCAGCGTGCGCACCATGACCGCCCGGCAGGCGTACCGTCGCATCCGACGCGTCATCCAGCTCCAGTGGCGCAGCATCACCCTGGTCCTGGTCATCATCGGCAATGTCATCTTCTTCGCGGTCGTCTTCATCAAGATGGACAACAAACTGACCCCGACCCCTGCCAACGCCGAGCGGGCCCTCCCCTGGCTAGAGTGTCTGGTCACCACCGGGGGCCACAAGCCGGACTGTTTCTCGCAGCTGAGCGGCGTGATGCCCAACCAGGCGACCCTCCTGGCCGTGCTCATCCTGCTGTCGCTCGTCGGCTTCTGGAACTTCATCTTGTTCGCGCGCCCCTCGATGTTTTTGGGATGGGCCGACCTCTTCAAGACCAAAGTCACCCACCCCCACGAGTTCGTCTCCGTAGACGCCCGCCGCACCCCGGACTCGCGCGCCTACGAGATGCTGGACAGCTCCGGCCTCCCCGCTTTCAATAAGACCCCGGCGCCGGTGACGGTGACCACCATCCGCTCGCCGAGCCCCGCCCGCACCTCCGGCGCCCGGAGCCCCGAGAACGACCTTTACAATGGCCGTGAGGCGCGCTACGTGAGCCCGACGATGAGTTTCTCCTCGCCGCGACCGCCGAGTGCCTCGCAGGCCCACGGCCGCGAGTGGGATCCGCAGGCGACCTATGCGCCCGGACACACACATAATGGATCACAGTGACGCTGCATTTGATAATTTGGGTTCAAGCATGGCGCATGGTGTATGGAGCATGGTTTGTGGCTTATTTTTGGGATGGGGAGGAGGGGGTTGCATAGAGTGGTGCGACCCACCAACTGAAAAGAGAAAAGTGTTGATGTATTGTATGAACTGCATATGTATGTTTAACGACTGTACTTATACCCTGGTTGTGTTTCTAAATCAAGGATTGATTGTTTTGTCATTATTATCCTTTTACAAATGTATGTATATCTACACCTCTACTCCATACTGTACAGACCTAAGGCATAGTTGTCTAATCTACCTTCACTTCCACCTCATTCAGTCCTAATTCTCAGCTCTTTCTTCAAACTGCAATCCAATTCAAACAAACCAGCAGCAGCACCAGTGCTGACAGTCCGACAACCCCCAAACTCTAATAAACCATACTGTAGTCAGCAGTCAAAGGATGAGGGGCGTACTACATAGTTTGAAGTAAAAACGACCTACTCCGCAACTAAACGCGAACGGGTATCTTGTCCCGGCCTCGCTTAACCAGATCGTCCTCGGCCCTCTACTAATCACTACGACTGTGATAAGAGAAAATAAAAACTAGCCCAGTCCAGTTCTAGCCCTGCTTTGAAAATTCAAACTACCCCCGAGAGTCGTGGGACGTGAGCAATTATCTGGGGTGACCTACGTAAGTGACCGTGACTGTAAGTGACTGTACGACCGTTGCAGGTGGCGGGGTGCGTGCATGCGCGTTGATGTTTTGTTTGCTTAAGCCTTGAAAAGTTTGTGTCAAGGTAGAGGTGTTCGGCTTCCTCCGGTGGCAAGTTATTCGAAAGGATTGTGACGTGACTTTGGACTAAGCAGCGAGAGTGTGGTTTGATTAACTGTTGTGATGTGATCCGGTGGATGGGAAATTCTCCGAAGAGACGGTGCGGAGGGATACGGGCCGTCTTGTCTTGCTGACTGCATGTACGGAGTAGTCTGGGGTAGTTAACTTGCTGGTCAATGATTTAGTAACTACCTAGTTAGTTAGCTACTAGGTCAGTTTGACCGGCGAGGCCGATGCATGGCGTTATGTGTAAATTGCGAGTTTAGAAATCTGACTATGTTTGCCACCATCTCATCTAACTTATTCACTGCCTGTGAGATGTGGTCATACTGACAGAGTACGGAGTGGACTACTATCTACCTAACTTCCGTAGTAGGAGGAGGAGGTTTCCTGGCAGTGACACACATTGTGATTTGTGCACTTTACGCGAGATGAAAGGTCGACTTGTCTAGTTCCCTCTGGAGATAGGAGGCTGCATCACTGCAGGACAATTGCGTCACTGTGTTAAGTTAGCAATACATCTGTGAACTCGCTTAGCTATCGCTCACTCTGCTAGGACGCGTTGGGGGTCTGCTGAACAGTAGCCCTGCTGGTACTTTGGGCGTCCATTCTCTGTTGGCTCGGTTGGAGCAGTCTACTTCAATTAAAAACTGATTCTAGATCTACTAAGTTTTGGGTCGATGCTCAATCCTGCGAGACGATAGATCTTATCTCTGTAACTCCATATCCCCAGAATACTTTCTGCCGCAGAAAACGTACTCCGTACCACTTCTGACTACTTGTGATAATGTAAGAGTCTTGTATGCAACCATCTGAGGTAAGACCGTGCTCGTACCCAGCCTTCTCGTCTAAACTAAGAATCATATTGCTCTCAATGGTGAGGATGCTGAGCTATCAAGCGGTAGGCTTATGTCTTGGTATAAATCTTCCAAGGTAGAGACATCTCACAACAATCTTGATGAAGGAGGTTAAGAAGAATTCAAATAGGCCTCAACAGGACACATGGCTACATTAGTTGTGGCACTCTCCGACTAAGGAAACGAGGGAATCGGGCTCATAGGAAGAGTACAATGGTCATTCGCAAGGGGAGGGATGGCATCGCTCCAGTAGATAAATACCAGTCCGAGGATAACTAGCTAGATGATACACAAGCGTGGCTTAATGCTGATCAATTGAGTATAGCAGGATTTATGATTCCCTGTTGTTTTTTCTCTCCGGAAGACTCAAAGCTTGAACGCGACAATAGAGAGGACTCATTGCCCAACATCAACATCTCAACGGAGCATTAATCACCTCTGAAACACCGCACAAGGTTGTCAGTCAGAACTACCAGTCGAGCCACGAGCTACAACACCCGTCTACAACAACAGTCACCATCCAAGTAATCGTTTCTCGCTATGATACATCGTAACCCAGTTCTTAGGTCGAAAGTCACTATTATAGAAAGAGCCCCTCATTCCAACACAGATTGAGAATCGTCTGCCCACACCGGGCCTCGGACCCGGATTCTGGAATCAATTAAGCATTGTGAAAAGGTTGGAGCGCAAGCGCAGTACAAAATAATCCCGATTACCAAGCGTTGACATCGAAGTTTTCCTGCAAAGTTCTTGTGTCAGAAATCAAACCGCAAAAGAGACAAGAGAATGCTCACTTCGGAGAAATACGTCGTCACGACAGTCCGGTCGGAGAACTTGCGGCCCGCAAGCGCCTTCAGAGCATTCGTGGCCGACTCTACCGTATCGAACTTGACGAAGATCTTGCCAACTCCAGGGGACTGTCGGCTGCCGCCAGAAGGGCGAGGCACCTTCAGCTCAAGGATCTGTCCGTATTTCGAGCACTCTTCACGCACGTCGTCGCAGATTTCTAGTGAACTTTAGTGGAAGAACGGATCCAGGACCAGAAACAAAAGACGACTTACCTTCGTAGTCATCGTTATCAATGAGCTCCTCGGGAGTCACCATGTTCAACAGCTGCAGGACACGGCTGGTCTCCAGATCCTGGGAAGTCGTCTTGGCAAACATGGACATCGCATTGACGCCCATGTCCAGACCGGCGGCCTGGGTCATTCCAATACTGGCACGCACAACCTTAAGATGTCTGTCTCCCAATTCCATTCCGTTCAATCCCTCCACAGCTATGCTCGTAGCAGAAGGATCAGCGTACTCGCAGAACGCAATCCCCTATAAAAGTCAGACCTGCAGTGCAGCCTAATCATGTAAAAAACTTACTCTGGACTCTTCGGTGGATCTGTCCTTGACCAGGACGAAAGACTTGAGTTCGCCGAACGACTTGAGAAGCATCGTAACCGGTTCCTCGGGGATGTAGTTGGGAATGTTGGACACGCAAATCTTGTTAGGCGAATCAGGAACCTCGTTCAGCAGTACGCCCTCCTGGTATTCTTGCTCCATTCCGCTGGGAACAATGTAATCCTTGGGTCGTCGCACTTCCAGTCCCTGGGGAGAGCCGTTAGCCTCACCATTGCCGGCAGCCTCGTGCTCGTCCATTGTGATTCCGTCAAAAGCAAGTGCAACCGTGGCATCGCCGGGCGTCTTGAACTCCAGGAGAGCATAACTGCGGTCGGTGGACACCTGAGCCGAGATACAGGGGTCCACGCTCTCGACAACGTTGAGACCGTTGAGCTGGAGGTTGAAGAAAGCCAGAAGCGCCTCCCCGCTGACATTGGGAGGCAAGTTGTAGACGAAAAGACGCTTCGACTGGCGCGAGTTGGCCGGCTTGAGGGCGGAGGTCTCGGTGCTGCTGCCACCGGGCTGGTTCATAAAAGCTTGAAGGCGGCTGGGGTCCATGGGCTGCTGGCGAGGTGCACCGGGGAGAGGGAACATGCCTAGGGACGAGGTAAGTTTCACTGATACCAACCACTAAACCAGGGGAAAAATCGTTCTTCATACCAGAGAGCTTGGCCTGCTCCGCGGTGACATTCTCGTAGCCAGGAGGCTTGATGTCCCATTGCGTCAAACGACGCTTGCGATCCAAGACCGACAGGACATCCGTCAGGTCGGGTGTGGGCTCTCTCTTCCGTGGAGGCGAAGCACTCCTCTTCCGTTCTCTTCTGTCACCGCCGCCGCCGGCGCCGGCGCCACCACCACCACCACGCTCGCGCTCGCGATCACCGCCGGCGCCGCCAGCGCCGCGGTCAGCAGTGCGGTCTCCGCGCTCACGGTCCCGATCTCCTCTCCCTTCCCGGCGGGGTCTCTCTTCGAACAAATCACGGTCCCTCTCACGGCGAGAGGGTCTTTCTTCGTAGTCTCTGCGGCGGCGGTCGCCTCGATCCCGATCCCATTCGCGGTCTTCTCTGCGGCTGGAGTAGCGATCCTCGCGTTCTCTGGCGCGGTAGTCGCGGCTGGACGAGTACGAGTCCGCCTCGAACTCGCGTCGGGACCCGCCCCGAGAGCTGTAATGGGGCGATCTGGATCGTCTTCTCTCTCCTCGCTCGCCTCGTTCACCGCGCTCGGCCCTCTCCGGTCTGTCTCCTCTGTCCGATCTCTCTGGTCTCTCCGGTCTCTCGCCACCACGCTCGCGCCGCTCCTCGCGCTGTCACATCGGCTGATCAGCTTTGAACAACGACAGGAGGATAAACACTGCCGGTTTAGATTTCAGAAATTTACTCACGTAGTAGTCCCTAGAGCGACCCGCGTCCGCTTTGTAGACGAAGATTAAGTTAGTAGGTATGGCCACGACCCAGGATGTGTTTGGCCGGAATGTACTCACGTCTGGCAGAATACGTATCCCCGTTCATTGTGAACAACTTCCCAGCAGATCGATTAGCTTTTTAGCACGTTTTCCCTCGTCCTGGAATCGCAGACGACTTGGCAGCAGACAGAAGCAAAGCTGTCTGAGATGAGAAATGGAATTTTAAACGTGCGACCCCGAGCGCACGGACGAGATGGACACAAAGACGTTTGATGAAGGAGGAGGTAGAGCTGCGCTGGAAGGGAAAACTCGCTGCGGCGACCAACCAACCGCCCGGGCGCCAATACGGTTAGCGCCGTCTGGACCGCCTTCTTTATCGGACCCCGGCGGGCGGCAGAATCGATTACTATCGCGCAGAGACACGTGATACAATGTAGACAAACAAGAGAAGAACTGAGTCGAAGGTTCGGCTTGATGTTGGGATAGGAGATTCTACACCTCCCTTTCATCATAATGGAGACCATGTCCAGCGCCACCGCCTCCTGCTTCCTCTATGAACAAAAAAAAAACAGAAATCCGTCATATACAAGTGAGTCTTATGTGGATGAACATTGCACCAAAATCTATCATTCAAAGCGAAGCAACGGCCATCTATAATATCCCCTCTGATGCGGACCTTTGCTACAATATCCACCGAGCTCGACAGGCGATTTAGCCAGCGACTGACCCGCTGGTCAATTACTGACTGCGCCCCCCCAATCCCTACTGGAGGTACTTTGCGAGTCTCTGTAGAAGGGAGGCCCCTGGAGAGTGGAATCGGCCACAGCACCAGAAATCTAATTTTGCCTTTACCAGGGGACCATTGGGCCAGAAGACTATTGGAAAGTCATCCCGGACTGCCCATCCTCCGCGGGCCCCGCCGTGGAGCCCAGCTCGCAGCACTAATCTAAGATAGTGATGCGAAGAAGAATCGCTGCCGGCCAAGAGGGTTCATAGCCAGCGTCATCAGATCAACTACTCCAAGCAATTCAGGTGCATGAGAGTCTCCTCGGAATGCTTCATAATAGCAGAGACCGCTCGCAAGAAGCATTCAAGAATTTGCGTCGCCTGTTCACCGGTACAAAGGGAATCCCAGTGCCGTAAATGGACTTCGACCTGGTCGGATGACCAGAAGACTACCAGACAGAGCTCGAACTACATGGACACCGTTAGCTTTGCTGGACACGCATAAATGGTTATACATATAAAGACACGAAGAGCTCTTACTTCGCTTGGATCATGATTCTCTAACAACTGAAACTCAATCTGGTTGGAATGGCTGAACAGTGGAGGTTGGACGCTGAGACAGGTGTTAAAAGCCTGCACATCGCGAAGCCCTGCAGCGCGTAAGGTTTCTGGTGTCGAGCAATGTTGATTCTCGACGCGGCGATCTATTTCTATCTGGTTGTGGCGCAGCCAATGAATGATCTTTTGATCGGGCTTCAGAGTGAGACGGCACGGAAGGACGTTAAAACAGGGACCTACGACCCGGGAAATGCCAGGCATAGAGATATCGCGGCCCGATACAACTGACCCAAAGCACACGTCCGAGGAATGGCAGTATTGCTGAAGGACCAATGCCCATGCGAGCTGGAAGATATTGGTCACTGTCAAGCTGTTAGATCGCCAGAAGGAGTTGAGTTCGTCGGGCCGACGCATCTTGGATCGGACGGTGTACATGGCAGGGGGACCCCCCTGCAGGGGCATCGCCACTAAGGCTGGGAAGAGGCAGGGCTGCATGCCTGCCAAGGCAGTGTTCCAGTACTCCTGAAGATTCGGACTGGCTTTTTGGACCAGATGGGCGACGTAATCGCAATACAAAGGACCACTGGACCTTGGAACCTCCCCAAGAAGCTCCGCTGATAGCTCCTGCTGCAAGAGCAGCAACGTGTTGGCATCAATATAGGCTTTTCCTGTTTCTAGGAAAGCAAATATCCGTCCATCATACGTCTGGCCCACGGCGAACCGGTGGGCTGGTGAGCTATCCCAGGAAAGGAGCCGCGGCAGGTTCTGTAAGTCTTCATGCGAGGTAATCAATTGTGGCACAACGTGGACATCGGCCCTTGGATCTTTCAGGACCACATGGAAGATCCGACCAGACATGGGGCAAGACACGAGACTTGTGCGTAAAATGGCATGGTTTCTGATCAATCGACGCCAGGCGTTTGCCACAGCTGGTGCATCAATGGTCACTGCGGTGGATTGGATCTGCCAAGTTAAGCGGATGGTATGGCTGGCGGCCTTCCCCGTTAGGCCACTAACAAGACCAGCGTGAGCATCGGGACAGGGATAGATGGTCTCTATGGAGGACACGCAAGGGATATCGAGCCGCAGCCGGATTTCCCGCTCCAGTGCCGACAGTTGCTCGTAAGTCATTGGGACCAGCCTGACGTTGGTCAGTGTCAACCGTGGGGTGAGATTTGTCAAGCCCTCCGCAATCTCCCCGAAAGACCGCTGATATTCGCAAATCCAGCGCTGAATTTCATCCTGTCGACGCGTGTGTTTGCAATACCAGACTGAGACCTGTAGTCGCTTATCAATGACCTCGATCACCACGTCGAACAAAGCAAACCGAGGGAGGTCGTGAGCCACATCCATGTTAGGGTCTGGCCTCCAACTGGGAACGGAGAAAATGGAATCCTTGCTTTCAAACTGCTGGTAGCGGCCGGCAAAGTTCAGGAGTATCTCGGCTGGGGCATGGGCGGCAAAAGCATCACGGCATTCATTGTTGAGATATCTTGCGCTGAAATAGGACAGACCGTTTCCAGGAAGGCCCCGGCTCGTATCTTTCACACGACGTACGACATCGGGCAAATCCGTGCCCTCGCAGACTTCCACAGTGCACGGCCGCATAGTGGTGAACCAGCCCACTGTTTGGGACAGATCAACTGCAGGATCGAATGGCTCCCGGCCATGACCTTCAGTGAAGATTGTAGGAGTCCTCCGCCCTCGAAATACCTTTGCCCATGAGTGTATTAGTGCCGCCTGGAAGAGCTCTTGGGGGTGCGAGTCGAAAGCTTTATTGGCCGACCCTAAAAGGGCTTCGGTTGTTGCCTCATCCAAGAGAAATTCCCGACGGCATGTTTCCCCAAAGGTGTTGTACTGGGGTGAGAAGCCCCAGTACTCGTAGTCAGCGGGAACTACATCAAATGGTAACACGTCCTCCGGCTTGACATGGCCCTCGCCTCGAGCCCTTTGGGTACAAACCCAACGCTGGAACGAGTACGGGGGTGTCGCTCCTAGTTCCTTGGACAGGAGAAGATCCTGCATGTCACTTAACAGGATTCTCCAAGACACCAAGTCTACGACCAGGTGGTGTCCAACGAAGAGTGCATATTGCCCGTCGTGATTCACATTGAAGATGTCTAGCGATATCACTGGACCGGTCCGGATGTTCAACGCTGACTGAGATCTTTCTGCTATGGCCGGGATGGCCTCTTTCTCCTCCACATCATGAATGGACATAGTGAGAGATTTATCGACGTTCGATGTGATCACCTGTTGACGGCCGTTCGGCAGTAGTCGGGCTCGAAGCATCGGGTGGTGGTGCACCACCTGCTCGAGGGCGTAGCGCCAATTAGCCTGAGTGAAGGGCTGTTCGACTCGAAAGAAGAAGCTCTGATTGAACCTCTTATCGCACGCAGAGGGAAGAGACGTGAACATATCCTGGATGGGGCCTAAGGGGAAAGGTCTCCACGGCTCGTCGAGAACCACCTTCATAGGTGAGCTGATTGACCTGGCCTTTTGGCACACGAGAGCCACAGAATTGTGAAGGACAAACTCTGACATCTGAAGAGCCAAGTTCACCTTTCGGCATAAACTAATCACTCGCATGGCCGAGATTGAATCTCCTCCCAGGTCGAAGAAGCTGTCATTCATACCAATTGAGTGACTTTGCAAGGCCAGTACCTTGGCGAAAATATCGCGAATCAGTCGCTCTTTGTCGTTCGATGCTTCTCGTTTCGGCGCCGCGAGGTCTGATGTCCCATTGCAAGTCCCTTGATAGAATTTGCAAGCCTCCACTCTGAGCAATCGACGGTCGATTTTACCGGAAGGTGTGAGCGGAAGATGATGTAAAGAGAGTATGATGGATGGAATCATAAACTTGGGCAGGAGCTCTTTGAGATGGGTTATGGCGGCTACCCTCTGGCAATGAACAGGATCCGTTGGCATCAGGAACAGTGGTACACTGTTGTCGCCAGCAGAGGAGGAGGAATAGGAGTAGGAGGAGGGCTGGTGCTTGCTTGCGAGTAACAGAATGATCTTTGGGTCAGGAAGCGCAATGAGATCAGCCACCGCTATCATCGTTGGCATCACACGCTCGGCGCAAATCTCAATCTCTCGGAGCTCGATCCGTTGCCCACGAAGCTTGATTTGTGCATCTTTTCGACCCAAGATCTGCAATGTGCCATCAGTCTGGTACCGCACTAGATCCCCGGTTTTGTACATCTGACTATTCTGTGCCACAGCAAAGTCCGCCACCCAGGCGGGTTCGGGGATGAACGCCAGCTGAGTTTGTTCAGGACGGTTGAGATAGCCTCGCCCAACGTTGGGGCCGGCAATGAGCAGCTCTCCTACTGCCCCCACAGGCTGAAGTTGGTGATGATTATCCGGGTGGACCACCCAGCAGCTGCTATTCTTAGATCTTCCAATGTTGGTCGCATCTTCATCTTCCCGGGCAAACTCCACGAGCGTCGTGAAAATGCTAGCTTCTGCGGGGCCATACATTCCGATTAACCGGACATGGCCACACCACGCTTGCAGGTCGGTGGGCATCACTGGCTCTCCAGCCAGCCCAAGAGTGTTTACAGAGGGAATCTCGGCTGGAGAGAGTGTGCGGGCCACCGATGGGGTTAACAGGGCCCAATTGACATTAAAATCTGCGATAGCGCCAGCTACATCGCTCACTCGCTGGTCTTCGGATGGCACACAGAGACAAGCTCCTGCGGCCAGCGTAAACACGAACTCGAATACTGCGGCGTCAAAAGCGAGTGATGCAAAGTGCAGGACGCGAGAGGCGCTTGTAATGGACAAGTCGCTGCGGTAAGCCTCATATGTGGACCAGCACATGCCATGCTCGATGACAGCACCCTTGGGGGCACCTGTGGACCCGGAGGTAAATGCAACGTACATGGCGTTGTGCGGACTGACTACAGGTTGCTTCCAGCTCGCGCGATTTTGCTGATTTATAGTGTCTTCAGACACCAAAACCACATCTCGAGCGAGATCTTGGCAGATGGGGAACGTGGTATGGGACGAGACAGCGACATTCACCCCGGTCTCTTGACACATGAGCTGGAGCCGCTGAATGGGGAAAGTTGGTTCAAGCAGAACGAATGCTGCCCCTGACATCAGGACGCCAGTAACGGCCACAGGCAGCCATCGAGACTTTTCCATGCAGATGGCGACGATAGTCTCTGGCCCCACGTCGAGGGACTGAAGGTGGTCTGCAACCGAGCAAGCAAGTTGCTGGAGCTCTCCATATGTGAATTCGCCGTCCCACGCATGAACCGCAGAGTGTCCTGGAAAACTGTGACAAGAGTTATTGATGAGGTCGTGCATACACTGCGGCTTGCTCAACAAAACTTCGGGATTCCAATTGCTGATTTGCCGCTGATCCTGAGGACTCAGAACACTAATGGCGCTTATCTTGGAGGTTGGTCTGCACGAAATTTGAGCCATAACCTCTTCGAATTGCTCCAAAAGCCGCCCCACAGTAGAGGGCAAGAGGACCGACGCATCGAATATGGCCTCTACCTCCATGCCGTGCACCCCAGGGCTCACGATCAGCGTTAGGATATGCGAAGAGAATTTACATTGCTCGCCTCGATTATCGGGGGAATCCTCTAAGATATTTGCCGGACTCTGGATAGGATGCGGATGGATAGTGAGTAAGGTTTGGAAGTCACACGCGACGGCTGCCTCTGAGCTGCTTCCGCGAATCTGCTGCAGTCCGGTCTGCTCGAAGGGAATTAATGCCACGTTGTGGCTTTGAATCTCTCCGAGTGTTTTCTGCACTGTGTCCTCTGGTTTCAACCGGATGCGCCAAGGGAACGTAGCAATAGTGGGCCCTATCATTCGTTCAACGCCCACAACAGAAGCATTGCGCCCCGACACGGTGGTCCCAAAAACGACATCATTGGAATTTGTATGGCTGGAGATCACCATGGCCCAGGCCAATTGAACCTGGTGGGCTACTGGCCCATTCCTACTCAGCTTGTCCGCCTGGATGCGGTGTTTCATCATGGTTGCATGTCGCGGAGCTGACCACCCAGTCGGTCGATCGGGGAAGGTGACGGCCTGAAGATCAGCAAATTCATTTCTCCAAAACTCCACGGCTGATGAGGCGTCTTGTTTCATGATATAGCCAATGAAGTTACGGAAGGATGGTCGCTGCGGTATAGGACGACCCAGGTATACATCCTCGAGGTCTTGCAAGAGCTGGACATACGACCACCCATCAAAGACTGCATGGTGCATCCTTAGAATGAAGAACGAGGGTGGCTCTTCCCGAGGGGTGATGAGGGCAGCCCGTGCCAAAGAAGAGCCGAGAGTCATTCCATACTGACCCATCTCTCGTTGGCATTGCTCGAACGAGTCGAACATCAGCAGTTCCTCAGGCTCTTTCTCGATAACTTGAAGCAGACGATCGTCATCAGCCTGAACGATGCGAGTTCGTAATACTGGAACGTTCTTGATGATCTGGTTCCAGGCCGCTGTGAACCGCGATTTTTCGAGCGAGGTTGGGAGGTGAAAGACAAACGTTGCGATGAATGCGTCAGTGTTCAGGCTTGAAAATGTCATCATTGCTTCCTGCATCGGTGTACAGGGATATACGTCTTCAAGCTCTCTCAATTGATATTCGGCCGTTGCAAGTTTCAAGGAGACTTGGGTGGTATCCACCAACTCCAATAGTTCAATGGGCCGCGATGCCTCGGCCATTTTCACGACCGTTGCTAGGTTGATGGGGGATTGAAGAGTAAGAATATCGGCAACCGTCACCGCAAGCCCTTCTTCCCTCGCGAGCTCAACCAATTTGATGGCAAGGACCGAATTCCCTCCAAGCAAGAAGAATTCGTCGTGCGGTGCAACGCGGCCCTCGGGCAGCCCGAGGACTTTAGCGAAGATGTAACTCAACATCTGCAGGATTTCCACATCAGTCTCGAATGTTTCCTTGATAGCCACAACCTCACCGTGGCGATCTTGACACCTGCCCTTCGACGCTGCAAAGTGCGCTGCCTGGTCTCTCAATGCTCTGCGGTCTAGCTTTCCTGTGCGTGTCAACGGAAAGCGATTCAGCGGGATATAAAGGTCCGGGACCATGAACGGAGGTAATTCGCTGCGAAGCCAAGATTTCAACCCCTTCAAGAAGCCCTGAGGACTCGGCTCGGTCTTATCGTCAGAGTTTGGGACGCTCTCGGGCTCTTCAACAAACAATGCGAGAATTGTGGCGTCCTCGACGCTGCCAATACTGACCACGTCTACCACCATAGCCCTATCTTTGGAGAACTCTTGCGCCTTACTCTCTACTTCCTGGAGTTCAACGCGCTGGCCATTGATCTTTACCTGCCTGTCCTTTCGCCCAACATATCGCAGGCTGCCATCGTCAAGGTTGTACCATGCTAGGTCACCCGTCCTGTAGAACCGCGTGCCATCAGTGATTGAGAAAGAGGAAGCCCATTGCGGTCGTTCTATGAAGGCGTCTTGGTCAGGCTGATTCAGATATCCTCGGCCGACAATGGGCCCGCTGATGACGATTTCTCCCACGGCGCCAAGAGGTTGCAACTGGTCGACATTTCCTGGATCCACGATCCAGCAATGAGCGCTGTACGGTCGACCGATGTTGTAGATATCCTGGATATGAATGCTGCGTTGGACTGTGGTGACTACACTGCATTCGGCTGGGCCGTAAGCCACCATCAGATGCACCTTATCCGCCCAAGTCGTAACATCGCGAGCGAGCATGCATTCACCCCCTAGAATCAGGGTTTGGATGCCCGGCACCGTTTCGGGACACAATTGCCTTGCCACTGATGGGGTCAATTCGACCCAGTTGACTTGGAGATCGGTGATAGACCCCTTTAGGTCGTTGACGCGCTGAGCTTCGGAAGGCACACAGATACAGCCCCCAACCATTAGGGTGGTAAGCATCTCATGTATGCTAATATCGAACCCATATGAAGCGAACTGCAGGACCCGGGATGTTTCGTTCAGGTTCTGGATCCGGCTGCCCAGCAACGCGTTGACGCAAAAGGAACGATGTTCAATAACTACACCCTTTGGCGATCCCGTCGAGCCCGACGTATATGCCACGTAGGCGGCGTTTTCGGGCTTTGTCAAGAGCGGCAGCCTTGGTTGGGGCGCCACATCTGCTTGTTCGTCAAACCGGTCTACCACAATTGTTGACTTGACCAGTTTGTGGCCTATGGGCTCTAGTTCTGTCGAGGTGATGATGTACGGTGCATTGATCTCCGCACACATGGCAGCCATGCGTGTGACCGGATGGGTGGGATCCAACAGAAGGAAGGCAGAACCCGCTTTAAGAAGAGCCACGATAGAAACCACCGTCCAGATGGATTTCGTGAGACAAATTGGTACGACAACGTTAGGCCCGATACCTAGAGACCGAATATGGTGTCCGAGCTTCTCGGAAAGGGCATCAAGCTTCGAGTAGGTCAAGCTGCCATCGTGTGAGCAGACTGCTTCGGCGTGAGGACGTATCGCGCACTGCTCTCGAATGATGGTATCTATGCAGAGCTCTGAGTAGTCGTTCCTACGACTTTCTTCACTCCACGCAGCGAGGGTAGTCTTGTTTGAATCACCTATCAAGTCCATCTGACCGACTGTCATGTCAGGTCGAGCCATCATCTCATGTAGAAGATGAGAGAAGAGATTCAGTATCGCGCAGGCGTATGGCTCGCTGATGATGGAAGTCGCGTATTGAAGAGAGCATCGAATCAACTGCATCTGGCTACACTCGAGAGTGAGCACCAGGCCGTTTGACTGGACAGAATGAGAGTCAGTGCGAGCTGGAATAGAGGTGGGCTCGGGCCCCTACTGAGAGAAACGGTGCAAGAGGCTCGAGGAGCTCTTGCCCAGAGATTTCGTCCTGCTCTGTCCATTGGAGCGACAAACAGGTCCCAGGCATCGAGCGGGGGTCAAACTTCCCATCTTGACACTGTTCGGAAGCGATGCACCGAACGGCCTCCTGCATGGAGAGATGCTGCTCATCTCTTATCCGCCACTGCTCGATAGAAGCTCGGTATTGTGATGAGGTTGCCTCGCTCATATAGACACCGAAGGCCACCGTCGACGAGCCGATATACTTACTCAGGATTACAGCCCATGCCTTTCTCATATGCTGCGATAGAAGCAGCGGTTGGTTTCCTGTCACGCATGGTCTGGCGTCGCTGACGCCGATCTGAAGGTGAATGGTCTTTCGACAGCCCCCATTGATATCACCATTGAGCATGGGAATTGTTGAGTTCCTCATCCGTTCTTCCATCATGACCTGAAGTTAGATATCTGTTTGCAGTACTGTCAGCAACTGACCGTCCATCTGCTGGCCGACCTCGGGCTGAGCTGCCTTCAGTACGGTCTTCCAGCAAGATATCCAAGTATGAACACGGGCTTAGGCTCTAGTAGACCTTCAGACTCACCTTTTTCTTCGAACTTTCTCCCCCGCTCTCTAGTCAATCTCTTCTCACAAGCTGATTGCACTTATCGGTCAGATGAGTTGCTCGCTGTCGTATTTAATATAATTCCTTGAAGTGATCTACAACCCTGTTATGCATTGGAAGCACACATATGTCCGTTTTGATGTGTCACATCAATTCCAAAAGCAAGGAGCTCTTCAGTAAGCTTGAGGTAGGTCACCAACTATTCCAAGTTGCATTCCACGGAATGTTTAGTGCTCCATCCCATCCACTGCTTCTGACATCTGTGGATATTCTTCAAAAAAAAAAAAAAAAAAAAAAAAAAAAAAAAAAAAAAAAAAAAAAAAAAAGTGTGATCACATATGTCTGAAATATTGCTCAAGCAAGGGGAATTACAGGACCGGTGTTCCTACTGACTGAGAGGTCAAATAGCGGTCAAAAAGTTCGAGGATGCGCGCATAAGACTTCAACCCAGCTTGATCTAATTATAAATATTCCGTGTGAGACAGTCAGTACAGACTATAGCTGACACCGCTTAGCTGACACCGTACCTCTTGCAAGATCTTCACCAGCATGGCATCCTGGGTGGACTTCAACAGTGGCACAAGTCCATTCCAGACCGCGATTGTACTCAGTCTACTGTTCCTGCTCCTGGTTATAGCCACAGATTTGATTGATGGACACATTCAACGGAGACGCCTCCGGGGAATCCCTCTCATTGACGATGGCAGTCGCTTGTCGCCTGTCCTGAGATGGACGCGTTCAAAGTGGGATCTGAAAGCGGCCTACTCTCATGCTTATCAAACGGTGAGCTGCCCACGCTCTTTTTTCTTTTACCTTCTTGAGAAAGCACCGCTAATCACGTTTTCAACCTGCAGTATACCAAGCAAGGGCTACCTTGGGCAGCTCGACTACCACATAATGGATATTGTGTCATTCTGCCATGGGAGTCAAGCAGAGGATGGCGCAATTTGCCGCGAGATCATGTCAGCTTCATGCATATGGTCAATGTGGTACTGTACAGAAGATTCCTTTGTTGATACAGTCTGCTGAATACTCATTCTTGGTCTAACACTTCGTTTGACCGGGTTTCTAGGTCAATGGGATGGACTACCACCATAGTGACGTTACGGCACAATTACCCGTTGATGCCATCTACAAATATAGCAATAGAGAATCATCCCTGCGTCCGTTTTGACCTCCATCGACAGCTCTGTTGGACAAGGAAATACATGATAACTGACGGTATCTTTTCAGGACAATTCGAGGAGACTTTCCTGCGCAGTCTATCCGACTTCCTACCAGGTACATTTCCCATAGGGGAGAACAACGGTAAGCACTGAAGGTCATTGGGTCCTTTGCTCACCCCCATCTGCTAAAGGAATGAGCAGCGTGGTATGAAGTCAATACGATGGAAGCAATGTTCAGAATGATGATGAAAGTCGCTGCCTCCTTCCTCATTGGACCGGAGTTCGCGACTGACGATGATTTTGTCACTTTGACACTATCGTATACGTCCCAGATCAATGCGGTCACCACAGCAGTCTACTCATATCCGCGCATTCTCCGCCCCCTAGTATGGCAGATGGCTCCCGCCTGCCGTGGGATACGATCCAGCATCGCGGCCTTAAAGAAGAAACTGATTCCGGAAATCCGGGCTCGGGTGAATCGGGCTCGATCTGGTGAAAAGAAAGAAGGACTGTCGTTGCTGGACGTCTTGATTGACACAGCTCTTCAACAAGACAACTTCGAATGTGATGCAAGGTCAGCCGAGGCAGCACGGATGGTGGACCAGTTGGCGCAGCATACGATGTTTTTCTTCTTCGATGCGGCAGGGCCCATCGCGATGTTAACGTCACTCATGTTGTACCGCATCATGGCGACTCCCATCCACGCTGCACCTTTGCGAGCCGAAATCAAGGAAGCTCTGAACGCTACGGGGAGCGAATGGAGATTCGAGATCTTGAGCCGAATGCCGCGACTGGAGAGCTTTAGCAGAGAGGTATTGCGTCTACATGTGCCCCTCGTTTGTAAGTATGGGTTTTCTTACTTCTCCTTCTTGGTGGTTACTGAGACTGCCTAAAACGAAACCAAGAGCCCTCAATATACTGAAACTTCCTGTCACTTGGACACTAGGGTCGCTTGGCCGGCAGATATTAAAGCCTGTCACGATTAAGTCACTCGAGTTGACTTTCCAGCCCGGCGACCTGATTGCCACCCCAGTTTTCTTCATGCATACGGATCCGGATCTCTACCCGGATGCAACGACTTTTGACCCTGATCGATTCTTCGATCCGGTGTCGAAGAAGTGTGTCCCACGTGCCGCGACTGCCACCGATACTTACTTGACATTCGGTCAAGGCACCTGCGCCTGTCCCGGACGTACTCTCGGAATGAGAGCGGTCCTGATAACGTTGGCCGAAATCCTCATGCGGTATGAGGTCGAATTTGCGGACGGCCGTCAAGACTTCCCCTCCAACGTGCTCACCTCGGGGTTCAACATGTGTGATCCCACCGTCATGATGCGGATCAGAAAGCGGGAGTTTATCAAGAATTCAGTCAACGCCACCAATCCTTGAACATATCCCTTCCAAGAGGCAGTGTGGGTTTTGATTTTGGAGCGGTCTAGCTCGTCTGTGTGCGTGCTTATGCAGTGAAGGAACCGTCGTCTATGTGCCTGGAAATGGTATGGGATGATGGTAGCTAGGTTATCTCGGCCAAACCAGGGCATGGCAAGAAACCACGCTCCAAATAGATGTTTCAACATGGTTCAAGCATTTCAGTAATCAAGATTCTTGTCTTGTATGAAGTCTAGCACAAAATCAACATCTATTTACTAGTCCTGAAACCATTATAGAACCAGGAACTAAATGCCTCGGTGAGGAAGTGAGTCCTGGCATCTGTCACGATGATTGTGGTACCTGTGCGCTTGCATCATGTCCCTTGGGCCATGATCTAGAGATCTAAGTCACTTGGCCTTGCTCGTCCGTGGCACGGTGGAAGGGTTACAACTTACTATAGTAACTACATGTACGCGCTTCGCAAGAAGATTTACCTATGATTGTATGCCAGATACTTATAGATGAGACGCTAAACCGCCGCGGGTTTCCCGAACAGGGAATGGATTTAGAAAAGACCCTCGAACTCGACATCCTCCAATAGATTGAGTTGCCGCCAAGTTGCTGGTGAGCCATGTTTGTCCATTAAGACCCTCTGGTACGAAGTATAAGGCAAGGCGCTCACCCTGACTCCCGACCCCAACGTCGATGAAAGCATCTCCAAGATGCAAGTGAAAACGTTCAAGGTGGTCCAGACTGTCTTTGTGTGCTGCTTCACTTTTGTAATTCTGTGGCAGCTCTGTCTGAGTGATTTCCGCCACTCATTTGCATTGAGCCCCCTTGATGCCTTGACCTCCGCACTCCAGGTGGACTGGTCGCGATTCGCATACACTCAATATGCCACTAACCGAAACTATCTCTGCAACTCGGTGATGCGGTTCGAGACCTTGCATCGCTCCGGCAGCCGAGCTGAGCGCCTGCTGACGTATGCATCGGACTTCCCCACCGAGGACAATTCCAGGGTTGCAAAGCTGCTCCGCAAAGCCCGCATTAAGTAGTATAGGCTTAAGCTGGTCCCAATCGGGCTGCAGCACCGGAAGGGCGCTGACGGTAAGCCACCCCCACCCCGAACCCAGCCAACTATATCATTATATCATATTTTATCAGAAGTGACTAACACAAGCGCATTCCAGAGACCTGGGCAGACAGCTCCACCAAGCTTCTAGCCTTCCTACGACCGTGTTCTGCACCTCGACTCCGACTCGACCCTCCTCCAGGTAAGCATCTTGCCGGGGACCCGCAAGTTGGGGCAAGGGGGATGGATGGAGGCGCAGTGGTACTCACTTTAATCTCCTACATACATACAAGTCTTTGGACGAACGATTCCTGCTCCCACCACCGTCCGTGGTTCTTCCCCGCGCATACTGGCGCATTGGTAGGCCCGCGATCCGGACGACGAGCACCTAGTCGCATGGATCGAGCCCTCTGCGGCCGAGTCTCGCCGCATCCAACGAGCCATCGCCGACGCTGGACCGCGCGAATTCGACATGGAGATCCTCAACACGCTGTACCAGTACCAGGACCAGGGCCAGGCAGGGACTCTCCCCCCATCGTCCCTATTACCTCCTAACCGGCGAATTCCGCGCCAAAGACCATACCGCGTATCTTGGCAATGCGCAGGAGCCGCCCTGGGACCCGGTCGAGGTCTTCGAGAAGACAAAATCTCTGCATTTTTCCGACTGGCCGCTACCCAAGGTAAGTAAGAGTCGCCGCCGCAAGTAGTGAAAAAGTGACTGACGGTGGGGGCGTTGGGGGGGGGTTGTATCTAGCCCTGGTTACGAGCCAATCCGAGTATCATCGAGGCGAATCAGTCGACGTGTGATTGGAACCCCCAAACAGGCCGAGATGATGACTGTCGCGCTCGAGAGATATGGCGTGGCTTCTATGCTGAGTTCGCTTCGAGAAGACAGGCATGAGCCCCTCCCCTGGCGTCTATCGTTCGTGTTGGTTGACTCCGCGAACAGGCAGTAAGTAATATGACAGTCAAAGATGTATATACAGTATGAGGACGGCCTTTTCATTCTCTATTGCTAAGTATGTCTTACTAATTATCCTTTTCAAACCGAGATGAGTGTCATGGTGTTTCAGTGCTCCAGGTAAGCACTGCATGTTTGGTAGATATATGAGGAGTTCTGTGGATGTTTTTAGATTGAGGTAGATATAGTCTATTTTCCTCAGACTGAAGGGTGTCCAACACAATGTGTATTACAAAGAAACCCCCGCCAAATAGTGAAGTCGACCTCGTGGTGATTCGAGAGCTGGGTGCTGCAAATTGCTTATAGTCAACGCTCCGGAGCCTAGCCTTGGCCCGATACTGCGTAGAAGAGCTGCTTCAAGGCTGGAATGTACGAACTTAATGGATCCATCCACTGAAGATGAAGCGCGGCATCGTAAGTGGAGAAAGCCTCGTCACAGGAGAGGTCGGCTACGAAGTGTCACGATTCACCGTCCGCCAGAGTATCTGTAAGATCTCATATCTTTTTGAAAAGTTCGATATGTCTGACTCCTTGCAATTGTCTATCACATACGACCACAGGGTGTGGAAAATAGGGCTTCCCGTCCGCTCAGCCGTACTCAAGCCACACGCCGGGAGGTTAGTAGTTGGGTGGGTGACCACCAGCGAATCCCTTCTGTTGTATGTTTTTGTTTTTGTTACGTATTTTGAACAGGATCACTGACAGATATCTCCATTCCAATGGCCGCAGTCCCTCACCATGCATCCATCCAATAAATAGTGACCGGAGGCAGAAACGCCAGCGCGATGTAAGACGAGCAACGAGTTCCCCCGCCGACTCGCAGGGTGCGTGCAGTACAGCGAGGGGCCACCGCAAAATGCACAGGTTGACGCAGTCTAGTTCATCCCACTGCAGGTAGGGTAGCCCCCCCGGTTTGAGAAAGGTGAAACAGCCGGTGGATCACCGGGTGGAGATCCTGGCCAGACAGGACAAGAACCGAAAGTCCAACATGGAGGAGGCCGTGCCAGACGTTCCTTGTATAGATATAGTGCCTAAGCAAATGACATTCCCGACCAGGTGGAGGTAGCCATGAGGTTCAGGATAAAACACTGCGTAAGGGATCTGTGACTTCTCAAGGGTTATTGTTGGTGTGTGGTGCATATGGGACAAAATACAACGGGGGTCATCAAAGACACCAAGTGCAGCCTCGTAGGGAACATGGCCATAAAGGCTGCCTTTACCCTGGCAGATTGTCCGCGTGATCTCTTCAGGAATGACTCCGAACCTCGGCTGTTTCTAACACCCAGCCTGTCTAAACTCAGAGGTATGACTGGTGTGCATGGTCGCATGATAACGCACTTGTCACTGCCATACATGCGCGTTTCATCTTCTGAAAATAGCAGCACAGTACATTGGTAGGTAGTGTTGTAATCAACCGGATAGTGTGGTGTTTGAGAGGCTCGGTGCCAGTCACGTGAGCAACGGGGGTGCACTTGGTGCATAAGCACTGAGCAACTTATCATTGAGTGCTGCGACTATACTACTAGTTAGAACTCCATAACTATCAATCTGCTGCTTCAAATCCCGAACCACAGCACTTACCTCCAATAAAATAAACCTTCATCACACAATAAACACCTCATCCCCTTGCCTTCTACATCCAAGACCTCATGATGACCGATTCCAACCCAGTAAGGCACATCTCCTCCGAAGCGGAACTATGGAATGGAAGGGAAGGCCCATTCAAACCCCACACCGGCGGCGGAGCCCAGAATGAACAGAAACGATTGCAAGCTCAGTAGCTCCGCTTTCACATACCTTCTTTCTTTTTTTTTCCTTTTTGGGCTTCACTCATATCCATCGCATCGATTGTACTCTCTTTCACTCCTTCACATCTGAGACAATCGCCTCAATTGATTTCTTCTTTTGAACCACACATCAAAACAATTACACCACACCCCCACCCCCTAACCTCATTCTCATCTCCGATCAGTTCCCCGCAACCGGATCTGCGACAAACGCCCACGCAGACGACTCGACAGCAGCAGCAGCAGCAGCAGAACCCACGCTCCAACCACCACAGGAACAACAGCAACATCACGAAAACCCCCAATCACCCACTCCGCTCCCAACCACCACCACCGCGACAGCAATGGCCCCGGACTCCACCTCCGCCAACACCCCGACCGCAGACTCCGCCGCCGCGACGCCCACCACCGCAGCAGCTCCAGCTCCAGCCAACAGCTCCCCAGTTCGACCGGGTGGCGCACCCGCACGCGTCTACATGAACGAAAAGATCGTGCCGTATCTACTAGAGGGGATGAAGAGCATTGTAAAGGAACAGTGCGTCATTTTCCCCCATCCCATCCTATCCATTTCCTTCCCGGGGTAAAGGCAGCGGGGGAAGACGAAACGCAACACAACAAGCGCAGAGACTAATAACCTGGTTTCCATTCATTCACTCATAATAGACCCTCGAATCCCCTCCGCGTGCTTGGCGAATACTTGATTCAGAAAAGCAATGAGCTCGAGCAGGGAAGTGCGTCTGCTGCTGCGACGAAAACGCCGGAGTAATGATCAGTTAAAGGAAAAAAGGTCGTCGTAGAGCGACAAGACACCTTCGAGGAGGGATACATAGTGGGTGATATGGACACTGCGCACGCATACGTGTGATGTGCTTCACTTTTTTTTTTTGTTTTTTTTTGGGGGGTTTGGGACGACAAGGCAAAAGGGGTCGGCGTTTGTATTGTCATGTCAATGATGGTTTGATACGATATGGGAGATTTGGAGCTATAGGGTACGATGAAAACACACAGGTCTATAGGCTGGAGATTTTGATGGAAATATATTTCTCACACAGCTCCGAGTCGTCGTGGGAAACACTTCAACGAGACGAGCGTTGGTGCGGTCTGGAACCATGGTGGACACCGACCGCTTGGTGTGGACTTATGAGACGGCGATGGGCGGCAGATGGTCATCATGCTCAGCTCCATCATGCCGTCAAAAATCCTTCTCCAAGCGGAAATATGTTTTAGTAGGAGGCCCGGCATGAATGGTTGACAACTCGGCTGCACAACGCATCCAGAAGTCGGTCTACGTAAATGTATGTCCGGTGCTACTGTGTGTATCATATTGAGCAGGTCACACAACTTGAACAAGGACTAAAAGACAAGCAAGGACTGTGTCGCCTTGAGGGAACACTACGGCGTGCGCATCGATTTACAGCGCGCTTCAACACCTGACAATTCTCAATTTCCATTGAATCACAATGCCTATATGTACTATACCTATGACCCTACATATGACCTGCAATTAGCAAACCCCGTTCAGTTTTCAGCAATCAAAATGCTCCCCGAGTTACCACCGCGATGCAAGGAGTTCGGTCGGTCGGTCGACTCTCGGCCAAGCAAGGGTTCACCCCCGGCCGGCCAGGTCAGATTTTCCTCTTTAGATCAGCTCTGGTGCCATGACAACTGAAAAATAACTGGATGGGGTTAGAACATAAAAACAACAGGGACCTACCGTCCCACATATCGCCAGACTGTCCGTTGCAGCGGTAATACTGTGGATGTGTCGCAATTACAGGGAATCCCTCTGATCAAGCATTACGGTGTGTGCACCGGTTGCTCTGTAGTGTTTGCTTGCCGTAATTTGTGGCCATACTACGACGCACAGCAGCACACACATGGCGGTCGCAACAGAAAAAAAAAAAAAACCATTGCAAGGCTGGTATGCACTTCTGAGGCTGCGAGTCTTGCTCGGTCACGGTCCAGGGATACCTTTCCCAGGGGGCGACAAATAGCCCGGAGCATATCATTTAATGGTAGAAGCTTGCTTTCATCTGGCCGCATACAATCGAAAGAGTCGTTACGTGTAAAGATAGTTGTATAAGACGCAATAGACGCATAACAGGCGAACAGCTGACTGAAGACTGAAGACTGAAGACTGACTGACTGACTAGTAGCGAGATAACGACCATGTTTCCGGAAAGCTGAGGAGTGAAAGGTAGCAGTGCTGATCCATCTGACAATCCGAGGAATTACAACGTTAATGTGTGTAAAGATCTTGTTCTGTGCTCTTTTTCTCCCTTGCCGCCACTTTTTTCTCCGGTAGTTGCGCGAGCGAATCAACAAAAGAAAACATCAGTATGGGTGACCGAGGGGCGACGAAACCACGGAGAATTCTTTTCTTGGTGTCCACGAAATGATTTTTTTTTGTTCTTTCTCAATTGCCTCTTCACCCACATTGACTGACGGTCGGATGGGCCGGTGATATGCTGGTGCTCCGGTTTCGTCCGAGGTTGACATGTGATGTGATGAGGAATTCCTTGATTTAAATCGCTTTCCTGGGGTAAAAACACACAAAGACGTCCCTATCGTGGCCTTCGAGCTCATTTCCATTCATCCAGGGTATTAAAAGAAAAAGGGGTGAACGCATTCCAAAGAACTTGGGGACAACGGGTGGGGATGGTGACTTGGAACTGGAGAGGGGGAATTGTTGTGTAAAGGGGCATAGGGTGGAAAGGAAACGAGGGGGAAGACCTCGATAGCTTGGGAAGAAGAACGTAGCATGACCTGCATTCAACCGCCCATGTCTAGTCAGTCCACCTACCTGGTGCTGTAACGGTCATCGCCACGGGGTTCGTAGGAGCGACTACCGCCACCGCTGCCACCACCGCCGGCATAGGGCTCACGGGGAGGAGGAGCGGATCCGTAGCTAGCGGGGTTGGCGTCGCGGTCATAGTAACCACGGCGATCTTCACCACCACCACCGCCGCCGCCGCCACGACGCTCTTCACCACCGCGACGATCCTCGCGGCTGTAACGGTCCTCACGACCACCGGAAGCATAACGGTCGATGCCACCGCCACCACTGCCACCACCACCACCACCACCGCCACCGCGGTAACCATAATCATCACGGTACTCGCGGCGACCGTAGTCGCGGTAGTCACGGCCTCCACCGTAGTCGCGACGGTCACTGTAAGAGTCGTAGCGGCCATAGCGGTAGTCGTCGCCGCCACGACGCCAGCTGCCACCATAGCCACCACCACGGCGGTCATCATAGCGGTCACCACGACCACGGGGACCACCACGGAAGTCTTTCGAATATCAGTACTGAGATACAAGATAGTCAGACGGGGTTGTGGGAATAAGAAGCATACCGCGCTTGGGGGGACCAAAGTATTTGCCGGGGGTCGGGGTTCTGGGACGGCTACGACGAGCCTTCTCAATGCTCAAGGTACGTCCTTCGATGACCTCGCCCTGAAGACCTTCCTTGGCGGCATCAGCCTGCTCGGCAGTAACCATCTTGACGAAGCCAAAGCCGCGAGACTCCTTGGTGTGAGGGTCGACCATGATCGAGCAGTTCTCAACGTCACCATATTTCTCGAAGAGACGCGAAATGTCCGATTCGGTCAGACGGGGATGGATGCCGGTGACGAAAAGGTTGGATCCAGTGTTGAGAGCGCCTTCCTCGTCGTCATCCAAAGGAGGCTTACGGGTATCAATAGGGGGACTAAGCATGTGATGGGTCGAGGTCAGCTGGGTTTGGCCAAGGAAAATATCGCCACCCGTGGTGACGATGCTTGCCTCTAAGCTCTTTTTCTGGGGTAACGTACCGATCATCGACGCGTCCGTTGGGAGAACGGCTGCGGGTGCGGTCGCCGCGAGGTTCATCGCGAGGAGATGCGCTACGGTCGCGAGCGAAGCGAGGTTCGTCTATCAAGTCGCGAAGAGCAAAAGAAGCATCATGAATTAGCCGTGTTGTTGCAAGGTTACCCGGTCAATCAGCCAGACCGGGCTGGGATGGCGAGAGCTTGACATACCGTCGTAGCGACCGTTCTCGTGATCGTACTCTGTAGCCATGATGATGATTTTCGTGAAGTGAGTGGAGGGGGTATCAACAGAAGTTGAATGACTCGAGGAGAGCGCGCGCGACGCTGAGAATTAGAAATCGGAAGCTGAAAAAAACTCAACAACCGGTCACTCTTGTTACAAACACACGGAGAGCAGAAACTCAAGGAATGAGTTTGAACCTGAAATCCGTGAAAAGAAGTGTGAGTAAAGAGAAAAAAAGGGGGAAAGGGAGAAGGAAGGAGGATGGAAAGGAATTCCTGAAGATGATGAAAGAAGGGGGGAGGAAACCGGGAAGAGAAGAGAGAGAGAGAGAGAGAGAGAGAGCGGGAGAGATTGCGAGAGAGACAAGAGGTTCGTCTCCATCCAGTCTGGCCCGCCAGCGGCTCTACGCCAAGCCACATCTTTCCATTCACTCTCCCTCGAGTCTCTCCGAGTAACTTTTACAGCTGATGTTCTCGGAGCAAACATAACAACAATATTATTCAATTCACTGAATATTCATTTGGTGAAGAAGATTTCATACATTCGACGCCTGTTCATTACGCGATGCTGGCTTTCTACGGCCCAAAAATGCCATTTCTCGTGGCCATGAAAACATGCCTAACGCCCATCCCTTCCAGTTGGCTGAACAACTGTCGACAAGAAGAAATAAAAGCAAACATACAGAAAGGCAAAGAAAAGAAAAAAAAAAGAATGCCAATGTGGGGGATAGGGGGAAGATAGAAGAAGAGTGTTAAAAAAAAGATTAATGGTCGCATTTGAGCCACCCCGTTCTTGCTTGCTCTTATTTGAACCCACGCCAGCGTCGTCGCGTCCGATGAGTCTTGACATGCTGCTGGGGAGGAGCGCCTGTGCCAGTCGAGGTCTCCGTCAGTCCGTTGAGCACTTGCCCTTCCAGCTCATCCTCCTCCACCAAGTCCTTGAGTTCATCCTCGTCTAATTCGCTCAGTTCCTCACTCATTCCCCGCATAACGTCCCGTCCCGTCCAGCGTTCCTCATGGATGGTGGTTCCCACAGGATCAAATGGTTGCATGTACCATTGGATTCCTCCCTGAGACAAGGGATAATTTTGATCACCGGTGAAACTTCGAGGCGGTGTGAGGGGCTGTGTCTGCTCATCAACTGCCGGTGTTTCTGGTTTCGAACCATCTATCTCGGTCGGTCCGACCGCTTCACTGGCAGCTGGCTCGACTCCTTCCATAGGAGTTTGTGATGTCGTTGGGCCATCCTCGATGGTTTGGCTCTCTGCTTCCTGCACGTCAAAAGTAGAAGCAGGTCTTGACTCGGGGACTGGCTGGACTGGCGAGTCTCTGGGCTCTTGAGTAGGCTGCGACAGTTGTGCATTTGGCTGAGCAGCTGCGTCAACCTTTTCAGGTAGAGAGGCAATAACGGACCCTTCGTCGTTTTCCATTTTAGCAGTGATCTCTGCGGGCTGCTGCTCCGTAGATTGACTTGGGTCTTGAGAGTGCTCTGCTTTGTCAGTTCCGGTGTGCTCTGTAGTGTCGGCTTCAGACCCTCGCCGAGACATGACGCTGTTTTCCAGCATGAGATCAAGCTCTTTCAACTCTTGTTCGAAAGGCTTGCGGTTGAGTTCGCTCTCTTTCCTGATCGCGTCTTCCAGTGCTGGTTGGATAGCTTTGATGATGCGCTTAGCCAATTTTCTCTTCTCGCGCTGCTCGAGGCTAAGTTCCGGGGCACGGCCGCTGATCTGCATCTGTAGCTCTGCAGTATCCCCGGCTGGCTGGACACCGATCTCCGTAGTGAATTCCCGGGCAAGATCGGCGGAGAAAGAAGCCACCGACGAGTAATAGCGTTCTTGCAGCTTTACGCGAATTGTCGATAGCCCTTTCTTGAATATTCCCTTCCCATCGAGCCTGCAAAGTAGTTAGTAAAGAAGGATCTCATATCAGAGCCAGAACTGCTGCTTACCCTTGAGCTTTCTCGAAGATGGGCCAAAGCAGAGGGAAAATGGGGAAGTAGACGGTATCAACAATACTCCGTAGAGTTTCTACATCTCTCAGCTTCTCCTTTTCTCGCTTTCTGACTTCGTCGCACAGCGTCCTCAGCTTGTCCAGGTCGTAGCAGAGCCTCTGGCCGAACTCGATGCGCCGCTGAAGTCGCTTGCTGCCGGTCACTCCCATGGCAACATAATCTCTCCTGGTCATCTCCATCGACGAAAAGGTCTCGAGCTGCAACTGTAACCGTTTCAGAAGCGCAGCACCCCGTCTGGCTTCGCGTTTGAGAGTCCAGTACTTGCAAGCATCCTCAGCGTACTGCTTCCTCTGCCGTACTCCAAATCGCTGAAGCGAGGCGACGACCGAGTTCAAAACCACCTGAGGGATCACAGGGGCACCGGACGGTAGCTTCCAGATCGTCTTAGGTGCAGTCATGCGCTTGCGCTTATTGCCGCCGACAGTAAGAGTAATCCGTGGTGCATGTGTCCGGTGCCCATCGTCATCCCCATGCTCCCCACCAATATGAGAGTGTGCCGGTTCCAGAGAAAGCGCTGCTGCCTGACTGTCTCCCCAACGGCGACCTTGCATAGTATTCCGGTAATATTCAATCGCATCCGCCGTGGCGGCGTCGGTACCATGCTCCCTTCGCCACTCAGGAGGAACATGCTTATCGCAGAAGGCCTTGAGAAGATGAGAATCCATCACGGCTGGAGTGCCATGGCCAGACTTCATTTTTAGGTAAAGCTGGGCCCGTCGCGCGCACGTTACGTGAAACGCCACAAAACAATTTTTGTTGCTACATTGGATAGATGCGCCCATTCTCTGGCGACAAATGTAACAGGTTAGTTTCCAGCGGCTCCGCGGCACTTTCTCGACATCAGTAATCGGCTCCATCAAGGACGGATTGCCAATCGACACTTCCGGGATCCAGATAGCACACAGAAGATGGGACCACTTCGACGTGGTGGTCTGCTTGAAGGCACCCTCGGTATTCGGACAAAATATGCAATTGACTGACCCTCTCCCGATGAGCTGGCATTTCCGGCATAGCCATTGCCCTTCAGGGATGAACGGAACGCCATAACACTCTTGATGCACTGCTAGGTCACATCCATCACAGAACACTATCGCATTGGAGTTCTCGCAATCACCATCATCACAAATGGCACATTTGCTGTCCTGCTCTTCTCCGGGAGCAGTTTCACCATTGACCGCAGCGGCGGAGCTCGAACGAGGACGTTGCGTTTGTGGAGGTTTTGGGTTCGGCTTTGGGATGCGCTTCTCCAGGGCATACCACTCCTTTTCAATCTTGGTCATCGTGATCTCGAAGACGGCCGGTTTGATTGCCTCCAGTTGGTCCTCCCTCCGTTTCGCATTATAGTCTTCCAGCCACTTCTCATCCTGCTCGTCCATATCATACTCCACCCGACCAACAGCGGCATTGACTTCGCCCTCTGAGCCAACAGGGTGGATGAGATCCAGGTCATCTTCCTGCGCACCTTCCGACATACGAACCAACCTGCGGTCATGCCGTAGAAAGAGGTCGCTCTCTTGATATCCCACACTCGCCATGGTACGATCGACATAATTCTGCTGACCTACTCCGGGTTGATCGTAGAAGGTGAATGGGTCCCGTAGTCGAAATGTAGGTTTCGGAAGCGTCAACCTTTCGCGCGGATTGGGCCCGGGTGGAGGTACAGCTTTCGGTTGCGGCGAGATACCCAGAGCATGGAGGATAGCTTCAGGACGGCGAGGGGGGCGCCCCGGGCGACGCTTGATTGGCGTCGGCGAGGTGCCATTAGTGTGCGCGCGAATGAGCTCGGCGATTGGATCTTTATCGCTGCTGTTATTCAGGCCATTCGGTGAAAGGATTTGAGCTAATGATGCCGACGGTGGAGGGCCATCTACTTCCTCTGCACTGAAGACCGTGAACTTGGTATCGATGTCCAGGTCCGGGTGGAACTCCTCCCATCCTCGTTCCTCCCGCGGTTTGTATCCATCTCCTTGTTGTAGCGCAAGAGCAGCCGCTGTCGAGGAACCAAAGCGGCCACGGCTCTGGCTCTTTTCTCGCCTGAGGCGCGCAGAGGGCGGCGTGGACGGCACGGGAGGTGGTGGGGGAGGGGGAGGAGCAAAAGCAGGAGCTGGAGCAGGAGCAGGAGCAGGAGAGGGAGGGGGCAGCTGTACAGGCTGAGGAGGCTCCGGGTCTGGAGCAGGGCGACTCTGGGAGCTCGAGGAGTTCCGTCGTGCGGCGGGACTAGGCTTCCGCCTCGGGGTGGGTTCCTTCACCTCCAGTTCGATGTATCTCCCGCCTCCACCGGGGCCACCAGGGATGTATTTCCGTTTCTTGAGGGGTGGGCCTTCTGAAGTGCTTGGGTCAGAGCTTCGCGATGTCCTCAAGGTGACCCTGGTGTGGTTTCTAGACGATCGGCCAGGCGAGGAACGGTATTTAGATGACGAGAGCGGCGCCATTTCCTCTGGTTGTCGGGCGTTTGCGAATCGGATGACCGCAGCGTGGTTGTCCGTTGATGAACCCTCGCTGGACAGGCCGCTCAGCCTCGCGGTTGGGGGTTGTTTGAGGGGGAGAAGGAGGAGGTGGTGGTGGTGGTGGGAGAAAGGGAATTGTCGTGGGAAATCACAACCAACTCAACGGCGCTCTAAGACGGGATATCACCACAACAGATAAGCCAAATAGGTATGGCATGACTTATCCGTTGAAATCTCTCCCGACTTTGCAAGCTGGTCAAAAATGGGATGGCAACAGGCGAAGGAAGAACGGACGCGCAAGGTAACCCGCGGAAAGAGTTGACTACATTAGTTACAAGGCGCTGAATCGGGCTTATCAAGCCAAAGGCGGAGAGACAGACCCGCAACCCGCGCCTGAGCCTCCGCCGCCCGCTGGTCCCCCTTCCAGCTGGTCTCCCTCCTTCGAGCCCAAAACAGCTCTTCAGCTTTGGAAATCCATAACCATCCAATTCCATACGATCCACTCCTCGTGCTGAATAACCACGAATCATCTTCTTGTTCGTGATCGATTACCTATCCGATCCAAGGATGAGTGGTTCCGGCGAAGACCGGTATGTTCTGATTTTAACTTAGTTCTTTTCCATTGTTCCCATCTTGCCCCGACCACCACCCCCTCTATCAACTTTCCGCGATGGCTTTCCCCCCCTCGTGCCAGCAGCATTCTTGGTGGCTGATCCGCTCCGACCTTCTAGTAATAACTGGCGCGGAGGTCGCCCGTACGAGCAGAACCGTCACGCCGCACAGAGACATTCCTCTTCCCGAACAATGAGCGCCCATGGTACCTCTCGCGGTGGACAGAACAACAACAACAACACATGGAGTGATTCGTCGCGCGAACAGCTCCCCTCGGGGCCTCGGCAGGAACAGCACGTTCCCGTGCGCGGTTTCAATGCGACAGAGTCAAAGACGGCTCTCAAAAGAGGTAAGTCGGATCTGCGTGCCACTCCTCTCCATAGACTTCTGTAATAGCTTGTCGGAAATGTGGAACTGACCTCTCTTGCTGCTGCTGCTTCTTCGCCGCCGCAGGACCCGGAGGTAATTCTTACCCGTCACTATCCCAACCACGCGGAGCGGAGTTTCCTGTCCGAAGCAAGAAACAAACCACTGACCACATACCTTTTCCCCCAGAACCGAGGCCTTTCTTCTACAAACCGCAAGGCAAGGACACCAACAACCGGGCTGGTGGTCCTTGGGGTGCTAAACGTACGTTCATCATTGATCACACACCTCTTCCCACCCCTCGCTGCGAAAACTATCTCACCAGTGCTTGAAATCGATCGATAAGAGTCTAACTTGATGGACACAACACAGCCAACCAAATGGCCAACGGCAAGGACTTCTTCCTCGAGCTTCGAAAACAAGTGACAGCTCTACGACAAGGCAACCCTGTCGCGGGTGGATGATCATCATTGCTCACTTGGGAAATTCCCTGTGATTGAGGCCATAGGGCGCCACTGTATAGAGCTTTTCACGGTCCTCGATTCACGGGAATGGGTTCCACACCATTACCCCGGAGAGCGTCAATTCTGCTTGTCACGGCTACCTAAGGCGAGGCGTCAAGTTTCCTTCCCCGGCCGCGAGATGATATAGCACCTTCTGGCTACCGGCTCGGAGACAGCAGACTCGGACGGACAGCAGCAGGCAGAGAAATCATCATTCAATGCCATGCAGGCCTCGTAGAAGCGGCGGAAGGCATTAGTACTGTTACGAATCAGGCCAATGCAATCAGCTAGACCTCTTTCGACCCAATCACGACGAGATGATCTTCCACATGACTGTATCAACGCTCTGGTGTTATACATGAGTAGCCGTAGTGCTAGATTCCGCTACATAACTGATATGAGAACCCGACCTGGAACTTATAGAGACGATAATATACATGGTCATGACTAGTGTACAGAGAGTTGCATCGTAATTCCGAGCACAGTTTGCATCTACTCCTCCACCCCTTCTCGGACCCACCCACCAGGTCCCCAGAAGCCCCCATCCTGTGCCTTCGGATCGTCCGCAAGAGACCACTTTCTGAGCGCATGAACCGAGAGATCCGTGCGCCATCCAGCCTCGTACATCTCCAGTCCCGCCCAAGCGATCATAGCAGCATTATCCGTGCACAAATAGGGCGGCGGCGCGTAGATCTCGACATCCGCGAACCCGCGCACATCCAGAAAGGCGCGCAGGACGGTCTTCAAAAACTGGTTTGCCGCCACCCCGCCGCTGAGAACCAGAGACCGGATGGGCGTCTCATGTCGCTTGTCCTCGAGGGCGATGATCAAGCGCGAGGCGATGTGCTCGAAGGGGACGCGCATTGCCGCGCGGGCCAGGGCCACCCGCTCACCGTCGGCCCAGCCCTCGCCGGCCTCTTGCTTGCGCTTGATCAGTCGCTCGACCGAGGATTCGATGGAGCTGAAGCTGAACACCAATTCGCGGGTGTTTGCAAAGGGGGTGGTGAACGACCAGCCCCATTCGTTCGGCGCGGGCGGCTGGACCTCGTCGCGACGGGTGGCCGGAGGGCGGTAGTCGGCGTGGTCGGCGCGGCCGTTGGGGAACGCATACTGCTCCAGCTGTCGGGCGTATACGGAGTGCTTGGCCTTTTCGAACATCTCGTCCGGGAGGATCAGCCGCGCGGCCTTGTCGAGCGCCGACCCGACGGCGATGTCCAGGGTCGAGGCCACAATCTCGTGGTGGGTGATGGAGGCGGATTTCACCAGCATCGTGTGGCCGCCCGAGGCGAGGATGGACATGAACGGGAACGCGGGCTGCGCTTCCTGGGCGGTTGCAGCAACAACCACCTGACCCTTCTGCGGACTTTGGGCGCCTCCCGGATTGTTTGTCGGGTCCTGATCCAGGAAGTATTGGAGGTGGGGTGTCAACAGATGAGCCTGCATGTGATGCACCCCGATGAACGGGACCTGCCATGCCACTGAAAGTGCTTTGCCCGTGTCTAGTCCGACCAGGACATTCGTCCTCATGCCTGGGCCTCGCGTGGCGCACACGAAGTCTGGTTTGCGGCGCGGTCGGTCATCATTGGACAGTGTGACTAGCTTATGAAGGGGAGTATCGGAGGAGGGAGCGGGTGGTAGTTTTGTGAGCGCCTTGTTGACGAGCTTCGCAAGGTTCTCTTGATGGGATCCGAGAGCGACCACGGGATGAATGCCTTTGTACTCGGTGGAGTCGCAGGTTACTTTCTCAAGGAAGTGAATGGTCGCATAGCCGTCTTTCTTCTCCACGATTGAGACTGACGTGTCATCGCTACATTCGGGCTCTTTTGTCAGTTCACTATACTTGCCATGCAGTGCAGATTAACAGGGACCCTCGAACGAACCAAGATGTCTCGATAGCGAGAGTGAGCAACCCACGAGCACGAGGCACGAAGCAGCGCCTGGCAGCAACGGCCACGTCTCGCCGTAAAGCGTTTGGTAAGACTCTGGATCTTGTTAACATGGCATGGGGGGCACTTGTGAAGCACCGTAGGAGATAAGGCAAGATTTCTACCGCCCGCCGGCGGCGAAAGAAGCGGGCCTGAGGTTTCCTCGCACGGACCATAGGAACCCTGAGATGCTGCCCTAACCACTCGTCCCAAAAGGGAGGAAGTACTACATATGGATGTTTGGCAATGTCGATGGCTGTCATTTGACTTATTTTGCTCAATACTCTCCTGTCTGTGCTGACGAGTAAAATTGCTAATACTTCATGGAGCCTAAGCGAATGTAATTGGAATACTCCAGAATATGCCCCTATGCTAATAGTAGCACGCCAAATCATATCATCACGTCATAATCATAATAGAAGTCATATACACGCCGAGAGACTGCTCTTCAAGTTCCTCTTTCGAATGCACCAAGCTCAATCGCCCTACCATCCCAGATCTCTGTCTTTTATAAATAGACTCGATGTGTCAGATCTGTACCAACGTCGGGTATAGTAGGTGGGTAGCAGATGGACATGTGCATAAAATCGACGCTAAAGCCTCGATCTCGCCCTGGCCCCAATTGCTGAGCGACTCCGCGAATGTGCTAATCGATATGTCCTTTGTCTCCGAAAATGGCAAGTCCAGTCGGACCCAGCCCAAATCAATCCCGCACAACCCAGCGCCGTTCCTCACGCGACAGCTTCGTGTAGGTGCCGTAATACTCCTCTGGATTCTCGATTGGTGTTACACAGTGAACGGTTGGGTTGCCTTTGAACTGAATCCTTTTCTCTGTAGAAGCGGCAGCCCCGGGCACAGAGTGTTTCTTGAGAATGCTTTTGGAGGTGCAGGAGTTGTTGTAACCAAAGGACGGCACCTGTAGCGTCGAGAATCGCTTTGCACTTGGGCTGGCTGGAGACAACGGAGTTCGGGGGCCAGCACCAGGCGACTTGAGAGGAAATGACGACCGGGTGGCATTTTGTGCCGCGGAGATGCTTAACGAAAGCTTGGGTCGAGCGTACATGTTGAGAATAATTGTTGACAAACGAGGAGCAAGAGGTGTTTATGTTCGTAGAGGAAATGCACAGGACTAATCCGAATTTTTCGAGTGACGGTAAGTGCAGTCAACCGATTGGCAGCAGAACTTTGATCAACAAAGTATCCACAGAAGCAGGCGTGTGAATGATGCTATTATTATTTATTGACGTCAAGTAGTAAGAAGCAAAAAAACAAATAGCTTGCTTGGACCAGCCAAACGAACTAGACAAGAGACAAAAATAGAATAGAAGAAAAACCCGCACAACCTCAAACAGACGGCGTGTCAGGAAAGAAGAAGGGTTCCAATGCAGGCAGGCGACTGCTGAGCGGCTATATAGCTGGTCGATGTCCCTCGGCATTTCACAGGGACGCAGAGACCAGAAGTGAGTGGCTTCAGGCAGGAGGGGGTCAGGGTGGAGGCGGGGCCAATCGCCACCGCTTATCACACTCTAAGCGCCCAGCAACTGCACTACCAAGCACACACCAAGCACACAACCACACTCTCATCACACACTCCTTGGCAGCTGCAGTGATTACAGAAGGAAGATTCTTGCCACTCAGGTCAAAGTGTGACCGCGATTGGTGAGTGTCTATGGTCTGTGCAAGGTTCCTATTTGGAAGTCAAGTCCGCTGCGTCGCCATATCAACCACTAGAGTTCCCCAGTGAGGAGACGTGCGTTCTGCAGAAAGCGATACAGCGAATGAAGTCTTTGTCTAATAGGCCCTGTGGAACGGCAGGCCGCTACTGTTACACCTGCAGAAAAGGCACATCACCATCACATTTTCCCACAATGGTTGGTTCGCGTCTGCCGTGGCTGTTCCTCTTCCCCTCAATTCCCCATGCATAACCAGTCAAGCACCGGCATATCAGCATCAATGTGGACATTGGAACGGAAGAGATCCAGTTGCCGTGGTAAGCCAGCAATAGCTTGGAGTCTTGAGAGTCTACGGGGTATGTCACTCGCAGCTAGACACCCACTGTCAGAACGGGCTCTGCAGCAAACGGATAGTCTCACGTACTGAGAAAGTAAAGACTCCAGTGTACCCATGATTGCGTACAGAATCCCTGCTTGTATGACCCGAAACAGTGCGCGGAATCCACAGACATTCTTCTCACTCGCAAGAGTAAATAATGCTTGCTGATAGTATCATGAAGGCTAGCATGTCAACAGAAGGTTACTTTCATCCACTTGCGGGTTAGGTCGTCACAGATTCGGAGTCAACCTGCTCGTATGGCTTGAGATGTGCTGGTATTATATGTGAGCACACATTTCTTGCGAGTTAAATGACACAATCAACCAGATTGATCTTCACCCGTGGCCTCTGAATTTGTCCGCCTAAATAAGGCCCGAAGTCGAATTCTCGAGTTATCTTTCGGTTTTGTGCCCTCATCTATGACTGAATCATCATCGCGGCTCACCGTTCGGTCTTCGTCGAGTATGTATTTCCATTTTCCATCCGGTGTCTCCAACCTATCAAGCTTATATTTCTTGTCAAGGTCGGCGAAGTGCTTCCGTCGTTCATCGTCACTCCACGCATATGTGCCCTTGAAATCATTCAAGATTTGGCTCTGAGTAATCCAGGGCATGATGGAGCCAATGGATCGCGGGATTCGCGGAAACCTGAATCTGTATCTTCTAGTAATGAAGACTGACGCCACGATACAAGCGTCAAAAACCACTATTAGCATCACAGAGATGAAAGACAGCAAAGTTGGAACAACCGCCCAAGACATGTGGTAAATAATGCCATCTTTGATGTGGGCGGGAGTTTCGAGGTAGCGGAAATATGCATCTCGTTCGAGTGAAAGATCAGTTGCAAACATGGACCGGTAGACCGAGCGGGATGCTCTTGTGAGTACATCGACGGCAATATATGATGTGTTGGAGTTCATTAATTCGTAGAGACTCACTGTCAGGCTGCCGAAGTAATCGACCTGAGTCGAAGCATTTGGGGCCTGGACTGTGCCATTTGAGAGGACCGCACTAGACAACCTGTGGTTGTAGATGTTTAAATTCGAAGTCCCGTTTTGCAACATCGGGCCGTTAACTATAGTGGTATCGTTGAGAGGAACATGGTTTTGTATGAAGCCCTGGGAGTTGAATGCCACCGAAAAATTCTGCATGACGATGGAGGATTCGCAGATCATTGCTACCGTGTTGGCGCTAGTGATTTGGTTATGATCGCTGCCGCTCGGTTGTGCCACCACCAAAATAGCTGGCTTCTGGCAACCTTCAGATGCGCCGTAAGGCGTCGATGCAAAGAAATTGACCGTCATACCAGGATTTTCGATGCCAGTGGCAGTTCGTATTGCATTAATCTCGCATGTTGTACTCGATTCATTGAACGGAGAGTACTTCCAGTGGCTAACACTGGAGCCAGGATCTTGGGTATAGCTGTCCGTAACTGAGATTTCTCGGCAAAAAATGTCGGCACCCACGCCCAGCAGAGTGCCCCCCACAAGCCAATCTGAGGAGTTGTCTGTCCAAGCTGGAAGAAAGGAGAGACTGGAACTTGTCCATGGTAGAATTGACGAGCCACTATAAATACTCGTCCGCATAGCATCGAGTTCCGGAAGCACTGATGATGGCTGTCTGATGGTGAATGTATCATAACTATACCACGTCTTCATATCTGTATCCACAGTAGTCGGACCAAGATCATGCTGGAACAATCCATTGACCAGGATACTCAGCCCTGTATTGACAATGCACGCCACCCCAACAAGCCCAAGTAGAATATGGTTATAGTTGAACCAATTGAAGAGTGAGGCAAACGGGTTCAACGATCCATACTCAAGCAGGAGGGAAGAGGCAGCAGACGCTCCTCCCATTTGGAGAACAGACCATGGTTCCAGAACACTTAGATATCGGTAGATGGAAAGGCATATTGCTCGTATGATCGACGCAATCGATGACGGAACCAGAGAGAATAGAACCGCTATGCTGCTTGAACTGATGAAGGTCAACGGCTGAACGTATCCATCCTTCACACATAACGCAATTACAGTCGCAAGACCAGCAACAGCCGCGGCGAAGATGAGAAACTCGAGGCCGAAAATCGGAATCAGGAGGAAATGGGGTTTTGGATCAGACCGTGTCCTTGCGGATTGGCCCATGGAGCGATGCACTATGGAAGTCAATATTATTTCATGGATAATATGCTTGCTAGGTGTTGAAGGTCTGGACAATGAAACATACCATGCGACGGCTCAATGCGGATACAAGGGGGTTCTCTGTCCTGTTGCCACCGGCAGTTGTAATTTCGAAGGATTGATCGAAGTTGTCTCGTCGACAACTGGTCGAGGTTGAGATGTGAGATATGCGTGATGTCAATGATATCTGCCATGATGCCACACATGGATGCAATGGATGCAGGGTCTCCCCGAAGAAGGTTTGGCCGGCGTGGGTAAGCGTAAGCCAGGTACAGTATCACTAGTACGCTCAATACAAGTATCGCCTCTGAAATAAGAGACTGCCACGGCCCTACCATTATGGCCATTTGACGCGTCACATGAGAGGCCTTGACATAATTAGATTGCGCAGACACGTCGAATATCCTGTTCATTAATGGCACAAAGGCTTCCTGAACACTTCCATTAAGTGTAGATATTAGGCCTCTCTGAGAAGCAGACTCTCCAAGCGGTTTCTTGCTCCAGAACGTGGTCCCATTGTTCGCGAGAACCTCCGACAGAATAAGATTTTTGAAATGTGTCGTGTTCAAAGATACATCTGAAACATTGCTTATGGAAGCTGAATTTAGTGCCGTAACGAATAAAGAGCCGTTGACCTGCAATGAAATGCTGGCTTCTGAAGTCCGATAGAGTATTTGGCAGCCGAAGCCACTGACATTATGGATGTAATTAGAGTCTTGTGGAATCGAGCCGTTGCTGCTGACGTTTTGGCTGGTTTGATTCGGGCTGATAGTAACAATGACCCCTATGATATCGATAGCAGTGCACCTGTCATTTAAGCCTGTTGTAGATAAGATGGGCTGCCAATGCGTTATCTCTAATGACTCGTTTGTGGACGGTATGGAAATCGCTTCACTCAAATGCATCGAGCAGCGCTCTGAAGCCGGTGAGATATTCATATCCCAGATCGCCGAATGGTCAAATAACGAGGCAGCCTCTGAGCGGGACACGTTAGACACAACATTAGTGGTCACGTCATCCTTCACTTCTAAGTCGGTACAAGACAGCTCCGCCCAGTAGACTGACTGGGTGAGTTCCCACATCGTCGTATCATACTGAACATCCCAAGGAATATTCACTGGTGCCATTGCGTATTTACCTGAATCTGGTTCGTCGTAAGTCAAATATCGATGATCACGATGAGCTGTGTGGTGTACTGTTGAGTTGTATGACACAGATGCTTGGCCTTCCATGTTGATCAAGTCCGGCCATATTTCAAGATGCTGACTATTGGAGATTGTGGCACCATTCATCCTGAAGAGGCTGCTCTGCAGTGTCGGAAATACAAGTTGCAAAAGCACACTCAGGACTGAGATGAAAACCGCCATCCAATGTCGATTTCTAAAGGCAAAAAATGGAGCGGTTGTGAAATGGCCAAACTCATAATTGAGCAGAAGCACCTCAGCAGACACCCCTTGAGGCTTAGAAAGTTGAAAATACGGCTCCAGACGTAGGGCATCATACTCAACAACAGACCACAGGATGGCTACAATCATACCCAAAATGCTCGGAGCATAGGTGAACATGAATCGGCGGGCGACGGTGATCTCATCGGAGGACGTGAACACAACAAGGCCGCCTGTATTAGAACCCCACTGCCGAAGTACTTCTGTGACAATCAACATGGCTGCCATAAGGCAAGCCAGGGGAATCAAGTACCGGCGACGTAAAGTCTGGGGTAGCCACCCTGAATTTCGAATCCGGGGAACTTGTTCGACGTTGTGTGACATCGTCCGACTTGTCCGTCTCAATGCCATGTAGCATTAATGAGCGGAGCGCTGGTGGGCATCGGGATCGAGCCAGTTCGAATCTGATCAAGCCCACATCCACACAGCTGGCCGTCGGAAGATGCAAAAATCAGATTTTGGAAGGCATGGATCATGAAAGAGCCATATTAAAAGTCCAGTCGATTAAGTTTTGACAGGAATCAGACCTGCGATCGGTCTGTAATGAGAATGTTACCAGCTCCCCCCCGCTGGAAAAAAGGTTATGGCAGCATCTAAAAGTGAAGTAATGAGATATAAGTCCCTGGAAATCTGGCCAAGCGCCGAAGACACCTTAAGGACTCAGGACCAGCGCGGGTGGGCGGCTTGACTGTTATGGGTTTTTATTGGTGCGATGCGTGGATCCCGCGGGGACTGGGTAGTGAATGCGTACGCGGTCGACTTTTGTAGGGACTATAATCATGATGCGACGGGCTGGGGCATTTTGACTAGAAGGCTAGCGCTTCTGAGTGGTGGAAGAAGGTATACAGGCTATCAGTGGTCACATTAGCAGGTATTGACGTTTGACTATGATGTGTGAAGGCTGAGATCATCAAGCTTTTCAGTCAAAATTGATAAGGACTGCTGGAATTCTTGATCCTTTCCTCTGTCCCTTTGCCACATGTTTCGACAGGGGTTGTGTGGGTCGCGGGTGTTGAATTCGTACTCAAGCATAAACAAGCATTTCGGGAAGAGAGCGGCAGAGACATTGGAAATCATCATTTAGATAGAGCCGGCTAAAAGAGTGGGATAAGACTCTGTGATGATTTCGATGACCCAGGTCAGTCCCTCTGGCAGCTAAATAGTCACCATCAATCTGACTATCAGGATGCAGCGTAACAGACTCTTCTGCTCCAGATCTTTGAGCCTTGACCAAGTTCGCAAAGGATCGCGGATGATTCTACACCCGCCAGAATCGCCCAGAACACTTTCGGTGCGACGCACACCAGTCGAAGAAAGTCAGGATGCTCGAGCTAGGCTTGTGATGGGCCAGTCATGTCCTTGCTGGATACTTGGCGAAGACAAAGGCACGATGATGAGTGATCATTGATATGTTTTTAAGCTTGTCCTAGCTTAAATGCTGGCGAAAAGGCCCACTCTCAGGGGTCTTGAATACGCATGCTCGCAGCCCGGTTCCAGACCAATTGTTGCTCCTGCTGGCCTGGCTCTGCTACACTAGGCAAGCAATATCGGATTCAGTAAGCCACCATGGCATGTGTTGAACTAAAAGCGATTGGCCTCGGTTGACGTTGAAGGCTGACAACTGAATACTACTACATGTTGATGAAGGTTCACACAAGTGCATTGGACAAACAGCCTGTTGTGCAAACATTTCTAAGCCCCCATGGGTCAGGCGTCCACAATGCCAGCGAACGGCAGCCACGTTCGGACGCAGCTACTCCCAGACCGGAGCCTCAATGCCTTTTCCCCTTATCGAGTTTGTCTTTTCACAATTCCAGACCCATGGCTTGTACAATAGTCAATAAGGCCTATTTTATATCACATTCTGTTCCCATGTCTTAAAGTTATCCGAAAGGAAAAAAGCTTCGATCGCGTACCAACAAACCAAAGGTCGCATCGGGTGACGTCAACAGTCTCCATCAACCAGTTAGTGTTCCCAGGCAATTATCGGGTCCGCGGAGACCAGGGTCGAATGGTAAAATAAAACCACTTCGAAGCGCCCCTGCATTTTTACAACTCATCTCTCTGCTTCGACGGTCGGTCTTTCGTTACAATGGGCGGGCTTCAAAATTTTCTGGAGCCGGGAGGTAGATTATTCCCAATATACATTGATTTCCGCAGCATCCGAATAGTGACTGATATACATTTCTACGGGGGCAGCCATCATCGCGGTTTTCACCACAGGAACCCTGATCAACCGACGCAAGCATGTCAGATTGCTGGAAAGTCCCAGTGTCGAATCACCCCTGCTCGAGAATGGTCCTGAAGATGTTAAACCCAACAACTACGACGAGCGTTCGCTCCGCGACCGCCGGACACCCCAATCTCGCCTTCTAGCACATTTCCCCTTTCTTTTGGAGATCCTGTACTGGCTGCTCACATATTGGGTACGGAATCTCCATCAACCCTGCCGCATATGAGGAGGCTATTCTGACCTAAAACACAAGATTTATCAAGGTTTACGAGCATTCTCCGCTCGGATGATCAGCGGGCACAAAGAAATCTTCGACACCGCGGAGCGTCATGCTATCTCAATCCTCCGCCTGGAGCACTTCTTCCACCTCGACGTCGAATTATCAGTCCAGCAATACGTACTCAACCAAGTCCCATGGCTTATGCCCATCTTGGCGCGCGTATACTACTCGCATATCGTTCTTGGAGTGGTATTTGTGGTATATTGTTATACCTTTGTCCAACGCGACAAATACCAAGCCCTCCGACGCACCTTGGCATTTGAGAATGTCATTGCCTTCACAATCCTTACTCTCTGGAGGTGCATGCCTCCGCGTCTTCTCCCTGAGGAGTATGGGTTTGTCGATGTCCTGCACAGCAATAAGGGTGGCTCGGCTTGGACACAGAACAAGTTTCAGCTCACGATTGCGGCAATGCCTTCCCTTCATTTTGGAAATTCCATGTTCATCGCGCTTTGCCTGCTCAAATTCAGCCCCCACTGGTACTTAAGGGCGATCGCGCCGTTGTGGCCGATGATGATGGGGCTAACGATCGTGGCAACCGCGAATCACTTCATTTTGGACGCTGTCGTTGGTGCATGTGTGGTACTTACAGCTTTCAGGTTCAACTACATCATGCTCAAGCTGCTACCGATAGAGAGGGCGGTGTTTAGATTACTTCGCTTAGAGAAGCCTTGAGCCACATAGATGGATTACTGGGTGGTGTTGGGTCAGTCTTTGGACTCGAAACCTATATTATATATCTTTAGGATGCTTCGTCTTGATGTGATGCGGCCACCATGTGTGAGTATCGCACTCACAAATGAGACTTAGATAATGAACAACCGTGTATAATAAGCTCCATGCAAGAAGCCAGTAAGAGTTTTGATAGCTGAACATGTGGTAGCTCAGAAGTTCTATCGTTGAATCTTTCGTAAGCTGCAAGATTGTGCATTATACGGTCATGGAAACGCGGTCGATATACATCATACTGTAAGCCATATAGCTTCATAGATCAAACTTGTCTCAAGCCGGGCTCTCTTTTAAATAACTGCAATCGACAAGCGAGCAAAGCATCCATGTCGCGTGATTTATCCGAAAGAGGAAATTCAACAACACAGAAAGCCGGATGAGATCGGGCTGACTACTACGGAGCTAACAACCTCCTAGCTACGCAGCTAGCACTAGTAATCAGTGAGCCCGCCGCGGCACTTTTCATAGTGTTAAAGAATCCGAGCAGGGACCTTTCCACCCCTTGCGACTTGACCCGTCCCGTCTGCCCTTTCTCCGCAGGATGCTCGTCCAGCATTGATAATCTAGCACTCGACGAAAGCTCAAAGCGAGCGTATGAGGAGGCAATTGCATGAGTGCGTGCTAGGACCCGAAAACCATGCTGGAGTTGGTTTTGTAGCTACTGGTGCTTCGACAGCATGATTGAATTATGACCATAACCTGCACAACTTATTGCAATGAAAGTACTTGACCTTTAGCCTAGCTCCGGAGCAGAAGTGTCTCCACGGTCCTTGGCGGCTGTTCGGAGTAACTGCGACATTTGCTTTTTGGTGCCATGCCGCAAAGCATAAACCATCCGTCACTATTTACCTAGTATTGACTACCTGTTGTGCCTCCCCGCCTCAGGATATGTTAATCCTTGCCTACGTGCTGGAACCCGGTATCATCCCCGGAATCAATCGCGAACAGAGTTTGAGCCCAGCTGGCACCGACTTACGGGGTAGTTAACTAAGTTAATGTTAGGAAAGCAATTTCTTAGGTAAGAGGAATCCGTCCTGCGTGCCCAGTGCAACAGTGCAAGTTGGTCTTCCCCGACATCCCGCCGCGTTGGACTCCACCGAGTGACTCCGGACCCTCCTTCTCTGGTGGGCACTGCAACCACTTAGAAGAGGGTTACTAATTCTCATTCGTGGGTCCCTCGAGAAGTAATCGGGCCGATGGTGTGTGTCAGACGAGAATGCCATGTGAAATGAGCAAATGAAATCCATTGCCTTATTGAAGGGCTGACTTGAGTCTTGATCTTCCTACGGGGTAGTTACGGAGTACGGGTAGAAGACACGCTGAGGTATCGCCCGAACCGTGCGGCGGCTGCCGATCTACGTCAGGAATTTTGTATCCGAACAATTGGCCACTGGCGCCGAGATCGGGCACGGGGTCGTGTGTGTGTGCCCCCCTCATACCATGAGAACCTGCGTGAAAATGCAGACTCCGGCGAGCTGTACTTTGTGCCGGAAGTAGTAGGGGTTGACATCAGTGATGAGAGAGAATATGATGCTATCTCTTGAATATGCATGCATTATGACCAACATCCTCCGTCACTGATGGGAAGTATCGTCTCGTCTTCGCCGTGGAGGTGTACTGCTTCTAGTTCTGGTTGCTGTGCTGCCTTTGCTGGGTGGCCCCCAGGCCCCAGGGGTTGGTGGTTAGACAATCATCGAATTGCGGGTGGCCAGCCAATGTTTCCGGTGTTACCGTGTGGTACGCCCCAGGGAAAACTGGGTTTTTGTCCATGGCAAAATCCGTGAGGAGCGCTTGGCTGGTCCCTTGGGTCTCTTTTGCCTCCCTCCATTGTTTCGGGTGGCTTCTCTTTGTCCGGAGGCAAGATGAAGATTTTGACAATTGATCTGTGCTTAAATTGGAACTCTTCAGGACAAAGCCACATCGATGGATGACAGTGCAATGGAGCAACCTGACAGAAGGGATTTGAGGAGTTGGGGGCCTCGATTGCCGCCGGAGATAAGCCTGCGAGCTTGCGAGAGCCACCTTTATCCAGCTGACCTGCGCTCGGCCTCAACTCCGATGGCACCCCTATGAGAGGGAGGCATGGAGGAAGGCATGGAGGGAAAAAAACCTCAATCAGCCCGGTTAATTACCTGTTTAACACGCGTTAAGCCAGAGGCGGTGAAGTATGCTGATGAGCGATTCGTCCTTGAAGGTTGTGAGCAACAAAAAGTCAGCAGAGTCTTTTATCCGGTAGTCAATAGTAAAAGCATGCATGAACAAAAAAGGAACTATGGGGGAGCGAGGAGAAAAGGCGTAATGATTAACTGTAAACACTGAAGACTAGACATTAACTTACGACTTTGAAAAGAAGAAGTCTCGCTTCTTTAATTTCCCTTAGCCAGTTTCCAGCTGTCATATTTATGATTCACTCCAGGTTCAGTAGTTATCCTAACTGATCGATCAACCACTGTTCAGTGTTTGGAGCATTTCTCCCCCATTATTTTTGTCTTGTCTCCCCGTCTCCACTCACTTTTCTTATCCCCAGCCCCTTCTTCCTCCGAACATCTTCCCTCCACCACCTGGGTTGATTACCTTTCTCTCGTTCAATTCTTTGTCGTCTTGGTTGGCGCATTCTTTTCGCAGAGACTTGGATCGATTGTTCTTGGTTTAATTTCTATTTGATTTCAATTCACAATGACCAGCGTGAAGGACGCAGTCAAGGAGTCCCTGGTCGGCAGCTCATCGGAGCCTCAGCCGTCGCAGCAGATCAAAAACAATTTCCTGCGTCATGCACGCAAAGATGAGGCATCAGGAGATCTTTACATGTCGGAAGATGACTTCATCAACGCCATTGCCCCTAAGCATGAGGACTATGTAAGTGATCCACGTCCCTTCCGCGCATTGTGTTTTTCATGAGCATTTCTTGTATGTGTCATACGACAGCCGTGATCCGAGCTTGGCTAATATACGGACTCTTCTCGTGAACTGCAGCACAAGATCAAACGCGAACACTATGGCATTCTATTTCTAGTCGCCGATAGACGGAGAACTGGGAAGCTCACTCTTGCTGATTGGGCCACTTTCGAGAACCTCTTGGGCAAGCCCGACGCTGAGTACGAGATCGCCTTTCGCCTCTTCGACACAGAAGGAACTGGCTCTGTGAAGTGGGAAAACTTTCAGCAACTGTACAACCTGAACAAGACTAGCGACAGCATACCTTTCGATTGGAACTCAGAATGGGCCTCCCTTTACACTGGACGCAAAAAGACTCGCCATGATATGACATACCCTCAATTCGCCCAGATGCTTCGTGGTCTGCAGGGCGAGCGCATCCGACAGGCTTTCCACGTGTTCGACAAGGACGGTGATGGTTACATTGAGCCTGAGGACTTCCAGCGTATCATCCTCGAAACTTCGAAACACAAGCTGTCCGACTATGTCCTCGAGAACCTCCCCAGTCTGTGCAACATCTCTACTGGCACAAAGATTTCCTATGCTACCGTCCGTGCGTTCCAGAATATCATGCGTGAAATGGACATGATTGATGTCATTGTCCGTGAAGCGACCAAGAAGAGTACTGACGGCAAAATAACGCGCGCTGATTTCTTGAATGAAGCTGCCCGTGTTACTCGCTTTTCTCTCTTTACTCCTATGGAGGCTGATATATTGTTCCACTTCGCTGGGCTGGATGCGCCTTCAGGACGGCTTTCTCAGAAAGACTTTGCCAAGGTCATTGATGCTTCATGGCGCACCCCCTTCGTGGTTGCTGGACAGGCGGCAGCAGTCGCATCGGACAAGGCTCACCAGGTCGCCGACAAGACCAAGTCGGTGCTTTATAGTGTGCTTGAATCTGTGCACCATTTTGCCCTTGGCAGTCTTGCTGGTGCCTTTGGTGCCTTCATGGTTTACCCCATCGACCTGGTCAAGACCCGCATGCAGAACCAGCGATCAACCCGTGTTGGAGAGAGATTGTACAACAACTCGCTCGACTGTGCTAGAAAGGTGATTCGGAACGAGGGATTTCTCGGCCTGTACTCTGGTGTCATCCCTCAATTGATCGGTGTTGCTCCTGAGAAGGCTATCAAGCTCACAGTGAACGACCTCGTTCGTGGTCACTTCACCAACAAGGAGAATGGAAAGATTTGGACCGGCCACGAGGTCCTGGCCGGTGGTACTGCAGGAGCTTGTCAAGTTGTAAGTCGCGAAATCCTGGGCAAGTACAACATGTCGGGCAATGGGCTAATGTAATTCCTTCTAGATCTTCACCAACCCCCTAGAGATCGTCAAGATTCGTCTTCAGGTTCAGGGTGAGATTGCCAAGTCCGTTGAGGGTGCCCCGCGTCGCTCTGCCCTCTGGATCGTGAAGAACCTGGGTTTGGTTGGTCTGTACAAGGGTGCAAGTGCTTGCTTGCTCCGTGATGGTAAGTGATTTCACGGTCTCCTTCCTTTCCGATCCGCTTATGCTGACTTTCAAACCCCAGTTCCCTTCTCCGCAATCTACTTCCCAACATACGCACATCTCAAGTCGGACTTCTTTGGAGAATCTGCCACCAACAAGCTTGGTGTTGTGCAATTGCTGACTGCAGGTGCCATTGCTGGTATGCCAGCTGCTTACCTCACCACGCCTTGCGACGTTATCAAGACCCGCTTGCAGGTTGAAGCCCGCAAGGGCGAAGTCGGATACACCGGCCTTCGTCATTGTGCTGCCACCGTCTGGAAGGAAGAAGGTTTCAAGGCTTTCTTCAAGGGTGGCCCGGCCCGTATCCTCCGTTCGTCCCCGCAGTTCGGTTTCACATTGGCTGCATACGAAGTCCTTCAAAAAATGCTTCCCATGCCCGGAGGCCACGATGAAGTCTCTCCCTCTGGACATGTTGAACCCGGTGTTGGCCTGCAATCTGCCAAGGCGCCGCTCCCTTACCTCAGATCCAGAAACGCTCTGAAGCTTATCCTGGACCTTGACGAGAACATTGGCCGCGTTCGGGTCCCCTCTGCAGAACGCTGGCCCAAGTTTCTGCAACCATCCCAGCCCTAGACACGCACGACCACCTTTGTTTTCATAGCGATGTTTTTTTTTTCCTATTTCCTCCTTTGCCCTGAATGAAAATAGTGATTGATTTTATCTCGTCATAGCCCATTTCCCCCCTTCACTGGATTCTCTCTTGGCCCGATTGAAACCAAGACCTACTTCTTGTTTTCTTTCCTCAAGTCATATGGTCCACACTATCACATGTAACAAAAGCAGATACACTCGAGCCGAGACTCTTGTTGCTAGACCGCTGATTGGGTATCTAGACTTGATCCTTATTGACCTTGCAGTTCTTCAGTGATTTTGCATCTGGTGTCTCTTTCTCCTTTCACATACAGAAATGGGCGTCACTTCTCGGTGTACAGGTACCTGATTATTCAAGCCTTTGTGAGCAGCTAGATCAACTAGATGTTTTGAATATACATTGTATTCATCCCGGATGTCTAATTACAATATTTCACTTCGAACCTCGAAGAAATCGTGTCGGCCTGTAACGGGCCGAGGAAGTATGTTGCAAGTACGGACATGCCGATAACCTCAGCTGCGAACTATAGGCACAGAGAAGTTGGCACGAAAGCAAGCATCGATGACCTTTCCCTAGCCGGTGCTAGGACATGTGAAGATACCTCATGGGAAGCTCTGTGGGCATCGTGATATACATAGAGTTTGCAAGGCATACCCGACATGGGGAAGCGAGTGTTCTATAACTCAGTCTCTGTAAATAAGCCCGTCGTAAGGGAGTCGTCGTGTGTATACAACGGGCTTCCAAAGCGGCAAGACATTCAAAGGCTTAGGAAGACATGGCTCATGCTAGTCTACCTTGCCAAATTCAGCCACTTGATGCAGCATATGCAGATTCATGCACCAAGCTGCGAGCGGCTCAGGGCATGTCTGACCCTGATGGGAAGACTTCCAGAGATATGCAAGCCGGCACGCCCTGGCGTTTCGGTGGACGAGCTTGACGTCGCATCGATCTTTAGTTTGGCAAAACCAAGTTCTGTTTAGAAAAAGTTGACTTTCCGTTTCACCTGCGAGTCTGCTGGCGGCTCGATGGTCGTCGGGGTCTCAGCAGGTATGACTGGGTCCTTTGCGACCGGCTTTTCCGTCTTTTCTGTCACCTGGGGCTTCTGGGCAGAGTCGGTGGATTTCCGATGCCACAGCGAGTCCTCTTCCTCAATCTCACGGAGAACTAGAGTTTTGGGCAAGTTCCGAAATTAGCCAAATTTAACTCTTCAGAGCACAATGCATAATGAACAACCGCAACGAACCTTCTTCCCATTCCCTCTCCTTGGCCTCGTTGCCCGTGCCGAGAAGTTTCTCCACGTCCACCACCTCCCCCTTGTTGACCCTCTCAATCACCTCCCGCAGAAGCCGGATCTTCGCATCGGTCGAGCGGGTATAAGCGGCGTAGTCGTTCTTGAGCGCGATCATGCGGATGGCTTGCGATCCGATGAGGATGAAGATAATGATGTAGAAGCTGGCGGGGTTCCATTCTTTCGACTTGGGGGCGTAAGGTTTGCCCTTTCCGGTGAAGCGATTGCGAACGAATGCTGGAATGAACGTCGTCCATACGTCTGCATGAGCGAATCTGGGAAGGAATCGGGAGCCGCCGGAATAAGGGCGCAGCTGGCTTTGTAGTTGTTGACTTGACGGGTGGAATCTGAGATGCGCAGCTGGGCTGGAGCAGGGACGGGTTCTGCTGGACAAGCGGAGTGCGAGTCGAGCAGATTGCATGGTGATTGAGGCCATTGGCTCGAGGGAGATGTGCCTTGCCGAATAGAAGACCTGACGGTTAAGCGAGGGGGTCAATTCGACTTTGGGAGTACTATCTGACGATTCCGTGGGAATTCTATCCCAAGTCCCGGTCCCGGTATGATGGGCCTGGCTGCCTGAGGCCATAAGGACAATCGGCGAGCGGTAATCGGCTAAGCCCGATTGAGGATAGTCGTGGGGGCTGTTGCTGGGACAACGCGGGCTTGCTTGGCTGCCCTTTCAGGTGTCATAATCACATCGGCGGAGGGCCTGGCTCGATCTTCCATCTTCGACTGACAGACGACGAATTCCGCAGACACCAGTGTCTGCTGAACCACAGCAACCCTCCGACAAATACCTGTCCGTCATGGCGGTTGCAACACTGCTTCCTGATTCCTCCTTGGAATCGGTGAAGCTGGCCGTCCGCTCCATCGCAACATGCTCGACGACAACCGTGTTAGCCCTCCAAACACTCCTCCGCGGGACATCGAAAGCGCCCACAGACACGGAATCCGCAACAGTAAGACGAGCGGGGCGGACAACGAAAGCCTCAACCACCACGATAACGAGGACAAAATCAACAAGAGGCACGAGGACGAAGGCCTCCGCGGCGGAAGCAGCGGTCAATACAGTGATGGAACAAGATGCCGCGCGTATATCGGATCAAGAAAAGCTGGTTCTGGCTACAGAAGTCTTTAACGCGACGCTGAAGACTCTGTCGGAGGCTTTGAGACTCAACTCTAGCAGCAAGCGGGAAGATTCCCGCGCGTCGTCGACACGCGATTCCGTGTCACCCAGTCGCATCACGAAATCACCCCGGAAAACGAATGCGACCGCTATCACGAACGGGATTCCAGCGGTGGCCACATGTGCGAGTCTGGCGCTGTCCTGCCTAAGAACACTCCGAAGTGAGCAGGGGGATGGAGGGTTTAACATGCAGCTTGAACAGGGCTCTTGCATTTTGGCTGGAAGGCTCCTGTCACTAGGCCTTAACGACATGGCATACAAAGAGCTAAGGGGGCTGAAGAAAAGAATACAACAGTACTTGGACTTTCAAAGCTCTGCACCAAAGCAAGCGAACAGCAGGCGGGGTAACCCCGCAGAGTCAGAGGAAGAAGCAGTCAAGGAAAGGATGTCTGATCTATTGAGCTTCCCTGATCCAGGGCTATTGCGGCCGCTGCTGGGACTGCTGACAACATTTCAATCGAATGCTCTGAGACTAATTTTGAACGAGAAGAAATCTGCGACTATCCAGAATGTGACTTCCTCCCTCCAGCTATCAGACCCGAGCAGCCCAGCGAACGTCATAGTAGCCGCCCTTGAATCCGGAGCGCTAACTGCTGAAAAAGCTGCGATGCAACTCCAACTTCTGTCGAATACTGTCCTGTCCCTATCCTCTACCGCCAATCAGACTACGAACAAGCTGAAGCCTATGACATCTTTAGTCCTGCAACTGCTATCTCTTGAAATCCGCTGCATGTCTTGGAAGACCTCGGGACATATCTGCGACGACGCGAGAGAAATGTGGGATCCCATGGCTCGATACCTGGCTAGCTTCGCTCACCAGAGCAAAGGATTGTCGAAAACAGAGTTTGCAACCTTATACAAGCAGATCGTACGGCTTCAGTCGGCCTTCACCAGTGTTCAGAAGCGAACAACTGCGAGTGTCAAAGACAATGTATCTGTGGCAAAGATAGCGGCGCTTCTTGGGCAGCTTGCCCAAGATGCGGGATGCTTCGAGGAAGCCCTCAAGCTTTTCACGGAGTCGATAACTCCTCTGTTCAATGGACAATGCCTTGCACTTGCCACTGTCCGCTGCAAAATCGCTTCCCTCTACTTCCAAGCTATCAGGCATTCAACCAAATTCTCAGCTGCGGCTCTGCCCGGTGCAGTGACGGACGCCACGAACGTATTGTGCTTGCCCCTCAAAGGTAGTGCAAACGATCTTGATGAGCTCTTGGTTGAAGCAGCCAAGCTTAAGAAGGCAGCAATGAGCTGGTTTGGAGACGTGATGTCGAAAGAGAAAGGTAAAGATGAGGAGCAGAACGAAGCCTGTGCTAAGGTTCTGGATTATCTGAACGGGTTTGTGCGGTTCTTACGGCGGTATATCGGGAGAAAACCGACGGAGGAAGATGAGAAAGAGACGGAGGCTTTTGAAAAACGCCTTGCTGCGTCGCAGAACATTGCCTTTGCGGCCATGGACTCTGTTCTCGCAGTTGGAAAACTGTCTATCACATCAGGAACGCCTTCTTGGGAAGAGGTTCAGCCGACTTTACTTGATTGCCAGCGACTGGTGATGACAATCGAACCCCAAGGCGAGAAGCATCTTGGGTCTCCATTTCTTGAAAGTGTCGGTAATGCATACGTCAAACTATCAAACATGTTCTGGTCTCGGTATGTCAAGGAGAAAGAATCTGGCAAGGGGCATCGTGATCTCTTACCCATCCTGAAGCAATCCGCGACTTTGCTGTCAAATTGCTCGCCCTCGCAACGTGTGACGGGATTTGCTCCCCTCAAGTATGAGCGTCTGGCACATACATATATGGAAGGAGGATATGCTCGTGAATCTGAGCAGGCATTTCACAAGTCGATCTTCGAACACATACATACCGGCACGCTCGATCAAGTGATTTCATCTACGGTTGGCTGCTTTCCTCACAAGATGTGTCAGGATCCCAAGAGCAACGGGTTCATGCTTGGGCGCGTTCTGTATGCCCTTCTGAAATTGAACCTTAGATCCAGAAAGTCCAAAACAAACGGCTTCTTTGATGATGACTGCCTTGATTTGAGCCAGAGAGGTCATCTGATGGAATGGCAACTAGGAGTAATGGCCGAATTCCCTGCGTCTACTTGCTCCGAAGACACCTTCCGAACTACTTTTTCCTTGCTTATCACCCAGATCCTCAGCTTATACTCGGTCGATACCTGGCCCATTCGCCTTTTGCGCGTCGTTCTTACCGTTCTACGATTTTCCTTGGAACATCCTGGCCTGATGGAACCAACATTGCTAGCAAATGTGATCGAAGTGGGTCTTCAATGCATTGAGCAGGATGACGTTGGCGTGGACTCCGACCTTATCTCCCTATGGCCTCACCTTCAGAACTCTGTCAGGCTCACACTGGGATTCCACGAGGGCAATCTCTCACCCTCAACCCTGGAGACAGTGCTTGTGTCATGGACTGCAATGCTACGAGACTGTGGTGACTTGGAGTCTCTTCTTTTTAAGATCGGCGACCTCGATCATTTTCTACTTCAAATGAGGGCGATAGTTGACTACACCGAGATTCATGGGCTCTGGAAGCTGCAGCTCTCTGCACTTGAATTGGTGCTCAGAACAACGGAGCTCCAAGAGTCAGGGGATTTTTCCGAGGCAATCATTGTTTTGTCACGTCTCGTGCTTCAATACAGCAGACTTGGCTTCTGTACAAAGGCCAGCGCTCTTTTGGAGCGGGTGGAGCAGTATCTCGCTCACTCCAACACTACATGCCTGGCGGTTCTGTCGTACCATCTGGCTCACGTCGGCTATCTCCTCGAGACTGGAGATATTCAACAAGCGGCGACCGTACTCACTAAAGCCCGCGCACTTTACGAGAAACACCAGAAGAAGGAGGATCAGAACAACTGCTCTACCTTGACCAAGATTCTGTGGGAGAGACTTGTTGCTGATGCCGCCTTCATGAGCTCCCGGCTTTCCTTCGCGCAAGGATCGGTCAACGACGCTCTTTTCTTCGCGAAGCTTTCTGTCCGTCTGAATTGCAGAATATGGGCAAAGATCGAGAAGCTCTCGCAGAAGAAACAGGATAAGATGATTCAAGCTAATGAGAATTCCGAACTTGAGACTGTGGTCGAAGGTATGGCGAAACTCGAAGTTGCTCAGGCTGCTCCTGTGCCGAATCCAGTCTATTCTCAGGGAGCCCCTTTCTGGCCTCATATTGGCTCACATCATACCGCTCTGCTGAACTTAGCGAGCCTCTCAGCCCATCACGGTTTATTCCAAGATGCTATATACTACGGAGAACAAGCTCTGAAGATAAACAAATCTCTGAATGCGAATGTCCGTCTGATAGCGTCTCAGGCACAGCTCGGGTCCCATTGGATTTTTGGTGGTCATCTCTCCGAGGGGCAAGCACTGCTCGAAGCGGCAGAGTCTCTATCTAAGCAGCTCGAAAGTAGTGTCGAACTAGTTTCTCTTCAGATCGGCCTAGCTTCTCTTTATAGGGCACATGGGCGTCATCTCGATGAGCAACGAGCGCTTCTCGAGGCTGATCGTATCATGACTTTAGTGACTAGCCCTGATGGGCTTGATGCTTCTGTGACGATAACGGCACTCGAAGAGAAGATGAAGAAATTGCAAGTCCAAGGAACGGTCAGGAAGACACGTCAACGTGCGGCAACAACGACAACAACAACACGCAGAACTCGTGCAACAACAGTGTGCGCTTCGAGTGCGTCCAAGACTGCCGAGACACCAGTTGCCGCAAGCCAGTCTCAGTCTACATCCCTTTTGCATTTGAAGAGTGAAATCCTCCGTCAGCAAGCTGCCTGTTTACGCACACTCCGCGACTTTGAGAAAGCGTCAATGACCCTTGACGATGCACGCAGGTTCGCAACGTCGCGGGACAGTCAAATATCTTTGCAAATAGGTGAGAGTGAACATTTGCTTGCGGATGCCATCCGGCACTTTGCATCACATGCAGTCTACTGCGTTCTTCCGGAATCGACCATTTCCCTCCCGTCACTTGAGTCACCGAGCAAGGCTCCCAGCAAGTCAAGTACTGGCAAGGCAACATCCACGCGGAGGACAAGGGCGCCAGCCCGGACGCCGGCCAGGAGCATGAGGGCTAAATCCGCCAAGTCGACTGAGGACTTTTCTGTTATGCTGTCTAAAGCTGGGGAGAGCCTGAATGCTATATTTCCCACCGCCACAACATTAGGATCTACTCTTGATAGTCACGCAGCCTCCCGTCTCATGAGCCGAATTTTCATGCTATCGCATGTCACTGCACCGGAGAGCTCGATATCATTGTCTCAGTCTCCAGCGAACACCAATGAGATAGGCCGGATAGGTGCGTTCACACGTGAACGATCTGCTATTGATCTGGATAAGCAGTTAGCCCACTACTGCGATCCGCTCCTTTGGCCAAGCACGGAAACAAAAGCCAAGCTCGAGGAGGATCTCTACCTGCATTTCACTGAGGACTACATTGAAATTCTTCCAGAGAATTGGAATGTTCTTTCCCTCTCTCTTAGTGCTGATAACACTGAATTTGTCGTTTCAAGGCTGCACAAGGGTCGTTCGCCCTTTCTTCTACGACTACCACTCAAACGCGGTTCTGAAGATGATGAAGAAAATCAGTTCACTTTCGAGGACGGAAAGGAGGAGATGAAAGAACTCATCAAGCTGACGAATCAAAGCGCACATGCTGCGAAACACCAGACTGATCGACAATCGAAGAAAGAATGGTGGAAAAACCGCGAAGCTCTTGATCGGCGCATGGAAAATCTGTTGCAGAACATGGAAAATGTATGGTTCGGCGGTTTTCGAGGTATTTTCTCGCCAATGCCTCATGAGTCTGAATCCTTAGACAGATTCGCGGCTCTATTCCAGAACGTCCTTGACAAACATCTTCCTTCTCGACAAAAAGGCAGACGTGCCGAAGGCCCACACCTGACACTACACCCGAATGTGCTCGAATTGTTTCTCGGTGTGAAGGATCTCGAGAGTCAAGAAGACCCTGAGGAAACCCTAATGGACCTACTCTATTTCGTTGTAGATATTTTGCAGTTCCAAGGAGAGCGCAATGCGTACGACGAGATTGACTTCGATATGATGGTCGTGGAAACTTTGGATGCTCTGAGAGGGCATCACGATGCGGTGCGCAACAATCACGAAAAGCGAACTCCGAACAGCACAATCCTGGTTCTCGACAAGTCGCTGCATATGTTCCCTTGGGAGTCCCTTCCATGCCTGAAGGGACTTCCCGTTTGCCGAGTGCCTTCTCTGGAATGTATTCGAGACCGTATCTTGCAGTTCCGGTCAGGACGGTCAAGCCGCAAACATGACTTTAGCATTGACCGCAAGAACGGGACTTATGTCCTGAACCCTACTGGCGATCTGCAGACCACCCAAAGCACCTTTGAGAAGGAGCTTTTAAGGTTGGAAGAATGGAAGGGGATCTCTAAACGCGATCCAACAGAAGAGGAGTTCAGGCAAGGCTTGGAGACCAAGAGCCTCTTCCTCTACTTTGGCCACGGTAGCGGTGCACAGTACATTCGGGGCCGAACAATCAAGCGGCTGGAAAGATGCGCCATTACCTTCCTGATGGGCTGTAGTAGTGGTGCTCTGACGGAGGCTGGGGAGTATGAGCCCTACGGGACGCCGATGAATTATTTGCATGCGGGAAGTCCGGCTTTGGTGGCCACTTTGTGGGATGTCACGGACAAAGATATTGATCGGTTTGCGAAGAGTACGTTTGACAAGTGGGGCCTCTTTGGTGGCGAGGCTGAGGCGGTGGCTTTGGATGAAGCTGTCTCTCAGTCTCGACAAGCCTGCGTTTTGAAGTATTTGAATGGTGCCGCGCCTGTGATTTATGGCATTCCTTCGGTGTTTTTGGAGTAACGAGCGATGGGACATTCTCTTTGGGAGACCTTGAATGAACTGTAATGGTTGAGCATGTTGTTACTCCTGTATTATCAGCGCTTTACATATAATATCATTCATCTTTGAGCTTCTGTACGACAGCGATGCTAGTTACACTGTAACAGTTGTATAATGTGTGTCCAAACAAACACCACAATGTCATGTCCGCAAAGGGGAAAATTTCCCGAAGCTCCACCGCCCCTCATTTTCCCCTCACTCGCGGAATTCCCCTCATCGTCATTTCCCCTCCGTGGCTGGTGTTTTATATCAGCTCCGCGTCCTCTTTCTTTTTCTCTTCTTTTCCGAGGGAAACTAAGCTCTCATCAACTTCATGAACTCACCCTTTTCACTATTATCACCATGTCCGTCACCACCAAAGCCACTATTGCCTCTTTCGGCGGTAAGCTCCTCAAGCTGAGCCATGCTGCTACCTCCACAAAATGCGAGATGTCCTTCAACCTCTACCTGCCGCCGCAGGCCTTCCAGAACCCTGCCCAGAAGATTCCAGTTCTGCTGTATTTGTCTGGTCTGACCTGCACGGCGGATAATTGCTCAGAGAAGGGATTCTTCCAACACGGCGCCAGCAAGAAGGGTATTGCCGTGCTGTACCCGGACACCAGCCCTCGTACGTTCTGCCTGCCCCTCAACAGGACTCAAGATCAATCTTCATCACAACGCCCTGATGTACTCCTCAATGATCCTCCCTGCTCGCTGCACGTGCGGAAAAGATCACAGCGAGGAACAAGCAACATTACCAAACATAACCCCCCCTCCTTCCACCGCACAAACCACAAGCTAACCAATGCTGGCAATACCAAAACAAACAGGCGGTCTCAACATTGAGGGAGAAAATGACTCCTGGGACTTTGGCACGGGCGCCGGCTTCTACGTCGACGCCACCAAGGCCCCCTACAACAACGGTTATAACATGTACACGTACGTCACGGAAGAATTGCCCGCTGTGGTGTTCAAGGCGTTCCCGCAATTGGATGCCTCGCGGGTGAGTATCACTGGGCATAGTATGGGAGGGCACGGGGCTTTGACTTTGGTATGTTTCCCCCCCCCCCTCTTTTTTTTTCTTGTCTGGTGTCGGAGTGGGAGGGGGCTTGGAGCAAGCTGCATACAAGATTCGAAGTGATGCCCACACTAACACTTTGCGTCATCGAAACAACAACAGTACCTCCGCAATCCCGGCAAGTACAAGTCCGTCTCCGCGTTTGCGCCTATCTCCAACCCCATCAACTGCCCCTGGGGCCAGAAGGCGCTCGCCGGGTACTTCGGCGAGGAGCTGCGGGAGACCAAGTGGAAGGAGCATGATGCGACGGAGTTGGTGAAGAAGTGGAAGGGTCCGTTGGATGTTTTGATTGATGTGGTACGTTTGTCCTGCTCTTCTTTTCTTTTACGATTATCCTCTCTTGTCTAGGGAGAACGGAGACGGGTGGGAAATCCCAGAATGATTTATCTATTTACTCACAATCATCGCCGTTCTCTTCAAATAGGGTACTGGCGACAACTTCTACAAGCAGGGCCAACTGCTCCCCGAGAACTTCGAAAAGGCCGCCAAGGAGGCCGGCGTCGAGGGCGTCAAGGTGCGGTACCAGCCGGATTACGATCACAGCTATTATACCATGGCGACATTCTCGGATGATCATGTCGAGCATGCTGCCAAGTACTTTGTTTTTATGGGGTTTTTTTTCCCCTTTTTTTTTTTTTTTTTTTTTTGTTTGTCCTGGACTTTTTGGGGGCTTGGCTGTCATGCTACTGGTCTTGCTAGGCAAGGGATTGGGGATTGTGTCGTGTTAATGGACTTGTTCTGATAGAAGTTGAGCTTTGATTGAAGTGACCGCCAACTGAAATCATCTCTTTGAAACAATGCATCAGTGAAATGGGTTTGTTGAGTTGGAAGGCGGGAGAGGAGATATATTATATAGGGTACTGTACGTATACCACGCAGATAAGAAGCTCCAAGAGCATGATTATACTATAGAACAAGAACAACCCCATTGTAAGGACAGAAGAAACGAATCTACAAATCCAAACAGCAATCATCACAAACCCAAAGAGACAAAACCACCCCACACCAAAAAGAAAAAAAAAGGTTCTCACCTAATCAACCCTCACAATCACTCGATCCACCCCATGCATCTCCTCAGGAAACCGACACCCCACCAGCTCGTGATCCCTCCACGTCTCGCGCGGACACTGGTGCCCGCACACACACTTCCGGTTCGCGCACGACAGCCCCTCGGCGCAGACGCTCGTCCGCGAGATACATCGCAGATCGTGCAGGTCCTGCGCACTCGTCAGTCGCCGGCCATGTCGGTACGCGCAGCTGGTGCCGTGCACGCAGTCGTCCTGCAGGTGGTACCGGTTGCAGTACTTGGCGGCGCGCAGGCGGTCGTAGTTCTCCTTGCTGCTGGCGGGGGAGAGGGGTGGGTCGATGCGCTGGTTGTGTGCGTTGTAGTAGATCTGAGTCTGGGGCTGGGTGACGGAGGGGGAGATGTCGAATATTATCTGGGCTGAGGGTGATGGTTTTGCTACTAATGATGTTGAGGAGGAGGGGGAGGATGGCGATGATACGCCTGGTATTTGAGAAGAAGAAGGTGTCGGTCTGGAGACGGAAAAGGTGGGTGGCAGTCGAAGGTTGGCTTTTGCAATGGTAGCATAGTCCTGAAGAGGAGGAGGCGATGAGGATGGAGTACTGCTGGCGCTCGATGGAGCGGAATCCGTAGGCGTTGTCTTGCTTGCTGAGGTGGTTGCAGCAGCAGAAGCAGCAGAAGCAGCAGTAGCAGCAGTAGCGCTGAACGAGGATGCGCAAGCGGCGGGCAGCTTTGCGGACCGGAAGACCGCTGGGAACTTGGTGCTTCGGAACTCACTCGATAGCTGTTCGAGTTCCCAGGCGAAGGGCGCGGCCTCGACGAGGGTGATGCGGTTGGTCCCTCTGTGCGGGCCGAGGAGACGGGCGTAGCCGTTGTCTGTTGCGGCACAGAAGACAATGTGGTGGCAGTGGACGTCGAGGATGTCTCGCTCGAAAGTTGCTTTGTTTGAGGGTTAGATGATAACAGCGCATATATGAGAGAGAAAGTTGCGGGGGCGATGGAAAACACAAGGACATACCTCGGATCTTGACATCCGAGCACTCTTTGCCATTGCCTGCGTCAATGAAGTCACATTGACTACTTTCCATGTTAAATCCTCGAATGAATGGGGTGAGAGTCTCATTCGATGACAGGACTTTTGCTTCCCGATAGGCTTTTTCGAGACCGGGTATGTTGGCATAGACACATACTTTGTACTGTAGATTTGGACTGGCTTCGGGGTCGATGTTCCGGATATAGCGCTCGACAGATTGGCGCAGTAGCAGTGCGGCTTCGCGGCCGCCACTGTGGCCGTCTTTGACGAGGGCGTCGTTGAACTGTGCTGTTAGCAGTGGTGCATAAGGGTTTGATGTTCGGTGGTGGACGTACATTCATACAATCCCCGTCAACAAGGATAGAAACAAAGCTCAATTTCCCCTACATCACGGTCAGTTATCGACTCGTGGTGTGTGTGAAATCGCGCACGCATACTTTATTGTGTCTCAGGTCTTCATTTTCCAGTTTGCACTTTGTAAGTTCCTGGGTGAAAGCGTATCTCTCGGTTTCCAGCTTGGTGCGTTCGCCATGAAGAGCCAATTGAAGGGTTTCGACCTCGAACAATAGGTCCTATTGAGGTCCATGGTTTGAGCTGGAACCGCGATGTCTCTCCGGAATCATGCTAGAACTCACCTGGATCAGCCTATCCTTGCAATCTTCGACCGCCATTAGATTTACGTGTCGCTTTCGCAAATCCAGAAGGTCTATTGTTCGCTGTGGTGGACATAGAACGCTGGTCAAACTCGTATCCATGGTGTTCGTTCTGTTCTCGATACTTTCCATTCACTCTGAATGATGCTTCTCACTTCAATTTCACGATTTTATACCTTGTCCGGAAGTCCACACATCATACTGTCTGCGAGCAAGGAGACGGCTTTCCCTTGATACTGTGTGCGGGGAGCGTATCGAAGACATTGCTGGCACAGGTGGCGGAGCGTGCTGCATCGAAAGATTATGTCCAATGAATGTTCACTCATCTGAAATCAAATGTTGTCTATGCTTGTTGAGGCCCATGCCAATGTAATGAGGATTGAATTGAGCGGCTAAGCGGAGATGGATGTAGGTTTGGTTCCAGCCAGTGGTAGACGTTAGCGCCAGAGGCCGGAGAACAATCAAATGTGCACATGCAGGGTGGCTGCGCCATTGTGGCTAGGCGTGAAAGCAATGATCACCTCTAGGTTCACTGGTATTCTGCCTCGACCACACTGGCACTTGTGTGATAGGCAGAGTGAGGACCTTCGATCCAGATTTTCTGCTGTCATCTTGAACATGATCAAATCTAAGCCACCTGTTCGTAGGGGGTTTCGCGCAAAGATATGACTGACCATCCAGCGTTTCACCTGTGGATAAGGCTCTGGAGTACTTTTGACACACACTCAAGTCCCAATTTCCTAGGCGTATCTATTTGCGTCTACGAATTTCTGCTTGCCAGTAGCAATCCACCTCTAATTCGATCTTCCTTCGCAGGTCCGCATCGATTTCCCCACCGGCCTCCTCCTTAGCTGAGCGCATGGCCTCACAGTTCCAACAGAAGCAACCCCCGTACGACTCCCCTGTCGCAGCCTCGTACAGACGTCCGGTCGTATCAAACCCATCACTGAGAACGCCCTCTTCCAACTTGTCGTCATGGTTGATATAACGCCCTGTGCGCTCTAGCATGGACTCTTCATACGTTGTCGCACTACACAGATGCGTGTGCCAGACCAGGTCCACGTCCAGGGTCGGAACAAGTATCGTTCCTGGCTGTAGACGGAATAAGTTGATGAATCGCTCATAGCGGGTAAGTGCCCGAGCAAGGGTGCCTTGGAGCGCGGGACTACGGATCCAGAGGAAGTCATGCATCTTGTCGATGAAGACGGCTTGTCGGAGGACATTGTCAATTAGAGGACTGTGCTCTGGTGGGGTAATTGTGGTAGCTGCGCTTGCATTTGTGATTTCATTGCCTTGAAGCGCAGTGATTAGATCGGGTGCAATGCTCAGTCCGTTGCGCAGCCAGGTCGCAGCGCTGCTGGGGAGGGTGTAGCTCCAGGTATCTTGCGACAGAGCTTGATGCTGAGCTGTATCAGATACGGAATCTACCTCCGACGAGTTTAAAGGCAACCAGATGGGCTTACTATAGCCTTCCAGGGAAAAGAAATGGCTCGAATGTGGCTTAAATGATTGGTACTGCAGAACCGGGCAAAGTCGTATGGGTTGAGCAGAAAGGCATGCCATACCATTAGTATGTCTGGTATCCACCGGTCAGAATTGTAATGACCGTCTTTCGTTATGGAGGTCTGGACTCACCAAGCGGAGGTAAAAGGCAAGGTTCGTCCTTTTCCTCTGTGTGCTTCACTTCCAATCGATGATCCACCGCTTGTATCCAATGTTGAAATCTAGTGACTGCGAGCGACAGAAATTGATGCCATATCTGCGAGGCATCTATTCTTCCATGAAGGATTGAGTACCTGCTGCAACCAATCATTCTACCCAGGACTTTTGTCAGCTTCTTCGAGGTAGTAACCCGACCACGAAGACTTTGAAACGCTTCCAACAGCTCAAGGTGAATAGCGCACTCGCTTATCATCGGAAAGTCTTCTTTGTCTCTTTGCTGGGACGAGGACTCTTCAAACAAGCTTGAATGGGGCCTGGCATTTTCATGTTCATGTGGTACGTCTGATCTTGACAAGGCTCGAGCTGAATGTCGAAGCAAGTGTGTCAGTGTACTGGGAATATGAAGGGACATTCTCGAATATTGCTGAGACTAACGACATAAGTCTGTGTATGACATTGATTCAAGTATGAGATCGTCTGTCTATATAGATGTCAGAATGAGGGTCTTGCGCCCCGCCAAGATCCGCAAGGCTGAGCACCGTGGCTGACGCATGGTCAGATGATTCGGGCTTTTGCATACTCAACATCCTAGAGTCGAATTATAGGTGAATTACATTGAAATGTGCTATGCGGAAGCCGTCACTCTACCTATGCTTCAAATACTCTACTCTGTGCGATGCCACCATCGGCCTCACAATCTCGACTTTCTTCGTCGTCCAGCCTCAAGCTTCCTCTTCGTCTCGCGCGTGATGGGGATGTACTTCTCCACCCGCTTTTTGAAATAAGCCCCTATGTCATGACCATCGAAGCTCAAGCTGAGAGGGCCATTGACGGTCTTCAAGTTCCTGGATCGATCGCAGTTAAACCTCCAATCGCGACCCCGTAGACCAAACAGCGAGGCCAAAAAACAAGGCTCCAAGCTCTCATCCACATCCCATTTGAAGCACGGCATTGGCAGTGAAAGGTCTGGAGGAATGTGAGGCGAGGCAAGCGCAATAAAATCATCCATTGTTAGGTAGCAGTACAGCTGGGCAGCGGCTTGAACAATCCCTTGCGACCCTTGCGCCAAATGAAGCAGACAGATATTTGACACCAGGTCGACGGGAATCTCGTCCACAATGTGGCTCCCACTAGACGAATTCTTCGCGGCTCGCCAGACCCTGTTCGCGCCTCCAGTAGCAAGATATAATTCGAAGAAATTCTCAACGGGGCTAGAGCCCGGAGGACAGAATAAAGGGTATGGGTCTCGCAAAGCTGGTCCAATGCTGGAGGGGCGGATAATCAGGAGGGGCAGTCGAGATTCGTATCTCTGAACCAGGAGTCTCTCCATAAGATACTTCGCTTCGGCGTAGGGCCACAGCCAGTGCTTCGTCCGGGGGCTGTTTCCTTTTAAAGAAAGGATTTCTTCAACCTCTCTCACGCAGTCAAGATCGTTCTCGCCAAAGGGATGGAGGGTTTCAGTAACCACGCCATCTGGTAGAAAGCTATTGGCAAAGACGCTGGATACCTGAACAAATTTGACGAGCTGTGGGAAGCTCAATGCAAGCTCGGCCAGATCTAGTGCCGGAAGACAGTTGTTCTTGCAAGACTCATAGGCATTTGCGACGAAGGACGTGTTTGCCGCTGCATTAAGTACCACGGTTGTCTCCTTTCGGATCACAGATAGTTGACTCGCATCCAGGCCCAAGTTCGGAGCGATGATGTCCCCCTTGAGAAGTTCCAATCTGTCTCCTTCGAACAGTTCACTGACACATCCGGGCATGTTTCTGCGTAGCTTCCCAATGGCGTCTTCCCTCAGACCCCGGTGGAGGAGAAACACTTTCTTGACAGGTACTTGAAGAATGAGTTTGTAAAGAAGACAGCCACCAAGGCCGCCCGTTGCTCCAGTTAGAAGCACGGTTTGCTTCGCAAACCACTCTCGATAAGAGGCTTCGGTCATTGGTGTTGTGTCCGCCATTTCAGGTAATTGGGCATTGGCATTATCTTACCGTGCGAACGTGCAACCATACCGTGATCTTATATTAGCTGCAACACCTTGCCATTTCCACATTCATCTAGTCACATATATATGACATCAACATTCTCTCTTTCTCAAGGCAACTCGTGCACTGCCAACTTCGGCGGATGCTCAAGCCATGCAAATCGTCGTCATATCAGGGAAGTACCACTGAAAATAAGAAGTCTTGAGGAGGTTCTAGGCATGTTTTTACCCATATTAGCTTGAAGCAGAGTGAAATCTTCCGAGGAATTTGGAACGTCACAACCTGTGATCCAAGGAAGCCTTTAAGGTAAAATATAGGACGTCAGACGAATCCCAGTGCATGGAACGCTGTGATAGCCAGCCAGTCGATCTTGGCTGATAAGGTTCGGAATGCCAGGTATATGCCGGAGGAAGTTGGGTATCCGCACAAGCAAACTTGTTTCTCACATTCTAGACCTTGTCAGTGATATTCCAAGTCGATCCCGTAGTGAAAAGCATGACTGGCTAGACGATAATATCGTTGAGCATCCTCAGACCATAGTTAACGCAAGAAAAGCTCAACTGCGGCCCTGAACGTTAGTGATGGCAGCGGAGTCCGCTCAATGCATGCACCCTGTGACACCCTATCTCCGCTGTTGCATGGCCGATCACGTGGCCAGGGTTTTGGTTGTTTCATTCATGATACTCCGCACATCTATGGATATGAATTATTCTCGGTACTATCCGGGTTTGATCTAGTATATCCACCAATGCTCTGACAGCACGCGCGTCCGTCAGGGTTCCTGAAAAGGATTCATCATCGCCAAGAAGCCAAGACGGACACTGCGTATATGATCAGCAGGCCCAATTCCGAGATAGCTCTAGATAGCGGAGTGATTGTGCATCGAGACTGTGATTGAAAACCCAGATGATGAAGGAGAGGTCCGTGGTGGAGCTCTATGCGACGTGGTTTGTACTGTGGTAAACAAGTAATTTGGTCAGGATGATGGTGTTGGGCTGTTGGTCCTCCGTAGTAGAGATGCCAAGGCCGGAAGACATTATGTATTGGCGGTCAACGGGAACAAAACGCGGGAGCTTTTGCGACAATCGAAAAGCTTAGATAACTTCCCCTACAATCTTACATCCCCTGTCTCGTCATTGGTTTGCGGCGCAAGCTGCCCAATGTCTTCTCGGAGCATTGGCTTTCCGCTGACAAGTCAATGGCAACCGGTGGATTACACATAGGGAGCATTGTACTCGTACAGTACCTAACTGTGGTACCTACAGGCGGTGGATCGGTTGTTCGTCAGCGTATGATGTCGGCTTCGCCTCAGCCGGGCCAGAAATGATGACTGATGGCACTGGCTTTGCCTTGGCTGACTGGCTGGTTGTCCATTCATCCTCTTGTTCCTCACTGCGGGACAACATGGAGCTGTGGTTAATGCTTCAGCCAAGAAAGAAGCAATTCACTTCTCCTCGCGAGTGCTCCCAGATTCACCAGAATTCAGTCGTTACCGTACCATAATATTAGACTACTGCTAAGCGTTTGGAACGACGAGGATGCTGACGCAGCCCCTGCGGTGCAGGGCCCAACCTCCACCAGCTTCTCCTCCATCCCTCTTTCGCCGCGGACCCTCCGGCTTTGTTCGTCTCCCCCGGGTTGATTGTTATCATCGGCGAAATTTGAACACCTCCTCCTCTTCTTCACAGGGATTGTATTACCATAAGAGCCGCCGTGCTGCCCGTGCTGCCTGTGGTGCCTCCTCGACCTTCCATGCTTCTCCTATCGCGTGCCCCGATGCTCTCCTCCGTCCAACCCCTCGCCCGACTATAATTCCGTCCCTCACTGCTGTTGCCTCCCCTACCAAACTACCAACCTCAATCACCCTCCCTGCAATGGCCACCCAGACAAGAGAACACGGTGGCCACCATCATCACCACCATCATCACCATCATGGCAGTAATGTCTACCTCACATCGACCGACAAACACGATGCTGGAGTTCGCATCACGCGGATAGGCCTGGTTGCCAACCTGTGTATGGCCATTGGTAAATTCATCGGTGGCTACGTGTTCCATTCCCAAGCTCTCATCGCCGATGCCTACCACGCCCTCACCGATTTGGTTTCGGACATCTTGACCTTGGCTACGGTTGCTTGGTCCCTGAAACCGCCGTCGGAACGGTTTCCCAACGGCTATGGCAAGATTGAGAGTATCGGAGCTCTGGGTGTGAGCGGGTTGTTACTGTGTGGCGGTGTCTTCATGGGTCTCAACTCGGGGCAGGTCCTACTACACCAATTCTATCCGGAGATTGCTGAAGTAATTGCGCACGTGGGAGCCTTGGGACACGGCCACTCGCATAGCCATGGGGTCGAGGCGCTCGGCCCGAGCATCCATGCTGCATGGCTGGCTGCTGGTTCGATCGTGGTCAAAGAGTGGCTTTACCATGCGAGTGAGTATCAACTGTGGTTCTATTTTGATGGCTGAAACGTTACGCTGACTCGCCCTCCTTCAACAGCTATGAAGGTTGCCACGGAACGCAAGTCATCAGTCTTGGCTTCTAATGCCGTTCACCACCGAATCGACTCCCTGACCAGCGTTGTTGCTCTTTTTACCATTGGTGGATCATACATGTTTCAGGATGCTTCGTGGCTGGATCCCGTCGGAGGACTTCTCATCTCACTAATGGTCATCAAGGCCGGATGGGCTAATACCAAGACTTCGCTTCTGGAGCTGGCAGACACCACTGTGGATGACGATGTGAAGGAGTCGGTGCACAAAGCTGCTAGCAAGGCATTGGCTCTGTTGGACAACGGCGGATCCCTCAAGGTCCGTGATGTTCAGGGTATGAAGTCGGGGCAGAACTATCTCATGGATGTTGAGGTTGCAGTGCCGGGCACGTGGCCCATTAATCGCGCTCGCCAGGCGGAAGAGGCAATGCGCACTGCTGTTGGAGAACGAGTCCGCGGTGTGAAGCGGGTCAAAGTCCGATTCATTCCCCTTGAGCATGAGGAGTTGACCTTTACTGAAGAGTTCATCCCCGCCGAGGTTACCTCACGGGCGCGTCCGGAACCGGAAGACGGGAACGAGCATGAACACGAGCACGAGCACGAGCACGAAGCTCGCAAAGATCGGTAGATAGCGAAGATTTGATTGCGAATATTTTTCACTGTCGGCGCCTTCGTGTATGGTTGACGCGATCACCAAGCATGCTTCTTTTGGCTAAAGCTCTTGGGGTTTAGCTCCATGCCCATGATACCCAGGGTTGGCATTATTTTTGCTAGATAATAGGGCAATATCAAATGAACATATGTGTCACAGTAAGGGAATATAATTTAAGAAAACACTAAGGAAGTCTCTAAAGGGGTCACAACGGCCATGATTCAAGACAGACACGGTTCAAATGGTGATGATCATCCCCTCGGCCACAAAATGCGCGGTACCCCTCCAGAAGCGGGTGAGACGCGGGGATCCCTTCATCGGCTCAGCTGACGGGCCCTAGAGCAATCTGTTGCAATCCGAACTTCACTAGTGCAGGGCTTAAAGTTGGTCACGATGTTCCTCAAGGGCTGACATGTTCTTATCTGAATCTGATCTAGACCACCTTCCTCCCTGTTGACTGATTTAACCGGGTAAATTCCCGGCGGCGGTGGAACCCGGGATAAATTTGGCCTCATCTTCATGGAGGGATTGACGGGATTCATGTTCAAGAAACACTGCACTCGGTAAAATAGACGAGACTTCGGCAGAATCTCACCATGGTCAAGGATATATATTTCAGAACTAGAAAAGGGAGAAGTCTCCCCAAATGGCGGAGTTGTCCGAACTCAATGGCCTGAATTTCCCCCCCGCTGCACCATCGAACAAGTAGCTGAAAGTGGGAAACGGTAGGTGAGTTGACCTTATGAGTCCATCCCACTTACTGCCCATTGCATCAGCGGTGTCTGTCGGATTCCCCATCGCCACACCGTACATGCTGTGCACATTCTCCTGCATTTCCCCCTGACCATCTGTTTCTCAAATTGCTTACCCTTTACAGTCTCTGCAATCATAACATTTCAGAACTATAGTTGAGTATCATTGACTGGTTCGACTTTCAACAATTTGGCACCCCTCCAATTTACACCTACGTCATTACCCCGGACCGCAGCATTCAATTGCCATGGCCCAATCCAACACCCCGCTCTACATCGGTTTCGACCTTTCCACCCAACAACTCAAGGGTCTGGTCGTCAACTCCGACCTGAAGGTCGTTTACGTATCCAAGTTTGACTTCGATGCCGATTCGCGCGGTTTTCCGATCAAAAAGGGGGTTCTCACCAATGAGGCCGAGCATGAAGTCTTTGCACCCGTCGCGCTATGGCTGCAAGCCCTCGACGGGGTGTTGAATGGTTTGCGTCAGCAAGGGTTGGATTTCCGCAGGGTGAAGGGTATCAGTGGTGCCGGCCAGCAGCATGGGAGCGTCTACTGGGGCGAGAACGCGGAGAAGCTGCTGAAGAGTCTGGATGCGAAGCAGACGCTGGAAGAACAGCTGGAAGGGGCATTCTCGCATCCCTTCAGCCCCAATTGGCAGGACTCGAGTACGCAGAAGGAGTGCGATGAGTTTGATGCATACCTGGGTGGACAGGAGGAGCTGGCTGCTGCGACGGGAAGTAAAGCGCATCATGTAAGGACTTACCTTATCCTTTCCCAATTCTCATGGCGTGAACACTAATAGCTCGGCTCTCCGTGGCTGTAGCGATTCACCGGGCCTCAGATCTTGCGGTTTCAGCACAAGTACCCCGAGGTGTACAAAAAGACTTCGCGGATCTCCCTAGTATCCTCATTTTTGGCGTCACTGTTCCTGGGTCACATTGCACCGTTTGATATCTCCGATGTCTGTGGTATGAACTTGTGGAACATCAAGAAGGGAGCCTACGATGAGAAACTCCTGCAGTTGTGTGCGGGACCTTCCGGGGTGGAGGATTTGAAGCGCAAGTTGGGAGATGTCCCCGAAGATGGAGGCATTCGTCTTGGGACCATCGACCGATACTATGTTGAGCGCTACGGGTTCAGTCCGGACTGCACCATCATCCCGGCCACAGGTGATAACCCGGCTACGATTCTAGCGCTTCCCCTGCGTCCGTCTGACGCGATGGTCTCGCTTGGAACCTCAACTACCTTCCTTATGTCCACGCCCAGCTACAAGCCCGACCCTGCTACTCATTTCTTCAATCACCCGACCACTCCCGGCTTGTACATGTTTATGCTGTGCTACAAGAATGGTGGACTCGCCCGAGAGCATGTCCGCGATGCCATCAATGAGAAACTAGGAGAGGCCACTGCTTCAACGTGGGAGCATTTCGACAAGATCACGCTCGAAACCCCGGCCATGGGCCAGAAATCCGATTCGGATCCCATGAAGCTGGGCCTCTTCTTTCCACGCCCCGAGATCGTGCCGAATCTCCGTGCGGGACAGTGGCGTTTTGACTATGATCTGAAGAGTGGCCGCCTACACCAGACAGATGAGGGTTGGAATAAGCCTCTGGATGAGGCTCGCGCGATCGTCGAGAGCCAGATGCTCTCTCTGCGCTTGCGGTCCCGCGGATTGACTCAGAGTCCCGGTGGAGGCCTCCCTGCTCAGCCGCGTCGTGTATATCTGGTAGGTGGAGGATCGAAGAACAAGGCCATCGCTCAGGTAGCCGGAGAAATCCTTGGTGGTAGTGATGGAGTATACAAGCTCGAGATTGGTGACAATGCATGTGCGCTGGGAGCTGCGTACAAAGCGGTATGGGCCTTGGAAAGAACAGATGGGCAGACTTTTGAGGATCTCATTGGGCAGCGGTGGAAAGAGGAAGATTTCATCGAGAAGATTGCGGACGGATATCAGCCCGGCGTGTATGAGCGATATGGCCAGGCGGTGGAGGCATTCGAGAAGATGGAGCAGGAGGTTTTGCGGCAAGAAGGGAAGAACTGAAGTGATCGACAGAGTAATAATGTCTAGTATGAGGAATGAATACCTAAGTAGGACCATAGAATAGAGAAACAAACATTTCCAGCTCAGAGCATGCATCAGCATAAATACCTTATCAGCTGCTGAACGATGTCATTTTATGCCTGAACAACCAGGCACCAAGTCCGGGCGCACGCCGCCCCTTGCCGTTTTTGGGCGGGCGGACCAGCTTTCCAACGTTTCCTTTGGGCCACACAAACTCGGGCCAAATTTCGGACCCTTGACGTTAGTTAAGTTCCTTTCAAGGTGTTCTCGAGTAATATCACTCCATGCTTGAGTGGATGATAATATAAGAGTTTCTTTGAGAAGTCTCCTCCAAATAATCATCTCTCAGCAAAAAGACCTCATTTTCATTGTTTCTGCGTTGTCAGTCTTCTACCTCGTGACGCCTACCCCGTCAGAGCAAAGATCATTATTACCCGGGTGACTGGGTCCAAGTATCTGTGACCTACTGGGCCCCAAACCGATTTTAACTAAACTAAAGACGCACTAGTCTGTCATGGTTCGATAGTTAGAGTCGACTCTCCAGGCTATGACTACTCGCTGCCGCATCATTCTGTCCTAAACCACCACCTCTATCGATCTCTGAACTCCATCCCCCTCCCCCTCCCCCTCTCCCCCTCCTCTCCCCTCTCCCTTCCATTGCTTTCGGGTCCCTCGACTCTGAAGGCAGCAAGGCTGGTCGAAGATGGAAGAACAGGTAAGCGATATTCCCTTCAATTATCGTTTGCTCTCCCACGTTGCGTTGGCCGTTTTGCATCTTACCCGGTTTGCTTTTTTTTTCGAATCCCCACCCCACCATTCCTTCCCCTCTCCGTCTCTGCCTACCCACCCCCTTTAGTCGCTCTTCCATCCCCTCGGAATTGATCTTCACGACTTTCCGGTCCTCGTCATATTGACCTCCTGTTAGGTAGCGAATGCCATTGAGATCGCCTGGAATCCGTCCTCAGACCAAGCCCTCAAGAGTCAAGCATACGACTATCTAAACCAACTCCGCGCCGACCCCTCCGGATGGCAGGTCTGCCTTGCTCTCTTCACTAAAACCCCACAATACTCGGAAATCATACGCCATGTCTCATTGGAAGTGGTCAACAGTGCAGCTCAGGCCGGTCTCCTTGATATCCAGGCTCTGGGATACGTGCGGGATGGCTTGATGGCCTACCTGCGACAGGTCTACGGCCAGGAGAATGCTTCGCCGGATCCGCCCAACATTCAGAACAAAATTGCTCAGACGATCACCTTCCTCTTCTCGGCCCTTTACGCCAATGGCTGGGAATCTTGCATCGACGATCTCCTCAGTCTCACCTTCAAAGGCCCTGCAAGCACAAGTCGCGACAATCCGCTCGGTATCATATTCTACCTCCGTGTCATCAACTCGATTCATGAGGAGATTGGAGATGTACTTGTGTCCCGGTCTCGTGCGGAGCAGGACAAGGCCAACCTCCTCAAAGATCTCATCCGGGAACGAGACATGCAGAAGATCGCCGGTTCGTGGCAAGAGATTCTGTCCGAATGGCGGGACGGTAACGATGTAATTGTGGAGATGTCCCTCAAGGCTGTAGGGAGCTGGGTGAGCTGGATCGACATTGGCCTCGTGGTAAACCAGACCATGATGGATCTGCTGTTCCAGCAACTCAGCCGCGCGCAAAAGGCGGAACTCAGATCCGGAGAAGAGAAGGTGCGCGATGCGGCGGTCGACGTTTTCACGGAAATCATCGGCAAGAAGATGAAGGCTGAGGATAAGATTGACATGATTATTTTCCTGAATCTCGACACTATTGTCACCCAACTCTCCAATAGCCCTCCTCTCAACGAGAATAGGTTCACGTTCAAGTACGATACTGATCTGGCGGAAACGGTGGCCAAGTTAGTCAATATTACAGTCATTGATATTGTACGGGTTTTGGAGCAGGATACCATTATGGCTGACTGCAAGGAGAAAGCCACTGGTCTGCTGCAGGCCTTCCTTCCGCATATCTTGAGATATTTCTCCGACGAATACGATGAGGTTTGCTCGACGGTGATTCCCTGTGTCAGCGATCTCTTGGCCTATCTTAGAAAGATGGCCAAGGTCAACCCAGCCCTGGCCGCTCAGCACTCCTCCGTTTTGCTGCCGATCTTGAAGGCTATCATTGCCAAAATGCGCTATGACGAAACATCCTCATGGGGTGACGAGGACGACCAGACGGATGAGGCGGAATTCCAGGAGCTACGCAAACGGCTAGGCGTTCTGCAACAGATCATCGCCAACGTGAACGAACAACTATACATCGACGCGGTTTCCGAGGTAGTAGGGACCACTTTCGAGAACTTGCGTCAATCAGGTGCTCAACTGGATTGGCGAGACCTGGACTTGGCTCTCCACGAGATGTTCCTGTTTGGTGACATCGCCGTCAAAGCAGGCAGTCTGTACACCAAGGGGTCACCTAACAACCCTGCAGCAGAGCGACTTATTGAGATGATGATGAAGATGGTCGAGTCTGACATACGCTCTTTCACACACCCCGCTACGCAACTGCAGTATATGGAAATCTGCGTTCGCTACAGCTCATTCTTCCAACATCACACTCAGCTTATCCCCAGCGTCTTGGAGAGCTTCCTCCAATTAGTTCATCATCCGATTAAAAAAGTGAAGACTCGCTCATGGTATCTGTTCCAGCGCATCGTTAAACAATTACGAACCAATGTTGGCAACGTTGCTCAAAGTGTGGTGGGAGCTCTGAGCGACCTCCTGGTCATCACCGCAGAGGTGCCTTCGGAAGGATCCGATGGCGATGAAATGTCCTCGGAGGACCATGAAGGATCGGCAGATGCTGTGTTCAACAGCCAATTGTATCTCTTCGAGGCCGTGGGCATCATTTGCTCCACCCCCACAGTACCCGCTGATAAGCAGGTCCTCTACGCACAGTCCGTGTTGAATCCGATTTTCATGGACATGGAGAAGAACTTGGCGCCAGCCAAAGCCAATGATGAGAGAGCCGTTCTGCAGATTCACCACGACATTATGGCTCTAGGCACGCTGGCGCGCGGCTTTTCCGATTGGATGCCAGGTACCAGTTCCCCTGCTGCCCTGCCCGCGCCGGAGGTCTCCGAGGCATTCATGCAGGTATCGGAAGCCACCCTCGTGGCTTTGGAGTCGCTTAAGGCATCTTTTAATGTGCGCACGGCGGCACGATTCGCCTTTTCCAGACTCATTGGCGTTCTGGGGGCGCGCATTCTCCCTCAACTTCCTCGCTGGATTGATGGCCTTCTCACGCAGACCTCATCGCGTGACGAGATGGCTCTATTCCTTCGCTTGTTAGACCAGGTCATCTTCGGCTTCAAGACCGAGATTACAGGTATCCTGGATACTCTTCTGACACCTTTCCTGCAGAGGGTGTTCTCCGGTATCGCGGATCCGACCACTGGCACCGATGACGAAATCCAGTTGGCGGAATTGAAACGTGAATACCTTAATTTTCTCTTGGCAGTGTTGAACAATGATCTCGGAGCTGTCATAATCAGTGAAAGTCAGTATTGACCCCCCTATCTCAAGAATGCATTAAACTGACAAGTTAGGGAACCAACCCATGTTTGACACTGTGATCACGACTATCGAGCATTTCGCGAAAGATATTGAAGATTTCACCACGGCCAAGATGGCTTTCTCTGTTCTGTCAAAGATGGGCAGTTCATGGGGTGGTCCGGACATTGCGCCAGAGGGTTTGAATGGCGCGGCGGGGCAACAGGTCGCTCTACCCGGTTTTGGCCAATTCATGATCAGCCGTTTATCGCCGCTGTGTTGGGCACTGCCTGCGACGCCATCGTTCAATTCCAAGGATGCGCAGGCGAAACAGGTTCTCGCGGAAGCTGGAGCGCTTCAGCGGACCATTTATGCCAAGACCGGTATGGAATATCTGGAATATCTCCGGACTCAAGAATTGCCAGGCATGGGCATGGGAGGGGATCTTGTGGAAGAGTTCGTGGGGGCATTGAGCCGGCTGGACTTGAAGGGATTCCGGCAGTTCTTCCCAGTACGTATTTTTCTCGCCCCAACTCTCACGGGTGAGACCGATTGCTAACGCACTCCGTAGTCTTTTATCCAGCGATTGAGCGCGTGATGTGTGGTCGTTCTATTTTATCATATCCCTTCTCATGTTCCCTGTTTCTCGGCCCTTTTGACCCACTCGATCATTCTGTTTCAGTCCTAGATTCCCCCATGGTTTGGTTTGATGACTGATGTGTCTCATGTGATCATTTACACCGAAGCTCTCTTCCCCCTTCCAACTCCTTCTATCATATAATCACGGCACGCCGTGAACCATGCATCCAAAATCTCCCGTTCGTCGGTATTGAATCTAAAAACTCAGGGCAAGCATGTGCGGCACAACCTCAAATTAGTTGTGCTGCAGGAAAGCAAAGCAAAGCGAGAAAAAAACAAGTATATAGCTAAGTTCGATTCGGCATAAGCATGAATGGGGCGTTCAGTTATATTATATTCCTAGTTCTATCACGCAAGGAACAGGTGGTGAACTGCATACAGTATGCGATAGGTTAGAATAGCATGGAAGATGACCAAAGAATGGAGGCGAGCGATCTTGTTCGTTCATTGTATAGCAGTTATCCGATGTAGGCAGAATACCAGTACTTAGTGTTTAGGCAGGCACGTAGGCTATAGACTGCTCAGAGCCTGTCTTTTGTTCAAAGGACAGCATCGTTGAAATATGGTAAGTGTTGATTCGGTGTGAAAACTTATTCTATCTCCAAACTTAAAGCAAAAGAGAACGCATCACCTGGTTTATATCTCTAACGCATGCATCGCACTATGAGTTAGAGACAGTGTGCTAGATCACAGACTCAGATCTACACACTCCGCTGCATAACCGCCGCCATCAGCTGTACTAGTTTATCCTGCATATCACAGAAGATATTCACAGCCTGAAAAGAAGAGAAAACGAAAATGGTCAGCAAGGAAGACTTTCCAACCAATTGGCGCACGAGAAATAAGGAAAGTAATTTAGGGAAATCATGGAATATAGAATTCTCCCTCCCATAGTCTACCATCCCTAACCACTCCCCCCTCCCTTTGTTTCCACCCATAACAACCACAGGAAAAAAAAGCTGAGAGAGACGAAACATACCTGAACCAGCTTCCCCTCACTCTCTCCGCCCGCATCCCTGGTAAATGCCAACCGATACGCAGCCTCATTATTCACAAACGACAGCGGTGACTTCGGGAGTTGTCCGTTGTCGGTGTCGGTGTCAGCATTGACGACAGGGTTGGTGGCGTCAAAGAGGGAGGCGGTAGTAGTATTAGTACTAACTCCAGCCTCCACCCCCGGCAGCGCAGCCAGTTGCTGGAGTAGTCCCGGGGCGATGGTGATGTGGTGCACGCCTGCGAGGGCGAGGATCTCCGTCGTGGAAGTCAGGCTGGCGGGGAGGACTAAAGTGCGGCTGCCGATTTGATGGTAGTAAGCTTGAATTTGGGGGCAGAGGGGGAGGAGTTTGGCGGGGTCAGTGAATCTTTATGAAAGGTTAGTACATATCGTTGGGTAGGGGCTTGGGGGCTGGGGGGATTGAGGAGTTGGGGCAGACACCCAACTTGCACCTTACCCCGGTTCAAAGTGGACTTTCAATTGATTCACATAGGGGGCTACATAGGTGCAATTGACTTCTGCAGCCAGGGCGGCTTGGGTTAGGGTGAAGAGGGTGGTGGCTAAAGTGCGGACGCCGGCTTGTTCGAGAGCTCGACACGCCAAAAGGCCTTCCCAGGTGCTGGGGATTTTGATGCAGATGCGGGATTGGGGAAATCCCGGTTGCAGGTGTTGGGCGAGTTGGATTATTCCTGATTGTGTGGTGTGAGTTCGATGTCTGGGATAGCATGAAGATTACCAGCTTCAAGGTAGATATGTCTAACGGGAGGGGATGGATGGAAGTAGGTTCTGGGATACATACGCAAGGCGTTGACGATGGTCTTCTCGGTGGAGTAGGAGTAATAAGGATTGGTTTGAATGTGGATGTAGCCTTTGATATGAGGGGCGATCTTGAGGGCAAGTTTGATCATCTGGAATTGAGCCATTGTGTCAGGTGCAGACCAATTTCGTGGCGCAGGGTAGGTAGTAGGGCAGATTACGCACTGCAATCTCGACAGCCAATTCCTCCACGCTGGGGCCAGGGAATCTGGGAGTGAGACCCATGGCTTCCGAGACTGACTCGGAGATGAGGAGGCTGTGTTCTGGCTTGGATAGCTCAAAGAACGCGATTGCCTGTATGGAGTATCATCGTTGGTGAACAGAGAGTCACTGCTATCTGGGCAAGTAGGCGAAGTATACCTGATTGGACGTGCAGTCCTGAAAAGGACCGAAGGTTTGGGCGACTGGCCACAAGGATTTGATTTAGACCATAAGTCCTGCCTATAGTCTAGTGATACAAAGCTGTACATACCTTGCGCATCCATCGTGTCGCAGTCGACGATGGTTCTCTGGCGGAGAACATCCAGGGCTGTTTGGGAGGTAGCCATTTTGTTAAGTTGGGACACACGAAGTACTAATGGCTGATGGTAGCAAGTTGATCTTATCGAGCAGATGGATGGAGAGCAGAAGACGCAAGAGAATGATGCAGCAGTATGATGGTCTGATCACTATGTATGTGTAAGCTTTGTACGTGCAACAAAGAGGGGCGTTCTTTCATCTGATAGCCCCATCTTTCCCCTCACCTACAATGAACCACTTCAAACTGGCCTAACATAACTTACTGGACTACTGTACCTGTGCTCTCCGCGTCATCGCTCCGCAGCCATTTAGCCTAAATCGGAGTAAGGTGGATCACCATGGCATGTCTACGTACGGGGTGATATGTGTTTTATCCTTCCGTTCGGACCGACAGCTCTCTCGCCGTCAATACAGTCTTCGGTAAAGCGACCATTCACTGGCGAGTTGGAAAGTGATAGTGCTGGATCTGCGGCGGTAATTGCATCCCGTTGAGATTCGCCGCTCTTCAGCCCTGACAGTGCCGATATCAGATTGTGCGCAAAGCCATACTATGAACTGCTCGTACCCATACGCAACTGATATGCGACTGGGTTTACTCCTCGAATGGTTGGCCCTTCGAGACATCACTCGAACAATATTCTCGGCCAGCAATGTTCAGGTGTCACTTAAGCACTGAATGGGGGCAGATAGAGAGCATAGTGCCCGAACTGAACTATTCTCACCCTCTCCGAGTTGCTTCAATTTACAAACTACAGCATGTAACCCTGATATGAAACCCTTTCATCTCATTGACGAGAGACAAATGGGCGATTAACGACGGGACAAGTCCTTCTCAGGCATCTCGTTGACCTCTGCGGTAGCGACAGAATGCCGAACCAGTGAGGCCCTGCATAACACGTTAACATCATCCCAAAATGGTAGACAACGCGCGCGGAGACCCTTAGGAAGAAAAAGAAGAAAAGAAGAAGAGAAGGGAAGAGAAAAAACACACACAAAAAGAAGAAAAGAGCTCGGAACGGGTTGCGGGCGGTGAGGGTATGGAAGATGGATCTTCCGAGTGGTAATGCGGCACTGGTGATTGGCCCAGATTTCTCCCTCCGGATCCAGTCCCGTGACCTGGAGTCGAACCCGAGGTTGTCCGTCCCGTGATTCCGAACCGTTACGAGAGTCGGGAGTTCGAGGCCACTTTCTTTCCTGGTCGACTACGAAGAACGACGTTCCCTTTGCTGTCAGATCTCTCCAGCTCCTGCACCCTCGTCAGGTCTTATCAGTCATCTTCACGCGTCACAATGCTTTCCCAGAAGGTTGCCCAGCAGTCGCTGCGTCGGCGTACGTTCTTGCTTCTCGACTGCGCAGCCATGGGACTCCGCTAACCGATTCGTTTGCAGTCGCCGTCCAGCAGCCCTACGCCCTGCGTTGGTCTTTGATGAACTCCGTCTCCCCTGCTGCCGTTGCCCTTGGAAGAAATGTTCAGATGAGGTGAGTTGTCGCGCCGAAGGTGGATTGGGGGTGGCGATTGGCTTTGCGATTGGGCGGATTCCGCGCTCTCATTTCCGATGGCATCAGACGAGACATGTGGGGATATATAGCACACGGCAGTCACTGATCACGACTGTATGATAGACAAGCCACCACCAGCACGACCACCTCCGACCCCAACAAGCTCCTTGCTGAGCAGCGTCTGCGCCGTCCCGTTGCCCCCCACCTTTCCATCTACAAGCCCCAGATCACCTGGATCGGCAGTAGTTTGCACCGTATCACCGGTATCGTGCTCTCCGGTGGTCTTTACCTCTATGCGACCGCCTACCTTGCCTCTCCCATGCTGGGCTTGGATCTCGGCTCCGCCTCTGCCGTTGCTGCTTTCGGTGCTCTCCCCGTCTTCGCCAAGGTCGCACTCAAGGCTACTATGGCCATGCCTTTCACCTACCACTGCATGAACGGTGTTCGTCACTTGATCTGGGATACCGGTCGTGGTCTCACCAATCCCCAGGTCATCAAGACTGGCTGGACTGTGGTTGGGCTGAGTACGATTAGCGCTTTGATTCTTGCCTTGCTGTGATTTGATTGTGCAATACCTTTTGATTCCTGTTCTTATAAAATGTTCTTCCTGCAATATATTCAATAAGCAGTCAATGGATGGCTGATTTGTTTTCTTTGAGACATCTGGTGTCGGACTACTTGTCATGAAGACGTGACATACGAAACTAACAGTAACGGTGATGGCGTACCATATCGTAGGGCAATACGAATTACACTGATTCTGGTGGTCTTGACAAGATTGTGAACGGGAGAACGAATTACACTGCTGATAAAGACGAAACATCATCTTCTGACTCTTCTCGCCAACATGGTAGCTTCACCAATTCAGTTCTCCAGGAACTTTGCAACGGTAACGCCAGGAACCCGATACATGGTCCAGTCTATAGTAGTCGATCCATTCCAAGTCTTCAGTATTCCATACACGAATTCTTCTGCTGATGATGTCTGCGTCGCTGGCGTTGCTTGCACAGCCCCAATGCTGGTCACATTGCTACGGCGCGCCAATCTCTTCGTCTTTCATAAGGTCAGTATCAGGGCTTCATGTCTTCGGTCACCTGATGAATATTGCAACTCGGAGTGAAAGCGTTGTCCTGACCTATATTGAAAGTCCTTATTGATCTCATGCAGGACTCGGCGGTGGGTTCGGAGGAAAAGGTCGAGGCGAGGGTGGATCATGGACAGAACAGTTACTCAAGAGTCCTCCCTCTCTGTTGATCTCGACCGGATAGAGGTCTGAGTCTGAACAGATTTTGGACCGGAAGTTGCACATCGGCCAAGATGTCATGTTGCTCTGAAGGGATGAACTGGACGGGCAGACTGCGGATTGCTCGGGGTATTTTAGAGATGGGATGATAGGAGACTCCTGATGTGACTTGAGATCGCGGACAATTCAAGAGCGATTTGGCTGCTGGATTCGAGTGAGGCGTAAATGAAGAACAAGATATGCTCACTTACACGAGTGTCTGATGAGAAAGCCCGATAGAGCGCGTCACAACCGCCCTTTTATACTCTCATTCTGGACTTGGAGACCGGGTCAAAATGGCTTCTGGGTCGTACACCGCTATACTGTTCGACTCCCGCTTCTCGGCAAGACGCCGCGTGGGATATGACATTTCCATTGAGCTCACCATCATCATCATGGACAATTGATAGATCTCGATGAGTCTCCCGCCTTGCCCTGCAAGGGACCGACGGAAGTGAGTCGTCTCAGATGTCGGACAGTGTGCGTGCAGCCGCATATCTCAGCTGATGCTTACAGGCAGTACCTCTGGCCACTCAATGACTGAGGATCGTGATAATCAACGTACTTTCGGATTGTCTAAAGCAATGCCTCTCTTTGCGGAACACTTATCGAAGCCCCTCATGTCTGTTGTCATGGCAAAGCAAGTTTTTATTAGCGCTTAAACGCGGTCATGGTCAATGGTGGACTAATAATTATTCTCTCTTTATCTTATGGTCAAGTCGATGGTGGCATTCATAGTGAACAGCTCCTTGAAGATGAATGCCAGATCGACACTTAACCACCCCGCACCTAATACAATTCCGGCAGCTTGGTCCGAATTGTGGCTTCAAAGGTTACCGGGGAAGCAGGGGTTGCGTTCGCTTTTGCATAGATTGGGTTCCGGGAAATTTGCTCTTTCACAAGGGTATATAGAGAGCCCTCGGTGAAAGAACGGTCAAGTCGGAAGTACTACTAATATGCGTACTTCGTGACAACATACTCAGCGACTGCGCGATCACAGTTGATGCTGAGTCTGAAGCACTGGCGACCTGTTACTAGTCACTATGCTTCCTGGAAATGATCAAAATTGCCCCAGCAAATTGCCCCAGCTCGTTTCACTATGGAAGTCCTATTGGAAAACAGCCCAGGCAGGCGTTGCTGAACCTTGAAACAGCTTTAATATCTTGAAGCGGTCTACAAACGGTATGATTGCAGCTTCGAATACATGGATGCTTTTGTACAACTCAGGCAGCCTGTACGAAAGGTCTATCGGCCGTAGACACGTGGATGGACTCCTGAGCTCCTGAACTCGACCTCAAAACACAGTGCCTCTCCAAGTCCTTCTGCTCGTGGCAGATGCATAAGACCGTTCCCAGCGAGGTCTCGAGCTATTTTTTCTATGGTTCGATACAGGGTAGCTACTCATAACCGGGAACAGTGCTTGTAATGGGCTTTAACCCTTCCATTGAAAGACACCTTGTGTAAACCAGCTTTTGCTGGCTTCTGAGATCATTGGACAAACAGGTTGCGCTTCTGTTTCCCTCAGGGAGAGTGCTGCTGAGGATGGGTCTAATATACCAAGCAGGGCATTGAGTGAATCCCATCTCGGATTAGTTCGAGAGGGATCCGAGGCTTGAGGGACTCATCCGTCTCCTCTTCGCCTTACTCTTTGAAACATATTGTCCAGATTTGCCAGTGTGACACTGACTTCCCTGGAAAATGGAAGCTCCCGGCCGTCAATAATTCCTGCAGGGGGCAGCCTCGAAATACTCTGCTCGAGAGGCTCATGGTATCTCTTTTATTCTCCATCTTGACCATGAGGTATACTATACTCTTACTGATGATTTTTCTGCGTCGGTCAAGCCCTTTTTCAAGTGCCTGCTCGCGACTTACAGGACGCAGAACTATGCAGAGGCTTTTGAGTGAGCCCTTCCTACGTGTCCATCTGGGGATGACTTTACTCCTCGCTGCACGGTTGAAATGCACAAGGAAGCGGACGAACAAGGGTGACACGGAAACTGCACCGAAGTTCTGTCATCCGATATTTCGGCTCCTGCGCGTTACACCTACGGACGGAGTGGGAAGCGATACACCCCTGTCAGGCCATATTGCGGTGTAGGGTTCCCTGCAGGAGGGCGTCTAAACTCGGCTGTTTCTTCCTGGGTTTTCCCATGTCCACCTGCAAGCAAGCAACAGCTCTATGTATTTGAGACGTTATTTCTACAGCCTTATCTGTCAACTTGGGAGTGCTTCGCTGATTGGTGCTGTTTCGTTGCATCTATTTGCCCGAGTCCGACCCGATCCACTGCAGCAAAACTCGGGAGCTAAACGGGTTCTTGCGCCTATATCTTCCTTGGAATCTCGGCTTTTTTGTCGGGAAGAGAAGAGCTTGGCTCATGGGGAAGTACGTAGCCTTCCGTAGGTTTATGATGATACTACATCCGTTGGTATGCAGTGGGCCTAACGTCTAGGAAAGAAAGACTGATCAATGCCAATATCGAAGTATAGCCGTAAAGATATAGAGAGCCGGTGCCGGGTTCCGACAGCTTGGACTGGATTATGAGTGTCACGGTGATGCCGGAAGATGTGTCTCAGAAAAGCTGCCTAGACCCATCATTTCGAGCTATAGTTCCCTTCAATAGGACAAAGAAACATGATTTGACTGTGGTTACTGTGGAAAGAAGAATAAACCAGAAGATATACAATGCGATGGGTAGTGATGGTGATGGCTGGATACAGGAGAGAGCGCGGGAGAAGGGCGCTAAGCCAAGAACGAACTAGCGCATCTCCGAATTCTTCCCGGAGTCCATCATGAATTATAGTTGTTGTTGCCATCGAACTGTGCAAAAAAAAAGCCCCGGACTGGCGACCCCTCCTCTCACCTCCTCCACCACTCCCCGGATCCCGGTTTCTCACATAGTCAATGGCTTCGACACTTCCCACTCGCGCGGTGAGGACACTCTCCGGTTCCGCGTGCCGCACCTTCGCTCGCTCCAGCGCGATTGAATCCGCTCTCCTTCCGCGGCGAGCCCTGTCGACATCAACGGGGGAGGCCCCCACGAGTCAGTCAGATAGGCCGCGGTGGTCGTACACTCCTGAGCGTGCCAAGGCACCCTTCAGCCTACGCCTTGATTCCAAACGCCCGGCCTGGTATGTCAACTCCGATCCCAGCAAACTCGATGATTTCTACCTGCGCCTGCTCGGTCCTGGGGGCGACAAATTACTATCGGATGAGGTCAAATGGCTTGCCGTGACGCACAAGAGCTTTGATCAGGGACGGAGAGGTTACAACGATCGCCTCGCTTTCTTAGGTACGTATGGAGGGTGGAATGAACGGGGATTCTCGTGATGGAGACCGGTGGCTAACCGCCCGATGTCTTCTTGTCGATAGGTAAACGCATCGTCAAACTACAGGCTTCGCTGGCCTTGGTGCAAAGTCCAGCTCCCAGCCCCCCTACTCGGGATTCCTACGGCCGCAAGCCCTTCGAGCATCCCGACCTGGAAGGCCTGGCCAACCTTTCCTACAACACCAAGAACTTCATGACGCACAAGGACAAGATGGCGACCCTGGCGCAGAAATATGAACTGGAGAAAGTATTGAGATGGTCTCCTCGGCTGGTGAGTGGATTCGTGTGTGTCCGAACAAACGGACGCCCTCTCCCCTGCTCTTTATTTTGCTACAATGGAGCGCAAGCGCGTCGGTAGTCAGGGCATTGCTAACCGGTGCATAAACTTCTTCAGCCTCTTGACCTTAAAGCCTCTGGACTGGAACTCATTCTCGCTCACACGATGTACGCTATTATCGGCGCCATTGCGCTGGAGAAGGGCGGCGAGGTCGCCAACAAGGTGGCACGTGAGCGGATACTGAGTCCCCTGGGTTTCCAAATCTAGGAGTGAAGTCGGGAGGAGGAAGGACCGATTGATTTCTTCGGGGCAATTATCGCAGGGAGCATATCAAGGCGTTTATTATCTCTTTTTCTTTCTACTGTTGGTCTCGGGATTTTTGTTCCCATGGATGTTTCACTATATGTGCTGGGGGATCATCATTTTTCGTTCGACCGTATATTATGTACTTTTACACCACGACCTGTGCTATATGGAACTGCAAATACCAACCCGCAAGATCTCTTCACTCCGCAAGTGTTCGCAACGCAGTCCCTAGCAGACACGATCGACATATACGACTTATTGAAAAAAAAAGGGATGTACGGTTCCTCTGACACCGCCCGAGTAACAGTAAGCAAAATACTCGGCCAGCTCTTATGGAACCCTCGAAGATACGATGCATAGTCTTCGCACCTTGGTATCGCAAGTTCAGTAATGGAAAGCCGAGAACCACCAACAGAATGTCAGATAGGACTCGGAAATCGCATCAGAAGCAATTTACACTGGCTTGCACTGTCTAGAAAGGGCGTATGGTACAAAAAAAAAAAAAAAAAAAAAAAAAAAAAGAGGAGAAATGGCCGCAGCTGGCGAATTTAAATGTGCTAGCAGCGTGCAGCGCTAGACTACTTTGAGAGTAGGCTGTCTTCTCAGAGAGACTTAGCGACACGTGCTCTGATGCCTGAGGCTTTATTACTTACCCTTACCATCCAAATGTATAGAAATGCGAAGATACGAGCGGGTCTGGCGTAAGATATGTATCAAGCCTGACGGTCAGCAGCCGCCATCCAGCCCATGACAACTTACAACAGTATCATGAGGCATCATCTTTGCATTTCCTGGAAGTCGAACTAGCCATTGCTCGGTAAAGGCCCTCCTACGCCATTCTGCATTGCTTCTATGTTCTCTTTCATACATAGCATTTGGCTAATCTGGTCCTCTCTCAGCTTAATATATACTCTCAGTTCTAGTTCCAGCATGTCGAGCAACTAGTGGTCTGGCTGGCCTCTCCCGTGAATTCGCCAGCATCTCGCTCCCGCTCCGAATCCCCTTCCCACATCTCCTTCTCCTTGAACGCTCGCGCGCTCTTGACCACCTTCTTGCTCCCCCGACGTCGCATATTTCCCCTAATACCTCGCCATGGCGTCGGCTATTTTCTTCCTTGACCTGAAGGGCAAGGTACGTTTGCCTCTGCAGCTCCTCCGCATCCTCCCCTGGTACCTGACCGTCTTAGTAGACCCTTCTAGCCCGGAACTATCGCGGAGACATTCCTATGTCCGCGGTCGAGAAATTCCCCATCCTCCTCAGCGACGCCGAAGAAGAAAGCTCCGCCGTCGCCCCCTGCTTCTCCCACGAGGGAATCAATGTACGTATCGGCCTCCACTGCTGCAACGGCGGCCGCTGCTGCTGCTGCGCGCACACATGCACCTCCCTATTTACCCCCCGCCGTTCCCCGCAGCCCGCTCGCTGGACTGCTGGCTTCGCATCTCCACGGCCACCCCCACCATTACACTACAATGCACACTCGCATGCGCATCAAACTACGATTGAAGCTGTAGTTGGGACCGTGTTTGTTGATTGATCATGCATGTAGTACCTCTACATCCGTCACAGCAACCTCTATATCTTGGCTCTCACCAAGAAGAACACCAATGCCACCGAAATCCTCCTCTTCCTACATAAGATCGTCGAGGTCTTCACAGAATATTTCAAAGTGCTGGAGGAAGAAAGTATCCGAGACAACTTCGTCATTATCTATGAGCTGCTCGATGAGATGATGGACTTTGGATACCCGCAAACCACGGAGAGCAAGATATTGCAAGAGTAAGTCTTTGGCCGGCCAAGCCCCAATAGCAGCGGGAACTGACTGAGACGGGCCCTCCTGCCCCGATTGCTCAGATACATTACACAAGAATCACACAAGCTCGAGGTTCAAGCCCGACCACCCATTGCGGTCACCAATGCCGTCTCCTGGCGAAGCGAGGGTATCCGCTACCGCAAGAACGAAGTCTTCCTCGATGTTGTCGAGTCCCTCAATCTCCTTGTCTCCGCGTCTGGTAACGTGCTGCGATCGGAGATTCTGGGCGCTATCAAGATGAAGTGCTACTTGAGTGGAATGCCGGAGTTGCGACTGGGTTTGAACGACAAGGTCATGTTTGAGACGACGGGCCGTGCCACCCGCGGCAAGGCCGTGGAGATGGAGGATGTCAAGTTCCATCAGTGTGTCCGACTCTCGCGTTTCGAGAACGACCGCACCATTAGCTTCATCCCTCCGGACGGAGAGTTTGAGCTCATGAGCTACCGGCTGAACACGCAAGTGAAGCCGTTGATCTGGGTGGAGTGTCTTGTTGAGTCTCACTCTGGTTCTCGCATGGAATACATGTTGAAGGTGAGTCTAGACGAATTCGCCATACCCTCTACCTGGGCGTCGTGGTTGGCGCTTTGTCTCGACTAATAATTTCCTCCGCTACGACTATAGGCCAAAGCACAGTTCAAGCGCCGCAGCACAGCCAACAATGTAGAGATTCTCGTTCCTGTCCCAGAAGATGCCGACTCGCCGCGTTTCCGCACTAACATCGGAACCGTCCACTACGCCCCCGAGAAGTCGGCAATCATCTGGAAGATCAAGCAATTTGGCGGCGGCAAGGAGTTCCTGATGCGCGCCGAATTGGGTCTTCCCTCCGTCAAGGGCGACGACGAGCACGGCGGTGGCATGACCGGAGGCTTCGGAGGTAGCATGGGTGGCACCGGCCAAGGCAAGGCCAAGCGGCCGATCAATGTCAAGTTCGAGATCCCCTACTTTACCACCAGTGGTATCCAAGTACGGTACTTGAAGATCACAGAACCCAAGGTACGTTGCGGCCTCTTTATCCATCTTGTCTCGAAAGACTCCGCCGCTAATTGGTTTGATTCTCTTTGATAGCTACAATACCCCTCTCTCCCTTGGGTACGATATATAACCCAGTCGGGCGACATCGCCGTCCGCATGCCAGATGTACAATGATGTATAGCGTCTCTTCCCGTTCCTTCCCTCACCACCTCGTCTTCCTTCCTCCTTTACTAGTTCAATTCAGATCTATTACAGAACTACTTCTTTCAAATCCCTCTTCCCCCCACCCCAGCCGAATTAGCTCGGGTCCTCAGGTAGCTCTCCGACAGGAACTCATGAGAGTGGTTTTCGTCAATAGCCTTTGGAATAGCCGTGTCTTGAGAGTACGGTCGACCCCGTAGCCACCCACTCCTCCTTCTGATTCTCGTAATATATGCTGTCGAAAGATGGCCTTTTTGATGTGGCTCAGAGATGGCTTATGGGAACGAGTTCCTGCCTCCCTCGATGGTTGCTGATTCAAGGGAAGCCAACTGACATGGTCACGTGGGATGATAATGATAATCTTGCTTGAATCACTGGCGCGGATGATCGCTACGCCGACATAGGTATACATGTCTATTCTTTCACCCCTTAATTCGGGCTCCGGGGTGGAGGTTTATTGCGTGTCTTAAATGGTGTATCGGATTGTAGTACATGGCTCGTTATCTGGCGCCGCTGTCTTGTGGGAGAAGTCAAAGCTCATATAGCAATATAATCTTGATGGGGAAAATAGTCCTTGACGGAGGACATGCGGGCTAAAGGGTCACATGATGATCCGGTAAACGGACGAGAAGTACCTAGTAGGCAACTATCCCGAGCATCGTTCCCAGAATTGAATGGTAAAGGGAAGATGATGTATATTGAGGATTTTTTTTTCGTTTGGAGAGATATTCTCCAATACGTACAAAGGATACATACAAATATATGTTGATGGTATGGATGGGTGCGGCGCATGCTAATGCAGATAGTTGAGGGTATCTTAAAGAGGTGGGTGGATTTTGGGAGTCGCATCTTTTGGTTTCATGGCCTGAGGGGAAACCCAAAAGAACCAGGGGGGAATGAAGACGCAGACGCAGAGGCTGGGTTAGTCTTGATGTCCTGTATACATGGCGGCGGAGGCTACGTTTGGTGGTTTGATGTGAAGGGGAAAGGGGAAGGAAAGTAGGGAAACGGCGGGAGGTGGGGGGACGTCGTGAGGTTTCCAATCCCGGTCCGTCTGGACCGAGGGGCGGCGTCCCTGGTTATATGGAAGAGAACCGCGCTTGCGCACACATGTCGGGTGGGCAATGAGCAGTTTCGTAGTCTTCTGGAAGCTTGAAGATAATGATCCACTGATCCATCAATCATGCGCCCCATTGGTGCCGTCGGGAGACTCGGCTGTAGGGAGCGGGAACCCATCACCTTGGCCGGTGGCCGCAGCTTTGGAGAAGCCCTCGCGGGCGAGCATGGTGTTGAGGACGGCACAGTTGTAGGCCGCTTCGCCTGGGGGGACGACCAAGAAAATATACGTGTTGTCCGTGAACCGGCCAAGGAAGACGTTGAATTGCGGGGTCTTGGTATGCATGACGACAAACCCTGCGGAGGCGGGAGTGGTGTGTGTGTTGCGGGCAGCACAGTGCTTGAAGGCTTTCATAATATTGGAGAGACGCTCGTGGCGGTCGTAGATCGGATTCAGGTCGCCGATTTCGGACGAGACGGAAGTGACAGTCAGGAAGGTGGAGCGCTCGAAAAGGATGACCTCCTCGGCATCTACTCGTTTGGCGAATGCATGGAGGAATCGCTCGATCACCGTCAGATTGGGAATGAGTTTATGGACAATGCCCGCCCAGGCTTTGTAAAGGGACTGATCCCAAATGCTGCTGCCGAAGGTGTCGATGGCGAAGTGTTCTGACCGACTGCGGATCAGAGCGGAGCGTTCCTCGTAAATCCGTTGACGGTGCTCGGCTTGAATGAGATCGAGTTTGTGAACTAAGCAGAAAACATGGGCATTGGGGCTGTATTCCTTCAAAGCATTGATGATGGCGTTATAGGTGTCGAGGTCCCGCTCCACTTCGCGAGACTCGATATCGAAAACGTAGATGAGGACTGCCACATCGGAAAAGATGTTGCCTCGTTGTGAGGCAAGGTACGTCTCCATAAATGCATCTTGTCTAGGGTAAGAGGATTTGGTCAATTGATGGATAAGCATAGTGTAAGGTCTGGGGATATTGACCTACCCTCCGCAGTCCCAGAGGTTCAACGTCAGGTTCCCCATGAACTTGACATGACTATGTTCTACATCAATGGTGGCGCCCAGGCGCCGAACATCCTTGGCAACGTAATTGCTAAAGATGATGGAGCGCATAGAAGATTTCCCTGAGCCACTCTTGCCCATGAGGAGAACCTTTCTCTTCTTCTTGCGGAGATCCATATTGAGGGAGGGGGGACTGCTATCCCGTGAAGCGTACCCCGCACTTGAAGATGGATAGTAGTTCAACAAGAAAGATGGAGAGATTGGGGGAAGAGTCAATGGTAGAATAGTTGATATGTATCCATCGAAAAGTGGATCATCAAGGGTAAAGCAAGGGAAGAGGGAGGGATGGTAGATTAGCTCCAGTAATGGCTGGAGATGGAGGAGTTACAAGACCAGCCTCCGGCTCCTCAGCGTCATCGCCGTTTGGATCAACGATGTTCCGATTAGCTGTCACGTGCATTCGTAACGCTCGGGGTCTTCAAGACACGTGGGGCTATTGAAGGAGTGGACTAAATCTATTTCTACACAATCATGATTTCTCTGGGACTTTATCCTTCGTTCTAATTCCCCTGTGGTGTTTTGTAGTAGAATAAAATGTACAGATCACTATTCATGTGTGCACGAAAAGTAAAGTATCAACCCCTCCCCCCCCCGCCCCGCCCCACCATGGAGACAAATGTGCAGCAGAAGCCAATTAGGTATAATATCCAAGGTGTCACAGTCCAGGATCAACCCGAATGAAGTTCATAGAGACAGGAGCAAAAAACATGTAGAAGGCGAAGGAATATCCGGTCATCAAAAAGTCATAAGCACATCCACCAGCCGGTTAGTGAGGAAACGCAAACTGGCGGAGTCAGGTATCCAAAATATCAACGAGGTATGCGATCATTAGAAAACAGTGCCGTCCGAGCGTATCATGATGGGAGGCTCCTTAGTATTGGGCCTAGACACTTCGGCGATTTCGCGACCACCCTAGCACGTATATTAGCATGCTGCTTTGTGATCGAATGAGATTACGCGGAGCTTACCTTCCATGAGCCTGCTTCCAGCATCTGTGCTAGTGTCAACTGGTCTTCCCCTACCAGTCCCAGCTGACCGTTCACTTCCGACAGCAACTCGTCCAGAAAGCCAACGGTGACAGCCCGCCACTCCACAACCACGTCGTCATCCGCCGAAAATAGCGGAACAACCTCGACATTTGGCTGTCCCTTGATTTGCGCATTCTCTTTGTATGCGGTAATCCCGCGCTCCAGATCTTTCTCTTTTAGACTCAACAGTCCCATGTCAATCAGGAGACCTCCGTTGCGGTACTCAGGGAGACCCGTCAACAGCTCGCTACCCGCAAAGTGAATCTTCATCAATTTTGACATCGGGACCATGATAGAGTAGCAAAGCCACTGAGTCAACTTGTGGAAGGGGACGATGTTCTCCCAGGGCTGCGCGGGAGGTGATCTGGGCAGGTCAGAGCAGGGCCATGCGTCCCCAATGGACAAGCCGTCAATTTGCGTTCTCGATGGCGGCCAAATCGGAGTAAGTCCATCCATAAGTACACTCCACAGGGTAGTGATGGGGACAATTGGGACAGACGAGGCGAGTGTGGATGGGTGGGACAGAAGGTAATCTGGACATCGTAGGTTAGCTAGTGTCAACAGAGAAAGAGCCGGTCGGTCTTCGCTTACCAAGCAAGTTTCCAGGTCGCGCGTCGACACCAAAGAAATCCTGGTTGTTCAAAGCTTCCGAAAGTCGGATCAACAATCCAGCGCGACCTTCGATCCCTGCCAGAGGATTTTGCTCGGAGTGCTGCAATCCCTTAGCAAGCACCTCCACTGTAATCTTCTTCAGACCAGCTCCATCCACCTGGCACGGTTCCGTGGGATCACTGCTGAACAGGCCACTCTTGAACATTTCCAAAGTAGCTACTGCTAAGCCTTCACTGCGTGAGAAGAACTTGCCGGACTCTTTAGACTTGTAGGACCATTTGTTTCCTGCGCCCGCATCCAACAGGACTGAGACGACGAACAGATCGATAAGTCGACGGGTTCGTTCTTGTGCGTCGATAGTACTAGGCCAGGATTGGAGCAATTGGTTGACGCGCGGTCGTCCACCTACGTCGAAGTGCTGCCAGCGACCATGAGGAGGGATTGAGTCGTAATCGGGAGCATAGTCTCTCTAGGAAGGAACAAGCTTGGTCAGGCCCAGAATCGAGCAACGCGATTGAGTCACAAGGTGTATCGAGTCCTCTTACCTTGATGATAGACACAATGTAAGATGCAGTGGCTACGAATTTGCTCATATCCACATCAAAGTGGTTGAGACGGTTTCTCTTTGCTTTGTTGAGAACATACTGGCATCTTTCACGGACGGCGTGGATGCTCCGCAGATAAGCGGCGGGATCCAGGGCTGGATCGGGCGGTTTCGCAATCGGCATCTCTGGTATGGAGGCAGGCAGTCCGCTTCCCTTGTAGCCTGGAGATCTCAACGATGCACTCGAGGTCCGCGCACTGTTAGCAGAGGCGAATGATTCTTGCTCATCCTTTTCACTCTGAATCGAGTTCTTAGAGTCTTTGCGCTTGAAGAGACCCATGATGGGCGAAGAGGGAGGTAAAGTGGGGTAGTAGGCGAAAAGCAACAAGGTACAAGACGAAGAGCGTCCACAGCACTGAAAGAACCAAGTTTCCTGTGAAGAAGTCGAGAATGGAAGAACCAAGGAGGAAGAGGACGATAGAGTTCAGAGGCTAGACTGAATGCCTGGTAGCAGCAGCAAGTGCCGAACACAAAATTGGGCCCTCAGAAGAGAAAAGAATCATAAACAGAATGGAGGTCTGCAGTGGTTACTCATTCCCTGTGGGTGAGGAAGAAGAGAAAAGGAGAGGAGAAGGAGAGAGAGCGAAAGAGAGAGAGAGAGAGAGAGACTGGTTGACGAGAGAAGGAAGGACAGGCAGGCCCTTAGTTTAACATAGGAGTTTACTTTAGGGATCTGGCTAGCTGTCTAGATTTTGCTTTTCTTCTTCTGATCTGAATTTGAATTTTTATTTTTGGGGAGGGGATATGAATTAATATTACATGAAATTACCATGTTTTTTGGTCATCGTCTGTGCCTACAAGGAATTTTTCAGATTTATTTTTTTCCTATTTTTGCTCGTTCACTTGAATCAAGGTTAGCAATATGGAGGGTGATACCAACTGCTAAATAATAAGGAGGGGAAGCAATAATAACAACAAGAACAACAGCAACCACAGTGTAATACAGAGCGGGGGCAGTCGAGGAGGGGGGAGGAGTCCAGTTTAGAGAGTATTAGGAAAGGTTAGGAACTTTAGCAGGGCAACTAAACAGTCCCGATTGGCACAAAAGGGCCTGGGTAAATGAGCCACGGCCCTTGTACGGCGCCGAACCAGTAAACTAGTCGAGTCTCGGAGTCGGGAGGTGGAGAGCTTGGGAGGGGGAGCATGTTTAAACCGGCTGCATGGCGGATTTTCAATCTCTGATATGGACAGATGGGTTTGGATTTTCTCTAGTCAGGGGGGGCCATACAGTGCATACACCAACTGCTGACCCAAGTCTTTACAACTGATCCTGACAGGAAGACAACAGCCGGCAGTCTACAGAGCTGAATAGTGATAGGTTCGATCTCTGCTTCAGTCAATTTGATCAGTCAGCCTTAATTACCTAGGTACCTAAGTACATAGTACTTCCTTTCGCTTCCTTCGAATACATTCTTCTGGCCCCGCAAACCAAAAATCGGTCGGTACCTCATAGAGCTGAGCAACTGAGGGGTCGTCCTCTGAATTCACTGACCTAGGTTATATGGTGCGGTTGATGACCATCGAGGCAATATACCCGAATCACTGATGAGGTCAGACTGTCAGTGAGTCCATTCTTAGTTCAGGGCCTAGACATATATGAAGTAGATTGTAAGTACATGTGCATGGGTGCGCAGCATGTGTTCATACGTGTGTGCCCTAAATCTCCTCCGATGCATGGCAGCTGCATCCATCTCAGTCCCGCATACAGCTGCAATACCGGATGTGGTCGTATCTTACGGTACTGGCCGCTGTTGGTACCATACCATACTCCACCAAATACCTTCTCCTTGCTAGAACCTTGAAAGCCACCAGCTACGTTATCATTTCAGAAGTACTACGGAGTCCCTCAAGGCAGCTACCGAGTGATAACTGGACAATCATGAATTTTCTAGAACTTATCTCCTTAGCGAGTGCCTATACTACTAATCAACAAAAGGGGATTGCAGGTCGAAAATACCACCTTCAGCCCTCTCTTCCATCCCCTCCCCGTGCTACGGCCGACAGGAGTACAGGACCCAGATCGATGGAACCAATGAAAAATAGGTTTCACTAGCGAGGATCAGAGAGAAAATGTGGCAGTCTAAGAGGAGCAGGGTGAGCACGGACAGACTCGCGCACAAGGCTGCACCGGGTCTTGAGTCTTGTCTCCTGCGCTGCCGCCCTTTTTCCCCCTCGCCCCCGTAGTTAATGCGGATCTAACGATTTGCCGGCAGCTATTTTCTTTCCACTCACTGCCCATTGAAGGACCTCGCTTAAATTCCACCCAGGGTTATCTTGTCTATCTTAACTCGATTAGGACTTACTACAATTGCAATTTCACCCAAGAGGTAAAAGAGTATTCCCCACGGCCTCAAGCTTAGCGGGCGAGACAAAATGGGCAAAAAAGACATGAAGGGGTTTGTTGTTGATGATAACTAACTTGGGAGGAGTGTTAAGGAGGCTGTGTTTGTTGACACTACTATTCCGTACGGTATACACTACGAGGACTCCCGGTGGATCTTCAACCCATGCCCAATTATGACCCAAAGATACCACAAGCCTACTTGAATGCCAGCTTCGAATCACCTTACGTTACTTACTGATTGTCCGAAGCTAAATCGGCCTGCGAAAGCTACCTCCCTAATGGTATCCGCGCGGATAACAGCCGAGCCCACCTTTCTTTCTGTTTTCTACCCTATCGGTTGGTTTCCCCTTCCCCTAGAGACAAACACAAACGACAACCACCGAGTACCATAAAAGGGCGATTCCCATCCGGGACGGAAAAAAATGATCCGCTGGCTGAAGTAGACTATTGAATTAGTACTAAGTACTAGGGTACTTCGGAAACCCATTTTGATAACCCATGAGACAATCGCAACAATTGCCCGCTGCTGCATTTCCGTCTCATAAGAGATTGACACACTACTCCAGCTTCGCCGGCGCTAGATGCCCCTAGCGATGTCGACCAAGCTTTAGATCCACCGCCAGTGGCAAATCAGTCCCAGTCACCCCCCCAGTCGGTGGCTGGAGGCGGCATCAAGCGTCTCGTTGTCAACAGAATAAAGGCGTATATTGACTCTGGTCCTTACCACTGCGGCTGCGTGCAAGCTGAACGATTGAGACATTCCCACAAGTTGACATCTCTAGCATCCGCCATCCGCACATTTGACACTACTTAGCCAAGCCTCGATCCCCGGATACGGAACAGACTGGGTCCGACCGTTAGGCCATGCAGATGATGATCTGCTCATGTGATTCCTGAGATTTCGACAATCAAGATTTTTCACCTCTCTACGCAGGATTCTTCGCCGCCGGGACCTCGGTAGCTGTAGTTGGTAATCGCGAGTCAGTGATTTAGGCCATTATAGGGGTTATCGCAAATAGTTTACGGTGCGGGGCGCCGTTCCACATTATCTCGATGATCATGGGGAAGAACCATATAACCCTCGAGTAATATCTCAAGCATTGACTACCTTACTCAGTATGTTACTGACTAGCCAAGGATCTAAGGCCCCTGCTTTCGTTTGGCCTTTGCGCCTACTGAGATCATTACATCATCTGAGCCGTCTTTGGTGCCCTCCTCAATCTGGCTATGAGCCGTCTTGCTTATCACAATAGTGGCAGAGTGAGGCCTGAGTCTAGTTCAGTACTAGCCTCTTTACTAGATCGACAACTCTATTTTGCATAGCGGTCACGAATGCGCGCTCCGAACGAGGACGATGCGCCGATGCGCGCGGCTATAGCTTGGAGTGAACCTTAATGACTCACCCTTCGGCCGTAACATCTCAATATCGTTTGCGACCTCGACAGCGGGCTATGTTGTGAACTTGTGACAATGACGACCAGTAGTCGCGTCAACCTGTGGTTTTGGCTGGTGCGCTGGTGTGCAATTTGCCCGTGGGCTCTGCGCCATAGTACGTGGGTCGTCGCGTAATGGAACCATGGATTGCATGAAGTCCAAGCGTCGCCAGAAGTTCGGAACGGGGATCTGCCTGGGGCAACACTGCGTACAGTGAGTAGCACCGCTCCTTGACCGTGCTCGTGTCTGCGGAACACTTATCCACAAGCAGTGGATACCCACTGGGTGTCATTGCCCGTGTGAGGCTGGCCCGCTGCAGAGGACCCGGATGAGCCCTCCTGCAGTGGACACCAGCTATTGTGCCAACTTTCTGTTATGAGACAAGTACTGTGTCCTTGGCCGTGGGTGCAGAGTCCTCGCACCGCACTTGAAGCACGGCCTGACTCACAAGCGACCGAACATAACGGAGTATGAAGCTGAAGGTGTGGGGAGGTACTCCTGCCGGCTTGTAGCTGAAGCTATTGTGACAAGATATACAATGATCTCTTATATACTGGAATGGGTACTGCTTCCCCATAGATCACTGTGCATCGTGATAGGTTACTTGCCTGATGAATGGCGCTTGATATGGCGATCATCGCCACAGCCATGTTTGATTATGTGGTTACCTTTGTCATCTCTCAACGCTCAAGCCACCGACGCGAGCTCGAGCTCCAAGGTGTCAACACAGTGCTGCATGAACCGAGGGTCATCCCCGCATGGGTCTTTGTTGGCGCGAGGTTTAAGTAGTCTGATGTTCAATAGATGCCTAGGACTTTCCTGCCTTTTGACCCTCCTGCAATGGATGCAATAACATGTATAGCCTATAGACACATGAAACCAGCGACTTTCTTCATGCCTCGGCTATTAGGGCAGTCAAGAGCAGTGAGTGAGGCCTACTGTGTTCTATTTCAATCCCGCTCGAGGGCCCCAGTGCACAGGATTCATGCTCAGAACGTCTACAAGCGTCCCATTCTTGTCTATAACGGGTATCATGCTGACTGCTTTACAGTTTCGTATTAAACCAGAACGTTACGACAACGAAAGGATCGCTGGTGCTAAACACAGTCGGGTAAGTTCAGTAGCCGACAAACTTTGCTCTTAAACTATCATCATGTATCTCTACGTCTAGCGATACCACCCCTATTGCACTGCAATTCCAGTTGTCTTGTGCGGCCATAAGTACCTTCTCGCTTGTCGTTCCGATTCCCTCATCGGGAGATGCAATCAATACCAGTATGCTAGCGGACCCACCGCAGAGGATTCTCAGGCTCCCAACTCAAGGCAAATGCGTCGGACCGCACACACTCACAACTTTGTGGCTGGCGGGCTATACTGATTGCGCCCTGGGCTGGTACCCAACCTCTTTACCTTGACTAAAGAAAAAGACATCGTACGATACATGGAGAGAACCTTAGACTAATGCATCTTAGCCGGAAGGCTCCGTTCAGATACACATGCACTTGGCCTATTCGAGCAAAGCACTGTCTCCTTCTGTTATTAAGCATGTACATGCTGTATAATCCCCTCTCTCTTTCCCACCAAGCGCCGGCGTGCCGCTAACGCGGAGGGACACGGTCCTGGCCGTTCTGCTGGGTCTGCCGAATTACATGCTTAAGGTTTATCCGATTGATACCGGAATACGGGTACTATAGGATGGTACCGTATTTACCAGCTGTGCGAAGGGATTCTTTGCTCATTCTGGTGTCTTGGGATGCACCAGCCACACTGCCCCTCCGGAAATCCAGTGATTGTGTAGCGGGTAGCCTGGCCATAGCCAGCTTTCTGAAAAATGCGACCAGATATCTCGCTCGATCTGGCCAGGTTCCAATTGTTATCATTTTCTTTTTTTCTTACACTTCTCCAGCACAGGAAATGAGTCTGGTCCGTGCCACTCTTGAATCAAAGCTGAATGTATGAGAATGAGCCAAGTAACAAAGAAACCCAAAAAAAAGCATCGACAGCGCTGGGATTCGAACCCAGGCACCCGAGGGTATGAGATTGCTAGGCCAATGCGGATAGCACTGACATTCAAGTCTCACGCGTTAACCACTCCGCCACACTGCCATAACTTGGTAAAAGTGGAGCCCGAATAGGTACCATACCTAACAGCTCAACCGCAAAGGCTTCTTTTTCAAGAGTCTCAATGTTTACCTACTGCAGCAAGGACTGACAAAATGCGTGTCTAAATTTATTCGTGGCATTGTCCCTTAGCTCAATGCGCCTGCAGTCCATTCTAGCAGCTAGGTATTTCGTCTCCACGGTACTCCGTACAAGGAGCTATCACAAAATTAAGGAGATTGATTCGCCGCCACACAATCCACTCCGGGAATGATTGCCGCCGTCAGCGAGACTCCGTGCCGGTAATTGTGCGCGTGCCTCATCTAAGAGACTCCTGTTAATCGCGTTGATGAAACAGATAATGTACTCCGTATACTGTGTATGAGCACGGCTGAAATCATTATTTGACATCTTTTAGCCGGTATTGTGGGAAACCCTACAGTTCCCCTATTAAACTATCTCTCAAACTGTCAATAGTGAAAGATACTTTTTCTCATCACAACAGTAGCTAAAGGAAAGCCCAATTTCCATTGAGAGCTGTAAGGACATGTCACCTATTGTATACCCTAGGAAGTCACTCAACCAGGACTGACTACATCTTGCACGCGTGATTCAGAGCCACGGGAAAGCGGACGTCGCCAACCTCCGTGGGTCCCCCGGCTAGAGAGCAGCCACCGACGGAGCAACCTGGAAGGCCCTGTTCAATGTGTCTCAAAATCACTTACCAAAGTACGAGGCCTCTCGCCTAGAAATTCCTTCAACTCAGGTAGATGATCCTGATGGAGTCACAGCGAGCCACCCGGACCCATTCAACTGGGCCTGCTCTGTCCAATCCTGGCCTGGGAGCCTGGAGTATAAGACAGTATCGGAAGAGCTACTAGGGTTATGCTGCTAATCTGGGCTGGAGTTTCCACTTCTCCAGAACAAATTGCCGCAATATTTGGTCGGAGTCGGACCCGATTGCAAACCTACGGACCGTGTCATTCTCCCATTCTGGATGTCAGGACGTCTTTCTCCACAGTGAAACCACTGTTGATTTCCCTCCTCATGCCGTGACAGATTGCTCCCTGCCGCTTCGAAAGCTCGGAGCCAGGATGGTTACTCTCCCCGGGTCTGTCAGTGGGCACCAATGAGGCGAAGTAACAGTTCAGAAAGAAATGAGAAGTTTCCCTGTCTCTCTTTCTTTCTCTCCTTTGCTAGATCATGAAATGATCGAGTGAGACCCTAGTTCGGACCAACTCTTGGGTAGTAGGAAGGTGTATGTCTTTGACTGCTTTTTAGAATACAGTGTATTTCTACAGAACCCAGTGTGCGTCATAGCACCTTTGCCACTAGGAAAGACATCCTTGGATTCAGCTGAGGGTTCTGAGACAGCAGCCAGCCCGTGCAAGCCTCACCTCTACTAGCCTTCAACACTGACGTTTGGTGTCGTTGAAAACGCAGTTAGTAAGCGGCCACAGAAAGTCGAAAATTGTCACGTGGATTTCGGCACAGCCACGCATTGTCAGCCACGTCAGCCTCGGTGACGATCGCGGCGGCCCTCCCATGTCCGTCCAGGGGAAGCTGGCAACAGCCGCGCACAAGGACATCGTTCTAACCTGCCTGACTCTAAATTTACGCACAGAATCCTACAGTCGCCTGGCGAACCCACTGTGGCCTTCATAGCGTCTCAAATTCACCTCCCCGTGTCATTGCCGGCTCGGTCAGCTCAATTCCGCCCGCCCCCCCCCCCGCATGGTATACTACGTTGGATGGTGGGTTCACTCTCAGCTGCAACTTACTTTTTCGATCCTGACTTCAAGCGGTCAGGCAGTAGCTCAGTGAATTCTCATCCTCGTCATAATGGATGATCTAAGTGGCTTGAATTGGACGTCAAGCACGTCTAGCAATGATGCTCGCAAGCCACCCCCAATGAGCTCGGCTTCTCTCTTCCAGAATGTCCGTCGCAATGAACTATCTGGCCGATCTACGCCGCTATCTGCCTCCTCCGGCCCCTCCAATCCTCCTTCGAAATCGGCAACACCGGATAATAAAGACAGCTTTGCAAACCTTGTCTCCTTCAATCCAGCTTCAGCGAACAAGAATCTCTCACTTCTCGAACAACAGAAACAGCTGGAAGCGGAAAGGGCCCGAAAGGAGGCGGAGAAAAGATCCCGGTTTGAAACTCAATATGGAGGACAGAACAATCAGTTCTGGGACAGCCTCGAGCATGGTGGAACGAATAAGAACCCCGCGCCTATCGCTGCTGCCAGCCAGTCGAGCGCAGCCTCTGCCGATGGTGATGATGATATACTTGCCGCCTTCAATGCATCCGCGCCAGTAGATGCATCGACACACTTTCCGGTACCTAGTTCAAGCCCAGCACTGCGAGTCGGAGCTGGCTTGACTCAGAACACGTACAATGGAGCAAGTGCACCGCTGAATGGGGACAGTATGGCGTTTCCGGAAGACGACGACGACCCATTCGGTCTCAATCAGTTAAAGTCAAAGCCTGCGCAATCCCCGCAGCAACCCCAACCCGCCGTTGACGATGATGACTTTCTCGGCTTGTTGGGCAAGCCAGTGTCCGAGATCACTCGGCCGGAGCCTCCTGCCAAACCACCTACACCCATGAAGACGGAGAATCGTGACTTATCCCCAAGACCTACCAGCGGCATTGACCATGCGATTGCAGAGCTTGTTGATATGGGATTCCCCGCAGACAAGGCCAGCCAGGCTCTGCGTATGACGTCATCTGGTACAGATGTCCAGGCGGCCGTCGGCTTGCTTCTCACTCAGGCGCATGAGGAATCTCGTCAGAAGTCCCGGAACAGGTCAGCTGGGGGCGACCGGTTGTCCGCTCATCCTGAGAGAGGTCGAGACCGCAATGAGGGTTCTAGCCGCGACGTGCCCTCGTGGGCGCAACAAAACCCAACTCGTAGCAACAACCGCTCGCCTATGTCCGCGGAAAAGGACCCATCGCAGCTTGCAGCTGCATTTGGAAACAATATCTTGAAAACGGCTAACTCTCTGTGGAAGACTGGCAACAAGAAGCTACAGCAGGTGGTACAGGAGTTCAATGTCGATCATGATCCCAGTCAGCCTCGGTGGATGAGGGATGTATCTGCTCATGCTCATGGAGAAACCACTAGTAATCATTCTCGAGTTGATCGTCCGCGAGATGATCGTTCGCGAGCCCCGACGCAGCCTGAGGCTCGCTCCGAGAAGATGACCGATGAAGCGTTGTTGCTTGAGTCAGGTGGACCAGTTCGCTCGTCCCGCAATCCTGCGCGGTCGAACGATGGGCCCGCGCCTCGTACTGCCAGCAACACTGTCAGGCGACAGCAGTCTCCCCCGAGGGAACGGCCAATGCAGCAGCCAGCTTTTATGCGACAGGCCCCAAATGCTGAGATGAGGGATCCTAGATCGCGGTTGACAAAGTCCGCTGTAGAAGAGCAATCGGCACAAGCTTACGTTAGTCCTGCGAGAAGGAAACGCCCTGTCGCCCATTCCCCTGCTCCAGAACCCAAAGTCGACCTGTTCGACTCCTCTGCTCCCGCCCCAACACCAAAGCCGAAACCGTCACCCTCCCCCGCTCAACTCTCCAGATCTTCCACACCATCTAGGACCCTACCTACCCGACCCAAGGCTCCGCCAAGATCGATACCTCCTGTGTCCCCGCAAGCCCTTTCCACCACCCATCGTCAACGTGAGATTGCAGCGGAAGCTTACAAGCGGGGCGACTATGGCGCTGCTCATGAAGCCTTCTCCGCAGCTCTAACACCATTACCGGACAAACATCCCATTACTATTCTTATCCGCAGCAATCGCGCCATGACGGCTCTGAAAGTCGGTGAGCCCAAGGTGGCGATTGGAGACGCGGACACTATGCTGGAGTTGATTGGGCCTTTGAAGGGCGAAGGTGAGAGCATCGACCTTTGTAATGGTGAAGCTGCCAAGCCGATGAAGGATTTCTTCGGTAAGGCGTTGATGCGCAAGGCCGAGGCGCTGGAGCAGCTAGAAAGATGGGCAGAGGCAGCACAGACTTGGAAGCTCGCAGTCGAAAGTGGATATGGTGGCAGCACTAGTATCCAAGGACGCAATCGCTGCGAAAAGGCAGCCGGTATCAGCAAGCCTGCAGCCAGGCCCGCAGCACCTGCACGACGCCCGCCTGCACCTGCACCAAAGAAGGCATCCGCTCTGGATGACTTGCAGGGTTCGTCTGGCGCCTCCTCAGAAGCTGTCACTCGCTTGCGAGAGGCCAATCAGGCCGCGGAGCGCGCGGATGAGGAAAAGTTCGCCTTATCAGAGAGCGTTGATGCGAGATTGGCAGCATGGAAGGGCGGAAAGCAAGACAATCTTCGGGCATTACTGGGCAGTCTTGACAGTGTGCTCTGGCCCGAAGCCGGCTGGAAGAAGGTCAACATGTCCGAACTCATCTTGCCCAACAAGGTTAAGATCCAGTACATGAAGGGCATTGCCAAAGTGCATCCAGACAAGGTATGTTGCATTTCCTGCATGTACTTATAATAATCCAGGGTACTAATCCTTGTTCTTGAAGATTCCTACAAATGCCACCACTGAGCAGCGGATGATCGCCGGTGCGGTCTTCGGTGCGCTCAATGATGCCTGGGACAAGTTCAAGAAAGAGAATAACCTGTAGCCTGACCCTTGTTTCTGAGCGAGCCTTTGGTTTCCGTCGAGCAACTCCAGTTACCCCCTATTTTCACCGTTTCCATCTGCTCTTGTTTTTCTAGCCTCGGATCCTTTTCAACCTCGCTGGGGCAAGCCACCTTCTCGTGCTTTCACACAGATCGTATCTCAATGCTTTTTTCCCTGATGCTGATGACGTGCAAGAACGAGGCCATGAAATCCACATTAGCCATTTATTTTGTACATAGATAGACTAGATCGGCTTTCGCGTATGCTGCGCGTCACATTTTCGATGCAAGATGCATTCCATCCAGACCTGGTCTGGTCAATCCCACCGAAGCCGAGCAGATACTTTACTCTGACATATCGAAGCCCGGCTTAGATACTGCTATCTAACTCCATTGCACTCCCGGACCTTCTACAGGCGAGAAGATAATTACACATACGAAACAGAAAGATGCAAAACTAATGCTTAGTGTGATGTACAAGTTCGGTACAACTAAGCTTCTTCCCTGATTTTACCCGATTCCTCTCCTGCATCCTCGTGCTTCTGCTGCTGCTGCTGCTGCTGCTGCTCCTCAGCCTCCTCGCGCTGCAATTGCTCGCGCTTGAGTTGCTTTCTGCCCTTCGGCTTCTCGGTCTGCATAGGCTGGTCAACCCGATGCGGGGGCCATTTCTCGCGGCATTTCTGCTCGTCTTCCTCGGTCCACTCGCGCGGCAGAACAGCAAAGACTAAATATGAAGTGTGCGTCTTCAGATTGTCTTCTGTGCGGTGAACGAGGCGGCCCTGTGCGTACAGTGGAACACTAGAGGTCTGAGACGATGGATCCGCGAGTGCCGCCGTTGTTGGTGCCGGAGTCTCGCTCTCCGAGACGACAGGCTTCTGTTCCTCCTTGCCGAGGACAGCATCCAACGACGCAGGCAGAGGGGTGCTATCCTCCTCGTCCTGCTGCTGCTGCTGCAACTCGCGGTATTTCCTCGAGTGCTCCTCGACGTGGCGCATCTTGGAGACGGCCTCGTCGACCGACTTGGGGAACACGACCGCACCACGCACCTTCTCGTACTCCAACCCGACCTTCTCCCGCTTCACGTCGATCCGGTGGTTGTTGACCTCCACCATGGAGATGTCCAGCCACGACAGTTGCCGCAGCACGCTGACCGTCCGCTGCACCTGCTCCAGGCAGGGCGAGAACGTACACAGGTACACGGGCGATGTGGGGTCCAGCGGCGACTCGGCTCCGGAGGCCGGGTGGCGCACCAGATGCTTCAACGCAAGCCAGGGGGCAGGCAGATCCAGAAACACCGCGTTGGCTTTCGGTGAGGTCCCCGTCTGCGGGTCCCCAACCAGAAATCCATCCTGGTACACATCCCGATGCGTAACGTGCACTAACCCCTCCAGCCCGTGTTCCCGCAGCTCTTGCCGGACCTTGCCCACGCGTTGTTCGTGAAATTCGAAGCTGGACACCTGGCCGAGTCTTCTCTTCTTTGGTAGTGTGGCGGCCGTGGCATCGGCGCCCTCGTCTGTCGTCAACGTCGTCGTCGTCGTCGTGGGGTATCCGTTGAAGACCGCTCGCACGGCTGCATGGGTGAACGAGCCGCTACCGGCGCCGGCTTCGATGATCGAGCTCCCCGGTCGTGCACGCAGTCGGTGCAGGATGTAGCTGTAGTCCGGGGTATAGACGACCTGGGTGCGATGCGGCAGGGACATGGTCCACAGTTCCGGGGTCGGGTAAACGAGGTGGAGGAATCCGCTGGCGGCGGCGACAGCGGCCTGCGGGGAGGATTGACTGCCACTCCCCGCTTCAGCAGCCGGGGTGGTTGCGGCGGAAGAATCGAGCTCGTCCGCTTTGCGCTTGAGCTGCCGGTTCTTCTTCTGCGGGCCCCGGCCGCGGCGCGAGCCCGTGTCGACTTTTGAGGCAATAATCTGCGAGCCCCATTGTTGACCGGTGAGGGTGGTGTGAGGGAAGGATCCGAAGCGGGTGGTCGTCACTTTCCCTTCCTTGTAGCCGGCGTTGTCGTCGTCGTGCAGCTGGAGGACCGTCGGGATGGCTTGGTCGCGGCGGAGGTGGAGGAGAGCAAGCTGGTTGAGCTGCGAGTGGGTGCCCGGGGTGAGAAATGGGGATCCCATCTTGTCGGAATTTGTGGGGAGAGCGGTGATCCTGGATCGCAAACTTGATGAGGACTTCTCGCGCAGCTTTTCTTTCCTGTAACTTTTGCGATTGCGGCGTCACTTGGCAGAATATCCTCCGCTCTAGCCTGGATTGGGCGTAAGGTCAGGGCTTAGGGCTCGCCGATATTAAAGGCGGTGAGGAGCTGCAGCTGAGATCGCGTTGATTGGTTTTTGGTCACTTGGCTGTCTCTACGGAGTACAACACCGAACAACTGGTTTCCAATGTCATTGAACGTAGAGCATATTGCTCCATCTCAAGAACTCCAGAAATGCACATCTCCGTGCATGAGCAAAGCTCTCAATTGATATTCTGCTACAGGGCCAATTACTTCCACAAGACATTGCGGAGGAATGTGCTCTGCTGTCGGAGTCTTACTACATCATCTGATACGCTCGCGCATCACATGCTCATTCTGAAATGTTCCAGATGATGGATACAACCAGCCACTGCGGTACCATGCGCTTTCAGAATTAGAAGATTGGGTTAATCCTTACTACTTAAGATACTACTACTCAATCCAGATCTGGTCATATTTCCAGACTATCGCCCTTTGTCTGGGCTTTGTCGCATCTTCTTATTACTGATCAATAACCTCGGGGCGTTGAACCTCGGCAACTTCTGCTTTCCCCACAATGGGGGGGGGGGGTTCTCCGGACGTCTTAACGCCGCCTTCCCCAGACTATTCCCCAGCCAACAGACACTGCTAATCCTGGACTTTCCCTGCATAAGTTAATTTCTGGCTAGAGTTTGACTTTCCGCTTTGTCGCTCGATCTATACCCATCGCAACATTTTTCCACAAATACTCGGACGACCAGCCGGTGCCGTCGATCAGCCGTCAACATGCCTTTCAACACCCTTCTCACGAGGAAGCTTGGCATCACAGGTACGTTGAAGGAGTACAGTGTCTCTGGCTCTAATGTACTGACAATCCCCCAAGTCCCTGTTGTCCAGGGAGGAATGCAATGGGTAGGCTACGCTGAGCTCGCCGCGGCGGTCAGCAATGCCGGCGGATTGGGAATTGTATGTATCCACCATGTCCCAAAAAATCCCACCCATCAAAGAAACAGGACTAACAAAAGGAAACCGTCCAGCTCACCGCGCTCACACAACCCACCCCAGAAGACCTCCGCAAAGAGATCCGCAAATGTCGCTCCATGACCAAGAACCCCTTCGGCGTCAACCTGACGCTACTCCCCGCCCTCGTGCCCCCGGACTACGCGGCCTACGCTAGAGTGATCATCGATGAAGGGATCAAGATCGTCGAGACGGCAGGTAACAATCCGGGCCCCGTGATTCAGCAGCTCAAGCAAGCCAACATCATCGTCCTGCACAAGTGCACGACGATCCGCCACGCCAAATCCGCCATCAAGCTGGGCGTTGATTTCTTGTCGATTGACGGATTCGAGTGTGCGGGCCATGTCGGCGAGAACGATATCACCAATTTCATCTTGCTCAGCCGCGCGCGGCAGGAGCTCAAGGTGCCGTTCATTGCGTCCGGGGGTTTCGCTGATGGCCAGGGGCTGGCGGCGGCGCTGGCGCTCGGAGCTGAAGGCATCAACATGGGCACCCGGTTCATGTGTACCGTCGAGGCGCCCATTCACCGCAACGTGAAGGAGGCGATTGTCAAGGCGGACGAGACGGACACGGCGCTGGTGATGCGCCGCTGGAAGAACACCACCCGCTTGTACGGGAACAAGGTGTCCAAGGAGGCTCTCAAGGTGGAGCGTGAAAGCAAGACCGGGGAATTTGCCGAAATCGCCCCCTTCGTGAGTGGCAAACGAGGTCGTGAGGTTTTCCTCACCGGTGACGTTGACTTTGGGGTATGTGTTTCTTCCTTTACCTACTGGACCTTTTCTTTTGTTTCTTCTAGGGAGTGGTTCTTTGCTGACGATGTTTTCCATAGGTGTGGACTGCCGGCCAGGTCATTGGGATGATTCATGATATCCCCACATGCGCCGAGCTTCTCCAGCGGATCGAGAAGGAAGCCGTGCAGGCACTGGACCGGGTGAGGTCGTTGCACACAGCGCCAGCACAGAGCAAATTGTAGAAGACTCGCGGTCGATGCTGACTGGTCGGATCCGACCAGAGGAGGTAGGTATTGGTACGGGGTGCACGCGGGATAAGCATAGTAATACAGTTTCACATGCAAGGAATAGACAGCATCCTCTAATCTCAGCTCTGTACGGAGTACTCCGTACTTGCCGCCGTAGTGTTCCCCGTCAGATGCCCACACGTACTGTACAATATCCTCACATACGCACCACCCTTGCAGAATGATGCGCTCGTTCAAGGGATAGCGGGAAGGGAGAACACAAAGGCAACCTCAAAACTCTTCTTCACCCTGGCGCCCCTACCCTCGTTGTTTAGTACAGTAGTAGCACGATGAAGCACAACACCTTTCCCTCCTTCTTCCTCGACATCGTGTATATACCCCGCGCTGACCTCCTTGCGTGTCTCTCCCCGCTCCATATTCCAGGAGAATTGCGATCGCCAGCATGCGCCCCATCGTCTTACTATGGAGTTGAGACCACCAACGCAGCAGAGTAAGACCTTCGAAGGCTACCTCGAGGTGTGCTGTCCTCCCTATGAGGCAACAAGGGCTTTCTAAAGCGATTGCCCTAATCGAGCTCCCACCCACATCAGATAGGAGGACTATCTCCTCGTCGACTTCATGGGCCTGACTTGTCTCCTTGCAGTGATGCAGCCCTGCGGGTCTAGACTAAGCGTCCTTGTATACTGGTCTTTCTCCGGTCTGGTCTGGTCGGGTCTGCTCGTCAACTGAGAAAGAAAACATGCACTAGCGATTGCCCGCCTCATCCTAGACGCATAGATCGACCGCAATCTCAACCCGCCGACTGTACAGGCCAGTCTCTCCCTCCTCACCCCCGCATGTACGGATATCACAATATGAGTTAGTAGCATCGACATCAGCATCAGCAGGAAGTAATGAGGGAGAGGGGATGTAAACCTAGACAATGTCAGTACCTCGACCATCACAATGCCCTCCTCCCCCCACTACTACTACTCTAAGCATAATGCAAGACAATCATTAGACATCCCGCGCACCCCCCAGCATCCATTAATCAAAAACAAACTCAATAAATCGTTCCCTTGGCCCAACGCTACCGCTGAACCTCCCAAAGAGGCCGTCGAATTTGAAACTCATTCTATCTGTCCGAAAAGAGAGAAAAAAAGAAGACAACATCCCCTTGTCTATCTCCCCGACAACGAAGAAGGAGAAATCAAAGAAATCCGCCATTGGAACAAGCACGTTAGTCAACAGGAAGAACCGACAGTTCAGAAGAGTATTTCTACAGCAACGAGCCTCCCTCCCCCCGCCCCCAAGATGACAAGAACCGCCAGCGTGAACTCGGACCTCATGTGTCAACCTCGGAACAACATGGGGGTTCTATCCACACTCCTCCTGCCTTGTATGCAGGTGCGCAAGTTGCGGCGGGCGAAACGACAGCGCGATCATCATTCCTCGTGGTCATGTGCGGGGATTGCTGAGTTGGAGGAGAAGGGGGTCGTTCATGGACACCATCACCCTCGCCAGAACATCGTGGAGAAAGAGGCGGCCGAGTTGTCGGCTGTATCTGCGGACGAGAGAGCCCAAGGTGGAGTGGAAGGGGCGACAACGACCGGGTTGTCCCATTCAAAGTCTATTCGCCTCGTGAGCTGTGCGGACTCGGAGTGCTCGACGCTGGGCCCGGAGGATGGGCCGATTCTGGAGCAGGCGGTTGACGAAGGGGAGGAGAGAGATAATTTTCTCAATGGAACGAGGAGGAACAGCAGCAGCAGCAAACCCGGTGATCATATGTTGTCGGACGAGGAGACGGATGTTGAACAGTCGAGTCCGCAGCCAGTGCAAAAGGTCATCGCCATGGAGGTGGTGCCTTCTCGGCCGCCGTCGAGGGCTGGAGGAGGAGGAGGAGATGATGAAGCAGTGGCGATGGCAAAGGCAAAGGCTCAGAGTAAAGACGATCTGGATCTTGAGCTCGCGAGTCGTCGGATCCCCAGGAACCCCGACAGGAAGCCCCGGCCGGCAAGTATGCAGGTTCAATCCACGGGGGGGGCTCTGAAACTTCCCGAGATCAAGAGCCGGATGATTGAGGATATTCCGGAAGATGTTGAAGGGGAGGAAAGGAGGACCGATGGAGGCGTTAAGATCCGTCCTCTGAGACAGGCGATCGCATCGAAGAAAGCAGCACCAGCGTTAACGCCTGCAGAGACGGTAAAAGAGGAGGGCGAGGATGACAAGCAGGACGATAAACGGTCCTCCACATGGCGCCTCAGCCAACGCAAGTCGATGATCGAGCTATTTAATCTGTTGCAGTCCACCGCGGCAGCCGTGGCCAGAATGCCCCTCGTGCCCAGGTCGTCGGCCTTTCGCGCATCCACCATTGCAGTCGATGAGTCGCCCTCATCGGTCTACTCCACAACCACCAACACCATCATCACTGCATCTCCAGCAGGACCTCGACCTCTCCGTCCACCCACGACCCCAACGAAAACCACCAAACTCCCCTCACCCCCTCCGCCCACTCCGCCCCCGAAATCGCCAAAGCAGCTCCTCCAACAGCGACCCCTGCCCCGGACTCCGCAGCGGAAGCACAAACCCACCAGCATCCACCACGATTATCCCGGACAACAGGAGGACTCAATCACAACTCCAACCAGCCCACACCCAAGTCCTACCAAGAAACAGCGTCGAATGGGCACCGTCCTCTTCCCTCTGGCCTCCCTCCGCCCCAGCGGGGGCAACGCAGCCACCAGCCCTCATCATCACTCTCCCCATCCTTCTCAACAACATAACGCACAGACTCTTTTTTGCTAGCCACGGAGTTTGGGGTTCCGGCACAGGGGTTATCTTTTGTTGGTGTCTATGGTCCATCTCGGGGGGGTTGGTGGCTTCTCTCTTGAAAGCTCTCTTCTGCTCTTAGCCAAACCATGGACCCTTTTCCTTTCTGTCTATCATGTAAACCACCCCCTGGTTTTACTGTTCTTGGGTGTATCTTTTCGTGTCATGGAGTTGAAGATCTGCCTTGTTGTATCTGCAGGTGGATTTGCCTTCCATCTCTATTTGGGCTTGGGCTCGGGTTTATGATCGGACTCTTGTTTTGGGGCTTTCTCTTTCTTTTGTTTCTTGGGGATATCAGGTGTTGGGAGTCAGTTTGCGAAGGGTTCTGAGGGAGTACGACCACCATCCAGCGTAGTCTGGGTGTCATCGTGCATGTCTGGACGGATCTGGATGTCAGGCCGCTAAAGACAAAAGGTCGGTAGGGCTATTACATAATTACTAAGGTAGTCTCTTCGTATACATAGATCAATCATCATGGCAAAGATAGCATATGAAGGAAGGTCAGAGTCAGAGACTTACCATGCCACAGATAATATTGTGATCTAGCATAACTATCATTACCTTGACACATTCCGAGATTCTAGCCCCCTTTGCTTCTTGTAGATGATGTTCAGGTGCAACACAGGGCGGTCAAGTCAATAGAATCTGCAAAATATGGTTGGCTGGGGAGTGTGAGATCTCGCCCAGAGAAGGAACGCCGTGGGCGTTTGCGTGGGCGTGGAATGACTCTAACGCCGTACGAAATAAGATCGTTCAGGCTCGTAATGCTGGACTCGATCTGAACTCAACGGGTGACAATGGCGGTAGGCTAAGAAAGAGAAGGGGTTCCTGGGAGAGTCTGAAGTAGAAGAACGGAGTCATTCCGGCGTATCTGTGTTTTGCTTGGTTTGTTCAAGTGAAAGGAAGGCCGACCCATACGCAGTGTTATTCACCGGGAATCGGGAAGTTGTTGGCTGATAACCCTTTCAAGGTCACAGGCATCCGGGAGATAGTATATATGAATCACTCAGTTGGCAACGGCTGAGGAGAATGAGAAGTTACCCGCAGGCTCCGTGATGAATGGGATATAGAGAATGGCAGCATCAAGTGGGGTGCAGGGATGGAGCCAGGCTTATTGAGGGGGTGTAGTAGAATTAGAACAACATTTATTAATAGTTTATACCCAAGGAGCGACTGATGTCAAGGCTAGAAGGAAAATACGAAAAGTCTCACGGAAGAAGTGCTACGCGGAGGCTAGATCACGAGAATACAAGTCGAGCAAAGCAAGTCTAATGCATTGATGCTATATGCCGTGGAACCAGCGCCGGAAGCACTGGAAACCGCAACTAATGATCAGATCATTCCAAAGCAAAAACAATCTTCTTTCTCCGAGAGTGCCACAGAAGCACAATTAATGGTACATCATCTGCCAACAGGAATATTCTATAATCGCCCAAAGGTTGAGATCACAGCAGAACCTGTTCCTAGCCCCTGTCCATGGCCCCGAGAGGCTTGACGAATAGCGGCCATAAGCATAGACTGAACCCGCTTACAAGATAGAGCCGAGAGCAATGCAGGGCAGAGCAACGCCGATAAGGCTGTCGGACTGTGGGAGCGGTTAGCAGCTGTGATAGCTTTGCTTGATGAAAGTGGATAGGAAAACTTACGGCGTCCGAGGGGGAGCCCTGGCAACAGGCGATGTTCTGCTTGCACTGCTGGTTGACCAGATCCTGGATGGGGATGCCAATGATGGGGACTGCGATTGTTAGTCGGGATCTGAGGACGCAGGACCATGGAGAAAGACGTACTCTGGAGATCGAGCTTGGAGCACTGGTCGAAGAGACCGAGACCCTCAGAGCCGGATCCAGTACCGATGAGGTTACCGAGGGTACCAGCGAGGATACCGTCGTCAATGGTAGTGGTGTCACCGGCGTAGGTGGCCTTGTTGCAGCAAGAGAGCTGAGCCTGGTCACCACACTTGGCGGAAGCCTGCTTGACGGTCACATCGTCAGGGACGGGGAAGCGGACATCGCTGTTGCCCTTGTTGCCGACGCCGTTACCGACACCAACGTTGCCGTCAGCCTGGGGCTTGCTGGGCATAGCAGCGACGGTGGCAGCGAGAGCCAGAACAGCGGTGGTGATGGAGAACTTCATTGTGACTGTGGGGTTGGATTTGAACGAGAGAGTGAACTCGGATAATTGGTATGTATAGAGAACGGAAGGTCTGTAAAAGACTGGAGAGAGAGAATGCTCAAGAGAGTGATTGTGTGATGATGAGAGAAACAGATTGGAGCGCAACTTTTGCCAGCCTTATATAGACTTTGAGGAGGTCTCGAGCTCGCTGGACAACAATACTGTCGCGCTTAACAAAATCAGGTCAGTGTAGGGTTTCGCGCAGCAAAGTCCTCCTCAGCATGCCCAACTGTGGTATGCAGCATGCAAGGACTGTCTCGCCTTCCCCGTTCCTGAGGATCCATACTCAGCTCGTTTCCTCCTTCCTAGGCCCAGAGAGTTTCCTCCGCTCCAGCGGACGGTATGGATCACCCTACAGCTATTGCTCTACGCTTGGTTGCAGCCAATTGGGTTAGAAACGAGGGTCTTTGACGCAGAACGAGCGCCTTTGCAGGATGACTGGGGTACATTGCAGCGAGACTAATGTCTCATTCCTCCTACCCATTCAGTACAATCGTCACGCAGCACTTACCTCTCTGCGCGGCCAGCACACTTTTGGAGGTACATGCGTATGCATCCATCAAGATTGCATCTCATTACTCTTCTTTGTTGAGTTCGAGTAAAACTTCAAACTAGATTCTCATCATTACCTTCGCAATTCGGATATCAAGCCACCTTCCGCCACCCTTCGGGGCGTATGCCCCTTGTCCACAAGCCCTACAGACCGCTCACTCACTTCTCATAGCCTCACACTGACTTTGAAAGTGCTCGTGCGGTATGCGGGTGGCGTGGTAAGCATTGTTGGGCTGATTCAGCCCTCGAGTAAGGTTGCAGGGCATATGCAATAGCATGCTTTGACATGCAAGGGATTGAAGATCGAGCTCTGTCAATTCTCCCTTCCTTCTTTGTTCCATGTGGGCGGAGGGGGCTCTGTAGCGGTGGACGCGCAAGGGAGATCAACCACTAGTTGCTAGCTAATTTCCGATTGCAAGGACAACGGCTCTGTTCGCAGAATTATCCTCTCCGATCTTGCCCATGCTCGTGCAATATCATCCAAAACAGGATGGTCTCAGCATGATCTCGGATAAACCCTGAAACTGGCCCACTTTTCAGACCAAAACACCCTGCACAATGCTGATTCAGATCAAGAATTGAGCTGGTTGTCATGGGCAGCGATGCGTTTTCATTAATGAGTTTGAGACACATGACGAGGCAGCATGGAGATCCTTGTTGCGGTCTCTCTTTGCTGGGTGGCGGTATGACCGCAGGCTGATCATGTTCATGCTTTGGCTGAACTGGAGGGCATGAAGTAGGAATTGGCGTTCAGCGGTGAATCTGAACCTGGTTGTGGTGCAGATGATGTTGTGTTGTTGTCCGGTGGTGGCTGGGAACATGTGATGCTCATGCCTGGGTGCCTGGATGCCTGGGTGCCTAGGTGCCTAGGTGCCTCGGTGTCTCAACTTGGTTATTCATAGCATAGTATACTCTGGTACACACAAATACACCCCATATGTATGCTTCATCAATGGTTCTGGAATCTGAAATGGTTCTTTTTCTCAAGCTCTGAGAGTAAGTCGGATATGGTCAAAAGTATGGCTGTAGTACTCGTGAATCTCACATTACAATCCTGGTGTGTAGAAACATAGAGCATTCATCTGACTACGAGATACTGAGTATCTTGTATAATATACTGCCTTTCAGAATTGAGTCCAGTTCTTCCACCGATCACTCCGGGTTAAATAGACTCATCCTGACCGAAGAGACTTCAACGACTTTAGACTTCAGATTCAAGTAGAATATTCATTTCGCATAATTCACACATCATCTCGAGTCGACTCGAATAACAGGAGGGACCAGACCATGAGAACTACTATGAAGGGATGGTACCTTGAGAGGTTCTGGACATCTTTATACTCTTGAATTCGACTCAGATACAACTTCACTCTACGCCGTCGTCCCATTGATAGAGAATTGCCAACCTTGCTTTGGGACAGCGGGGGAATCAAGTCATCGGATACACCAAGCTTATTTGTCGGATTACACGCGTATCTCTGCATCGCCGTTGAATTGAATATAGCACAAACCTGTATTATGCCTTGATTACATATTCCGTATTCTGATGTGTGCATATCAAGACAATATTCACTTGAGAAGGACGGTACGAGCTCTGCGATTCTCTCAGTCGGGGCAGAGTCACGAGGGTATTTTCTCCGCATATTTCGGCTCTAACTGAATGTACAATCAAATATCTTTTTGAGTAGCTTTGTGCTCGTGAAATGAGTACTACATACTTAGCTTGAGGCTAAAGATGTGGCATAAACGTTTGACATGTCATGATATATTTTCATGCTGCGTAGACCTCAGCATATATTTTAAGCAGTGCACCACAGTACTACACCCTAGTAATTGTCTAGTCTTGAGATTAAGTGCACCTACAGATAAGATTACATTATGAAAGCTCATCTTACATCTACATCTGCTAAAATGTTCTTACGCCTACGATGAATTCATGACACCCTCTCCTCTGAGGTATTACACAGTACTTCACTCCGCCACCAATCAGAAGACCCTAGGATCAGGCGGTCACTAACCCTAAAACAGTTAGCGCCATTATCTTTCCAGTCCCAGGCAGTCCGAGTTCGCGATGAGTCAGCAACCCAACCGGGCAGCTTTCGCTATCAATCACCGATTCCTTCCATCTTCATCGCCCCCCAATTCAGCTCCCAGCATCAATGAAAGACTCCTCCGAGGGCTCTATGCATATTAACCGTTGCTGACGCTCCCTTTCGAGTCGAGCTCTTACTACCGACAAACACGGCCACTCCGTGCATTCGCATACTCAAGTGCAAAGCAGAGAAAGAGGAAAGGAAAGAAAGCTAATCCCAGCAATGTCCGCGACATCGCCGCAAGACGTCAGCAGTGGTAGTGCGTCCTCCGCGCCGGAGTCTCACCCGCGCGGTCAGGCGCGCAAAGAGGTTACCTCGGATGACGTAGGGACGGAAGCAGCAGCCGAAGGACAAGATGATGAAACCGGGGAAGTACAAGCACAGCAGCGGGCGGAGGATCGAAGCACGTCCGAGATTGCGCGGCAGGAAGAGGAGGATGTACACCCAGAGGCGGAAGAAGGAGAGGCAGAGGCAGATGTGCGACACGAAGACGATGATACACAAAAAGAAGATGGAGAAGCAGACGAAGACGAAGACCAACAAGACACATCAGCCTCGGCGCCACCATTACCAGACGAAGTGCCCCCACCGCTCCCCAACGAAGTGCCGCCCGGCGAGGACGATGGATGGGAACCGGTCTGGGATGCCAACGCCCAGGCCTACTACTTCTACAATCGCCTCACCGGGGTATCACAGTGGGAGAATCCGCGGGTACCGGATGCCTCGTCCTCCTCCGCTGCCGCCGCTGCCCCCGCCGAAGCCGAAGACGACAGCAGCGCTCAGGAACCGCGCGCTCCCGTCCTGGGCGGCTACAATCCTGCCATCCACGGCGACTACGACCCCACGGCGCCGTATGCGCAGCAGTATGAGCGACAGGAGGAGGCCGGGGCCGCCGCGATGGACGCGAACCAGGCGTATGAGGCGGTGGGCGCCTTCAACCGGTTTACCGGCCGGTGGCAGGCGGCCTCGCAGAACCCGGAATATCACAATGATGAGAACAAGTCCCGGCGGCAGATGTATGCTTTCTTCGACGTGGACGCTGCGGCCAACAGTCATGATGGTCGCAGTTTGCGGGCGGAACGCAGTGCCAAGAAGCTTACCAAGGCGGAGCTCAAGATGTTCAAGGAAAAGCGGCGGGAGAAGAAGGAAGAGAAGCGCCGCGCATGGTTGAGGGACTGATGGAACTTAGTACCCTCTCTCCGGTCTGCCTTCTTATCTTATCTGTTGTGTGCTGAGATACCTTTCCCGCGTCTTCTCTATCTCCTTTTCTTGCTGTGTGTATGTTAAATAGTGGCTAGGTTATATTGGCGCTTTATGTAAGTTATAAGATGCACAATAGAGCCACTGAATGGTATATACGGAATGAGCTGCTCGTGATCTGAATTGGGTCAAAGTTGAAGCTGGTCGGGATGAGAGGAGCGGTTGTGAAGATAAGATCCACCGCAAGTCACCTGACCAGGTCTCAAAGTTCTCCGGCATGTGGAATAGCTTCACATTTAATTTTGAGGATTGGAGTCTATCACTCGCTTATTTAACAAGGTAAGATTTGAAAAGTCTCTCTGCTTTGTACTCAGCATATGTCTCGGGATTTTCCAGTTGTGAAAATGAGAATACAAATCCAGGGTGAGGGAAGGAGGGAGAGGGGGCTATATCCATGCAGTGACAAGCAAAAAGAAAAAAAATTTCCCAAAAGGGAAATATTGTGAGGCACTGCCAACCTCACTCTTTCCCCCAGATTACAAGACAAGGAAGCTGTCGATTGAGACTCACAAGAGACACCGGATTGTACCTTCCCGTGGTTTTTCCAATCGCTCTTTCCTATTTTCGATCAATTATCTCATCGATTTATACTCCTCCGCTCCCTCCAACCCCCCGATTAACATCTCAGCTGGAAATCCCATAACTACATTCGAATGCTCAAGATCCGCAGAAGCTAATATACCTCCCAGATACCCCCCCAGTCTCTATTTACTACTCAAATTGGAGCGAAGTGTAGACTCTTCGACCAAGACTGAATTCTTCCGAGAGAACTGAGTAAAAAACAAAACTCTCCAACACTAATTTTATATCAACTTCTTCAAAGTAAGCCACAAGCTCAAAATGGCCACCACCACCGTCACTCTCCCCGCCGAAACGATCGACGACCTCATTTACGACGCCCGCTCCGGCGACCTCGACGCCCTCAAGGAGGACCTCGCCGCCTGCAGCAGCCAATACCCGGGTATCTCGCAGGGGGCCATCGTGGCCGCCGCCATCGACGCTGCTCCTGAAGCTGAGGGAGGCAGCGGCTCCAGCCTGTTGCATTTTCCTGCCGCGAATGGGAATACTGGTACGTATTTATGTTTTTTCTTTTCGACTGATTGTTTTTTTCTTGAAGACGTAGCCCTGGAAAGCCCGCCTGCGTCTTTTGCGTCCTAGTGTCTTCTGCGCGGTATAAGCTGAATGCTGATGATTATCTAGAAATCCTAACCTACCTTCTCACCCTCCTCGCGGCGGAGGACGAGGCCACCCGCCGCCGCATCGTCAACCATCGCAACCACTCCGGCAACACGCCGCTCCACTGGGCAGCCCTGAACACGCATCTGGAATGCGTCAAGGCGCTGGTCGAGGCCGGCGCGGACAGCTCGGTCAAGAACGAGGCCGGGCTCGACCCGGTGTTTTTGGCGGAGCGCGCGGATTGGTCGACTCAGGAGGAGACCACCACCTCCACTGCTGCCACCGAGGGGGCTGAGGGTGACGCAGAAGCAGCGGCTGCGGATCCTGGCAAGATGTCTAAGGGGAGACAGGTGGTTGAGTGGATGTTGAGCGCCGAGGTGGCGGCTGCTGGAGGCGATTCGGAGACGGTGGTGGCTTCGGCGGGAGTGCCGGTTACTGGCAATGGGGATGAGTGAGACTATGGGGAGAAAAAAAATGAAACCTTAAAGTGTTCTTTCTCTGTGCGAATTGTTGTGCTTTTCCTTATGAATATCAATGTTGTTTCTTTAGTATGGCTTATAGTGGGATTTTGTTCGGTCAGGTTGTATAGAATTATTGCTCTAAAGTCATGACATAAGAACTTTGGAATCAGTAACTAGGAATTTTTCAACTGGCGACGCTGTCTAAGTTGAAATCTCAGGCATGTGTATTCGTTTTTCGTCTAGTTTCCCACTGAGGGTATTTTGGTGTCATCATGGTAGGTTGTACATAGATAGAAGAAAGTGAGACGATCAGTACTTGCTCATATCACCTCCGCAATCTCATTGATTTGGCCGTCAATCCCGTCGCGTCTTGTTTCGATCCTGAGGCGAGCCCAATGAGCTGGACTGCGTCAATGACAGCCCCAGTCTCGAGCCCGTGGTGCTCCCACCGGCCACGATCTCGCGCACCTTCATGTCAAGGCCGACCCTGAAGCGCCGATCTCGCCAGGTCACCGTGACGCCTCCATAAAAGGCCCAGATCCAGATCGGCAGAGCCAGCAGCTCCCGACCCAGCCAGGCGGCCAGCCAATGCAGGAAAGGACGACGAGTGACGCCTCGGGATGGCGGCCGCGCGAACGACGGGGTATCGTCATCGAGCTCGACGGTCTTGCCCGAGTGCAGCATGATGTAGACCAGCCAGTCCGTAAGGATCCAGCCGGTCATGCTCAGACCAAAGAAGGCCCAGAACGCGGGCCAGGTGGCCAGCATCATCTCCACAGACCCGTGTCCCTTGTGCCCCAGAAACTGGGCCAGCGCCGTCGTGACCCCCCATGCCCCGTAGAACGAGCAGACGATGGACTCCGTCCCGGGCTCGACCAGCGTCGCCAGCAGCACGGTGAACTTGCGGACGCGCAACCACCGCACCCGCCGCGCCACATACGACTGCACGCTCATGTTGGCGACCGGCTGGAAGGCCAGGTCCCCAAACACCATCGCATGCTTGCCCCACCGCTCCCCGCATTCTTTCTCCTCGCGCACCTGGCTCTTCCACAGCAGATCCCCGATCAGATGATCCTCGCAGATATTTTCGGAGAAGTAGTCGATCCCCGGATTCCGGCGTAGGTGCGGCGGGTCCGCGGCAGACGGCGCAGTCAGATAATCCAGATGCGACCGGCGAAACATATTGGACTTGCCCACGATACAGGGAGCGATAAGCACGGTGTTGATGGCCGTGTACATCTTCGCATGCGACGACGACAGGAATAGTTCCTCCAAGCGGCCGCCCCCGGTCGCCAGTGACCCGGCGCCGTGCTTCTCCAGCACGGTTGTCGCGGCGGCGGCCGCCACGGCAGTGTTGTCGTCATCGCGGTCCCAGCTTCTTGCACCCTCCCCGTTCGTGTAGGACTCCAGCAACGCCTCTCGCTCGGCATCCCGACTCGCATCCGACCCCGTCATATCCACCGCCACGGGCAGGTGATGGACAAACTTATACCGCTTGCCTGGCGTGGCGCCCGTGCCGCACAACCGGTCGACCATGCGGCCGCACACGCCCCTGCCGACCCAGACATTGCAATCGATGATCCAAACGATATCACCCTTCGCCTCCCGGTAGGCACGGCTCATATTCCGGATCTTCGGGTTGGGGCCCAGTTCGTACGCGGGCACATGGCCGGGCTGGAGCAGCGGGTCGTCGTCCTCGACGTAGACGCGCGCGTCGGCGTGCGGGAAATCCGCCACCAGTTTCTGGAGGGTGGGATAGGCCGGGTCGTTCTTCGTGGAGATACAGAAATAGACGGTCAACTTGTCGCGGGGGTAGTCCTGCCGGAAGGTCGAGGCCAGACATTCGTAGAGATGAGGCTCGAGGCCCTTGACCGGTCGGATGGCCGTGATGTGAGGGGCAGCATCGGGGGTAGTGGCGGATGAGGAGGTCGATCTACGGGGTTTCTGCAGGCAGTGCTTCCATCTGAGGAAGAGCGTGAGAAAGCTCCAGATTAGCCTTCTCGTGTGGGGGTCATGTGCAGGGAAAAAAACAATTGTTCTCGTTTACATTTGGAACGTCCCCAGCGAGCAGACCAGTGTCACGGTCGTATACCAGATCAAACCAACCCAGCCCGCGACAACGGGCCATTGAATGTCGCCTTGGCAAGTGGCCACTCCAAGCTCGGAGGCAAGCGACCGCAAGTGAGGCGTCAACATAGGCAGATGTGAGTAGCAGCAGCAGCAGAGTGGTCCGTCGACGAGGAAATCATTCTATGGGAAAGAAAGAAGAGCACACTGCGAAGCGAGTGACAGGTAGTAGAGAGAATGGAAACAAAGACCAAAACAAACGCGGTCAGGACTGAATAGCCAGGATGAAGCTAAGCGCGACGAACTGTAGCCGCAGCAAAGCAGGCTCCAAAGTACGTAGCAAATAGCAGTAGCAGTAGCAGCAACAGCAGTAGCAGCAGCTAAGCGCTAAAGCTGAGATGCGCAAGTTCCATTCGGATCTCGCGGATTCCGGGTTCGGCGCGCAGCGGTGGAGTTTTCCCGCTCGTCGGGCGCATCTCGTCTGGCGCAGCTGCCCCTGTCCAATTTGGCATCCAATTTCGGAGTTTCACACTTTGCTTGTCTGATGTATTCATGTAAAAGCAAAAGCGTCGAAGTTGTCATATTAAATGGTCTGCTAGAAATCTAAATATCCGTTTCCGTAGCTCCGATGCTCAATTCCACATTTTGTGAAGTCGGCGACAGAGCCTCCTCCAATTCCAGCTAAGACAAAAAGAAAGATGTTGAAAAAGCAATGATACCCAGTATGCACTTCCCAGAAGACAAGAAATCAGAGAAAGAAAAAAAAGATGAAGCCATGCCAATTACCCCAAGAATCCTCATATCGTACAGATGCCATATGAAACCCATCCTGTCTGCATGTAGAATGACAAGACCAGATGCCAAGCACAAGCCATTCCAATGTCACGTCTTTTTCTTCTTTCGAATCAGACTGGCTTGTAGAACATTGACCCCAGAAACTGGCTCGCGTGGCGAGGTAGGCACGGTGGCATCCGCTGTTAGTGCACTGGCGTCTCCCGCAGACTTGTCGGCAGATTTGTCGCTGTCTGGCGTCGGGGCGGGCGGCTCTTCTACCTTCTTGCGCTTTCGAACCAGCGTGCTGCTGATGAGAGTATTGACCTCCGCAGTCTCCTGAGAGGACTGGTCTGTTGTGCCTCGTCCTATTACTTGTTGCCCGACCCATAGTTGATCAGCGAGTGCGGCTACCTTCTCGCCCCAGGCTCTTGTACTGGCAATAGCGACTTCTTGATTAAAGAAATCCTGCTCAATCAAGAAGTCAATTGCAGACTTGTAATCGCCGTCGCTGAGTACAGCGTGGCCTCGCCCAGCTTCAGGCCAAAAGAAGGCACTGGCATCTGTAGTACGTTGGGCCACGGCTTCGGACACGGGTAAGGTCTTAGCGGGTTCGGCGACCGCGACAGTCGCCGGGGTGTCCAGTGCATCAATCGGGTGTGCCACAATTGCTTCTGAGGCATCGAGTTGTTTCAAAACAGAAGACACAACATCCTTGGATTGGATCTCAGGAACGGTAGTCGGCGCACGGGGGGTGACATGTTCCACAGCACTCGACAACCCTTTGCTATCACCGAGCACAGATCGAGAACTGGTCATCTGGACCGAGTTGATCAGTCCGGGCGGGTTGATGACGAGCCACAAGAACCCGACCAATCGTCCGGAAGAGCACTCCTGTCGAAAAGACATCATCTCCCAGAACTGATCCAGAGACTTGACGCTCCGCCACTGACCGGGAGCCATAGAGGAAGCCTCATCAGCAGACTGCTCGGGAAGCTCGTCATCCAGATCAATCAGGAATCGAGTCTTTGGGTCGTCGGGAAAGCGAGGAACCAGACAACGCGGGGGCGCCGTGGGGTCATCGCAGAGCTGATGCAGAGGGTAACTGTTCGACCATCTGGGGCGGTCTTTGCTGTCCAGCCGGGCGGCCGGTGGGAAGAACCCCCTGGTTTCGAACTTGTCACACCCCGGAACGATGAGGAAGGCCGTGGCCGAGCTTTGCGCCGACTCTGTCTGGCGATCCAGCGCGTTCTTCTCATGTGAGCCTGACTCCGGCTCGTACTCGCGGAGGATCGGGTCCAATACGCGGCACCACCATTTGATCAGCCCCCGATCGTCAAGGACATGCTTCCCCTCGTTCTCTATGCTGCCAGGGAACAGGTACTGGTTCTGCGCGCGCGCAAACAGAGACACCACAAGACGGACGCCTGGGCGCTGGTGCGTCCGCACTAGGAAAGAGAGAAAGGTTTGGGAGATGCGTCGTAGTAGTGAGACCTTGGGGGCGTCTTTCAGTAGAAGTAAGAACCCGGTCGAATCGGCCTTGGAGACGAAGATGGTCGTCAGATGCGCGGTGCTGTAAATCAACACCTCCACCCCTAGCACAATGATTTCCGCACCATCTTTCCCCTCCGCTTCAACCGACGCAGTCAGAAAATGATTTTCGCAAAAGGTGGGCTCTGACGTTTCTCCAGGTGGTGCGGCGAAGAGCGCAGCGCAGGGGGTGGGAGTCGAGGAAACATGGCGAATGGTAAGCTTGACACCGGCGGGCAACACCTCGGCCAAGAGATCGCCTAATTCCACGTCGACCTGAGACATGGCCGTCTGGGAAATATCCTCGATACGGCCAATCCGACATAGGAAGTTCAGTTGGGATAGGTATGGGAAATTGCCCCTCGGATCTTCCCTTGCGAATATCCTTTGACGTGAACCATCTCTTTTCTCACCCAAAATATGAAAAGTGTCACGTGATTCGTCGCTGTCAGCACTTTATCCCTCGTTATCGACAGGAGAGAAGTTAATATCAAGATCAGGCCCAGGAATGTTGTCTTCTTCATACAAGGTAGAATTCGTGTTACATGAACAATTTAGTGGTGCTTGCATGGCGGAAGCGACTATACCAACAGGATGCATCGAGTGGATTTACCTTCTAAAGGAAAGCCCGGCGAGGAGCTATCTATCTACATACCTATCTTCGACTCACTAGATCACCTGTCCCGCCAAGAAGACTCGAATCAGAAGTATCCCGCCACCGCATCCAAATCGTCTGCATTTAACAGAGCGACACCCTCCTCAAGCAGAGTCCTCCAAATATTGTTGCGAGTCCGGATCGGATAGTAAGGAGTACCCCAGTAACGGGCTCCGATCCCCTTCTCCTTTGCAGCAGAGATTTGCGCTCGAATGGCCTGGGTCTGAGTCTCATTCAACTCGCTATGTGAAAGAGGGCCCACGGCAGCCCCGAAACTGGTCGAGGCAATGGGGGAGATGAGGCCCGTTATTTCGTTGAATGGACTTTCATCAAGTTGATCGAGGGGTGCATCGAAGAAGTAGTCTCTATTGGCTACCGGCCCAACCAAATCCAGTGGCGTGTTACCGGTACCAATCACTGTGACGGGCCCCTGGGTGATGGTCGTGTTGTCCTTGAGAGTGGTCAGGTAGCCACGGGCACGAAGTGGTTCCAAGGCCTTGATAACAGCATCCAAGGTTTCCGGCCCCGCCGTCTTCAGGTCAATGAAGAAGTACAGTGTTTGTGAGGTATCGGTGTCGAACACGCCGCTGGTCATAGTCAGCTCGGATTAACGGCAATGGACCGGTCGGACCGGAGTACTCGAGAGCTACTGAAAAGACAAGTCTTACTTCTTCGTGGGTGAGGTCACAAAACGAGTTGTGGGGTTTTGGCGTTGGAGTACGTCCAAAATAGGATTGATGTAGAGCGACTCCAATGTTCGCTTCTCAGTCAAAGAGGACTCATCATGGCCGACCTGTTCGTGTCAGCATCACCCCAAAAGTCCGATGGAGGAATGGACAGACATAGAGGGTGCCGTTATACAGCCACACATCTGCTTCTGTTGATATGCAGCCTTTAGATAGGCCTATGACAAGAATTAGTCCTCAAGGTACCATTAACCGGTGGCATTGGGTCATCTATACATACCCGTATAGAAAGGTATATCTCTCCAGTAGTCACTGGCACAAAATTAGGCATTGCGCCGATAGCTAAATGATGCCGACGGTGGGCTTACTTATGGGAATGAACTGGGATCTGTAGGCTGATTAGACTCGCTCATCCACTGCCTTACACCTCCCAACTTGGTAGTCAGCATAGAAGTTCGAACAGACTTACAGGCATGACACCTCTGGTGAAATCGGTGGGATAGCCATAGTCATTGCTCAAGTGGGTGTTTCTTAGCACGCTCTGTAGTTCCGTCACCGTTCCTGCGGCCGAACCCACCAGGAATGCGGAGGCCGCAACAAGGGGCAGCATCATTGTCTGTATTGATAGTAATATCCTGTTCAAATTCTGGTAAGATTCACAGGATGAGTAGAGGAGGAATCTAGATTGCTAGAATAGAAGAGAGGCATTCAATGCGAGAGTATTCGAAGTCTGGACGTGATTGTTGTTGATCAAAACTTTTGAAAGCTTGGAGCAGGTCCGAGAAGCGCAAACGGCCAATCGCAGCCTCACGTGGTGGTCCAGCCCTCATGATTTAAACAGCCATGAATTGAACTCAATATACATAGTTACCTATCATTCTGAAAGTTACCAAGAGACTTATGTTTACTCATAACGCGTAAAAGCAGTGTTTTATTGGCTTTACTTTCTAATATATGAAGAACTAATCGGCAAAGAAAAGATCAACAGGTTTAAAAATGCTTCGAAGGCCATCACGCGCATAAAGAAAAGCCAATCGCGCAACGCTAGTCAGGTATCATCTAAACCATAGAGTTCATCAAGATAAAGAAAAGAAAGCTAATGCATCTAAACGAAATAAGGAGGCCCCGCAACCATCCAGTGATCCTGAATGCCCAGCGGAGCTTGGCTTGTACCTTAGACCTCGCGAACAGAAGGTGGCCGAGAATTGCTTTGAGAATCCTGTGTACTACTGCGTCGGAGACTCAGGCTGCCAATGCGCTGCACGAGATTGCTACCCACTGCATCAACAGCGCCCTTTGGTGCCAATAGCGTAGGTCCTTGCGCCGCCGCTTCTTGCACCTTAAAGAGCTTGACTCCAGTACCATTCCACACCCCAACAGTACCAGGTGTGGCGCCTGCCGCGGAGCCGACCACCATTTCGCTCGAGAATATAAAGCCCCAGAGCAGGGATTCATACCAGCCCATTGAGAGGGCTGACCATTCAAATGAGTGAACACGAACGGGCGAGGGCTCGGAGACAATGACCTGAATCATCGGCTCCTCCACAAAGGTGGGAAGGTTTGTGACCAGTGTGCGAGCTTCCGGGCTGGAAGCAGACTGGAAAGCCGACTCAGGCACGTGGGGCATGATGGCTGAAATGATAGTGAGTATCGTGTGGAGCGGCAACTCAGGCAACCAAGATTCAAGCTAATAATTTCTAGTCAGCAAGCAGCACGATCTTGAGAGTGAGATATCGCTTACCCAAGAAGCTGTCGGCGTGAATCCGCTCGAGGATGCAAGGAAGGCAGCCGACATGCTGCTTTGGCTGGTCATGCTGTTCTGTCTGGAGAATGTGGGCTGTCCAGCAGGCATCTTGCCGCGTGCCTTCTCGGACATCCCTCGAAGCTGAAGTGGCACACTTTCGTCAACGACAGATGATATCGATTGCCGCCGAGAAGTCGGAACCGATGTAGAGTCTCGGATTGGCGATTTCTGCGCTTCGCCTTCATCTTCAGAATCATCACCGCCAATGGCGAAAGGACTATTTTCTTCCGGAATTCGACCCAGCGATGAGCGTGCCCCAGAGGGAGCTTGTGTATCTTCTTCGGTTGGAGAGAGGACTGGACTTGCGGCAGATTCATTCGCAGCAGACTTCCGCCTTTCATTCTGACGTTCTATTTCCTGCTGTCCACTCTCAAGGGTGAATTCACGCACAGCCTCAAAGCGTCTCCGGTTGCGGAGGATAGAAAAAACAAGATATGGGTTACCTAGGCTCAGTCAGCAAGCCGGCTAAAACTTGAAAATGAAGCAAACGTATCGTACTTGTAAATTGATGCTCGAGAATGGAGTTGATTGACTCAAGCACGGATGCTAGAAGGACGTGGTTTGTTTCGTTAGCGAGTAGGAAGCTGGGCGCTGACATCGAGGAAAACAACTGCAGCAATTTGGAGCAGGAAACCGGAGACAGGTTTTCCACATATGCGGCAATGTTGTTGATGATTGCCAGTAGCGCAGGATAGACAGCTGTCAATTGTCCTTTGCTGGCAGTGATCAGTGTATGAATGGACTAATCCCTTGTCAGTCTTGACCACACCCATAAGATGGAACAACGACATACTATAATCAGATAGTCGGCGTAGGACCCCTTGAAGCCTGGAATCCGGATACTTTGCGGAAGAGTATCTTGTGCTTCAAATTTGAGGTTCAAACTCTTGCCGAAATTGGGCTCGACACTCATTGTTTGAAGAACAAAAATGCACATCCTAACCACACCCTGCTTAGAGGGATCAGATTTATACACAATAGCATAGAAAAGACAAAGTATAACGAAATCATGTGAGCGATTTGAGTCGATGATAAAGGACCTGAAGCGTTTGTTGCACTGCAACGCCTCCCAGAATAGTACGAGCATCTCCGGCGCCCATTTCACAGACTTTTGACTACCAGGAAGATACGAGTTCGTGATCTGCATCTGCACGTTCCGCTGTCAGCACAATGCGTACTGCAAGATGAAGATGAAGCTTACTGGCTGGTTCAAGATTCGGGTCATGCCATCGACCAGAAACTGAAAATCTTGCGGTCTGTGCAGTCTTCCGAAATAATGGCGGTAGTAATTCTTTGGAGGGGACCCACGACCATCTTCGGGAACTGGATATAATAGAAGCACTAGGAGAAGCTGCAAGCAGTAAATGACCAGGATTTGTTTCGGATCTTTCCAGACCACATGGTCATACGGCACCCTCCACGAGGCAGGGTTGTATTTGATCGCCTACACATAAATCATGTCAAAAACAGACCAGTCTCCGATAGAGCTTCAAGTACGTACCGTGTTCAATAAAGAACACAACAGAGTCAATACAGCTTGTTTGTCGGAGCAAGTCGTGATGTATGTGATGGCCCGCACACCTTGCACAGGAAGTAGATCTCAAAGAGAAGTCAGTATCAGATCGACCTTGAACGTAATTGCCGTGACTCACTGGAAGGCATATACATCGCTTTCCCGGTTAGAGTTAGCAGCAACCGTATGACCTCGCAGCGGTTACTTTCCAGCTCTTTGGTCGATCCCATGGAAGTATTGCATCCCACACCACTTTGCCAAATTGAGTAGGACACTTTGTTCTTCGCCGACGATAACTTAGGGATCGTGAAGTTTGTATAGAACAGTAGGTCGAGGAGGGTATCGATCAACTCTTCCGCCAGTGGCTTAGCATCTTCCAATTCAGAGGCTCGCGGCGAAGCCTGATCCCGCTCTTCAGCTTGTGCTTCATCGAACAACACTTCCGGAGCTACTTGCGCCTCCCGGGTCTTCTTCTTGCGGCGAGCCCAGAAGAACTGCTCCTCCCACTCCTCCAGATGCTCAGCCTCGTAGATGTATGGAAGCAGACGGGTCAGGATGCGGATACAGTTGAGCGCATCGCGGTCGGGCGCCAGCTCCGGGTCTGGAAAAGAGGGATGATTCTTCAAGACGTTTAAACGAGAGGTAACCGAAAGCAGAAGGGTCTCGAAATTCGATAAGGCATGATCGCGCGTGCGCCGGATGTCGGCCGGTGTGAACAAGCTGAAGACATCCTCAGTCGACTCTGGGAGCTCCCAGAACTAATGTTAGGTGTGTAAGCCCGTACTCAACCTGAATTGAAATGCTTCATATAGCAGAGACACCTACCCTGGTCCAGTAGGGATCATCCGCAGGAATGTCCTTCTCCTCAGACAGACGGAAGATGCCCTGCTTGAAGACTAACTTTGACTCGGAAGCTCCCATCGTGAAGCCACCATGAAGCTTATGTTTGTAAGCCTATGAACCTCATACAGTTGATTGACGTGATCAAGAGAATGGTAGGTTTTGGTGTGAGAACTGTCTTTCCAAGAGAATGAATTGCTTTGCGACGTGAGCCCAGTAACCCGATGCCGCGTGTGAATGGAGTTGGTGGCATGTTGGCGTTCTTGGGTCATTGCCTTGGAAGCGGGTACGACTAGACCCGCGGAGACCCGACGATCAATCACTTACAACTTGGATGTACTCCGTAATCAGCCATCAATAACCCGGGGTAGTTCTTCTACCTAGCTCTTTCTAATTCTAATAATTCTACTGTCGCTATCGTCACAATGCGAAAATGCAACTGCTCTCCAAACCGATCTAACATTTGAATCTAAAATACACAATGGAGCAGTTGTATGCTGGTATGGAAATCTAAGAATCGAGATGCACCCCGCTAGTCATAGCGAACAAAGAGATAAAAGAAAAGAAAATTCATCAGTTTACATCGCCTTCCCTGCCTGCCTTATTGCGCCCGCTCACTGCCCACAGCCACCACCAGCGTCGGCATTAGTAACTGCCGTTGCTTGCTGACAGTCGCCGGCTCCTCTCGTACAACCACTTATTACTCAAACCTAAGGCCGCGCGCTTACCCCCTACAGGGGATGGACTCGCGGGTCCGAGACTCGACATCGTCGACAACGACATATTTGACATGGTGGACATGGTCGATTCCTTGAAAGATGCAGTCGAATCTCTGAAGGACGCGGTAGATTCCTTGAAAGACGTGGTCGACTCTCGATAAGGCGAGAATGATGTGCCTCGACCAAGAGGCGATGATGATCCGAAGCTCGGTCGCCGACCGTTGTCTTTCCCGCTGTTGGTAACCACTTTCTGGAACAGAGGACTAGGAGAAGGTGAGAAGGAGGGGCCGGACGATACTCTGCGACCAGAGGCGCCAGTATTTGCCGATAGCGGAGATCCAGATCTACTTGCTGGGCTCGCGGGTCGGGACGTAGAGAGACGATACTTAGGCGGAGTTACATAGGTAGTACCGGGTGTTAATGGCGGCGTAGCAGTGGGATCCAGCCCAAGAAGCGAGCGTTGGGTGGGAGTCAAAGGAATATCGGAAAAATCGTCCTTCGGCCCCCATATAGGATACAGGGCATATAGGATGTTGAAGACAAAGACAAGGCGCAGGACGAGGAGGGAGAAGTCGGGATAGGTAGGAAATTGGATCAAATGTTCAAGCCAAAGAAGACTGCATATATACTGTTAAATATGTCTATGTTTTCACGGGTTCACAACTTACTATGCCTCGAAGGTATCCCAGAATGCCACGAGTGCAAATAAAGCAGCACCATTCCACACTAGTTTGGTTATGTTGCGATCCCCAAATGTTCCAGCATTTTGTCGGCGGACCACTTCATTCAAGTGAGGGTGGCGCCACTTTCCGGGCGTTTGGCTCTGGTCGGGAATCGCTGCGATCGCAGGTGAAGCTTTGGAAGCTTTAGGGGTGGAGGGAGGGGCAGAGGACGCCATTGAAAGATGACAACACGATAGAATTGCAGTGGAGAGGCACAGAGGGAACTGTCAAGAATGAGCACCAGAGCTTACAGGTAGGTAATGAGGGGGAATCTACTTACCGATGGGGATACCTAAGGGAATGGCAGTTATGACTTACCTGGTGATGAACTGCGCACGGGGAGAAGGATGTATCACATGGATGGTATAATCTCCGATTGAAAACCTACGACAAGAGTCCAGATAGAACCATAGTCGCAAGGAGGTAGTACGGAGTAGCAAGATATCCCCTGTGGAATGGGTTTGAGGGAGGAGGAGGAGGGGGAGGGGGGAATTGGAGTCGGAGATGCAGGGCAGTCAATTGATTGTTTTGAGGAGTGATCGAAGAAAGCACCGACCTTCTCGAGGGCAACCAAAGTTCCAACAAGCGCCATTGCCGCGAAGTTTTCCATCCGACTTACTTTACCGCCCGGGCTCTCCGCCCACCAGGCGCCCACCAGTTCCCCACACCTGGCATCATCATCATAAGTAAGGGTCAGCCTAGTAAATAGCCGAACTGCCATACCTACGGTAGTCGGTCAGTCAGTCAGTCGGTCAGCTGTCAGCTCACCAGACCTCACTCTTCTTTTCACAACTACTCTCCTATCTCACCCTATTCCAGGTTATTCTCTTTTCATCTCGTACCTGTCACATGTACAAGTCATTCTGAGGGACAATCGACTTCAGAATGGACTCCGAGCCGTCCATCGTGGCCAAGCTAGATGCCTTCGCGGCGGCGCTACTGGCCGACTGGAACATCACCACCACTTGCATCGCCGGAGGTATCGTCGCCTTCCTGATCTATTCTTTCGTCACATCGCAAGATTCAGATATACATCCTTTCCTTCTCGCACGGCAATCGAGCGCATTCCCTGTCCGTCAACCAGGCCAATCGGCCCCGTACAGAAGTCTGGAGACTCCGCATGGCTTCCCTCTGCGCACCGGACTCAACGTGAAGGACCCTGGAACTCCCAAGTGGACCAGTGGCCGGAAAGGTGACTTGCGTGATATCTGGAAGACCGCTGTTCGCGGATCGGTGGAAGAGAACGGAGCGGTGACTGGCAAGCAGGGCAAGATCTTTACCGTGCTTGGAAAGAAGGCGATCGAGCACACCCTGGAGCAAGTTACCCAAGAGATCAATGTTATTGGAACCCGTCTACAATCTTCCAAGGTCAAGACCGTGGCAGTCTGTTTGACGGACTCGGTCGAGCTTCTAGCTGCTATCTTCGGTTTGGCCCCCTCTGCTTGACTCCATCATCAATTCATGGCTAACGGCGCGGTAGCTGGGGCTTTCTATGAATTTAAGATCACCATCATTCCTCACAACTTGCAACCGGCATCTCTGTCAGCGCTGTTACAAAAATCGCAGGCGGACGCGTTGATCGCCGAAGCTGGTTCCCTCGACTTGTCACTTGTTGCCAAGGATAACGAACAGCTATCGCAAGTCATCTGGGTTGCGAAACTCGGAAGCAGGCACATGGACTGGAACGATGTGCCTCAGGATGTGAAGGGTACTTTGGAAGTCAAGGTGTGGCACGAGCTGGTGGAAGAAAAGAAAGAGCTGGCATCGCTTGAAGTACCCAATTATGATCCAAGCACTCCAACACCTTCGGTGACTACTGTTTGGCCATCCAAGTCGTCTGAAGGCGACTTTGTCGAGTATCAATCGGAGGTGAGCTCTTTTCGTATCTCTCATCCTGGAATATCCAGTGGCTAATCGCCAGTGTAGAATCTGGCATCAGGCATCGCCGGCTTGTTGTACTCTTTGCCCCGCCAGCAGCGTTTCAGCCCCGGTGACCTTGTGCTGTCAATCGACTCCCTCTCACGATCGTATCCCCTGTGCCAGATCATGGCTGCACTGTTTGCCAATGCATCCGTCGCTATCAATTCGGTTGCCGGCGAGAGCGTGGACTTTGCTCTTGCGACGGTAGGTGTGTCTCCAACAGTCATCGTTGCCTCTTCTCGCACCATGTCGGATTACCACACCAAGTTCATGAAGCCTCACTCCGGACCCGTGTCTTCACTGGCACGTTGGATCCAGGTGCGAAGCCTGGATGCTGGATACATGCCATCGCACGGATTCCTGAGCCAGCTTGCCAATGTTGGGCCCACAGCCGAGCTATCCCTCGACAGACTCCGTCTTTTATGCATCTCCCACCGGTTTGACGCCGATCCCGAGGTGCGCCTTGACTTCGAGCAATTGACAGACCTCCGCCTCTTCACCGGCGCGCGTATCGTGTATGCATTGACTGGACCCGGCATTGCCGGTGCTGTGTCGCAGACCAATGTCTTCGATTACAGACGCTTCAATGGCCCCAGCCACTTCGGTGCCCCACTGAGCAGCGTCGAGCTTGTGCTGACGGGTGTGTCGGAAAATTCTGAGAAGGAAGAGGGTCAGGTAAGTGCAGTGAACCATATTCTATTTACCGATGCAATGTAGCTTACACGGGCCACAGATCACTGTAACTGGCCCCTCTGTCGTTTCGGGCAAGACGGTGCTACCGGTGCAAGCTCGCTTGCGTGATGACAACACCTTGGAGCTCTGTGCCTGAGATTCCTGTTGAGCGTTCTTGCATCATGCATGGGAAATCTGACTCTTTTTCCATTGTATTGCCCACTTGTCCATCAGTATCTCGTTTCGGTCCTGCTCGGGGTTGGGGGAGTGGGGGGAAGGGTTCACAGAATGACTTTTGCACAGCATCTTGATGAAAGTGTTTGAATTTATGAGTGTAGTTTCATCACTTGAATTCCGGGTGTCAATGACATGAAGAAAAGGATATGCATCTATTTTCGAATACAAGATATAGCTCCGAGCAAATTCTGAGAAAAATCATGGTAATGTACAAAAAGGAATCGGGAATGAAAAGCATCGAAAGCCTGAGCGGCGAATCCAAAACAAGGCGATCAAAGGCTTGTATCAATCATGTACACAACTCCCTGCTGTTGCCCAAGCCCCGCATGGGATGCTTCCGGACCGAGTTTGGGGCGGCATTTCTCATGAGGTGGACCCAGTCCCGCATGGTCTTAGCCCGGTCTTTCATCGTCTTCGAGATTGTAGCATCGATGGCCGTCTTCTGAGTCAAGACTAAGGCATTGTAGATGGGCACGACTTGCTCCAGCTTGCCGTCGATCTTTGTCCAGTTCCGGTACCTGATCTTCTCGGTGGGGAGGTTGGGGTTAGGTGGGTTCACGACGTTCTCCGCCGGGATCTTGGGACGCTCCGACAGGTTGGGCTTCTTCATCTCGAGGCGGAAGTGCTTGTTGTTCAGACTGGCCAGCAGACGCTCACTGTACGCGCGGACCAGGCCGTCCGTGTCCTTGCCGCCGAACTTGTCGAGGGCGCGCGCGGCGCTCAGCTCGAGCAAGACGCCGATGACGGCGGGGCGGCGGCGGGGGTCCTTGGCCGGATTGTTGTTGACGTGGCGCGGCAGACCCATCAGGTCGACGAACGACTGGGCGAGGCGCAGCATGCGGTCGACCTCGGGGCCCTTGAAGCCATGCTTCTGGGCGTGCAGGTGCAGCTCGAAGAAGATCTTCTGCACCAGCCCGGGGGAGCGGAGCGAGAACCCCGTGTCCTTGGCCTGAGCGGCCGCGAGGATGAACTTCATGGCGTCGTTCATGCCGGCGCGGCGCACCACCATCTCCAGGTTGAGCTTGCGGTTCACGTTGTGCAGGGCCGTCAGGAAGGCGGGCAGCTGCTTCCAATCGTCCTCGGTTTTCATGCGGCGGATCAGCTCGTTGGCTTTCGAGTTGCGCGGTTGGGCCGTGAATTCCATCGGCTGCAGGCGATATTCCTCCTCCTCGCTGATGGCCACTGTTACTGGGTGCTCGTCCAAGGTGCCTTGGTGCTTCTTCCGGTAGATCAGGAGCTTCTGCTGTTCGGATAGGTTGAGAGGGATGAAGACCTCATTGCGGAATTTGTTGAGGCCGCTTTTGATCTTCTTGGGAGCGTTGTCGAACGAGGGCACTGTATCGGGGAGGATAATTGGTCAGTCAACTAGTTGAATGGGAGGGTTTGTGGTCATCCGAGTCGTCGAGAGTTGAGGTTGCAGTTGTCACGCGGAAAAGGGCAGACATAGTGAATAGGGTGGAATCGCTGTACCTTTAGCAGAAGAGAGATATGTGCGGTTCTGTGTGTAGGATCCAACGGTTCGACCGAGAGTGCTTGCATTCTGGCAGCGCAATAGCCTGCTGTTCATGGCGAGCTGCGCCATTTCGATAGGATGTGGTTGTAAGAATGTGGCCGGCGGCGCGGGAGAGATTATTTCGTTCTCCCAAACTGGACTGCGGTAGGATTGACTCAAACGGCGGAGACAATGAGAAAGCCCACAAAAGATCCCCAAACGCTAAAGACTGAACTCCAACAAACAGACCTTCTCCGGAAATAATACCAAGTTCAGTGGAAGACAGACTCAAGCAACCCTTCACTAACTGAAAGTAGCGGGCGGCCGGCAGAAAATCTCCCGCAACAACATTTGGCGGACATCCCAAACAGGCAAGGGGCGGATATTCTGCCGGTCCGAATTTCCTCACTTCGCAATCTGTTTGACTCTAGGTTCTGCCGCTCTCTCCGTTCACTTGGGAAGACAAGTCCGCACATCTCGCCTCGCCATGGCGAACTCCTCCTCAATTTTGCAGCAGCTGGGCTGCTTCCGGTCGCTTGTCAGCAGGCCCAACACCATGCTGCAGACTCCCTCCGTGGCCGGCCGCCGAATGCTCAGCACGGTCTGGTCCGCCAAACCCAAGCCGGTTCCTCTGCCTAAAGAATTGCCCGAACAATTCCTCGCTCAATTACCGCATCGCATGCGACCTGAACTCGGTATGTTGCTTCGCCCGATCCCCAGCTTCCACAAATCTCCCGGGAGGAAAAGAGGATGGGGGACCCCCCCCACCGGCCCTCAACCTCCCTCCAAAAACCACCAGTGCCATTCTAACGTAGAACGGTGTCTCAGCTCCCAAGAAAAGAAAGATCCCCCGCCCGCCGCCGGGCCCCGCATGCAAGGACCCCGTCGGCGAAGTTGTTCAGCGTCAATTGAAAAAGCTGGATCCGTTCGGCAAGCGCCGCGAGCTCTTCGACTACCGTCGACACGCCCGCAGCGTCAAGCCCGGCGACATCATCCGGGTGACGTTCAAGAACGGCGACCCTTTCTCCGGCGTGGTGCTGAGTATCAAGCTGCGCGGCGTCGACACCTCGGTGCTGCTCCGCAACCAGCTGACGCGCGTCGGTGTCGAGATGTCCGTGAAGGTGTACAGTCCCAACGTCGAGAGCGTGGAGATCGTGCAGCGCACGGAGAAGAGGAAGCGCAGAGCTCGTTTGTACTACCTTAGGTGCGTTATCATCCACCCTATTCTCTTTCCTCGGGGAAGTTCTTCGGAAGGAGGTCTGGTTCTGTGGGTGAATTCTTGCTAACGAGTTGAACTTGTTTTGGAACAACAGACAGCCTAGACATGATATTGGTAGCGTGGAGAATATTGTCACCAAGTATCTCAGACAGAAGCGGGCGCTCACGGGTGGGGTTAAGAGCAACAAGAAGCGGTGATTTTGGGTGTCGGCTTGAGGTTCTGTCAATTTCGACGATGGGTATGTTTTGAGGCGAATGTATTATTATTTATGTTAACCTAGCATGTGTATATGGATCTTAGGTCCGGGTGTTCATTTTTTCTTTTTCTGCGCTTGTCGGATACAGTCTCACTCAAAAGATCTGCGATTGATTTTGGTTTTCACTCTTGTATTTGGGACATGTTCCTGGGGTTGAGGTGGGAAATTTGCTCGGCTGTTCACAGATTGCAGAGAAACATGTCGAACGCTACACAATCCGGATATGTTGTGTAGATTTCCAGCATATCGCGCTTATCATAGAGCCAACTGGTCAACGTTTCGACAACACTACTTCACCTTCCTTTCAACCCGAGCATTCGATCCTGTTCTCCCATAACCTAATATATGTACCGAAAGCTGGGTCATAATAGCAACGGGCACACAACGCACCAACCAAGACCCAATAGACAGCCGGAAACGTGGAACGCTCGAACATACTTCAGATTCTCTGAGTCCGTCAAGTCCAAGAAAGCAGTGGGGCCGAGATCTCTCCCCTCCAAGCCCCCCTCAGCTTGAGGCTGGATCCGAACGCGGCGTTGGTTCGTCCCAGCGAAGCAGAAGACCGAGCGTGGAGATGAGGACGACTTCGAGCAAGTGACAGACGATCATGGACCAGATTCCGAGCTCGTAGGTCAGACTATCAACAGAGACAACTCAGAAATAGAAATTCCATTTTTTGCTTGCATAGAGCGACTCACGCTTGACTCGTCTTGTAGAAGAACGGGCCAGCGATGTTGCCTGAGCAGTAGCTTAGGAAGAGCACAGCGTTGGTCACGACCTTCTTCGTGTACCGTATAGCGTCATTAGCCGTGAGGATAATTCATCCCCTGGAGCGTCCAACACGGAAAGCGAGAGGCAAGTCGCGGACGCACCGGCTGTGTTTGCGATCTGCATGCTAAGAATCAAGACGAACGCTGCATTTATTGACCCGGTGAGGTAGTGGCAGATCAAACGAGCAACACTGTTTCTTGGGGCACGAAACCCAGACAAAATGCTCCAGCGATGTTGGTTACAGGGAGATAGCGACAAATAGACATCGTCTGTTTTCGAATCGGTCGTTGAGGTACACACAGGCCAAAATGCTAGGGCCATCAATACTCCGTAGGGGATCTGAGAGGTCAACAAGAGGATTACAAGTGAGAGATATGATAAAGTACGCACCTGCATCAGGTGGGTTACGAGGGTAGAGTACCCAAGGCCTTTGATAATGAGGGTTCCGAAGTTGGAGATCCCACCGTTGGGTATACTGCCTGCGTAGATAGTTTGCATCAGCTAAGCTTGAAACGGTAACTAGCGGCTTGAGATCGTACTCAGTAGTCCCAAGGTGAAGAAGATATATAGCTTGTAGTCTAGGAAGGCTTCTCGGATCTGATGCGGTTTGATCTGTTGTTTCTCAATAAGTTACCTGTCTGGTTCTCTCTAAGTCGCCTGATTACAACACGACGCTCTCGCTGGCTGAGTAGAGGCGCTGTCACTGGCGAGTCAGGAAGAAAGAAGAACTTCACTACAAGCCCAAGCAGAACAGAGGTAACTACTGAGATATTTCCGGTTAGCATATGTCATATAGCACGTTGTCAGCATCAGTTCAGACCCTCTGTTCTCATGTTATAATGAACTCGTATTTCCAAAAAGGAAGTGACCCTTTGATCTGGCCTATGCCATAGCCTAGCAGGCCACCTAGTGCGATTCCTAGACCGTTGGCCGTATACCATAATCCAATTTGCACCGACTGTTCGCGTCTCGTGTACCACATGGTCGTGATGAGCATGATGGCTGGATCCGCGCAAGCTTCAGCTGCACCTCGCAGAGCTCGTACCATGGCCAAGGTGGTGAAGTTACGGCAGGCGGCTTGAATTATGAGAAAGACCCCTGACTCTCATCGTGAGTGACCAAGTTGTAAGTCTATATTCTCTGCATGGATGGTACGTGGTCCGGACTGGGTTTTGCTGCCCATCTTGGAATTGCATGTTTGTCGTTGTCGTGACACTGTCAAAGAGCTTGAGAATGACAGCTGAGCAGAGGCATATTGCTAAGGAGAAGAGGTTAAACACTTATATAGTACCAGGATTATGACCCTAATACCCCACTCAGAACTATAGCTATAGTGATCTCCGGGCTTCTGTTCCTTAGGCCAAGCCGTGGATCCGGAAGCTACCTTTAGCCGTTCAAGCATGTCATCGGAAAAGCATTGTGAGGATGCGAAGGTATCGGTCTCGCCCAATATGGGGAGATTTTCGCCCTTCAGTCCATCATGCTGTTCGCCCGAAGACAATGCATCGCACATGGTCTAAATTTGGTTTTCGGGTACTTATCCGGCTGATGGTGCCCTTTGGCAGCACGGCCAGGGTACGTGCGGCGTTGATCTCGGAGTAAAGCCGATATAGGCATGATGACGGAGCATAGAACGTCATTGAAAGAAAGCTGAATACATCAGTTGACAAAGAAGGGTTCAGAAGTCATCTCTCGGAGTCTTCGAGACGTTGATGGTCATGAAGTGCGGAGAAGTGGGATACCCCTGCGGGGAGCCGGGCAAAACCTGGGGTAATTCCAGTCCGGCTGCTAAGTTAGTCTTCGTCTCACATCTTGCCTCGAGCTTGGGACATAAAAATACTGCCCTGGGAATAATACACCACTCAATGATTCTGTCCCATGACATCGCTTTCTCTGCTTTGAGCATCTCACCTGCTCTAGCTTGGACTTTCTACGAGTAGTATCCGTGGGGAGGGCAGAGTTATGATTTCCTGAATGATACCCTTTCTTGCCCAACTTCTAATTTGATGACCTTCGATATCAAGAGTATGTTAGGCTGTATGCCATGCCGTGACGCCTTGTGATATTATCATTCGATGTGTTCCTTCCATCAAGTTGAACCTTGCACCGTACTCTTGATCCTAGAGATTGGGTACATCCGGGACAGAATATGATCCCAGTTGGCGCCACAGTTGGCTAGCTCAATCCGGTCAAAATGGGCATCGAAGTGCAAGAGAGGTACGGAGTACCCAGGCACATACATAGAATCTTCTCTAGAGGCGGGGAATGATGTGACAAAATCTAAATAGACCATCCCAGCTGAATCTAGGCACACTATCCTACAAGCAGATCTCCACATTGGTTAAGTGACCTGGGTTCATCTACCTATACAGACTAAAGTAAGAGGGTATGACTGATCGCCAAGTGCGGGCTATCTCGAGCTCAATCACGGACTAGCCTGGGATTGGCTACTTGCAGCTATTAACTTTTATCGATCAGTAGATGTTAGTCGGCCACGATGCACACTGCAGCATTGTGGCTGGTCCATGTATTCTGCAGTTCGACATGCCATATTAATGCATCTGCCTCGTGGGAAGCACTTTGGAATGACTCACTTGCCACTCGCGCGTCTGAGGCCCAGTGACTCGTTCTCCTTGTTCCAGAGCCCATCCATGAGAAGCAGGGTCAATAGTGATCCTTTCCCAGTTTGCGTGCGCAGTCAAGGCTATTCAGGGCATTGGTCTGCGAACTCTGCAGTGCGGACGGAGTACCTAAGCCACCAATGGAAATGACTTTGACGCGAGCGTTGAATCGAGCCCACGAGGCCAGCAATTGCATTATACTCCGTAAGTCAGGCTTGTAGACCATGAAATGCGGGGAATCTGGCGATCAGGCACCATACCGCCTTATCAGTGAGCTATTCCTGAGGAGCGGATGCCGCGTTCTGGAAGATATCAATTGAAGTTTCATTAAGGCTGGCACAAACATCGCTGAGGGAGGCTTGCATGATCAATGGCTCTCGTACAAACAAGCATCATAGTTCTGACCCGGGGTGTTGTAACACGTGCAACTCAAATCTGAAACCAGCAATCACGGCGTCGAAACACAACTGAGACAATGGGATGCGGAATATGGAGTACTTGCTGGCGATTTTGCAGACGAAAAGGTAGGAAGGTTCGTCTCGATCACTGAGTTGGGCATGATGGTCAAGTGCGTCAATTTTCACTCGTCTCGCAGCTCTGTATTTGACCAGCTGCAGATTGTAAGGAGCGATTTCCCTCCCCACGGTTTGAGAGAAGACGGCCAAGTCCGCCGGCCCCTCCCCAGTGCACGGAGTAAGCGCCCCTAAGGAAGGGGAGTTGCTGCACCGTCAGCCTAGCGGCATGCGTTCCGGAGCTCTGCCGTCCGCTCGCTCCCTTCAATACCCGAAGGGCAAACAACGGTTCGAGCAATAACTGGTCACACACCGACACTTTCGTCCTCTGTTCACCCACCCATCCAGCCATCTACTGCATTAGAACTACGACCTACTGTACCCCGGCTGCAGGCTTGCATTTGGTGTGCGGGTGGAGTGGGTTTCCATTGGTTCAAAGGGCCGTCATGAGCCTGCAGATCGAAAGAATAGGTGATGGGAGGTGGAATTGTCACATGCTCCCGATAAACCACCTGGGATGATGGCTGTCTACGGAGTGAGTTACTGAGGGGAGCATATCCAGGGACTCTTGAGCAACAGCAAAGAATTGACCTCGATCCTTTGCCGTGCTTGATCGCGGCTAGTCCAGCGCGATTCATCTTCGAGGTAGGGATCCGCCTCGCCTCGCTTTAGGCTATTGGTCGCATACCGGAGTATGGCTGCATTAGTGCACCTGCTAGCCAGGCATGGTCGTTTTGATATGGACGTCCAAGCAACATGGTGCTTGTGTCTTGACGTCGGAGAACTTACCTTGCGAAAGGAAATTCAGTGGTAGGTGGTCTTTCACAGACTACTTGGCGAAGGGAAGTGAGCTGTATGCGGTTTGAACTTCAATGGTGGTAATAGAGGCTGATGCTTGACCGCCGGGGGAAGACAGAACGAGTCGCTAACCTCTGAATAAGTCCACCAGGATAATTCCAAATGGGCCGAGCACTGTGTAGTGTGGCCTATGGAGTAATAAGGTCTCCGTATACTCCGTAGTAGGTGTGTATATCACTGTTTCATGACTAAATGAGATTAACTCGACATTTCACTTGGTTAGAATCGAAGTGACGGTTACAGTATGGAGTACAACCGGTAGTTTAATAAGTAAGGTAGTCATCCGATCGAAGATCTTAACTATCTTGACGAATTCAGTACTGCTGTACATGGCATCCTGGCAGTTAAAGACCGTATTGTTGCTAGTCCACAATCAGACTTACAGAAATTGATCCAGGTGTTTCTTTCGTAGTCTTCGAGAAGACCAAGGCAGTCCAACCATGGAACAATTGGTTGACCCAGAAATGTCCTCCAGGTAGCAAAGGCCGGCAGAAGACATGTCGTCATGTTCAAAGGGTTGCAAAAGGCCATGAAAGCAGAATCCGCCACGCAGATCCGAAGATCTCTGACGTGGGGGGTTTTGGCCATTGGACCAGAAGCCCTTCTTCTTCTGTGTTCTCAAAGCTGGGGGCCATCTTGGGGGGAGAAGAGGAGAGGGGGTAAAAGAAAGACCAAAGATTCCTTTCCCTCCCCGCATTATGCGCGATCAGTCAAGAAAAATCGGTCAAAAAAACGTGGTGAAGACTATTGGACAAGCTAGGCAAATAATCGAGACTGTAGTGGTTTCAACGGGTAGCTAGAAAAGACTACGTATTCTTCTAGTGAAAGAGTGCAAGAAAGGCTAAGGTGGCCGTTCGCAATAAATGGTTCTCCACGGCAGGAGTAATGATGAACGCACTGAATCATTACGGAGACAGAGAGAAAAAATGGACTGAGACCGACCCAGCAGCCGGACAACCCCAGGTCGGTATCGTCACCAGCCAGTCAGCCACTGCCAGCCTGCCAGCCCTGGAAAGAAAAAGGTCCCCTGCCCGGGAAGCCGTGCCCATAAAGTGACGTAATGAGCATAATGGGCGTATCTGCTCCGAACCCATCACTGAGAGCCGCAGCAACTGTGAGTGAGAATCTTGAGAGTTTCTACACTCAGCGTGGCCCGACAAACGGGCTGACTGACTGACTGCCTGCCTGTCTGCCTTTTTTCTCTTATTCTGACTAAGGCCACAAGGCCATTTAACTAATGAACTAGGTACTGTACCTTGGCTACCTCACTAACTATTAACGTGTTAGCTACTTTACTGCGGAAAAAGAACATCCAAATTCATAGTTTAAAAAAAATGTATTCAACTGCAGTGTTCAAGAAAAGCATCTGATGTGAACATGCGACTAAATTAGAAGGGCTACGGATTTGTTTCTCTAAAATAGCATCCGGTCATTTCCCCTCTCTCTCTCTCCCCCAGGTCATTACCTGCACCTTTAAGGGAGGGGGGGGGCCGCATTTCGTAGTAGGGGATGTTTAACACCCACAATCGACCCACTGCTGGCCACTTCTGGATAAGACGAAAAGTGGGTAGACTAGTGGCCATCCTCAGAGTGGGACGCCCGGCCTTTATAATGTCGACTGACCCTCCATTCCGCTGGAAAACGTCAACGTTCGAAATACATAAGCAAGGAACCGACTGGGAATCCCCATTTCCATCTGGATCCCGTTCCCTTCCTCATAAATCCGGTTGCCCCCGTCTTCCAACTAATTCGCACAAACTACATACATCTTATACTCTTTCGGACACTTCTACCATCATCACCACTACCACCATCACCGGCAATACAACCTTTCAAATCACCCTAGAATAATCCGACATTCAACTCATTCACGATGTCCCGAACTAAGGTCCTGCTCGTCGGAGCAGCAGGTGAAACTGGTGGCTCTATTGCGAACGGATTGCTCGAGCAGCCCAACTTTGTATGCAGCTCATAACCACCCCGCCCTGCAGTCCCGTCCATCTGGCCCTGGAATCTAATCGCAAACTTTTCCTCTTAACAGGAAGTACATGCCCTTGTACGCCCCCGTTCGGTTCAGAAGCCTGCCATTGTTGCCCTGCAAGAGCGGGGTGTTCAGATTCGCAAGGGTGATCTGAAGGGTCCTGAAGAGTCGCTGGCCGATGTTCTCACTGGAATCGATGTCGTCATCAGTTGCGTTGGCCCCTCAGAGCAACAGGATCAGATTCCCCTCGCCAAAGCCGCAAAGAATGCCGGTGTTCAGCGGTTTGTTCCCTGCGGTTTCATCACAGTGGCACCCCCTGGTGGCATTATGTGGCTGAGAGACGAGGTAGGTTGCAGCATTCTGGTTGGCTTACCCACATCTTGCGTTCTCAAACTAATCTTGACTCCAGAAAGAGACAGTCTACAACCACATCAAGCAGCTCCGTCTTCCTTACACCATCATTGATGTCGGTTGGTGGTACCAGTTCTCCTACCCTCGCCTCGAGTCCGGTCGCATCGATTATGCAATGACCTCCGCCAACAATGAGATCGTCGCTGACGGAAACACCCCCATCGCTTTGACCGATCTGCGGGATATTGGTCGCTATGTCGCTAAGATCATTGTCGATGACCGGACGCTGAACAAAATGGTCTTAGCATACAACGAAGTCAGGACTCAGAACGAGATCTACGATCTGCTGGAGGAGATCAGCGAAGAAAAGATTCAAAGGAACTATGTAGGTGTTCTCGAGCACTACTCCTGCCATAACATAGACTGACATCATAATCGTGACAGATCCCTGAAGAAACCATCTATACTCGAGTGCTCGCAGCCCGCCAATCCAGCGAAACATACCCGTTCGATCCCGTCAAGTTCATTCCCAGATATCTTGCCGAGTACCAACTATCCTGGGGTCTGCGTGGTGACAACACGCCGGAGTATGCCAAGTACCTGGGCTATATTACCTCCAAGGAACTGTACCCCGACTTCAGGCCCACTGATTTCAAGGAGTACCTTGAAACCGTCGTCAGGGGTGCGGCCAAGGGTGTATATACCGACCGCACCATCTCCAAGGCCCAGCAGCGCTTTTTCCCTCGATCCGAGTCCAGCGACTCTCTATACACTCGGATCTTCCCTCGCACCGAATCAAGCGATTCCCTGTACATGTCTCGATAAATGACGATATATGTACCTTGTGCTTGAGCAGGACACGACTCTCGGCGCTTGATGCGCCTATATCTTCCCTGATGCTCCAGCTTTGATCGAGTAGACGGTATCACCCATACAGCGATACGGTGGGCACAACACTTTGCGAACGCAGCCTGCCCTTGTTGCTTCTATTGCTTTGACCTTCTCATGGGTCTTTTTTCCTATTCCCGGGGTTATTAGACTGGCGTTTGTGTACCTATTGATGGATTATGACTGTCTTGAGTGGGTGAGTATGATTGCGTCACCACTCGCATCTATATACCAATGTACTTTGGAGATTTCTCCAATCACCCAGTGTCGCTGACAGGTTTCATGGGCACTGGAAAGATATCAAAATTCATCTTCTTTTCATCATGATCTGATTGAGGAATCAAACTGTAGTAAAAGCTTACACCATGGTGACTCACTGACGGCAAGCGCATTCCATCCCGCCTTGGAATTCTTCCCGGCTCTTTCCCCCAACTACTTAGCGATAATTTGAAAGCCTTAGGGCGCTTTCGCTAGTCTCGTTCACGGAGACCACGCGGCTACTTGAGATGTGTAGCAATGGCTCAGGAGAAATGTGATAATGATCGAGATTCTGATCATGTTCAAACAACGAGTGCTTGCGATGTCACGTCATGTCAGCCTTCTTCGTCTTCTTCGCATCAGCGCGCACGACCAGTCCTCCCCGTTTATGGAGGCTTAAGCTCGCATCAAGTCAATATACTCGGTGCGCTTCCATCTGCTGAAGTCAATTTGCATCGCTTGCTTATCTGTATCACAGCTATCGGAGGAGCAATCAATACGGGTTTTATGATCTGTGCAGGACGTGCGCTTTCACAGTAAGAGCACCAGCATTTCCCCATTCTTTCTTTTCGCATCATGCTAACCTCAGACTACAGGGCCGGAGTAGGTACCTCGCGAACCCCTCTTGTGATGGAGACACACTAACCACAAAAGCCTGCATCCATCTTGATCTCCTACACATGCGTTGGGATTATAGTCTACTTGGTTCTATGTGCTCTAGGTGAGGTTGCTTCCTGGTCTCCGGAACCATCAATGGCCGAAAACGCGTCCCGATTTTGTGACCCGGCGCTTGGCTTCACATTGGGATGGATGTAAGTCGGCCGACATATGATACCCCGGCTCCCTTGTATGATATGGACTAATCAAAACAGATATTGGTTGAAGTTCATGCTTGTGATTCCCAACCAATGCGCAGCGGGAGAGCTGCTGATAGCATACTGGCAAGGGAATGACGAGAAAGGGTATTCCATCCTCTGGATCACTTTGTTTCTGGCCATGATCATCGTTGCGAATTTGAAATGCACTCAGTATTTCGACAAGTACGAGATATTCATATCTGTTGTGAAAATAATCGTGATGCTCGGACTACTTTGTTTGTGCATCGTTCTGGCTTTGGGTGGCGGTCCAAAGCATGATAAGAAAGGTTTTCGTTACTGGAGCTACCCTGGGGCATTTGCGCAGCACTCTGGCAAAGAAGCTGCGGGCATACTACGCGCAGTCTTCCGAACCGTCCCATCTGCTACCTTGGCCTACCTTGGAAGTGAGCTTATGGGAATAACGATCTTGCGCACGCATAATCCGAGAGAAGCTGCAGGGCAAGCCATTGAGTCGAACTGCTACCGCATCCTGGCCGTCAATATTGTCAATGTGGCTCTTTTAGGACTCCTCGTTCCCTCTGATGCGCATGCTTTGGCTTTAGGTCAAACGCCCGACAAGCCCCGCCCGGCATCAGCTTTTGTGACAATCGCACAGTATACTGGCTGGTCGCAGCTGCCGCATATTCTTAACGCTTTTCTACTAGTCTGTGTCATTTCTGCCGCCAGCCAAGCCCTATATCTAGCGACGAGGACTTTGTACGAGCTCGCAATAGATCAACATGCTCCTTCTTTCTTGGACCGCACCAATAATCGAGGGATTCCGATATACGCCTTGGGTGTTTGCGCTGTGATCGGGTGCACTGCATATCTGAACGCTTTCAGCCGGTCACAGAAGCTATTCAAGAACCATGTTAATCTGGTTTCGATGTTTAGCATACTTACATGGGCCTCTATGCTTGTGGTTCATATCTCATTCGTGCGAGTCCGAAAAGTGCAGAGGATCGCCGACGGTGATCTCGTCTTCAAGGCTCCGTTTGGAGTGTTTGGATCATGGGTCGCATTGCTGGCGTGTATCTTTTTCTCCATCATTCGTGTGTTTGATCTCACGAACAGTGATGCGGAACCCAGGAGGTTCGACTATCTGGCATTTATGACTTCATATGCGGGGATTCCCCTTTATGCTATTCTTGCCGTTGGATACAAGCTCGTCACCCGAAGCCACACGGTTTCACCTGATAGTGTGGAAATGAAGTCCATCAAAGCTGGGCAGGACACGGTAGGCGCCGGTCGGCCCCCTGCAGCGTGGGGCCAGCCTCTTCAGGTCCGCTCAGAAACCGCCCGCATGCGTTGAACCACGCAGAGGATAGAATTGGGAGGAAATTGCTTGGAAATGCATGGTCATAGTATGTTGAGCCGATCGGGTACCTCTTTGCGCACTGACATCTTAGTTCCCGTTTGGAGTACCAATCTCAAGGGAATTGAATTCTCTTCTATAAATTACGAACGGTGCTTCAGGTACAGCAGCGGAGCTGGCGAGCATGACTTCTGAAGACTGGCGAGTGTTGCTGTCTGGTGGATGCAGATGAGTGGCATGAAGGTAACGATTCGCTGGTCGTGACCACCTGGATCACAAGTCTCGAGGCATCCGAGATACATAAACGTCTGTAAGTCAATGCGAAACGGCAGATCCCGTGAGTGGTAGGGAAGTATCATGAGTGCAAGTGGGCTGTAGAATTGAGGCTTGAGGCAGCCGGCGTCAAGAGGAGCAGATGTGATTCGCCCAAGAGGGGCAACTGGAGGGCAGGAAGCGCGGGATTGAGGTGAGCTGTCAGTCAATCTTGACTCGCTCTTAGCGCCAGCCACACCCGGAGTTGAGTTCGGCTTGTTTGTATTTACCCCAACTCATATAATATCCATCTCCTCTTCTCTGTTCTTCAGAATCCATTTCTCGATTCACTCAGAACAGCTAGGTATTCTAATTCTTTCCTAATGCTTAGTCTTTCTTGCCATAGACTGACCGAATGGGTGTGTTGAAAAAGGCGTCTGGTGCGGAGCGCCGCCTCGATCATCCACCGTGAGCTTTGGAGATATCAAGTTCCCCATTGCTACCAATTAGCAATTGCCAACGACAGCACTCAAGTACCTCGGTATGCACTGGACTTATCGAGGCTGGTCAAATAATCTCATGACTTGACTTTGTCAGTCATGACTCTTCCCCACACTCCGAGCCGAAGTGGGCAAGAATTGATTCAAATCATAGACAACATCAACGAGAAATACTCGCTGGACATCCCCAATCCCCGGAACTATTCCCCCGGTGGTGATAACAAGACTCCGGCGTGGAGGTGTTATAATGGGCTCAAGATTCTTTACTTCCTCACAGTCCAAGCCCCTTTGAATCGGGTTCTCGACAGCTTAGAAGACTGGGTATTGGGTCAATCAGAGATACCGGCCGACAAACATATATCGTATCAGGCAGCTGGACACCGGAGCTCGGTCACCCGAGGCTCAGGACTGGGCGGGCAGCGCATGCCTCTGGGTGCCAATGAAAGGAAAGAGCGACTGCACTACCTGTTGAGACTGATTGACGACGAGGTCTGGTTTCTGAAAAAAGGCTCGTTCCAGACGAACAAATTGGTGGAGAGCATATCAGACGAACCAAAAGATCCAACGCTTAAGTCCTTGAAGAGAAGTATCTCAGGGGATGAGGACGAATTCCACACTGCGCCGAATTCTCCGGCCAAAGACCCTGCAGGGCAAGGCTCACCCATGGACACAGACCATCACCAGCTTGATGTTGGAAACTCTGATCAGGGTCTCCTCTACCGGCGGCCAGCAGCTGCGGCTGTCCCGAGCAACATTTTTCAACGGGCTCGTCGCTCTGAGTCACAGGAAAAGCCTTCCAGGTTCTTAGAGAAACTGACCGCGCCTGATAAGTACCGGCGCTACGACGCCGCTGTACCTGCTGCCCCGAGTGCGGCATCTACAAGCTTCGCGCCAACTATGGCGTCGTGCTCGGACCTTTTCACCTCCCACAAGCGTCCATATGACACGTCCTTCATCTCGACAACCACTGATGCTACTGAGCCTATGCTGGAGGTTGAGTCAACGTATGAAGGCTCTTCGGTGGTAGGACACATGCTCAGTGAAGAGATGAGGACGACATTCGACCAGCAGAGTCTGAATCTAGACTCAGTCCAAGAGCCTTCGCGGTCCGAGGAAGGCCGAATCTTGGCGGAGCTTCGACAGCACGGACCGTTCAGTTACGAAACTGACGGACAAACATTGTCACGGTCAATTCCACTTCGCTATCGATACGCACTGGAAAGGATTGGCCGGTCCTGGAATGTGCCTCTAAAACTCATGTTCGCTGGTGATAATATCACCTTTAAAACTCTAGATGAATATTGGCAGTGGGTTACAGGTCATAAGCAACGCGATGGCAAGCCACTCCCTGAAAAGCCGACTCGCAAGGCCTGGGAAGCTGCCGTTGGTAATTTCAAAACTGACAAACATTCCGAGGTGGTTGTTCTGTCAGGGGACATGGAGTGGTGTACTGGGTCCGAACGCGGTATCCTCAAGTTAAAATTGCATCCGCTAAAGACAGAACGAACCTGCCGCTTCCACCGACGCTTTGGATCAGATCGCTTTCTCAGTCTGACTATACCCGCCCCAACCCGGCCACCACCCCATCTGCGGATGACCTCGCAACCTGCTCTCCTGCGAGAAACCATAGCTCGCTGGTTAACACAAGAGGTGCATCGATGCTTAGGGAGAGACTGGAGACCATTCTTTGTGGAGGAAGTGAAATCGAAGCGCAAATCCAGGTCGGAGCCGAAATTCCGAGTGGACTTCTTCGCTGTTGGCGGCAAGGATATCAAGAACAGTAACCGCATGCCCTCGTACATATCTCCCCCGAATCAGGACAGTACAAACCACACCTCAATGAGCTTGGAAGCTCTAATCAATTGGCATATGCCCCCAGATGCTAATCTCGATCAGTCTAACTGCAAACTTTTTCAACGATTTTCTTTAGGCCTTTCCAAAACCTATGCAACAGTGGTACTGCGACCATCGCAGGTCCTGTCTCTGCCAGACCTTCCGGGCCGTCCTGTCATGAACGATGGCTGCGCTTTGATGTCAAGGGCAATGGCCAGTCGCATCTGTGATATGTTGGGGATCACGGGAATGACCCCTAGTGCCTTCCAAGGTCGATTTGCGGGAGCCAAAGGGTTGTGGATGGTTGACCGACATCAGTCGCAGCTCTCAGCCGAATGTGATGATGAAATGTGGATTCAGATATCCGATTCGCAGCTGAAGATTCATCCGCACCCCCAAGCTTGGCGGGAGCCTGTGGACGATGAGCAATTGACCTTCGAGGTTGTGACGTGGTCCAAGCCATTGCATTCGGTCGATTTGAATATCCAGCTCTTAGCCATCCTCGAGCATGGTGGACACGTTAGGGAGCATATCGGCGACCTCACCCGGCAAGGAATTCAAGCGATGTACCAGGATTTTGTGGAGGTACTCCAGTCCGATAGTCCTGTACTTTGTCGTAATCTCATTCAGAAACTCCGGCCTTCAGCGGATAATAGCTCTGGGCTGATGTCACAAAGGGTCAAGCGTCTAGAGGAATGGACGGCGAACGACGCAGAGTTCATTATACGACTAAGTGAAGCAGGGTTTGGGCCTCAAAGCTTCTATCCTCTCCGTAAGCGGATTGGGAAATGCCTTAGGACCGTGCTCAATCGATATGTGGATGAATTGCATATAGAAGTCCCTCTTTCAACCTATGCTTTCTGTATAGCAGACCCGTACGGCATTCTCAAAGAGGACGAGGTACATCTCGGTTTTTCCACCAACTGGCGCGATGGCCAAGGCCAATTCGATGATATCATGCTAGAAGGCTTTGAAATCCTCGTGGGTCGACTTCCAGCCCATCTTCCCTCTGATATCCAACGTCGGAAGGCTGTGTGGAAGAAAGAACTCCGTCATTTCAAGGACGTCATCGTATTTCCTAGTGTGGGTAAGGTAGCGTTGGCGCACATGCTATCCGGCGGTGACTACGATGGTGACACTCCTTGGATCTGCTGGGATCAGAATATCGTGCGCAATTTCTTTAACTCGGACCTTCAAGACGTTGAATATCCTCCGGACCACTTTGGTCTTACGGAATATTCCGTGCCCATGCGCGGAATCAAGACCATGGACGAGTTCCTCGAAAGTGCGTTCAAGTTCAACCTAACACTGTCGAGTTTAGGACGCTGCACGGTCGAGCATGAAAAGATTGCATATGACGAATCGATCAACTCGCGTAGCGCTATCGAGCTTGCTAGTCTCCTGAGCCACTTGGTAGACGGGCGTAAAGGAGGTGTACATCTGTCTGAGCAAGCCTGGAGACAATATCGCAAGAAGATTAGTCCTCGATTTCGTGATTTGCCCGCCTATAAGGATCCTCAACGAAGGCATAAAAAGGCCAACATCATCGACTTCCTTCGCTTCGAGGTAGCTCGCAAAGAGCGTGATAAGGTACTAACTCAACTTGAGACATCATTCCCGGAGCACAAATCGTCAGGTCACCACGATGAGGACCTCCTACGAGTTTACAAGGAGGTCGAGCGGCAAATTGCGCATGATCCCGAGATGGGAGCCGCCTTGCAAACTGTGGCCCAGCAGATCAAGGATCTACGCACTCAGTACAACGAGTTCGCCCACCAGAGCACCGAATCTTTCTCCGTCTATGCTCTACAAGCTGCCGAACAAGCTCAAGTCATTAAACCTCCATTAGGCACCCATCCTCTGACCCAGGTATGGAAATATTGCCCGGACGAATGGCTTCGTTACCTAGCTTCAAGTACGTATCAGCGGTACCCGAAATCCAGCTTTGTTATACACGCCTTCGGTGAGGTTCTTTGTCAGATGAAGTCAAGTAACATGTCGGCGCGAACGGTAACGCATGAGATCCTCGCCTGTTATCGTGTCAACCCTAAGGTCATTGCGCAGCTCACATTTCGAGACACGGTGGAGGAAGAAAGAGACAGCGGCGTGGACGAGGATGAGTACGAGGGCCATGAAGCCATAGAAGCGATGCACTTGGGGTTGCCATCTCCAGCAGCGGGCGGATACTACGACCCGGATGACGGAATGTCGGTGGAATGAGGGAGGTTTCAGCTTCGGCCGGCATGAGCCATTGGTTGGATATACTCTGTGGGGGGCTGCTAATTCTTGGTTGGTATCTTGCTCCCTTGCTAAACAAAGTTCCTATTACTTAATTGGACTTTTGGATTATTGAAGATTGGGAATCATGAACTTGATTGGGAGCAAGATCAAGAAGCTGCGAGAGGCAGGCGGTGGAACGGTGCAATATACGGGAAGGCGGTGGAGCGGCATCACATGTCATTTTCTTTACGCGATGGCTGCAAACGGCATCTTCCACGAGCTGCAGTGCGTGTCCTGCTGCTTCACTCAATCTCAAACTGCACGTCGGCTCTTCCTCCCGGACGAACCAACCAACGACTGCATTGACTTGTGACCCCGAGTGGACATGTGAAGGGAGGCGTTTGCATGTGGCTGAGGCTGTAGGGAAGTAGGGATAAGCCAGTGGATGATTAGTGGGAGAGTGTGCGAGAGTGGGATGATACGTCCCAGTTGACAACTAAAAACCAATAGGTAGTGAAAGCTGCAGTTCCGATGGTGTAATAAGTGGCATGTAAAGTGGTAAGTTAGTGGCCAGTCTGATGATATGTGCTAAAATATCATGATATATGATATATGTATGATATATATATGATATATAGTGATATATGATATATGATACTATAGGCTGAATCCAGTATTGGGACTGAGTTCCAAGTCAGTCTCGGCTCCTCTTTGGCCCGCCGCGCCTGGGTTTTTCCTCTCTCTTGCTTTGCACGTGAAAGTCTCTCCATCTCTCCTCCACCATCCATCCAAGCATTCAATCAATCCGCTCACTCCCTCCCTCCCTCTCCCTCTCTTCCTTTTCTCTCAAGCAAAGCTTCGCTCGGGATTTTCATCTTCCTTCAACTGCCTTTTTTCTCTCTCCTGCCCCTCTTCTCCACTCCCTCCGACCCCCGCCCTCCCTTCTCTTTCGCCCACCCCTCCTCATCTCCCGAATAATCAGGTAGGCTCAAACATACGCGCCTAAGCCTAGCTGAATTATCCGCTCCTTATTGTTCCACTATCTCGACTCTTTTACCCATTCCGGTCGTCGGAGGACAGCCATGGACCACCGTCCAACCGACGGCATCTCTGGTCCTGGTCCGAAGGCGCCCATTTCTGCTGTTCGAGACGCCACGACGTCAGCCCATCCGTCTCCTATATTAGCAGCTTCTTCGACCTCAAAGGCTTCTTACACGGCGTCTCCGCCCGCCCCTTATCCTCCGTTTCATCATCATGCTCCTCCCCCGTCTTCTATGATGGACGTTGATCATAGTACTGCGGCTGAAGATCGCTCGCGTCGAGCCACCAGTGTCCTATCCATGGATGATATCGAAGCCGCTCAAGCCTTGGAAGGCTTGCGCACCGGTAACTACCCTCCCGCCTGTCTCCTTACTATGGGCATACCCTCCCGCTTTCTGCTGCCGCTGCTCCCTTAAACACAATTCCTCTGCTATGTGCTATACTGCGGAACAAATTTGGTAATGGGTCTGTCTATTGGCAATCTAGAATATGGTCAATCGCCTCGGATCGCGCTATCCTCCGATCAAAAGCCCCAGCCGGAACCCCTCCTCTCTCTCCTCACGTCTACCCATCCTCTCATCTCTTCCGCCATCAACGGTTCTGTGTCGGCCTATGCGAACTCCAAGTCTTACTCCCCGCGTTTCAAGTCCGGAGCCGAGTTTATCGAACGGAATATCGGGTCGCCGGTAGCCAAGTCGGTGGGTACGGTTGGTCGAAAAACGGGTATGGAGAGTGGATTGCGGTGGGCGTTGCAGCGTCGGGCGTCGTCCTCGGCCAACTCGGGCCGGTCGAAGCGTCGTAAAGTGAATGGTAGTGACGGTGGTCAAGAGCAATCGGCGGACGCGGAGGTTGACGTCGAGAAAGGCTCCGTGGATGACAACATGGAAGGCAGCGTGGAAGGTCCTCCGCCGTACGATGATCAGACATCCCCCAGCTATGATGAGGTTGAACGGGAGAGTCCCTCGAGACAGAACCAGCCGACCTGGCCGAGTCGGTTGATGATCTCGACGTCCGGTTTGGGCGTCGCAATGAGTGAGGAGTCGCTGCGCAGCCTGCAGTACTGTCTAACGTGGCTGCGATGGGCGAATGGGCGGCTGGGCAAGGCTATCGTGGCACTGCAGGGTGCGCTGAAAGAGTGGGATAATGAGTCTGAGAATGGTCGTCGGGATGCTTCCTCGCAGGCGAGTCTCCTGACTCAGCGGATACAAGCTGTCAAGGAGGATGTCCTGTCTACCTTGAAACGGGTCGTGGATATCGTCTCCAAGTACGCTGGTGGAGCGTTGCCGGAGAATGCCCGGAATTTAGTCCGTCGCCATCTCACCTCCCTTCCGCATCGATTCCAGATCGCTTCGACCTCGAACCCACCGCCCGACTCGGCGGCGGCTGCATCCGACACCACGGTTAGCGCCCATCGAATCCTGGTCCTTGCTCAAGAAGGGCTCGACATGATGGCCCAGGTCAGTGGTGTTGTCAACGATACTCTTGTCAGTGCCGAGCTCTGGTGTGAGAGACTGGGCCGGAAGCGGCCCGAGAACAAGAATACCGCAGATGTCAAGCAGCCGGAGCAACACAGGGAGTCCTATCCGGCTGATATCAAGCGACCCGTTCACGAGCCTTCCCCTCATGACGTGCCGATGTCGGGAATGGAAAAGGTGTGAAGGGAGTGTTAGCCGTGACAGCTGATCACAGGTGATGCCTAGTGGAAATCTAGGTGACCCTGCAACTGACAGTGACATATCAGGCACAATGCCTGCAAATTCGATTACCGACTTGAAACAGTCTCTGCCCGCTGACGAGTGGGCCAACACATTCCTTGTTTGCGTGTTCCTTTTGTCGCGGTCAACCTTCTTGCATGTATTGGTTATCATTGCCTTTGCGACTGACCTTCCTTACATGATAGCGGTTTTCTTTCTGGAATGAATAAGTGTGGCTTTGCTCGATGATTGACTGGCTCATTGCACTTGCATTGCCGCTGTTTGCAAACAGAGACCCTACTTACATTCGTTTGGGTTAATGGTCTGTCTGATTCTTGCATAACTCACTATGCATGTTTTTGGTTTGTGTCAAGGAAGCGGTTTGTGTGCGTGTGCTAGCGATGCTCAATATCTCTCGTCACAGTTGTATGAAGCAGGAAAAGTTTTCCCTTTCACATCCCTCGAGGCCATCACTCTCGGACGAAGATCATCTGATAAGATCTCCAAAGGATCTCCCATCCACCTCGATCTCCCGTATGAGGTTGCGGTCCCCACCAGCTTGCGAACAATATAACCTCACCTTGACGCTGTTGGTTGCCTTCTGTTGTGCCTGCGCCAGAGCGGCCAGCCGCTGTCTTCTCCGTTCCTCCATGATGAAAGCCCACCGGATGCGCACATCCTCGACTCGCCTCTGCCGACTCAGCCCCCGTCTTCTCCATAGCGCCACCTGTGACGCCATCAGCTGGTTCGCATCGTCGGGCCAGGCGCCCAGTCTCTGGGTCCGCGGCAGCGCCATTGTCGGACTCGAGGATGGGTAGTAAGGCTGATAGGGATTGGAGGCGTAATACCCTCCGAAACTCTTCCCAGCAGCCCCGCCGCCCCCTTTCCCACTGATCCCATCGCGCCAATCCATCATCCTTGTTTCGAGTTGCTCCAGGTCGATCTGTCCCGAGTCCACCGCGTGCAACCGCCCTTTCCAGCCTTTCAACTCATAGACATCCCTCCCATCCCGGCAGATACTCAACACTCCCCGGCGCAGCATGTAGTGCACATGGATATGGTAGTCCGCACGATATCTCGCGACAGCGACATCCTGATTACCGCTCTCATCGTCTGAGTCGAGGAGATACTGTGCAATTAGAGCTTCATACAGATGGCTCTGTGCGGAGATGGACGAGGGCGGCGTGGACGGCGGCGTGAGCTCCGTGTAGCTGATGTAGCGTTGCTGTTGCTGTTCATGTCCGTGAGCAGAGTACTGGGAGTGCTGAGCAGCATGCCGGCCCTCCGCGTTGATGCCTTCAAGAGCCATCTCGTCCTTTTCCTGATTGTCCGATGAAGGTTCCCGCAAAGGAGGTACCTCATCTGGCGCAAGGTCGGCATCTTTGTCCGATGTGGATTGGAACGGGATGGCGCGAGACGGGTCATAACGCCCGGATTCGATGTCGACGCGAAAGGTGGATACGGGGATGCGGGTGATGGTGGTGCAGCTGCTGCAGATTAGGGCTTCGCGGAGCGCGGATGTCTGATTTGCCAGGCGTTAGTACATGTGCGGATCGAGATTAGGCCGGGAAGGGTGGAAAGTGGGTGGGTACCATCTCTTCTTCTGTTGACGATGTTGTGGCTGGTTTGGCTGCCGAGCAGGGCATACTGGTCGCCGGCGGAGGCGATGGTGATGGTGTTGGGGGAAGCATATTTAGGTGTTGTGATTCGACGCCGTGGATGTGATGTGGTTGTAGGTACTGTAGATATTGATGTCACTGGAGTGTAAACACCCTGGCCGGTATATACCATGCAATACACTAATCAACTTGCTCTCGTCGAGCGAGACGCGGTTGGAATGAAATATGATGAACTGTTTGAGCTCGAATTCCAATCCTTGACGGGTATTTGGGGAGAAGTTGAATTGGAATTGGAGTTGGAAAGTCCGAGTTGCAATCTGTGGTTTTGTTGCACTCCTGAGGTATGTACTGGGATCTGACTCTGAATTGATTGATGGATGAATGAATGAATGAATATTGTTGATTCGTGGTGTTGGGTTAGTGTATACTGCACACTACCCATGTGTTAGGCTCTTTGTTGGTGAACCGATCAACAAGTTCTTTCACCTTTATTCTATGAATACTGTCTGGGGTTGTTTCATTCAGTGCTTCCTCGCAGTGCGGTTCATGGTTCATGGTTCAGGGGATGGTAGATTACTGTAACACTGTCATAGGCTGGTTGATCGCCCTTTGTGAATGGATGAGATTGAACAATCATAGATCCTGTAACTATGTAAATAGCGTAGGGATTGTATTGTACTTCAATCTATTCAGTAAACCAAGTGAAACAAAATTAGAGAGAATGAAAGAGAAAGAGAGCAGCGCAGGGCAGCGCAGCGCAGGGCAGAGCTCGGAGCTATTATTATCTACTCTTCTACTGTCATCGTTGCCTTCATCATCCGCATCCTCGGTTATGTGGCAGTTCCCTGGTCTGGTAACTCCTTGAGTCAGTTGAGTCCACGATAGAGTCATCCTCCATTCTCAGCTGCAGGGCTATCGTCATTGGGGGAGGACGGGGGCGGTTCCTCTGATGCTGTCGGCTGCCAGATTCAAAGGGGGAGGTCATGCTGTCGCTTGTTGGGGGATGGATGGGCACATGATGTGACGCGGTCGGCTGGCACTTGGGGAATGTCGGAGTGGGTTCTGGGTCGGTGTTTTGGAGGCGGGGGTGAGGTAAGCGGGGTTGATCAGAAGTGCTCTTTTGAAGTGTTCTATTGACTACTTGGGGACTTTGAGTAAGGTTTGTGCCAGTTCAGTTGAATATGATGTTCCTGATGTTATGTTATGTCATAGGGGTTGGTGTTTCGGAGGATTTTCACCTGCCGAGGATGGTTGATCATATCATGTTAAGCACTGGATACAGTGGGGTTTATATATCTATGCGTCTCTAGATTTACTTTTACTAACAGGCTAAGCCTACAATATTAAGTATTCTTAAATGATGATCATTGGTGGTCTATTGTTACTGCTGGGTAGCAGCCTCTGTGTTACTATAAAGAGTGCAGTAGGATTCTTCTAAGAAACATATATTCCGCACCAGACAATATACTTAGAGATTGTATTCTCCTTGATACTACGACGAATAGGATGCAAAGCCATTGTGCTCTTGTCCTCATGAAGCAGCATAGTCTGTTGTTCGGTCCCTATAGCAGATGGTAGCTCAACTAGTATCGAGTCCAACGATCAGGAACTTGAAATAGAGATAGTAGATATCCCTCTCCTCCAAGACATCTCAACATCATGACTCCACAATCTTCTCTCCCGCTCCTAACGACCCTCAATGGAACAGAATCATCCTCCATCCAGCTCCAGCTCCAGCACAAGCTCCATCCCTCTCTTCCCAGCAACCTGCCTCATCCTCTCCTTCATCTTCTGCCTCTACCGCCTCCGAGCCTCCATTGCTACCTGCTATCGTCATTTCCGACGACAACACAACCATTACACGCCACTCGCACCCGAAGATCGGTACGTCACTCATCCCTATACAGAGTATACGGATTATATCCATTCCAGCCCGACTTCACGACAACCAGACTACTACAGACCCAGCTACCAAAACACCTAGCTAATTCCACACTCACCCCACAATCACAGAACCCCCCCACCTCCCACCTCCTCATTATCATCCGTGTTATCATCTCCCGCAGCCCTCTCCTTTGCCCAGGAAGCAGTCGCAATTCCAGCTACCCCGTTGAGCAAGTACTTCGATCCGCAGACTAATCTACTTTACGACTATGTGCTTGAGCGGAGGGTCTCCCCGTCTTTGCCGGTGTGGGAGGACGAGGTGAAGATGAAGCAAGGGTGGGAGGGGGATGAAGAAGCAGCAGGCGAAGAAGAAGAAGGGGGATTAGGGCAGGCTGGGGATAGTGATGGCACTGGCACTGGCATTGACCACCCCCCAGAGATCGGGATGAAGTGGTTTGATGGCCTGGTTGAGCGCGTGGTGAGGTACTATGAGGGGTTGGTTTGGGGGTAAATCATCTCAAATCGATGTCATTGTTGGTTGGCTGGGGGGAAAGGGGGGAGAAGTGTACTTATGATTTGAAGAGTCGACTTTTGCTTCTTGATATGTACTCCGTACTACTGTCCACTTCTCTGGCAATTGGTGACACTGGTCGGAAATGGGGGTTGAGGGGGACAGGGTTATGTCTGTTGACTCATGGTAACTTGATCTTAGTTGACTGCCATCGTGCTAGTCAAGTTATTGAACTGATTTTCATGTGTGATGCCCAGGCGGGATTGAATCAAGGGATTACTGGGATAGTTACGGAAGATAGTCCAGCCCCTCGCCCACGCCGAACAAGCGGTGTGAGATCTTATCTCACTATTACCAGTGTTTTGCAACGATTCGCGGCTGGGATTCATGGACTTAATGCAGCCACGGATGCACGGTTTCGTGGCAGATGTTTTGGGTATGTGATGAGTAGACTTGATACGGCGCCCCTATCTGCGAAGATCTTCTGGTGGTGGGATGTGTTATCACCTACTAAGTTACGGGGACTATGGCGGCGGGAAGGACCTTGCGACGGGACCAAGCGGACATTCTTCGTCTGTCGAGCGAGTCTTTTCTATGCAAAGGTCAAGGTTGACATGGAGGTCAGATCACCCCGAAAATATGAAGCGTCTAATTAGTAGCATGATTCAAGTCTAAATACAATATGCAGAGGTTTTGAAACTTCTCACGGAGCGCAGTACCCGCCATCCACCACGATGTCTGCACCGGTCGTATAACTCGAGGCATCCGAGGCCAGGTACAGATACGCCCCCTTCAACTCCTCCGGCAGACCCTCTCGACCCATGGGGATCTTATCCCGCCAGATATTCTTGGTCTCGGCGGGCACGAAGTTGGATAGCTCGGTCGCGATGTAGCCCGGAGAGACACTGTTGGCCCGAGCGAATCTGACCCATTCGACGGCCAGGGATTTGCCTTTTTCAGGTGTGTATTAGTGACAGGCTATTCGGACAACCAGGAGGAGGTCAAAAAAAAAAGGCACTGAAAGCAGGGAAAGCACGTACAGAGATGAATGACACCGGCTTTAGCGGCATTGTACGCCGCCTGCATCTGCGGGAAATTGACAATATGTCCGCTCATCGAGGCGGTCGCCACAAAGCTGCCATAAGTGAAATTCTCCAGCTTGTTGCCAAAGAAATCCGTCCCCTGCTCCTTCTGGCGGCGCCAGTGGCTGGCCGCCGCCCGGGCACAGTAGAAGGTCCCGTTCAGGTCGGCGCCCACCACGTGCTCGTAGTGCTCCAGCGGCGCATCCACCATCGGCCCTTTGATCCACGCGACTCCCGCGTTGGCGATAAACACGTCCAGGCGTCCGTTGAAGTCTTGGACCACCTGGTCGACGGCTGCTTGCACGGCCTGCGGATCGGTGATCTGCACTTTATAGGCCTTGGCTGGTTGTAGAGTTAGTTCGGTTGAATCAGTCAGAGGAAGGTGGGGAAAAACCGGGGCAACTGACTCTGGACTCCATACTTCTCGGCGATCTGTGCAGCGCTCTCGGAGGCCTTCTCGTTGGTGTTCCACCAGATGGCCACGTTGGCGCCAGCTTCGGCCAGACCCTGGGCTACGGCAAAGCCGATGCCGGCGGTGGCGCCGGTGACAATGGCGGTTTTGCCTTTGAGAGAGAACATCTGCATGAGGCTGGGATGGGCAGGCGGGGTGGTGTTCTCGTGGACGAAGAGTCCATTCTGAACGGGATTGGCAGCCATTGGCAAGGGAGTGTGAGATGAGAGAGTGCGTAGTAAGAAGAGATATAGTAGACGAATACTAGTAAGCGAGGAGAGATCGAGTAGGGAGCCGTCCCAGACAGTTTAAAAGTTAAAGCTGAGATGCAGCGAGCTCTAGCGGAGGGAGTTGTAGGTTTATATGTGTCGACCAGAGCTAAGATGATATACAAAAACCACTAGTCACCATCATGACTCCGCCATTCGAAATGGAGTTAACAGCTACTAGTAAGAGCCCACTCAGGAGCCGATGGATCCAGTTTGAGACAGACTGATTTGCTGTACCCTTCGAGTCGTTCACTCTGTTGGACCGAGGTGCAGCATCCCACTTGGACTACGCACTGATCACCACTCGGGATACCAGTCACCGCTATGCCCTCCCCGGCCTTCGGACAGACACTGCGACAACGAGACAAGAAGATGTTGGAGTGTATCGGCCTTGGCGTGGCTCGAGATAGAGCTCAGGTGTATACCACCGCGAGACAGGAGAGCAGTTTGACGGATCAGACTCGATAGTTAGCGTGGGGAATCATGCCGACTCCGGGTGGAGAGGAGATGCGTATGCACAGTCCCTTACTAGTACTGTGTAGGCAAACTCCGCCGGGAAGTTGAAGATGACCGGCTCCGGCGGACACCATCTTCTGCAATGAGTGCATAGTCAGTCTCATCGCCGCCCGAAATTCTCCCGTGCTCCATCATGATATGATGATTTCTTGTTGTGATGTGATGTGATGGGAGGAAATCTGGGGCCCAGTTGGCGGGGAAGAACCAATTCTCCGCTGCCGCCTCTCCCTGCGCCGACAGTTGCGGGCCGCTTGCTGTTTAGGGAAAGTCAGTCAACATCCCGTCCCGATTGGAGGTGGACTCTGGACGACTACAACTTCAACTTACAGGAATAGAACAACACCACTTACAAACTGACAACACAATTTCATCTCTTCCACCCTGTCAACTGTTGCTCATTCCGGTGCTTGTCACTCCAGAAAGCCCAACCACACATATGGTCGCATCTTTCACTGTCTCAGTGCGCAATGGAAGCTCACATTGCCAGCCGAATCATGAACGACCCTCCAAAGTGGATACTTACGCATCAGGATGCACCCCTTCCGAGCTCATCTTGTGAAGTGGACTTCACCAGAACATGGAGACTAACCAGATAGCATGCTGTACGAAATCAAAAAACAAAGAAATGATTGATAACGTACTTGCAGCACTCAGAAAACCCCCCCCTCGACTAACCAGAGCAAGGTCCCGAAACGGCGTGAGCCACCAATTTCTCAATGCACCCTCGCTGGCACAGCAGATAGAAAGATTCCACAAGCAGAAGTAGCTGAATCGTCCTCTGCGAATAACATGTCCTGTCGTGTCCGCATGTTTGCTTAGGACCGACAAATTTCCCAATCTTGCTACATTCCGCGCGATCCGACTGCTATGCTCTACACATTCTTCTACCTCATCGGGGAGATCATAACAAAGAGTCTCTTCCCTGCCTCTCAATTCTTCCCCTCCTTATCCAACATGCTTCCTGTCTGTTCTTTCACCCGGTTTTGGCCTCTTCGTGGCTTGTAGTTCCCTGTCTTGTCGGGTGCTTCACTCTGCTCAACCTCCTCTCAGCATCATTTTCGCCCTGACTGGACAGAAAGCCGTCGACATTGCAAAGAGGTGCGAATAAGAGCTTCAGATTCGGTCCTTTGAATGGGTTAAGCGTTCTGAGACGCTCACAAAACCAGGGTCGGTCGGGTCGAGTCAGGAGAAAGCAGGAGAGGAGCAGCCATGCCGCCACTGACCACCGTCATTGCGATAGCCGTCAGCTGTTCGGTTCTCTTCATCGTCGCTGCAGTCGTCGGAACAGTCATCTGGGTTAGAGTCCGGCATGATCGCTTGTCCCTCGCGGTGGCAAATGCCAAACACGGTCAGTTTGGCTTGCAGCACTACCAGGCGGAGACGTTGACCGAACTCTCCCGGGAAGAGGGCACGGCACTTCGACAATATGGCCAACTTCCATACGGCAAACCATCGGAGTGGGGAGTGCTGTCGTCTCGGGAAAGTCTACCTACATCGCCGGGAGATTCAGAGTCATCCTCCCCTCGGAATGAAAAGGCGCGTCGGCCAATGTCTCGTTCCCTGTCGACTCGTTCTGCGCGAGTCTCAAAGGGCTTGCTAGGACCGCAACACCTCAGCTCTCTGTCTCCACTAACGGAGAGGTCCGAGAAACGTTACTCCTCGTCTCCTGTGGTAACCTGTGTGAACGAGCGCTTATCGAACTCCGCCGTCGATGGGGCGGTGGAATTGCCTACCGAGACGACGCCAAGGCACACCCCGGAAAGAGAAGAGGAATATCCGCGCGCCGAGCTTACTATGCGTCCAATCTCGGCGGGCGCATGGCCCTTGATGCATTCACGGGAACGCTCTGGAAGTCTGTACCCCGTCTTGGAGGACAACCCTGTAGGGATCAATCCGCCCTTTACCCGAGTCCGGAATGGAAGCATCACGGCTCAGACAGCCGGGACAATGCCAGAGCAGCCAGTACCCCCTCCACCGTGCGCCTACCCTCCGAACCGCTTTCGCCTGTCAAAGAATGACTCCATTTGTTTCTCTTCCTTGAGCTTGGAAACAGCAGACAGCTCCATCCTCGACGAGAGCCGACGGACGTCAACGAACATCGACAGCGACTTTACATCTCCCGCCTTACCCCCTTGCCCTACGTTCGCCCCGTTTGATGCCAACGATGTTGGGCGGCTGGAATTCGACAGGCGCAGCTTCGTCGCACCGAGCTCAGTCGTCCCCGCTCCATTCGTGTTTCCTCCCACATCCTCCGCCGTTTGGGAAGGACAGAGGATTGAGTCAGGACGAACTTCTCCACGTCGTAGCCTGACGGCGCGGAGCCCGACATCGATGGAAAGGACTAGCCCACCACCACGACGTAGTGAGTCCGTTTCCGTCGGACATTCGCGCCGTGAGTCAGCGGTGAGTGTCAAGCCGCTGGACCTAATTAGTACGCCTCTTCTCAATGCCGCTGGGTGCAATGCGGGCTTGCTGCCCTATTTTAGTCAAATGCAGCGGAGCCCAGTGCACGCGGACCAGCGAAGGAGCAACGATCCTTTCTACGTCGGGCCGGCTGCCAATACCGGCCAGGCTGCCTCTAGAAACAGGCTCTCCGGCACGGCGTCACAGGAGTCTTCTTTGCAGTCGCTGAGCAGCCATGGGAAGCCACCACTTGCATCTGCCATGAAGAGTGGGAATAGCTTGCGAAAAGGCCACCGGCGCCAGAACTGCGTGCGAATCTCAATTCACCCGCCAGTCACCTTCAATGGACCAGTGTTCTCTCCGACCGCCGAGGAGCCAGAAGACGTCGAGGAAATCGACTTCCGTCGTTCTCAGGTATCTGAACTGTCAGCCTCCAATGTATCACTGCAGTCGAATGTCTCCGGCAATTCAGCGGGCAAGAAAATCCAGCAATCTCAGCACAATGATCGCCTGCGAGTAATGGATGTTTCGGAAGACCGTCAAAGCTCACGCAAAGGGACCCCAAAGAAGCGCAGACATGCTCGAGGCGACTCAACAGATAGCATGCTGAGTATGATAAATGCTGAGAATTCTCTGCCAGAAATCGTCACTACATTGCCAATCCCCAAGATTGAAACCAGCTTGCTCAACACCCCTTCTCCCGAGACGGCGAATAACCCTGCTTGGTTGATGTCCAGCCATGCCAGTTCCCCATCTGCCTATGAAAACATGTCTAGTCCAGGCAGCCCTCGTCGCTCGGCCGTGAAAGGGCCGCGCAATCAGCCGGGTCGGCAGATGCGCAACAGCTACCGTCCTTCGCAGCCTTTGGAGGACAATGCGAAACTGTCGTTACGGACTACCTCTCGCCCTCCCCAGATGCGCAAGGACCCGGCACGGAAACCATCAGATCCAGCCCAGCGGTCGAGACCTGCTGCCGACCAAGCAATGCCACGGAACCAAGGCCCGGCCGGTCAGTCTCCCTATCCGCCTGGCACAAAACCACCACCCACGCAATCGCTGCGACACCATCGACCTCAAAATCGTCCTCCGCCCCCATCAAGTAATCCCAAGTCTCCGGTCATGCAGACAGGGGGCATTGTCTCCATCTGGGAAGACGGGCCGCTGGAGCTCAAAGCGCCGCCCAAATCGACCGTCTCTTTGGTCAAGGAAATCCCCGATGTCCCCGACGTGCCGGCAGGAAAGCCTGTGGAACGAACGAAGAGTCAAGGCCCTGGTGACCGATCACCCTCCAAGTCCAGCACCAGCCGGTCCAAACCGGAACCGAAGACCCCAACCAGACGGGCAGTTGGCTTGGGCATTGGTGCTGCCACCCCGGCCAGTTTGTATGATGGCGACGGTTTCTTGAAGGAGTAGCCAGCAAGGCAACACTCCGAGAATAAAATAATGTTTCTGGTAATTGTTTCAGGTCTTGGATCGGGTTTGCTTAGCGTGTCGGGTGTTTTCTTGATATCCACTGTCACGAGTAGCCGTAGGTAGGATAACTATGTAATACGAGTTGAGCAGTACAGCCAATGCATGATGGGAGCCGTTGCAATCTGATGATATGGATTCGTGATCTCTAGTCTATAGGAAAGTGAGGCGTCGACCATTTCAGTCTGTTCTTCTCCACTTGGTCTCTTCACTTTCTCCCTCTCCATCGACATCACCATCCTGTTGTCCATCTTCGCCATCCTCCCTCTGCCTCACCGTCCCAGCGCCGGGCCCCAAGGGCAAACTCGGCTCCTGGCCGCCACCGATCCAATTCCCCTCTTCATCGAAGAACTCATGCATATTCTCCGCCGTGATCCACCCGGAACTCCCATCCATCGGCGGAGGCAAGCCGCCCTCCCCATTGCCCATGGCAATCAACCCCGCCTGCAGCAGGGCACTGTCGCCGCCCTCCTCTCCCTCATCATACTCATCATCATCATCATCCTCCTCATCCCCGGGCTCCACCGGATCCGGATGCAGATTCGAGCACGCAGACACAGCAGCGTAGAGCGCCTGCGTCGGGGTCTGGGTTTCCTCTGTCGTCTCCGTCTCCATCTCCATCTCCGTATCCGCCTCACCCTCCACCTTTTCTGCCTGTGACTGTTGCACGCCACCCAACGGCACAAGCGTCATAATCGTACACTCTTCCTCATCATCCGAGAATCCTCCACTAGGTGGGGCGGCGATTTGCATGTAGAGACCTTGGTGCTCCTCTTGTTGTTGTTCTTGTTGTTCCTGGGCCTGCGCGGCTGTGGAGTCAGGAAGCCGCAGCCGTTGAATAGCGTGCAGAGAGATCGAGGGGTATGGGATGGCCAGCCCGGCGTTCTTAGAGGGGGAGTAGAGGAGGAATTTGCTTTTCGGGGAGAGAGTTCTTCTGTTAGTTTGAAGGTGCTTGTACTGCATTTTGTGCTTGGTTCGAAGGGTCGGTAGGTAGGTAGATAGGTAGGTAGAGCGGGGGATGACATACTCGGAAGTAACCCAGACGCTGATGCCGTCGAGGGCTAGTTCTTTGGCTTCTACTTCTGCTTCGGTGGTTAGGGCTGTAGGAGAGGCATTGTGGTTGGCATTGTCATTGTCATTGCCGTTTGTGGTGGGGGTTGGTTCGAGGGATGGGTGCAGGGCGCGCAGGGTCGGGTGGGCGAGGAGGTCGCGCTCGAGCAAAACGAGTTTGCAGTTGTCGCGGTGGTAGTGGAGGATTGGGGGGCCCGTGTGGAAGGAGCTTGGAGTGCGCGATTGATGCTCAGCCAGCGGGGTGAAGATTGTGGTGTTGGGGGGTGTAGTTAGGGGTTCCATTTTGCGATTTTGCGATCTGGGGGTTGAGGTTTGTGGAAAGAGAGGGAGGGGGGAATGGGCGAGACCGTGAGGGAGATTAGAAGAGGAGGAGGAGGTGAAGAGAAAATACGACCCCGGTTCACGGTAGATGATGGGTAGGAGTTTGGGTCGGCGGGGAGCTGAGCTGAGCTTTTCCGCGCAGCTTTGCCTGGGACCAGCCGGCGGACGGAACTAACTTATATGATTTACTGGATGCGGGCGCTCTTGCGCGGCTGAATACTTTGTCTAGATGCGCTAATCGGTGAAGTGATTCATTTTAGCTGTCTATAGAAGGTCTGTTTTGATTTAAGCTTCACTTTCTGACTGTCACTGAGTAGCCCGATGGTCTGTCGTGGTGGTCCGTATACTCTGGGAAAGGCCAAAGAACAGCCCTTGGCTTTCTCGTTATTTCCCATACCAGAAGCTACAGGACATGTCCCTTTCAATCAAGCTTCATGACGCGCAGCTTATCGTATGGTGTATGGTGCATGTTGCATTGTCGTTCTGAGCCTGTGCAGATTTGACGGCATGTTGTTGCAAAGCATCAAGCCGTCTGCCGCGCTTGTCGTCCAGCAAGGGCACTCTGCATGCCCCGACAACCTAAAACCGCCCAGACCAGAGCGCAGATTCCGAAGGCAATAGAGTTCTCTTTCGTCGATAAGCTCGTCTTCATCAAAGTTCGTGTCACGATAAGCAAGTGTCCTCATTTCACATTCAGCCCCCCAAACGCCCGGTCGAGCTCCTCTCCCTCGTCGCGCGGCACCATCGATGGCAAGGCAGCCGCCCCCGGATCCGTAGCCGACAGACTATCCAACAAGCTCGACCGCGCTTCTTCGTGGGTTCCTGCCCCGGCCGCGTTGACCGGCCGGAGGAGTTTCTCCTCCCGGTCCAGCCACCCAGGCGCCACTCGTCGCTTTTCGGCCAGGTCGCGCTGCACGATCGATTCTTCCCAGTCGCGGATCGCCTTCTCGGCGTCGCTGCGGGCCTTGTTCAGATGCTGCTCGAGGGCGTTGCACGAGGCGAGGATCTCCTCCGGGGTGGCAGCGTGCTCCCCGCTCGAGGAGACTACGTAGCGGGTCTTATGGTCGGGGTTACTGGGATCGACGGTGACGGACGGAGGGATGGTAGACGGGACCGACTTGTAGGTGTAGGGAAGGGTGACGGTGGTGGGCAGGTTGATGAATGGGGAGACGGTCAAGGGAACTTGGGCGAGGAGTGGATGGGGGCCTGGGCCGAGGTCAGAGAGCTGGAGGAGGTCGTGATGAAAAAAGAGAGGTCACTTACGGTAGGATTCATACATACTTGGTGGCAGCTGTGAATTTCGTGATTGAGAGTCAGAGTTAATGTCAGAGTCAGTGTTTCCAATGAGATGAGATCAGCGGAAGTGCTTCTGCTCAGGTAACTTATAGTTAAGCAGTGAAGCCGTTCGGGATAATTGCAAGTTCCCCGCCTTGATGGAGACAATTGATTACAGGGACCGTCACAGTGAACGCAGTAAGTAACGCTAACCCCCAATTGCGGCTGAAACTTACCCGTCATTACCGTTTGTTGGGTCTGACGTCGAATTGCAGCTGAATTGATTCCAATAATTCTATCGGAGTATCTTCTTAAACATCCATCCATTCATCATCATCATCATCATCCTCCTCCTCAATTTCCAAGAGAAGCACACGAGAATAGTACAGGCCCGGTTTCATCTCGTCTGACAGCCTGCTCGTCTATGGTATAATTACCCCTCGTCTTCCTTCTCCTGTCCCTTATCTATCCATTTTCGATTTGTGTATTGTCTGAGATCCTCCGACTAGTCAAGGCCAAGTGACCCTCTTGTCTCTCTCTTCTCCTATTATTCTCTGGCCAGGCCTTGGATTCCCACGTAACTTAACTCCCCATCTGATATAAGATCGTTAGATCCTTAAAAATCTTTCTGCTTTAGTGCCCACTAAATCTTCCGCCCCCCCCCTCTCTTCTCCTCCTCCTCCTCCATCCTGACCCTGTTATCGGGTTTCTTTTCTCCACCTTCTGTGAATTTCTCTTGTAGCTCGATCTTGCCACCAGTTCTTCGTCTTGTCACTTTGTCTCGGCTGGGAAATCCCCCATCCCGCGCTTAATTCCCCCCACCAACAACTGGCCTCCGCGCTGTTGCCCTTCCCCTTTTCCCCTCTTCTCTTTTCATCCTCTGGGGCACAACGTGCTTGCGATTCTTCCTGGTTCAAGATTTAATCTCCCCTGTACCTTGAGCTCTTTGCCCACCATGGATCGCAATATTGCGCGTGCGGTGACGGAGAAAAAGCCGGTCCCGGAGATCGACTTCACATTACATGTTATGGAGGATGGCTCTCAGGTGTCCACCCTTGAGCGAGTTATCAAAGGTTCGTCGTCAGCTCACTCACAATTTTTCCGGGGGGAAGGAGGGGAGAGCTGGGGCGGGTTCTCACGCAAGTATCTAAACTAATCGCGTGACGACAAATTAGAGGTGCAAGCGCCGGCGTTGAACACCCCGTCGGACGATCAGTTCTGGTCTCCTGAAGACCCTTCTAAGCCCAACCTTCAGTTCCTCAAACAGCACTTTTACCGGGAAGGTCGTCTCACGGAAGACCAGGCGCTATGGATCATACAGGCTGGAACGCAGCTGCTGCGGGCCGAGCCCAACCTCTTGGAGATGGATGCGCCCATCACCGTGTGCGGTGACGTCCACGGACAATATTACGATCTCATGAAGCTTTTCGAAGTCGGTGGCGACCCATCCGAGACCCGCTATCTCTTCCTCGGTGATTATGTGGACCGAGGATACTTCAGTATTGAGGTTCGTGCCCCGCCTGTCACCGTTGTCAGCCGCTTCAGTCTGACTGTCAATAGTGTGTGCTCTACCTCTGGGCCTTGAAGATCTGGTATCCGAACACTCTCTGGCTACTGCGGGGTAACCACGAATGTAGACATTTGACGGACTACTTCACCTTCAAGCTGGAATGTAAGCACAAGTACAGCGAGCGCATCTATGAGGCCTGTATTGAGTCCTTCTGTTCGTTGCCGCTGGCGGCGGTTATGAACAAGCAATTCTTGTGCATTCACGGGGGTCTGAGCCCCGAGCTGCATACTTTGGAAGATATCAAGGCGGTATGTATATCCTCCTGGCTATGTGATGAGCCACTAGCTGATGCAGTCTCAGATCGACCGTTTCAGAGAACCTCCGACCCACGGCCTCATGTGTGACATCCTTTGGGCCGATCCTTTGGAAGAGTTTGGACAGGAGAAGACCGGAGACTACTTCATTCACAATAGCGTGCGAGGTTGCTCGTACTTCTTCTCGTACCCTGCAGCTTGCGCTTTCCTCGAGAAGAACAATCTTCTTTCCATCATTCGCGCGCATGAGGCTCAAGATGCCGGCTATCGCATGTACCGCAAGACTCGGACAACGGGCTTCCCTAGTGTCATGACCATTTTCAGCGCACCGAACTACTTGGACGTTTACAACAACAAAGCCGCCGTGTTGAAGTACGAGAACAACGTCATGAACATCCGCCAGTTCAACTGCACTCCCCACCCGTACTGGCTGCCCAACTTCATGGATGTTTTTACTTGGTCCCTTCCTTTCGTGGGTGAGAAGATCACGGACATGTTGATCGCAATTCTCAACACCTGCTCCAAGGAGGAGCTTGAAGAGGAAACCCCCACATCGGTATCCCCTACCGCTCCCTCGTCACCTCCGACAGCGCAGATGGATACGGAGAGTAGCGAGTTCAAGCGTCGCGCAATCAAGAACAAGATCTTGGCCATTGGCCGTCTGTCGCGTGTCTTCCAGGTACTACGTGAAGAGTCCGAGCGGGTTACTGAGCTCAAGACCGCAGCTGGTGGTCGTCTTCCGGCGGGTACCTTAATGTTGGGTGCGGAGGGTATCAAGCAGGCCATCACAAACTTTGAAGATGCCCGTAAGGTCGATCTGCAAAACGAGAGGCTGCCTCCTTCTCAAGAAGAGGTCATTCGACGCAGTGAAGAAGATCGACGCATTGCCCTAGAGCGGGCTCAACATGAGGCCGACAATGACGCTGGGCTGGCCACGGTAGCCCGGAGAATTAGCATGTGAGTTTGTCATGTTCCAGTAGTCGAATAGCAGGTTCTAATCCACATAGGTCGGCCGGCTCGGGTAAGACTCGTCGACAGCGAGACGCTGCTGCGGTCTCACGGGAGGCATGAGTGTCGGACGAGGTGTTTTGATGGGAAGCGTATACGGACAGATATCCTTACTTGCAAGTCTAGGCACGCAGCTCCTTCATCCGTGTATTGAACAAACTCAATTCACCGGGCGAGTGAGCTTGCCCCGCGACAACCACTTTGGATGGGAGGGCGGATCGCACCAGTGGCAAGCACTGCGTCAAAGGCCGGGATTGGATGACGGGGGATAAATCATGTAATTTCTGCACACAAGCAGTTCTAGGCGTCCGTGACGTCCGAACTATATGAGTTGATGAATTGATACACCATGAATTCTGCTGTCCCTCCACCTTCAAGTAGTTGTTGCACCATGTGGTACTGAATGAGAAGTATAGACAAAAGTAGTGTATGACTGTTTGCGTATTTACCTCCTCTAGGACTGTAGAAAGTAGAACTTATACACAGCCGGGATGGTGCTTGGTACCTTGCATCATGTGGAGGAAGTTATCCGACCGGCCCGCCAAGACCAACTTCAGATGCCTTGCGTTCCCGCGGTCTCCTCTTCCTCTGTCTTCATCGTCATCCCTCTTCAACCTCAATTCACATCAATGCCTCCGAAACTTCGCGGCTCTCTCTCCGCGAGTCTCGCAAATGCGGGTCGAGACCCCGCAACAGTCTTTTACTGTCCCTCTTGCTCCACCTGGCGCCGAAACACCCAGAGCGCCCTTACTCTTGCGCGTCATGCCGGCAGCACCGTCGCTTCTTCCACCTCACCACAGCAACCCCTACCATTAGATTCCCAATCCCCTCCTCACCCACTACCATCGACATCTGTCCCGCGACCCCTGAGCCATACTGTCCCCGTTGTCCATGCCGGTGGCCGAAGCATCCCTCCGCGACTGAAGGAGCTGCACGCGGCGCTCGACCAGCTCAAAGATGTGGCCACCGAGCAAGTAAATCTCAGTCGGCTGCAGTTGGCATTGAGAGGGCTGGAGTCGGAGACCCCTTTGATTCGCGTTGCTGGTATGATCATTTCCCCTCACCGGCGGTCACTTAAGGAACGGGACTGGATCACTGACATCTGCATAGTGCTAGGATTGAATGATGCCAGTGCGGCGCGGAGGCTTGTGAGGTTGCTATTAGCGGACCCGCTCAATGGAAAAGAAAGTTGGGAGGACATGTTAGAGGAGATGGGTGCAGAAACTGGAGCTTTGGAAAGAGGACTCTTGATCCGGTGAGTCGATCTACGCATCAATTGTCTACTATGACTATGTGGGATGGGTAAATCTGGGCAATGGCTAATTTAAAATCCGCGCTCGAAACAGATACGGTCCTGTATCGCAGAGCATACCGAACGACCTCCTCCCAACCATCTCGATTCCCTCGCCGATCTTGAAGAAGGGCAATTTGGAGATTCTGATCACAAGCCTTGGAGCGGACACCCGTGCGAATGCCAAGTTCACGGCCGACACGTTCCTGGTACCAACGGTGACGATCCAGACCTCGCACACCGGCCGGCATAATATGGTACGATACCCGGTGCACCGCAGCATCGTGTGCGGGAGCGGCGTGGACGGGTTTCTGGCATACAGCGGGCTCATGGCGCGCTCGGATCTCAAGGAGGAGGCGGGCTCGGTGTTCGGTGCGATCGAGCTGCCGGTGACCCATCCGGAGAAGTACAATGGACGGGTCGCGTTTGTGGACATCGACAAGGCGGACGAGGCGTTGGCCAAATTTCGTGAGTCGGTGCAGAATGCCTCTCTCTACGAACGCGGCTGGAATAGTAGTGGTGTGCAGCCGGTGGTTGACTGGCTGACGGCGCTGCGGGCGGAGACGGGCCGTACGCTGGATCCCTCCTTGCGCACCCTCATCACGTCTCTCTTGGATGCGGCAGAGGCTGGTGTCGCCGCGGCAGAAGCGCAGAGGATTCAGGAGCAGGAGATGGGGTTGGTGCCGCTGGAGGTGAGGAACGGGCTGGATCGTTCCGTATCGGAGTGGGCAGAGAAAGCGCACACGGAACTTCGCAGCTCATTGGAGGAAGGATTCGCGAGCAAGCCGTGGAAGGGTCTGGCGTGGTGGAAGCTCTTTTGGCGCGTGGACGATGTGGGCATGATTACTGGGGAGATCCTGGATCGCAAGTTTCTGCGTCAGGCCGAGAGGGAGGTCATCTGGACGGCTGGCCGGTTCCAGCAGGCCGGACTGATTCAAACCACTCCACCATCCAGTCCGACAGAACTGCCATCGTGGCCAACTCAGATTCCCACCAGGCGAACCAAGCTGGTCGAGACGACGGCACCGGCTCTTCAAGCGCTGGCGCAGCGACTCGTGCTTTTCAGCATGTCGACCACCACACTCTCCTCTGCGCTGTCCATTCTGACCTATCTCTCTTGGCCCGCTGCGTCAGTGTACGAGACATGCACGATGGCAGCAGTGGGTCTGATCTACTCGCTGCGCCGCCAGCAGCGCAAATGGGAAAGCGCGCGGTCATGGTTTGAGAACGAGGCGCGCGAGGATGGGCGTACGGCTTTGCTCGAGACTGAGGAGCACTTCCGCGGCGTTGTGCAGAAGGGTGGACAACCTCTGCGGGAGGCTGACCCGCTGTCTCCCCTTGAGACGAGACAAGCCATCGACCGAGCGCGCAAAGCTCTTGAGGAGGTCGACTAAAATAGATTCTAGACTTACACTACCGAATGTACTGTACCACTATGACTTCAACAATGAATGTCATACAACCGAACCACACAGTATGGAGAGTAATATCCCACCCACTCATCCATTAGCATTGAGGGGGTTTTTTTTCTTGTAGGAGGTTTTGGTTTTCAAGAGATCTCCACACTGCCCTCTGGCACACCCTTCCAACTCTTCAACCTCCTAGCCAAGAACTGCATAATCGGCAACATCTCCTCGCGACTCCTGGGCATCCCATCGCCCCTCCGCGCATACCGATGGACCTCGACAAACTCAAACCGATCTTTGGTCCGGCGGACCGCACTCTCTGTCACGGCGAGGGAATCCCTCCCGGCGACTAGCAAAGCTGGCGTCCGGTTTTTCTGCGTCGTCGTAGTATTCTTCACTGCAGACAATGGATACGGTGCCCCAATCGACACCACCCCCGACAACCATCGATCATTCCTCTCACCACGCTCACCTTTACCCCCCTCACCCTCGTCACCCTTGAGTTCTGCAGTAACAACAGCAGCAGCAACCCCCTCCGCAACCTCCAATCCCACCATTCCCCCCTGCCCGAGCCCAAACACCAACACGTCCCGCACCTGATACCCGCACTTCCGGACCAGCGTCCCCAGCACAACCTCCTGCACGATCGTGCGCACCGCCCGCGCAAAGCCGGCGTCCATGTCCAGCTCCCCGGCCGGCGTGAATGTCACGTCGTCGCCCCAGTGGTAGCCGCCCAGGTCGAAGGGGAGGGGCTGCGGGGCTTGCAGGGTTAGGACGGTGGTTTCGGGGAGGTTGAGGGCGCGCGCGAACGAGGTGAAGTTTGCGGCGGTGTCGCCCAGGCCGTGTAGGAGGAGGAGGATGTTTGGGGATGTTGGGTTCGGGCTTGGGTCTTTCGTGGTGGTTTGGGTGGTCTGAGGGCCTGCGGTGGGGTGGGTGATTGTTAGGGTGAGGTGGGAGGGGAAGTCGGTTGGTTTGGGGGGTCGGGGGGGCATTGTTGTTGATTTTGTTTTCATTGGGTTGTGGGAGATTTGGAGGACTCTTTGGATGGGCAATTGAAGGGGACAGGTCTCTGGAGTAGTATGGTTGGGATTTCTCTGGTTGAAATTGAAGTAGATAGAGGAGAGAGATGGGAGAGCTTGCACCGCAGCGAGAAGCTGCCTGCATAGGTGATTACCGCTTCGGGGTTAGTCGGTTCTACCGGGCAACTTGCATACAACTAACTGTGCAGCGACTGTTTACACCCCGGGTCATGCAGACACACTGCTCCGGAGTATCATATGCTATGACTTGACTACACGAGACTCCCTCGAGATGTCATCAACATGCTTGCCAAAAGTCTATCCAACAGCAGGACAATCATGATGAAATAGAGAATGATCATTATCTTCTACTGCTCGATGTGGCTCTGCATGGCATGGCATGACGTTCACCTCCCAAGCAAACTGAAACGTGAGCCAAGAGCAACAATATGGACAACAGTGCTCCGATTGCGCTGCATCCATACGGAGTAGTGTTGATCATACTGATAGACACAATGCACATTCTCCAGCTGAAGCAGTACGTAATGTCTTCGCCTGTCGCCGCCTCCCCACCGAAACCAAGCCACATACCGACACTGCCACATATTCGCCACTAAGCCACTTGTTTGTGGTTGGGAAAGTCCGAGTCATCAGAGCCGACTGACACGATCTCTCCGAGACTAACTAGAGGACGCTACAGAACATTCGGTCGCAAGTCTCAGGCTACTCGAACATTGCGGAGACATCGGTAGCATCAGTTGGGCAATTGGATGTGGAGACCACGAGCACGTTTCGACCTCGCGTAGCCAACCATTACCCCCGAGCATACTCCAGTCGGTGCAGCAGCATTGCGCGTGCCCCAAAAATGATATTTCCTGATCATCCGACAGTGCAAGAAGGCGAAAGACAGCTTAATCTCACACTAAAATCCGGGGCAAAGATTAGATCTGATAGGTTGGTTATTGACTTGTGTTAAGAGGCAGTAACTTACTCCCTTTCCTGGACTCCTGGAGAATAATAAGCCTTAACAAGAGCTTCTTGGCGACAAGTTGTCCTTTCGGTTCGACCGGCTCGTCCTTACCCTCGCCAAGCCCAGGCGAGGCGCTAAAACTCATAGCCAGATGGACTCAGCCAGAGTTTAAGGCTGAGTCGATCTCCATCTGTCCATCTGGGCCCCCTTCTAAGCGGTGTCGCCCGGTCGTATCCATGGGAATGATGGATTTATGGGACACGTACGTGTTCTCAAGGCGATGATCCTGGTTACTCGTGGGATTGTAGGCACAGAAAATGGTCGGAACACAATGCAAAGTCATTATCTAGGCCCGCATTGTATTGCCTTCCCTCTATTTCCAGGACCCCCAGGGTCTTTTGTCTAGGCTACGCTATTGCTGATTGGAACCACTGTTTCAGCTCAGAGCAAATCCACCTGTCTTTCAGTGTACTCCGTACCCCTGGCAGAATTCCAAGCGCTGCTGAAAGCTCTCCCACTCACTCACTATCCGACCCCTCCGGAGGATGTATGCTGCTCGATCTAACCAGTAGCAGGCTCGCCGGTCAGCCACACAGAAGCGCTCGTACGCACAGGCGCCTCCCCAAATTGCTCTAGAATCCCAAGACTTCTCCTGTCCGGGTCTCTGAGGTGAGAAGGATGACCAACGTGGCGCCGAGACATGCTACTCGGTGTGATCTGCCTTCCATTTTACCCCACCATGGAGGGGCGACGCCAGACCATCGCCATTCGACCATCAGCCTTCCCCCCCCCCACCACAGGGCATTGGGAGTTGCAGCTATTCTGGTCTTCACAGCAGTGGGTCAGGGGGGTGTAGAGGGGTACGTAGCCGATGGAAGCTGAATTATTATCTGAGGTGGGCTGGCTGCCAGAGGGACAGCTGTATATAAGGCGTCCATCATCCTGCTGTTACCATCCTTTCTTCTCTCCCTATTTTCACACACTATCAATCACCCTCTTCTTAAAACCCTCACGTTCACATTACACAATCACAATGGCTTGGGGCTGGGGTAAGTCTCTCCCATACAAGCTGCCCACCCTTTGATGCACTGCGGGATTATCCCTGTCATGTCACTTACTCTTTGACTTCGATACCCTGCATCAGGTGGGCATGTACACAACTTAACTAACCACGTTTACCTTACAGAACAATCCGATGACGCTCACCGTCAGGTCTACGAAGGCGAGCACCACGAGGCCAAGTTCTCCCACGAGCTTTTGGCCGGTGCCGCTTCCTTCGAGGGCATGAAGCTCTTCGAGGACCACCAGCGCAAGCAGGGTATGCACATATCTCCTATACAAACAACTATCCCTACCCACTTGTCAGACAGTCACGCTAATCGACTTGCGCTCCAATCAGGCAAGACTGTCAACCACGCTTTCGCCAAGGAGCTCCTTGCTGGCTTCGTCGGTGCCGAGATTGACAAGCTGGCCGAGACCAAGGGCATGGACGAGGTCGAGAAGCACCGTGCCAAGAAGCACGCCGAGGAGAACGCCCACCGCATGTACGAGGAGCACTACGAGCGCGGTCACGGTGCCCCCGAATACGACCCTCGCATCCCTCCTCCTCCCCGCTTCGGTAACGAGGGCCGTGGCTGGTACTAAGCTCTCTTGTGCAACATGGGCATAGACTGGATCTAGGCCTGTTGTTCGGCGTGTTGATATGATACGATGACTGTATATCCACAATGAAAATTTTTGTCCATCCGAATTTTTTTCTTTCCATTTGAAATATGGTCGTTTGCTCTGCATGCGATATTGCGCGTAGACTGGAGCCTCTGCCGCAGATATGACTTGTCTGGTATGGTGGGGTCAGATAAGTCGACTTTTGAGTCATGATAGTCGGTCTGCAAGAAGATGAGCCAAAACAGAAACAGTCGTACTGATCTATCACTCGCGAGGCGCAAAGAGGTACTCAGCGGGCTGAAACGGGGCCACCGCAAACTGCATGGCCAGTATGTAGGATTCCACCCAATCGGGCAAGTAACGCGGATTATCACGGAGTGATTGCGACTGACGGCAAGCAAGGATCTTCCATCTGCGACCTCATCGGTGCATGAGCGACTATTTTGGGTTCATGTGTCCTGTATGAAGTGTCCTGTATGAAGAAAAGATAGTTTGATGCGCCAAAGAGGGGCAGTCTTGGGATAGCTTTCCCGCTCTTTGCAATTTCGCAGTCGCGTTGGGAAAGAATGCTTTTCCATGGCCTCGAGTCTGTTGTCCATCACCTCAGTTGTGCAGTCAGTCCCCTGAAGGTAGGTAAGGTTCGAACAATCCCAAGGGGTTCCCAATCAAAAGGGGACAGGATGCGAAGAAGTCAAGGACTACTATCCATGGAACTGGAAGTGGAGAGAGGCAGGAGAAGGACGAAAGTACGGACAGTATACGAGCAGTGAACCGACCGTCTGCTATGCTGAAGACTCGATGGGGATACTTTGTCCGGTGTGATAGAGGGACCAGTCAGAAAACACCTGCCTTCACCGCCCTGCCCCGGCTACTGCAAATGAGCTCATCGGCTGCTGCACGTGCATAAATCCGAGCCTATCAGCCTTCGATAGACCATCACCAAGTCCTTGAAGGTTCAACACTCAGTCAAATGAAATGGAGAACTAAAATAAAAAAATAAATAAAAATAAAATATCATAACACAGCGTTGTCGGCTCTTTGTCTTGCGATGACGGACTGCGTGTAAACCTGTGGTAGCTTCCATCTGGTCGTGCTTTTTACCGGTTTCGCATTTTTAGCCTCGTTTACTGCAGCATTCATAGGTTGCTTCTTTTTCCACCGTCGAGGGCCTTCTTCTCGTCTCTTTTCTATTTTTTTTTTTTTTCCTTTTTACTTTCGTGCTTCCATTCTTATCTGCTTCTACTCCGCGCCCTCGTTTCGCTGTGACATTCTATTTCTATCTTCATCTTCCTAGTACTAAATATTCATCTCTCCCTCTTCACCTCCAGCTTCCCCTCCCTTCCCCCCTCCCCCACCTCCTCATCTTGTGCTGAAGAGTGTGTTTGCGAACTGGGAAGAGTGTTTGTGCTAGCGCTTGGTCAGAGAATCTTCTGATTGGTACCTTTGGGCGGCTTGTCAATCGACCTGAGAAATGGGATTACGAGGCCTCTGAACTATTGGAACTCTTCTCGATGATCCTCGGATACCAGGATCCCTGTCAACTTGCTCCACCATTCTTCTGCTTCATCCTGTTGCCACTGTGATGGTACTTCCTGCGTCATAAATCCTCCTGGGTAACTTTTGTATTTTTTTATCAACCGTATCATGCTTGCTCATGCCTTTGTCTTACCAGCATGAAATTCGCCAAGTGCGTCCCACTCACCCACCATTGCTCCGGAATGCTTAGTTCTTTGTGAGGCGTTGCTGACTCCAGTCATTGGCGACAGGGAGCTGGAACAGGAATTAGTTCCAGAATGGCGAGCTAAATATCTTGACTACAAGGTTGGTGTTTTCCCCCACAGTGTTTGCTCAGTTCATGCTGGGTGTCGTCCGATGCTCATCCATTGTTGTGACTGCGACAGACCGGCAAAAAGAAAGTCAAAGCCATCTCGCGCGCCCTGCAGAAAGCCAATCGCAGCCCGAGCCATCCGTCCCTCCGCAATTTCTCATACCCTCAATCCGAGCAGGCTGATCGCCTGCTGAGTTCGGACCGTCGCTCGTCCGTTCGAAGCGAGAGCCGCAATGAATTGGCTCATGACACTCTTCAAGTCCCCTCCACGCCAGTCCGAAGCAATGGCTTGACACCGCGCTCAACATCGGCGCAAAGTGAACGGCAGCCCCTGCGGGCCCCTGGATCGCGGTTCTCGGGCGTGGTAGGAACCTATGGGAGTATTGTGGCCTCAACACCCCAACAAGCTGCGTCATCGGATGTAGCGTCTCTGCGACTGCCAGATCCAGCAATCGATCCCAAGGAAGTCGAATTTTCTTCACCGGAAAGGGAGGGTGATTCTGATGACCGCCCCGAAAGTCCGTCGCCAATTTTATCTCGGTACGACAGCTTGCGACCAGGTACACCCGCCAGAACCCGCCCGAGCCCCTCGGCGCCACAGCCCGCTGCTAAAGGTATAAAGGATTACAAGAGGAACACGGTGGCAGGCCCTTCAAACCGCAGAGGCTCCCTACTGCAGCGAGTGTTGTCGTATCAGGATTGGAATGCTCCCGAGAAACGCGACATCACTGACACGCCGACATCGGAAATTGCCAAGCGACAGGATGAGTTCTTCGCTTTTCTCGATAGTGAGCTAGCTAAGATAGACTCGTTCTATCAGATGAAAGAACAGGAAGCGGCGGAGCGTCTGAAGGTTCTCCGGAATCAGCTTCATATAATGCGGGACCAGCGCACCCAAGAATTCCTTGACAAATCTAAGAATGCCGGAACTAAGAAGGACAACGCCCAGTCGAACGGCTTTGGTGGCCTGGCCAAGATCAAAGATGCTTTCCCCGGACGTCATTTCGGGAAGAACTCCAAGGCCTTGGCAGAGCTGGCAACCCCCGTTGGACAGGCGCACGACTTACCGAATACCATCACGCGGAGAGACTTTGCGCGGCGGCCAGAAGAATCGAATCATGCCGAGGTTCCCTATCGCTCCGCAAAGAGGAAGCTGAAACATGCGCTTCAGGAGTTCTACCGTGGCGTGGAGTTGTTGAAGGCATATGCCTATCTGAACAGGACCGCTTTCCGGAAAATCAACAAAAAATATGACAAGGTTGTCAATGCGCATCCTCCGATGCGATACCTGTCCGAGAAGGTCAACAAGGCGTGGTTCGTTCAGAGTGAGGTCACCGAGCATCTGTTGTCGGCAGCAGAAGATCTCTACGCCCGCTACTTCGAGCGCGGCAACCGAAAGATTGCTGCGTCTAAACTGCGGCATACAGTCAATAAGGCTGGCGACTACTCGCCGAACACGTTTCGTTCTGGTCTCCTCTTGATGGCTGGCATTCTGTTCGCAGCTCAGGCATTGGTTTATGCTACCCGTAACCTGAATGATGACGATGACGATCTGAAACTGAACACGAGCTACTTGCTCCAGGTTAGTCTCGCAGGCTTGATGCATAACTGTGGGCAGTATCTGACTCTGCTAGATCTACGGTGGCTATTTTCTCATCGTTTTGCATTTTCTGCTATTCTGCTTGGACTGTATGATTTGGACGAGAGCCAAAATCAACTATGTCTTTGTTTTCGAGTTCGACACCAGGCATGCTCTGGACTGGCGTCAATTAACCGAGGTGAGAGCTTCCTTCTAGCCGTGTGATTTGGCTTATTCTGACGCTACTGCAGTTACCCAGTTTCTTCTTGTTCATACTAGGTCTCTTTATGTGGCTTAATTTCATGCTGATCAACTCCGCATATATATATTGGCCTGTCATTTTAATAGGTGTGACGGTGATAATTCTTTTCTTGCCAGTGCGCACATTATACCATCACAGTCGCAAATGGTGGGCCTATTCAAATGTGAGTGGTGCTCGTGTTACGATTTTGGGTCGGAAGCTAATCATGCATGGCAGTGGCGACTTGTTTTGGCTGGTTTATACCCTGTTGAGTTTCGTGATTTCTTCCTCGGTGATATGTACTGCTCTCAGACATATGCTATGGGCGTAAGTATTATCTTTGTGCTCAATGGGGGACTCTGCGGTCGTTGCTAACTGATCATAGAACATTGAATTGTTCTTCTGCCTCTATGCGAAGCACTGGGATAATCCGCAGCAGTGTAACTCATCTCACTCCCGTTTATTGGGGTTCTTCACATGTCTTCCCGGAATCTGGAGAGCTCTCCAGTGTCTACGCCGATATGCCGACACGAGAAACGCCTTCCCTCATTTGCTCAACTTTGGGAAATACATGTTCACTGTCCTCTACTATTGCACCCTGAGCCTCTACCGTATCGACAGGGTCTCAAGCTTTGAGGCACCGTTCATCACATTCGCGTTGCTGAATGCTGTTTACTGCTCCGTGTGGGATCTTGCTATGGACTGGAGTCTGGGAAATCCTCATGCGAAGAACCCGTTGCTTCGTGAGGTGCTAGCCTTCCGCAAGCCGTGGGTATACTACGTTGGGATGGTTATTGATGTGGTGATCCGGTTCAACTGGATCTTCTATGCCATTTTTCGCAGAGACATCCAACATTCGGCCGTCCTCAGTTTCGCCGTTGCACTTTCCGAGGTGGGCCGGCGAGGCGTTTGGACCATTTTTCGTGTGGAAAACGAACACTGCACGAATGTTCTTCTCTTTCGAGCATCCCGAGATGTCCCGCTACCATATGAAGTTCCCAAACCACAACTTCCATCTGCCCAGCCAGAGGAGGCCATGCAGCTCCAAGACCACCAACCTCTGGCCCCCGTCCCCACCGTCGGCGATGCCGAGCAAGGCACGCCACCCACTCCGGGCTTGTCTGTCCGGACGCCGCGCGGTCTTTCCCGCGTTGGTACCCTGCTGGCTGCGGCCCATGCACAGGACTTCCAGCGCAAGAAGCGTCCGGCTGAACTACATGGAGCCACGATAAGTCCGGAAGGGCTGGTGGACACGCCGGACGATAGCACAGATGAGGAAGACGGTTCACGGCCATCTTCGGAGGGAGGGAACATCATAGTGGAAGAGTATCACGACGATGAGCGGATCTAACGTGGAGCCGAAGGGGCCGGGCCTTTAAATCCTATTTGTAGGATATTTTGCTTTCATGGCATATATTAGAGGATAGACTTTATATATATTACCGCATATAATAAATGATCACGAAGTCCAGCGAGGATGAGATGAGGTCGTAAACACAGTTTAGTTAACTAATTGATGATGCAGGAATGACTAATCGATGTACCGTGTTTGCATAGTTTGCACACGACGTCACGCGCGGACCCCCGAGGCACTTCTGGACCCTTCGTTGCCTTCACTCTCGCTCCGCCGTGGTCTTATCTATATCATCTCATCCACCCATCTCTTCACTCTTCAGACCTTCTCATTCATTCATAGAAGCCATTTCGTGCGTGAGAGCAAAAATGGCAGCCAACACTAGATATGAACCCGCACCGCAGCGCGACTCTTTCGAAGAGCGCGCTTACACTCAGCCCCCGCCTTCTTATCAGGCAACTGCCGATTATTCGCAGGCCCCTCCTCGCGGCGAGGACGACAATGTTCCTGATGACTTCAAGGTAACTCCCACATCCATACTACCCTTTTTTCTCCGGCCTCACACTGACAATACATGATGTAGTTCGGCGGCACTGTGGCGGAGGGCACCCTGCCCATCCGTATGCAGTTCATCCGCAAGGTCTATGCGATCCTGTGAGTTGCCCCCGACATGAATCCGATTTATCTCGCAGCGCACAAATCAAACTAACGATGTGAAACTCAAATCAGGACGGCCCAGCTCCTCTTGACGACCGTGATGAGCTCCATCTCCTTTTTCAGCCCCAGCTACCGCAACTGGATCCAGTCCAACTTCTGGGTCATGATCCTCTCCGTCTTCGGCGCCCTGGGCTTCATGCTGGTTACCTACTGGAAGCGCAAATCGTACCCGGCCAACCTGCTGTTTTTGTCCGGCTTCACCATCATGGAGGCCTACTCGATCAGCGTGGTCACCTCACTGTATGAGAGCCGCATCGTGCTGCAGGCCCTCGTCATCACGCTGGGCCTCTTCGTCGCCCTGACCCTCTTCGCTTGCCAAACCAAGTACGACTTCACCCACTGGATGCCCTACCTCTTCGGCGCTCTGTGGTTCTTGATCCTCTTTGGGTTCATGGCCATGTTCTTCCCCGGCAGCAAGACCGTTGAGCTGATCTACGGAGGTGTCGCCGCCTTGGTCTTTGCTGGTTATATCCTGGTGGATACCCAGTTGGTTATGCGCCACTATCACGTCGAGGAGGAGATTGCAGCCTCTATCTCGCTGTATCTGGATATTTTGAACTTGTTCTTGGCGATCCTGCGGATCTTGAACAGCCAGAGCAATAACTAGTGTGGCAGGGGGTTGCTGCTCTCGGCTTCAGGGGTTCTCGTTCGTAATTCAATACCGCATTTCGCTCACTCCCTGTGCGCTATTTTGAATTCGAACCCTTTGAAGTGTAAGGCCGAGCCTACCCAGCAGAAGAGACCCATCAAATTACACCCAAACAAACAGATTGCCAATCATGAAGTTATTCTCTCTCTCTCTTTCTCTCTTTCCCGCTCCCTTTTCTAAATCTTTGTCCCTCTATCTTCAGACTTGCGCTCCACTTGTATTCATCTCTCATTTAAAACCCTTATGCCTAAATCCAAACCGCCCCTTAGCTTCTACTCGTTTACCTCACTGTAGGTTCACGTACTCCCTTGATCTTTGAAGGCCATTTTGCCGGATTAGCGCCGTTTGCGACTTCGTTTCCATACAACAAGCATCTCCCCTTCTCCTCCTGGTCATGTCCATCGTTACTCCGTATTTGGTGTAAATTCTCACCTAGCTTGTTTTTGTAAATGGTACAGAATGTCAGAATCATACTTTTTTTTTTTTTTTTTTCTTTAGTAAAACCATTAAACCCCATCCCCAAACAAACAACCTTGCCTGGGTCTTGGACGTCGAGATTAATTGCTAGACGGCTCTGAGTTTGTCTACCTTGGCTGGCTGATTCACGGAGCAGATATTGGCAAGATACTAGCGCATATAGTTCCGATGACACCAGCAAGTTGCGCGCTCCGTTCGTTGCAATTAGGTACTGCGACAGAACTACCGTAACGAAAATACACTTCTACTTCAGGCAAAGTATACGCGACTCAAGATTCTAGCATGATTTACGCCTGTATTTCTGGTTGTCTGGTTCCCAAAAAAATTTCTCACCCGACTCGTATATGTCTGAACCATGCAAGGTAACGTTAAGACACACGACAACAAACATTGCAGGACTAGATGAGAAACAGTCACAAAATGAGTTCAGAAGAGGAAGATTCTTGGCTGTGGTATATGCCATTGAAGAGCGTGAACAGAAAAGCCAGAAAAAAAAAAGAAAGAAAAAATTGAGTAGATGTCTAGAATTGCGTAGACAAGAGATTATAACAGATACCCCCCCAGAACGCCGGTGCCGTGGTATAGTGATGTAGTTCCCAATCAACTGTAATCTTTTGAATCAAGACCCAGCTCTAATAGACCTGCTCGCAATGCAGAGTAAAACGCGAAGAGGGGGCAATGGTGGCAATAGACCTGAAATGGAAAGAGATATAGGGGAAAAGAAAGTGGGCAAGGTGAAAAAAGAGTGATCACCAAGATGAGTCAAGAAAGAGAATCCAAAGTCAAGCCTAGCTTGACTCTTCTTAGACCTGCTTTGGTTCTAATGAGAGGCTAGAAAGAGTGAATTCGTGATGAGACACACAACCATGACCAAAACACCGTAGATCACGAGCCCCAGGCTCAACTTCCGCAGCAGTGCTCTGCGCCAATGCCGAGTGCTGCGGCGGAGGATACCACTCTCCGTCAAGGGACGAGCTTGCGAGGTCTCGATGTCCTCATCGTCATCGTTGCTATCGGACATGATCGCATCGCCCATTTCGTCGTCTTCCTTCATCAGGCGCTGATGGTGCGGTGAGTCTGGGGAAGAGATCTTGTAGTAGAAAAGGCCCGGAAGGATGAAGCTGATACTGGTGCTCCCAGTGCTGCCGACATAGGCAAGCACAGCCTCGAGTGAGGACACGGTCATTGCAACGATGTAGCTCAGCACGAGAATGGTGGTGGTAATGATGGAGAATCGAAGGTCGCTCATCGGCTCCGGGGTCCGAGTGCCTCTTGACCCCAGGAGTGGGTTCCGGTGGGGCGAGTGGTCGTTAGACCCCGAGGGCTTGGGTCTCCAGCGCAGCACTGCGTCCACAGATGCCCGGCACGGGTGGCACTGAAGCGGATAGGAGAACATGACAAGCATGACGATGGCGGCGCGACCTATGGTAGCGTAGAGGCCTGGCGGGTACATGCCGACAATATTTCCGGCTACGTTGTTCCCGAATGAGAGGTAGCCCGTGATGGCCACCAGGATGTAGGTGGCAGCGGCGCTACCGATGCTGGAAAAGACGACTCCGGTGGTCCGGAAGTGGCTGTTGTTGCTGATCTCGTTCAGGATCGAGAACATCTGTTGCACGGGTCAAAAGGGCCCTAGACCAACATCATAATGAGGGAGTAACGTACGTTCTGATGGCAGGTGAATGCAAAAACAATGACAGGGAGACTGCTGAGCGTGGGAACAGGACCGGCCCAGTGTATCACGCGAATGGGACCCCGATCAGTAGTTGTATCTCCAATCACGAAATGGTAGACGACCAAGACCACCAAATAGGCCATCGAAACGAGTGCTGCAATACTCGTATACTTGAGCGAGTCCAAGCGCCGGAGATAGGAGAGGGGAATGACGATTAACCTGAGATAAGATGAGACGCATCAGTCATGTCCCAATTCTGGTCACCGCGGGGGAGCGTACATGAAGGCCGTTACCCAGAAATGGCGGTCCACCAAGAACTCATAATCTGGAGAGCCTCCCACGAAACCCTGAACCACTCCGGGCATCAGATCTCCAATGATGATCAGATAACTGACCCCGACTCCAAAACATTTAACCGCAATTGCGGCGTCAAAGACAACGGCCGCATTGGGGTAGGTCAGCTGCGACAGCGCGAAAAAGGAAGCGGTTCCGCGCTCCAGGTATCGTGCACATTGAGACTGCAGGTATAGGCCAAACCCAGCTGCTGTTCCCGACCATAAAATGACAATAACACCGAGGACGATACCCATATGCGAAATCGCGAGCGGCATGGCTAGAACACCCGCGCCAATGACTACCGGCACAATATGCTGTCAGATAAAAAGAACGGCCGAGGATGATTGGCTATGATGTGGTCCGACTCACTGGTATTGACCAGGTTGATCACGCAACTGATCCAGCTGGCATCGCCATGGAGTCCGGGGGTCCATTTCCCTCTCCCGCCACGCCTGCAACAATTAACCCGTTAGCGATAAGGAACGCCCGGGGAAAACAGCGGTGCGGAGGAGTATAGGCCTTTACCTTCGAGACGCAGCTCTGGGCGAGACCACCCCAATAGAAGCCTCATCGTCCATCATGTTGCCGGTACAAGTTGGGGATGATGGTGTGAGAAGATGATAGGGAGATAAGAGGTGGCCACACGACAGGAGAATTCCGGGGTGGGTCAACCCGACATACTATGGAAATTCCAAGGCCACTCGAATTTGCGACAGCAGGCAGGAGAGAGGAAGAGGCGGGGGAGAAGGGGGAGGAAGTTTAAACGGGGGGGTAGTGTTCTTGGGAATAAATACAAGCGACCGAGTTGAAGAGATAGAGAGGAGATTGAGGAGGGGAGGGGGGGAAGTTGTCTGGAGAGAAGAAGAGGAAGAGAAGCAGCGGAGATAACATGGACGACTGGGCTCGTATTTTTCCCAAATTAGCATCCTTAGTCAGACACGTTTTCCCTTGCCGCCTTGAAGTTAACTTCCAAGGCCTCCTTCAAAACTCCCCTCTAACTAACTATCTTGAAAAGGTTAAACTATGCGACTGCGTTCCGCTTCTCCGCTACTTACTAACTAACCGCTGTATCATCAAAGCATGAATCACTGCTAACTACAGTCTGGGCTCCCCCCAACCCCGCTGAGCCAGCAAATCATAGACCTCATTCTCCAGCACATTGACTTTCGACACCGTATTTCCGGGCCGTTTTCCGGGGCCCGGATCATTGAAGGCACTAACCGAACGCACGGTCTTGGAGACCTCCAGAATCGTTCCCCCACTAACCATAAACTGGGAACCTTGACCGGTCTGATCCCCAATGATCTCTCCAACATGGTCCTGTTGGATTAACGCCAGCATGACTTGAGCCACTTCCTCCGGGGTCACCCACTCATCCGCGTTCTTGTCGACTATCTTTATCTTCTCCGGATGCTCCGTCCAAAGCGGCGTCTTGATCACCCCCGGGGCCACCGCCGTGACGCGGATCCCGCATTTCTGGTCAAGCTGGGCTAGGGAGCGGACCAGGCCATTGATCGCATGTTTCGTGGCTACGTAGATGGGAGTCGTCAGAGACGGGTTCTGCCCGGCAATGCTGGAGATGTGAATAATGTGCTTGCGGCCCTGGCTGCTGCTGGTAGCCTTGCGAAGGAAATGCGCGATGGCCAGCTGAGTCGTGCGGATGGGATGGGTCAAGTTGATATCTATCAAGGCATAGCGACCACCATGCTGTGGATCCCGACTCTCTGGTGTTCCGGGGGGGCGCCAGAAGTTGGTCCAAGGCTGCATGCGGGAGACAGGCCCATACAATAAGCGAGACATACCTTGCTTGCTGGGTGAAGGGTCTGGGGCACATACCGGCTCGTAGATCCCTGCGCCGGGACACACAATGTCAACTTCCCCGAACTCCTTCTCGGCCACTTCGAACATCTGCTCCAGCTGCTTCCAGTCGGTTACATCGGTCTTCTGGAAGACAGCGCGGGGGCCTTTGCCCGGGGCCGAGTACTGGTCCACGAGAGATTGTGCTTCGGGGCGCAACCCCAGATCGGCGATAAGGACATTGCACCCATTCTCGAGTAGCAGTTTCGCGAATGCCAGGTTTATGCCTACAGTAACTGTATCAGTGCCCTGCTTGGATCCGAGTGGCAGTCGTCGCTGATTTGGCTACTATGGATTGACGCACCAGAACCTGCTCCTGTGACGAGGGCAGATCGTCCTTGGACTGGAAAAGACATGGTGAAGTACTAGTAAGTTTGAGAGGAGGTGCAGAATGCCGCCCGCTCAGAAGGCAGTGGGGGTTCCTCTCGCCGTGCCACCTTCCATCCTGTCATCTTTATACTGCTTTCAGGGGGTACCGATCCGAGCAATCAGGCTCTTGTGACCCCATGTTGACATAGTAAAGCAAAGCGGGGTTTGGTACGGAGTAGATCGGGCGAAGCTAAGCTGAGCTGGCCTGCAGCGGACAAACGCCGATGAGGGGATACTGCTGGTGCGTTGGGTTACGGCAAAGAGCGTGGTCGATATAACCTTAGACACACGAATCATCAACCGCGTTCTTGCATTGCGTCCTGTTAAGAAAGAGACGAATCGGCAAAAGAGTCTGTGTAAGTTTGCGGACTTACTCCGTGCACAAGAAGGCCCAGTATAGCTTCGGTACCGCAGGGGGATGAGACGCAAAAAGAGATGAGTAGCCCCCGGCGAGGCTCGAACTCGCAACTTCCAGATTAGAAGTCTGGCACGCTACCATTGCGTCACGGGGGCTGGTGATGTGAAAAATAAAATCTTTTTGACATCACAATCTTGTACTAAAGCCGATAAGATATTGTTGGCAAATCCCCTCCTTTGAAAATGCCGCAAATTGACTCCGAACATCGTTCGTTTTAAAAAAGCTAATTCCAGCGGAAAGGGCTTAACAGGGTGAACATATACAGTACTCAGTCAACCAATGATCAAGCCAAGAATTCCATAGCAGTGCATAAAAGCAGAATCTCCGTCTTCTCAAGAACGAGATGGGAAACAAAAACTCACAGCCCCCGGCGAGGCTCGAACTCGCAACTTCAAGCTTAGAAGGCTTGCACGCTACCGATTGCGTCACGGGGGCAGTTGATGCTCCCAGCCCGCAATCTTTGGCTCCATGATGCTGCGGCTGGGGAAACGCGGATGAGAGATGATGACCCTATCGCCACGCACCCTAAACCACGTTCACTTCGTAATGTCACAGAAACACGATTAGTTATAGACTATGTGATGTACCCAATGACATTGGCCCGTTTCGTCAGTATTGCTTTGCCTGCAACTATCCATTTATGGCAGATGCTGTGGCAGCCGCAAGTCGCCACAGATGACACCAATATTTGGGCGCACCGAGTGTGGAGAATTCACTGTGGTGTGGTTACGACAAACGGCATTCACTGATGCGCAAGTGTACAGCCACTGCAGATGCAGCACACTCGGAGGAAGTCCACTGGTATCATGGCATCGTATCGAGGGTGCAGTGCCAGCAGCACTCGGCCATTAGGCCATTCACAGTGGCTGAATCGCCTTCTATGCAAACACAAGGTCTCGTCATTTGCCCTTCGAAAAGAAACAAATAGCCGAGAAGACTGGGTCCAGTCGGCAATGTTTCTACTCCGTAGCACCACAGCTGCCTGGTTCAATGGATTGTAGTGACGCAGTTGTTTCTCCATAGTATGAAGCGGTTTCTGGTTTGCGGGGGATGTCGGCAGCTTCCCGCAACCGGTAATCGGCCCGCCGCCCGTCCTGGAGACTTTGCCGACAAGGGCTCCACGGGACTAAGGGTGGCCCATGGGGTATTTGAAGTACCCCAGGGGAGGCCACGGGGCTGTTTTTTTCAACTTGTATATCTCGAGTGACGAGTGACAATGACACTATCAAAATGGTTAGCCAAGACCACCGCCCGCGCGGCCTCAACATCGACCTCAGCCTCGTCGATGACCAAGGCCGCGGGCAATATCTCGAGTGTCTTTCCCAGTCTGCGACCCGACTACAAGCCAGAGCCTTTGCCCTCTCGCTTTCGAGATTTGAAGCTACAATACTTCCAGAAAAATGAGAAAGCACTGAAGCAGAGCTGGAAGCGACTTCTTCCCAGCCTGGAAGAAGAAGTTCAACAGATCAAATTGAAAGGAAGCGACGTACGTTCTATAAATGCCCTACATCCTCCAGCCAACCCTAAAAACCCCCACTCCCAAAAAAAAGAGAAAATAAAAGCAAAGGAAAGAGAACCGACAAGTAACACTTGAACCGCAGATCATACCCTCCGTGAAATACTCCGACGTAGTCAATGGCACCGTTCCTGATGCGACCCTCGCGGAAATCCATCACCGCGGCTCGGTGGTCATCCGGAACGTCGTCCCTCGCTCACAAGCCCTAAGTTGGAAGACTCAAGTCCAAGAGTACATCGCCGCCAACCAAGAGCGCGTGAAAGCCTTCCCCGTCGATTCTCCTGCGGTCTACGAGCTGTACTGGACCCCGTCGCAAGCCGCCGCGCGCAGCAACGCCCACATGCTTGCGACGCAGCGATTCCTGCAACGGCTCTGGCACTCCTCCGACCCCAGCACGCGCATCTCGACGCGCAACCCACTCACTTATGCCGACCGGCTCCGCATCCGTCAACCGGGCGACGCCAAGTTCACGCTGGGCCCGCACATTGACGGCGGCTCGCTCGAACGCTGGGAGGACCCGGAGTACGCGCGCGTCTACGCGTCCATTCTGGCCGGGCGGTGGGAGGACTACGACCCCTGGGACGCGAAGCACCGTGTCGCCGCCAAGATGGACCTGTACAACGGGGCGGGCGCCTGCTCGATGCTCCGCTTCCTCCAGGGCTGGCTGTCCATGTCGCACACCGCGCCGGGCGAGGGCTCCCTGCACGTCTGCCCCATGCTCCGCCACAGCACCGCCTACACCATCCTGCGGCCCTTTTTCGACCCCCACTCCGGCGAACCCCTGCTGGACAACACCTTCCCCGGTTCGGTGCCCGGTGCCTGCCAGGAGTACAATCCTATCACTCACCCGCACCTCGAGCTCGAGGCCACCATGGTTTCCGTTCCCGAGGTCGAGCCAGGGGATTATGTGGCCTGGCACTGCGATTCGCTGCACTCGGTCGATAGAGAGCATCGGGGGACCGGGGATTCCAGTGTCATGTACATTCCCGCCACGCCCATGTGTGAGATGAATGTGGAGTATCTGGTGAAGCAGCGGCAGGCGGCCCTGTCATACTCCCCGCCGTGGGACTTCCCCGGCGCCGGGGGTACCGGTGAAGCGGGCTTCAAAGGCGCCCTGGATTGGGAGACTATCACTCCCGAGGGGCGAAGGGCGATGGGTCTGGGGCAGAGTCCTTGGGAGGTGACGACGGATATGAGCGAGGGGGAGAAGGCAGTGGTCAAGGCCGCGAATGAACTCTGCTTTGGGCAGATTTGATGTGGACTTGCTTTTATGTGAGTTTAGCGATTTTCGCATCTGCGGTCTTTTCAAATTTGGATAAACCTCACATTCAGGCAAGGCTTGTCATTTGGGCATAATGCGGGATGTAGCCTCAATTGTTCATGAAAATCAGCTCTTTTTTCACAGTCATCTCGTTGGAGAATTCCGCCAAGGACGATAGTAGCAGACAAGAAGAGGACGTGGTTAGGATGTTCCATATAAACAATGCCAGACATAGGAGGGTGGAAGACACCTTTGGAGCTCATTTGAGTATAATACTGGTGGCAGCCACATTTGACGTTCACCGAGTCGTCTCGTGTTGTGTCTACAGTAAAGATATCGTGCTGGAAATGCAAGGCGGTTGATTTAGAAGCATGACTGGAGGCTGGTAATAGATTGTGTCCTCTCAGTGCGTTGGCCAGGACTGATTCGGCAAAACAGAATGGTCTTTGATGGGTTCCAAGTTGAAACTGTGGTCGTTGCGCCACGACGAGATTGGTCGTGGCTCCATGCTAGCCTGGTAATGCTGAAGATTTGCTTAACACTTCTGGCGTAATCTTGAATACGTCTGTCGAAGCCTTTGGTAAGTGGGTTAAGACTAGGAATCGGCTCAGTGTAGACAAGTTCCGCGATGTAAAAGGGTAGCAGGTAGGAGAAGTGTGCTCAGTGAGCAAAAAGCGACGCCAAGTTGGACCTGCAGCGCAAAGGAAAAGTCGCTGGAGTTCCGAAGCCATCCAGTTTTATAGTAGACTGTGCACCACTACGCAAGTACTAGTGGGAAGGGGAGAACTTCATATCACGGGGTGTCAATATAGACGCCCCATGGACTTTTGAGCAAGGTACACGCGACAAGGGACCTATTTCTAGCAGCAAATACTACGAGGGAGAGATAGCCTTTAAGCCAGTTAACCATGTTTTGAGTTCGTATGACCGTGACTTCTATGAACATTAAAGAATAAGCAAGAAAAGCTCCGCAACCTCATTACCGACCTACTTAAGGCTTCATTTTGATCATTTAAAAGTCCTCATCATCAGAAACCTCCTCTCCGCGCTTCTTTCTAGCCATTCTCTCCTTGCGCTTCTTGCGCAATTCGCTCGAGGTGAGCTTCTTCTTCTTCTCGATGACGGTCTGGATAGGAATTAGCATCAAGGTTCATCAAGAGATCGAGACTCTCCCAGAAGGGGACGGGAGAAGGGGAACGGGGAAAGGCAGTGGGGGGAAGGCATACCTTGTTACCCATGGCATCAATGACCTCAGTGTCACCGGCGTTCTTGTCCTCCAGACGGGGACCGGAACCCTGACCCTGAACCCAGTTGTGGCCGGAAGGAGTCATCTTTCCGTCGACGACAGCCCAGACTTCCTCAGTCAGGTTCTCAGTGAACTCACGAGAGTGAGTAATGATGATAACACCACCCTCGAAAGTCTTGATAGCCTTGGACAGAGCACCCAGGGAGTCACGGTCCAGGTAGTTGGTAGGCTCATCCAGGACGATGACGTGGGGACGCTGCCACGAGCAAGCGGCAAGGACGACCTTGACACGCTGACCACCGGACAGACCGCGCATGCGGGAGTGGGAGACAAGCTCGGCGTCGAGACCGAAGTTCTCGCAGTGCTGCTCGATCTCCTTGCGGACCAGAGGACGGAACTGACCGCTGGCAAGAGCCTCCTTCTGATCGACCTCAGCAACCATCTTGGCGTGGGACTGCATGATCTCGTTACGGGGAATCCAGGCGTTGTCGGTGCTCATCATGGGGGTCCAGCGCTCGGACTTCATGCCGATGTTGTCACCCAGGGCGAACGAACACTCGTACTCGTAGCTGTTCTTGAACTTTCTACGGGCGTGGATACCAATGACACGACGGAAGGTACCCTCGATCTTGTAGATCTTGTCCATGGCCTTCTCATCCTCCTCGGTGACGATCTTGTTGGCACGGTCCATGGTCTCACGGTCCTCACCGGTCTGGAAACGCCACTGAATGTACTCGGAGGGAGTCTTGTCGAGGTGGTTATCGATGTGGGCGAAAGCGTGCTGCTTGATGTAGGCGATACGGATGTTCTCGTGCTGGTAGACGTCACCAGTGGTGGGGATCAACTCACCGGTCAGGACGTTGACCAGGGTGGATTTACCAGCACCGTTGGGACCGATGACAGCAATACGGGAACCCAGAGAGACCTGGAAGGTGATGTCGGTGATCTGGGGCTTGGGGGTGTTGGGGTACTGGAAGGACATGTTGTTGACACGGATGATGGCCTTAGCCTTGGTCTTGACACCCTCAAGGAAACCGGGCTCGGGGAACTTGAACTCGAGCTCGGAAGCACCCAGCTCGTAGTAGGAGCGAGCAGCAGGAACACGCTTGACGAACTCGCTCAGGTTACCACGGTAACGCTTGAGCTTGAAGCGCTCGTAGTGGACGACGTGCTGGATGACGTTGTCCAAGAACTTAGAGTCGTGGGAGACGATGATGGACGTGCAGGGGGAAGTGCACAGGTAGTTCTCCAACCAAGCAACGTTCTTGACGTCCAAGTGGTTGGTGGGCTCATCAAGCAGAAGAATATCGGGGTTCTCGAAGACGGCACGGGCCAGGGCCAACTTCATCTTCCAACCACCAGACAGGGAGGTGATGGGGTTCTCGAGCTGCTCCTTGAGGAAACCGAACTCGAGAAGCTTAGCCTCGACATCAGCCTGGGCGATATCGAGACCGACCTCACGCAGCTTCTTCATGGTCCAGCCAATGACAGTCTGCTCGGTATCGGCAGCGTCCAAGTCGTGCTCGACGTAGACGGTCTTGACCTCGCTCTTCTTGGGGAAGCCCTCAAGCTGCTCGTTGTTGATGGCGCGCATGAGAGTGGTCTTACCGGTACCGTTGGGACCGAGGAGACCGTAACGCTGACCACGCTTGAGGCGGAGGTTGGTCTGGTTGAGCAGGATCTTGGCACCGTAGGCCAGGGAGAAAGTGCAGTTACACAGATCCTCACCCTCCTCCTCGTCGGAGAGAACGGCATCAGCCTCAGCAGCGAGGGGAGAGGCCTTCTTGCGGAGGGTCTCGACAACGCTCTTGGCATCCTCCTCACCGACAATGGCGGCAATGTAGGGCTGGGCGTTCTGGGTCCAGCTGGTGACCTCGGCATCCTTCTCGTCAACGAGCTGACCAGCAACGGCACCGACGTACTCGATGACAGCCTCAGCACCCTCGGCCTGAACGGCGTGCTTCTCCTTGAGGATGTCCTTCAGGATAGCGGAAACAGTGGAGATGTCACCAGCGGTGGAGATCTCGGGGATCTTGCCATCCTTGACGTCACCGACACGGGTAAGAGTCTCCAAGGCCTGCTTGGTCTTTCCACGGGCCTCAGGATCGGCCAGGGTCTCGAAGTTCTTCTCAAGACGGGGCATCAACTTGGGCAAGAAAGGAGCGACGATCTGGGGATCCTCGACCAGCTTACACATGTTGTCGACAATGACAGCGGACTTACGCTTGATGGCGGTCTCACGCTCAACAAGACCACGATCAAGCAGGGGAACCATGATAGCGAGGGTAGGGCCAGTGACATCGGAGACGAAAGTGGTGGCACCGAGCAAGTGAACGGTCTCGGGGACGTTCTCGGGCTTGGCGATACACTTGATGAGCTCGGGAATGAAACGCTCAATATCCTTGTTGACGATCAGACCGCAGACCTTCTCCATGGTGGCGTAGGCAGCCTTCTTGATCTCGGCCTTGGTGTCCCACATGGCCTCGGAGACGACGGGGATCAGGTCAGGGACACGGAAAGAGAGCTGAGCGGGGGCAGACTCGACGAGGGCCTCAATGCACTCGAGAGCGGTGGCCTTCTCTTGCCACTTCTGAGCGTTCTGGAGAGAGTTGAGGATAGGGGGAAGGACGGCCTTGACAGCGTTGCCGTTGATGCCCTTGACGATGGCAATGGCGGCAGCAGCAGCGGCGTTCTTGACGGCAACAATCTTGTCACCGACGGCGGCGAGGACATCGCCGAGGAGAGCGACGAGGTGAGGCTCGACACCAGGAGCGATGGTAGAGTGGGAGGCGATGGCGCGGATGGCGTTGCAGGCACGCTCACGGGCGTTGGCATCCTTCTTGTTGGCGAGCTGCTTCTTGAAAGCCTCGACAGCCCTAGATCCGTCCGTTAGTTCCTTGTCCCACCACGCTGCAGAATTTTTTCCGGTCCCCAATAAGACCGGACCACAAAACACATGGATATACTTACTTGAGGGGCAGAACCTGCTCAGGAATGGGACCGCTGAACAGGTGAGCCAGGTTGTCGGTGGCGGCGTTCACCTCATCCTGAGAAGTGGAGAGGTCGAGGTTCTTGAGGAGGCCCTCAAGAACAGCCACGGACTGAGCAGTCTCCTTGCTGGTGGCAGCAGGGAGGGAAGAAGCGTCGGCAGCAGGCATTTTTAGTCGTGAAAAGGTTCCGAAGAATCGTAAAAAGATAGAAAAGGATGAAAGCGAGAACGTGTGAAAAACGTTCTATGAGGGTATCTCAATAAGAGGGGAGTGGCCCACGAAGTTGCGTCTGATTCACAAAAGACGCAGCGAACGCTCTAAGACGGCCTCTATTTTTTTTTTGTCTGCACAGAAGACAAAAAGAAGAAAAACACAAGAATTTTAGAGAGGACCAAACCTCTTAGAGGGAAAAAAAAGGGAAGAGATGGAAGGATGAGGGGGGAGAGGGAGAGGGAAGAGGGAAAGGAGGGGAAGAGTTACGATGGGGGGTTATGATATTTATCGCTTTGTGGCCTTTCTTTCGCCGCCCAACACCCGCTCAGCTATTAAAAAATTTCAAGAAAAATTTTTTCATGTTCCTTAGAATGGCCCGCACTAGAGCCGGATCCAGTTTAGGTCAGTTTGGGTGGGAATCAGCAATAGCCAACTTAACCCACTGGAAGCTGTGGCTACGACCGGTGTTAAGTTAAATGGACAACCCTCAATGGCTGGTGGATGAGTCAGCATCAAATGAGTCAGCATCTCTGCCAACTTCCTTATTGTTCGCCATCCTCTCTCCCTCCTTCTATCGCCTCCTTCCTCCCCAACAAGCTCCGATTTTTGCCTTCATCAATTACTCATGCAAGAAATTGACTAGGTACCTAGTTGGCTACTGTCATTCGAACATTCAGCAGTGACTGGGAAATTTTCTGGACCCGGATTGGCCTGCCAGCCAACCGAATCGCAAGCACTCTTCGTTATCTCATCTGAGTAGATTGTAAGTTAGCCTGTCCGAAGACGTTGCACTGCAGCCTTTGACAGGGGTGAGACCACGGCTCAGTATGATATTCAATCCTCCTATATGCTCAAGTTGCTCATTTTGCAAGTTAATCTTATCCGAGGCCTTAGCGCACCCTTCAGATACTGTATACACTACAATCCCGGGGTGCAGCAAACACCTCTAAGCTGATACGTAGCGCAATGCGGATGGCTCCAAATGCGTCTCCGCCCTCCCGTCTGATGCTCCGCCTGGTTAGTCCTGCAGGTGCTTTTGGGGGAGAGGGGGGGGGAGAGTTTTTTTTTTCATGAGTTGCCACCCTGAGATCTTCCCGGTGGCGCAGCCCCATTCTAGACACGGGTTCAATGTCATGCTCAGAGTGGTGGTCGGGATTCGAAGAAGGTTAATTAATCAGTTTACTGTGTAAGTAACTAAGGGAAGTGGTTAAGATGACACCAGAGAAAAACTCTGAAACGTTAGAGTTGAAGTAGCCGTGGTTTGTCCGAGATTCCCGTTTTCGTTGTTCTCCTCGACCTCAATGCTTTGTTGGCATACATCGCATTGCTGGAACAATTATGTATGTTTGCCCCGCCATAAGCGATGTAGAAACTGGCTGCAGGCAATGTGTTAGCGAGATACTCGAGTAGACCTGAGAAGCATTTGAAGGTGTAGTTAATTGAACTAGTTAAGCTGTGACGCTTACTCAGACATTCAATTTTCATGTGACGAGCAACCATCCCTGGAGAAATTAACTACCGCCCAGACCGGACACTCATTATTCTCAGATACAAATCACGAAAGAGAATTTGCCAAAGGATAAGCAAGCATGGGTTCGAGCGAAAGATTAAGCCCTGTCTGAAACAACGTAGGTCGATAGTTGAGGTACTCCATACACAACACCGCCATTTGTCTAACTTAAGCCTCCGACTCACCGCATGAATGGCTGGTCTTACTTGGTACTTGCTACTATAGTAGCCACATACTGCGGTGCATCATTGCATTCAGATCAAAGAGCAGTTTACGAGTCGGTGCAACTGATTTTTTCTACTCTTCGCCACTTCTACAGATAATTCGGAGTGTTCATCGGGGACAGTTGTGCCTCTTGAAGTATTCAATTAGACTCTTTCTCGAATCGGATTTTCTTATTGAAGGCTGAACTGCAGCAGGCACATTGCGTTCGTCTAAGTGTTATCTATCTACCCAGCTTCATCATCGAGATGATCATAACACTAGGTTTGACTGGTAGGTTGGCAAGCGAAACATACGTTGCAGTCTATCCTTTTAGGTGGGGTATAGAGTGTGTCTCTTAGGTAATGGGGAGATAGACGAAGCAGGTTAAGAACTCTGTGTATTTGAAAGTGTACGGGGTGAACTGCCTGCGCGTAATAATTGGGGTTTGTAGGTGTACGTTGGACTCGTGTAGGTGGACTGGATGCCCCTGGAACTGGTTGTCTCGGCATCTCCAGAACTGACCGTTCCTTGCTAAAGTCCTTCTGCAAAGGGTCCGTAGATGAGGAGATTATGGATTCTACCGGTTCGGATAACTGGCTTCTTGACGTAAATACTTGCTAGCGTGGTGCTCGGCTTGTAGATCTGAACCGTATGTATCCGAGAGGTTCATCGGGATTGATGCCGAGAATCGGTTGTTCGACAAGCCAGGATGTATATACTGATTCAGCAAGCAAAAATTCCGTAAGACGCCTAAATTCTCGAACTACTTTATTAAGTACCGAACGACGGAGATTCCAATCTGGTGGACAAGGAAATGATCTGGCTGATTTCGGTGGTTCTAATGTTCGGATAATATAGATTGCGCGGTAGACTGTGTCTTGATCTAGCTGCTGCACATATTCGCTGTCTGACGTGTTGTAGAGTATAGCAAGCTGGTGTCCTGATCTGTACGTCGTAGGATTTTCTTATCGTCTTGCATGAGGAGGTGTTGATGTCTTAGATAGCCGGGTGCTGAAGGTTTAGTGGGAGGGAAGGGGGGAACCGACTTCAGAGGAGTGATCGCTTAAAACTCTGAAAAACGCATACGGAAAAGAGCTCAGGATCATGCGGGACATGCTACCAATTGTAGCAAGACGTCGGGCTTCAAGCCCTCAAGCTGTCAGACATCATGTAGTTGTTGATCTATAAGCTATCGGACTGTAACTGTTTGACTATGTCATACATCCCTTAATGTAAGGGAAGGGAAGGTGCGAGGCATCAGACGGGAGCCGGCACCAGTGTACAATGGAGGCAACAAGTTAGGATTAGCAGAGTCATCCTCATGGCCATTATTCGTTGTATCGGGAATAGCTTCATTCTCATCGCTTCCACTGGGACGGTAGGAGCTGTAGCCACTCTTCGGCCTATACGTCTCCGCATCCTCTTGGTTTAGTATGAGTTGTCGAGCAAGACTTTCGCAGTATCGCTCCAGACCGGTATGGTGCCTGTCCTCTGGGACAGCTTGGTATGATGTACTGAAAGCAGTCCAGGCCCACTCATCCTCCGAAGACCTTAGACTATGAAGAGACTGGATGCAACGGGCCCACTCTGTAGTGTAGTCCTCTCCTGATAATCGAGAATAGCTTTAAGGATTCCTGGACTACCTGGTTTGATTCCAACTGCACTGATGTACCTTCGGTTTCTGATTACTCTTTTTAGTGGTAGCAAAAAGTTCGGCGTGTTGTTGTCCGAGACGCAGCTCGTCAACCACTTCCTGACTCAGTTTGTCGTTTCTGTCGGGAGAGATAAACCGCGTCTAGTGTTTGACTCTGCCAGTTGTCCAGGAATGGGAGACGAAGTGCTCACCACAACCGCCCTAATACGTCCTCTCAGGTACCAAATGACCTACGAATCTCAGATCGTGTAAACGCACTTGATCAAGAAGATACCAACTCCACCCTTGTTCCCACCAAAGCTCGACCAGATTGCCCCAGAAGGACCGAAAATGTTCAGGAATGCCAGTTCTTGTTGATGTCAACATAGGGAGACGGATTCCCTTTCCTGGGTTTGCGATTGGCTTGTGCATTGCGTCCGTCATCATCAAAGCGGGATAGTATAGTGATAGTGGCACCTGCTCGACCCAACAGCATGAACATGTTGTCTGCAGAAGCCCCATGTTCTTCTCTCGATGTGTGGTCTCAAGCATCCAATTGCAGATAACGACTTGTTCAGACCACACTTGGAGCCAGGGTGAGCTCATTCGGGTCAATTTGACGGTCGATATGCTGCCATGGCTGTGGTAGTTACGGCGGCGGCGGCAGCGGCGCTCCTAGGATGAAAAAAGACATAGTACTGACAATCACTCCTGGTGTATCGGAGGCTTCTGTAACAGTACACAGATATACCTGAATAGTTCTGGATAAGTGTGATTACTACTTCAGGCACAGAGACTGGCGAAGAGATCAGTAGCGTATTGTCAAACCCCTCCGCATGAGTACGTGCAGGGGTTTAACCATCTCTTGTGGAACTGTCAATGTTTACTCCAAATATTAAAGATCAGCAGTACTGAAAGCTATCGATTGACCGATTTTTTGCCGTCTCGGAGCATGTCAACCATGGCCTTGCATTTGATTATTAGTGTCCGGTCCGAGGAGCCGTGCTCGATGGCCACTGCATAGAAATCCACCACAAGAGAGAAGACCAAGGTGAGAAGATTGGTATGACCATGACATACAGAATATGTGAACAATCTCTCCGGGGACACCATTTTAGGACTGGTCTCATTCTCCATCGAGATGGGCCAATAATTCTGTGGAACGAATGTCGAGCGTACGATCTGACAGAGTATCAGCGGTCTGCAGGTATGTTTCTGTCTCTTAGGAGGGGCTAACTAAGAAAAACAGTTATATCCATCATGGCAAGGTGTCTGATTGGATAATACCTCCAGGGATATAGGTGGGTTTGCGGAGACATACCTGGAACCTCTCCGTTCTTGATAGAAGATGGCTTGCCAGGGAAGACATAGAAGGAGGACAGGATCAGGAGAGTCAAGGGGCTGAAGGTGGGGGAGTTACTATTCGGGGTGATGAAAAAGTTGGAGGGGATCGAACAAGGTGAGTGAGGCAAGGGTAAATAAGGGCTAAGGATCATTCAATATAAGATGGTCAATTGTTACTCATTCAAGCCTGGGAGGGTAGAAAGTGAATAGCTGTACTGTTTGGCCCTGTGAGGACACCCGTGTATCCTGTGTTGATGAACACGCTTTGCACTTGATGAGATTCACCAATTTCTTGTGTACACATGGTCCCCACAAGACAACAATTCCGTGTGAATCGGGCATCTCAATTAGGATACATGGTCGACGTCTCTACAGGCAATGCTACTCGATCGCAGACCCTGACTGGCGGTCCCGTCGATTGAAGATGTTCTCGTAGCAGGACCAAGCATTCCCCAAACGTAATGGGCGATGTACATTTACTTGCATTAACTGGTATAAGTGTACCCCTATACTGTTCATAATCATAAATCCTCCCAATCAGGCCAGCCCCAAGTCCCTGTGAGACGCGTGAAAAGGCGTCAATCTTAGGCTCACCGCCCAATAGGTGGGCCAAGATCAACATCTCGTCCCGGCGGTGCTTCTTCCCAGCACTATGCAAGGAACAGTGACCTGTTCCGTTCTAAGCCAAGCCCATATCCTTGTAAAAGGCATCAGTCTTGGGCTCGCGGCCCAAAAAGTCTGTCAAGATAGACATCTCGTCCTGGCTACCTCCTTTTTCCAACACCTTGTACCGGTACCGACGGCCCGCCTCCGGATCCATAGGGTTCTCTCGGAAAACCGTGTAGAACATGTCCGTTGAGTATACTTGCGAGCTGGAAGGAATGACGAATGAGCATGTTTTGTATCGCGAGGATTTCGAAAAGCTTACCTCAAGTATCCATAGTATCCGGCATCATACCCTCCAATGAGATGGCCGAAAGTAGCTTCGCCGTGGCCCCATTCCTCACCTAGACCCAGGCTTTCGGGACCCTCGATCTGGGTGATATCGTGGCGCAGCTTGTTGTAGGTGGCTGAGATAGGCAGCTTCTTAATCTGCTCGTGGCTTTCAGGCTGGTGCACAGTCATATCGAAGATACCAAAGTGCAGTTGGCGCAGGTTGAAAAGTGCGTCATTGACGTGCTTCGTGCGAATGAGGTTCGCAATGACGTCGTCGGGGATGTTCTCAGAAGGAGGCTCCTTGCCTCCTGCCTGCTCCTTCCAGGCGGCAAGGTATTCGGGAGACAGGGTCGAGTAGTGCTTGCTGAGAGACTTTAGCTGGGAAGGCGTCCAGCACCAGTTCTCCAGCATCTGACTAGGGGCCTCGACAAAGTCCCGCACAGTGTTCGTTCCGTGGAAGCGTGAGTAGATTGTCTTGGAGACCAAGTCGTGGATTCCGTGGCCCAACTCGTGGAACAGAGTGACCACTTCGTCGTGCTTCAGCAGACTCGGCTTCTTGGGGGTGGGTTTGGTGAAGTTGCACACCAGAGCGGTGGCAGGGTAGCGACGGTTACCCTCAGCATCAATGAAGCCCTAACAGCGGTCAGTGTAGCTCAATTAGCAGGAAGAGATATGGACATACCGGCTGGAGGTTGAAGTTGGCAGCATGGCCATACTTTCCGGTACGAGGGAACAGGTCAAGGTACAGGTAGCCCACAAATCCGCTGCCCTCGCCCTCATCGTTCCAGACGCTGAAGATCTGAACGTCCTCATGCCACACGATATCGCTTCCCTTACCGGAAGGTGCCACCTTCTCACGGTCCTCGCCAGTGATCTCCACAAACACTAGACCGAAGAGCTCCTCAAAGATCTTGAGCATACCTTCGATGGTAGTCTGCAGAGGGAAGTATTCGGCAATAAGCTGCTGGTCGAGAGAGTACTCTTTCTCCAGCAGAAGACGGTCGTAGAAGCGGTGGTCCCAAAGGTAGTAGTGACCATTGAACTCTTCTCCACGGGACTCCAGGTCGGACTTCTTCAACTCCAGAAGAGTCTTGAGCTCCTTCTGCCCGCCGGCCGTCAGGCGAGAGCGGAGGTCTCCGAGGAAGTCGTTCACCGTCTTGGGCGTCTTGGCCATCTTATCCTCAATGCGGAAGGCGGCGTGATTGGGGTACCCGAGTAGGCGAGCGGCCTCGTCACGCAGAATGATGGCCTCTTGGAAGAGCGGCACGTTCTGGTTGCACTTGTTCTCGTTCTGGATAGTAACCTGCTTGCGAGTCTCCGGGTTCTTTGCGTACTTCATAGTGGGGAACAAGTCCGGGTACTTGAAGGTCAGCCAGAGCTTGCCCTCGTTCTCGCCTTCACCCTTCTTCAAGCCAGCCAAGACATCTTCCGGGACACCGTCCAGCTGCTCGGGCGTGAACCAGATGCCCTCGTTCTCCTCGTTAAGGTTCTTCTGGAACTCAATGCTGATTTGACTGAGACGCTTCTTGATCTCCTTGAAGCGGTCACGCTTAGGCCCGGCCGGCAGACCCAGACCATTGCGGATGTAATCCTTGTGTTCCTTCTCCAGCAAGCGGCGGGACTCGGGGTCGAGCGACTCGTTCTTGGTCAGCACGGCGTCGACGAGCTTGAACACGTCTTCGCGCATGACGGACTCGATGAAGAACTCATCCATCAGCGCTTCGGCCTTGGACGATGCGTCACGCAGCTCTTGCTCGGTCGACACGGCCTGATAGAAGCTGATGATGTGGGATTCGAGGGCCATGGCGTTCTCATCGTGGGCGAGACGCTTCACAACAGCGTCAAAGGTAGCGGACTCAGGCTTGACATTAGCGACAACCTCGTCCTGAACCTTGCGGGAGCTAGCAATGAGGCGATTGGCGTCATCGAGGATGGACTGTGCAGTAGCAGTGAAGACGGGAGGCGCCTGAGGAGGCCGACGGAGGTGCTCGGGGGCCATGCTGGCGGTGGTGAGAGATTTGCGAAGGTTCGTCAACCCTGGGTTGAGAGCGGTGGGCAATCGAGAGCCACGGAAATGGCTCAGGACTGAAGCTAGGCGAAAGGTGGGGGAGGAGGAGGGGATGCGAAATGGAGGAGCCACGGTGACAAGGAGAACGCCCAGAAGAAGGACGAAAAGAGCAGACAAATAAAAGGAACGGTGGGATGACTGAGGGGTAGCAATGGTGAAGGAAAGCCAAAGGGCGGGGAAACACAATACGTGGCTATGCAGTTGTGATGCAAGACAATGACTGAGATGGCAAGACCTCAAGCTCCAGTCCCAAGTTGCTCAGTGAGACTAGAGTCAGTGCGGGAAAGTCAGGTGGGTCCCCGCCGCACCGCAACAAATCCCTCCTCCCACAATCACACAACCACCACCACCTCTATTTCATCCTTCTCCACAGCTTAACCCACACTCCGTTGTCCTCGACTTTCATAGTCCCTTCACTGGCTACAATTACACTGCCCCTAATCGTTGACACACAAGTTGAAAATCATCGCCCCGGGGGGGGGGGCATAACTGTCAGACTCAGCAGGTCTATCTGCGGGGTTATACCGCCAGCTCCTCTACATAACAGCCAATACTACAAGAAAACAATAGTAAGGTGGATATCGTCATTGCTCTATTTAAGCAGCATTGTGGAGTTTTGATCATATCATGTCGCTTTTTCAAATGCAAAGCCACTCATCATACTAGACACGCTCTGTCTGCAGAAGAAGGGAATACTATCAAAGCCAACTCCGGAAACTCCAAACTCTTCGAGAAATCATCAAACGCCACGAGTGCTGGATTATAAGACATGAAAGCCAGAGGCGGAAACAGCGCGCAATTGTTCATCCATGATGAAAGTAGTCATGAGCTGAACTTCATTTATGCCGCATCAGCGGTGGGGATGGGCTCAGGGATCTTGGTCACCTGCTCACCAGCACGGATGATCCGCTGGCCAGTGCCATCGCGAACGTACTCAACACCCTCCTTCTGAGCACGCTTCCAGATCTCAACTTCACATCCACCACGGATGACACCAACTCGCATGGTAGAGAGCAGGTTGTGCGCAGCGTTGGAGTGATAGTAGATACCACCGTTGAACATAGCGGTGGCGTCCTTGCCAAGCCCGGAGTTGATCATAGCCTTGCCACCAGGGTGGTCCTTGATGAAGTCGGTCACATCGTGAACAACACCAGCGATGGCGACAAGGCCACGGCCGTTCTTGGCCTGCTCAACATAGTCATCCCATTCCATAACGGGCAGCTGGTCAAGGGGAGTTCCCCAGTCGAGTCTGGCACGCTTCTGGTCAATCTTCTTCTGGAGCTGCTGAACACGTCCCTTCTCAATCTCGTTGGCACGGAACTGCTTGAGGTCATAGGCGAGACCGAGCTGCTTCCAGATCCAGATGCTCCACTTGGTAGGGTCATACTGGTGCCACTCGATAGCGTTGCGGTAGTCGGAGGGGAACTCGTGGTGGAAGTTGTGGTAACCCTCACCCAAAGTGACCAGGGCGGTGATGACGTGGTCACGGGGAGAGTTGCGGTCGTCGAAGGGCTGGTCACCGAGCCAGTGAGCGAGCGAGTTGACACAGAAAGTGGCCTGCTGGACGAAGAAGATACGCAGGATACCAGCGTAAACGAAACCGCCCAACCAGTCACCCCAGCCGAGACCAGCCACGAGCATAGGGACAGCCAGGCCCATGGTGAAAACGACCTTGAGGTAGTTGCGGTGCTGCCAGACGACAACGGGATCCTCGTTCAAGTCGGAGATATCAGTGCGGCCGATACGCTTGGGGTTCTGCTTCATCACCATCCATCCCAGGTGAGAGTAGAGCAGACCCTTGCGGACGGAGTAGGGGTCCTTGTCGGTATCGGTATAACGGTGGTGAGCACGGTGGTCACGAGCCCACCAACGGATAGAACCTTCAACGGCACCACCACCAACAGCAGCGAGCCAAATACGGAGGGGAAGACGAGCAGAGTACGAGCAGTGAGCCCACAGGCGGTGGTATCCTATTTATTGAGCCACTGTTAGCAATGGTTCCTGAAACATCTGCTGCAGATCTGCTACAGACTCCTAAGGGAAAACGAACCTGCTGTGATGCCAAGACCAGTGAAGAAGTAATAGATGACGGCCCAGATGGCAGTCTTCAGCTGAAGAGGCGTCCAGAAGGCCTGGATGCACCCGCACAAGGGGATACCGATGATAAGGAAGACATTCAGCCAGTTAACATGCTTGTACCAGTTCTGGCGGTTGATTGCGGTGTCGGCAATGTGAACTTTCTTAGGGTCCGCGGCACGAGACCGGGAAGCGTCCGCTGGCTTTGCAGACATGATGATTGATATCGATCACTCGTCTACCCCTTCAACAAGCTGAGTCTGATAAGGGAGGAAGGACGAAGTGGTAGATGCGGATGGGAGGATCCGGGGGAGAGTGCTTTTAAGGAGAAGAATTGAGGAAGAGTGCCCAAAGAATAAAAGAAGGGAAGAGAAAAAAAAAAGAGTGAGGCAAGGCGAGGGGTGGGGAATATAATCCAGAAGAAGGCAAGAGAGGAGTCAGCAAAGGAATGAAGGATCTTAACAGGTGTAGAGGAGGGGAGGGGAAAAATCGAACTGAGTTGGAACTTGACCCAGGGTCCACCGACGGGATGATGGTTGGGGAAACGCAAGGTTGGCGGCCAGGATGGATGATGCGGCAATTGAGAGAATACGGAAACAAGTGATTTGAACTTCGACACCTCCTGAGTGGTCTGACTGCTGGGACTGCTGGGACTGCTGGGGATGACCCAATATCCGGGTCGTGTGCAAGTGCCAAAAAAAGATCCCCGAGGTATTTGGAAGTCAGATTATGCGATGAATGGGGAAATATGAAAGAAGGAGTTGCAGATAGATTCATCCATGATTGTACTCAATATCTCCAGTCTGAGAGATTCCAACCAAACAACCGCCGTTCTTCCGCCATCTAAGCTTGTTGGGCGGGCTTTGATTCGACCGCTCCGCCCCGGCCAGACTCTGCTCTTTTCGGCCATACCGGCTGCTTTAAGCCAATCACCACTCAGGATTCATCTGTTGAATCCCCAACGTTTTTCTGCCCTGGCCGGCGGCTGTGGCTGATCACCGCCTCCTCCCGTGGCTAGTAGGTGGCAAGCGGCCTGAATTTGCCATCCAGTGGCTCTCTTCTCCGCTGCACTGACTATCTCTCTTGGCTGATTCGTTCTAATTTCTGACTCTCTTGGGCTCTAACGGAGAGAGTAACAACGGGGTTACGTGCACTTAGCCACTTACTGGAGTAATGCACCTCGGGAGTCAATGAATCAGTACCCTTGTGCGAGCATTCTGGGCCGGAGAGTTCTGGAATTCCCAGGACGCAGCTGATGCAGCCCTATGGGCGGCAACTATCAGTTCTTGTCCAATTCGCCACTGTAGTACGCTATGCTCGCTGCCACTTCGGGAAGAACTGCAAGCTGATCGTCGCCAACTGATTCAGGCAGACACAAGATCCCGCCCAACATGACCAGGGCAGGCTCAATCAGCACGTGATGCCATGTGAAATCCTCATTGCCCGAATTCATACAGTTTCTTCAATTCCTGACTTTCAGATTGCCCGGTATGAACTAGACGGAGTAGCTCTCTGAAATCACTAGGTCTGCAGGCGGTGTACAGATATTGGGCATTCCAACGAGTTCGTACCTACTAGTAGTGAGGAATTTATTGTTAATATACTCTACAGTCTAACACATTACTAGATATAGCAACATTTATACTCTGTAGTTCATACCCCGGATATTTGCATGGTGCCCACCTAGCTTCAAACCTGCCTCAGGCATGGTCCCAGTCTGCACACCCGAAATGGTCATTGGATTTACCAATGCATGAGCACATAACTTACTATACACATAAGTTCGTACACTCGCAGACCATGGCAATAACTACCCGCAATGACATTCCTCCCCAGATGCTTTCTTAATGCATCTCTTTCTCCGGAGCATTTACAAACATGATCACTTCTGATTTCCTGAATTCGTGGCGATAGGAGTCATACCTCAGCTATTGCTCTACGTCATTCGGCACAGTCACTACTTCTGCTGCTGTTCATGATAAGGTCTTTTGTCTACTCCAGTGTAAATTGCATGCCACCAATAACCTCTAGCAGGTAACCTACTGTACATCACCCGGTGACTCTAACTAACTTTAGTCGCCGGATACTTGCACCATATGCACGCATTCTGTTTGTTGAGGGTCAGCTTGGAGGTCAACTTCTGGTAGCGTGTCAGCTACACCATATATACATGGTGCAGCTTCAATACAAGTTAGTCAAAAGCCGGAGTCAGCCCGGGGTTGGTAGAAACTCATAGAGTTGTGGCCCAGACTCCGGGATCGGGTTCACCTTTTCCCGCATACTCGAATCACCAGTTTCTGTGACTAATGAATTTCCCGATCGGTCCTGGTTTTTCCCCGGACTTTGACAGTAGTTCCAAGTTGTCTATACTTCATCTTCGTATCTCACTGCTATAAGACAAGAGATACAGTTCAACCCCGGACAGTTCGCCAGCGTCGGGTACGGATAACCGGTGCTAACACTCACCTTGAACTATACCATCTGATAGACTCCGGCAATTCTCCACCGCAGAACATGGATGTCGGCGGATCCCGAGCTTGGGAAGAACTGATAAGCCGGCGAGAGGCGTTACATGAGCCGACAGTCATCGACTTCGATGCTTATCGCCGGGACCCCACCATGACCACCACTCGAGCCTCTGCCTACCTCCCTCTAGTCCAGTCTAGTGCTCTCGCTTGGGTATCTCCCCAGTCTCCAGTCGGTCGCCTCCCAGTCGCTGAGAGCCCAGAGATAACCGGTCTAAGGCATTATTCGATTGATTCACGCACCTCCACGCCACCGATAGCCTCCTATCATCCTTCGGTCCCGATCGCTGAGATCACACGAATTTACTTCGGAACTAGTTGTGGTTGATGCTGCAATCTATATAGATGCCAAAATCCTGAAGATTCTGGGTCGGTCTCAAGCTATTATTCCCCAGATCCAGTCTGAGGTGAGACTTTGTCTAGATCACAAATCAACCCGGCAATCTAAAGCTATTGCTCTCTTCATAGCCCCACACTCAGCCCAGCATGGATGGACCTGATCAAATCGGTCCCGACATGCGACCCAAGCGGTCCTGGCGGGAGAAGACCCGGCGGATTGTCAAAACCTTCACTACCAGGTGTGTGTGTTAAGTCAAACAGAGTCCCATACTCCTATACTAAAACTCTTCTCGTAGGGAGGGACTGGTCGGTGACTACGATTATGCATACCTGTTTACACCTAACATCCCTTTCCTAAGCCGAACTCGCAGATCGGCTCCCTTTTTCGGACTGGAGGACAAAGTCCCAGTGCTATTGGCACTTCTCTTAGGACTACAACATGCGCTGGCTATGTTGGGAGGAGGTTCGTTCGAAAAAAAAAAACCCTGAATCGTCAACCCGTCCCTAAATTTCAAAACAGTTATCTCGCCCCCCATCTTGATCGGTGGCACGAGTGGTGCCAACTTCGGAACGAAAGACTACGAATACCTCGTTTCAACCTCGCTTATCGTTTCCGGGTTGTTGTCTGCCGTACAGATGGCCCGGTTTCACATTTACAAAACTCGCTTCTATGTTGGAACTGGTCTCATCTCTGTTGTTGGGACCTCGTTCGCTACCATCACAGTATCATCGGGAACGTTCAATCAGATGTATACTTCAGGATACTGTCCGGTCGATAGCGATGGCAACCGCCTACCTTGTCCGAAAGGTTATGGTGCTCTCCTGGGCACCTCGTGTTTGTGTTCCTTGCTTGAAATCGGCTTGTCCTTCATGAGCCCTCGAATCCTCAAGCGCGTCTTTCCACCATTGGTGACTGGTCCGACGATTTTGTTGATTGGAGCAAGCTTGATCCAGTCGAGTATGGAGGACTGGGCAGGTGGCTCGGGAACCTGCTTTACAGACGCGGCCAGCCGTGCACTGTGTCCCAGTGCAGACTCGCCACATGCGCTTCCATGGGGAAGCCCGGAGTTTATTGGACTAGGCTTTTCAGTCTTCGTGACGATCATCTTGTGCGAACGATTCGGCGCTCCGATGATGAAGTCCTGTGCCGTCATTATTGGCCTGCTGGTTGGATGCATCATCGCCGCCGCTTGCGGGTACTTTGATCGGTCGAGCATTGACGCTGCCCCCGTGGCCTCATTCGTTTGGGTCCGCACCTTCCCTTTGACGATCTACGCACCTCTGATCCTTCCCTTGCTAGCCGTGTACATTGTGGTAATGATGGAGTCGATTGGCGACATCACAGCCACTTGCGATGTGTCTCAGGTAGAGGTGGCGGGGCCTGTCTTTGATTCCAGAGTCCAGGGTGGTGTGTTGGGCAACGGATTCACCTGTCTGCTGGCCGGACTGTGCACGATTACCCCTATGTCTGTCTTTGCCCAGAACAATGGTGTCATCGCTCTGACCAAGTGTGCAAACCGCAAGGCGGGTTACTGCTGCTGTTTCTTCCTGGTTATCATGGGCATCTTTGCGAAGTTTGCCGCTGCCCTTACGTCTATCCCCAGTGCTGTGCTGGGTGGAATGACGACTTTCCTTTTCTCCTCTGTGGCCATCTCTGGAGTCCGCATCATTGCAACTGTACCGTTCACGCGGCGCAACCGCTTTGTGCTGACTGCTTCATTCTCCATTGGCATGGGGGTCACGTTAGTGCCTACCTGGTTCTCATACTTCTTCACCTACAGTGGCAACAACCGCGGTCTGACCGGTTTGCTTGATGCGATCGACCTGGTTATGGACAATGGTTTCGCTATTACCGCCATCCTCGGCGTGATCTTGAACCTCATCATCCCTGAAGACGAGAATGAGGAGGCAGCTGTTGTTGAGGCGAGTACTCAGCCTCAGACTGTGCAGCAGCCGGAAGAACCGGAAAATGCCCAATACATGAAGGGAGAGCATTCTTCTGGGGCTTCTGCCATTTAAGGAAAATTGCTCATGTTTGTGTTTATGTTCTGAATTGGTTCTAGCCCTTGGGCGGCAGATTGACGGATTAGGATACCCTTGATAAGCGATGGTCGAGTCTTTTTTGATTTACGGAATTAGATTAATGCAATGATGTTATAAATATATACTGTGTATACCACTGCATGATAGGACTCTGAAGGGTCGACGTGTACGGAGGGTTGTCACTCAGACTCCCTCAACCACTTCACCGGGTGCCAGCATTTTTATATAGCAATGCTCGCCGGTCTCGAGGACAGTGATAGGGTCATTGACGCGAAGTGTAAAATCTAGGTAGGTATCAAGTTAGCACACAAGTCCATTGGACTCCACTGAAGACAAACTCCCTCCCCAATCCACCACTACCCTCAAACCCCCCAGCGAGAAAAAAAAAAGACAGGGGAACTCACTCCTAACAGCAGGTACCAACTGCATCCCCAAGCACGCATTCGTCGGATCTCCCCGATCAATCCTCCGATAGCTCTTCATCGTGCGATCCGGCTCAGAGCGATGGCGCACCCCGGTATCAGGATCCACATTGGGCAACCGACAACGTATCGTCCGACAAGCCAAATGAATCTCGACCCCTTCACTTTCCCCCTCCTTGTCCACCCTACCAGCACCCGCTTTCAAGCCAGTCCCACCTCTACCCCCACCCCCAACCCGGATCCTCCTCCACGCATCCTCCTCGAAACACCCCGGCCCCTGCACAATCACATTCGCCCGGAACCTCCGCACCGTCAACCGCGGAATCTCCGCCTGACACCGCCGCGCCACGTCGTGCACACTGGCGAGATTCAGCATGTGCAGCGGATACGCGTCCTGAAACCCGGTGACGGTCTGGAACCCCAGCGTCTCCTTTGAGGGCGCGTTGCGGAAAATCTGGCGGTGATGGGCGGCGCATTCGCGGAAGAGCGTCAGGGGTTTCTGCTTGGCTGTGTTGTCGTCGGCGGCGGCGGCGAGGAAGCGCCGCAAAGACGCGGGGAGGTGGTGACCGTAGTCGTAGGCGAGGGGATTGTCTTTCCAGATTTTGACGGGGCGGAGAGGGTATTTGGCCCCTCCTGCTCCTTCTCCTTTTTCATCCTCCTTCTGTGATAGGGTTGGGGGACAGAGGGGGATGCGGAACGATTGTTCGCGGGAGAGGAGTCCCAACGTGATGGCGAGGTTCACGAACGACGACATCAGCGGGATTCGGGCCATGCAGCCCGCGAGCGTGCGCGGGTAATGGATCACCAGTACCCCCTGGCTCTGCACTTCCGGTAGAGACGACGAGTAGTCCGCCTGGCTGGGGTCCGGGATCCAGATCTCCGGCCGCAGGAGGGCGAGTCGGCTGAAGTGTCGGTCGCGGAGGGTGCGCGCGATCCAGTGGCCAGACTCGGGACTGCTGCTGTCCTGCAGAGCGGGCTTCGACTCGATATACTCGGCAAAGCAGAAGAGGCGGTCGTACTTCAGACCGGTGTCGATCACCTCCGCGGTGTCGAGCTCGACCCCCGTGCAGCTTTTGATCGGGTAGGTGAAGAGCGCTTTGATGCGCCAGGCGGGGAGCCCCGTGCGAGCGTCGATGCTGTCGCTGGCCACGCCCTGGCTGTATTGAGGGTCATATTCGTCGGTGATGTTGCTATTCGGGGTGCCGAGGCGGCGGCAGCCCAAGGGAGTTGGAGAAGCAGAGCGGAGAAAAGTGGTAAGAGGAAGGAGAAGGAGGATGACTGAGAGGAGATAGGGAAGGAGGGATTGGAGCGAGGTGCTCAATGCATCCTGGGAGGTGAAGCTGATCGTGATATTGGGGTCGTGCATTTGACAGTGATAGATGCGGTCCCCCGGCTGTTGAACTGGGGATTCTAGTAGATAATCACCTTAATCACCTCAGCACAGCCTTACAGGGGAACAGCTTAGTGCGCAGGCGAATTGAAAGCAAATCAATTTGTGCTGTAGAAATACTCGAGGCGGTTTTGATGAATGACTCAAATTGAAGCCTTGTCATGCTCCGCGGGAAACCTGCCCCGGTCGATTTTTATCAGATCGGGGCGGAATCGGGATCTCGGCTCGTTCCAGACCCTTTTCCAGAAAGAAGATCGTCCCAGGCCGATTTGAACAGCGGCCTGTCCAGACCACAGAAGCTACCTTGCACACAGACACAGTCAACTGTCAAGACCTGGAGCCTGTTCAATGGATTTGAAATCAAGTTTTGACCATGATAAGATTACAGTCTCACCGCAGTGACTTCCCATCAACGACAATCCCATTCTGCTGAATGTGAACAAGCGAGACGCGCGCACGACGCGTGATCCCCAGATCCCATCGAGCATCTCCATTCATCATGAATAGACTGGACAATCTGGGCCTTACCAGTCAGGATCCCCGTAAGTACTGATCTAAAAACAATGCCCCTAACCAACATATCAGACCATAAGCTAAAACCTCCCAGATCGAGTCATCTCCTTCCCGGCCTCGCAGTCCCTGCACGCGTCCACCGAGTCTGCTGCCTTAGGCAACAAGACTGTATCAACGGGACTCCCCCGGCTCGACGAGGCCGTCACTTCCCCGCTTGAAGACGACCTGCAAGGCCTCGAAGATTTCCAGACAAAAGGTCTACCGTGCGGTCATGTCACGGAGATCTTTGGGCCGCCAAGCGCCGGCAAAACCGCCATAGCGTTTGTCTCCCGCTCCATGGGGAACTTGTCATCATTATCACCTCACTAAGCGTTTTCCACAGCCTAAACGCCGCAGCAGCAGCCCTAGCAAAGGGCGAGAAAGTCGTCTGGATAGGTAGGTTACCTCCCCCTCCTACATCATCACCACGAAAAACTTAATACAAGTCCAGACACGGGCCCACCCCTCCCCCGCCGCCGCCTCAACCGCCTCCTCGCTGCGCACCAGCAGCAGCAGCAGCAACAACCAACCACCAACCCAACTCAAAACCTCACGCACATCCACACTCCCACCCTTCCACACCTCCTCTCCCTCCTCCATCACCCACCCCCAACCTTCCCCCCGCCCACCACCACCCTCCTAATCATCGATTCCATCTCCGCCCCGTTCCCGCCCTACTTCCCCAACCCAAGCGACCAACGCGCCGCCCTGGCCGCCCAGCAGCAGCAACAGCAGCAGCCAGACAAAGCGCACATCCAATGGCTCCTCAACCGCAAGTGGAACGTGCTGGGCGACGTGGCGACGCAACTAGCCAAGCTGGCTGCTTCGCAGGCCGGGGCCATGGCCGTGCTGGTGACCAACCAGATGCACACGCGGATCCGCGGGCAGGTGCGCGCGACGCTGTGTCCGGTGGTGGCGGGGTCGGCGGCGTGGGAGAGCTGTGTGTTTACGCGGATGGTGGTGTATCAGGATTTCGTGCTGTCGGCCGCAGCGGATGGTTCGATGGGGGAAAAAGGAAGGGTGGTGGAGGTGATGAAGAGGGGCGGGAGGGTCGTTAGGGGAAGGGTCGTCGGGGATAATGTTTTGGGGGTGGGGGTTCGTGAGGTATGTTTTCTGGTCTTTTCTTCCTATTATCCGTGTTCTGTTTGGCCGGCTAATTATCGTCTTTTGTGGCGGGGATTAAGGATGGGTTGTATGTTTTGGATAGTCCTCCGCCTGCGATTGAGGGGGAGGTGGAGGAGAAGGTTGAAGAACAACAAGCAGAGCTTCTCGTGGAAGGAGACTCTACCGCAGAGAACTCGGCCAGTCAACGCAAGCGCAAAGCCGAAGAAATCGCAGATAGCCAGGATGAGGACGACTCGGAAGGGGACTTCGGATGGATGGAGGAGGCGGGTGCTGAGATGGATGCAGTCTCCTCGGATGAGAATTGAGCCAGATATCTTTGGAACCAGCCAAATTGATTGTTCACTAAGAACCAACCCCGACGTAATGATATCGCATGTGAGTTCGTCGGCAGGTCACGATCCCAGAGCATAGATGATAGATACACACATTACACACCATGCAAAGACAGACCCAACATAAGTCATCAGAAGTCATTAGCAACAACCATGGGCATCCTTATCCCCCTTTTCGACATCCGTCATCCCGTCAGTACTATGCTTCAGAGTTTTCCACTTCATCGCGACATTCATCTCGTTCAATGCAAGGTGCGTTCGATCGCGCCCACCCGCAGACACCCCCCGCTGCACCGAGACACTCCTGCCCGCTGCCGCTGCCGCTGCGACCCCAACCGCTCCAGACCCACAGCTACCACCATGAGCCTCCAGCCCGCCGTGGGCATACTGACTGAGCTGGAGATCGCCATCGATGGGCGCGGGAGGACACCGTCCATGCACGACCGCGACCAGGCGACCGAGCACGGCGAACTCGAGCTTGAGCTTGATGCTATACACGGCGCCCTTGAGACTGATTTGCACGGCATAGTAATTGGCATACTGGAGACACAGCAAGACCAAATCCATGAGGAGCATAGTGACGTTGATGCTCACCAGCTGGCGCATGATCTTGCGGTTTTCGCGGGCGGCGCATATGCGCAGCAGCTTGACCGTCTCGTAGATGTACAGCATCGAGATGACCACCTCCTGCAGCGTGAAGCCCGTGAGCTGCAGCTTCTCCATGATGTTGTAGCCGCGCAGCCAGCACGGCTCGCGCACGACGTTGGCCCCATACGTCAGCACCGTGGTCGGGACGTTGAGCAGCAACACATTCACAAGGATCATGGCCAGCACGCGGCGCAGCACACGCTCATCGCGCAGCACCAGGTGCAGCCGCGAGTACAGCACCAGCGACTGGCCCGTCACCATCGCCCACCACCCCACCGTCAGCACGGTCACGGTCGCCAGCGCCGACACCTCGGTGAAAAATTTCAGCAGAAAGCCCACCGTGTAGGGACCGACCCCCAGCAAGCCCGATAGTAACAAGCTCCAGAAGTACAAGCCCCGCCACCGTCGGAAAGTCGTCAGCACCAGCACCACCAGCTCGATCACGTTGTACCAGGTGACCGCCATAAAGAAAAGGAGCGTCGACCGCAGGCCGCCGTGTTGCGTCGAGAGCTCGCCTGCGATCCCGTCCATCGGCTCTTCCATCCTCCAGCTGAACATTGGGACTGAATGAATGAGTGGGCTAGAGGGGATGATGGTTTGGGGTTAGCGCGGTAACCTTGCACTGTTTGCTCCAGTCGGAGATACAAGAGATAAGAGGAATGTGCGGTTCCAAGAGTAATTAAAATGTGTGCACGAGCCCTACCTTAATTCTGTTGACAGGTAAAGTGTGTGTATGTGGGCTTCCCCCACACCTCCAGCGCAGACAATGTTCCCAAAAACGATGCTTGAGAATCAAGAGTGATGATAGGAATTGATCGAGCTATGGAGGTCGTCATATCACAACTCTAAACATCAACCATGGGCAAGATTGGAAAGAAGACTTGCTCTGTACTCTTATTCCGGTTTGGACCCAGTTCCCTCGTGGATGTGGCGTCGATGGACCGAGACCGCCATTTCTTTTACCCTCCGACATACATTATCGAGAAAGGCTTCACAGGCACGGAGGAATTCCGGCGAGGGAGACCGAGAGGGGAGGAATGAACTGAACGAAATGGATGGAAGGAGGGGGTGAAGGGGTGCGCAAATGCATTCTCAGCTGAAGGGAAAAATACCATTCCATTCACAGCAGCTACGGCTCTCACAGCAGCCACTCAAACATCCTTCGCACTAATCCAATTCGCAGAGGAGATAAGCCCAAGCAGAGCAATCTGGCAAAGGCAAACAATCTCCTTGAAACAGAAATGGGACTGGCTTACACGATCCACGCTGTTGGGGTGGCACAAAGGGACCAACCTTGCCCTTTTACAGGCCGCACTCCGACGGCGGGGGTGGGAAAGACCGTTGCTGCGCCCATCTCTTATGGGTGGAACGTGTCGGCTCTGTTCCTGCTTTAGCTCAAGGACCAGCTTGGATGCCAGATGATTCCTTCAAGGGCAGGGGTTGATTGGGTGGTAGACCGTAATATTGAAAGACATGGCCTCCAGTCTTCCTCCAGTCGCCTCGAGTCCTCCTTCCAGGGGAGGAGGTATTGGTAGACCCCAATCTGCCATCACCAGCAGTCAAGTGATGTGCGTACAGTACCTTGAGAAGACCAGACCAGACCAATGCCGTGGTTGGCTTTGCTGCAGTAACCCGTAGGGCCGAGACTTGGTCCTTGACTTGGACTTTTTGCATTTACCTCAAGAGGGAAGAGCTCAGGCGAAGAGCAGCATGGTAGGGTAGCATGTCTTGCGGAGTCAGTCCTATAGACTGAGAAAGGTACGCGCGGCAGGGTTAGGCACAAATCACAATTCATTGACTAGTATAATGGAAGTTCTTTTTTTCGATTGCGGCATTACTTGGCGACGTTGACCCGCCCGTCCATTTCATCATTTGCGTTATCACAGGGTTTTCCGGCTGTAACCTAGTTATGTTGTTCAGTAAGAAAGAAAGGTGTCGGAAACCTCAGTATTTCGTTGAAACCCTTGCCAGACGTGATAGATGTCTATTATGCTATAAGGTTCCGCCAGTAAAAGTGTAACAAGACGGTGAGTTTATAGATTGGTCAGATAGTCCTCAATCTCCTCCTTGGTCAACTTCCTGAAGCGGGGTCCCCGCGCCCCCTCGACTCCCTCAAAGCCCAGCAAATGGTCGGCAGGCGGTCCGACAATACCTAGCAAATGTCAGCTCGAGTCTACAACCCATGATGTCAAGGGCAGAATCTGTATCCCTACCAATCTCTATCGTGTCACCGTTCATTTCGCCCTCGATGGTCTCTTTCAGAGTCAATAGGGCAATGTGAATAGCGTCTTCGAGCTCCAAGCCCTCGGTGTAGCGCTTCTCGAGGAAGGTCTTGGCACTAGTGGCATGCTTGCCGATGGCCGTGGCCTTCCACGGGTAGTAACTGCCGCTGGGGTCGACCTGGTAAAGACTGGGGCCACCCTTCAAGATCCCACCCGTCTTGCCGGTCGCCTTCTTCAATTCGCCCTCCTCATCGCCTCTCTGGGCATCGCCGGTCTCAGGCTCGATGCCCTCATCCCAGCCAGCAATCAGCACGCTGACACCGTACGGTCGGACACCACCGGACTGCGTCGCCTCTTGTACGACGCGAGCGACGTCCTGCACTAATATACGGGTGGGAGGGTATTCGTTGTAGATGCGCTTGTAGCCGGTGTGCGAGACCTTGCGGGCCTTGTCGACTAGTACACGGTAGTCGGGACCCATGCCAGCGTAGACCATGCCGATGTCGGGTGTGATCAGGGAGATCTTGGAGAGGGAGGGAGGGTCGATGAGAGGCGAGGAGGACTTCTTCTCAGTAGCGAGAACGATTCCGTTCGTGGCTGTGCGGCGGAGCGAGCAGTCAGTAGCTGTGTCCAGCTGCGGCGCTGGGGTTCCATACCTTTGATACCAAGGGCCGTTACACCCTGATTGACAGCATTGAGAGCATATTCTGAGAAATATCAGTGAGAAGCTTAAGGTGAGTAGCTGCGGGATGCATTACCGATCTGAACCAGCTTTCCACTATACCCCGAGTGTTAGCTGAGGTATCAGCGATGGAGTAGCGGAGGAGCTGAGCTTACCTGGGAGAGAAAGTGGTCAAGGAGAAAGAGTATCGATCAGCCATGGAGACGGATATTCACCTCCAGAAGCTCTGGAGAAAGTGGTGTATGTGTGGAGAGGAGATAAATGGAAATGAATGGGATGATGTAGATGAGAAGTGGTGGATTGACGTGAAGCTTCCCTTCAAACGGACAGACAAGCAGGCGACAGGATGTTGACGCAGCAGCAGCAGCAGCAGCTTGGCCCGCCAAGCCGCGCCTGGGGCGGTGACGGTAGGCGAGCGGCTAGTGCGCTTTTTGCGCGCTTCTCCACTTCCCATAATATGGCCAACTTTTTTCTTCGGCTTTCTGTCCTTTCCACCATCTTTCTTGCACAGCACTCATAATAATTAACTATCGCGGCACCGACTACGTCACACGCGTCAGATCGCTGGTAGATCTGTCAATACTCGGAATATGCCACAGTTATCTACAAACTAGGAGAAGCATGGATTCGCGCAATGAGCCGCTCTGGCAGTGGCCATCTGAATCGGCTGCGCCGCCTCAGTCGGACGAGACGCAGGAGGAGTCTACAGACAGGCCTCCCCCGGGTGACTCGTCGGGCGATACCTTGCATGAAATTCGGCAGCGACACTACTCTCCTCGGACATGTCGCATCTGCTTGGAAACGGTCTATCCCACCTTTCCGCCTCCCTCGGAGTATATCCCCGGATTTCTCCAGCCCCAGCAGCGGGTCGTCTATGAATCGTCAGACCCGGAGTCTGGTCGATTGCTTCGTCCCTGCAAATGCAAAGGATCCTCCCGTTATGTGCATGAAGGATGCTTGCAACTGTGGCGACACTCCGACCCGGGCTATGGCAAGCGCAATTACTGGCATTGCCCGACCTGCGGGTTTTATTACCGGCTAGAACGTCTCCGGTGGGCGCGCTGGATTAGTAGCACCGTGATGCAGCTTGCATTGACTCTCGCCATTTTGTTGTTTACTGTATTCTTGCTTGGTTTCGTTGCTGACCCCATCTTTAACATTTTCGTGGACCCTGTGGATCCCATCGTGCCCCCTGAGATCTGGGATGTCAGGCCGGTGAAACCGATGGTCCATATCACGGATGACCGAAAGTCCTCGTGGACTGAACACTACCTCAAGGGCGTGGCTTCTCTGGGCTTGCTGTCTTGCATCAAGTCCGTTTTTGCATTCTCCCCCTGGCACGGGCTGACGCTGCGCCCTTCGCGGTTTCTCAGTGGTAGCAGTTCCGGCCGGAATACGGGGAGAAACCGAGTGGGATGGCTAATTATCGTCATCGGCGTTGGTACCTTCCTGTGGGTGAGTGACATCCGCTCTTGTCTTATAGGAGCAGCGACTGACTCGTCTTAGGCTGTCTACAAGGGCGTGCGGACCTGGAGCTGCAAGGTCTTAGAGACAGCTGGCGAGCGCGTGATGGATGTCCCGCTGCCTGATGATGAGGATGAAGCCGTGCCCATGTCTACAAGTCATCAGAGTAAGAAGGACGAGTGACGCTGCGCCTGGGACTCGCGCCACGTTGTCTTGAACCGTTCAGAGCTATCGTAAATCAATCTTGCCTGTTCTCGGTGTTTTGGGGCACAATGCTTCGTGACGATTGCTCTTCAATCTTTCGACTCACCCGCACTACTTAAGTTGCCACACTCCTTTTCTCGATGAGGTGTCAATTAGTCGATGTGCGCAGAATGCCACCGACCCTCGTTAACTTCCGAGGCTTGATTTGATGAGTGGATCTGAGCTGGCGCCGGAACGTTTTGTTCCTCTGCTTTTTCAGCCTACTCGCTAATGTCAAACGTGCCCGGAGGGAGGGTCAACCTGCACTTTACTCGATCCAAGTAGGCGCTACGGTTCTCAACGGCGTTTTCGATCGGGGTGCTGTACATGCTTTAAGTAGTCTGTAATGTAAGTAATATCTAATAAATTTCTGTCGACATGATCTTGCACCGAGACCTTCTGGTCTGGCTGGGTAGCTGCCTTTTTGTAGTCATTCTTGTTCGTTGTACAGAACACCCCCGTTGGTCAATTGCCTGAGGTTCCTTGTCTAGCCATAATTTCTTTGTTAATCATGGAGAAAAAACGCAGTCTGTAGCACATGAAGAACCCCTGCAGAGCTATCGAGCCTGGTTATTGTATCATAAGCAAGCCATGCATATGGAATCTTAAAGTAGAGAGAGACTAGGATATTGACAACAGGGGTGCAAAGACCCTTCAATTCATTGCAGTACTTTCCTATCTTTCCTATTTGAATCATCAAGCATGAACTACTAGTATATGATGCGAACATGATAGGAGAAGCACTGAAATTTCACATCTGGCCTTTTGATTTTTGCTCGAGGGGTATCGTTAATCTTGATGCTATTGAGCAACACAACCCATATCCCCTGACCTCCTCCTGGAGATGTGATGTTGATACAAATGGATCTCTAAGCATACGAGAGTTCTCAGAGACAATATCATTAGCTTCCTGCCCATAAATACCCACAGGCATGCTTCAGAAACTATTCTTCGCGAATGTCATCCTCTAACTACCATGAGCTTCAGTACGGGAGAGCCTAATCCCAGACTTGACCCTCCATCAACACATGCTTCCTTCCTCGCTCACCAAGGGACATTCTGCAGACAAGACCCCCCGCCAGCACCAGCACCAGCCCCAGCTTCATCATAATTAGCAACCCCCTTCTTCTTCTCCTCCTTCTCATCCTCTTCCTCCTTCTTCACCCAAAACCACCCCCAATCCGTTCTAACCACCCCATCCCCATCCTCCTCCTCCTCCTTCTTGACCTCAACCTCATCCCCATCAAACTCATCCTCCTGCTTTACCGCCTTCTCTTGCCAGTATCTCGCCCACAATCTCGCCTGATACTCCCTCTCATTCTCGAGAACCCGCTCCCTCCACCGCGCGAACGCACACCGAGCCCTCAGATCACGCCACACCTGCGGCGCCGACACGGGATCAAGCGACGCATACGCCGGCCGCAGGAACCTCACCGTGATATCCTCATGCGCGCCCGTAATCGCCTGGTACGTCTCGATGGCGTTGCTCAACAGGTCCCACGCCCGGAACAACGCGTTCGACAGGGCCAGGCGCGCCGGGTCGCGGCCCTCGGCTAGCATCTGCGGCCACTGTCGGAAATGGTGGTAGTCTGTGTAGATGTAGGCGTCGTAGAGGTCGAAGAGGATGAGAAGGAGGCGTTGTTCGGGTTTGTGGGGGTTGGGGAGGGTGCTTTTCTCTATTTGTTAGTTGTCTGAGTGGGCTGAAACTGATGGGGGTTGGGGGGTGGGGTATTGAGTGTTGGGACTTGGGAATGGGGATGGGTAAAAGCTAGGAAATGGGCACAATGTTAGTAACGTACTTGATCACAATGGTGGTCATTTCTTTGAAGCGCGTCAGATTGGACTTGGCCGGGTCGACACTGATGTGTGCGATGGTTTGCTGGGCGCTGTGCCATTGCTCGTGCTGGTTGTGGAGGAGCTGCTGGAGAGTGTTGAGGTGGATGACTAGCTTGGTGGCTAGGGACTGCGCGTGGTACACTTGCAGTGGTTTGAGGGCATTGAGCGGGTTCCGGGATTCGTTCAGTCCATCAGAGACTAGCACCAGAGCGCCACGGCGGAAGAGCAGGGAGTGGAGGGCTAGGATCTGGTTGCACATGATGGTAAACCGCCGGCGGAGGGCAAGGCTTAGGCTTGTGGAGCTGGTAAGGATGCGCATCTCCTCCAGCAGGTTCTTTCTGGTCTCTTCGGAAATTTTGAGGTCAGGGTAGATAGGAAGGGTTGGGTGGTCGGCGAGCCTGAAGCCAAGTTCTTCGAAGACTGGCTTGTTCATGGTCGTGTTGGTGGTGGGCTCTGGTAGGACCCATTCCGTGGTGAACAGCACGTTTACGCCGGAATTCCGTCTGGTGTGCGCGTCGTCGGTGGCGGCCTCCACGACTTTGGACATGGCGTAGTTGTAGGCTACTTCCTGGGCGTTGTCGACGCGTGAGTCTTCCTGCTCGCATGAGGAGTAGTACTCTGGAAATGGTTCGGTGGTGGAGTCCTGTTCGTCTGTGTCTCTGGCGGCAATAATGAGTGACAAGGCTTGGGAGATGCCCTGGAATTGGGCTGGTGAGTTGGATTCCATGCTCGCACCACGATGTGAGGATGATCTCAATTATGGCTGGGGTCTGTTTTCGAAAAGATGATAACAAGATGAGAGAAGAGTGTGGTAAGGAAGAGCAAGGGGAAGTGAGAGATTGGTGACAAGAAATCGCTGAAGTACTGCTTTTCAAATCAAGGCAAGGAAAATTTGTGGAGTGAAGAAGAAGTGAAGTGAAGTATTCACACAGCTCTGTGTTCACTGTGACTGTAGCAGTGAAAGCTGGAGCTGGCACAAGCAGCAATATTAACACATCAAGGCGTTTGTATACACAGACCAGAAACACAACATTGCTCCATCGATACGCCAACAGTAATAGAGTAAGTAGCTCGCTGTGCTTCAGGGTTGACTGGCCGTGGAAACTTCTGATACACCTAGCAACATCTGTCCAAAGCAAGGTAATTTGCAGGATTAGGTAGAGTGAGTTAATATTCTCCACTGACAGGACTATGCTCGATATCACAAAAGCCAAGGGACAAAGAGGCGTATATGAGATTACCGTATATGCACAAGGAGATCTCGTTTGAGCCGCTGCTACTACGCCCAAACATTAGATATGACATTTACAATTTGTGACTTTGAACTTGAAAACATACTGAGTACTGTACATCCTAAGCCGATGAATCCTTATAAGCCCCTAATTTGAACAGCTTCTTCGCATTCTCTCTTCCAATCTTTACCCGGTTTACCAGATTCAACTCTGCGTTATCAAACCACACACACGCGTCCTCGAATGTCTCAAACGGATAATCGATCGAGAACAAGATACGGTCCGCACCCACCTCCGCCATACAAAAGTTCAACGTCGTGGTCGAGAAGTGTCCCGAGGTGGTGATCCAGATGTTCTGCGCAAAATACTCGCGGATGGTCTTCTTGCAAGTCTCAGCCAACCCCAAGAGCTTCTTTCGATCCTCGAACCAGTGGTTGATGCGCCACATGTCGAAGGGAACGTGCTCGCCCAGGTGGCCCATGATAACCTGCAGGGCCGGGTGACGGTCAAAGACTCCGTTCGTGACCATCCCCAGCACATGAAGACTGACGCCGTGCGCAAAGCTGAGTGGGGGACCCACAAGCCACTTGCGGTCTGCCCAGAGTTTCTCATAGATGGTCCCTGTGGGGTTGCGGGGGTGCAGATACAGGGGTACATCGAGCTCGGTGCAGGTTTGCCAGAAGATGTCCCAGCTAGGCTGGTCGTAGAAGATCATGTCGTCGCCATCCGGGCCGGCGCGCTGGGTATCATTCACCAAGGCGCCCTTGAAGCCGTATTTCTCGACACAGCGACGGAGCTCGGTGGCGGCTCCTTGAGGGTCATGCATCGAAAGTGTGCTAGACACCCAGTCAGACAGTTTCTCAATGAGAGTCTATGGTCTTCGAATTCCTTACGCGAATGCACCGAGTCGATCAGGTCGGTCACGGATCTGCTCGGCGATATAGTCGTTGATCTCCACGGCGAGAGCTTGCGCCTCGGCCGCGTCCCAGATGTCTTGGACACCAGGAGCCGTATATGAGAGAATCTGGTAGCCAACTCCGTGCTTATCTGCGTGTTCGATGCGGATCTTGTTGATATCGGTGATCTCCTTGACATGGGTTTCGGGGTCGGTGGAGAATAGACTGGCCCACCAGCGGGTCTTCTCTTCGAAGCGTGGGAGCGCAAAGGCTTCCTCGAGGGCGATTTTCCCGAGCATAGTTGCGTGATTCTTCAGGTAATAGACTTCTAGGGTACCACTAGAGCTTCCGGAGCATTGAGAATACCACAACAATAGTGGTCAAGGGCTTGCAGTTATAGTTCAAGGAGGATATGGCGGGGAAGGCGTTGCGTTTACTTCATGATATGTGGAGGCGGGTCGGAAGCGGCTATGTTCCTTCCCCTCATTGTGCCCTTGCCGACTCAACAAGTAACACCAAATGGGATTCATCAACCGCAGGTAAATCTCCACCTTTGACCTTGTTTCTGGTGATATAAAGCTGAGGAAATGGACGAAGCATGTAGGGGTCTTTCCGATCGCCCGGATCTGTCGGATCGGAAGTAGACTTTACAGAGTGTCGATATGCGCACTTGTTGTTCACCTACCGACCACACCGCATCCGACGGGGCGGACAACAGCCAAACTAATTTATGGCAACCCCGCATTTAAAACAATCCAAGAAGCTACTGTAACTATAAGCATAAGCGACGGGATTTTCGGGGTCTCTCTCCCCATCAGTCATGCAGATGAACACATTGTCTCTGATATTGAGGCGCTTCGTATTCGCCTGTCAGCTGATTCTCAAACAAGGCTCTATTGTCTTCATGTGCTGGCATCGTCAAATGGCAGAAATGCAGGATGGTGCAACGTTGTACACGCTTCAGACACTTCGAGAAGACTGCAGCCGAAGGATGTTGATGCAGGAGTTATTCATCGCCACACACTGCAATACATAGGTTCTTCTAATACACATCTGGTCCGACCCAGAGGACCAGGTCTTGGGTTCCTGAGTGAATGTGTTATTTGATGGTCATTGGGTGCGATACGAGCCTCACTTCCACCTCACTGCCTCTTTGTCTGCATCCCGTCGAGCGATCCAGCGGTCACTTCAAGTGTTAGCCTTGGAAGTAAGTAGGGAGTAAATAGAACAGAGAGAGAGAGAGAGAAGACCATCGACAGCTGCATTCAACGTCTGATCTCAGCCTTGTCCCATAGGCTGTGGCAGTCACCGCGGGATGTCGACTGGTAGAGTCAGTCGTGCGGTTCTTCTGGTGGTCGACCGGGCTGAGTGAGTCGAGTCTCTTTTCCACTAACCGCTTCAATCCTCACTTCTTATCTCAATCTTGGGTCATGGTCCAGGGGGTTGTAGAGGATTCTTTGTGTGTGCAGACCTACCATCAACCAGATGAATTAACCAGCCATCCATCTCGACTTCCACTTCTTTATTAAAGTCAGTTCTTTCTTTGTTGTGGGGCACACAGTATGGCGTGAACAGTCCTGCTTGGTAGCAGTGCCAGTTACCAAGGATCAACCGTCATTCAGATTCGTCTATGGCCTGGCATGTTGACAGTCCCAACTGACATAAACCATCTTCCCAGTCGTCTCGCCCTTCTGCACTAGACTGCCCTTCAAGCCTCGCACCAGCGTAAATGAGATATCAACACGCGCAGATGAAGGGTTATTTCGGCAAGGAGGAAGCTCCCTTCGTGGGGGCATCCACTCTCAACAGCCACGAGACTGATGGCAACATGACTCTCCAACGCTCGCTGGGCACCGTTGCGGAGCGCGCTCGCCGTAATATCAATGCAAAGTTGGCGAACCCTCTAGCCGGTCAAACTCAAGATGAACTGCGCAGGCGAGGCATCAATTTCGCCATCGAACATCATTTGGGAGATGAAGAAGATATACGTGCTTTCGCCATGGGCGCTATGTTGGCCCAGAGACCAGAAAAATACGCAGAAGTCCCGGGTTTGACTCCCCAGGAGCTGGAAGTATTGAAGAACGAATTTGCCCACCGTTGGTCCCAGCCATGGACGATGTACCTGGTCATCTGTCTATGTTCCCTCTCTGCGGCCGTACAAGGAATGGGTAGGTTCTGTCATCAAAAAACATCCGTGGTTTCTCGAAGAGAGTTAGCTGAAAATCCTGACTCCTGCAGATGAAACGGTGGTCAATGGCGCTCAGATCTTCTACAAGCATCAGTTTGGCATTGACGGCACAGACTCCCGCTCTAATTGGTTGCTTGGACTGGTCAATTCAGCACCATACCTGTGTTGCGCCGTCATCGGCTGCTGGCTGACGGTGCCTTTCAATGCATGGTTTGGCCGTCGCGGAACTATCTTCATCACATGCTGCTTCTCTGCGCTGACTTGCCTTTGGCAAGGTTTTGTCAACACCTGGTGGCATATGTTCATCGCTCGTTTTGCGTTGGGCTTCGGAATCGGTCCCAAGTCTGCAACAGTTCCAATCTACGCCGCCGAAACAGCGCCTCCTGTCATCCGTGGTGCTTTGGTAATGCAATGGCAAATGTGGACAGCATTCGGGATCATGTTCGGCTACGCTGCGGACCTCGCATTCTTCCAAGTATCTGATTCTTCGGGGATCGTCGGCCTAAACTGGCGTATGATGATGGCTTCAGCCTTGTTCCCAGCTCTTCTGGTCTGTTGCTTTGTCTTCACTTGCCCGGAATCTCCCCGTTGGTACATGTCGCGAAACCGCTACGACAAGGCCTATGAGTCCATGTGTAGCTTGCGTTTCAATAAAGTCCAAGCCGCGCGTGACTTGTACTACATGCATACATTGCTGAAAGCCGAGGCTGGGATAAAGCTCGGTCAAAACAAGATCCTCGAGCTAATCTGTGTTCCCCGCAACCGACGTGCAATGATCGCATCAGAACTAGTGATGTTCATGCAACAAGTATGTTCCGATTCCCACTAGCGAGATTTCACGGCTAATGTCTTGAAACAGTTCTGCGGTTTGTATATGTGACTGCCAGCCAACATCGCATAGGGCTGATGTATGACTTTAGGTGTTAACGTTATCGCGTACTATTCGTCGGAGATCTTTCTACAATCAACTGGTCCGACTAATATGCTAACAACAGAGAACCAGCTGAGGGCACTAGCGGCGTCTTTCGGCTGGGGAATGATCAACTGGCTCTTCGCCATACCCGCCGTGTATACGATTGACACATTTGGCCGTCGCAATCTTCTGCTAACTACCTTTCCTCTAATGGCTTTGTCGATGTTCTTTACCGGCTTCAGCTTCTGGATACCTGAAGACACAAAAGGTTCTGCCCGGATGGGGTGCGTTGCTTTAGGAACATACCTCTTTGGAATCGTGTATTCGTTTGGAGAGGGACCAGTGCCGTTTACCTATTCCGCTGAAGCCTACCCGCTCTACGTTCGTTCTTACGGGATGGCTTTAGCTACCTCGACGACGTGGTTGTTCAACTTCACGCTAGCCATCACTTGGCCTTCACTCCGTCATGCGTTTACTCCTCAAGGGGCGTTCAGCTGGTATGCCGGTTGGTGTATCGTCGGATGGTTTCTGATACTTTTGTTCATGCCCGAAACAAAAGGGAAGACGCTAGAAGAGCTGGATCAGGTGTTTGGAGTTCCCACGCGCTTCCATGCAAAATACGGGCTGCGACAGATTCCTTACTTCATCAGGAGATATATCCTCCGTCGGAAAGTTCGTCCTCAAATTTTGTACGAGAGAGAGGATGACGAGCCTGTGACCGACACCGGATATGACCATATTTGATGCAAGTTGCCTTCAGATCATGTCTCCGCTCCTTTGATGTGGCGTGGCAGGAAGAGCGTAATCTTGTTTATTGTACAGGGGTCTGCTGCTGTGCCTTTGTCCATAACTGCATCGGGTTCTAGCAAGATTTGAAAGAGAACGGAGTTCTTGATGGATTTCCAATTTCATTTCCAATTTCTGATTGTTCTAATATTTTAAGAATGGTGCATGAAATGTGAAAAGGTAGGGAAGTGTTCACTGTGTCAGACAGCAGTTGGTACGATTGTTGATCCGCATGTATGATAACTCGGAACAGGTCTGTGTGAATCTTGCTTCATCATTGAAGTGAACACTGTGGGGGAACATGTGCAATGGGGAAGGTAATGGGAGCAACTGCAACGAATAAAAGTCTTTTGACATGAAATCTGCAAAGCTTGAGCAACACATAATACTCATAGCAAAGCTATTCAAAGTGGCGCGACTCCCTGAAACCCGGACAGAGGCGTCTAAAGCCAACGACAAGTAGATCAATCCATGATGTTGGCAAACGAATGTGAGAGAAAAAAGAAATGAAAATTTGAAGCCTGCCGCGTTTTTTTATATGCGTATCGTTCGCTAACAAGCCAATCACAGCCCACAGTGCAACCACCCGGGCCGCGGTGGTTTTGCGGTGTTTGCGGTGTTTGCTTGGGTTCTGTCTCGCCCCAGATTAATTTTTTGACGCAGGCTTCAGCATCAGTGTATTTCTGTGTTGTTTGTCTGTCGCTTCCCTTTCGTTCCTCGGAGATTTCGTGTTGTCGAAGAATCGGAGATATTGAGTGTTTAGATTTCTTATTCCACATTCATTACAACTGCGTGCAGTATTAGCCGCGAATAAAAAGGTACGATTCTCTCTTTACTCTGCTCATTCTACGTCAAATTAGGAAGCCCGTATATCCTGCGACCACGCAATGCTAATTTCTCGTTCATCGCATAGGATTTTGAGCTTTATACCCTCTCGTTTTTGATCCTGGACTTGTTCGAGTCCTTTGAAAATATCTGCCACAATGTCCGACGCTCCTGAGAGCCCCGTTACCCAGCAACAAAGTGTGTAGGCGACTTGCATTTGGGCGCGCTTCTTCACGATGCAGTTCAAACCATCTTTTGAAGCATTTGTCTCTAACAAATGTCTAGCTCCCCAGAAAAACTTCTACCAAAATGGAGTCAGAACTACCGGCCGTGCCTTCCACTCTCCCAACTGGCGTATGAAGGGTGAGGAGAGCCCCAGTGCGCAGAGTGCCGGTTCGCCGGGCCCCAAGACCAGCACCTCAAGGCTTGCTTTCAGCAGACCCAGCGCGCATGTCCCGCAGGCCATCTCTGAAGGTCGCCGTCTCTACGTGGGTAACATGCCCTACACGGCCAAGTCAGAGGATGTGCAAGCCCTCTTTACCGCTGCCGAGTTTTCAATGTATGCGAAACGACTTCTTTCTGTTGATGAGCCCCAAAACTGAGTGCTTCCTAGCGAGCGTATTGATATCGCCATTGATCCCTTCACCGGCCGCAACCCCTCATACTGCTTCGTTGATCTAGAGACGAAGGAATTGGCCGAGCGCGCAATGGTCGAGCTCGATGGCCGGGATATGCTCGGCCGTCCGGTCAAGATCAAGCCGGGTGTTGTGAAGTCCGCTAGCGAGCGGGCTCAGCAGCAGCAGCAGCAGCAGCAACAGCAACAGCGCGTGGACGGCTCTCCTCGTGATGTGAGAAGCTCGCCCTTCAGTGCTGACCGGTGGCGCCGTGGCGATGAGGCTCCCTCCTCTCCCGCCAGACCTGTCAACAACGATGCCAGCCGCCGTCTCTACGTTGGTGGCCTCCCCAAGTTGACCGATCAAGACGCTCTCAACATCAACATCCGCAATTTTTTCAAGGGATACAATGTGTAAGACTAGCCCTACATCCTGTGGCTCGGTTTATAGCTAACTTTCCTCGCAGCGAGAATGTCAGCAAGCAGTTCGCCCCTCACCCCGCCAAGCGATTCGAGCCCGGTGACCACTACTACCTCTTTGTCGACTTCGACAGCGTTGAGGAGGCCGAGAACGCCATGAGCGCGCTGCACCGCCAGGAAGGTCCTTGGGGCTCCATGCTGCGGGTCCAGAGAGCTCGTGGAGAGACCAACTCCCAGGAGAGACGTCCCAAGTGGCCCTCTAGCCGGGATGATGGAGCAGTCCCTGCTCTTGGGGATGCTAATGCCGTTACCGAGGTGGCAGTTGGCGTATAGTTGTGCTGCTATACGGCTGATCCCTTCTCACGACACGAAAAAAGTTTCTGCATACCACCTCAAAAGCCAAAAGTACATGCTTGACGTTATTTACGAAACATAAAAAGGGAGGGGGTGTTGTTCCACCCCGATATTCTCCCGCAAGAGATTCATGACCTTTATTCTCTGCCTCGTTCTACGTCTGGCCCTCCCACCTATGGCTAGGGAAGCCGATCACAAGAAAATAATAAGCAGCCACCAGCGCTGGGGCAAAAGCCGTGCTTTCCCCCACATTCCCACCGGGTCCTGTTGAAGCCGATCCGTATGCAAGTTGGGGATTGGTTGGATCTTAATTTTTGAGGCTCTTCCATCCATGTGCAGATCTGAGGCACAGAACAGGCACCAAAATTCTAAAAAGGGGAAGGCTTCCTTCCAAAATTAATGACAATAGAGTCGACCAAAAAGGATTTATTTTAGGGCTGAGCTTAGATTAATCTGAACAAGAAGACTTACCGATCAGGTATTGCCTTGCTTTCAAGTTGTAATTCTTTTTGTCTCTTGACGATAGGTTGAACCCCACACCATACGACTAGCGGATAAATTCCTGATGATCATGTCTTCCGAGGTCTATTTTGAGCTAGAAGGAAATCCTCTCGTTTGCAGAGCGCGGGGGAAAATGGGATGGGATCATGGGACACCGATGGCCGCTGCCATCCCCAGTCCCACCAACAGGCAATGTAAGGGACGGACTTCGGATCGGCAGTGGACACTGACAGACAAGCATGCGCGTGATAGCAATCCGCCTCTCAATTGCCTCAAAAAATTGCAAAGAAAAACCGCGCATACTCCGTAGTTGTCAGGCGACAGTGAGTCACTTTTGCCCCAGTCGGGTAATACTCAGTTCTAGCCCTGAGCCCATCGCGATGAACAGTTACGATTTTACCCGAGACGAAAACGCAATGAAAGGTCACGTGGGTGATTGAGTTGACAAGCCGACCGGGGAAAAGAGGACAACCGGCCGGGGAGGGGGAGGGATCAATTAGTTGATTTCTAGAATACGGAGTAGCCTGACATGAATAATACAATTAGGACTTTTTTCTGACCATAAGAATAACAGTGAGGGAGAGTCTCTTCAGTTTCCAGCACATTTCCTCTTCACTGAATAGTGACTTTTCTTTTGACGGAAGAGAACACCAACTCCGAGCAACTACTGACATACTATTGAATCATCATTGCCTGGACAATCACCGGCAACTGCCTTGCCCCGCGGCATGACGTCTGTGCTTCTTCGTCCTCACATTTTCCAAACTGCCCATCATCCACTGCCCCTCCGCTCACCGCATCGGTTCCCCTAAGTTGGGTTTCATGCCCATCCAACCAGAGTCATCTGTTGATCAATTCACTTATCCTCCCTTCTGCCAAAGATTATTCCCCCTCGTGAGACAGCCGGACCTGTCTGTTGCTTAGTGATTTGCGACCAACACTCAACAACACCTACAACCAAAAAAAGGTTGCTATATACGAAGTACTACAGAGTTACACCCGATCGACAGTCCCTTTCCTCTCCCTTCCGGCTTTCCGCAGCATTCTTTTGTCCGCGATTGGGCTTCCTCGTGGCCGACATCTAGGATTCTCCTCTGTCCGTTTGCTTGCACAACACCTCAAGGTGAAGAAGTCGATTGGAAAAGCAATCGCAGCCACTTCAGCATGTCTTCGGGTCTGATTCGTCGGGACAATGGCCACGGCAAGACTCACTACTTCGCCAGTGTAAGTTGCGCAATGCTTTCCGTTTGTCTGGCTTCCCCTAGCACATGACTTGATTCGAGCGGGCCACCAATTCATCTTTTTTCATTGCCATTGAGACGTGTCTGAGCTGTGGTCTGTGGTACGAGGCCAGTGCACTGCAGCTCTTGTCGCGGTGCGGACTTGTACCTTTTGAGGTGCCTGCTGGGACATGATATTGAGTTTCAGCGGCTTAACACAGCTCGCCACCCACCATACTACTGCTCCTCGTGTCAAACAATTCTTAAACATGGCGTCATTTACGTTCTACTCTTGTCTTGTCCTAGAGGCTTATTTGCGCATTGATAGTCAGATGAGTCGAAAATCTGTGTGGTCATGGTTGGCCTCCCAGCCAGGGGCAAAAGTCTTATAGCTGGCAAAGGTTGGTTCAGAAGGATTCTCCTCGCCAAGGAACAAACTGACAATTTGACCAGCTATGAGATATCTCGCCTGGGTCGGTATTCCTGCTCGTGTGTTCAATGTCGGCACCTATCGCCGACAGGGCACGCCGCAACCCAACGCCACGTTCTTCGACCCCCACAACGAGGAAGGGGAGAAGATGCGCCGTGCCGCAGCGGATGCTGCGATTACAGATATGATTCAGTGGTTTGATGCTGGCAAGGGTCTCGTCGCGATCTTGGATGCGACGAACTCGACGAAAGAGCGCCGCCGCTGGATCAATGAGCGCTGCCGAGAAGCTAACATCGAGACGTTATACGTCGAGTCGATATGTGACGAGGAGGATTTGATTATGAACAATATCCTCGAGGTCAAGACGACATCGCCAGACTACAAGGGGCAGGACCCGGAAGTTGCTGCTCGGGATTTCCGCGAGCGAATCCGCAACTATGAGAAAGTTTATGAGACCATCGACGATGGCGAGAAAAATTATACCTACGTAAAACTCATCAACGTTGGTTCTACTGTCATCATTAACCAGATCAAGGACTACCTGTCCAGTCGGCTAGTCTATTACATCCAGAACCTCCATATCAAGCCTCGCTCGATCTGGTTGTCTCGCGTAAGTTTGAGTATACCTGCAATCACGACTTTCAGCTAATTGCCCTCTAGCATGGAGAGTCGGAATATAACCTAACAGGGAAAATCGGAGGTGACTCCAACATCTCTGAACGCGGTGAGGCTTATGCCAAAGCCTTACCTGGTCTACTGAAGAAGTCTGGTGTTCCTCCCAACACGAAGATTGTGATCTGGACCTCCACGCTCAAACGAACAATTCAAACGGCTCGGCACCTAGCCGCGGAGACTGGTTTTGAGAAACTGGAGTGGAAGGCTTTAGATGAGCTCGACTCCGGAGTTTGTGACGGATTGACCTACGAGGAAATTGCTGAGAAATACCCGGAGGACTTCGCGGCCCGTGATGAGGACAAATACAACTACCGCTATCGGGGTGGAGAGTCGTATCGCGACGTGGTTATTCGTTTGGAACCCATTATCATGGAGTTGGAGCGCAGCGAGAATGTGATTATCGTGACCCACCAGGCTGTATTGCGCTGCATATACGCCTACTTCCTCAACACACCACAAGAGCAGAGCCCTTGGATGGAGGTCCCCCTCCACACGCTCATCAAACTTACCCCGCGTGCATATGGCACAGAAGAACAACGGTTCAAGGCCGATATTCCTGCAGTGTCGACCTGGCGCGCTAAGGGCACCTCAGCAAAACACCAGGAATACCGCACGGAAACCAAGGCGTGAGCATTTGCAAGGCTCAAAATAGAATTAACGAGACCATACTCTTCATCTGCACATATCGGGCGCTTATTGAGACATGCATGCTGGTTGGCACACCTGGGTTGATTGATTTCTGCCGGTTCTAATCGAACATTTTTATTGTACAGTTGCATAATGATCTTTCTTTCCCTCGTTTACTCTTCGATCTGGTCGCAGGAGGATTTGGGGCGCTGGTTATGAATCAGTTGAGATAAGGTTGGGTCTGCACCTATTATGTATATTGGTTGCAACCCTTGTGGATTCTTATTGCATCCAACATCCGCGTGTGTGTGGTATACCCCGAGGTTATGGCGCTTTTAGGTAGGATGGCTGTAGGGAATGCAAAGACAAGTTCAATCAGGACGATTCCGTAAATAAGTAAGTCAGTATATGGTTCTTCAGGTGTAGCCTTGGCGGTGAGCCATTTGACCAACAATGCATGTCATTCATGATGATTTAGGAACATAATGTCAATATAAACATCATCATTCAACCACCAGGGGCAATGGCGCATCTGGGAGCGCGTCAGACTGAAGATCTGGAGGTGGCCGGTTCAAGCCCGGCTTGCCCCAACATTTTTTCTGTTTTGCTTGTCCTCTCCTCTCTTCGCCTGGTGGGTCAATTCGGTGTGGTGTGGATGCAGACCGATTATTGTGCCAATGGTGGGCCAAACCCCGGCAGAGAGAAATTGATAACGGTGAGCGGTGAGTTACTGAGAAGCCTCAGGCCACCAATGACGGAAGACATCAATAACCACAGTACATCTGGACTATCATTCAGACTACCTTACGTACTTGTGATTAACATTAGACTCGGTGATGTCTTGCTATGAGCGATCCCCCAGATTGGCAAATTACCATTTGATTGGAAAAGTGCGCCCACACAACCAGCTGCAATCGCACCTATAGTAAGAGGTGCGTTTACTTCGAGACATGGTCTTCATGCTTTCATCCAATGGCAGCTGTAGCTCACCGTAGTGGGCTTGGCAGGTCCGGACTGTGGCCGGGCAGCAGCAGCAGCAGCAACAATTACTGCTAACTATCATACTTCATTTGTTATATCTACCTTCAGTCGACCTCCATCCCTTTCAATTTACATACATTGCGCTGTACATTACCACCTACAAAAGTACTTGCTGTCTCGCCTGGCAGCGGACTTGCTTCTTTTACTTGTCTTTTCTCTCTGCCGGACATACAAAACTTGCCTGCCCTGCAACCTCCGCCCTCCGACTTCCAAACCTCAACATACAGTATCATGGCAGCAACCACGACCTCGGCCCGTTGATCCCACTCCCCCTCGCTTTCTCCTCTGGCCTTCGAGGAATTTCATACGCAACACCGGACATGCCTCTACCTCCTCCCAGCCCCAAAGAAAGATAGTATAGCCGGATAAGGTTGAGACATATCCACCCTCCCGCAGCAACATAACCCTTATCCCCAACGACCCTAGACAGAAACCACCAACTCACGTCGCAAGCCTCCAGAAAGGCTAAACTATCAAGTTCGATTAATCTACATCTCCCACCTCTCGAGAAGTCCCTTACACCTTCACACCCTCTTCCCCGGCCTCCCCGCGAAAACCCTACGGGTTGCGAAGGAGGACGTTGCGGCAAGACCATGTTATCCGCCTTCACCGCTCGACCGCTCGTCGAGTTCAAGCCGCGCGACCGATCGCGCATCGAATCCGTTCTCGCATACGGGGACCGCGTTCTGGTGGGGCTGAATAATGGCAGTTTACGGATCTATCGGGTGAATGAGGTGGAGAAGGAGTCTGGTGATGACGACGGAGGGTTGCGAGATGGCCCTCATGGTACGAAGGGGGATGGTGGTGGCGGTGATGATGGTGCGCTGGGGAATAATGTTAATGGGGCTGCTGGTGCTTCTCAGGGTCCGACGATAACGACGAGCAATAGTAGTGGTGGTGGTGGTGAAAGGGAGAATGCGAATCCGAACAGTACCACGAATAATACGTCGGCAGGTGCTGCGGATCAGACGAATGCGAATCATAATAATGCAACAGCAACAACTACGAAAGTGAAGCAAACGGATCTTCTGCGTGAGGTGGAGAAGTTCTCGCGGTACAAGGTCGAGCAGTTGGCCTTGATCAAGGAGGCGAAGTTGTTGGTCTCGCTGTCGGGTGGATATGTGTCGATTCATGATCTGCAGACGTATGCGCTGCAGGAGCAAATGACGCGCACGAAGGGGGCGTCGACGTTTGCGGTGACGTCGAATATCGTGAATGATCCCGAGACCGGGGTGCCGTCCATTGTGTCGCGGCTGGCGGTGGCGGTGAAGCGCAAGATCTTGCTGTGGGTGTGGAGGGATATGGAGGTGGAAGCCGAGGTCATGGAGATGACTCTCGTCAGTGGGATCAAAACGCTCACCTGGGTCTCGGGGACGAGATTGGTGGCTGGGCTGGCGTCGAGCTTTGTGATGATCGATATCGAGAAAGCCAGCGTGACGGATCTGGTGGGCCCTGGGAGTATCGGCGGGCTCGGGGGCCAGGAAACTGGCCGCTTGACTGGCGTTGGGGTCGCCAGTATGAGTTATATTGGTATCGGAGGGTCGGCTCCGAAGCCCCTGGCGACGAGATTGTCGGAGGGTCAGGTTTTGTTGGCCAAGGACATCAATACGCAATTTATTGATATCGATGGTGCCTCGCTAGGGAGGCGTCAGATCCCTTGGAGTCATGCCCCAGCCGATATCGGGTATTCGTATCCATTCCTCCTGGCGCTGCATGATGCGTCCAAGGGTGTGCTGGAGGTGCGTAACCCGGAGACGCTGTCGTTGCTCCAGTCGATTCCGCTGCCGTCTGCCAATATCTTGCACATTCCCCAGCCTACGATCAGCTTATTCCATGCAGGCAAAGGTTTCTTGGTGGCGAGCGAACGTACAATCTGGCGCATGGAGGCGCTGAGCTATGATACCCAGATTGACTCGCTGGTGGAGAAGGGCTATCTGGACGAGGCGATTAGTCTGGCGAGTATGCTCGAGGATGCTCTTCTGAGGGACAAGCAAGGCCGACTACGTGAGATCAAGCTCGAAAAAGCCGAGGGGCTGTTTCGACTGCGGAAATATGCAGATTCGATGGACATCTTCACGGAAATATCCGCGCCGCCGGAGACGGTGATAAGACTCTATCCCAAGATCGTGGCAGGGGAACTATCATCGGTCCTTGAGGATTCGGAAGAATCCGAAGACAGCTCCACCGAAAGCCCGTCTAAAACGCCCGATAACCAAAAGCAGGTCGACGGCAATCACACTGCGAATGCTGCTGTTGCAGCCACAGCCAAGACGCTCTCGCATGCTCCCTCGGTCATGTCGCTACTGCGGTCCAAGACGGAGGATTTTAACGATGCGGCCAGTATCCGGACAAGAATGACGGAGGAGGCCAAGACCGACAAGGCTCTTCAAGGCAACGACCTCAAACTGGCTGTTCGTGAGCTGCAGAGGTACCTGGCAGATGTGCGTCGGCGGTTCCAGCGCTTCCTCAGCCCTGACGGCTCTCTGAAGGTATTTGATATGCCAGCCGACGGGGCAACAGATGAATTGACCGACTCCGTGATGAAATTACTCGAGGTCAGAACCAAGAATGCACAGGACCCCGAATTTGGTGAGAAGATCCGAGAGAAAGCCAAACTTGTTGATACTACCCTCTTTCGCGCGTACATGTATGCTATCCCCGCGCTGGCGGGATCGCTTTTCCGGATCGCGAACTTCTGCGATCCAGACGTGGTCATGGAGCGACTCGAGGAGACCGGTCGACACAACGATCTGATCGACTTTCTGTACGGCAAGAAGCTGCATCGACAGGCGCTGGAGCTGCTGCAACGGTTCGGTCAGGCCGAGCAAGAGGAGGAGACGGCTCCGCAGCTGCACGGGCCCAAGCGGACCGTCGTCTACCTGCAGAACATGCCCGCAGACAAAATCGACCTCATCCTCGAGTTCGCGGAATGGCCGCTGCGCGAGGATCCTGACCTGGGCATGGAGATCTTCCTGGCCGACACGGAGAATGCGGAGACCCTGCCCCGGCATCGCGTGTTGGACTTTCTCCGGCGGATCGATGTTAACCTGGCCGTGCGATACCTGGAACATGTCATCGGCGAGCTGAACGACATGTCGCCGGATCTTCACCAGCAACTTCTCAATTTCTACTTGGATCGTTTGAAGAAATACCGAAACAAGGAATGGGAATTCGCCAGCGAGGACGAGCATGTCGCGTGGCGGACCAAATTCCTCACCATGCTGAGGTCGAGCACACAGTATTCTCCGGCAAAGATTTTGGACCGTCTGGACCGCGATGGTATGCCACTTGAATTGTTCTATACTTATATCGCTCTGTCCGGCCGCTGACCTGCCATTTTTAGATCCCGAGTTCTTCGAAGCGCGAGCAATCGTGTTCAGTAAAATGGGACAACATAAGCAGGCGCTGGAAATCTACGTGTTCAAGCTGGAGGACTATGCTAAAGCTGAAGAGTATGTTAGCACCGAGAGAGGAAGTAACCCTTTTTCCATGGCTAACTTCAGCACAGATACTGCAATCATCTCCATAAGCAGGACGATATCGCTTCTAATGAAGAAGGCGGGCCTTGTGTGGCTTTGCTGGCTTACGAAGAAGACAAGCCATCGATTTATTTGACTCTATTATCGCTCTACCTGACTCCACCACACGGATACAAGCCACGCTATGGGCCAGCGCTCGAGGTGCTGGCCAAACACGGATCTCGCCTGCCCCCTGGTGCCGCGCTGGATCTGATCCCAGAGTCCCTTCCTGTAAAGGAGCTGGACTTCTACTTTAAGGGTCGCATGCGGGCCGCCAACTCGATGCTCAACGAAAGTCGGATCGTGGCCAGCCTGCAGAAAGCCGAGAACATCAAAACCCAAGCCCAATTACTGGTGGGTGAAGGGACGGATCCCAAGTCATCGAGATCCAGACATGTCACCATCACCGAAGAGAGGGTCTGCGGGATCTGTCACAAGCGGATCGGCGGCAGTGTGATCAATGTGTACCCAGAGTGAGTTACTTCCCACCTGCGCGATGGGAGGAAAGTTAGTCGCTGACTTCTCGCAGCAATACCGTCGTCCATCTCGGCTGCGCCAATCGCAAGCGTGCTCTTTCGTGATTGGGGTCATCGATGTAAATAGAAGTATGTCTTTTGTCTTGTCATGTGGTATCATAGCTCTTTTTCTGTGCGTTCCATCTCTTCGTTGTTTGGCTTTGACTTGTTTCTTCTTTTCTTGTTTTGTCTTCGAGTTTCCTATTCGATCTCATGTTGCACAGATTTGTCATTTGGAGTGGGCGGACGCTTCCTGCACGATGATACCCGGGGATAGCGATCTCTTTCATGTTTACTCATCTTCATATCATAGCCAGAATATATCAATGCATGCCCCCATTGCCCCCCCACCCCCTATTTTCGCGTAGTCTGGCTTTGTTGGAGGGGCGGGGGCGCCGAACATGCGCCGCAGCGCGGAAGGAGAAGTATCTTCCTTGGGCGCCAAAAGACCTGTCAAATGGATGACTGACTGGTCCTGTGGTGGATGTCTCTTCAAGCATCATCTTCGTCCACAACCTCCTCGCCGTAGTTCGCTTCCTCCTTGGCTTCCTTTTCAGACAGTTGGCGACCCTGCGCGTCGGCGGCCTGCTTGTCCTCTTCCATCTTCTCAGTCAGGAAGACGTTGATCTCGTTCTGAAGGACGGGGACCAGTTTCCGGAGTTCGGCGAGGTAGGCTACCTTGGCCTGGATGTTGCTGTCAGAGGAGGGGAGAGGCGATGTGATGGGTTGCTGGAAAGTGTGGGATTGTTGGGGGGAGGTGTAGACAGCGTGGAGCTGGGTGGGCGTTGTCGTCGACATGATGGAATCTTGGTGGGTGAATGAGGTTTCAAAGTTCAAGGAAGAAGGAGAGAGAAAGTCAAACAAGTAAATGCAGGTCGTGTTTGAAATTTGAAGGAGGGAAAGGGGGATTGGAAGATTTTGGTGGTGAATGGGATTTCGTTTTACAAAGTACGAGAATAAGAAAAAGCGGAATGGAATGGTGGAATTGAATGGTGGGGTGAGTGGGTGGGAAAAGGAAGGGAGGGAGGGAGGGTTCAATCAGGAGGAGATCGACAGATCCAAAAATCAATGAATCATTCAATGGTTCTTTTGCTTCAGATGGTTGCAGATCTTTTTTACTCCAGGGCAAGAAACCAATTCGGTTGTAATTACTTGATCACTGACCTACAGCAAACTACTTCATTTCCTTGTTGACCCCGATCAGACCATGGGTTAAATGGATTAAATTAAGTCCCCCTCATTCCCTCAACGATGTTGCGCTCGCCGGTTTCGCCAGAACGCGGTGCCTCGCGGTCTCCAATCCCTCCGCCAACTTCACAGAGTCCTCCCCCTCCAATTCCCCCTCTTCCTCGCCGTTCCTTTGACGAATCCTATACCTTCTACCACCGTCCTGGCTCCTCTGGAAGTGATGCCTCGTCGATTACCTCCAATGTGACCACCATCTCGCCTCAGCGATCAACTACTACCACTGCTGCCGTGCCTGTGCCGCCTGCACCTGCGCCTGGAAGCACTGCCTCGCCGCGGCCACCGCGTATCTCCTCCCTCAACACCGCCAATCTGACCTCCGCGTCTACCACTACATTCAATACCACCACCACGACCTCGTCTGGGCGATCCCCCGTCTCCTTCATGCCGCATAATGAGATCTTGAGCCGAAAGCCTTCGGGACGGGTCGTCCCGGCTGAGCTGCAGCGACGCTCTCGTCACCACTCCCAGGGTTTCTTTGAACCGTCGCTTCCTACCGCTTCTTCGACCGAGGCCTCTTTGTCAGCTTCTCGTATTGCTGCGCAGACGGCCATGCTTCAACAGCAGCAGCAGCAGCAGCAACAACAGCAACAGCAACAGCAACAGCAACAACAACAACAACACCACCACCAGCACCAGCAACACCCACATCAACAACACCAGCAAACAAGCAACTCTCAACTCTCCGTGAAAAGACCCGCGACTTTGCGAGGGGTCTCTGACGACGGTTCTCATTCCCGACGCGGCGGAAGCATCTCGCCCCCTCCCCCGCCTCCCCCACCCCCAACCTTCGCACCCCCCGGTTCTAGTTCAGCCAGCGCGACTGGCGCCTCAGCCGGGCAGCAATCCTACGCAAATGGCAGCAGCACCGCCGCCGGACATGCCCATGCTGCCACGACAGCTGCCAACGTGGTATTCCCCCGAAACCCAGGGCTTCAGCCTCCCGGGCTCGAGATCCCCCAGGAGCGCGAACACAAACACAAGGGCGAGAAGTCCAAGATGAAACTTTTCTCGAAACCCAAGCACATCGGCATCAGTCGAGACAAGGATGGAGCGGGAAAGGAGAAGGGATTGCCTTCGCCGAGCAAGATGGGGTTTCCCAGTGGGGGGCTATCCCGGATCGTCAGCGCTTCGACCACCAGCTTGGCGGATACCTTCCCCTCAAACAACTCCTCCATGTATAACTTGTCGAATGCGTCTGCGACCACCGTGGTGCCGGCCGATAAGCCGACGGGGAGTGAGAAAGAAAAGGAGAAGGAGAAACACAAACACCATTTCCTGTCGCGCCAGAAGCTGAAGCTGAAGGATCGCGACGATCACTATAATCTGCCTCTGTCGTCCGCGTCTAGCAACTCCAAGCCGTCGGATCCGAATGCGCCGCAGTCCTTGTACTCGTTTACCCCTGCATCGCCGGGGGCGACCAGCACAACGTTCGGCAAGTCGGTTAGTGGTCTGGATTTGTTGCATGGTCTTCGCGAGAAGAAGAAAGAAGAAAAAGCGCAAGCACAGGCGCAGGCGCAAGCGCAGGCACAGGCCGAGTCAGAGCAGATGGAATGGGCCGCTAGTTCGGCGGGACCGGGAGGGTCGCCGGCCGTTTTCCCCGGGCCCTCGTCTCTGGGCAGCTCTTCCGGCTTTGTGGCCGAGGCTGCGCTGCGGGAGACTCTGCAAGGGTTTGGTCTGAACAATATGACGCCGGAAGATGCCTGGGACTTCTTGAAAGCGAAGATGATGGTGATCTTCGACGGGGAGGACGTGCGCATCGCGATTGAGGATCTCAACAAGTTGGTGCTGGTCCACATTCAGCGTTGTATTCAAAAGCGCACTCCCGCGGCGGTGGTTGATGATCTAAGAGAGCTGCTAGAGACCGGGTTCGCCTCGCTGAACCATACCTTGAATGGGGTTCCGGATGAGAAGCTGGTTCCTCACCTCGTACAGGTGTGGATGCTCGTGTTTGGCACAATCCTGCCCTTCATCCAGGCCGTATTCCTGCCACTCGATCTCGAGATCAAGGGCTGCGGGTCTGTTTTGAATCGACGAGAGCCCCCTGAGTTCTGGGGTGCTGCCCGGAATGCTGAGCACCCCGGCTGCGAGCTGGACGTGCGAAATCTGGTTTTGGTGGCCTTCCGCGACAGAATCGTCCTGGGTCGCTATGAAAGTCTCAAGTCAACATTCTCACGCCTGAGTCTCGACAGTATAAAGCTAGGCACGGCGGCACTCAGCGTCACCACCAAGAGTAGTTCCACCAGTGGCGGCCGGCCCCCGACCGCAGCCTCGCTTGACGGGGTCGGCAGCTACAGCTCGCAATCCTCAACACTTCTGAACGCGCAATCTGGAAGTTATTCTTCGGACTCGTTGAGCGGCCACCACAACAGCAGCAGCAACAACAGTCGCAGCCGCGCTGCCTCCAACACCTCCAACCCCGACCAGCTGATTTTTCAGTCCCTCTCCTCGCCTCCCCAGCGCCCCAGCATTATCCACCGCCCCAACACAGCCGACACCTCGCACATTATCACCGAGACGGTTGGCCGCATGTTACAGTGTGTCAGCGTCCTGGCCAGCGTGCAGACGGGCGACAAGGCCCAGGAGCAGGTCGAGGCGCTCGGCAAGGATCTGAAGCACAACTGGCTGGGACGGGGCCGCACCGGCCGCGACCGACGCGGCTTTGTGGGCACCAAGATTCGGCCGGCGATCGTGGCGCGGGCCGACAGTGATGAATATATGAAAGACCTGGCCGGTCATAGCCTTGGTCATGGTCATGGTCATGGTCATGGAGATCTCGATGGGCGGCTGCATGATGGGCGTCTGGAGATGATGAGTTTCTGAGCCTTCCCCTTTTTGTCTGGTACAAAATCTTGTCTGATACCTCCCTTGATTTTTTCTTTTTTACTGGTTTTCGCGTGTGATGCGGTTCGGCATGGTGGGTGTTTTTGGTCCCGGGGATCAGGCAGCTGGTAGTTCTTCTTCGTTGGGGGTTTAGTTCTTCTTTCAAGTTCGATGACTGATGGGTTCTATATGGTGTGGTTAGCTTAGAGATAGGAGGTAGGTAGGCCAAAGTATGACTTGCTTGCATTGATTGTGTTGTCTTTGTAGATGAAACAAGGAAAATAGCTAGTATGATACTAGAAGGTGATCGTCTAATGTACAGTCCATACCCTGTAGGGTGCATAAGGAGACGGTCCCTCGAAGAAAAATCACTAAAACTGATCCCAATTCTTGGCTCTCATCATTACGAGCAGTGAATGCGGAAGGCATTCCGGACACTCTTGGAAAGTCATCTGAGCAAGTACTAAGTCAAGATGTCACCTCACTCCGTTCACACCACGCCAGCCTCATTCCTCTTCACTTTCGTCTTCGCATTCATCCTCATCATCAGCATTGCCATCATCAATCAACACTTCTTCTAAGTACGAGGAGGATGAGGACGACATTTTCCCTTTAGCGCGCTTAGCACGACCACCCACAGAAGTAGCAGCGGTCGACGAGGTATTGGCCGACGAAGCACCCGCCGGGCGACTGCGGTTCTGTTTCTCGATCTCCTTCCATTTCTTCGCCAAAGTTGCGGCCAGGAACTTCTTGCCGTCGGCAGCTTCCATGTGGTCCGCGATGAGACGCCATTTGTCCTGCACGAACTTGGCTTCGACGAACTCTTTGGCGCGCAGAAAAGCTTCTTCCTGTCAGGGTATGCGTTAGCCTGGTCTGCCTACAGTATCCTGGTTCCACCCTGAGGTTGGCTACAGGACATGACCTACGTCTTCTTTGGCCAGAGCGGAAGCCGAAAAGTTCGCTTTCATGGCGTTATATCTCATGCGCAGGGTCGACTGCCCGACGGTCAGACCCGTCTGCTTCTTCCAGGCGGCATTGATGTCGGTCCATTTGCTGTTCTTGTCGTCGCGCATCATGAGGATGAGGCGATCCGGGGCGGAGACACTGGCCAGGGTGGTGGGGATGGGGTCTAGCTTGGTCTTCGGGGACTTGCCAGGCGTGCCTGCTGCGGTGGATTTCGCTTTGCCGATCGCTGTCTGCTGCTGCTTCTTGGGGGTGAAGATGATCCTGGGCTTGAGCTTTGCTTTGGGGGTTTCGGATTCCGAGGGTGGTTCGTCCTCCTCGTCTTCAGAAGATGGTTCGGAGACCTGCTCTCTGGTTGCTATGGCTTTGCCAGTCTTGGATGGGCCTTGAGCCTTGGGCTGGGGCTTCGCCTTGGTGGTGCGACTCTGGGTTGTAGTCTTCAAATCAGGGGAAGTTGTGGTGCCGCTGCTACTGCCCGCGCCGCCGGTCTCGGTCTCAGATTTCATCTCAGTGCCTGTCTCGGTGTCTGCATCGTCGGCACCGCCGGACCTGGTCTTTGCCCTCTTGGGTGAAGAGATGGGAGAGGGGGAACTAGACTCGGTGGAAAGTTGCGCGGAACGCTTGCGCGGAGTCTGTGACATACCTCAGTAGGTGCTCAGAAATGCTTGATCCACGCTCCGGTTGAGATATCATCATGATCAAGAGACATGGACTTCCGGAAAAATGCAGAGAACTTACAGATGCACTCTTGCTGTTGACAGAGATGAAGCCCGACGGTGGCGGAGTGTAGGCCGCTGAATCAGACATGGCAGCGTCTGCCTGTTCCATGGTTGTTTGTATGTTCGTGTTAGACTCGAAGCTTTGGGGACTTGGGGGTTTGAGGATCCCTTTGAGAGGAAATGGAGGAAGAGATGAAGGATTCTGGGTCATAGGATAGAGGAAGGCAATGGCACCATGGAGTTGATACTTTTATACCAGACTACTCCGCATATAGTGAAAGACGAGAAATAGTATTCACTTGGTGTGAGTTGAACTTATCGCGCTAGAACTGCCTCGTGACGCCATGATCTCTTCATCGGTTGTGCTGACCCAAGCAGAGATTGCAAGGAGCTAAGTATGCTGTGTTAGTCACTGATGTAGGGCCTACGGTGAATTCACAGCCTACGGTGAATTTACGGAGATGTTGCAGATCATGAGCGTTTGGTTTCGATATAATCACGGATATCTACATGGTTGGTAGTCTGAACTTGAAGGACTCGATATTGGTCTCAAGCTCCTATACTTCTTCCTCCAAGACAAGATTAGGTGGTGGTTGACGTCGAAATTATCTGATCTCTATACTCATTCAACAGCAGGTCATATGTCGACTGCAATTCTAGATGGTACCACTAGTAAATGAGGGGAAACAAGCATGCTTCATGGTAGAAGCCAGTCAACAATTAAAGTGGAATCAAAGCAGTCTACCTACTAATGATCTGCCGATATCACGTCTGGCACCCACATAAGAAAAGCTGCTGCAATATTTTGCCCCCTACAGTCGTCTTGCGCAGTTAAGTCAACGGAAACTGCTTCAACATGTTAGGGCTCTTGGCCATCGGCTTATGCAATGAGCAATGAAACGGTTATGCTGACTAGCTTTCTTCATAACTTCTTTCACTACTGGGACTGTGAGTGCGTGAGTGTGTGAGTGCGTGAGTGCTTGACTGCTACGCAGCTCAGTTCAGCTCTAGATCCACCAGAACCAGGTTACTGTCAGATAGGATTGTTTTTCCTTGGAGATCCTCGGGGTCTCGCCTGCAGCTTCCAAGCGCTGCACGGACTGCAGACTGGCACGGTACACTGCAGGAGTAGCCTCCGCCCATGATGATTTCACCGTCTGACTCAATCCCAAACAAATCATCCTGGATGATGCTGCCTGTGGTTTGACTTTGCTGACTGCCTGTCCCGCCAGCCAGCCTTGCTGTTGTCTGTCCCACGAAGCTGCTGGAAGTTATTATGAGTTATAGATAGATTCTTCTCCTACTCTATGATCCTGGTCATGATTTTCTTCTATCTTGCTTGCTCTTTTGATGACAGTCTTCGTTTCGTGAAAGAGAAAAAAACCCTCTAAATTGCCAGGTCCGCCTCACCTTTTTCTTTCTCTGTAAATCCACGAGGTGCACACCGCCAGAACGGGGTGGAATTCCAGCTCACCCTCTCTGCACGCAAGGCGCTTTTTCTTAGGCATCAACCGCCCAGTTGTTTGTGCTCTGGTCAGCTTCATGCTGCTGCTTTGCTTTTCTCCATCCTCTCATTCTCTCGCTCTTCCCTCTCTTCTCTCTCTTCTCTTTCCTTCTTCCTAACATCTCCTTTCTACAAAGTTTCCCATCCTCTTACTTTTCCTGATTTACTAGTACTCATTGCAGCTGTCTTGTCAGCTCCTACCAGTGACACCAATAGTATAGATCCGACAGAAAGACTCCCAGTTGAAAATCGTCCTCCTCATCATGGCCGACAATACCGGCAGTGCTTCTACCAGCAATAGCCATCCACATCATCAACAACAACAACATCATCATCATTCGTCTCTTGATACCTCCACTAATAACACCACTGCTTCTACTCCCAGCTCTTCGGCTACTGCCAACAACAAGCTGGAATGTGACCCGCCTGTTGCGGAGACAAATGCGGGTAAACCAGAGGCTAAGCCGCCCGTCCCCGCCCCCGAACCCGCCGCCAAAAAAGCGACGACGGTCTGTGCCAAACACCCCACCCCCGACTCCAAGAAAAAGCCCCGTCGCTCCACCAAGACCTCCTCCATCGTCACCCCCAGTGACGACAGCTCCTCCGGTCCAGACGCCGACAGCAACCACGACTCGGACTCCACCAACCATGATTCTTCCGCCGACAAAGATGCCTCCTCCTCCTCCGCCGACAGCTCCTCCTCGTCAGACGAGTCCGAGGAAGATCGCAAGCATCGTCGTAAGCGCGGCAAGGCCCGAGCCAAGAAAGCGCTGAAGAGCGGCGGCCGCAAGAAGAAAACTCGCTCCCGCCACCAGTCTGCCTCTTCGTCGGATTCCTCCTCCGAGGATGCGGATGATACGGACTCCGACCTCGATGAGAAGACCCTGAAGAAGCTGGTTGCTAAGCTCAAGGCAAAGCGGTCCTCCAAGAAGAGTCGCTCCAAGGACGACTCGTCCGAGGACCAGCAGGACGACAAGGAGGATGCTGGTTCGGATGAACTGGCTTTGCTGCTGGCGAAGCAGAAGCTGGCCGCCTTGCGACTGAAGCTGGCGGACGGCCGTCGCAACAAAGGGCGCAGCAAGCGGGGCTCCACGGACGGAGACGGGTCCAAGGGTTCCTCGCAAAAATCCAAGAGTCGAAAGAAGGCGGCGTCCAAGATGGCTTTCAAGCGAGTGGATCAATGTAAGTACCTGTCCTCTATACTAACGCATATTCGGCAGCCTGGTATTCATGGCATTGTTTGCTAACTCCCTGGGTATGATAGTATGGGACAATACGATCCATAACTACAAACTGACTGAGACGGTCGATGATCCTGGAGCCAACGAGTGGGACCAATACCTTTTCACCGTCCGTCGCAAGTTCGACTGGGACAACAAATATACGGAGACGGTGGTGGACCTCAAAAGCAAGTACATCCGCGACGCGCTGGCCAAGGTCATGGATGGGGTCAAGGGTGTCAGCCTGGTACAGGAAACGGCAGTCGTGGATCCCAACATGCTGTTTTTGTACCTGGAGGAGACACGGCAGTACATGCGTGAACTCCGACAGCTGGCTAAGACGGAAAAGAAGAAGAAGGCCCGCAAAGCCGCCCAGCTCAAGGCCACTCATCTCAAGGTGCTCATCAAGTACCTCGACACCGACTATGCGGAAACGAAGAAGACCCTATATCCGCTCCTCGATGCCAACATGATCACCTTCGACCTGTTGTGGGCTATCTTCAAGCCCAACACAATTGCTTATTCGTCGACTTACGGAAACGTCGATGAGCCTCGTGCCTTCAAGATCGAGTATGCTACCAAGGAATCCTCCTTCATGAAGGGTCAATGGTACAGCATTGAAGGCCGCTACTTGGAATATGATGGAAAATCGTTCGGGATGGGCACGATGGCCGCCGACGTCGAATCCTTCAAGGGCGCTCGGAAGATTACCAGTCTCAGTTGCTATCCGCTGAAATATCACCGGGAGGCGGAGGCCATTAAGATCAAATTGATTGAGCGCGGTAAGAAGTTCGTGGCACTGCGTGGTATGAACTACCGCTTCCACAAAGGCATGGGCTTTTACAAAAAGAAGCGCTCGGTCATCAAGGTCAATATCAACGGGCGGGTCATGATCGATCCGGCCATCCATCGTCGCATCAACCCCAACTACCCCATCAGCACCGTCCGACCCAAGGATCCGGATTACCTGGACGGGTCGGACGAGGACGGAAGTGATGATGGCTGCTGCTGCGGTGGCTCGGAGTCGGATTCGGATCAGGGCTGCGGGCTATCGCGGGACTCGCACACGCCCAAGATACGCTACAAGGTGGTTCGGGACAAGGAGGGCAAACCGCACGTGGTCGAAGTGGAACTGGATGAGAACGGCAACGAGGTGCAAAAGGAGGAGATAGACGAAGTGGAAGACCCCTCGGAGCGGGAGTTCACCGAGGAGGAGCTGCTGATCGCCAGCCCCGTTGTCTTGGGGTTTGCCTTCAGCGAGAAGCTGTGGCTGGAGTTCAGCATCTCCGGCATCAGCGAGATCGAATGGAACGAGGACGCTTTCAGCTCTCTTGTGCTCCCCGACAACCAAAAGTCGATTGTGAAGGCGCTGGTCGAGTCTCACACCTTCCGGGCTGCGCAGAACATCGATGACGTGATACAAGGCAAAGGCAAGGGACTGGTTGCCGTCCTCCACGGCCCTCCAGGCACAGGCAAGACCCTCACAGCCGAAGGTATTGCCGAACTGCTCAAGCGTCCCTTGTACATGGTCAGCGCGGGAGAATTGGGGACCGACTCGCGCACGCTCGAAGCCGAGCTTAACAAGATCTTGGACATCGCGCATTCATGGGGCGCGGTGCTCCTGCTTGACGAGGCTGATATCTTCTTGGAGAAGCGGACCATCCAGGACATCCACCGCAATGCCCTGGTCAGCATCTTCCTCCGGCTCCTGGAGTACTTCCAAGGCATTCTGTTCCTGACGACCAACCGCGTCGAAACCTTCGACGATGCTTTCCAATCCCGCATCCACGTCGCGCTCCGCTACGGCGACCTCACTACCAAGGCCAAGCGTAGCGTTTGGAAGATGTTCCTGGAGAAAGTCCAGGCCATGGAGGGGGTGCAGACTGCGACATTCACCGATAAGGACTTTGATCTCCTTGCCCGTCACAACCTGAACGGCCGTCAGGTAAAGTTACCCACCCACCCTTCCCTCCCCTCTACAAGTAAGTGCATAGACTAATGTTCGATTCCTCTCTCTCCCCTATCTAGATCAAGAACTCCGTCCGCACAGCGCAAGCCCTAGCCGTCAACGAGCAGACACCCTTGTCAATGGAGCACATCAAACGCGTCCTGGCCGTGGCCGAGACCTTTGACCACGACCTCCGTGGCGGAACGGGATACCTCGACGCCATGCGAAGCTATACCTAAGGTCAAACCGGACTTTACTAGACACGGTGTTTCAAGCAGAGTTTTTTTTTTTTTTTTTTTTTTTTCAAATATGGACGAAAGATTTACAATAAACTCTACGCTTTTCCAAAAGAACACCGCACACCCACGCGCAACACAACCACACAGTTTCCCTTGTCTTCTCTCAAACCCTTCCCCCGCTTTCTTTTTTTGACTTCTTTTCCTTCCCTGAAAGGTACTTCACCAAACATCCCCACTCAGATCTCTGCAATAATTTTTTTTTTGCAACCCCTTTCCGCATAATCCAGTGCTGCGCAGACATCCTTAACCCGCCATGCTTTCTTCCAAAGTTGAACAATGAGAATCAAGATCAGATCAAGATAAAGAAGAAGGGAAAGCACAAGTTTTCGGGCGTTGATTATCCAAGTATGGCAGCTTTCTCGACCCTTTTCCATCTCTCTATCTCTCTCTGTCTCTGTGGGATATATCCCTTCCGGCGAGCGCATGCGTTGTTACACGGAATGGTTTTTCTCTTCTTTTCTTTTGTCCTTGATAGGTTTGGCTTTGGGGGGCTTTGAGGGCTTCTGTTTTCCTGGCGAGCAATCACGACGACGACGACGATGATGATGTTGATGAACTAATGATTCAAAATCTCTGCGTTGAAATGTCTTGTGCATGGGTCTGTTCTATTTTGTTTGGAGCTGTACTTTGAATCTTAATGTTTACTGCGTGATTCTTCGTGATGCCCCTCTTCAAGTCTACTTGACTTCGGCAAGGTAATGTCTGTCCGGTGCTGTGCTGTAATATCTTAAGACCAGACAGGACAACTCAGGCAGATTGATTAGCTGCTTCGAGAGTTTTACCAGACTGGTCATACATATAGGAATAGAGCAGATAAACCGACAGAGTAAACCTGGGCTGCTTACTCCTACTAAGGCAACAATGTCGTAAGAGGTAAGTATCATTAACGCAGATTTTGGTCTGTATTCGAGAAAAAGACAAGCGAAATACACGTCACGTCCATTCTTCCCCCTTATCTCGTTTCTCCTCGAGGCTCGGGACACCAACAATAACCCGACTTTCTAAGCTTATCAAGATGCTGCAGCAACATTCCTCCGATATAAAAGCCGAGGGCGGGATGGAAAATGCTAAAGGGAAAGGGGGAAGATAAGAATGACTAGACTGTTATACAAGGAGGAACGTGGCTGCAGTGAAGACATTTTTGTTCATATCATTCCAAATGGGATTTTTAAATCATTTAAGGGTTAGCGGCAACGAAGTCACGACCTGAATGTTAAGTATCCGTGAGTAGATGCTTGCAAGAATCAAACCATTAAAAGAAAGACGTACCCTTCTGGATGTTCTTCTTGAGGTCACCGAGGGCGGTCTCAACGAGCTTCTGCTCGTAGTCGTTGACGGGGCCGACGGGGTTGATCTTCTCAACACCGTTGGGGCCGAGCTCGACGAGGGAGGCGAAGAAGTCAACACCCTGGTCCTTGTAGAGAGGGCTGTCGACGAAAGTGGGCTCAACGATGCCCTTCTCGCCCTGGGAGGCACGGAGAAGGGACTCGGCGAAGCGAGCACCGGCCATGGCCATGGAGAGGGTGGCGGAACCGGCACCGTCCTTGGCCTTGACAACCTCGTCACCACCAAACTGGATGCGGTTGACGAGCTCGTCGCGGGTGGTACCCTCGATCTCGGGGTGGTTGGACTGAGAGAGAAGGGGAACAATGGTCACGCCGGAGTGGCCACCGACAACGGGGACGGCCTCGTTGGCGGGGTCGGTCTTCTTGACCTGGGAGATGAAGCGGGAAGCACGGACAACGTCAAGGGTGGTAACACCGAAAAGACGCTTGGGGTTGTAGACACCCTTGGACTTGAAGACCTCGGCAACGATAGGGACGGTGGAGTTGACCTAGACGATGAAAATTAGTTCTACTCCCGGAGCAACTGTTGGAGGAAAGTCAACTGCATACGGGGTTGGAGATGACGAGGATGTTAGCCTCAGGGGAAGCCTCAGCAGCAGCCTTAGCAAGATCGCGGACGATGGAGGCGTTGGTGTTGAAAAGATCTAGGATGATGATGTTAGTGTTGTGCATTTGATTTGTTGAGCTCGAGGTTTTAGCGCATACCGTCACGGGTCATGCCGGGCTTGCGGGGAACACCGGCAGGGATGAGGACGACCTCGGAGCCCTTGAGGGCCTCACGGAGGCCAGAGGGAGTGGGCTCGTAGCCAGTGACAGTGCTGTTGGTGTTGATGTGGCTGAGATCAGCAGCGACACCTGCAATGGACTGTGGTTAGCTCCTTGTTTCGATGGCCGGAAAGGAAACTAGTTTGGCGTTGGCTGGGAAGCTGTGCGACGTACCAGGTCCACCGCGGATATCGTAGAGAGCAAGCTCAGTAACACGGGGGTTGAGCTTGAGGAGAAGGGAGAGAGGCTGGCCGATACCACCAGCGGCACCGAGAACGGTAACCTTGGAGAGCTACAGCTCGCAATTGAGATGATTAGTTGAGCTCTTGATGATGATGCCGAGGCTGAAAGCCATCGAGGTATGTTTTTATTTTTTTTAAGCTTACCTGGCTAGCAGAGGCGGAGAAGCCACGCTTCTGGAAGAGGTTGAAGGACTGACGAGCAGCGAACATCTTGTCTGTATGTGTGGAGAGGAAAGACAGAAAAATAATCTATCTGAATTGAAGGTAGAGTTGGTAGGAGAGGGGGAAAAGAAGAAGTAAGAGGAGGAGGAGGAGAGGAGAAGAGGAAAAGTGGATGGGGGAAAGCGGAACAGGGAGGAATTGAGGACGTCGGTGAGCCACGGAAAAGCCTTTGGGGGAGAAAGCGGCTAAAAGGAAGGCTTGCTTGCCGGATCCGAGCACGCCAGCCACCAACAACTTAACTACTCCGGAGTACATCACCTCAAGAATGTGTGTCGCTGTCATTGATTCCTTGTCTACAGACATACAAGGTATGACCCTAGTATCACTACGGGGCAACCAGTGTCAATGTCTGCACTCTGTCCATTTATTCCGATAGCCCAGATTCAATCAACGGCTTGTTGCCAGCCTGGTTGTTGTCGACGCAATTCCATCGGGGCCCACTTGCGGCACTAGTAATTCAAACTCCGGATTGCAACAAAACAACTGCATCTGATAATCGCTGCTATATAAAGCTACTAGCAGCAGCTATTGATATCTTAACCAATACACTTCCCAACGCCGGCGCTTGCAAATTAAAACACTCAGGTAACACACAAAGCGAAGAAGTAATGCCCCAAATGGCAGATATACATACATCACAATCTCACACGACGAAGGCTTTCCTTACCTCAAAAAGTGTAGTACCGCCCAGCAAAAGAGGAAGAATATGAGCACCCCAGCCCAGAAAATCCACTTGTCCTGCTTCGCCCTCCGCTCCACTTTGCGGATCGTCTCTCCACTAACTCCCAGCGTGTTTGCAACACTGTAAAGTCGACGCTGCGTGCCCTTGAGCACCTCACGCTGTTGGCCCAAATCAGCCAGAACCGCACGACCCCGATCGAGGAACTCATCTAGCTGAGTACTCGTATTGGCGAGGAAGCTTTGTTCGCGCAGCGCATGCGTCTCCCGGGTGTAGTCGGCCGCTGAGCCTCCGAATCCTAGTCCCGACCGAGCCGACGATGGATTGGCGAACGGTGATGGGTTGGGAAGGGAGGATTGCGCGTAGGGGTTCTCAGGGGTGGCGGTATTATGCGGACGTCGACCGAGTAGCTCGTTGCGGTTTGTTACCGATTGCTGCATGGGAGGAGAAACAGAGGTGGTTAGCCTTCAGTCTCAGCAGGAGTATGGACGGGGCTCGCAAAGCTGCTTACTGCATCTTCTCTCTCTTTGCGTAGTCGCTCGAAGTGTACTCGATAATCCGCTAGCTCAGCACGGAAGTTTTTCACTCGCTCAAACGCTTTCTCTTGCTTCTCCGGGATCAACTCTTTCTTCGACAGGGCAGAATAGTCGTCGATGGTGCGCGATAGTGATGCCAAAGAGGCTGCGATTTGACCTGTTCATTTGGCGCATTAGTATGATCGTTCCAAATAGAAGTAGGAATCATAGGCAGGAATATTATACCTTGAAGCGCTGCGGATGATGTGGCCGGCGACTGGGAGAATGTGTCCAGATCGCGACGGATAGCAGAAGACTGCTTCAGGGCGGAGTTGAAAAGGGAGTTCTGTTCGAGGGAATGAGCCGAAAAGTTTCCAGTCCAAGATTTGTGCACACTGAAGATGTTTGTCTTGTCTGAAGTGATGGGGGTCATACCATGTTGACTTGCGGTGTGTCTAACGCCGTATACGAAGGCTAGTAGAGCAATCTCCAGCGCGATCGCAAACACTCAGGCACAGACAAGCGATATTGCAAGACTGTCGCGATGATGCACTCAGAGTCTCACAGTGCCCTTGCCGGAATTGGCGGTGCTAGATAAGCGACGTGTCCTGGAGAGGTCAATGATGCTAATAATAATGATGCTAGCCAAGGCCACATGTTCTTGCAGCGGCCACGATTCTGACATGTCTGACCGCCTCCCGTCAATGCAATCATGCATCGATCGACCATTCTCCAACTCTAATGAGACAACGAATAGCAACTAGTCATATGTGGCTGTCTCCAAGTGGCTACCGTCGTACACTACCAGGACAACCCAATCAATCACGTTCATACTACAAGGAACAACGTGCTTTTACTGGAAACCATAGTGACATTTATGATGGATGAGATTGAGTGAGATTGAGATGCCATTGACCAGATCTCGACCGGGCACAAACGACTGGACATCCATGAAAACGCCATGTATCCTTCAATCCGTGCGGTATATGGAATTATAACAAACTGTAACAAGAAAAACATCGGGATATCAAGTTATGAAACCACGCAAGACAAGTCCTTTAGTTTTCGGTGAAACTCCCACTCTATTTGGGAGGGTACTTGTTCTGCAAAAGCCATCTGACAATCACGTTAGCAACGGCACGTCTATTGCATCCTCCAGGGAGAATAATTGAGAAAGCTTGACTCACTTGCTGACAAAATAGTCAACGGCACCGACAGCGCCAATGATTCCGGACCACAATCCAACGAGTTGCCATGACAGTCTGCCCTGGGCGTGCTTCTTGTAAGCGCCAAAACCAAGACCAGCTCCAGTAATGGCCAGGATAACAGCATTTCCAATGTAGACAGGGTTGCTCTTGTTACGGCGCACACTAGAGGCCTTAGCCTTGGCCTTGGCTTTGGCCTTCGCCTTCTCGCTCCGTTCCCGTTCGGCAATAGCCTCCTTCTCCTGCTCTTCGCGCTCTATCCGCTCGGCCTGAGTCGTAGTCTTGACCTCTTGGTTGAGGAAATCGGCGTCCACGGATTGGACGTGGGGGGAGTCGACGTCAATCAGGGAGGCGGTGCTCTCAGATTCATCACGGTAAACCCGGTTGATATCGGGCGCGCGACTATAGAGTTGAGTTAGTTATTCGCACACATTGGGTACTCTTTGGTAGCCGTTGTCACACTTACGCCTGGATCGATGGTCAGTAAATTGTGATTCTTATAGCTGCGCTGCTTCGTTGACGAAGAGCAATAAGGTATTTGAGGAATTGCACATACCTCCTCTGGGGACTGCTTGGGGCCCTTTGCTGCAGCTTCTGCGTAAGACATGATGACTATTTGAGGGTCAAGGAGAGTGGGTGCGTGATACAAGGTGGTGGTGAGGATCTGCGACGTCATGCGTTAGTAGAAACTATCGACATGGCGGATATGCTGCTATAGACTTCGACAAGGGCAAGGAATAGCGGCAGGTGTTGAGACATACGGATAGTTGGGGTGAAGTCAGTCCACGACGATAAGTCAAATATTGCAATGAAAAGAGATTTCGAGTAGAGTTTCAGGGGATGGAATGGAGGTCGGATGGTATTTATGGGTTGCAACCATGGCTTTCGGATGGGGGAATGACATCACGTCATAGACGAGCTCATGCGACAACACCCGCTGCCAAGACCCGCTCTGTGATCTCGCCCCATGGCTGGTTTCGCTTCGCAGCTTTCCCTCTTTCCGAGGTCACGGAAGTTAGCTGCCCCGGTAACCCCCAATCATCCATCCACTTAACTTGGCTCGGATAGATTCACACCACCACGTCAGATTAGATATGCCCCAGGCAATTGCGACTCGAACCCATACCTCTTTGCCTCTACTATATGAAACACACTAGAGATTTAAGAAAAGAAAATGCATTGAAGGGTTATAAACTGTACTAGGAAAGAACCGTCTTGGTCTGGGGATAGAAATATTGAGATGTTTTTGATACATATTACAACAACATCAGGAGAAAACGGTAACTCTGATCGTAGCTAACTAGAATACTGGGCCGGTCGGAATTGCCCGTCCGTGGGAAAGAGCTTACAAAAGAAGCTCAAGGGGGTTCTCAACAACCTTCTTCAGCTCCTTGATCCACTCAGCACCAACAGCGCCATCGACAACCTTGTGGTCGAAGCTGCCAGTAACAACAATCTGGTCATCCCACTCAACAGCAGTACCCTCGGCGGTCTCGACGGGGACGGCAACCTTGCGGGTAGTGCCAACAGCCAGGATACCGGCCTGAGGGGGGTTGATGACAGCGGTGAATCTCTCGACGGCAGCGTTCATGCCCATGTTGCTGATGGTGAAAGTACCACCCTGGTACTCCTCAGGCTTGAGCTTGTTGTCGCGAGCACGCTTGCCGAGATCCTTGATCTGGTTGGAAATGCTGGCAAGGCCAAGACCCTGGACGTTCTTGACAACAGGGGTGATGAGGCCGTTGGGAGTAGCGACAGCAACGCTGATATCGGCAGTATTGTGCTGGCGGATGACAACCTGGCCGTTCTCCTCACGCCAGCTGGAGTTGACAGCGGGGACCTTCAGGAGGGCCGCAGCGCAGGCCTTGACGAGGAAGTCATTGACGGAAAGCTTGTACTTGCCATCGGCGGAGGCGTTGAGGGCCTGACGAAGCTTGAGAAGCTTGGTCACGGACAAGGTAGTGGAGACGAAGTAGTGTGGGTTCTCGCGCATAGACTGCTGAAGGCGAGAAGCAATAGTCTTGCGCATGGAGGTAAGGGGGACGTCCTCGTAGGTGGCAGCGGTGGCGGCAACGGCGGGCTGGTACTTCTCAACATCCTCCTTGGTGATCTGGCCATTACGGCCAGTGCCCTTCAGAGACTTGATAGGCACACCCTTCTCAAGGGCAAGAGCCTTAGCAGCAGGGCTGATGTTGGCCTCACGGTCCAGAGCAGGTTGGAGCTTCTCACCCGAGGTGTCGGGCTCGATGGCAGTGGGCTGAGCCTCAGGAGTGGAAGAGGCCGGAGCAGACTCCTCCTTAGACTCGGGCTTGCTCTCCGCAGCGCCACCAGCAGGTTTCTCGCTGCCAGCATCCTCCAGGGTGAATTCCGCGAAAGCCGAGACATCGGTACCCTCCTCGACCAGAACAGCGATAGGCTAATGCGCGGTTAGTAACGACCCTTGAAACGCTTGATTGGCCGGTGGGCACAAAAGGAACAGGGGGACCACGAACAGAGCCAACAGCAACGTCCTTCTCCCCAGTCTCCGAGAGAACCTTGGCCAAGACACCCTCCTCTTGGAACTCGAAGTCCATCTGAGCCTTGTCGGTCTCAATCTCCACCAAAACATCACCAGGCGACAGAGAGTCACCGGCCTTCTTCTGCCAGGCACCAATGTTACCGGCGTTCATGGTCGGCGACAGAGCGGGCATGCTGATGATAGTGTGAGGGGGGAAGGCTGGTGAATTCGAGTTGTCAGTTTTCGATAAAGCCACATATTAATGCAACGAGAATCAACAAACGGTGCTGGGCGGCATACACTTGGAGGCATAGTAGCGGGAAAGGGCGGACAGAGAGGGCAATTGAGATCTGTCAAAGGGTGAAGAGTAATTAGTAACCTTGTCCAACATCATCCAAGGTAGAAATAACATACTGAGTGAGATCCTTGAATCTGTGAACAGTCTGCGGCCGCCTCAGAGAAAGGGCGCCTTTGGAGAGAAACATGGCGCTGGGGGTGCGCATCCGGACAGCAGAGGCAACCATGGCGCCCAAGTGCTATAAAAAAGGTCGAGAAGAGAGCCCGCGACGGAGTGAGTGAGAGAAGGAGGATGGAAGAGAGCCTAGAGACTGGTCTTGGAGATGAGAGGCCCGTATCGAGGAGTTGAGGACTGCAGCTCCAGGAACTTTTCTGTTGGGGCTACCGGTGAGACGCTCCGGATTGTTTCTCCCCGACCGCCCCGAGACAGCTTAGCTAATCACTACCGCGTTGATGGCTTACCACGCCTGCCGTACGGTATCTCCGTCCCGCGGGAACGAGTACTAGTGAACACGCTTCAATTCCAATGGACTACTTGTCAGTAAAGAGGTTGGGTTGGCGTTGATATTCCACCTACTGATTCTTTTCCCGTCTCTCCTTCAGTCCCATGTGGACCCCTTTTCTATCAATCTTTAACTACTCCGACCGGAGTCTTGCATAAATGGCGGAAGTCGAAAACGGCTCTGTCAATGAGCCCGCCCAAACATCCCCGGTCGTGCCGCAGGCAGACAACAAGGATGCGGCTGCTGTTTCAACACAGTCTGACGAGTCCGTTCCTCAAGACAAACCAACCCTCCCCGCTGAGGCGGAGCGTCAACAAATCAATACAGAACAGCCGGAGGAAACTAGTCAGTCAAGTATTGAACCAGAGTCCACGGCAACCACAGAGTCAGCCGACCAAGTCGCAACTCCGACAGAAGCCGTTGTACCCCAGATTCCCGAAGACCAACAACAACACCCCGAGTCAGATCTGAAAAGTGAAGTCCCTGAGAGTCAAAACGAAGATTCTGCTACCAATATCGAGAAAGAACCTCCCGCTGAAAGACAAGATGTGACTTCGATACCTCCCCGCGATGAGATTGGGCCGATCACAAGAATGCGCTCCGACTCGAGGTCTACCACTGCCACAGTTGCGACGCATCGCTCTGTGACCCTTAGCTCCACCGTCTTCATAGTGAGTGCCTTGGACGCAATTGGCGCTTCGAAAGAGGCGCGCAGAAGCAAAGAATTGGAGGATGCTGTCAAGAGCGCGCTCAGCAACGTCAAGCAATCCGAGGGCCAGCCGATTGACCCTGAGGTCATATTCCGTCCGCTCCAGCTCGCCACCAAAACCTTCAGCATTCCTCTGCAAGTCACCGCGCTCGACTGCATTGGAAAGTTAATCACCTACTCCTATTTCGCATTTCCATCAGCTCATGACAGCAAGACCTCTGAGACCGAAGCAAGCCCGGAGCAGCCTCCCCTTATTGAGCGAGCCATCGATGCGATTTGCGATTGTTTCGAAAATGAGGCTACACCGGTTGAAATACAGCAACAAATCATCAAGTCACTACTTGCGGCGGTCCTCAATGATAAGATTGTGGTACACGGAGCGGGTCTCCTCAAAGCTGTCCGCCAAATCTACAACATCTTCATCTATTCAAAGTCGTCTCAAAATCAGCAGATAGCTCAAGGCTCATTGACCCAGATGGTCAGCACCGTTTTCGACAGGGTCAACGTAAGACTGGACTTGAAGGAGTTGCGTTTACGCGATGGCGAGAAAGGTCAAGCTAGTTCTTCGGACAATGTTACGCTGGAGGCAGCCGACGCCCCTCAAGAGGATGAACATGTCTCTGATGAACCTCATGAGGCGAGCTCGGACCACCCTGTTTCGAAAGAGCCAGGGGAGAAGCTCACTCTGCAAAGCTTCGAGTCTAACAAGGAGGTCACCACGGTCAACGATAATGCGCCGACCATGGTCACCCGCGCCAGGAATCAGAGACCGGCCAGATCCTCTTCGGGGACATTTATGGAAGACAGTGACAGCACTGCGGATGATGACGAAGATGAGATCTACGTCAAGGATGCCTTCCTCGTTTTTCGGGCTCTATGCAAGCTGAGCCACAAAAACTTGAATCATGATCAACAGCAAGACCTCAAGTCTCAGAATATGAGATCGAAGCTGCTCTCATTGCATCTTATTCATTATCTTATTAACAACCAAGTCAATGCCTTCACATCACCGCTTTTGACAATCAAGAATAGCTCAAGTAGCTCGGGCAGCTCCGATGCGATGACATTTTTGCAAGCCATCAAACCTCATCTCTGTCTGAGCCTCAGTCGAAATGGTTCTAGCTCTGTGCCCAGAGTTTATGAGGTGTGCTGCGAAATTTTCTGGCTCATGTTGAAGAACATGAGAGTAATGATGAAGGTCGGTGTGCTTCCAAGAATCATTTAATCATTAGCTAACATCTTTCAGAAAGAGCTTGAGGTTTTCTTGAAGGAGATATACTTGACGATTCTTGAGAAGCGTAATTCGCCCGCTTTTCAAAAGCAATACTTCATGGAAGTTCTCGAGAGATTGGCTGGCGATCCACGCGCTCTTGTTGAGATCTATCTCAACTATGACTGCGACAGAACGGCTCTGGAAAATATTTTCCAAAAGTAAGTGCTCACGCCCCGGCTTGTAAACCAATGAGTAAGTCTAACACTCTATTCGATAGTGTTATTGAGCAATTATCGCGCTATGCAAGCATTCCTGTTACGGTTACCCATGCTCAGCAGCAGCAATACCAGGAACACCATGTCAAGGTTTCATCTGTGGGAAGTGACTGGCATCAACGTGGAAGCTTTCCCCCTTCTTTGACAACTGCCAATGTAGCCAATGTACAACAATCAAACCTACAGAACGTGCCACCAGAGTATACGCAGAAGAATCAGGCGGTAGTGTGCTTGGTTGAAATCCTGCAGTCATTAGACAACTGGGCTTCGCAACGTCTAGTCGATCAGTCTGCATCTCTGCCTCTTTCATCGTCTCAAAAATCAATCGACAACCCTAGGGATTCGATTGACATGAACACCGCGTCGTTTCTATCTTCCCCGAGGATTGAGGGCACTGAGGGTACTACAACTCCAGTAGCAGAGGACGACCCAAGCCAAATCGAGAAAATCAAACAAAGAAAGACTGCTTTTACAAATGCTGTCCAGCAATTCAACTTCAAGGCCAAACGCGGAATCAAACTCTTCCTTCAAGAAGGGTTCGTGCGCTCCAGCTCCCCGGAGGACATTGCTGCCTTCTTGTACCGGAATGACCGGTTGGATAAGGCCATGTTAGGAGAATATCTGGGAGAAGGTGATGCCGAAAACATTGCTATCATGCATGCCTTTGTTGACATGATGGACTTCTCGAAGCGGCGTTTCGTTGACGCTCTTCGCCAATTTCTTCAGCATTTCCGCCTGCCAGGAGAGGCGCAGAAGATCGACCGCTTTATGCTAAAGTTTGCTGAGCGTTACGTAACTCAGAATCCCAACGCCTTCGCCAACGCGGATACTGCATACGTTCTCGCTTACTCTGTCATCATGCTGAATACTGATCAGCACAGTGCCAAGATCAAAGGCCGACGTATGAACAAGGAAGATTTCATCAAGAACAACCGGGGTATCAATGATAATCAGGACTTGCCTGACGAGTACCTGTGTTCTATTTTCGACGAGATTGCACAAAATGAGATTGTGCTGGATACTGAACGGGAGCATGCCGCGAACCTCGGCATCCCTACTTCTGCGCCGGCTGGTCTGGCCACCAGAGCTGGACAGGTCTTTGCGACAGTTGGCAGAGATATCCAAGGTGAAAAGTATGCGCAGGCCTCCGAGGAAATGGCAAACAAGACCGAGCAGCTGTACCGCAGCTTGATACGGGCGCAGCGCAAGACAGCAGTCAAAGAGGCACTTTCCCGTTTCATCCCGGCGACCTCAGTCCGCCACGTTGGTTCCATGTTCAATGTCACTTGGATGTCGTTCCTGTCTGGCTTATCCGCTCCTATGCAAGATACCCAGTACCTGGAACTGATCAAGCTTTGTATGGATGGCATGAAGCTGGCCATTCGTATCAGTTGTGCTTTCGAGTTGGAGACACCTCGGGTCGCATTCGTGACAGCACTTGCGAAGTTCACGAACTTGGGCAACGTTAGAGAAATGGTTGCGAAGAATGTGGAGGCACTCAAGGCGTTGCTTGATGTCGCTCTGTCCGAGGGAAACCATCTCAAGGGTTCCTGGAGAGAAATCCTTACATGTGTCAGTCAGCTCGATCGACTCCAGCTCCTTACCGATGGGGTGGATGAAGGTTCTCTGCCGGATGTCTCTCGGGCACGTATTGTGACTCAATCGTCCTCTGATGGTTCTCGAAAGTCTATGCAGGCTTCGAGGCGCCCTCGTCCTCGGTCTGTCAATGGACCATCTGCCTTCCGTACAGAGGTTGCCATGGAAAGTCGCTCCGTCGAAATGATCAGAGGAGTTGATCGCATTTTCACTAATACTGCTAATCTTTCGCATGAGGCCATTATCGATTTCATTCGGGCATTAAGTGAAGTGAGTTGGCAGGAGATCCAGTCATCTGGACAGACCGACTCGCCCAGGACCTACAGTCTGCAGAAGCTGGTCGAGATCAGTTACTACAATATGACCCGTGTAAGAATTGAATGGTCGAAGATATGGGAGGTTCTCGGGCAGCACTTCAACCAAGTAGGTTGCCATTCGAACACAGCAGTCGTTTTCTTCGCGCTTGATTCGCTTCGCCAACTCTCGATGCGGTTCATGGAAATCGAAGAACTCCCGGGTTTCAAGTTCCAAAAGGACTTTCTCAAACCTTTCGAACATGTCATGGCAAATAGCAGCGCTGTGACTGTCAAAGACATGATCCTCCGCTGTCTCATTCAGATGATCCAAGCACGTGGTGACAATATCCGCTCGGGTTGGAAGACGATGTTCGGTGTTTTCACGGTTGCCGCGCGAGAGCCCTACGAAGGCATCGTCAACATGGCGTTTGAGCATGTTACCCAGATCTATAACACTCGCTTCGGCGTTGTGATAACGCAGGGTGCTTTTCCTGACCTCGTTGTTTGTCTGACAGAGTTCTCCAAGAATTCAAGGTTCCAGAAGAAGTCCCTGCAGGCGATCGAAACTCTCAAGTCAACAGTCTCAAAGATGCTGAGGACACCCGAATGTCCACTTTCAAACCGTGGGTCTTCATCAGAGGGCACTCACGAGGACGCCACTAACCTCACGCAACAACTCACCCGCCAATCAAAGGAAGAGCAATTTTGGTATCCAATCTTGATCGCCTTCCAGGACGTTCTCATGACCGGTGACGACCTCGAAGTGCGCTCGCAGGCATTGACCTACCTCTTTGAGACTCTGATCCGGCATGGCGGCGAATTTCCACAAGAATTCTGGGATGTGCTTTGGCGACAGCTCCTCTACCCTATCTTCGTAGTCCTGCAGTCGAAGTCTGAGATGTCTAAAGTACCTAACCACGAAGAGCTTTCCGTCTGGCTGTCTACAACTATGATTCAGGCTCTGAGGAACATGATCACGCTCTTTACGCACTACTTCGATGCGCTGGAGTACATGCTCGACCGCATTCTTGAACTCCTTACGCTATGCATTTGTCAGGAGAATGACACCATCGCGAGGATTGGCAGTAATTGCTTGCAGCAGTTGATCCTGCAAAACGTCACCAAATTCAAGCAGGAGCACTGGAATAAGGTCGTCGGTGCCTTTGTCGAGCTGTTCACCAAGACGACAGCCTACGACTTGTTCACGGCCGCGGCCTCCATCACTTCCAAGTCCTCCTCCATCCAGGCCAAACCCGCAAACGGTGACACGGCGAACAGCGAAGGCAGCGCAAACGAATCAGCTGAGACAGCATCGGTCCATGAGACCGGCAGTGTCGACCCATCCAAGATCAACGGAGCACAGAACGTTGCTTCGGAGCACGAGGAAGGGGATATGCCCACGGCCTCCAATCCCACACTGGAGGACTACCGGCCTCAAACGGAGACTCAGCAACAACCCGCTGCGGTCACGGTTGCACGACGTCGGTTTTTCAATCGGATCATCACCAACTGTGTGCTCCAGCTGCTCATGATCGAGACGGTTCACGAGTTATTCTCGAATGACAAGGTCTACTCGCAGATTCCCAGTAACGAGCTCCTTCGGCTCATGGGCTTATTAAAGAAGAGCTATCAATTCGCCAAGAAGTTCAATGAGGACAAGGAGCTGCGGATGCAGCTTTGGCGTCAGGGATTCATGAAACAACCTCCCAACTTGCTTAAGCAGGAAAGTGGTAGTGCCGCCACTTACGTTCACATCCTATTCCGCATGTACCACGATGAAAGAGAGGAAAGAAAGAGCAGCCGTGCGGAGACCGAAGCCGCTCTCATCCCGTAAGTAGTCTCCATGGACGGTCCCCATCTGATTATTTGTGGACCCCCAGACTAACTTTGAATGAATGCAGACTCTGCGCGGATATTATTCGCAGCTTTGTCCGTCTGGACGAGGAGTCTCAGCACCGGAACGTCCTCGCCTGGCGTCCTGTCGTGGTCGACATTATCGAGAGCTACACCAACTTCTCTTCGGAAGGTTTCAACAAACACATCGAAACCTTCTACCCCTTGGCTGTTGAGCTGCTCGGCCGCGACATGTACCCCGAGGTCCGCCTCGCTGTGCAATCCCTCTTCCGTCGTGTCGGAGAGGTCAAGTTGGGTCTGCCTCCTCGCTCGCAAACACCTCCTAGCCATCGAAACTCCGTCGCGAGCCAGCTGTCCCGTAAGCATAGCGGTGGACGTTGAAAGATGCCCTGACAGGAGCTATATTTGCCTCTCACCAATGCTTGAATTGTCATTTTAATACTGCTCTGCGTGTCCACGTCCCTTTATTTTCTCTCTTTCATCTTGGATATCCTCGCCTTCATGAACGGGAAGGCTTCACTTTGTTCTGGAAGTCATCTGGTGTATTAGACTTAGTTCCAACATAGCCTTCGTTCTTTTCTCTTCATCGCGCGCCCTTATTTCCCAAAATTCATCATTATTCTTCCTAGCTGTGCAAGCGAGCTTTATATATGTATGTACAAAATACCATTTCCATGGAAGCGTTGCAGGTTAGTCATATTGCTTTCGCCACCATTGTTTTGCAGCGCAACTCCAGTCAGACGTAGCCTGAAGCAAGAACTTTGGATTCGCCCGGCCGAATTGACCCAATAACTCTTTGACCTCCCGCAGAGCTTTCGTGGCATAGCCACGGGTCCGGCCGATGTGGCTGCTTCTCGGAAGCCAAAACCTTAGAGCTTCAGGTACAGGACTCAGTCGGATTTAGAGATATCAACGCGAGAGAGCCGATCCTGTAGATTCGCTCCTGCATCTTGATTCCCGCCAGCTTGAGCCCGGATTTCCTTGAAGGGGGGGATTTCCCCGGATTCATAGAAAGCCAAGAGCCCCTCCATATCCCGCTCATCCATCTCGACCAGATCTTCCAAACTCCATGATTCACAAACAGCGGACATCCTAATCACACCGAGAGTAACAAACAGCTGTCAACCCACCAGGCCCCATTTACAAACGGAAAATAATGAAATTGAGAGGGGAGGTAAGGGAAGGGGGGGGGGGAACAAACCACTTCATCCGCTTCGGCCCGTCCTCAACCTTAGGCGCCGTCTCGCGCAGCTTCTTCCTCAACCTGCCAACGTTCTCGATCGCAGCGCCCATATTATTCGGCAGCGTGCTGGCGATTTTCTTGCGGACAATACTCGCCAGGCGGGGTCCGTTGCCGTTGGTGCTGACCATGATCTGTAGGGGGCCATCGCGGTGCATGCTCCCGAAATAAAAATCGCACTCGGGAGGCACGTCGGCGATGTTGGCGGGGATGCGCTTCTCCTTGCACAGCTGCCAGACGCGCGTTGAGGCCACCGGGTCGTCGATGGCGCAGAGCACCATGTCGGCGGTGTCGAGATCCTGAGGCTCGAAGGTCCGGTCGATGTGCGTGACTTGGCCCTGGGTGACGCGATAGGCGACCTCGTCATTGAGGCCGTCCGCGGGGCAGACGACCGTCACTTTGGCGTCGGCATTGAGGGCGTGGAGGATGCGACCGGCTGCGACCTGGTTCGAGTTTGCCCAAATGAAGGGGGCAAGATGGTTAGTAGACGATGCTTAGGACTGTAGGATGAAGTTGGGAGCGTGATGATTCGAGTTGTGGTTGCCAGGGGGAAATTACTATGAGGGATGTATATATTGTGGAAATGCACGGGCGATAAGAAAGAGAGACGGAGGGGTGGGTGGTGATAGCTTTACCTCTCCCCCACCAACTACCAGAATATGCTTATTCTTAGCTTGCCAGGCAATGATCAAGGAACCTCCTCCCTGGACCTCTGGGAATTTCTGCGACATTGTTCCAAATGGTGTGTGAGAGAAAGAATGAGAAGAAGCTTGGGGTGGGCAAGATTTCCTATCGGAGAGAAGGTGGGGGGGGGAGAGCAATAGATTCACCCGCCCCGAGGAGAGAGGGAAATTCCAGAGTTTCCGCCTGCCAGATTCGGCCCACTGTATCCGTTTCCCACCACGCCCTTTTTTTCCTTTCTTTTTTCTTTCCCTCTTTCTCTCTCCTGCTCTTTTTCTCCTCCTCCTCCTCCCCTTATAAAAACTCCCCCACACTCCTCGCTTTCTTGGGCCCCGGTAATCTTGAAATGATTCCACCGCCCACGTTGGCTTATCATTCCTTCTATCATCGGTCCATGCCTTGCCAGTCATAAGCCCAGTAACAAGATGCGGGGAGTACAAATTTTCTCGGGAACATCCCACCCTTTCCTGGCGGAGACCATCTGTGAGCGACTGGGCACTCAGCCAGCTCGAGCCAACCTCGGGAAATTCAGCAATGGCGAGACCAGAGTGGACATCGGCGTCTCCGTGCGTAATCAAGATGTCTACATCGTCCAGAGCGGCAGTGGGAAGATCAATGACAGTGTGATGGAGCTGTTGATTATGATCTCTGCCTGCAAAGGTGGCTCCGCCAAATCTATTACAGGTACGTTCTCTGTTTGTGTGCAGTTTTGTGTACAATGGCTGACTTGTGTCTACTCATCTTGCAGCGGTCATGCCGTATGGTCCTGTTTAGTCCATTTCTGCGCATCTGATACTGACTCAAACGAGGTACTTCCCGTACTCTCGGCAATCAAAGAAGAAGAGCCATCGTGGTGCTATCACCGCTCGCATGTTAGCCAACCTCCTTTCGGTCGCTGGTGTGGACCATGTAATCACTCTGGATCTACATGTGAGTCTGAAGGCTACCCCCACCTTGGGGCTTGTGTACCATACTGCCTTTGAGTGGAGTTCTTACCAAGGTATGATGAGTTGCAGGCATCCCAAATGCAGGGTTTCTTCGGCAAGCCCGTAGACAACCTGTTCGCCGAACCCTTCATCGCTCGTTGGATTCGCATGAACGTCCCTGGCTGGAGGGAAGCAGTCGTTGTGAGCAAGAATGCGGGTGGCACAAAGCGTGTAACCTCGCTTGCCGACACCCTGAAGCTCAATTTCGGGATTGTCACGACCGATCGACGGCGCCCCAGGGTTCCGATGTCGATGACGGACAGCACCGTCTTCTTTGACTCAATTGAGGAAGAGAGTACCACTTCGTCGAAAGACCAAGATCCCTTCGCACTGCATATTCACAGCTCTCACAGCGATAACGGTCAGGGTGAAGACTTGCGTGAGGAATCAAGCACCAACATGGAATCGCTTATGGCGGCAAATCTCCTGCGCCCAGAGACTCCGACTGGCGCTCGCCGTCCGTCAGAGTTGGAAGCCGCACATGAGTACACCGATGTTCGGGTTCAGGATGTCATCACTGGCCGCCTTGTCCAGGGTCACTTGGTGGATGATGACTATCCCTCTACCGGCCCCACTTCTGTACCTGCTTCGGGTGAAACAACCCCGGGTCAGAATGCGAGCGGCGAAGCCTCGGAGGCGGTTCCCGAGTCGATGATCAACTCCCTCATCTCGACTACCCCGTCTCTTCCCGGCGACCACGCCTTGGGCGGCTCATTTGATGCTGCTGAGTCGTCAGACGAGGAAGGTAGCGTTGGGCGTCACGCAGAACAGGAGAAGACCATTACCCTTGTAGGTGATGTTCGCAACCGGACCGTCTTCATCGTCGATGACATGATTGACAAGAGCGGGTCCTGGATTGCCGCTGCGGAGACGGTCGTGAAGAAGGGGGGTGCGAAGAAGGTTTACTGCATCGCAACCCACGGTCTCTTTGGGGATGAATCTCTCGAGCAAATGGAAGCATGCGAAGCCATTGATCACATTGTCGTCACAAATACCTTCCCCATTGCTCCGCAAGTCGCCAAAAAGTCGAAGAAGTTGATCGTCATTGACATCTCAAGCCTCTTAGCGGAGAGCATTAGACGCCACCATTATGGGGAAAGGTCTGTTCTTCTCTATACAAGCCTAATTTGCAACTGCTAGCTAACAGCTTGCAAAGTGTTTCGGCATTGTTTCATATGACCGACTAGATGCCCAATATTGAGCTTCGTTCTCAGAGGGTGTTCTTTTACACAATCCCAATTTCCCCCTTTTCTCCCAAAGACCCTTGTCCCGAGCGTAGGCGAGCTGGATACTGGGTAAGATGATGACTAAAGACAGTGATGACGAGTGCTTTGATGATCTTCTTCATATTCTCTCCAGCGGATGGCTCTTTTCTTTTTTGAACCTGCTGCTTCGATGCATGCATGCAAGTCCAACTTTGTGGTGATTTGCGGCAGTGATACCTCTACTGTTATCAGCACCCATCTACTAAATGATACCATTGACCATTTTCGCATCTTTTGTCCGGCTTGGACGGAGTCACGGCTGCAGGGGGTGTCGGTGACATGATCGCCCGCAAAGAAACGGAAGCCTGCACCGCGGGTTTTCAGCTCTTGCAGAAAGAAGCATTGTTTCGGTGTCAATCTGGACCAGGCCTATACTTCTCCCCATCGATGCGTTTCACACGCCAAATCTCTCTTTCGTAGGGCGGTTCACATATCGTCTCAATCGGTTGCAACAACCCGTCAAATCAAACCAGCGATGCAGTCCACTCTGGGTACTGCAGGAGCGTCTTGTTGGAAAGGAGAATCATTCTCCGGACCTGAGTTCACAAGATCGTTCTTAACGGAGCGTTGGGAGAGCAAATTCCCGGTCTTGCGTGGTCTTCTATGACCTTCCAAGCCTCTTGGCTTTGTCGGAAGTAGTCGTATTGTGCTGGACCGGTCGAGGAGTGAAGGCATCAGTTTCTTGGGGGGCGTTTGCCCTCATGGCTTTGCGGCCAGTGGAACTGGTGCAAGAGAACATCTCGGACACGATTGTAATCCACCACAGTAATATGTAAAGGAGTCCAATTTTAGCTGAATATGATCGGTTCCAAACTATAACGTCCTGATTGTCATCCGATTGGAAATCTCAATTTCTGCATCATGTGCCCGCCGCCGTGCGTCAGAAGAGTAGTCGCAATTGATTCTAGACTAGACTTGTGTCCCCCGAGTAATTTTCAAAACTCCGTAGGTTCAGGGGCATTCGATTCTCTTTGGTACTCGGTGAGCGATACAGTTTTCCTTTTGCCTGGAGCCAAGTCGAAACCTTCCGAGCCGGGTTCTATCCTAGGACAACTCCAGAGTCAGGGCAGTGCACAGAGCTAGCGGCGTGCAGCTTGCCAGCCGGCATATACGGAGTAGTTAATGGATCAGCGGAATCAGCTTCCAATTCACTCAGACATCGAGACGGATAGGAGGATAGCGGTGTGCATGAGCCCGAAGATTGATTGCAAGATTGGCCCGTTTGCCATGCGAAGCTGGGGCAAGTCGCGGCCCCTTTCATTTCCCGAGGCCATCTTGCGACTGAACCGTGGATATGCACGTTCTGGCTGACATCGATGTTCGAATTGGATGATGACTCGGGTTGGGGCAGGTCTATCATCCGCCTAGAAGTGAATTTTGCGCGTGAGGGTGAGATTGCGACTGGCCCAGAGAAGGATGGAGGAGGGGTCGGTTGCTAATCCCCGGCCAAGCCCATTATGCATCACAATGACCATAGTAACTACTAGTTGTCCTGGGCAGAGAATGCCGTTGTTCTAGCCCGGTCGAGCGGCACGCCTGACAGCTCGTTTCAGAAGCGCCACTTGCCAGATTGCACCTTCGGCATAAATTGGGGGCGGTTTCTCGGGTAGGTATGGTTCTTAGCACGGGACAGAACAAAAAGACGTATCGAGCAGACAAACGTACCTTGCGTCACCGAGCCGCAAAGGAAGACACAGCCTATGGATCCCAGGACAATGGGAGATGGAGCCAATTGGGGGCGAGACTAACAACTCGGTTCGAAGCACGACAGCGCAGAATTTACGTCCGGGGGAACATTCCCGGTAGATCAGGGAAGCATGCGGCTAGATGACCAGTAGTAATTAACTAATTTGTGGTTCCTGAAATCAAGGAATTGGCCTCGGATGCGGGCAAGCAGGTTTACCTACTTCGTCCAAGTCGTTCACAAGATTAGTCCTCGAAATAGAGAAGGATGTTAACTTAGAGGTCGGATACCGTCTTAATACTCCTAGGAAAGACAAGGGGGGCAACCCTGGAACCTCGAATGGCTCTCCTTCGATAAACGCCGGGTCCAGCCACAAGTGGTCCTCGATCGCGGCTGAAGTACGGAGTAATAATCAGTAACTAGTGCTTCTGGTGTCTCCGCCATGCTGACAGGAATCGGCCCGCCTGTCAAGCGATATCCACCGTACTTGATCCTAGCGCTGGGTCGGGTTCAGCTCCCTCTCGTGTTCTCGTCCTTGACCTGAGAACTAGGGGACGCTCGGAGCACTAGAAGCACCGTCCTGCAATGCATGTGCAGTTCCTACTCGACATCTGCCTGGTTAAGGAGACATTGAGATTCAATAGGCAGAAAAGAAGTCCTATCGCGACTTGCTGCTTGATAACAATGCCTGATGGCTTGTTTCGCTGTTTACTCAAAGTTGGCGGAATCGTCAGATTGTTCGTTAAGTGCTCATTTACAGGAAGATCGACATGATCAAACAACGATACTAGATGAGCGGTGGGTTTCCACTTCGCATGGTCACAGCCCCTTATATTGCTGGGATACCAGCGAACGACGGTAGGTAGCTTGGTGAGCAAGCAAACTAGTAATTCAAAGTTATTGCTAATCGGTGATTAATTCATTGATCCCAGGCCGGAGTAATATCGTCTTCAGATCTCGTGGACTAGGCAGTCGTAGGCTTAGATAACAAGATTACGGAGCCAGACTACTCTCTGAGTCTCCAGGTCCCCCAGCATTTACCGGCAAGCCATCCTGGAATTGACCTGGTTGGCGGGTGCGGGTCGCCTGCAGAAGCACGGCGCGATCGGCCTCGATCGGCAAAAAAGGACAGGAACAAGCATGATGAGTGAATCGATGAGTGACGCTCGCAGGGGTTAGGCCTGCTTGTTCAACCGCCAACAACGCCCCAGACGTTGCCCTCTGCAAAGACTGGCTGGGAACAGCTGCAGGGATGGACCCAGAACCATGGATATATGAACGTTAATTTCAGCTACTTCACTGGGCACATCAGGTGGAAGGCATAAGGATTCTGCTGTTTGTCGTTCTGCGATTGTTTGTCTCAACTTGTTGAGAAGCTTCCTTAGGCTGCTACGTAAAGTGGATGGGTCGTACCGGCAGACCGACATCAACTTCCTGTGGTGAACCGAAAGGCGGAAGTCAAACCGAAGTCAAAGGCTGAAGTTGAGTTTCGAACACAAGGCAACCAACCACCTCTGCGCGATTGCAAGGCTGAGCCGGATGGATACGTCCAAAGCAAATGAGTGGTGAAAGCAGCACGGCAGTTGGTTGAGAGGGGATTCGAATCGGGATGCACAAGTTACTACCGATGGAGGTTCTAGAAATATTAGTTTCCAACTTCAATGCATGACGTTCGGCCGAGGTCATGGAAGGAATCAGTACTCCGTAGTAGGGGCATAAATAGAAGCAGCAGCAGATGATCGATGGGGAGAATAAGAACGAGAGATGAGTGAAAAGGATTGGCCAGAAGACAGAGATCGGGCGAGATCGAGTTTCCAGGAACCAGGATCTGAAAAGGGCGGAAGGATCAATTCTTGATGGGGCTATGATGCATGTAGACAGATGGGAAGATAGATAGATTGATAGATAGAGATAAGTGGGAAGGAATTTGAAAGTGGAGGAGGGGGAAGTGGAGAAGAGAGGGATGAGAAATCCATAACTGATGAAAGAAAGAAAGAAAGGGTACCTACGGAGTAAAGCCAAAAAGCTGCCAGACAAGGAAAGCAGCAGCAGATCCACATCAGATCTACGTACATTAAGTTCCACCCTCTGTCGCCAACTTCTTTCTCTCCATCCATCTCCCTTTCTTTGACCTTTTGACACCTTGTTGGTCTTGTTTCTCTGACTTACACTGCTGATGCTTCTACTGGTAATGAAATTGATCATTTTCTGAATTCTTTTTTGGTCCATCAGTATCATCGAATGGGGGAAATCGATCCCAGTTAGTAACTATACTGTAGGAGAGAGTGTGGGTTCTGGATCCACCCGCAAAAATGATCTGTAGAAAACCGAGACTCACCCAGTCGGATCGATTCATTGCCCCAGACTTAAAGAGAACTAAGGAGATGATGGATTTGACAGATATTCAGAGACAAGGCCCTGGATCCCAGCAAACTGTAACTCAATTTGGGTTTCTGATTAATTTGATTTTGATTTTTCTTTTTTTGTCCTCTTCCTTCCTCCTCCCAATGATTCCTCCACATCGTTTCCTTTCCTTCTTCTATTCTTCTCGATCGATTTGAGATCTTGCATAGATGATATGTCCTGGATGTACTGGATGTACAGCTTGCATCGGACGTCTCTGGCTTCTCTCATCTAGATTCGACTTCCTTCCTCTGCTTCGATCGCATGCGTTCTCCGTCCCTCTTCATCCCACCCCCTTGTCCCCTGTCTGAATCACTTCAATTTCATCTCCACTTCCCATTAATGATCCGTCGACCGCAATCCGGGTACGTGCATCGTGCTTGCTTTCCTGCCGACGGATTCTATGCAGTTGGAAGACTTCTCGCCTGATTGAGGGTTTCTGGGCTTTCGTCCTCCATACAGGGACCCGTGGCTAGGATTGCTCTTTGAGACACCGTCATTCCGAAGCAATGCACCCAACCCGTCGTTGAAAAAAGAGCCAGAGAGCAACAGAGCCTGCATTTTCAAGATTCTACATATATATATATACTATGGCTACGCTGCTCTTCCGTTCTTCCTCGATTCTACAGCACCACAAACCATTAGTCACTTTCCCTAGTCTCCTCTCACTTGTCATAGAACTCGGTGAATAAGTGACTTCGTTACTTAAGAACACTCTTCCCTTCCTCTTCTCATTTCTTTATTTTCACCTCGATTCAGACATCTTCTTGCCAAAGGGCAAGCCGCCATACACCTTAGCCCTACACAATCGACGAGATAGCAATTGGCACTCCACCGCCAATTCAGGTGTTGAAAGTCATCGACAAGCGGTATTCTAAAGCTCGCCCGGCTGAACCCCCAAGTTCTCGTAAGGCCATGAATTCTCCTGATCCGCATCTTGTGTCTCGTGCATGAGCGAGTGGCGGCTGGAAGTGATGGAACTGACGGAGGTAAACTCAGGAAAACAATGGCCAACCAATGCTCTGGTCACCGTTTCGCCATTATCCAGGCGACGAACGGCAACATCCTTACCTGGCGATGCTCCGACTGCAACGCCGGACCCTTTGTAGCCATCTGGCAATGCAAGATCTGTCTCCATTTTCGCTGCAATGCATGCCACACCGCCAAAGCATAGCTTGGTCCTTGCCTTGGAAATTGGTAAGTGCCACTGGCCGGGTACAACACCGATCCGCTCATAGTCACATACTGTGCGCCTGTTGTGACACCGTTCAGGGACTAACGTTGGGGATCTCTAGTGCTGGCCCTCGAAGGGGATTCCTGGAAATCGAACGACACCGCCGCAGCTGTGGTTTCAAAGCATGACTTGCATTGAGATTGGCAAAGCACCCCATGCAGATCTGTCCTATGACGGATGACCTGTTCCGTGCTTTTTTGCCTCATCTTTTCCTAACTTGGTTACACTTTTCCTTTTTCTAACCTCGGTTCTAACCTGTCACCTGTGCCACCCGGATGCAGGTGGCTTTCTTCTCTTTCTCATTCCAAACCTCAACTGGGAACGAAACAGCTTCTTCGGATATCTTATCCATCTGCCATCACAGTGCAATCCGCCATTCCAAACATTCTTCCTATTTCAACCGATTTCCAGAGGAATGTGAGCAATTCCGACTTAGTTCAGCTCACTGCGAGTGATAGAGCATCGCGTTGTGGTTTACACTGTGACCGCCTTATTCATTTGCTACCTCATAGCTGGGTATTTATCGTCCGCAGCTTGTCTTCAATTCCTGGTTCGCGATCAGTCTGCCTTGCATCCAATGTGCTGATATTCATTGTGATGTCTCACAAACCGTCTTCTGCCTTCCATGGTCTGTTCTTGCAAAGCATCCGTGTGTTCTGTCCACCAAGCTGTTCTTCTAGAATTGCATCGCTCTGGCGTCCGGGTCCACGAAAACTAGGGGGAATTATTGGAGGTTTCTTTTTTTTTCTTTTGCTTGATGGCATTTTCCCGTTCGGCTTCATCCTCAATTCTCTGCTCCACATTGTTGCTTGCTCGTCTGTTTTCTCTGGAGTTCTGGAGATGCTCTGCTCAAAACTTGAGATAGAATAGGACACATATTGATAGACATTTCCTCGGGGGAAAAAATCCAAACCTGCGGTGATGCAATTTGGCCTGCCTGATCTGCTTTTCTCTGCCGGATGATATTGATAATCACAGTCTATAGCCGCCATGTAGCCACCAACTCCAACAATCCGCCTATGACAAATGCAATACATGGTAGTTACGCCGGGCAACGCAAGGAGACGGGGGTTATAACACCTTGGCCCCCCTCTCAAGCAACCGGGACGTTATGCACGTTCATGATCGATATGGTGTTCCAATCAATTCCTGCAACGCCAATCCGGAACCCTCCGGCCGGACAGACAGACCAAGACGATAAGCCAAAGAACGTAGCTAGCCCCTACCTCTCCGTCATTGCTCTTCGCCCGAGAAGCCCCACCTCTGCTACATTTCGTGACGTGTACGTGCAGCCACACTTCCCTACTAGAAAGACCGGTAAAGTGACGCTGCAGAGTAATATCCAACATCCAGGCGCACATCTGAACTACTGTACCTTCCAGCTCGCTACTCGTTCACCTTCCAGCATCACGATAGAGAATTGCTCCAAGGCTAAAGCTCAGACACAGTACTGTACAGCTCGAGCCACCATCCGTACAAACGTGCGAGACGCCCATGCTTAGGCTCACGCTAAGCTAGGCTCATTGGATGGCATTTTCCGCCAACGCCTTTGTCCTCGTCGGTAGACTTACCGAGCTAGCTAGCTAGCCAGCCAGCCTCCTTGCATCGCATCATTGCGGGGAGCCTCCTCTTCCATTACATGACCTTCACTCCGGTGGTTGATGATAGGGGACGTGATTGAACATGGCAATAACGCCCTGATAAGTGGATTGGGATATCCGTTTAGGAGGGATTCGGGCTAATAGTCGGACTTTGATGCACAGAGGTAGAGGAAGATGATCCGAAAGAAGACATGGAGAGAGAGAGAGAGAGAGAGAGAGAGAGAGAGAGACGGGAAAGGACATGCGAGCGTCATCATCTGATACATATACCTCTTCAGTATAGGTGCAGATGAGGAAGGTAACTACCTTACTGACTCAGGCAGTTACCCATCGGAAAAGTGACACGAGTCAGCCAATTATGCTTATCCCCCCATATCGTGGATGTCCAAACCCAAAGCCTCGTTTCATGAAGTACCTGGTCCTGAGTAGTCCATAAGGGGGAAAGTGGGGGAGGATTGTCAACTGCAAGGCTAAGTAAGGTGCAGCAGTGCAGGACTGGGACTATCGTTGAGTAATTCACCTTCCTACGCGTGAATATATGTACGCAGACAATTTAGGGTACACCACAGGGAGATCAGATCGCCTGGCAATTCTACCGATTGGGCCACTGGCTGTTGGTCTGTCTTGGCTGCCTCGGGGGTATGGCGGGGTTACTCCGCTATACTGCATTACAGATAATTCTGGTTCGTGATTTTCTGTCCTTTCCAGTGCACAAGAACGGCTAACGACGTGCCTTGCAGAAGTTAAGCAGACTATTAGAGGATTAGATGCATACAAGAGGCCGTAAATCTCATGAAACAAGATCGATCATGTGTAAATGCTCTGTCCGTCAGTAGTCAGTGCATAATGTCCATCACCACAAGACCCTCCAGGACGAGAAGGAATGGAGCTTACCTCGGTGATCTGGTTCACCTGGAACCCAGGCTCAGCCATATTAGCATCCTTCAAAAAGTCCAACGGCATCCAAACAAAATGTCCCTTGATCTTGTCAAGCTTCTCGCGAATCTCTTTGATGGGGTGGTAAGGGTCGAATAGATGTCCCTGCTTGTTGCCCTTGGGACAGAACTTATCGTAGTCCTCAAATGTGTGGATATTGTCATCTGGATCGGCGCGGAAGAGCAACCTGTACATGTCGGTGTTGACGGTGGCCTGGTGGGTCCACATCTCCCAAAGTGCGTCATTCATGGGATCCGTGACAAAGTCATTCTCGGGCCCTTCGAGAATCTGATTCATGCACGTATAGGGTGGCTGCGCATTGGGGTGGTGCGAGGCATCGTACTCCTGAGCGGGAAGCAGACCGAGGTGTTCGCGCCACAACTGGCGACGGAGGGTGGCAGCAAGGCGGGCGGCTTTATACGGCTGACCGTCCATTACACTATCGATAAAGTCCTGGTCCTCTACAACGATCGCCAGTTCGCTGTCGTGGTAGCCGCATTGAGACTGCATGAGTTGGATTAGTTGATCCGCTCGCATGGGGCTAATGTACGAAGCTGCAAGGGAAGATGGATAGGGACTTACCCGATCGTTGATGTTGGCGCTTCCACAAATAGCGATTCGGTCATCGACAATGCACACCTTACCGTGTACATAAAGCTCTTCTTGGACAATGTTATCCTTCTCAGCTTCAGGCTCGCCGTCCCAGGGCTCGTCAGACATGTTACCACCGTTGAGCATCGTGGTGTGAGCCACAGTGTCACTGCCCTTCAACCCCTCTTGCTCCTTGTGGCGCTCGAATTGCTCTTCGTACTTGCGCAGCTGCTCAATCCGTGCTTCCTTCTCCTGTTGAGCGTCGTCATATGAGATTTCGTGCCGGTCCCCTTCGTTGTCAATGGCAGGGTGAACACTATCGCTCATGATAGATTCTGCGATTCCACGCTGGATGTCATTATAAGTGACGCCAGCCTCTGTCTCCAACTTCTCGAGAGCGGGAGTCTTGTTGATACGGTCATAGGCGCGCAGATTGAAAAAGAAGATGTGTTCTGTTCATGTCAGACATGACTTCTTCACGGTAGAAGGTGCGGCTCAGCTTACGTCTCGGGTCAACACCCTGCGCAGAGATCTGCCCAAAGATGGAGTGCTCGCCACGATGGATAGACTTGTACTGATAATCCATGATGGCTCGCGTACCGCTCGCTGCGTTCTGCCTGAGATCTCCCGCAAACCCGGGGATCGCGGGGATGACTATTATCACACGGAATTTCCTGCCTTCCTTGGCCGCTCGGACAACTGCCTCTACGATCGAACGCCCGATGGTGTTCAGGATGGGCTTTTGCTGGTCTCCCGTAGCGGTGACTAATAGACATTAGTGAATGTAGAACCGGACGTAGATTAAGCGGCGTCATCTCACTGAAGAATTGATTTTCGATGTAGACGAAATGCTGAGCTTGACTGATGATCTCCTTATAAGCATTTTGTACACTGTGCTCAGTCAAAATGCCACTACTCCAATCAGCACTGCTGCGCACAATCTGTGCCCGGGCGGATCCCTGCTTGCCAAGGGGCTTCGTATCGAGACGATTCAGGGGGTGTTGCACGTATTCGCCGCATGGGTATTTCGGACGTTGCACTCCCACTAGGTCCTCGTCCTCCCCGGTGCGACCCTCGAGCATGAGCCAATCAACGTTATGGTCCCGCTTATATTTGTCCCGCTTGATGAAGTTCCAGCGAAGAACGAAGTGCTCGGCAATGTCATACACACAGTCACCCATCACACCCATAGCGACATCGTGCCACGGCATCCGACCGTAGTCCGCCTTACTGAGCTCGTTCTGCTGCCAATCTTGGACGCTTTGAAAATCCATGATCCGATTGTTGTTGAATTCTTGTCCGGGGAAGATCTCGTCCCGCAGGTTCGAGGGGTGTACATCCGCCAGAGGGTGCTGATGGGCGTCCCATCTCCCAAAGCACAAATCAATACCTCCGATAAAAGCCACCGCATAATCAATCACCAGGAATTTCTCATGGTGAGCCTGGAAGATTGAGGGTCAATTCAGTCTCGAAGCATACGCCCAGTGGTGGACATACCCAATACAAGGTCATATCCGCAGCATTCTCAAAGATGTTATGATCCGGATGTCTGAGAACTTTGATGTTGCCGTGCCCAGGTGAGCCTTCGGGACACAGTGCGCGCAATGCATGTTTCGTGTGGGCGGAGTTACAGGTCAATGCTTGGTTGACCTGGTTACGCATCTTGGGTCAGCTACTGTGCAATCGTGCAACCAAGGCGGCTGACTGACCTCCTTATACACAATGACGTAGATCTTCACCCCGGCCTCTGCGCGACGCTTGAGGATCTGATCTAGTCGCCATTCCTGCTCCGCGAAGGCCGGGCGGCGGAGGAAGAGCTCTGGAGAGAGCCACCAGTCGGCAATGTAGATGACCTCTTGAGCTTCTTCCAAGGCAATGGAGACTGCCCACATATAGTCGAGCGCATCAACATACCACTTAACTCTGTTCTCCTCGCGAATCGGGGCGAAGGACTGAAAACGGTTAGACTCGGCAATGGCGGTTCTTTTGCGGTCCGTTTCCTGCTCGTGCGCTTCATCATGGCGATGATTGGGATTGATGATGTTGAAAAATTTGCCGATCTTGTGTTTGAAATGAGAGGCCTTTGCCTCGAAGCTCTCGATATGGGCATCTGCGGCCCGCAGAGATTAGTGGAAATCACCAAACAAGAGAAGAGGTCGACCTTTGAGATGATCCTCCAACTGATCGATTTTAGACTTCAGTTTCCCCATCGTGAACCCGCGCGAACGAGTTAAAAAGTTGAATATGGATGAGGGACGTGTGGAGGGGGAATCTGCTGCAGCAAGTGATTGTCGACTACAGCTGACGGGGAAAATGGGGGAAGAGAAAGAATAGAAAATGGGGGGGGGTTGGTATGTGGGCGTTGTAAGAGGAGGGATCCACCGACGATCGGAGATCAATCAGAAGATACGAGCAGTTCTGTGGTCTCGGAAGAAAAAACACGAGTGAAAAAAGGTTTCTGCCTGGAGACCATTTTCAGATCTGCCAAGACGATCGGTATGGGCGCAATGACCAGTGAAATGGGGAGTAAGGGAGGTAATAAGATCAGAAGTTAGAAGTAAATATGGAGCCCATCGGAAAAACAATCGAAAGCCCGCCCTGAGTTCAGGGGGTGGTGTGTATCATGACATCATCCGCCTCCACCTTATCCAGCCTTGTTGCGGAGGCAGCAGACTGTGTGTTTTCTCTCTCTCTTCTTCTTCTTTCTTTCACATCTTCATCTGACTACTGCAGGGCGCAGGGCTGCACAATTATGCACGCCAAGCATCGCGTGTCAGTGGATTGGCCTCGGGTAGACCCCCACCCTCATCCACGGTGTGCTTTATTTCATCATCGTCACCATCATCATCATCATCGTTTCTCTTTATACCCCTGATCCTCCTCTCCATTGGCAGTGACACCATGGATGCATCACGCAATATTTACAAGGATGAAATCGACTTCACCACCCTTGCACTTCAGTCCCCAGAGTTCGCAAAGTAGTACGTCCACCCATCCAAGCTGCATGATTCGTTGCGGCTGCCTGAGCTCACAAGTCCAAAAAAAATTAAAAGTCTAAAATCTAACGGGCAATTGGACTTTACCGACCCCGATGCCGTGAGGTGGGCCCACTGTGCTACCAAGAATACTCCCTAGGCACCTAGTTGATGGACATAGACAATTATCCAGGAGTCTCCTACAGCGCGATTTCGATCTGAAGGTGGACATTCCGGACAAGAGGCTGTGCCCCCCGGTATGTAAACCTCGATCAGCTGCAGGCCACCAACACATCACATCACTAACGGCACAGTGCAGATTCCCAACCGGTAATGAAGTACACACGTGCTCCGTATAATATTGCACGTGGTTGACGATTCTAGGCTAAATTATATTCTTTGGCTGCAAGATCTGCTTGATACCACGGGCGACAAGTACCAGGATAGCTATGACCCCGATCGAGAAGTCGTGGGACTTGACATGTACGTGGCGTGTTTCACTCGCAGATCAATCACTAATTTCCGGGACCATAGTGGAACAGGGTGTTGCAGCATCTATCCCTTATTAGGGTGCTCCATGCGACCTCGTTGGAGCTTCTTTGCGACTGGTTGGTACTTCCGCCTGCTTATAGACATATCTCCAAGCACGCTCACACGATTTAGATATTGACGATGAGAACATCAAGTCGTCGCGCGCAAACATATCCGCCAATGGACTTGACGCGCGAGTCACAGTTCTTAGGACGGATCCAGAGGAGAAGCTTATCCCGCTGGACACGAAAGTCAAGGTCCCAAGGTCCGTCGACAGTTCACAGTTCAGTTTCATCAATACTCTGGCTCACTTCTCGCAGACTAGACTTCACTATGTGCAATCCGCCCTTTTACGCTTCTCGAGATGAGATGGTAGCATCTGCAGAAGCCAAGGATAGGCCGCCTTTCTCGGTATGATTGTCAGCTGTTGATGATCACACAATCCGCTCACTCAGACTCTCAGGCATGCACAGGTGCAGAAGTTGAGATGGTGACAGCCGGTGGAGAGGTCGCATTTATCTCCCGAATGATCGAAGAAAGTCTTCAGCCGCGCGACAAGGTGCGCTGGTACACTTCGATGTGTGGCAAGCTGAGCAGCGTCTCCGTCTTGATCGAGAAATTAATTGAGCATGGCAACAACAACTATGCTGTGACGGAGTTCGTCCAAGGTAACAAGACTAAAAGATGGGCGCTAGCTTGGTCATGGACCGATCTTCGTCCGACCTCGGTATGTGTCCTTCTCTCTTTCAAGATATCCATCAAGAAGGCTGGACAAAGCTGACGGAAATTAAGGCCGTAGCCCGCAACATCACCACCGTCCCGAAACACCTCCTTCCCTTTCCTGCCGAGTATACCTTCACAATCACCACCGAATCTATCGACGAGTTGGCTTCTGCCGTTGACGCGGAGCTAACATCGCTTCCCATCCAGTGGCACTGGAGTAAGAATTCAGCGACGGGCGTGGGATTTGCAATGCAAAACGTCTGGTCTCGCCAGGCCCGCCGCAAGTTGCGTCACCCAGATGCGATGACCGACCAGCCCCAGGTAGAGGAAAGCAAGGCCACCCTCGGGTTCAAGGTGCAGCTGAAGAGAGAGATCGATGATGCGAAAATGGTGAAGGTGGTCATTCGGTGGGTCAAAGGGACAGATATCGTTCTTTTCGAGAGCTTCTGCGGAATGCTCAAACGGAAGATCGACAGCAAGCAGTGATTCAAACCAACCTCTAACATAATATCTCTGACGACTAATAAATGAAACGTGGATCTCTAATGGGTAAAGAACTTCCTGTTTAGAACATAAATCGTGACTATGAGGTGGTCCGCTTGTCTTGGAATAAACTGATGACTACAAAACACTCTCTATATATATAGTATATGCACTTTGAGAAACAGATCTATGCACTTCCCGCCTCAGACTGCAGAGCCTTCAGACGCTCCCATCCCTCGGAATCTTCCCAGAACTCCTTGCCCTTGCCGAGGATACCACGTACCGCACTACGGGCCTTGAATCTCCAATCCTTGGCCACCAGCTCAGCCTCACCCTCCGGAACCCCCTCCTGCCCTTCCTTGTCCATAGGTCCATACCGGGCGTATCCATCGCGGACCAACCGCTCCGTCGCGCGGACGACTTCCAACCACTTCTTCTCATCCCCCATCTGGAAGGCACCCTGGGTCGACGAGGCGACCGTCGCGCGCCAAGCCTTTTCATGCGCCTCAAACGCCTTGGACGGCTGCCCGCGCCATGCCTCCACTTCGGCCACCAGCAGCCACATGGGCGCCGAGTGCGTGATCAGCGGTACAACCGCCTGATCCATCAGCGAGAGGATTTGACCCGCGATGGTACCGGAGCGGACGACCTGCTCACCCGAAGGGCTGTTATCCACGCGAATGAGCAGATCCTGGTAATCGTACGCACTGATCAAGTGGTCGACCAGCATACCGAGAATGGGCATATCGATGCACTTCTCGCCCTTCTTGGAACCGACCAGCTCGATAAGGCGCCGTTGCGCGGTAACGACGTCCCGGAAGGGGGTAAATGGCGGGGGAATCGAAGCGGCAACGGTGAGCACGTTATCCCAGATGCGTGCGTCGGTGTGCTTGAGGGAGGCGGCGCGGTGGAGAGCGGACAGGGCCTCGCGCTTGCGTTTGTAAGGGTCCTCCGGCGCTGGAGCGTCGTCGTCAGATGCTTCCTCTTCGTCGTCGGCGAGAGGAGCCTTGGGCTTGGGTTCGGCCGGTTGCTGTTCGGAGATGACGGGGGTATCTTCGTCGGGCTTGGGGGAGCGGAGGATGGCGGCGGCCAGGTTACTCCAGCCTTCGGCGTCGGTGTCCTCGAGCTGCACGGTCCGGGTAAAGGAGAAGATGGCGTCATCCCATTTGTGGAGTTCGAGCTGCACACAGCCCAGAGCAAACCAGGCGCTGTGGTTGAGACGGTTGATGTCCAAACTCTTGCGGTAGGCTTCTTCCGCCTTCTCTAGGGCAGGGGGTTTGAGGGTGAGATAGTGGCGGGCCAGCGACCGCTGGGCACGAGCGTATCTCTGGTTCGACACCTCCCAGGCACGTTCGTACATGGCAGCGTCGGTGTCGATGTCACCCAGGATGCAAAAGAGGCGAGGGGCTTCGGCCGGCAGCGGAGACAGCTCTGGTCCTTCGAACTTCTCGCTGTCATCCTCGGGGTCCTGACCCGTCGGTTGGTAGAGCTGCTTGCGGACCATCTGTCTGGCTTTGTCCTCTCTCTCTGTCGCGGCGTAGCAGAGTGCAGCCTCGGCCCACATCTGAAGTCGCTCGTAGATGTCGAGTGCGGTCCGCAGACCTCCAAGGTTGACCCACCGAGTGGCAAGCTCGGCCTCGAGATCCCAGCGCGTGGAGAAGTTCATGAGCCATACGTATTGCAATCTTTCCGCTGCGGATGCGGACTCGGATTTCTCGGGGCGCGGCAGGAAGGTTGTGGGTTCCTCGACGGAGATGCCGGCTTGCTCATCAGATGTAGCGGTATCCGCGATAACCTGGTCAACTAGAGCTTGCATCTGCAGCACCGATCTTTCAACGGTTCTAGACCTATGACCTTCGACACGACTACGAACCAACAGACCCTGAGTGTAGATCTGCCAGTTCGAGCTGCCACCCTCCAAGACCCGGGTAGCATAGGGCGCCGTCTCTTCGCGGGTGATGCCGTTCTCGGGCGCGGTATTAGTGATAGCAGATGCCAAGGCGAGAAGAATAGCAGAGTCGACGGGTTCGAGCTTAGGCTGGTCGCCCGGGTCCAGGGCAGCTAATGCCGGCGGGAGTGAAGCTTCGTCCTGCACGGTCACCGACTTCCCCTGAGCGTCTTGTCCGTCGGGCTTGGCGAATGAGATAGATTCCAAAAGCGTATCATCGTTGAGATCAAGGTTCTTGGGGCCGGAGACGTTCTCGCTCCCCTTGTTGTTCTCGGAGGTGTCGGCGCTCTTAGCCAGAATAACAAGCTGACTGACGTCTCGTTCCTGGAACTTGGTTCTCTTACCCAGCTTACCAGTCAGGGCAAACTCAAACTTCCGTTCTTTGGCAGCCTGGTCGAGGTCCGCGCGGGCCTTGGCATCAAAGCCGTGGACTATGTGGATGGTAGCTCTCTCAAGCAGGAATCTTCCCTTCTCGTCCGGAGTACACTGCGCACTCAAGACAATCTTGCTGAGAGCTCCGAGCTCGTTGTAAATCACATCCTGTAAGGTGCCAGTGACCTCCGATAGCATCTTCTGGTGAAGGAAATTGACGCGGAGCCTGGCTACGTTGGCCACCAGCGGACCGTTAGTCACCAATACATCGTTATCAGCCAGGATGGCCTTGGCGACAGCAAACAGCTCGACGTTGGGGGTCAGCTTGTATGCTGCCTCGCCATCGACGGAGAGGTTGCGGATGACATGGGCACGAACGGCTCGGAGGCTGGCTGCGTCGGGCCGCAAAGCAGCGGGGATGATGGTGTCTGCTGGGCTGTAGGTCAAGGGAGGTCCAGTGACGTTAGACTGCAGGAACCCAAAGAGAGCAGCCAGCGCAATGTGAAGCAGCTGCGAGCGCTGTTGTTCGGAGGTCAACCCCTCCACTGGCGATTGCGACACCGCCTGTACTCTCTCAGCCAGAAAGCTAGTGTAGGATACCTCGCCCTTGGCGATGCGGTCGAGAGCCCCCTCCTCTGCATTGTGTCCAAAAATCTCCTTCGCAAGCGGCAGCTGCAAGATGGGGATGATCTCGGCGTCGGCAAGCGAGATGGGGTCGTACCGGTCCCGCAACGATGAGGTCTCGTCGAAAGCTGTGTTCAAGGACGCAGGAAGGGAGTTTGTAGTGTCAGCCATGATGATTGTTAAGGTGCAAAATTGTGCCCGCAAGGAAGATTTGGCGTGGGGATCCTGTGATGAGCAATGGTTTCCGCAAAGGCGGGGTGGTTTCAGGTATGGATGATTGTTAAGCAGAAGGGAATAGAACAGGCGCTTCACATTGACAAATTGCTAGATGATATTGACAGATTGCAGCAAATGAACATTCATAGACTCATGCTATGATTCTCGAAGGTCAAAAGACCACCACGAATTGTGCCTACTTCCAGAGCACGACCGTGTCAAGAGCAATGACTGAAGAAAGAGAGATAGTGAGAGAGTCACACTAAAAAGTGAAAAACGAAGCGGGCTGGGATGGTGGGGGTCTTTTTTTTCTGCCGACTATCGATAAGGATGCCCCCCGGGCGGTGAGAGTACGGTTCGACATGGCCGTGGCATTTAGCATATTTACTTCTCTATGATATACACTAATGATGAGTGAGTGCTCACTGGCCAGGCATTCGAGCATGCTCCTTCAGGATCTTGTTCAGTCCATTTCGCTTCACACATTCATCAAAATGAAAGCTGTGCGCCAACTCGTCCAGCTCCTTCTCATTCAGCCCACGGAACAGCTCCGCGAATTCATCCACGAAGCTCGCAGCCAGGAACGTTTGGAAAACAGCTCGCAGCACATGGCGTTCCGTGCCCCACGGAGTAGGGTAGGCCTCCTTCGCTCGAGGCTGGACCTTATCAATCCAGTCCACCAGTGGTTTTAGCGCCGCTGCAGGCTCCGAATACGGTGCCCGGCCCCAAGCATCAAGCCAGAGCTGGCTCTTCTTATCCAAGAACGACTGGATCCTCTTGTTCCATTTGCTGTCGGGGCTCGTATGGATCATACCTTGCAGGCCGACATCCTTGTACAACCAGATCGACCAGTGAATCTTATACTTATCGTAAATGCGCAGCTGCTCGCCAAGCAGATTGTACCGTTCCTCGTTGATCGCATCGGCGTCCACCTCGGTCCGCGGATTCTCGTAGACGGGGCCGAACTCTCCATTCCAAATGGCAGTGCTATGCTGATTCATGAATTCGACTTTTCGGAGGTATGACCGCTCGAGGTGCTGCTTTTGCTCCGGAGTGCCCTTGTACCTTTGACCAGTAGGGAACCCCATGGACTTTCAAAATAATCAGCCCCAGGCACGGGTTTCTCGCAAGCCTCGGAGATATAGGCGAGGACAAATAAGTAGAGAAGGGGGCGGGAAGGGGCTCAAATTACCGCATAATCATGAATTGAGTAAACACAATTCGGAAGCACCTTATCAAAACCCTTCCACTCCATAGAGAAAGTATTCCCATCCAGCCAGAGAATGTGGTCCGGATCGACCCGTCTGATCGCCTGCTCAATCCTCTCGTAGAAGGCTGGTAGGCGCACATGCTCCGGGTCACAGGGCTCATTGAGAGGGTTGTAACCCGCTACCCACGGGTTCCCCCTATACCTCGCCGCAATCTGCTCCCACAACCACACCGTCCGGTCCTGGTGATCTTTATAGTCCCAGAAGGCGGCGTAATTGGTGGGATTGTCCGAGTGCCAGTCCGGGTTCTGCCCACCGGGGGTGGTATGCATATCGAGGATCGTATAGATCTTCTCTTTGGCGCACTGATGTCCATCCACCACAAACACCTCATCAGCTCCGCTTCATCTCACCCGCCTAGCTGGCAAGGAAAGGGGAGAGGTCAGTACTCACAAGATCAATCACCCGATCCAGGTGCTTGAACCCGCCCTCCTTCAGAACCCGTGGGTTCATATCATCCTCCAGGTGCCGGAAGTTGAACGGAATCCGCAGACAATTCAATCCCAGCTCCGCGTAGAACTTGGCATCGGCTTCGGTGAAGAAGTACTCCAGCCAGCGGTCGAAGAAAAACTCGTATTTTTCGGGTCCGAGTACCTTGCGCATGGCGGCACGATGCTGGGACTCGTGGCCGGAGAATCCGGTGATGAAGTTCTCCATGCTAGCGTTGGCAGCAGATACGAGTTAGACTGTGGTATAGTAGCTTTGTTTGAGGTTGGGAAAGATCGACTGACTTGGCCCATCCTCCTATGGCAGCGCCGCGGAGGAGCACCTCCGCGCCATTCTCGTCTACGACCTGGCTGCCTTTGACCTTGAGTATTCCCGTTGACATCGTGTGATTTGGTTACTTGTATACGCGGTATGGCCAGGGCGACTATCCGAGGGCGTTGCAATCTCTGTACGCAGGTCTCGGATCTGTTGACAGACAGAAAAGAATAGCACTGACAAGCTCTGAGGCCAAACCGACCTGCTTCAAATACCCCAGCAAAGGCGGGGTGAGTGCTTCGAAGTCCGGGGATCCTGGGAGCGTTGGTGGCTCAGTGTCGGATAAATGAAGCACTTTAGGCTATGCGAACCGAGGCCCTTAAGAAGCCAAGGTCACGACTGAATCCGGCAATTGGATGGTCTGGCCGATTGGTAAATACAGTCAATTCAACAGATACAGATACCTCTTGAAAGTCAGTGCCGCCGCTTAAATTCAGCTTGGCATGGCTCGTGTTTTTGCATTTACCAGATCCCATCCTGCAGGGTCGTGAGAAATTGTACATGTCTCAATCATATTAGCCGTTGGAATCCAGCACATGTGCCCTATGGGTATCTGCAAGTACAGACATCAATGCATAAAACAAACTTCTAATCAATCATGCTCAAACACCGAGATCCGTTATATGAACAATGCTTCCTCGTAACTGGCCAGACTCCAACCAACCAGGCGTGAACAATAGACAAGAATGAGTAAGTAGAGACCCTGTAGACGGCCGCTAGTGCCAACGTGCAGAATCAGGGTATTATGTACCATTGGAGCTCGAACAAGGTTCGTCAAATGACAAGATCACCAGTCTTGCCCTCGATCTTTCATCAATATCTCAATAGCTTCATCTTCAGGGACTGGGTTGTCATTGAGGTCCTTGACGCATTGCGTAAGTCCTTCCACTGCTTCGTCAACTTGTTCAGCAGTCCAGTCTGTGCAAGCCATGACCACCCGACGATAGTTTTGTCCCAAAACCACATTTTTGGATCGGAGACGCTCCACCTCTTCCATTATGTCGTCGTTGAACTTGTGGTATCCCTCTATTCGTTGCTGTATGCTTTCCGCGGGTGGAAATGATCCAAGGAAAGCAGCTTGCTGCTCAGTGAATCCAGAAGCTGGATCAAAATTCTCGGGGAAGACCGCTTCGAAGGCAGCAATATCTAGGCCAAATTCTTTGTCGGCATCCCCAACCAAGTACTTTGTGGACATCTCAAACGATCCACCCTTGGTCTCTTTCAGTTTTAGCAGAAGATCTTCTGATGATTTCTCGAGGTTCTTGCATCGCCGACTGAGCTCGATGCGTTCCGAAGCTCTGCTCTTCAGGTCATCAAGGTGCTTCTGTTCAATTTGCCGCGCTTTAGCCGACTCGCGGATCTTAGCATGCCAGTGATCGAACTTTTCTTGCTTTTTCGTTAAGTTTGAGGCCAGATCCCTATCGAGGCCGCCCAGGGTCTCATGCACCAATGAGGTGATCTGCGCCAATGTCGCTGAGAAAATATTAGTCAAATAACTCTCCATGCAATGTGATGGGTGCTTACAATCTAGAATCTCTTTCTTGGTTTTGGCTAGTTGGTCCATGAAAGAGTCATTTCGACTTCCGGCTTGTTGAGATTGGCCATTACCCTCAACCATATCCACACCGACGCCATAATCTGCCGGTCGCAGTCCAGTATGGTTTGGTATATGAGGATCTGCCCCGACTTCTAGAAGCTGGGGTACAAGGACAGAACGCGCGCGTCCCGCCAGGTTGAGCGCAGTGTCGCCTTGATCATCTCGAAGATTGACAATCTCGGATATGAACCGACCTAGTGTTATGACCTCTCCTGTTTGTGGAGGATTCTGCGTGCTGTCCACAACACCAGGAGGCCCCGAATGGCTCGATGAGGTACCACCGTGGCGAACAATGAATTCCAGAAGAGCTTCCAGATAGTGTTTCGCGGATACATGGCCCCCACCGCCAGTTGCCGCCATCACGGCAATGTGATGTAACACTGTTCGCCCACTATAATCAACCATTTCGATTGTTGGAGCCAAGATTTGCAGTAAACGCGGGAAACTGCGGTAGTCGAGATTGTTTCTTGTGCCGACGGACTTTTGCAGGGCAGTTTCACCGGCCCCGTTCAGTCGGAAGATGTTGACGCCTTTCGCAACAAGCGCGGAGACAAGCGACATACGCGCAAGCATCGCCGCCCAATGCAGAGCATTGTTACGATACTCATCCAACGGGATCTCCAGGTCTTCTCCAGACAATTGCATCAAAGCAGGATGAGTGGAGAAGTCCTTCGTCCTCTTGTCTAGGAACAAGGTCATGATGAGCTTCATCTTCTGGAATCTCTCAGGGGTGGTAGCTGGTTGCAGGGGCTCGAGACCGCGCTTAGCACCGTCAGCCATGGAATTGGAGCCGTCCATGTCTTGATAGAATGAGTCGTTGGGCTCAGTCGGAGTCGGTTTGTTGAACGACAAAGCCGACTGTTCGAACGAAAGTGCAAAAGATTGCGCATGGTTGGAAGCAGACCTAATGCGCTTGCGAGGGGGTTCGTGCGATTCTTCGGGATCGAAGCCGGAGCCGACGGGGACTGTGTATCGACCGTTGCTCTGAACGTTGCTTGCAAAGGCGCTGTCGGATGCAACACTGTACATGCTCTGTTGGCTGTTGAAAGGGATTTGGGTATCTTGACTGCTCATTTGTTGTGAGGGTTTTCGCATAACACTCGACTTTCTTCCGTCAACACCGCGTCCGGCCGGAGAGTCAAAGCGGGCTTTGCTCATAGCATTGACTGCAGTAGCTGCAGTACGAGAGATGTTCTGAAAGAAGGTGCCCTGCTGAGGCTGCGACATGCCACGATTGTCCATGTGGTTATAGAGTCGTTTCCTTTGAGCGGCCATTGCCTGCTCCTTAGTCGGAGTGTCCAATGAGTCCTGTGCATTGCCAGTCGTACCATTGGGCCCCATGTCGTACTCTAGGAGCGGTCTCAGCAACTCATCAACGTGGTATTCGCGGCAAAGCTCCACTCCTCTTTGGTAATTCACCCAAGTACCCTGGTATTTGCCGTATCCACCTTGCACTTTCTCGTGCTCGCCAGCCGCGATCTCTTTCTCAAGTGTCTTTGTTCGCCTCGCTTTGACCACGCCCGCAACCTTGAGGATCTGCGTGGCATTCAGCCAAGAGTCGGCGCGGCGTTTCATGACGGCGACCCCATTGACTTCCATTTCGTAGACAGCAACATTGGAGTAGACAGCCTATAAGACATGGCCAGCGCATGTTAGCGGTGATAATGAAGAGGTTGACATAGCGAGATATATGCAAAGGAAAACCCAACCTTGTAGATCTGAGGTTTGAATTCCTCATACACGGTGCCATAACCATGCATATCCTCAAATGTAGTGAAGCTACCCCTTGGCAGTCCATTGTAGGCGAAAGACATGGCTGATTGTTGCGATGCTTTGGGGGGCGGCGTAGCTCTAGGGGTAGATGCTACAGACTGAGAAGTGTTGAACGAGCCCATGTGCGACTGAGAAAAAGCCATGCCATTGGTGGTCGATCCCATGCTGCTCTGCGAATACGACATCTGAAGAGTCGGTCGCGGTGGTTGATGGTTGTTGGAAGCCATGGTGTCCGGGGTACTGCAAGTGTCCGGCCCACGCACTAGACCTGTCAGAAGGCTGCTTGATGGCAAGGAAGTCAGTTGAAAGTCGAATTGCAGCCTCCCAGGCCAATGGAATGACAGATTCACTATGTCAAACAGAAGAGCAAAAGCATGTGGGGAACTGCACCTATGCTGGGAGATCCTCTCGGTCTCCGGAGTTACTGAGCAGACCGCGGGAAGTCGCGCAAGATCGAAGGAGGCGCGTGGCTAGCGCTCCGACCGTGAAGGGATGGGAAGGGCCGATATTGTTGTCGGGCTTGCAGGGAGGGATGGATCACAGCATGTGAGCCCGTTCAGCTTCGGAAGGCTCCTTGCATGTAACTCTAGGACATTTAGAAGGATAAAATTGCATAATAGTAAAAATTGCTTGTGTAATTCATGCAGACAGTTTTCTGGCCGAGGAAGAAGAAGTCAGTTCAATCGAGCTTCGCGGGGAATCGTCGCGTTCGCGGCTAACCGTTTTCGCGTTTCGCCCAAACAATCTACTATCACCCTTTTCGGCTATCCGCCTTTTTGACCGCCTCTGTCGCCGCCTACTCTGTGAACAAACAACAATCGATCATGAAAAGAATGTCCGGCTGGACAAAGAGAACCGACTTCGCAAAGATTAACCGCCGGCTCAATTTACTTGGGACGAGACAATGTCGACGACTTCACCGATAACAGTGTCTGCGGCGACATGGCGGCAGCTCCTTCGCTCGCTCCTTCGCGAGGCGTCTTATCTCCCTGATCCCATCGCCAAGATCCATATGCATCACCATATCCTCCATCGATTCCGACACTATGCGGATAACTCCAAGTTCAGAAAGCGGAATGACCTCTGGCAACACTGGCAGCTGCGGAAGAAAGCCACAAAGGGCCTGTCTGTACTACAAAGGGCCAATGAAGGATATTTGAAGCCACTCGAGAAAGTTCTGCGCATGGCATATGGTCGCACTGGGAGTCGGAGAATGCAACTTGTTCGAGACCTTATTGTTCAAGCAACTCCCTCGGCAGAGCCCATACCCACATCTTTGCAGGATCTCCTGGAAAGGAAATGTATGACGGAGGATTGGAAGCCTGCTAAAGTCGTCGTCGATTTGCTGAAAGCTCAAGCTCAGAACCCGATGATACAATACTTGAATGCGGGCCCCAAAATCAACCAATTCGAACCAAATATACCCAAAGAGAACGCCTGGTCTAGGCCAGTTCCACAGTGTCGACGAAGGAATATTAGAAAGAGATGGTACGGTAAAATGCTGTCTAATCTCCTTCCACCACTTCCACTCAACGATCTTGAGGTTCTTGAAGGTTTAATTTCAGGTCGATTGCCATGGACCCCGCCCAAGAGAAGGAAGGCCGTTAGACCTACCCAAGCTCTCGCAGCTCCCGCTTCCGAGGCACATCTCAACGTTGAGTTTCTGGTTGATGGCCCGAAGAAGAGTCAGACTTACAGGCCCTATGCCGTTGGAAGACCTCATGTGTTTACCCGTCGATTCATGGTCAGAGTTTGGATGCGCCTTTCCACGTTGGTGCCACGGGTCTCCATACACACTGAGCCCGGAACTGAGAAGTTGAGGCACAGATTTACGTGGAACCGGGCAATTGCAATTAAGATGGCTTCGCCAGTCAGTAAGGAGACGGCAGCTGATATATTTGGGGGCATTGACTCTCAAGGGAAACTGCTTGCAGACAAATCACAGCCGAAGCGACAAGGCAACAGTCGACCTCAAAAAGAGCAAGTCATTAAGACTAGCTAAAACGCATGCTACTGAGGATACTGTCGAAGTCAATTCAAGAACTCGTTCAAACTACATCAGACACTCATGAGTGGTTATGTGATATGCACGAGCGTCATCACCGACCATAGTCGCGCATGATGCGGACTTGCCCAAATTCATTGATATAAGGTTGGGAATCGGCCGCAACTATCCAGGGTCCATTGGCTGGTCTCTCTCGTTCGATTCCGAAGGGCCAGATCTCCTCCATGGCCAGTCGAAAATCATCCTTGGGCTCACCATTCTTTATCCTCAATTTCTCGAAGAAGACATAAGCCGCATAGAACAACATGCCCGTGTTGCCAACAAGAGCCCCCTCCTGCTTGAGGAAGAGGTGCAGCAAACCGGAATTGATCGTCTTCCCACCCATGGGGAATGCCGCCCTGGCCGCGTCCCGCAGGAAACCGGCCTTGGTAACCCCAGGCTTCTGGACGTGCTCTCGAATCATATGCCTGACTCGGTCACAAGTCTCAAACACCGGCACCTCCAACTCATCATCACTCTCATCCTCCAATGTAATACCAGAGACATCATACTCAGAGTTCTGCTCTGCTGCACGGCTACCTCTACCGCTCCCCACTGTGGTCGCGGAAACCTTCTTCGCTCTTTTCTTCGTGACCGTAGCTATAGCCGTGGCCGTAGCAGGAGCTGTAACCGTAGCGGCGGCAGCATTTCCAAGCGATTCATCAACCGTCAAGGCCGGCCGCTGCCGCACGATCCCGTGGTCCCGCCGGCATCTGAACCACTCTGCGGCATTGATATACGTCGCCGACCGCGACCCCTTGTGCGGGCCGGACTGGCTCATGAAATCTCGATATGACTTGGCTGACACGTTGATGGCGGACTGGAAGGCCCCGGCCGGCATCATCTTCGAGTCGATAAGATCCCGTATCTCCTGCCGGACCTCGTCGCAGTTCTTGGTGGGAGGTTCGCGCGGCTTGGACCTATACAGAGCCCGAGGCTGGGTCTTGGTCCCATTGTTATTCTCCTTGTCATTGTCCAAATCCTTGTTGTGATTGTTGTTGTCGTGACTATTGACGTCATTGTCATCGTCGTCGTTGTCCTCGTCCTCGAGCTGTGCGTCGGTGGAGGTACGCTTCTTCGCGCTAGCGGCCGCAACCGCAGCTGGTGCGGTTAACTTGCGTCTGCGATTGACGCTCAATTCGGGATACAGGCATGAGTCTAGAGACTTTTTTGATGCTTTAGATGAATTAGGGCGACTGGAAGACATGGTGATATGGTAGATAGTAAAAAGAATAACAACAAAAAAAGAAAAAAGAGTGGTGGGTGGTGGGAGAACGAGAGGGAGAATAAAACACTCAATGTACCAAGGATACCTAAAGGAGAAGAAAAGAATTACAGGTCAAATCCTTCCGTCGCGTCAAGGATCATCCAATATTGTTCTTTGTTTACTCATTTCTAATCGTTGAACACCGATTCTTATTAGTGGTGGCCTCTTCGCGTCGGGGGTCACGGGCCAACCGAACGCTCACCAAGCCTGGAGAGATCGGCCACCTCCTAGAACAGGGCCACTGCGTGAGATCGGGCCACCTACCTCTCGAGCACCATATCCTTCTAAAAGGCGTATGTACGAGGGGATCTTTTCTCTCAAACCCAGTGGTGAATTGACTGTCAGTGGCCTAGACAAGTGTTCAGGGACAGCAGGTATGAGAGATGTAGCATCGGACTGATAGCAACCAGTGGAACTTGCCTCTTGGGAAGAGAATGAGACAGACATCCAATTGAATAGAAAGTGCATTCATTGACTTGCAGGCGCAAGAACAGCTCGGAACTCCAAAAAAAAACGATCATGTGCGCCTTTTCCTACCTAGTAACAAAGACGCAAGAGAAAGAATCAACCCATTGTGAACCCATCAATCATCACCAAAGCCGCGCTTTGCTTCTACCCTACCCCAAGCCTATCTCCAACAAACTCCCTGGCAGGCATCCTGGTGCTCATTGGCTTCTTCTCGGCTCCCCCTGTAATATTGTACATGATACAATTGGTTATTATGAAAAGATAACACCGCCTTTCAGCTTTCCTGTCCAGGTCATGACGACAGTAAGAAGAATCAGATTTCAGTAGATATTCTTCGCCACTCAAAAGACGTGTCCAACAATGTAAGGCGTTTATGCGGAAATTAAGATCTCATTACAAGTCCAAGGCCTTGTAGTCGGCGCCTGCCTCTGCACTCAGGGGTTGCACCCCCCGGCTAGCATCAGCGCCCGTGGGCTGAAAGTTGTACCGGTTTCCAATGCCTGCCGTGGCAGCATCGGCGAGCAAAGCGTTGGTCTCCTCACCAGGGCCCTTCAGGCTGACTGATTGGAGGGTGTCTTGAACCTCTTTGACTCTCTTCTTGAAGGCCATTCTGTCCAAGAAAAGCTGTTGGCGAGCAAGCTCAAGCTCGCGGCGCTCAGCCTCAATGATCTCCTCCATTTCATTGAACTGCTGCAACTTGATCTCGAACTTCTGGAGCGTCACGTTCACCGCGGCTGAGACCAGGCGGGTCATTTCCCGTTCTTCGTGAGAGGCCAAGGCTCCAGCGCGGGCGGCAGAGGCCGCAAGGGCAACGGTAGGAAGAGTGGCTTTACCTTCCTTGTTGGCATCCGTGCTCTGGGCGGTCTCGGCGGCGGATTCCTCGCGAACAGCATCAACCTCCATGGAATCCTCGGCTTTCACTGTGCTCTCCTTCTCCTTGCCCTTGTCTTGAGTCATCTTCTCGGCTCCGGAGGCCTTCTCAAGTTGCTTTCTGAGCTCCTTGCGGATCTCCTCTACGGAACGTCCGGCCGCGGCAGCAGCCACAGAGGGCTCCGCCATTTGGGCCAGGAAAGCGACCACAGAAAGAACCGGATTCTCGGACTGACTGATCGGGTCGCGTCCAGCCGACGCCCGGACTTCTGGGGTATCTTCAAGATATTTGTCCTCAATTTCGAGCTGCAGAAACTTCATTACACACTCCTCCTTGGTCCTCGAGCCGACGTGGTTGGCGATCTGTTCCCAATTGTCATCGAAATTCTCCAGGCCTTCGAGAAGGAGAATGAGTTCCGAGTCAGACCACGGAGCATCTTTATCGGGGGCGATTGTATAGGGGCTTTCTTCGAGTTTGACGAAATCGGAGGCATTGTGGCTAGAAGGCATTCTGCCCTGGAGGAAGCAGTTTGGACAGAGGTCGTACTTGCTGTCAGACGCGGGATTTGCCGTGGCAGGCGTTGATTTGGCGTAGTGGAATCTAAGGCGGGTGCAGTCGATACCACAGGAGAAGCAATGGAACTTCTTTCTTGGCTCCTTGCTGGCGCTCTCCATTGCCTTGGTCGCTGCATCGGCAGGTGTGCCGTTAGCGGCGGCGCCCTCGCCGTTGGTCTGCTTCTCCTTGTCTTCGCTGGCAGGTGTAATTTCTTTGCCCTTGTCATCGTAAACGTTGCGACGGATCTCGAGGTTAAGATCGGCCTTGGTAGCAGGCGTAGCTGATGCTGCGCGGTCGGTAGCGGGCAGAGGCTTGCCAGGCTTAACGAAGTGATTGGGGCCGGGCTGGAAAGGTTGCAGACCCCTCGGCGTATCAGCAACCACTCGGAAGTGACCTGTGAAAGGGGGACCAATGTTCGATGGGCGCGTCTGAGGATCGACCTGGAAGGAATGTCAGCTCTAATACTGTAGAAATTTCCACCTCAAATACTCACTTGATAGTTGATCAAACCCCACTGCTCGAGGAAAGAGTGAACACGCATAATGGCGCACACATCTCCGGCAAGGTTGCGGCGGCATGCAGTGACTGTGAGGTACTCGATAGGATTGAGTCTGTATGTGTTGATCATGAAGTCACGGTAGTCCTTGTATACTGCGGGGGTCTTGCTGCGGTTTCGACCGTTGAAGAATTCGGCGAGAGCTTTCTTCTCGATGGGGTGGATCAGGTGCATGTCGAACCAGGATGTATAGCTAGGAAGAATGATGGCATGGGTCTGTGAAACGAGATGTGTGCGCGCGGAGGTCTCAGCCGAAGCTTTAGACTGTGCAGGCTGTTCCTCCGATGTGCCTTCAGCTCCCGACTGCGCCGCGACTTCAGCGATTTCATCGCCCTCGCTTTCCTTCTTGGTCTCAGTCTCTGTGCCACCCATCTCCTCGTCTTCGGGTTCGCCATCGGCAGCCTGAGGCTTCGGCGAAGCAGGAGCATCTGGCGGATTATCAGTGTCGTGAATTTCTCAAATTCAGTAGATCTTTCACGCGACTGCGATCTCTCACGCCAATGTTGCGATGGTCGACATGTCCTTCGATGCGGGTGGGAAGAGGTAACACTTACCGGAAGCACTAACCACATCACCAGGAGCATCCTGGGCAACGATGTTCGTCTGAACTTCTTCGGCAGCGCCGCCGGAAACGACTGGGTTGTCCTCCATCTTATTGATTTAATGGCGGGAGATGACGGCTGAGGTCGCGAGCAACGGGGAACAAGGGACCTTCGCGCTCCGAGGGGTTCAGAGAATCGAAGGGGCTGATGCCGATTTCGTCACTATTACAGTTGTAAATAAGGCCTGGAGGTAGCAAAGATAAAACAAAAATATCCAGCAGGTGGTATTAACCACCAAGACAGCACAAGTCGTGGGGGGAGAAAGGTGGCTTGGGAACAGAGCGACTTGTCGCGACACGGACCGACTCTCCAAAAACTCGCGCCAAGAGCCTTTGGTAAGCTAGTCCGTATACGTACTAGTGTAATCTCTTCTCGACCCTCGTCATCTACAGCTTGATCTAACTATAAGTCACCTCTACCTTTCTTCTTCCAAAGTTGACTGTTTAAACTCTCACCCAAGCACCATTAGCTGCTGGATAAGTACCTATACTGTTCTTCTGTCACGAAGACCTGCCGCCCGCTTGGCATTTCCGTTATGATTCGACCACACCTATCAGCAAGCCATTAAGGCGGACTCTATAGCAAGCATATAGATCAGGTTACATATAAGATTCAGAACATTAATTCACATTTATAATGAAAATACCAGTGCTCGCAAGCTCTGCAATGCGATGTCAAATTTAACTCTAGAGCCAAACTCCTCTCCAGTCTCAATTGGCATTGAGCGCCTCTCTGTATGCCTTGAGACACTTCGCAATAGCAGGTCTCTCCTGTAGTCTCTGCAGCCAAGCGTTGGCATTGGGAAACTCCTTCTCCAGATCAATGGCATCTCCAGTCACGAATGGGATAATCTGATACCACTGCACAAAAGCAGCGTCCGCATAGCTGTACTTGTCATCGACCAGGTACTTGCGGCCTTCGAGGACCTTGTCCAGCACACCGGTCACGCGGCGGATCTCGTTCAAGTAGCGGTCCTGGGCGCTTTGGATCTTCTCTGGGTGGTAACGAGTGAACCAGACAAACTGGCCAAAGTATGGTCCTTGTCCGGACATCTGGAAATGGAGCCACTGCTTGGCGTGAAAATACCCGGGGGTGTCAGCCTTGGGACTGATCTTGTTGTCTTTGTCGTAAGTCTCGATCAGGTATTCAATAATGGCACCCGACTCCCATAGAGTGATCCCTGTGTTGGGATCTTCAATTGCGGGGAGGCGGCCATTGGGGTTGATGGATATGAAGGGCTCCTTCTTGATCATGTCAAAGGGCACAGACTTGTGCTCATATGGGAGTCCGAGTTCTTCAATGATCATGGCCACCTTCCAGGGGTTGGGGCCGACTTGGTGACCGTGGAGGATGATCGGCTTGAGAGACATTCTTGTACGTGTGGAGAGGATATATAGTAGAATGCGGCTTGTGAGGTAGGCGAAGGGAGGTATCTGGAGGAGCGAGGTTGAGTGTGTGAAGTGCAATCCTGGCTACACATCCGTGGCCCTTATATAGGCGATGCGAAGCATTGGAGCTTCAAAGCAAATTCGTAGGGTTAACGTATCCCTCGTAATCTGTCGCTTTCTACAAGTGACACAATCATAACAGTCATCTCACCGCAACTGGAGCCGTTGAGCAAGTCGCTGACAAATGTAAGAGATCCTCCATGTCAAATGCTTTGAGTAGGAAGCAGTAATCGTAAGTTGTTTCCGTGTGGCGCGCCTATGGATGTTTCGGGAAAAGAGTAGCTGTGTTCACAGGTCGCTTGAATGACTCGCTTGTACCTGCATTTGTCAGGAACCGATGTGTCGGGGACTCGGGGTTATCCGAGCCCGGTTGTGTGGGGAACCTGTTGAAGTCAACGATTCCCCATTCGGCACTTTCGAGATGACAAAGGGAAATGCATTAGAAATCAAACTTTGGTGGAGCACTGGAGATGACGGCTGATGACTGTTGTTTACGAGCGACTGCTTCGACGAGTGCCTCTCGGTCAGCTAATAGTTAGTTAGTTATTAGTTGACTTAGCATGCTGACGAATTGTATCATTGTTTCGATCTATCTACATGTAAAGGCGAATAGCTCTGGGGAACTTACTGACAAGATAAGACTATTTACCATGGTATTACTCATTGAGTCTAAAAATTATTCCTGATGTAGGCCACTACGCGCTTATAGCCTGCCATTAGACCTTCCGAGATAAGGACAAGCAGTGCTGAGGTGAAATAATATGATGATGTAGACAAAATATTTATATAAACCATTACACATCACTTCACTTCAGCGTCAAAAGGGTCGGTAGCTCAGTGGTATGAGCAAGAGATTGCAGATCTCGAGGTCGCGTGTTCGATCCACGCTCGGCCCTAAAGCTTTACTTTTTTGCTTTTGCTCTATATATATCATATACTCTCCGCCTTGAAGCCGAACGGAGGGACTGATTGATGTTTTTCAATCTGTTTTGTGTGGAGGGCGAGAGGTTAAAGAAAGAATGCTGTTCCGTGGGTGGCATTGATCTTGGCTATGAATCGCTATAAAGCAAGCTCTTCATTTTGAACCTTAATGGCGGTACGGGGCTAATGATTGGATGCTTGCTGAGAGCCTCTCTTCTTCCTCATGATGTCAAAAATTGCGCCGCAAACCACAATTCAAGGGTCGGTAACTCAGGGGTAGAGTGTGGGACTGCAGATCTCACGGTCACGCGTTCAAATCGCGTTCGGCCCTTGTCTTCTTCTTTTGTCGTCTTTTTGCTGTTATGAAACTGGCCATTCAGAACTCACTACGGACTACTTAGTTCAGTGGGTACTAGGTAGTAACGAGTTGATCAGCCTATGTTGCACTCATACTTCGCTGATCCTGTGATATATAATTTTGTCTTCGTTGATGGTGGCCCTACCCTTTCACGTCCAAATTCAATGGTTACATGGAATAAAGAGAGATTCATGCGACTGCGACTGAATTATCTGGAACGTATGTATTATGCTCACCGACTGGGTATCGCGCTTCCATGCTATCGTAAGAAGGTCATAATGTACACAAGAAAATTCCCTAAGAATATCCATACCACATACTAGAAGTCAACACCGCTCTCATCGCCATATAATGGCTCTTCGAGTGAGCTATTACCGGAATTAACCCGATCGACATCCTCTGAATTGTGGATCAAAGACATGTCATCATGGGGCACATCGGAGAGAAGTACGCTGTCGTCCGAATCGACGAGAGCCGGTGAAGAAGACGGCGAATCCTCATGCTCATGACGGCGTCTTTTTCTTCTGTTCTCAAGAATCTCGTCTTGCAAGTCGAAAACCTCGTGGCCGTACTCCTCCCACTCACTCCGGTATTGCAACCGATCTCGCCAGTCGAGCAGATCCTCCATTGACTTCCGTTCGCCAAATGGCCTTTTGCGGGATTCTGGCTTCATCGAAAGAAGATCACTTTCATTCACACCCTCGACCTCATCATGCCCAGGGACGCGTGAAGTAGTACGCGGGTGCGGCCGACCGATGAGCTTCCAAAGATTGGACTCCTCCGTACGGCTCGCTTCTTTGTCGACATACTCGGCATAATCATCTTCCGAGTCGACCGGATCTTCATCCATGAATGACGATGGAGCTGGCTGGCCAGAGACAAGATGCTCAATTGTGCTACCACTGTCTGAGTCGTGCTCATCTGCCACCTCAATCCCACCGCGGGCCCTAGACACACTCCTTGAGATTGAACCCGGTTGCGTAGGCAATGGCAGCCTCCCAGAGAGAATGTCTTCTACTTCGTCATAGTCCATCTGAATCGATTTCCAATCTTTCACGTGACGATTGTCTACAACGTCGAGGGAGAGCCTCCGCGCGAGTCCAACCCAGAATTCGGAGCTATTTCGGTTAATGTTAAGCACGTCCAGCGCTGTCCTAACATCGCGGCTTTTGACTTCGAGGGCCCTTTCCTGGCCAGCGTCTCTCCACTTGCGCAACCTGGCCTCCGCAAAGAAGAGAGATGACTGTACGAGGCGGCGTGTTAAACTCACGGCCAGTGCGTAGAAATCGGCGAATGCGTCAGCCGTCAAAGATGGGTTCTCATCTGCAAAAGAGAGGTGATGCCAGTTGTCGTCCAAGCGTGTGCTTCCAAAATTCATGAAAAGCCGCTCCGAGAGACGAACCCAGTTCTCCATTCTGAACAAGCCAGCGGTAAGATGCACACTGGAATAGTTGTGTGAATCCGCGCCTTGAGTATCCAGTTGGGCCGAGCTTCCTTTTTCCATATCTTTTGCTGCATGGCCGTTCGCCTTCTCTGAAATTTGATCGCTCGCGTTTGTCGTATTATGATGACTCAATTCTCTCGCTTTCGGTCGAGAGTCAATTTTCGCTGTCTTGGCCTGGGAATCCAAGTACGCAGCTGACCGTTGATTAATTATCCAAAAATTGTGATGTTTCTGTCTGCCAGCAACATCCTCCTCCTGTTGCTCCTCCAGCCGAAGTAGCTCAGCGTAATTCTCGAGAACTGCGTGGCATTCCTCGCCGATCTCGGCAGCAGCGGGTACATCAGCCAGCAGGATTGCCCGACTATGACCTGCTTCCAGATGGCGCCTTTGGAAACTGCTATGTAAGAGTTGGAGGTGTTCCTGCACTTCGATTTCAGACTTCGAGCCCAGTGCGCGCGCAGCTTCGCGAATACCCTCCTTGCCTTTTCGCTCTAGAACGCGATAGAGGATGTCCTTCTCCTGTGGGCTCCATATCACGACCCCATCTTGGGTAGAATTATGTCTCTCGGTGTCAGGATCCGCAGAATCGAAGGAATTATCACTGGTAAGCTGTCTTAACACATCGGCATATATTTCCACCGTTTTTCTTGGAAGCGCCAAGCGCATGTATTCAAGAGCAGAGGTTCGTGTGGTAGCTTTGCGTGTCAGCCTCGAGGGCTCTGGTGGTGTTCTCTCATGGTCCGCGGTTTCCAGCAATGATGCTGGTAGTGTGTTCTCGTCGGCGATGTAAACAGGGTCCGATGGATCATCGTCTATCGAGCTGCTCATGATCAAGTAACTCACGCCACATGCGTAGGCAAAGTAGAGACCGAATCATTTCCTCCTAAACAAATCCAACCCAGCAATGCGACCATGGGAATGGCTAAAGTGATGGTTAGTGGATGGGCATGGATGGGGTCTTTTCTTTTTTTTTATCGGGAAAGTTTTCTGATAAGAAAATGTTTGCAGTGTTTGCTTTACCTGGGATACGCCTTTCGCCTCGGCTGAGCCATGAATCTTTCGTCCCCAGATTATCATGGTTGGAACGCGGGAGACTGTCGTTGCAAATCCATGGCAAACCTATGGACCGTCTTTGCCGGAGATTGGGATCGAATCCCATTTTACTTGGCTCGAAGTTGTTGAGGGTTCCCCGGAGACCCAATGCACGTCTCGGACCCCTGCGCTATAAGTCTGCTGCTGCTGCAGCAGTCCCCGAAGAAGTACATACAACAGCAGCAGCACCTACAACAGCACCTACAGAAACACCAGGGATTGTTCTTCGGGACTACCAAGAAGAATGTATTGAGTCAGTTCTGGAGCACTTGAACCAGGGACACAAGCGCTTGGGAATTTCACTAGCCACGGGCGCTGGGAAGACGGTTCGTACAAGAACAAAGTGAGGTCGGAGTGAGAGCACAAGGCTGACTGGCACTCATTAGGTCATTTTCACGCAGCTGATCGGACGCATCCCCCCGCGCGAAGGCAAATATGATAAGGCGCTGATCCTTGTACATCGAAGGGAGCTTGTCGAACAAGCCGCCCGCCATTGCCGACTTGCATACCCTGATCGAAAGGTCGAGATTGAGATGGGAAATACCCACGCGTCTGGAGATGGGGACATCATCATCGCCTCGGTGAAGAGTATCGTGTCAAAGGATCGGCTTGAGAAATTCAACCCGGATCATTTCAAGTTGGTTTTGGTCGATGAGGCGCACCATATTGTCGCGCAAAGCTACCTTACAGCGTTAACTCATTTCAACCTCGATACTCTTTCACCCAAATCCCCTATACTTGTTGGAGTATCGGCCACGTTCGCGCGCTTCGATGGTCTCAAACTCGGATCTGTGATTGACCACATCGTGTATCACAAGGACTACATGGATATGATCGACGAAAATTGGCTTTCAAACGCCGTCTTCACTACCGTTCGCTCGGAAGCCGACTTAAACAAGGTCAAAAAAGACAAATTCGGGGATTTTGCCCTCGCTTCCCTTTCGCAGGCAGTTAACACGGATAGAATCAACGATATCACCGTGAGAGCCTGGCTGGCTAATGCCGAAGGTCGTAAGTCTACTTTGGTGTTCTGCGTTGACGTGGCGCACACCACCGAGCTCACCATGGCGTTCCGGCGTCGCGGCATTGATGCAAGATTTATCACAGCACAAACTCCTAAGGCCGTACGCGGGGAGCAGCTGCAAAGCTTCAAAAACCAAGAGTTTCCAGTTCTGGTTAACTGTGGACTCTTCACAGAAGGTACTGATATACCTAATATTGATTGCGTTCTGCTTGCCAGGCCGACTCGTTCTCGGAACCTCCTGGTTCAGATGATCGGAAGAGGGCTGCGGTTGTTCCCTGGCAAGAAGGACTGCCACATTATTGATATGGTGGCAACTCTCGAAACCGGTGTCATTTCCACGCCGACCTTACTCGGTCTACACCCTGATGAGGTGCTACAAAATCAGAGACTGAGCGATATCAAAGGGAAGAAACAGAGTGAAACCCCCTCTGACCGACAGCAGCCTAGTTCCGAGGTTCCAGATTCCGAGGTTGACTTTGACGATGAGAACATCAAGCTCACTTTCACTAAATATGACACGATCTACGACCTTATCAACGACCTGAAATCCGATAAGCATATCCGCTCCCTCAGCCGCTACGCCTGGGTTCGGGTGGATGAGAATCGATACATTCTCAACGAAACGACGGGCTGGCTCACAATCGACAAAGCACCAGCGGAGGAGTGCGAGGTAGCTGGAGAGATGTGGACGGTGGATTATGTCCAAATATACGGATTGCGGGAAGTACAGAAGAAGTACGCCAAGCCCCGTCGGGTTGCCGTCGCGGCGGACTTTGAAGGGTGCGTCCGCAGCGCAGACACCTTCGCTGCTACCGTCTTCGAGAACCGAAACATTAGTGTGCGGCAGGCATGGCGCCGACAACCGGCCACACAACCTCAGCTCGACAGGCTGAACAAGGCGAAGATCCGGAGCGGAAAAATCCTTGCCTCGGACTTAACGCGAGGACAGGCGGCGGACCTCATCACTAAGCTGAAGCATGGAGGCAAGAAGCGATTCTCTAAGGTCATGAAGACACGACAGGCTGCAGAGATCAAGGCCCGACAATTCGAGGAGCTGAAAAGAAGAACAGAGGTGAAGGTCGGACCCTTGCAACAGTAGCATTTGTATACTAGAGTGATGAAAATCCCCCTGGCGTTCGTTCTGAGTCTCTAGAGCAATTCTTTCTCTTTTTTCTTACTGTTCATACTGTACTGTACACAGATACCCGCCAATAGAGCAACAATCTTTTTTTCCACGGCAAAGAAAAAACGTAAGTCGTGTGGCTCCACAACTCAGCTCCACGGATACACATATGAACGCCGTCCTTATAATGATTTTTACTGACACCTGACTTTTTGTTTCGCACGAGGACCAGTCGAACCAAATCTAGAACTCACTCGTTGTGCCATTCCCGACCTTGAATGGGTGAGAATGTGAAGCAGTCTATTTGAAGGACGCAAGACTGGAACTATCTGAGGATTGAAGTGGAATTCGAGAGTCTGGAAGTGGCAGAAGAGGGATGATGGTATTGTACATCCCATAGTCAGTCTCTACTGGGGAAGACGTCAGACCGATTCGTGTAACTCACTCCACCGTATACCAGCAGATCAATGTAGCGCACAGGCGGATGTAACGGATGAATATTTTCTTGCTTGGAAGCCGCTGGAAGATACATTCTCCTTAATGAGATCTCCCCTTTGCACCCTCACACCCTTCATCGCACCCCCTCATCCTCACCAGTCACTCTCTGCGGGCGAGAGTGCTACTCGACCAGAGCTGATCCATACTCCAAGCACGAATGATAGTACATGCTCACATAGGCTCCTTTCTCCTCTGTATACGCCAGGGACACGATATTGTGAACGCGGGTGGACTGGCTTAGATCCTCGTGTGCGCTGTACCCTGGTCAGCAACAAACAAAGCAATACACTCCAAGTGGAGATGCTGGAAGGGAAATGGAAAGCATATGAGAGGACTGAAAAATAGGTACTCACAAAACATACTGCAGGTCCTCAACATAAGTGCGAGCTCTATCCTCCCAACCAAGGGAGCGGAAAAACCGCGCGAGAGCTCTGGCCACAAAGAGATCATTTTTCCGGTGTACCGAGAGATATAACTTGGGGAGGGCCGTCGAGCGTCCCGGCTGGACTTCATAATTCCAGGCCAGGGCGAGGAGCTTCCTAGCCAAGCAAATCTGCCGGTGGGATCCGCGCTGCTCCTGATCTGCCGCATCTCTAGTACTAGCCAGAGGGCGTCCGCAGGAGCAGGTCTCCGTCTCCTCATCCTCCTCCAGGTACTTCCACAGCCGACGCAGAAGCTCGAGACCCTTGGGGCACCATGGCTCTGCCTGCAGTCTGCCGCCGATCGTCCAGATCTCCTCCGCCGTCTCCAGACTGGGATTGCCCCCACAGACGCCATAAAGCTTCACTCGCGCCGCCGCAGGATCGGTATAATCCCACCCCAAAAAGGTGTAGTCGTTGAAATGCTGACCCGCCTCCATGTACTCGACCGCCGGCCGCATGGCCTCCAAACTCTCCACGTGGCATCGGGCGGGTATCTGCTCCAGACACTGCAGAAGCGTCGCCCCCAGCGCGGCTGGGGCGAGCTTCCACCGCACCCCCAGAAAGAAGTAGCCTTTGACGGCGCTCGCCCCCGCCGGCAGGAAATCAAAGCCCATGCAGTGGGTGGCTTGCACCGAGACCGCGTCGAATGCATGATCATCGCGGGTGAGCCGTCTTTCCTCCTCGCCGGAAAGGGTCAGATGAGCCGTGATGTGCCGGTGCAGTTCCAGATCAAAGCCCTGCAGCCCGAGCCCCGCTATCTGCGCGCAGATCTGCGCGACGCCTACCTGTCGAAAGCGGTCACGGTTTGGGCCTGTCATCCGCCCGAGGGGCTCCATCGTGAGACGCACGGTGGCTGCGGCGCCGGCCCCCTGGAGGTTGAGGCTGGCCTCAAACGGGTGGCCTGTGACCGTCAATAGGCTGTGATATTGGTGTGGGTAGGGGCCTAGAAGTGGAACGAGCTGGTTGCGGAGAAAGAGCAGGTGTTGATACTGCTCCGACAGAGGGTAGTGAGCTACTTGGAGGAGGCGGCCCATGAGAGGGGCGATGTTCTCCCACCATTTGAGCTCCTCAGAGTCCGGGGGATGAGGAGGATATCGGACGATGATGTCCCATGGGTTGTCGGAAATGCTATGCTTGGAGGCTTGGGTTGTCTGGGTGTCAGGGGCAGTGGTGTCTTTGTGGGGGGGCTCTTCCCGGCAAGGTTCAGACAAAGGAAGAGATCCTGGGAGCGTAACCGGCTTGCTTGGCTGACCTAGGGTTGCCATTCTAGATTTCTGAAGATATAGCGATAGTCTCTGGCAAGCAGCCTGGAGGTATATAGCTAAGCGAGATGAAAGCGTACACAGTCTGCGAAAGCCACCCCGCCTATTTATTTCTCCCTGGCACCAAACAAGGCTTCAAGTAGGCTGCGCCAGCTGGCAGCAGCAGCAACGTAGGTCGGGCTTCAAAGTTCCTTCATCAAAGGGATCCTGGCAAGTGTCCCTGCGAATTGCAAGATCACTCTAGGAATCTGCTCAATATACTCCGAAGTCCGCCTACCTTGTCCTGCCATGTTGTACCACTAGCATGACACCGGCAAAGCTGGACTTAGCGACCTATTTTCAGTCTTTGTGCCAGACGTGCCAGTCGTCGAAACATCCATATCGTAGAGTGCACAACATGTCGGTGGCTGAGATGCCTACATTAGCGCCGCTCTGCTAGACCCATTCCCACTAAAAGAGAATAATGCACGAGAGAATATTGATATATTGACCAGAATAGGATAGACAGCGACTAAATCTCGATCTGAAAGCGCTAAGATGAACCCAATTCAGTAGCTATTCAGTGAGCTCGTGGATGGTTGAAATAAAGAAGGATCTTTTTAAGCTTCAGGGCTGGGTTGGGCAATAGCAGTACAATAAAAAGGGAAGTGATTACAGCCTAATCAAGCACGAACAGCATTATTGTAAGACGAACAAAATCAGCAAAGGACTGAGCGCGTAGTAGTACTGGAGCAAGGGCGGGATAAACCTGGTCTGTAAACAAAATGGATTCAATGTATACTACTGTAGCACCATGATGCTCAAACATGTTGCTGGGCGGCTGTTACGACACGCAGTGTCTGGTGTTAACTACTGAAAATGCCGATGCAGGAGATTGAGCCTCTACAGAATGGCTACCACACGTCTTTTGCTTGGAGATACCACTATCCTACTGGAGATCTCCATAGTACGCATCCCACGCGAACCAATCAAAGGTACCCTCAAACGTCCGTCGAGTCTCTCTAGTCTCACCCAAAGCACCACTACCACCCGGTAAGCCCTCTAAGTCAGCCAGAAGCCAATCGAGGTAGCTGGCATAGTTGATCGCGCCCACATCGGCCGGGATGTGCTCGCCACCGTGCTGTTCTTGCGGCGTGCACTCAGCAGCAGTCGCCGGAGAGCGATGTATGTTCCTTGCGAGATGCAGAAAAGCAGCCGCAACGTGCTCGAGCCGCGTGCACAGCGTCGCAAGAAGGCGCATTTGCGAGCGCATGCTTGCGAAATACGTCACTGTTGTCGCCAGAAGGTTAAGATCGTGTTCGGTGGTCGGCGTCACAGGGCCAGAATGGTGCACAATGTTCTCAAAAATGACGAAAAATGGGGTGAATGGATAGTAGAGAAGGTGCCTCATCGTTTGCCCGGCGGTGGTTAGTCTCGTTTGGCTAGAACGTGCAAACTCAAAAGCCTATATGTGCCTTACCAGATGACTCCGTTGTACAAGGAATTCCAATTGGAGACCATCGATTTCAGAAGCGAAATGGCTTCGAGCAGACGTCAGACGTAGGCTGGCCGAGGCTTCGTCGCCCTTCAACAGTAGTATAAACACGTGTAGGTACTGAAATTTCATGCTATTGATGCCTAAAGTCATTTCGCGGGTTTGTTCGGCGGCCGATGAAACTCTTTCGAATTCCAGAATCTCTGTCAAGCGCTAAAGGATGGTAAGATAGTCTACTTTACAGAAGTTACAGGGAGGGATTCGTGCCTGGTTCGTGTCTGAGTACCAAATGTTCAGACTTGAACGGAGAGCAGTGGCTGAATAGGTTGCGGACTGGCCGGCAGCAAGGACATCGGCAAGATTCCCCATCAGCTTTGCCAACTCGATCGAGCAACGGAGCAGTTGGGCGCCGAATCGAGATGGCCGTGGCTGGATCTGTGCGTTGTTCAAACGAGTATGAGGCTGGAACATGAGCAAGGTTTGTTCATCCGGCAGAGGGACATTGTGATATAAGGCCGTGGGTAAGAATGGGGACGCCCGAAGGCAAGATAACAGGACTTGTCCATCATGAAAAGCAGCCAAAAGCGACAATGACGGTGTTGTTGTGATCTCGAACCCTGTGGATTATGCAGATGCATGCCCAGGGCTTCTGCCTGCCTGCATGCGTTTCCAAGCAACATCCACGACGTATTCGGCGCGGCATAGTCTTCCCTATGCATAGCCAAGAGTGTCAGCACTTGCACGTTGGCCTCGCGTGGCTCAAGGAAGACACTACTATGGTTGAGCGCTAGCTGCACATTTCGACGTAATACCGTTGCCTCATGGCTTTCATCGGCAACAGACACGGCAGACAACAGCATGTAGTTGAAGTAGACGACCCAGGCCTTTTCTTGCACTCTATGTGGCTCAAAGACGACTTGCAGAGTGATCTCATCAGATGATGCGTTGAAGAAAGGCTTGCCCAGGTCTGATAGCTCGAAGAATCCTGTTTGAGTCGCTTTGTTGTTAGTTATGAAGAGTCAACGCGAAGCACAATTTGGACGACCTCACGGCTGATCAATTGGTAGCCGATTGCTTTGGAAGGAACCCAGAAGGCCAATGCGCTCTCTTCAGCTATCTGCTCAGACTGACTGGTAACAAGTCGGCTGGACAGATACTGAAGCTCGGAGTGGGCACTTTGGTGCGTATCATCTTCTAGCCGGGAAATCCTATCGATGCTCTTAGATGCCTCTCGTAAAAACGAGAATGAATGCGACGGGCCAATGTAGAGCTTAGGGTTAGGGATTGTCTTCTCGGCCACACTTTCTTAACGAGAATCTGGCGGAACCTTCAATTTATCGGTCCGGGTCGATGCGGAACCGAGGACTTGTAAAGCTTCATCGACGGATTTCGTCAATTGCTGTACAAGCTGCTCGAGGTGTTTTAATCGATCTGCGATAGTACGCTCCTCAGTTGACACAATGGCTGGAGACCTTGAGTATCGCGGGGTTTAGATATCATTCTTTAAAGTAGGCCGAGAGTTCGTCCTTTGGTGAGTCTCCCCGGTACAAAGCAGCTTCTGCCAGTTCAGATATATGATCTCGAGGTGTGAAGAAACATCGGCTAATCTGTCTGGTATTGATGTAGCTTATGACAGCAAAGCCCGTTTACTCGGGCAAGATGTTCATCGAAGGCCGACCCTCAGAAGAAAAGCTACAACAGTACCTCTTGAGAGCAGCTCCTCCCAGTGAGTAGCATTATGCCTGCTCTTCATCCTTAGTGGCGCTAATCACACAGAAACCAGCACGCCCAAACGACCCAAACCATCCCGCGTGGCGTTGATAACAGTGCTGGTGGGTCCGGCACAGACAATGTACAGGATTCCAGAACTCAAGGCGCGTTCGTCGTCGGCCTTCTTCGACATAGTGATCGCAAGGCGATCCGTGAAGCATGCCGTCAGACTGCCCGACATCAAACCCAGCACCTTCGAACAGTATTCTTCGTGGCTACACGATCCGATCCACATGCCTAGCTCTAGTTTTAGAGACCTCATCGACATGTATACCCTGGCAGACAGGCTACTGGACACAAAGCTCGAGAGCCAGATGGTCGAATTACTCGTGACGAAGTACTCCGGTTCTTATAATCCCCCGTCCTATGAGGATATGGTGTTTGCCTCCCGGGTAGTTCCGTTTTGTGCACCGCTCTACCGGTTTCTTGTGGATATTGAAGCGCAGTCGGGCTCATGTACTTCAAGTGGGCTGCGTGAGCATGGTAGGGACAAATGGATCTCTTTCTTGGAGGGTAGTGAAGGAGATCAGCTAGCCCAGCGGACTGTACCGGAGGCGATGTCCACGGCAATGACGAAGCTAGCGTCGAGTCGACCGAAAATTATACTGAATGCCTCGGATTATCGCAGGAGAGTCGCGCCGTAACCGACTCACTGGTGGAGATTTTCATTTTGACTCGATTGAACGAGAACCTCGAGCATGGATTCCATCTCCAAGACCAAACATATATCGTACCTAACTCTGCCTAGTAGAGCATCAATCGGTATGATGCTCATCGCTGTCAGGTGCCCTTGCCCTCACCCACCTCCTTCGACCCGAAAAGCGACCAGCAGACCGAACCAGCCCAGAATCCTCGCCTGTGCCAACGTAGTCTCTGACTTTGCCAGTCTTCTCGCCACGAACAGTTGCCACCCAGCCTTCACGGCGTAGACGCACTGGTCAGCTACTCGAGGACGAAATGCACATTGATTGCCTCCGCCTGTGAACGTCTGAAGGAGACTACTTCGAGAGCAGTGGCTTTCTGCGCGCGGGTTACGTAGTATGTGGTCGTCGAGCAACCACTGGAATTCTCTTGGTTGACATGACTCCATCGCATCGCATGCGTAGATGGCTCGCCAGTTGATCAATCAGATGCTGACGAAACGGTGAGGAGTGAAAATAACCTAAAAAAGGAATCCTCCCAGACTGGGAGTCGAACCCAGGTCTCCCGCGCTTGTTCCCGAATGGGATTGACAAGCGGAAATCATGACCGTTAGACCATCTAGGAATGAGACATTGAATTTACGTCATGAATATTTTATAGCCAAAATAAATGATAATCAAGCCTTGAAGCAACCCTAACTTCCTTTCGTTCCCCCAACCTTGTCCGGTGGACTTACAGTACGAGCACAATCTAGTTGATGTCTAGATAATACCCGGCTATGCACAGGAATAGACTACCGTCTCCAAGGCTTGCTACTGAGACGACGAGCTCAAATCCACTCATATAGCCTTGAACCAAGTTATGTATTGTACCTGTCTTGGGTCGCCAAGCCAGCAGTGAATATATAGTCTGTCGGGATCTTCATGTATCCACGAGACAAAACTCGAGGACGGCCCCCCTCCTTTCCTGTAAGTTCAAACCAAAAATAGGTATATAATGCACCCATCATCGCATACTAGTTCAGGGGTAAGGGGGCTCAAGACTGAATTCCGTGCTGAATGTCACCTGGGCAAAAACAGACGGGGGGAAGGACATTTCATGGCCGTAGCATCCACGAGGACAGAAGAAGTTCATCTGAAAGACCACTAGCACATCGTCAACATAAGGATTGTTCAGATTCTCGCACGTCGCTCGATGCAAGCTGTAATGGACAATCCCAGCCCCGCCACTGTTCCAAAATCGATCGATGCCAGAACCCGCATTCCACGAATATGGGACTTTCGGAGATCACCCTAGAAGACAGCCCGACACATCTTTCAGGGTGTGCCATTACTACCAGATACATTCAGTAGATATCATGATTGCAAAGAGTAGAAAGTTGTAATATTTGAGGGTTGCGTATGTTCTCTCCGAGCCGATAACTTAGCCAGATGGCGGAAATGTAAAGAACTTTGGTTACTTCGAATCGATTATGCTGCAGTGCTGCAGTTTCTGTTTCTTTCTGAAGATCAAACTCTCGCTCCAAAAGGGTCGGTAGCTCAGTGGTATGAGCAAGAGATTGCAGATCTCGAGGTCGCGTGTTCGATCCACGCTCGGCCCTAAAGCTTTCATTTTTTGCCTTGATCAGAGATGCTCATACGAGACAGATCGATGGTCGTAGTTGGTTGATGCGACAGAACATTGATCACTGCAAACTTTTTTGCTGCGTCTTCGGATTGCTTCATCCCGCAATCCCGAATGGTACCGTAACCCCGACACCACAGACCGCGAGGAGGCATATAAGCTACAGCTACATGGTCAAACACCTGCCCACCGACACAATCCCAGCGCACTTTTGCTGGCTGTACATGCCAATTGGTTTGCATCGTGTTATCTTGTCTCCTCAAGTACTGCGGTCGAAGCCCTGCTGCCGAGAGACCAGTCAAGCCATTACTGAAAGCGAGTACACCCGATTTGTTGACCAGATGGATACAAAAGATCCATCGAAGAACGACATGCACTCGTTCCTGTAGAGGCACTATGTGACGAGTCAACAGAAGGTCGAAGTAGCCGCGGCAACCAGCCCGACGATATTGTAAAATTCCTCTACGGATATGATTCTGTACACTGACACTTCTTCCTGTTCTGCTTCTGCCGCGGTCTCACATCCTCCAGATGGCAGAGAAAACCAATGCAACCCCATCATTCACCGCAATGTGATGATAGCCTTGGAGATCTCAACACCATCTGCAGAATGCATCCTTGTCACCCAGTAGATATCTTGTCAATACTGAGGCGGTACTCCGTAGACCCTACCCATTGACCACATTTCCAAGAACAGTTCTGACTTCAATGATTGACCTCGCACGTTTTCTAAAGTGTTGTAAAAATCATCCAACACCTTGTGATTGATGCTCATTGGTGCGGGTTAATGGGAAAACTGACGTCTAAGTCTGCCGGTGTAAAGATTACCTCCAATATGGCCTACAATTGAGGCATAAGTTCTCCGTTTCATTGCGTTGCGTCGGGACGAGAGAATGGTACTTACTGGTGTAGCATTGCTCATCTTAGATTTTTGAAGAGAGCTGTTGCTGATGAGGCACACGGAGTGTAAGCAGAGAAGAGAGTAACCAGTTAAATGAGTCTCTCTACTCCTAGAGCCTGATAAGATGAACTACGACTTTTCTCCGAAAAATGACTGGAAGGATTTACCCGGTGAATGGTGCAAGGTGCAAGCATCCATTCATCCGTGTTGCAAATAAGTTATCAGCCTCCTGGGAGCCTTGTGCAATGGGCTACCGCCAGACGGCCACTGGGGATGGGAAAAAGCGGATGAGAGATTCTGGCTAATCCGGATACTTGATCTTCTTGTGCTAAGTAAGTAATGAGCCGGTTGGGGCCCTGCTGTCCGTCCGTCTACTCGTGCCGATCCACCTTTGCGAGATAGACATTGGATTTCCACCCAAGCCTTCGCACCTAAACCAAGTCCAGCACCCTGGAGCCCCCTTTACTCTCCGGTCAGAACTCCCCAATCGCCCTCCGTCCACACGATCTTCATTTTGAACCGCCGAATTTTCCACAGCCCATCACTGCCATCATCCTTCTCTACCTCAACAAAGTACAGACTCCCACTCGTCAACCGAGTAGCTCCAGGCTCATTGCCCTGACCCGTCCGGTAATGCTGCGCCAGCGCGGAGGCCGTCACGCTCGCCTTGGTCTCCGAGCTGTCCGGCAGATTGACCCGGACATTGGTCACGAAGTGGGTGGTATCGAGCTTGGAGACGTTGTCGTAACAGCCGGCCCGAATGGCGGGAATTCCATTCATGACCTTGTCCTTGAGTTCGAAGACGGCATCCGGGTAGAAAGCCGACTCGAAGAGGGCGAGGTCAGCGGTGTCGAAGCTGAGGACGAAGCGGTAGACAGCGTCGACAATGGCCTCGCGGAGGGGCAGAGAGGGGAGAGTGGTGGGGAAGGACATGAGGACTACTGTGTCTGGGATCCTAGATAGTAGAGAATGAGATAGAATGATGCTTGAACAATTGATGTGTAGAATGCTGAGACTCTACTCAGCCCGAGAAAGCTGCTTAAGTATTCTTTCCATTGAGGTATTTCCAGTAGGGCTGGAGATCGGAGACCGAGCATAACTACCCGAGGAGAGAGTGATTCATCGGCCATGGGCTAAAGTCCGCCGTCCCTATCTCCGTCTTCATGATTGTTGATGCCAATAGCGTCAACCCCAGGGGGTCACGCCAAAAAGGAGAAGAAGAAGAAGAATTCAAAAGAAAACAAAAAGGAATGCGTAAACCTGTTATTGTAGCGAGATGATTAAAGATACTAGTAGCAGTAGAATAACTACAGGATACTTCATCCGGAACAATCCCGAGTTTCTATTCACACGGCTTGGGGTAGGTTTCTCAGCTTGACACAAAAGTGTTCGAAAAACAAGCTTTTTGGCGACATCACCCCCCCAATGCGAGCCATGCAGGTCCCCTCCTACTTGCCTTCAACCTGACAGCAGGTCGAATTATTCTCCGAGGAGACTTACTTAAGGTTGGGTGTTATCTTATCGATAAGCCCACGAAGTTTAGCTTTCCGCTCGACGGAGATATCACGTCCTCAGGCACCAAGCCTGCCATGGGACCGATTTCAATCTTCCGTCATTCTCCAAGGACTCCAACTCAACTCGGCTTCAAGCTTCAGTTATACTACATACAACATCCCACCTCAACAACCAATTTTTTTTTTTTAAACAACTCCACCCGCTGCCACGACTGTTTTGGCCCTCATAACGACCAGATTATTCCTCCCAGAACACCCAACACCGCAAGCAAACAAAGACCAGTCACGCAACTACAAAATGTCCTCACACCCCGATTCCCCCTCCGCGCAACCACCACAACCACAACTAGAAGAAGAACAAGACCAGAAAAGACTCACCATTCGCACCAACCACTGCCGCTTCTGCAACCACCTCCTCTTAGCCACCACTCGCAACATCACCACCCTGCCGCGCCGAAAAGCGCCCGCCCAGGATGCCGCGCTGATTCTGCCGCTCCCGCGCGACGATGAGGAGCTCAACCACGCCCAAGACCCCGATGACGAGGGCAATGCCGACGCCAATTCCAGCAATCAATCTCAGAACCAACCAAAGAAACAGCTTCACTACACAATCCTGCTCTCGACCACCATCCCAGACCGAAAACACACCCTGATTCGACGAGAGGACGGTTTCGAGAAGCGCCTCCTCCTCCGGTGTGGACGGTGTCGCGTGGTGGTGGGGTATTTCTTGGACGCGGTGCATTTCCCGCGGCAGACGCGAACACTGGGTGCGGGGGAGGACGAGGGCCAAGAAGAAGAGCTTGCGGACAGTCAGCGCGCCAAGGTGGTGTATCTCTTGCCCGGGGCTTTAATGGAGACTGGGGTGATGGAGGCGAATGATGTGGAGAAACTGAGGGCGATGGACCGGCAATGGGCCGGGTGGATGGATAGTTCGTGATATTGGGATTCACCTCCTTGGAGTCATATACATCTCAGTAAGACTCGGCGAAATACATCATAGACAAGATATTCTTGTCTGCCTTCGATAATATGCTGATTGGCGCACTCACACATAAGCCTCATATACACTACAAGAGAGCTAGAATTTATAACAAATAACTAATCTAATGTCAAGCCGACAAACTCCGGCGGCAGGATCGCATAGGGAGCAGAAAAGAGAATTTCGTCAGGAAAGCGTTAGGAAAGGGTATCGTATGTCATTTAGTTGGCAAGGATGGTGCGGACGAGGTCTGGTAAATATGGATGTCAATCAGGTGATTACTCCAGTCAATGTGGGGATGCCTTCGACATACCGGTATAGTTGATCTCACCGGAGCTAGTATCAACGGCCTTGAGCAGCTCATCGACTTCCTCGTCGGACATCTTCTCGCCCAGATTCGTGAGAACTATGATCATTGTCAGTATCGTGGGTTTACTCCCTTCTCACGATGATTATCGTTCGGCGAGGATGATCCTACTGTAACGCAGTTGGCCCACTCCAATGAACCCAGTCAAGTCCTTATCGAACACCTGAAAACCACGGGTATATTCTTCGGGCTCGCCGGGGTCGCGGAAACCTCCGGGGCGGTTGAGGACCTTCAAGAACGACTCGAAATCAACTAATCATCATCAGTTAGCGATAGTGAATCCTTGAATCTCATGACCGTGGACGCGCATACAGTCTCCGCCCACGCTCTTCTCCAAGTCTGCAATTTCGGCCAAGGTGGGATTTTGTCCGCACGCACGGAGGAGATCGCCGAGCGACTCGATGGCGACCTTGCCGGTACCGCGCTTATCGAACAGCGAGAAAGCTTCTTTGTAGTTGGTCGAGGCCTGTTGATCGTAGTGAGAATGAGGTGAGTGAGCCATATTTGATTGCGATCAAAAACAGGTAGATAGATAGATAGATAGATAGATAGGACGAAAGAGAGAAAGAAAGGAAGAAAGAAAGGAGAGAGAAGGAATGGAAGCAATGGGATGAGGAAGAGTGAAGGGAACTCAGATCATGCACTTTGCTGAGATGACGAGCAACCAGCGACGCAAGGCTGCGATCCGTGGGAACGAGGGGCGAAAGGGATTGGACGAATTGGACGGGGCAGACGAGGGGGCGGGGATTCCATGGTTCCCAACCACAGTACAACTCCAGGGCGACAACAACGAAAACAATAAATGATCCTGGTCCTGAATTTGTAGGGAGCAGATGCGCTACAGCCAGACTAAAGTGTGTGGCCGTCCGGACATTTCCTCACCCGCCCGCCAGGAACCCCCGGATGCAGGGCTCATGCCTCCTCCATAATGCAACAAGATCCAGCCACGTACCATAGTTGTTCTTCTGTTGATTACACAAACGGAATGTTCTGTTTTGTGTGAAAACGAGGGTGACAGGCGATCAATTGACACGCAAAATTTAGTCGGCACGTTCACCGGGAAGGTCAACACGAAGGCTTTCGAATTGAATTGGAATGAAGGGGAGAAGGGAGGGGAGAGAGAAGAGGAAAGGAGGTGAGGCGGTGGAGGGGAAAGAAAGCCTGAAAGAAAAGGGAAACAAGCAATGACGCCCGCGGTTGTTGTTGTGGTAACCAGACACCTCAGGCTCCAACCATCATGCATCTAAATATAACTACCTACTCAGTACCTAGTTATATTGAAGTGAATCTTCATTCGGCTTTTCAATTCGTATTGCGATCATAAAACATGTCTTGGTAGCATTATCCACAGACAGCCGTCACCAAATACATACTCCCAATGAAGCTAACTTCACGCTTCTTGGTGAAAGCTTGCGATAAGCGGACTAAATGTACAAGAAGATTAAAAGGCCGTCTCGCCTGTCACAGTATGCTGCCGAGGTCCGATACTTCGATTAAATCACGGAGCTGTGCCTCCGTTCAACTTGTCAATACAACTGCTGAGTAAATTGGCCGCCTCGCTCAGTAGCTCCCAGCGGGTATTCGTGAACCCATTGCGAAGGACCATCAACAACCCCATGCATTGATTGCAGCCTTTCATCCCTTCCAAATCACTGGGTTCACGCACCCCGCCGACTCGCCGCAGAAATTGCTGCATGTCATGTTGCTGCTCCGCAGGTCTGACTAATTTGGTGGGGTGTTCAAGCGGTCCTTCAAGAGCGTACCCGTAGCACCAGACTACGAGTGCGGCAACATAGAGAACCCACGGCCGGTTGAGCAAGTAGTCATCCCGTCCCGAATAAATCTCGTCATGGTCGAGAGCCCGCGCCTCATCTAAGAGACACTCGGACAGGAACCTTAACGCGTAGAATGTGGCGTCGCGGGCCGTAGCCTTGGTTGCCCATCGGTTCATTTTCTCGCGCGCCCCGTCATAGTCCTTTCGGGTGATAGCTCGCCCCATGAGCCGCCCGGCTCCGGCAAAAATCTGGCAGTCAACGATGTCGACGTGGGAGGCCATATGTGCTAATCCGTGTAGCACGTCGCGCGATTCAAAGACATTGGCTTCGTCCCAGGGATGTCGTGCTCGGTAGCCACCAGAAAACGAACCTGGTTCTGATGTCCCGAGAGCCTCGTCAAAATCTCGCCGCCAATTGTCAAAAGCCCGCAACAATGCGGATCTCCACTTGTCGCGGCCCCCTAGTGCCTGCAATACACCCAGCGAGCTCACCTGAAGATCTCGCTGGTTCATGTGCCAGCTGACACTCAGCAGCCCTGCCATGAGAATGGTGCGTCCAAAAGCATTGGTTCGGACCGGTTGGCCATTGAGTGTCCTTTTCAGACCATCTAGAAACATGAGCGGTTTAACTCCATTCGCATGCAAACTGGATTGAACTCGAGCCACCTCAGAGGCATTCGTCGCAGACCATAGTGCTCCATCACACGGGAGAGGCAGCCGCAGCTCGTGGGCCACCATTTTAGCTGAATGCCCGAACATGGTGGCATGCGTTGAATCCAGCACAAAAGCCGCGAATGCTACACGCCTCGTGGCTTCGGCCTTGATCCAATGAGTCCAGGACTCTTCCGCCACAAAGTCAGGCGTCATAGTTGACCCAGTGACTGAGCGACTTAGTCGATCGTCTCTAAGGCTCGCCGGAGAATCCAGTGCGGAGCGGCCTATCAGTGAGCTACCACGCCGCATCAGCGTCAAAGTGGTATCGTGATGTATATGGGCTCGCTCATGTAGTGCACGGGTAGAGTACAGTTTTTCATATACTTCAAGGAGGAGTAGTGCCTGGAATACCCACAGCTTAGCTGGTGGGCGAAAGTCAGCATCCATGAAAAGCTCCCAACGTAGATGCCATGCAATAAAATTCGCCAACTCTGCTGCGGTCTCTGTTAAATCTGACCCAAACATCTTGTCCAGAGTAGATGCTCCAATAGCTATGACAGCCAGCAGAAGCAAGTTAGGAGCCTTGTTCAAGACGAAAGAAGGGCGGTGCAGAATGGGTAACTGTGGGTGAAAGTGATGCCAATACGATGCGATATAGGCCTCCATCATGCGTGGTCCTAGAACATGGCGATCATCATTCAGATCACCGTCCATGAGGGCATCCTTGCGCTTTGCTACTGCCGAGTATGCAGCCTCATTGAATCGTGAGCCCATGAGCGCAAGAAGCTCCTGTCTCTTATCGTTGGATAAGCTCATTCGAGAAGACCCAGCGTCCAGAATGCTGGTCACGCTCATTGGGTCGTGTGGAATTACTCCATTCATGAAACTCCCATAACCAGGATCACCTAGGAGAAATTGGTTCTGTAGCTGAATTGCATTGAGGTAGTTTGGTATCATGTTGGTGGCAGACGGATAGCCCATTGAGGATGAGCTAGGGAGAGGGTCGTTGAATAGCCACGCCGTGAAATCTTCGGGCATGGCGAACGGAGATCGGTTATGCGTCTCTCCCCCAAAGATCGGATAGACGCAGGAGGTCAGGGCGTCAAAGCCGGGGTCTCCCACCGTGGAGCCCGGGGCCATTATCCCAGACACGGAATCCAGTGCGTCAAAGGTACTCACAGTGTCCAGTGACGCTGATGTAGAAGCTGTCGCTGGGGCGAATGAGATATCTGCGTACCCGCCCACAGGAATCGGTGCATACGATGCCGAATGACCCATCGAGGGCCCTTCCATGTAGCTAGGTAGCATTCTCGTCTCATTGACAGAATTACGCGTCCGCGTCTGTTGACCTGCCTCGTCAGAATGTAGAGATATGCTAGCTGATGGATGACTGCGGTGAGGGTGATAATCCGAAGGACTGAATGTGGTGGTTGACTGGCCCGCGGGAGAGCTGGTGGTACGGTTGCTCAGGCTAACAGAGCGAGATATGGAGGGATCCGATAGCTCAACGCCCGGCTGTGGGCGGGGTGGTTGATATTTGTATGCCCGAGAAGAATGACCTGGCTGAGATGATGGGCTTGCAGTAGCCGTGGCCTCAATATTGTTACCGAATGTGACTGTGACAGAATCTATCCGATCTCTGTTTGACACAAGTGCTGATTTGTATGCGGGAGGAGATATTGGGACTCCAGTCGGGGATTCGGTATGATCTTTCTTAGGTATCGGTGGGCTGTTTCGCTCGGTTGACGCAGTTGGTACATTGTTGACTGCAGCCTGCGCAAAACTGTCCCGCTTCTGCAGCTGAGAACCTTGCGTCGTATGTCGTTCGCGATGGCGCAGACACAGGTCTTGTCGAACAAAGGAGCGGTGGCAATCGGGAAAATCGCATCGATAAATTTGTTTTGGCGTATCTAAGTAGGTCACCAGTCAGCTTACGTGTGAGCAAGCGTTGACGGGGATGAAACGAACGATTTAGTTGGTGACGATATAGATGTTCTGCGCGCGAATAATTCTTCCCGCAACCATCGAAGTTGCACTCAAATTTGCGGTCTGTCTGGACTTTTCGAGTCCTCTTTCTCTTTCGTGAGGGGCCTTCCAGCGCCGAATCTGCTGCGTCATTTCTGGTAGCTTCCTCGTGAAGGCCTCTGGACCCCTGTTCCAAGGGAGCTACTGCAGTGACAGCTGAAGTCATCATGCACAAAGTTGCGGCAGTGGAAGGAAACAACCATCGGTGCCTTGTTGGTGGGCGGTGACAATGTCGGGGACGTAGTGCGATTAGTCATGAGCATTGAATGCTAGACTGTATGGAGAATATCTCGAAAGAAAGATGCAATATAGCTGAACGTCCGGACACGATCGTGGACTTGCGCAAACCCCGTGGGGAACGAAATCTCGGCGGGGGAGCGTCGCAGCTTCGGGGAGGTGCCGGGGACAACTTCGAACTTCAAGTGCGAAACCAGGCGCGCGAATATAAGAGCAGAATCGAATCTTGGGCAAGGCTGGTAATATGCGTGAAGCGCGTAATGATGAGCGTATGTGGTACGACAATTGGTGGACTGTTGGGGGAAGGGTTCGATTTGGAGACGGAAGAGGGGAACTTCGATGATGGCCGGGGAGGTTCCGCATGAGTAGAAGAGTCAGCGCATCCTCCAATCGCCACCAAATGTGCGTAGACCCTAAGGTTGACAGCGTTGACTGCTAGATGAGCTCAGCGAGTGACAGTAGGATAGCGAGCAATACAAGGTATAATGGAGATGAGCAAGGAAAGACCCTGAGATTCTCTGGGGAGATCTTTTGTTGTTGCAAAGGTGGGGCAGATCCGATCGGAGGAGGGGGGGGGGGAGCGGGAACGGAATCAACAGAGGATGGATGGATGGATGGATGAAAGGAGTAACTTAGTCGGTCTTGTAGAAAACTGTGTATGAACAATAAAGCAAGTACTAGAGTAAGTGTTAGACCTGGTCATTTCCAATGCATCATTCATCAGATGACCGCTGATATATACTAAGAGCACCTGGACATACTAATGCTATGAATATGTGCATAATCACTAGTTCCTATTCTGTATGAGTTCATAGAAGGTATAGCGAGCATATGGCATGACTATTTTGAGAACCATGATCAGGCCTGGTACCGGTATATGAGCGCCCATATTCAGATTGCTATCTTCAATGTTGCAAGAAGATGCCGCAATTGTAGGGGAAAAGTTCAAAAAGAAAGGTCGTGCCCGGGTTCGAACCGGGGTTATTGGAAACTGTATCATATCAAAATCCAAAGTGATAACCACTACACTACACAACCTGATATTGAAAGGCATTCTGCCTATGGCATATATCATCCAACTTTTGATTCAGACATCCCGAGCAACTTCAAGAATCACGCACTAGGTCATGTCATTATGCCCTGTCGTTGTCTTGCACTATTTTTCACGAGGAAAAATTCCCTGATACACTGAGAGTGTGACATTCGAGCTTCATAATCGAGCAGTAGTCGCCATAAATGGTCCACAAGCTCGATGATGGACATGGTTGTACCCTGAACATCATGACTTTACCTTAGAAAGCGGAGAATGCCCTATACTAAGTGCTCAGAGCTGCGTTTTGCATTATCCAGGTTTTCTTCAGCCATGGCGCATTCCGATAAATAGATTGGGTGATCCATTGTTCTTATAATATATCTAAGTTCCTTACACTATAATATTAATGGCCTCACGTTTTACAGGGTGGGTGTTTAGCCGCGCTGTTCACTTGCTGACCCCTGAGGGGGGTTTGGTCGTGGCGGCGCATCATCCGCCAATGATTTTTTCTAACGACCTCATGCAAGCGTGTATGGGGGATGCTGATGCTTGAGAGAGAGATACATGATGGGCAGTCTTATTGGATTCTCAACGCACAAACGCATTCTGAATCTTCTGGATAGATGCCGTGGGCGCTGAAGGTAATTCGTGTTAAATTCTGCCCCGACTCAAATGCTGAGCGTTGGTGCGAGATGAGGCCACTTTTGATATCCTCAGCGGTGCTGTTTCCTGAATTGCTCAGTCCCAGTTCCCATCATTCAAGGGAATATCTATCCACTAAACCGAAATCGGGTAGCCTCAAGCCGGCCCAGACCGTCTCTGGGAGCCACATTTCGGCGGCGGTACGAATTGGTGAAATCTGTTCCACACGATTAATTCAACCTGCCACCTAAATAGAGGACAGAAACTCACCTTGGAGCAGGACACGGATCTTCCGGGTTTCGCCCGATTGAATCTTGTCAAATAGCCCCTTGAGTAGACGCTCAGCCTCACCCTGCTTCATCGTACCCGCAGGCAGCATTTGCAAAGTGGATTGAAGCCAGGTTCCCGTATCTTCAGGCATCAATTCGAACATTGACATCAAGACGCTGGACGCATCTGGGAAGCATTCTCCGGGGAAGGTGAACATCATGCCGGTAAGAATCCGCTGGACAAGCAGTTGACCTTGAGATGCGATGAGCCGCTTGACCGCCTCACGAACTTCGACAGGTGTCGAGTATGCGTTGCCGTCTGACGTGGTAAATTCAGAAACCGCGGGCTTTTCAAAAGCAAAGCTAAATAGATCATGATAGTAATGCAGGGTAGCAGTGAGAGGGTCGATCTGTTGAAGGGTGAGGGCGCTAAGGGCCGCGGAGAATATGGGGACCGAGAGGGAAGAAGTGATGCATTCCTTGGGATAGAATCGGATCGCATCCGATGATAGGCGGTAGAAATCCTCGATGACTAGGCGTGGAAGAATTAGCTAGGCCGTACCAATCAATGAAGACACCAATATACACATACCATCAGGTAGGTTCTCCGGGGGCAGATCATTGAGAATACGCAAGAACGCGATTGCCTGCTGTTCGTAGAACTGGAAGACGGCCTGGCTTGTGTTCGCGTCCACAAACTCAGCACCTTCCGAGAACTCGCGCACAACGGCATCAGTGGCCCACAAGAAACATCCTTCTCGCGACGCCTCGAAGCCACTGGCGAGGCTTTGAGCCAGAGTCGGCAATAAAGGCGTCATTGCGGTCCGGTATGAAATGATCATATTACGCCAGCAACGGCAAACTCGCTCGAGGATTGGCGTGGATGATGTAAAGTTCAGTGCGATCGTGCTCATGATTGGCAAGATCTCACCACAGTACTTCACAGCGGGGTTCTCTTCACCAGGAGAAACGTATGGATTAACGACCATGACAAAAATGGTAATCAACCCTATGTGATCTATACTGAAGTCAGTACGCCATACCCACCAAGTTCTTTGGGTTCGTCCTACCAGCAACGGCCCTTTGGCTTTCCTCATCTTGAGCGTTGTTCGCTAGATTCATGATGCGAGCCATGATAGGGTCACAGAACAATTTCAGGGTTTCGTAAATCTTCTCCAGAGGCTGGACTGCAACTACTGCTGCCACACCCTCAGTTACCTCCTCTTGACTCGCCGGCTTCAACTTGTCAATGACGGACTCATAGAAGCTATGGAGTTGTGTGATGTGACCTCCAAGCAATTTTTGGCAGTCAGTACCAAGATACTTGAAGGCCAGAGCCGCAGCCTGCACCACCTCGGGAGAACTATGCTGGAATCCCGAGATGACGTAATTTAATTGTGCCTCCAGTGTCTCTGGATGCTGAGCCGTCCACTCCGTATAGCGTGCGAGCGCCATGATGGCCTGAAACCGCACCTTCTCCTGGTTGGGAATTTGCACAATCAGAGGGATGACTTGGGTTAGGACGACACTTTCCTCAGGATCCACCATGCGGCCCATGGCTCTTAAGCTGAACAATGGTGCCTCAAGCTCCTGCCAATGAGGGACGTGCTCATCACTGGACTGCGACGCATACTTGGAAACCCACTGCTGAATCAAATGGTAAGCCTTGGTCAAACATTCAGTGACTCCAATGACAGCGCAGCAGTCCTTGAGGACATCTCCCATGGAATGGCGGAAGTGGCGGAACTTCTCCTCCTGCTCACGATCACCCCCGAACAAATCCGTCTCGCCTTCTTCGAGCCCAGGGTACTCAAGATGCTTGACCATGATGTCCACCAGCTGCGAGAAGACATCGCTCAAATTCACCCGCGCGTCCGCATACCGATCCAGCGTAACGTACTGCTTCAGTTCGTACCAGAAAACGAAGGTAAGGGAGATCGCGTCTCGCTCCCAATCCCGAGCACAACATTCAAGGACTGCCTCGACCAGCCCCCGGAACTCGGACGGTAGGCGTGCAATCAACACTACCCATGCTTCACCAGCTTCTGCAAAAAGTCTCGTGATACCCTTGTAGGCATCAGTATCCTCGGACGCGGCGAACTCGGCGATCTTGGGGCGAAGGGAGATTATGCGTGGGTACAAGGCCTGGATAATGGCAAGCGAGTCGTCGACCTCGCGGGTATCTCGGTACAGTGTGCACATGCTGTCTACTGCAGCCTCAAAGGATATATCGTCATCAAGTCCCTTCAGAATGATGTCCATCAAAGGCGATTCGACAATCTTGGATGCTGGAATCTCGCGCATCCATGAAGTAATACAATCCAGAAGGCGCGGATTGGTGGATGCAGTTGCTGTACGATGATAAGAAAGAATGCTATCAGTAATGTAGAAGTAATAGACGGATGAAAATGAAGAATTGGTACATACGTGACGATTGTGCGTACTGGATCAATAGGTGCATCACCTGTTCAGCATTGTCCTCCAAGAGTTCTTTGGTCCGCATGATAAGATCATCTTCCTGAGAAGGGTCAGTATGTTAGGCTCTATGAACACACTATCGCGAGGTATGGTTGAAGAAAATGTATCGTGGGACGACATACACTCAAATTGATCTTGCGACCTTCCGTTACTTCTTCCGGAAGAATCTTCAGAAATTCCAATACACAGTCTCCAGCGCTACTCCCCAGAGCAGCGCCCACGGTCGGAAGTACGTCCTTCCATGCAAGCATCTGGATCGCAAGACTAGCCAAGCATACGCAAAGCTGTGTCTGGATAGGCCGAGGGCCTGCCGCGAAAGCCACGAGCAGGTTCAAAATAGAGTCTCTGAGCGCAACTATGGATTCGGCCGGCAACTGATCGAGATCGAAGATGATCTTTAGGGGGTCAGCAGGTAGCAATGGCTGGACCCAGGTCGGAGGACCAATTCACCTTTCCTTTCAACGTCGTCGCTGCGAATAACTTGGCCTCGACAGGAATATCCGGAGATTGTAACATTTCATGAGTAATAGTCCAAGCTTCGACCTAAAAGTGAAAGCCCAGCAATGGTCAGCATCAAGGTCATGGGCGGTATCAACTCAAACGATATTGGCGGGATGAGGGGTAGGATAGACCGACCGATTTCTGAAATTTCTCTAGGAACTCATGAGCATGCGTCTTTTCGGCGCGCGACACATTTCCTTGCATGGTGGCGACCGCAGCCAGAACTGGGCCAAAGGCCTGCCCTGTAGCCCCCTCCTTGCTCGTCATGTTTGATCGGCTGGTGGGGAGGATGTTCTGAGGAGGGGAGGGGGAGGAAGTTGGTGTGTTGGAGTTGGGAGAAAGAGGGGTTCAGCCAGGCCGGAAGGCTTAACACTTATGCAGTGCGATCATATACACTCATTAAAATGACAATAAAGGACGAAATTTAAAGATGAGGGATAAGCGCAAAGCCCTCGACTAAAGTAGCGGAGTAATGGGGGATGGGAGGAGAGAAAAGCAGGGGAAGGAGGGGAAGTTTGACTTAGTAGTGGCGGAGGTGGGATGTAGTGAGTAGTGGTCACTGACGATCGACCCAAACGGAAAAGCTGTGTGAGCCTCCCTCCTCCGAGCCCGGCCATCTGGGACCGACGGAGCTCTTTCTTCCTTCAATTCTCTCTCTCCGGATCCCGCACAACCCCATCAACGCGTCACTTATCAACACTACACGTTTCACGATCTCGATATCCCTGCGCTCGCTATTTTGCCATTTCTTAGAACTACTACCCCATTTGCGCACCTCGTTTGCCCACAATGACCGGCCGTGGAGGCGGTGGAGCTGCTCGCAAGACGTTGCTTGCGCCTATTCATTTTATCTTCAAGCTTCTTCAGCAAAGGTCGACGGTGTCTATTTGGCTCTACGAGCAGCTGGCTTTCCGGATAGAAGGAAAGATCCGGGTAATTGATCTAGTGTACCTCGGTGACTATGATGGCTCGACTGACAATCTCGATACAGGGTTTCGATGAGTTCATGAATCTGGTCGTTGACGACGCAGTGGAGGTTCGGATGGCTACCAAGACCGAGGAAGAGAAGCGGAGACCGCTCGGTATGCAAATTCGTTCTTTGACAAACAACTGCATGGATGTTACGAAAAAGTCGCTGACAGTTTCTCCTCTACAACAGGCCAAATCCTCCTCAAGGGCGACAACGTCTCTTTGATTCAGGCTGTCCAGTGATTCTTACGGGGCGTTAAGGAATTGATTGAAGGGAAAGGGACTGTTGGTTTTTTTCGTCGACCTTGTGCCGTTATACGACTTTATTTGCATTTCTCTACCTTTCGCTTTCTTCAAGGATATCGCTGCGAAACAATTATTGCACCTCTAGCAAAATGAACGAACCCATGGATTGATATGACTCGCTATCTTGGTGAAGGATCAGTGTTGGCGCACTAAAGTCCGGTCATCCCCGACGATGAGCACGTCTACAGGCCAGTCATGTTCCGCTACCGGTATCTCTTCGGTTGGAGGAAGCATTTGCTCCTTGAGAGACAGGGCAACTGCGCAAGACTTAGTAACAGGATGTTTTCTGGTTGACTGCGTTGGTGTCAGAGTGGTCAGTCTTACCGAGGTAGGGCAACTTTGGCCTCGTCGGTTCGCTTGCGGCGCTCTCTCTCGAGTACCTTGTCAGAAAATGGTCATAATAACCTTTACCATGCCCTAATCTCCTGAATCCCTCGTCAAAGGCCATGCCCGGCATCACAATTAAATCTAGTCCGTAAGGCCCTTTCGTAGCATCTTCTGGCTGAGGCGAGACTCCTTTGCCTCCAAAACAGTTCTCTCTACTAAGTGCCTGTGCCTCGGAGAGCGATGGAATCCCCCAATTGTCTGGCTTGAGAGCCTCAAATTCCTCCATAGACTCCAGCAACAGCATGTCCATGACTGAGGTTCTCGACTGTTCTGATAGCTCCAATTTGTGTATGTATGGCACAAAGACCTCTTTTCCGTTTGCCAGAGCATCTCGAACAATGGTAGTGGTCGACAATTCTCCCACCGGCATGGAGAGATAGACCCCTATCCTCCTTGCATCCTGGTATTCCTGGAGCGCAAACAACCTGTTGCTAGCGGCTTTGGCTGGTAGAGGTCAGCGTCTGTATGAACCGGGATGTAGACTGATGATGTTGAGCTGACATTGATTTGTTATGGAGTCTGCGGGGATCTTGTGCAGCGCATCCCGCATTCTTCGCCGAAGGTCCTTCTTCGCTACCTGTAGACCGGCCATCATCATCCTTGTGATCGAGTGTCGGGAATAAGATGGAGAGGGCAAGATGGTGAGGGTGTATCACCTGTGAATCGTTATTGAAATATGATAAATATAGGAAGTTTAGTTTTGCTGCCCTATCCTGTGCCCGTGAGATCGCAATGACCGGAACGGCGTGGCTTGGCATGTTCTGATGATGTGCATGGCTGTTTCGATCGGCAGGGCCCTGGTTGTTGCACATACCTGAGGTCCTGACTGTACTCCACCCCCCGTTCAAGGGTCGCCTGCGCCCTTGGACGGGCTGGCAGGTAGGCAGACATCCTTTCTACTATCGAACGCCCTTTCTCTTTCTTTCATCGTTTCTTCTGGCCAACCGAGCGATGATGGCGGGCTACTTTCTTTTCAGCCTCCTTCTCACGGCTGCCAGTGCGGCCAGTGTCTCTGATCTAGTAGGGACCTGGACGACAAAGTCGCGTAAAGTTGTGACAGGTCCAGTATGCTCTGCTTTCTCGTTCATCTCAATGCATTGTTAACTTGGGGACCTACATCGATGCATCAGATCGCTGAATTGGCTAATAGATAACTTCTTTCCCTAGGGTTTTTATGATCCAATCAACGATAGATTTCTAGAGCCGAACTTGACCGGCATCTCATACTCTTTCACGGCGAATGGTCACTATGAAGAGGCTTACTACCGCGCCATTGCCAATCGTTAGTGCATATCTAGTCTCTACTATGCATGAAACGCGATCTGACGTGTAAACACAACTCAACAGCCCAGGATCCAGCTTGTCCCAAAGGCTTGATGCAATGGCAACACGGCACCTACACCGCGCAGAGTGACGGATCCCTGGTATTGACCCCATTTGCGGTCGATGGACGCCAGCTGGTATCGGACCCATGTGCTACCCCTCTGACATCGTACACGAGGTATAATCAGACGGAGGAATTCAAGGTATGTTGATTTGGTCACTACGTCCAAGCCAGATTAGCTGAAAGCCGCAGTCCTTCACTGTCTCGGTGGATCCATATCATGACATCCCACGCCTAGACCTGTACGCGCATGACGGAACGCCTATGCATCCCATGTATCTTGTGTACAGGCCACCGCAGATACTACCCACGGAGGTTTTGAATCCCATAACCACCAAAGTTGAGAAGCAAAAGCGACACTTGAGTGGTGATGGCAAGTCAACCTTCAACTGGGAGGGCCTTTTGCCGCGGGAGAAGGTCATTGATCCCGATCGCTTGTTGTGGCTTGGCATTATTATGACTGCCATCGGTGGAATCACCGTGTTCTGCACGTAGAGTGAGATGATATTGAAATGATTGTTCCGCGGTAGGATCCAATGGCTGAATCATGAGGACGGTATTTGGAGTTTCGGAATACCAGGTGATAATATGGAGGTCGAGTCGGATTTGTAGTTGGCTATTTTTGCGACAATCATTCGGAATGGCGCTGAGGGACTTCTTCTTGGAATATTACAGCCACCGCGCGTATGTTTGCAGATTTTCAATGTGAAAACCAAATGACATGCCGATCACTATGCACTAGATCTTGTCCATGCCTGAAACACCAGAGCCTTGACTTCCCACTACATACTCGTCCTATCCATTGTTTAGATGTATGTCGTCACACTGGAAATTCACGGGTCCGGTCAGGGGCTTTTGACATGGACGAAATACTGTCCCAGAGCCTCATTTTGTCATAGTACAAGTAACTAATAATTATACATGCCAGCATTAAGCATCTTAAGCCGAAGCAATGGCCTCTTTTGTGATTCTGGCAACCTCGGCTCTCTCAGCTGGCTTACCATCCAGCGCACCACCGGAAGCAAAGAGAGACTTAAGCACAAAGCCAACTTCGACCTTCTTGCCGGCCTCTTTCAAGTTGGAGACCTCCTGAGAGACAATCTGCTTGATTTCATCTGCACTCATGGTTTCCACCTGAGCACCGTATTCCTCCAAGACCGTTACTTGCTTCTCTTCAAGATCCTGGAGCTCAGGGCGATTCTCAACCTTGAACTCTTCGATAGCTTCCTTGGAGGCGGCAATGCGTTTTCGAATAAGAGACAAGAGCTGAATATCGGTCTGAATGGGAGAGGACGTCTTGGCGGCGTTGTTGGTTTCAGAGATCAAAGCCCGGACGACGTTCAGTCTGAGGGGCGCGCAGTCAGTAAGCGTCTTTTCTCTCAGCGTCTTCTCTCTCAGCGTCTTCTCTCTCAGCGTCTTCTCTCTCGAAGCTTGTATCATCCTGCAGATCGCATGGGCCATACCTAGGGGTATCCTTGGCTCTCATAGCCGTCTTGAGGTCGGTTCTCAGCTTGGTGATCAATGGCGGCAGGACCGGGCTGTCGGTCGAGCTCCAGCGCACCAGGCGCAAACCCAGACGGGAAGAACTTGATCGTAAAACTGTCAACATGATCGGGGTCAAGAAAATATATAAAAAAAGCAGAACAATGATATGCGAATTTATTTTTTGGTTCTAAGAAAGTGGAACTAATGACGCTGGCGGACCCATATAAACTAGAAGCATTATGATATTTCCAAGGCGGAAGAGAAGCTCTCCGTCCGCCCTCCGCCTGGGGCCCGTGCACATTTTTGTTTCTCATCCTGCTCGATTCACGGCTTCATGCCCGGCTAAACACACCATCCCTCGTTGCGGAACACCACTTCCTGAGCCCACAATTGGTGCTCCATATTATTTTATCTCGATCTTTATCTACATCTCCTCCTCTCCGCCTGTCTAGCTATACTGGATCGAGACCTTCACCGTCACGTCATTGCGCTGCCACCCCCGAATCTTCAACCACCTCTCCGGGGAGAGCGCGATCCATTGCCCAAACCACCGTATACGGTTACCGTCTATTGCCGGCATCATGTCATATCCAACTCTACCAGCCCTTACCCCTCAGAGGCCACTCCCTGGCGCATACTTTCAAACACCGGCACCCAACACTGGCGCGACGGCGCCGGCATTGACCTCCCAACAAGCCGCCGCACACGACCCACCGTCTCCCATCCAGCTTCCTAATTTCACTGCAGTCCAAACAAAGCCCAAGCAGAGCTTGCTGAACACGGAGCAGCGCGCTGCGCGAACTATCAATGACACTCTCGCCCAGGAGTCTCGCTACCCGGACTTGGACAACTCTCTGTCCCGTAAGTTGACCTCTGTGATCGCAAAGCTGGCACAGCCGCGGCTGACCCTCCTTTGTAGAAGGCTTCTCATCCGACTATGATCTTCCTACATCGTCACCATGGGCTCCATTCCAGAAGGTGAAAATGTACAATATCCCTGATCAGATTTTTGATCAATACAATCGAGCGCAAGTGTCGACGAATATGGGGCTTTTCGCCGAGCTGAATCACGCCTGGGTTGCAATTGACAATGCTCTCTATATTTGGGATTACACTCACCCTAACCCGCAGCTGGTTGGTTTCGAAGATCAACCAAACAGCATCATCACTGTCAAGCTAGCGAAGCCTCGTCCGAAAGTGTTCTTGCCCACTATCACCCATCTGCTGGTCATAAGCACCACGGCTGACATCATCTTGCTGGGCATGGGCTGCGAGACCACCCCTGGGGGCGCACGTCAAGTAACTCTGTACCAAACCGGAATGTCGGCCTCGGTTCGAGGGTTAGAGATCGATCAACTGGCCTCATCAGATTCCACCGGTCGCATTTTCTTCGGCGGTATCTCCGACAATGATGTCTACGAGCTCGTCTACCAGCAAGAGGAGAAGTGGTTCAAGGGCCGCTGCTCGGCGGTCAACCGTGTCAGGTACCGCATTGTGGCTGCCTTGACTCCCTCCGTGAGCTTCACACAACAGTCGTCCGAACATGTCGCGCAAATGGAAATAGACGATACGAGGAAGCTGCTCTATACTCTCTCGTCGCTGTCCACAATTAGGGTTTTCCATATGAAGCCTGACGGTAGTCTTGCTCTCGCCATTACAAAGAAAGCGCAAGATATTTACGCCAACATTGGGCATATCATCGCGTCAAACGAAACCCTTAACAGTAAAGTTCCCATTGTTTCTATCAGTCCTATCCTGGCAGCCGAAGCGTCCCGATATCATCTGATGGCTACTACTGCGACAGGCTACCGTATCTACCTCAGCGCTACTGGATCCTACAGTTGGGCTTCAGCGCCAGATGGAGCAAGCGCTCCCACAAGCATGCAAGCCCACCATGTTAAAACACCTCCATTGGACACCGCTCCTTCAAGTCAACTGGCAGCTTCGCAAGGGCTTCAAGGCCAGGCACGCTATCACCCCACAATAGCAGCCAGAGTTCCTGTTCATACTTTACAGCCCACCCGGTTCGCGGTACGCTACCCCCCAGGCCACTTCTTCTGCTTTACCTCCAAGGATTCTGCCACATCAGACTCTCTCTTCATTTCGGCCCCCGATTCTGGACGGGTGGCTCGCTCTCAAGAAACTGTTAGTTCCAAGGCTGGCGAGACGGCAGTCTGGCTATCTTTAGGCAGCAGAGCGGAAGATGTTGGAGTCTGTTCCCCACCCACAGAGGCCGCCATGGCTTTTGGTGGGTTTGGTAATGAATTGGCTGTCCAGTTCGATGAACCCGTGGCCGAGATTGCCATCCTTACCAACAATGGCATTCACATCATTCGCAGGCGGCGTCTCGTTGATATTTTCGCGGCCTTGTTGAGAAATGGTGGCGATGGCGACGACGGGTTGGATGGTATGGCCAACAATTTCGTCCGTATATACGGCCGGAGCGAAATGGTCGCCACAGCCCTGGCGGTTGCTTGTGGCCAAGGAGTTGAGGTGTCGAGTGACTCTAGACTCACACAAATAAATGATCCGCATGTCTTGGAGGCTGCACGCAAGGTCATAATTGATTACGGAGGCAAGCCTGTAATGAACGAAAACGCTGTGGCCGACAATTCCACACCCGCCATTGATACCGTCCTCACTTCACCACGTCATGCAGGTTTTGCGCTATACATTTCGAGATTATTGCGTTCTATCTGGAAGAAAGAGATCGCGAAAATTGGACAGTCAGAGACGCCGCCCATTGGCACGGAAACTATAGTTTCATCGGTGCCCTCGGCCAAATTGCAAGCTATTCAACGAGATTTATCTGCTCTGCAAGAGTTCTTCAAGACAAACAAGAACTTTATTACAGGCCTGAGCGGACCCGAGGCTCTGACGCGGGTTTCCACAAAACAAGAAGAGACTGCTCTTCAAGGGGAACATCGCGCATTGCATTCACTTGTTCAACTTGTTTCTCACACCATTGAAGGCATTTCCTTTGTTTCTGTTCTTTTCGATGAACGCGTGGACGAGATTGTGGCCGCCCTGCCCGCGGAGTCGAAGGAGCGCTTCATGAAACTCACGTATGAGCAGCTATTCAGTACCGCTAAGGGTCATGAGATTGCCAAGGAGCTGGTGAAGGGCATTGTGAACCGGAACATTGCCAAGGGCTCCAACGTTGAAACGGTAGCCGATGCTTTGCGGCGGAGGTGCGGCAGCTTCTGTAGTGCCGAGGATGTCGTGATATTCAAGGCTCAAGAGTTGTTGAAACGAGCCACCGAAGTGGGCTCCAACTCGGAGCTTGGCCGCAATTTGCTCAACGAGAGTCTTCATTTGTTCCAGGACGTATCTGAGAATCTGCCGATGGACTACCTGGTCTCTGCGGTTGAAGGCTACATCAAGAACGAGTTCTTCGCAGGTAGGACCTGTGAAATTGTTTTCGAGCATCAGATATGTTGCTAACAACTAATTTAGGTGCGATTCAACTCGCCTTGAATGTAGCCGCTCGCTCAGACAAGGCCAACTTGGCCCTCGCATGGATTGTTGATGGTCGTCCTGCTGATGTAAGCCATCCTCTGACCTGTACTACTTCTCTAAGGCTAACCACTCCTCAAGGATACTCGTATCGAGTACTTCCAATATCGGAAGCAATGCTATGATCTCATATTCAAGGTTATCATCGCGGTCGATAAGCACACGGCAAAGGATATCGGTGTTGTCGACGGACAATTGACAGTCATGGCTAAGCGCAGGAACGAGGCATACGGTGTGGTTTCCGAATCCAGAGATGAGGTGTTTTTGACCACTCTATATGATTGGTACCTTGAACAAGGTTGGAGTGAGCGATTGCTCCAGACCGACTCCCCTTTCGTGATCACCTACCTTGAGCGCAGGGCCGACGAGGACATCGAACATGCCGATCTTCTCTGGCGTTACTTTGCTCAGTCCCAACGATTCTTTGAAGCAGCTAAAGTTCAACTCCAACTTGCGCAGAGTAGCTTTAACCTTCCTCTAAGCCGCAGAATTGAGTATCTGGGCTGGGCTCGGGCCAACGCCTCGATATTCACCCCGGATGTCAGCCGACAGGCTCGTCAGAGGCTGGTTCAGGAAACTTCTAATCTGATTGATGTTGCCAACATCCAGGACGATGTTTTGCAACGCCTGAAAGACGATCCTCGGCTTGCGCCGGAACCCAGAGCCGAGATCTTGAAGGAAGTCGACGGGTCCATCAAGGATATCAGCTTTGTATGTTTTCATTCTCCATAAATTCTCCTTTTTACCCGTCACGAAGCTCTCTAATGCCGCTTATTAGCTCTTCAATACAATCGCCGACCCTGGCAGCTACTACGACATTTGTCTCCAGATCTTCTTCCACGCCGACCACCGCAACGCGGCTGACATCAAGTCCACCTGGCAACATCTTCTACAAGACCTCCACAACCAAGTTTTGGAGCGGGGCGAACCTCAACCATACGAAGCGGTGATCGACAAGATTCGCAATCTTGGCGGCCGACTCCGCATGTCGGACTCCATCATGCCCATTCCAGTCATCCTGCCCATGCTCGAGCGCTACGCTTTGGAGCACCAGCGTGACGTGGGCCCCCCGACGTGGATAATTGACCTTCTTCTCGATCTGAACGTCACGCATGAGACCATGTTCACTGTCCTCGAGGGCATGTACTATACAGACGAAGCGCCTTTCCAGGGCAACAATCGGCGATACATCGCCAAGGACCTCCTCTACCTCATTCAGCACTGGTACCACGAGACCGTCCGCCCTGGTGGCCGAGTCTTTGGAAGTGACACCGCCGCTAACCGCGTCCTTGAGACTCTCCTTCTGATCCAACAGGGCGGCGGCATTCCACCCGATCAGTTGCGCGTTGCCAACGAGCTCCGGACTAAGGTCCAGGATATATTGCGGTAATATAGTGTGTGAATGTGTGTTTGTAATCGGATTATAGGATTTGATGATTAGGTAGCACGGTTCAAATTTCACCTTCCTTACATTCTTTTTTTTTGCATGTTTCATGTCCCCAACAACAGGAAGGCAGCGAGCGATAGAAAAGGGGTAATGGAGTTTCCTTATTTTTGTTTTCCCTTTCTTTCAGTTTTCTGATCTTACAACTTTGTACCAACTGCTGAATCAGATGAGAGGGATTTCAAGTGCAGTGGAGTATTCTTCCGATGAGTTCATCCTCACATATGGTTACCTAGTTATAGATAAGGTGGGTGCAGATGAGGGCTGGTCGTCTCGTTATTTGGCTCGCGCGACCCAAAATGGCTTAGTAAGTACTCAAAAAATCATGTGACCGGTACACCTACCCGTGGCTACAGGTCGCGTGATCCTTATCCTCCACACATGTGTACACATAATTAGAAAGAGCCTTGAGTATCAAGAACAAGTCGCATAATCTCTCTCATTACTGTATCTTCCCGCTGAATTATATTTTCCTTATGCCTTTCGGAAGAGGCGGCTGTATAGCAGCAGCAAGGACTCTACTGGAGGGATATTGATACGACGCACACCCCTGGAAGGAGATCAACGGCTGACACTGTACTGTACTGGCCAAAAAAGCCGAGAGTAAACCTTTCTTGCTCCTCTTGTTGACCTCTGCTTTTCCCCCATTCCACTAGTTCTCGTGTGCTTTCCCTCCATCTTTTGTCTTCGTGTCAAGAATCCTGGACCATTTTCGGCTTCGCTCCCTCTTTCGAGCCGTCATCCTAAACCTCTTTTGGAGGAGACAGAGGAAGGCAAGGAGAAGGGAAGGAGTCAAGACATGAATATATGATATCCTTGACGAGCAGCGAGCGAAAAGGGACACGGACCTTTCTCTCTGACTGAATCTGGCAAGCCAGCCATTTACTGGCGGTCTGATCTCCATAAACATAAGGTAGATTGAGTAAGGGGGTGCGAGTTGATGGGAGGCGGCTGTAGGATAGCAAGTCGGTTGATGCGACTGCAGACACAAATCCAGCACCCCGGCTTTAGCAGTTCCTTCAATACTCATGTACCATGCCGGAGATACCGAGAATAAAAATTGGTCACGTAGGGCGGAGGTATGTCTAGCATCGTGTGGTCCGCGGGCGGCAAATTTGCAGCCCAGTGGCAGCAGTTGTGTGCCAATCACCTTGGTAGTTTCCTATGCTTCAAATTACAATTGTATGTCTCAACAAACAATGCATAGAATAAGGGAGAGTTCCCTCGGAGCGTCAAAAATTAAGAGTTCACAATTATGTATTTGAATCAGGTAGTTACTATCCCATACACCTCACACCCCAGATGGAGCTAGTCAAAGCTGGCGAGAGGACGATGCATCAGTACGATGAGTCTCTTCTCCCCTCGGAAATACATCCAGGTGGAGGATCACATCAAGCATAAAACCAAGTGAAGTGATTAGTTAGTGGGCTTGGCCCAAGTCTCTAGACAACGAAATCCTGCAGGTCAAAAATAACGCGAACTTTTCGAGATCTCCCCCGCACATTCCGCCGGTCTAGGTATGTAAAAATCCAATGATCAATCGGTCTATTCAAAGTCGCATGGGGAACACACAACGACGACAACAATAACAGCACAAAGACTGAGGTATCAATTTCGAACGGTCAAAACGAAAGATCAAGTCAAATATTAGAAAAGATAAAAGAAGAAAGGATCACGTAAGAAGAAACTCCTGGAGATTGAACCCAGGAACGAGGGTATATTATAAAGAATTGTTCGTCAGCACAGCGGCAGGGAAGTCGATGATCCCAGACTCTGATATGGCCAGTCGCTTCGAACATCCGTTCTAGTTGTGCAATGTAGAGAAGGAAGCATTTGCGGCAAGAGGCGCATCGGAGGTTTGGAACGAAATCCTACTCGAACTGGTCGTAAACCGGAATGGGCTTTTCGCCCAAGGCACACATGCGGAAGATGTGGCGAAGCTTCGCACCGTTATCGTCGTCTAGGTAGTCAACAATAGCCGAATCTGCGAGGAGAAAGATTAGCAAGGATGACTCAGTCTCTGCCTGGAGAGAACGTACGTGTGGTGCTGCGGTTGTCGAAGATTACAATTGTCCGGGGTTGCCATCGGACTCGGGCCTGGAAGTCGTGCCCGGTGATGATGTGTTGCATGAGGAAGTCGATCAGCCACTTCTGCTCAGGCTCCTTCAGACCTTGAATCTTCGTGATGAACTCTCCGTTGACGAACAGGCACTTTTCGCCTGTTACCGGATGCACGCGCACAAGGGGGTGCACGGTGTCGACAGCGTCCTTGCGCACCAAGCTGCCAGTCATGCGAGCGTGACCGATCATTTTGGCAGAGGAGTGAGTCGCCCGCAATGTGTCCAGCCACGAGGTGAGGGTGGGAGAAAGGCGCCTGCCATATTACCTGGTCAGCCTCTGCATGATGTGTGTTCTGGTCGATTGGTGCTAGAGTATGCTTACTTGTACGCCATATCCGTTGCGGAGAAGACCGTATCGCCGCCCACCTCAGGACCTTCCAACAATCCTAGCATGACATAGCCAGGTGGTTGAATCTCATAGCTGACATCTTGGTGCCAAAGCGTGGTGGTGGTCCTCTGCTCCAAGAAGCGTGAAATCTCCTCCCGGTTTCCATCCCGATGAATGATGTGGAATCCAGGGTGACCGCGCACGGAGCCAGAGACCGGCTGGTAGTTAGGCTTGCCGAAGTGGCGCATGAATGCCTCTTGTTCCTCCGGACCGGCATCTATCAAATCCTGATTCGGGAACGCCACCACCTTGCGCTCTGCAACGAGCAGTGCCAATTCGTCCTTTGCTGCATCCGACAGCTGGTTCAGTTGAACTCCCTCCACGATGCTTCCGATGCGGGGTTGAATCTCAGTGACTTTGGTGTCGGGGGTCAGAAGGTTGGGCTTGCTCTTGTCCTTCACGCGTAGGGCGGGATCCTGGTACTCAAAGGGAGGAAGCGGATCAAACCACACTTTGTCCCATGTGGGGAGGTACTCGGGATATCTTGTGCGGGAATGCACTTCTTTCGTGACGTCCACGTAAGGAATGTTGATATCGTAGCTGATCGGGTCCTCTTCCTCATGGGCATTGACGGCCTGCGCCTTTTTAGGCCGGAGAATGGGGGCTGTGGACGGCATTGTTCTTGTCTTGGTGACTTCGTCCCAGACTTGGTCTTAGCGGATGGAGGGAGGATGCTTATAAAAGGGTTGAAGCTGGAAAAGTTCGTCAAGGTTATTGGTGTTGTTTGCAGTGACGAAGGGGAAAAGTTCGAGATGATACTAATAGGAGATGAGTCTTTATTGATTTGGACCCTGAACTGTGGAAGGGAAGAAATAAAGAATAGGTTGATCGATTGAAGGTGGATGAGGAGCAATATATAGATGTCAATCGAGAGCTCTACTTCACCGTCTCGTCATCATCGCAACAAAGCACTGCGCAACCTATAAACACAAGCAAGTAAATGATATGATCACGGTGGCGCTAAATTTCAGTGCATCTGCCGGGAATCGCTTGGCTATTGCCCAGAAAGGTAGACTGAATGCTATGCTATCCCTTCCATCGTCGCCGGAGCGGAAAGTCTGCGCTGGGGGAGACACACCAGATTGTCTCCCCGGCGGACAAGGAAAATAGAACCATCCTCTAAGAAGACATGACGACAGGGGTACAGAATTCAATGCTAAACGGGTCTCTACAGGTAATAACGGCAGCTGATTGTAGACTAGGGGGGGGGGGGGGGTTGAAGGGGGAAAGGGAGGGAGGAGGGGGCGGCGGCACGAATGCGAGCCAGTCAGAGAAAAGGATAAGAACGAATAATACCAAAAAAGGAGAGAGAAGATGGAGTCGGACTCATACAGATTCCAATACGGCTGATGATCAGACAGATAGATAATAGTAGACAGGTCGAGGAAAGTCGGAACAAGGGAGGGAGGGAGAGAGGGAGGAAGTGGCAGCCAGCCCGCTCGCTCTCTCGGAAGCGCGCCCGAGAATACAGTACACTGTACAGTAACTTAGAGGCAAGCAACCCACCCAGCGGAAAGGCTAGTTTGAAGCTCCCTGGTAAGGAGAAGCGGTCAAGGGCCCAATCGAGGAAAAGAAAGTGGACTTCAGATTTCCCTCCCAGCAACCGTGGACCTCCCCACTAAGTTCCCCAGCAAGCATCCGTCCTGTCCGTATCGGACGGCCACTGGAAGGGTTACCACTGGAGATTATCTCGGACATTGATTGAGGGATCGACCGTTCTAGGGTGTCTTTTGAGCGTCTTCCAGAATAGTAAGTTGTTGACCTGTTTTCTTGGCCGAATCCGAGAGACTGGCTCCCATTATCCATAGATGGTTAGGAGTAACAACTCACTCTGACTACTAAGTTGTTACCCTCACTTTTCTTTCAATTGCACTTTCAATTGACACATATCGTTTCACCGCTCCCTTCCTTCTCCTTCCCCGACCAGTTCAGGATGATCGATAACAAGAAACCCGGGATTTTTTTTTTTTCTTTCTTTTCTTTTTTCTTTTCGTTTCCCTTTCTTTTTTTTTCTCTTCCTTCTTTCATATAATTCGTACAAGAACAACGAAGTGGAACCCTGCAGCAAGCACGTTGGGCCAATATCGCTGACTTTGGTGGTTTCTGCTGGCACCAAAGCCCGCGGAACCGATCCTGTGCAGTAGGTGGAAGCGCGATGCGCCGTCGCTGCAGCTTTTGGTAGCTCTGGCTATCGTGCTTTTCTTGGTCCTTGCATCACTGGGCAGCAGCCTGGTAATCTTCCGGCTTCCAGGCCTGCGGATGCTTTGTCCTACGAGACTCTGAGGACGTACTTGCGCCCGGAAAGTCATTCAAATGTCCTTCCTCCTGGAATTCTGCAGCGTCAAGGCTATCTCGTTGGTTAGTGGATGGATGGAATGATCTGTCTGAGCCTTAGGCCACGGACATGATAGCCCGTACAACGTTGAGCCTGACTTGCGTGCTTGCATTTGGAAAATCCCTGTCGTGTGGCACTACTTGTTCTCGAGTTTTCTCACGCAGTGACGACAAGCCGCGACTTCATTACACTGAGTCCAAGTTCGAGCCCTTGGTCTTAGGAGGGATATATCCCAATCTGAACAGAAACTATAACCGGTATATCGTTTATACCATCGTCGCCGAATCCAAATTCAATGTCATTTACTCCGTACGTAGTTTGAGTGAGACCATTCGAGACATTCCCACCTGCAGAAGCCATCCAGGCGCGGTTGCGAAGGCGTGGTGGTACAGGGATTCCTGATCATCGCCAATTTCCATGCTTGCATACTCAACATACCGGTACTCGTCGCGGAATTAAGGGTACCAACCGAACAAATTAGACCGAGGCTCAACAGTGGGCCAGGCCGATCCGCTCTTGCAAGCCCCCCTGTGACGTTCGTTTCCATTCGGGAATGCGGTTGAATGTCCGGGGTTCCATCAAGGTTGTCTCCACCCAGCCACGTTAATGTGTCTATTCGTCGGCAGAGACGGATCGCCCAAAGTCGCTCTCTAGAACATTTCCCAGATAGTGTCGAAGGCCCACAGAAGCCTCGAAGGAAGGGCGGAGGAGCATTTGACCCGAAAATGTGCGATCATGAACACCAAGTCCAGCCGACGCGGTTTGAACTGCATACAATTTCCCCACTTCGGTGACCCTCCTATCCAGAAAATCCAGAACCGAGGGCGTCGAATTGCCATCGAGCAGCCATCGGAAACAGCTGTGCATGCGGGCATGTTGTCCTAACTAATTCTCTGTCAAATGTTACTTGCTTTGGGATCCTTTACTCCCTGCATCGGTTAGCTCAATCTCGAGACATGGCCGAAGTCGGTTTCCGGGCACATGACCTGTGGCAGCCCGCTCTAGATCGCGTCACAGTTTGCTTTTCACGATCTTCTTACGCAATGGACAGCAACATTGGCCGATGCTCCGAGAGAATCCCGAAGGAATTTCCCAAATCGGACGTCAGGGAGATGTTCAACACTAGATGTTGACTGCTTGCAACAACAACTAGTACGGGGTGCTGTGCTTCAAATCTTGATTCAGTTGCTGAATCACCATGTGAACCACTGGCCACTATACTCCGGAGTACATTCATCTTACTAGCTTTCCGTGTGGGATACAAGGGATCCATGACCAGCAGCGGTACCGTTCCGGGAACCGGGACTAGCAGGCCAATAACCCGCACGGAGCACTGAAACTGCAACAATGAATGGACTGACGGCTAGTGGCACAAAGTGTGGCGCTATGCGTCAACCTTCCCGTCTTTCACTACCATTGAGTTCTCAGAGTACAGAATAATCTAACCCTTGTCTCATGATCGGGAAGCGTGGCTTAATCGAACACCGATGTCAAGGTTGACTTCCTGGATCCGCGTCAATGGGGGCTGCAGGAATTGTATGGAGTACACATATTTCATCCGTTAATTGACCTAGAGAGATCCACCTTCTGTGGCGGATGTCCACTGTCTATCCTTGCAGTACCTTTGTCGCCTCACAGTACGAAGTGAGGCCGCTTTCCGGTCCAAGAAGAGATCGGAAGAAAGACGATCGCCTCGGTGGGGGGGGGAAGTTGCCACTAATCGAAAGTTCCATTGGAACTTTTGCATCATCGAGCTTTACCGGGGAGAAGGAGGTGAGCGTAAAGGACGAGGGTCAAGGGGGCGTCACAAGTTGCGGTGAGGGCGCACACACATCACACGTCCAGTTTCGGGCCGCTCAAGAATGAGAGATCACTTTCGAGATAGGTAGTCGGCGGGTTTATCCCCTGATAATGGGATCAACCCATCGTGGACAGAGCCTGAGGTGTCTCATAAGGCGATAAGATTGTTAGACAGAATAAGATCTGCTGCAAGGTCGATTATGGGGCGAAATCGAACTAGTCCATCGCATCGCCTGTTCTCAAATTGTTGGGTCAGGGTACTTTAGACCATTTGCTGGAATGCATACTAAAGTAAAACCCAATCAGAGCCCGGGGGTCCAGGCAGACAGCTTAACTGACAGGCGCTCGTAGATTCGACAAGGCTAAGCTTAAGCTATGTTTAGGACTTACTTCGTAATGCAAAGGGGGGGATTTCATGGTGCGTGCAGAGGGAGGGGGAAAAAGCAAACATCCTTTGTGATCGTGCGTGCCTGTCGACTGTCTGTCAGTCTCTTCCCAGTCGATCGGGTCAGGCGAACGGCGGGGAGAAGGGAACTAGGGGATAATTCTGTTTCTTTTCTGATCTCCTTTCCTTTTTTGACTCCTCGATTTCCCGAAAATAGTACGAAGATGGTGCTTATGCTGTGGGGACTTTTGGACAAATATTGTCGAGGATTCAAAGAGTCGAGTCATGTGAGATGTGTTATTTTGGTTTGTTTGCTTTTCCCCTTTTGGCAGCTGTACTGGATATCATGGATCCATTGAGCCCAGCGGATCGATCACCTGATTACCGTGTAGCCACACATCAACTTTTCCCAAAGCAAAACTTGTCAGTGTCTCTACCTAGTTATGATGTACTCCGTAGATGAGAGACTGTTTGCTTCTCATCTTGGATTGTCTTCAGTATTGATTCCCTCCACTTTCCTCATTCTCTCGAGCAATTGCGCAGAACCTTGAAAACTATTCGCAAACTAAACCATGGCTATTGCCACTGCTCCCGTATCCTTGTGGAGCCGAAAACGCGACCTCGTCTACTTCGCATTCTTCGCCATCCATGTCCCTATCATCTTTTGTAAGTCAATTAATTAGTCGGTCGGTCGGGAATTGTCCCCTAAACTGCCGAGACAACCCTTTTGCTCCTCTGCCCTTGTCCAATGCAGGAAGACTGTTATTCTGTACAACTCTACCTCCCGAAGTAACTAGAACCGGAGAGAGTGAGAGGGCGAAAACAACACTGACTTGGAATTTGGAATAATCACACATACTTACGCAAAACACAATCAGTGGTCGATGCCGCACCTATCCTGCCGGCTTTTCTTCAGTCAGATCTTAGCGTGACTCTTCGCGAATTCTACATTGATACCTATCATGACAAATTCTTCGAGGAAACGCCAACGGCCTGGTTCACCTTCTTCCTGTTGATGGAACTATTCTACCATGTTCCGCTTAGTATCTGGGCTCTGCGCGGCCTGAAAAAAGGTATGTGTACCATGCAGTTGGATGTACGAGTATTGTTCATGGGTGCAGTGGGTGGATCTTTTTTTGTCTTCTTGGGGGGAGTCCATGATCGACCCTTTTTTTCTTTCCCCGCTTACCTCCCCCCTCCCCATTCACCCCCCCGAACGTCCCCTTACATCACAGCCCTGTCTCCATCCGTTTTTTCTTCCACTGTGTGCTTATTCCGATGACAGACAACCCTCTTGTCCCTGTTAATCTGCTTGTTTTCGGCGTGCAATCTTTTCTTACCTCTGCTATCTGCCTGGTGGAGGTTTGGAGCTGGACGGACCGGTCGGTCGTCCAGAAGCAGAATATCACCATGCTCTATGGTCCTTATGTCGCTCTTGGTAAGGATATCCTGAAATCCAAACAGGATTCTTTCTCTCGTTGTGGACCTTGGACAGAGGAGTCAGGCTGACTCATGATTCTAATTTTAGGCGCATTCATGGCAGTTGACATGTTTTGTAGACTTCGCGAGCGACTTGGGCTCAAATCCAAGTTGGAGTAGCGTCTTGTTACGCAGCCTATAGGTTTTTAACTTACTTAGTTAAATTCGTGACGATCCAAGCTGCCAGCTGAGATAGCCACCTTGGTGATCCGCTGGCTAGGCATTGAGGGAGAAAAACTCTCACATACGACATAGGCACACGAATCGCTATAGTGCATTTGGTATAGGCACGCAATGGTACCGACTTGCCTTATCATAGCTCCGGGCTATTTTGTTGTGGCATATATGCTCGCTGCTGCACAGGTTCCGGCTGCTTCCCGGGAAACAGCAGAACCCGCCACACTGACTCTAAAGTGGGAAAAAAAATTGCATGATAAGGATGAGAAATAGAGCGCCTGCAGGGTAATTTGCAGGATAGTTTGGCCAAGAAAGAAAATGTTGCAACCGCGAGACGGCACTCCTCTAAAGAAAGCAAATGGTGACTGGTATCTAGTCCGCCCCGTAAATGCCTCCATCGCAACAAAATCCCAAGGTCACAGGGCCAAAATGCGAGTAACATCAGGAGACCACTTGTTACCTTGACAGGGAAAAAATCGCAGCTCACACTGTGCACATTTGGCGCAGCGATGATAGATCAGATTGAGCGGTAACAATGAGAATGGCCAGGCCTCGCCCCGCCAAGTCAAGGAATTCACGTCAAGTCGTGAGTGACATCATCCAATCAAATCAGGAATCCAATGGCCTCGTCCAGGTTCCCGTTGGCGGCATCTAATGCACGCATCGCTTCTTCCCGTGTGAAGCCCAGCTCTGTAATCTTCCCAATGGAATCCTGTGGCCAGCGCGATGCTGGTGGGGCTGGGCGGAAAGAAGGAGGCGCGGAAGAGCCACCAGATCCTTGACTGCTGCCGCCGGCCTGATGCGTGACCGCTCCGGTCCGGGCGCCGACCTCGGCGCCATCGGGACCTTTGATGACGGGTTCATCCTCGAACTCGTCCAAAAGGTGTCTGGGGATGTCCGCCTCACCAAGAAAAGGGACTGCCTGGTCCTGGATCACCAAAGCACCTCGCTGGAGATCAATGCAGGCTTGATGCCGTTTCAACATGTCCAAGCCCAAGAGCAGATCGATGTGCTTCCCTTCCATCACAGTAAAGGAACACGGCAGGAACATGCTTCCAATCTTTATTTGTGCCGAGTGCACTCGGCCTAAGATGGTCGCTGTTCCCACGCCCTTTGCAATGCCGCCGTACCGCCGATCAACAAGTCTCATAATGTTGCACGCGGTCGCACATTCTGGCGACATAATGGTGACCTGTGCACCAGAATCGACAAAGGCGTTCAGTTTGTGGCCGTTGACCTCGACAGGGATATATAACATGGTTACGCGACCGAATGCTGTGCTGCTTGTTTAACGACCAGCTCTGCATACGTTGAAGACTTGCAGGCCCGACTTACACTCCGGGTGATGCTCCATTGCATTATGTAGGTTTTCCGTCACAGCATTTTGACGAATGATCTCTTCGATCTGCTTTTGGTTCTCGGGATTGAATGGGTCGGCATTCAACATGGCAATCCGCGCTTCCTTCTCCGCCTCCAGTTGGGCCTCGCGGGTTTGTTGTCGGGTGAGGACCTCACGGAATCGCTGTGCATCATTGGCAGCATCTGCCAGCTCCGGGTTCTGCCTTCGGACGGCTTCCCGCACACGAGGGTCACCCAAAATATGTAGACGGATTGTCTCGGGATCTGGAGTCATGGCCTGGCGTCGCTGCAGACTCTGTTGTGCGGCAGCAGAGCTGGGGCCTCCTATGCTTCGGGTTGGCGCGGGGGGTGCTCGCAGCGTCACATGGACACCGAGCATATCCCCCTCACCGATGCCGACTTGCTCGAGTGTACGGGAGTCATCCCCGAGGAGCTGGTTGTTGTATACGAGTCGCTGCGCGTTGGGCGGTATCGAGGTTTCACTTTCAACAATGGCTTTTAAGAGCTCGACCGTCATATCTGCTCCGACTTCGAGGGAGATAATATCGGCATCTGCCTGATCCGGGCGGATAACGCTTACGGTGATGCGCCTAATGGTAATGAGAATCTTTGTTAGCTCGACTGTTTCTTTCTGAAAATGTATCCTTCCGAGAATATGCCCATTCGCGACGTACATGATGCTGTGCAGCTGTCGGTGCGGGGAAGCTCTCCCAAGTCCAGGAAAGTAAGCTGCGTGTAGAAACGCGAGATGTAACTTTGAGGTTGTTTGAGAAAAATCACAGATGAGTGTGACTGGAAGTCAGAAGGAGAGCTTTCAATCTATTAGTCTATGCCAAGGGTGATTGATTTCTAATAGAAGTTCATAGAGAGCCAGGGAAAGACAACCGGGAGAGAAGCACGCGAAGAAAGGTGATTTACGTGAAGAGAGGAGGAGTAAGAGACAGGCAGGGGGACAGCACCGATGAAGAGGTTCTGGATATGTTGGGGGGGGATGTAGAGGTGCAAAGGAAGATTATGTCAAGGTAAAGACATTCGTAGGTGATGAAAGGTGGGATGGGGCAAGTTACGGTTCCTGGTGAAGTGCAGCAACGGACGGAGGGCCGGCATCCGGCCTGATTCGGCAGGCAGCAAGTCATGCGTCATCCGCCTGCTCTTGTCCTCTTGTCAACCTGCGACCGTGGATTACTACCCTCACATAACTACAAACTCCGATATCAATCAACCATGAACCATCATGCCTTTGAATTATGAACGGCCGACTCCCAACCCCTTTCCTCCCTCTCCTACCTGGAGCGTACTTTGCATCTTCGTTTCATATGTATGATCAGGGAAAGCGATAATCTATTGTCGTCTTCGCTACCATACTGTTCTAGACCAATCTAGACCATGTACTATATATATCATCTCTCATTATGCCTGCTGTCGTGTTGCTGACCACCGCTGACCAGAGCTCATCGCCCTGTTGATCACTGTCTTAAGTCATCATATTACGGAAATCTTCTGCTATCATGTAAAGTTACCTGCCACATTCGCCGAGCTTCCCGTTCGTCCCTTGATCACGATCCCGAGATTAGTGGCCATTGGCCGTATGATCTTGAGGCATGTGCACCACCAAACGCTACAGCTTGTGCTGCCTGTCGAAGTGGGACCCTCATACATCGACAGCATCGCTGTGCAGGGTCAAAGTCACTGATCATTCATCTCATACTTGCCATCGATTTTACCTCTAGACGATGCCGTGAAAGAGCCGTATTCTAGGTCTTGGGGCCCGCGTTACCACGTAGGAGATAGCCAAGGCTCGGTCCAGATTTTACGTGAATCAGTGCTTAAACTGGTAAACCTCGCAGTCACGACACTGTTTGCCTCTTCTGTGATGCCGCAGACTAGTTTGTGCTTGAGACCCCCTCTCAAGCAACCGGATCAGCCTTCTATGGAAAACAACGGCTTGAAAGAATGCTGGCAAGCGCGGGTGTTGCTGCTTTACTCCGCCACTGCTTGGGGGTTTACCCCGCTCACTATGCGGGGTCAAGCAAGCTGAAATAGTTGATTATGCTTCAGGGCTCTATCCGTGACCAGCAGAGAGAACTACGGTATTGTAGCAGTGAAGTGAATATTGTATAACACGATAACCTATGCGATATCTATTCCAGACGCTTGGCCACCGATACATCTGGCACACCCTCGCCTTCCACAATCTTTCCACCAACAACTTCGTCTACTGGGATATCAGCCAGGCGGGAAATGATGTGATGTAGTGTGGGTAGCTGTGTCCAGTTGAGACCGTCAATCTCAAATCTTGCGTTCTTGGTAGTTCGCAGCCGAGTAATTTTAGAGGGGACCACCTTCGCCTCCTCCGCATGTGGCACAATAACAGGGTACTCTGCTTCAGGAACTCCCTTGTTCTCATGGCCTACCTTGGGAATATATCGGTGCACCAGTATACCCACGCTGGATGGATTAGGATTTGTGTTCATCTCTGGTTCCTGATCCTCGAGATCCTCCAAGTGGAAGTGGCCCCAAACTGCGCCCTGCCAGCTAGTTGTCAGATGATGCGAGTTGCTGCGATCGTGGGCATCGATTGCGGTATACAGTTTCGGCATGCCAAGTTCTTCGCGGCCGCTGACGATGGGATCAGTCAGATTCTCGAATAGTATTGGCAAATAGGTGCCCTCAACAGTTTCGCCATTTTTCTTCTTGTACTGGACTCCCTCGATATACAACCCGATGTGGCGGTACCCACCTCCACCCAGCCAGTCCATGCGGTGGAGTTTCGTCTGGGAAAAGCTCGCATAGGCTACTGTACCTTGGTCGACGAAGGACCAAGAGTCATTGGGAAGTAGATTCTGGAGGCAGGTTCGACTGGTCTTGAATCTGATAGAGACGGTCTCAAAGGTGGCTTTGAGAGATTTCTGGACACGGTCTCGACCGTACCAGTCCTGTCGAGGGCCGGGCATCGGCCCGAACACGATTGGCTGACGCCAGTACTTGGGTGTCCCTTGGCTCCAAATGTGCTTCCGCAAAAGGTTGGTCGAATGATCATACTCGTCATGCCCGTAGATGTAGTCTTCCATTCTCCGGACTAAGCGGGGTTAGTGACCTTGGACTAGGTAACTGGAAAAAGGAATAGACTGACTTTCGTCGACAGGTTGAGGACCATCAGAGTCTCGAGTCATTTGTTGGATCGTAGTAGCGCGCGTGTATCGGGCTTTTTCATACAACATCAATCTCTCTGGTACTGCTGCTGGATCAAGGTCCCTTGACAGCATCACGCCGAGAGAAACACCATCTTCAATGGCCATGGCGCCACCAGAAGCGCGGTATGGTAAGAAGGGATGAACGGCGTCCCCCAATACTGCCAGACGACCATGGACCCACGTAGGCGGCTGTTGCATGTCGAAAAGGGGCCATACCTTCAGCGTCTGGGGCTCAGCCTTGGCCAATATTTTGACCACCTCCGGCTTGAAGTTCTTATATACATCGAGAAGAGCATCCTTACTGGCCTCCTGGTTCCAGTCTGCCCCAGTGTTCACCTTGCTCAAGGTATCGGGGTGAATGCAGACGAAGTTCAGTATCTCATTGTTAGCACAAGGATAGATGACCACACGTTTGTCGTGGGAATCCCACATGCTGCAAACGCTGAGAATATCAGCCAGAGGTTTTGTCTCAGGGTCTTCTTGAGCGACTTTGCGTGACAAGAGGAAGCGAAATGCGTTTTTGCCAGAGCTGTAGGGCTCGATGCCTTTGGTGCCCGGTAGCTTCGTCCTCGCAAGGGAGTGTACACCATCTGCTCCAATCACGACATCACCCTGGAAAACCTCGCCATTTTCCAGAGTGATTGTCGCCGCCTCGGGATCGATGTCCACCACCTTGCTGGTGGTATGCAATTGGGCGGGAATGCCGGCGCCAGGTCCCTGCGCTACATTCTTCAGACCTTCGTGAAGATGGGCACGATGCACAAGAGACCATTTCTATAGACGTTAGACCGTATCGGCCGAGGGTGATTATTTCTACTCACAGTTCTCCACCTATCTGCCCGTGCTTTGTGGTCAACAATTGCCAGCGTCTCTCCAGCTGGGTTATAGATGCGCAGCTTGGTAAAGGTAAGTCTGCAGTCATCTAATTGGTCGCACCTGGACACTAACCTGTTCTACTTCCACAGCTCCGAGCTTGGCAGCATCAATTCCAAGACCTAGTAGTGCGGAGTTGGCATTGGGCGTGAGATGAATAGCAGCTCCGATCTCATTTGCAAAACGAGAACGCTCGAATAGCTGCAACAGTGTGGTTAGCTTGGACCTGAGACGTGGTTGGATCTATGCACCTGGACACGATGACCTTGCCTGCGAAGAGCAATGGCAGCGGCCAGACCACCAATACCAGCACCGGCAATGAGAATGTGCAGACCTCCTGGAGAGGTGGTTTGAGGATCAATGCTACCCATGATACAATCACGAAAATGTCAAGAAGTCAGCAATGCATGTTGTTCGCCTGACCATCCTGCCCCCTTTTAATAGAGGCCCCGCGCCGCGACATGATGTACTGTACACCCAAACGATGACTTTACCTTGCGTGGACGAGCGGAGAGTCAGTCGCATACCTTACTTGGTCGGTCGTCCACCTCTCGGGAGGATTGGTTTAATCCCGCGCAGCCTCGGCTCTCCTCCATTTCGGCTCCACATCCGGAGGGTGTGTGCACTACACGAACCACTGTCCGGGGAGCAGACCACAACCTATAGTTGGAATCCTACATGGCGAAAACTGTGAGGGGTGCGTTCATTTATTTATCCATCGAATGCACCAAGCCACTTCTATCTTTCATTTATTCCTTCGTCTGTGAAGAAGTTTGTGCAAGTGAAGTCAAAGATGCCGAATCCTATCCGTGAAGATATCACCACGCGTGATGATACCTCTTTTCCCTACATTTTCGAACAGAATGTCACAATCTCCCTGAAGGATAAATCTGGTCTCGTTCGTTGCAATGTTTACCGCCCCAAGGACTCGAAAAAGGTACCTGTGCTTGTGACCTACGGCCCCTACGGAAAAGACATTCCCTACGCCGACTTTCACCCACAATCTTTCAGTGAAGTTAATCCTGAACATCGCTCGGAGCATTCAGCATGGGAGACGCCTGATCCTCGCTTCTGGACTCAGCATGGATACGCTGTAGTGCGAGCGGACGAGCGTGGAACTGGCCAGTCGCGTGGTAAGCTGGACACCATGTCTCGTGAGACTAGTGAGGCTTTCTTTGATGTGGTGGAGTGGGCTGCAGAGCAACCATGGTCTTCAGGCAAGGTCGGCTTGCTGGGTATCAGCTACTATGCTGGGAGTCAATGGCGAGTCAGCGCCCGCCAGCCCAAGGGCTTGAGCTGCATTATTCCCTGGGAGGGCATGTCCGACTATTACCGCGATCGTTGTCGTCATGGTGGTATTCTTTCCAACAAGTTCATTAAGTTCTGGTGGGATCGACAGGTCGTTTCAAATCAGTACGGACGACCCGGTCGGGCAGCACGCAATTGGGGTCCTGACACCATCGAAGGCGATCTTCCCGAGGAAGAACTGGAGGCCAACCGTCAAGACCAGACAATCGACAACGTCAACAATCATTTCCGCGATGACGTGTACTACGCTAGCAAGGAGTATACCATGACTGATATTCAGGTTCGTCGAATTGTCTGCAGAGCTTGACACCCGACTAACAGACTCTGAATGTTGATAGGTACCTCTGCTCTCGGTTGCTAACTGGGGTGGTATTCTCTTGCATCTTCGCGGCAATGTCGAAGGATATACTCAAGCAGGCAGTGAGCTGAAATACCTGCGCTTTATCACGGGGCGTCACGATCTACCCTTCTACTACCAGGAGGAAGTAGAAGTACAGCGAAGTTTTCTTGATGCTTTCCTTAAGGGCGACGATCGCGCTGGCTGGGCGGACGGCACTGCCCCCAAGGTCGACATGGTTCTCCGCAAAGGTGACGTTGGCTTCAACAATGCGGAGGCTGAAAAGCAATTCCCTCGTCGGCAGGAGAACGAGTGGCCTATCGCACGCACTCAGTATTCTCGCTACTACCTTACTTCGAAGCAGGAGCTGGTAACGGAGGCACCCAAGGAGAAACCGATCAAGATCACATACCGTGCACTGGGAAACCTCGATGAGCCACAGCTGGTGCAATTCACCACTGCCCCGTTCGAGCAGGAGACGGAGATTACCGGCCATATCGTGGCGCACCTCAATGTATCGATGAGCCCTGAGCCGGGATGTCCGACACCCAAGGACATTGACCTATTCCTCACATTGCGTTATATCTCACCGGAGGGCAAAGAAGTGTTCTACACGGGGACCGCAGGGGATCCGGTGCCTCTCTGTAAGGGCTGGCAGCGCGTCAGCCTGCGCAAGATCAACACGGAGCACCCGCGTCACCGGCCGTGGCTGCCTCATCGCGACTATTATTCCACGGATGTGCTGCCGGTGGTTCCGGGCGAGGTGTACGCGGTGGATGTGGAGGTATGGCCGACGAATGTGGTGGTGGAGAAGGGAGGCAAGATTGTCTTTGAGGTTTCCTCAGGCGATACTCAGGGATCAGGCATATTTCAGCACAATTCTCCTGTGGACCGCTCTGAGGAGAGATTTCGGGGATTCAACCACATCAATTTTGGGCATGGAGATAACTATGTTACTTTGCCGATTATTCCCCCGAGAGAGTAGAAGATGCTGGCCTGAATTTGCATTGATATAGACTCGGGAATTGGGTGTAACTGAACACAAAATAGCCAGTTTGGTCGAATAGTAGCATAGAATGTGGACTCTTCAGTTGTTGCAGTGTCTGATTGCCTCCTCACCCGATGTGGTCCCGAAATGCACCCACCCGAGAGTGACCCCGCAGTTTGGGCCATTAATCATACTAGAGCGATGAAGAAAAATGTAACCGAGTACCTGGTGTAGTCAGTGGAGAATCTAGTAGCAGGATAAACTACTATATAGAGAATACAGAATACAGTACATATAGCCCTTAACCGGCCTACACAACATCTCAATGCAACCGGCACCACCCCCTCTCAACCACAAGGTTAATCACTCAATCGCTCAATCGAACAATTAAAAACAACTTGCAAGGCACATCGCTTCCAGTCACTCAACATGGCCTCCGCACCACCCGCGAAGAACATCCGCCCTCTAAACCGCTACATCACCACCCACGACCCAACCACTCACCAAGCCATCTTCTCTACCACCCTATCGGAGACCATGCCCATCCAGCAGATCAATGACTCGGCGAGTGCCCAGTTCTCCCTGGCCTACACCACCGATACGTTTCCCGTCGACCTGTCCGGGGAGCGCGATCTCCCCGCATACAACCACTACCTCTCGAATCCGCCCGGCATCACCATCAGCACGGGCACCGTGTGCCGCATTGTGGACATGCCGCCGCACGCCCTGAGCCCCATGCACCGCACCGTGTCGCTGGACTACGGGGTCGTCCTGGAGGGGGAGGTGGAGTTGCTGCTCGATTCGGGGGAGACGAGACTCCTGAAGAGGGGAGATGTCGCGGTGCAGCGAGGTACAAACCATGCGTGGAGAAATGTCACGCCCGACGTTGTGGGAGAGGATGGAACGAAGGTGGAGTGCTGGGCGAGGATGTTGTATGTGCTTTCGCCGGCCAAGGGGGACGGACTGGTGGAGAATGTCAGTGGGATTGAGGTTCGAAGTAGCACTTAGTCATTGCACTGCCTTGGGCTCTGCTGGATGGGGTATATAGAGGGCTGTCATTGTTTGTCTTGAGCTTGATGGGTTCGAGTCTGGTAGATAGTCTTGGTTTTGTAGGTACAGTACAATAGTATAGTATATGAAGCCAGTTCCTTGGAAAACAACAAGCTCGCGATGTTCATTCGTGAGGTGTCAAAAGGCAACAATCATCATGGACGTGGTATGTATTACTGCTGGAGGTAGGACTATGTCGTGACAGGAAAAGATTGCATTAACATCCAAACAAAACACAAGATTCAGTTCTACCACTCTCCTCCGATCTCATAGTGGAAAATCTTGTCGTTAATCTTCCCTCCTGTCGCATGCCAAATTCGTGATACCACCTGAATACATTCATTTAGCTGCTGTGCTCGGCGATTCAGTTCTTCGCGGACGGTTCATTAAGCTACAACTTACTGCATTCAACCATACACCGTGCAACATGGTCTGGATAAACACATATTCGGCTCCGTTCGCGCCGGCCGGTCGCTCGCTCTGGTTCTGATTGCGATTTACTGGACGGTAAGCTGGCACACGGCGGTGGTCGGTGGGCCAGTTGGTGGGCGGTGCGGACGGTGTGGTGCTGTCTGTGGAATCCAAGGAGGGGGAAGATGTTGTAGCGCCCGAGTGATGTAGTTCGTAGTCTGATAGCACAGATAGAGTACCGACCCTTGTGGTGGAGGGTGTCGTGGTGATCGCGGTGGTAGTCGACATAGTGAGGATGGTTGTACAATATGAGGTAGACTGACTGAGGGCAATGAAGGTGATATGCTGCTCAATGCTGCTCAATGCTGTAAACTTCATCTCAAATCCTCGGCTGGCCTCAACCGCCCAGCTTCATCCCTTGCTCCTCCACATCCCGAGCACCATCCCATCCTCCCTTTCTTCCCCTCCCCCTATACCCAGGTGCCTCATTTGAGGTCCATCTATCCGACTGGTCAACTTCTCTCCACATGAATGAAAGGATTTGACTAGCTTATCTCCGAAGATTGGGGTCATTCCACACCCCGGATCTTGTCCATGACTAGTATAGTTATCCCTACCCGCCCTCGCAATCTCCGTCGCATCACGTTTACACATCATCCACCAAAAAATGGTTGCACCACAGTACTTCCCGCGGATCATTGCCGCCCAGATAGACGGTCGCACTCAGAATATTCGATATCGTCAGAATCAATTCCACCGCTTACAGTCCGCCCTCGTCCAGCATGTCGATCAGATCAAGGACGCTCTGCTCACCGACTCGGGCCATGCGCCGGAGGAAGTCCGCGCCGAGATCTGTCTGGCCTTGAAGGAACTTCGCACACACTATGCCTCATTGGACTTGAGTAAGGACCTCGAGGAAGAGTATCGAGTCGCTCATGGCAAAGACAATCGGGATTGCAAGCGGGGCGCCGGCATCGTCTACATCGTCCCATGCACCCATACTATGTTCTTTTCTGTCATCTCGGCGCTGAGCGCCGCGCTGGCGGCCGGGAACTGCATTATTCTTGAGGTGCGCTTCACCCCTCCGGAGGCATGATCATTGAACTGACGCAGCTGTGATAGTTAACGAAGAACACCATGGCCCTTCCCGCGTTGCTGAAGAAGATTCTTCCGCCCGCGCTGGATGCTGATACCTTCGCCGTCAGTGAAGAACGGCCAGACGGGAGCTTTTTGGATCAGGTGATCATAATCGATCAGAATGATGGTCGCGGCCTGGTCTCTAGACAAACGATCTCATCTCCGAGCACCGCCCGAACAATTGCGGTGGTCGACCGTACCGCTGACGTGCCCGCTGCGGCGGAAGCCCTCGTGGCGGCGCGGTTCACCTTCGGTGGTCGCTCGCCGTACTCGCCTGATGTGGTTCTCGTGCAGGAATTCGTCATGAAGGAATTTATGGAAGCGGTGCTGCAGCGGTCATCGAAGTATCTGGGTGGCCAGAATGGCGAGGCAAGACAGGCTGTGGTTAATCCCCGGAGGACTAGTGCTGGGGCCTCATTACTGGATGCGGCATATAAAGATGCTGGCGCACGCGTGCTAGTGTCCGGATCAGAGTGGGGAGTGGTTGAAGTGCTTGATCGGTATGCTGCACAGCAAGGTAAACGATGATGGCTGCTAACAGCGTTTAGGAAATCACCGCTGCTGCAAAGGAAGGTCGCCGAGAAAGTGCTGGTTGTGCATCCGGTAACGAGTCTGGACGATGCCATTGACTTGAGTGCTTCGTGAGTCGGAACAATGAAGCGCAAACGATCAGCGCTGACAGAAGCAGACGCGGAACGCTCGCTGCGACATACGCCTTTGCTGCCCCGGCTTCAGCCAAGTACCTCACTCAGTTCATCGACTCTTACATCTCCTGGGTGAACCATGTTCCCACTGATATGCTGAGTATGTCCGCTTCCATTCTCTGCTCAGGATGAGAAGACTAATCAGTGGTAGTCGGACCGGCTTATCCCACCAATCTGCCTCCTAGCCCCGAGACCCGTTACTCAGCACTGTCGTTGCAGGTGCCTCGGCCACAAGTCATCACCCCGACAAGCAATGCGGCGCTCGCCCAGTTACTACTCAGCTCCCAGAAGAACAGTACCTGGAATCAGGTTTGGACCGAAAGCCTGGCTCCGTTGCCCGCTCTGGGCCAAAGAGCCGGGAAGAAAATTGGATTCTTTGAGCAGGGCATCATCACCGGCGGAGTGATCCTGCTCTTTTCCTTGACTGCCACGGTCTCCACGATGGGCTTCTATGGGTTTCATGCTATCAAGCGACTGCGTGCATAATATCATGATCCTCTTCTAGTTTCTAGTCCAATTATACCAATTCTCAGGGCTTGCTCTAAATACAGCTTCTCATTCCTTGTATCGCCTTATTCTTTTCCTTTCTGTCTGCCTCTCCAGGCACACATCCCGTCAACAACCAACCGTAAACTGCGAATTGCACATGTTGGTCAATTCCCACGTTTCCGCACCCATTACCGCCTGAGCATCTTCATCTTCCCAGTCCCCCGCCGCGCCCGCCACAAACACCGCCGGCATGAAATGCTCGTCGGTGGCGTGCGCCTCTCGATACAACGGATGCTTCATCAACCGCGTCACTGCGCGCCGTAGCCGCGGCCCGGAGGTCTTGGTCAAGGCGTCCTCCACCGCGGTGCGAAATTCCAACGCCCAGGGTTCCGGTGGCGTCTCCATGGCCAATGTGTCCTGGTACCGGAGCATTGGTCCCCAGCGATTGCGGTAGAGGTTGTGCACCGCCCCTCCGGTGCCGATCAATAGATAGTTTTCGTGGCGCAGGGGGCGGAGGGTGATGCCGATTCGCAGATGGAAGTAGGGGTCGAAGTGTGCGTTGGTGGAGAGAACGGTGACCGGGGGACAGCTGGCACCACTGTCACCACCCTTAAGGAGCGGGGGGAACATCTTAAGGAGGATCTGGTAGGTGTCGTGGATCCAGTTGTAGGTTGAGTCTTGGTGAATGGCTATGCCGGCAGTGCGGAGCAGATGGGCGCAGCGGGTGGCGGTGGGGAGGTCGGGGGTCAAAGGGGATTCCGTGAGAGTAGTCGGGGGCACGAATGGGATGGGGAGGAGTTTAGGATCTGGGTTCGTGGCGATAGAGATTGTGTTGGGTGTATGATTGGTCCAGTGCGCACTCTGTGATGGACATGATCAGTCTATGTTGCTATAGCATACCGATTGAGATTAGTTCTGCCAGGTTCATGGGGCTGGGCTGGGTCTCGCTGTGGTGTCGTTGCGGTCTTTAGTAGGATGATGTCCAGGACTATAAATACTGCCTGCAGGAGTAGTCAAAAAGGTAGATCCTAGTAGATATCCGCTTACCATGATGATTATCCCCTTGATGTTACTTGCTAGCGCCTCCTCGCCACATCGTCGCCAATATTCGGATGACTCGGTGGTCTCGATGAGCATCATTGGTGAGCCATGCGAGAAGAAGTGTATCGGGGTTAGCCTCTTGCGTGGTGCTGTTTTGTGGGTCATCATCTAGCGACAACTTGTCTTGGGGAGCTCCGAGGGACCTTGTGGGGCAACTTTACTCACCCATCCTGGTCAGCTTTGACTCCAATTCGAACTCGTTTCACGCTCTCCTGGTGGTTGATCATAGAGGGGTGAATTGCGTATGTCGGGGAGTTCGCGCCAGCCCACGATCAGCTCGGGATGTGGGGGCACATCCCGAAGCGAGGTTCCCAGAATCCCAGACGCAAGGGTCGCTGTTCAGCCATCACCGGTGGATGATTTCGGTTAAAGAGCTGCGATCGTCCTCACTCATATTCTTGGCCTGCATTTCGTGCATTTGTCTCGGTTGGTTTCGGGGGATCTGAATGAATTGGATGAGAGCATTCATGCAAGGTAGAAGGCTGTTGCTGTCATGTCATGAGTTGATGAAACTCGTCCAGCTGAGGTAGAGTTATACTTCCCAAGATGGTTTGAATATACTCCTATCACTAGTTAGTTTGTACTTAGTTTGAATACTTGGGAGGGGGTGGGGGTTTGCAGTGTGGGTCTTTTTCCCCGCAAAATGCACTCAACCCGGTCTGTTCCAGTTCCCGGTTCTTTCCCCGGATCCTCTCAAGAAACCGTCTCTTCAACTCTTCCCCTCTTACTTCCCACCTCAATCCATCCAACCATCATGTCAAACCTTCACAATGCTAGTTGACAATCTTACTACTACTGCTCGCGCTGTCTCTGTGCAATCACCCGCCAGGTCAACTCCCAGAGCCCGCGATGGCTATTTCCAATGCGGTTTTTGCAAGAAGCACTACAATCGTGCCGACCACTTGATTCGCCATGTGCGGTCGCGTAAGACTTTCCTTCGAGCTCTGCGGCCACAACTAAAGTAATACACTGCAGACACCCGAGAAAAACCCTATGTGTGTCATGTCTGTAGCAAAGGCTTTGCCAGACCGTACGTTGTCCACTTCCTTCCCCTGCATCTGGCCCATCGGGCCCATGGGTTTCCAGTGACTGGGAAGCTCGCCGCCCCGGTTTCGGGCTTCTGGAGATCGCCGTTGAGCTCATAGAGGTCTCTATTGCTGTCCGTAGGCACCACAGATGCTTATCCTATCTAGGGACCTCATGAAACGCCATGCCGCAGGCCATGATCACCCTCGCGATGGCAAGAGAAAACGGCCGCCCGTCTTCGCCAAGAGTGGCCGTGTCTCCCAAGCCTGCCGAGCATGCGCAACCTCCAAACTCAAATGCGACGAGGAGAAGCCCTGTCGACGGTGTCGGGATAAGAAGTTGGATTGCGACTGGCAAGAGACAAACCCCGGCGAGATGTCTCCCGGATCATCATCGCAAGGTCTGTCGTTGCTCTGCTATGCACTGGACCTGCAGCGGCCAAGCACCCAGGCTGAACTCCCCCCAGCTTACGACGAGCCCGATGAGAATGAACTGTACCTTCAAGCCCCTCAGACACAAGGCGTCTTCCCTTCGCCAGCACCCATCATGAATGAATTGCCGCCCCCCATCGATCCGGCCGCGCATTTCGCCACGCCAGACTTCCCTGTCAATAACTTTCTGCCGCAGGCACCCGAATCAGCTCCACTGGAGGATCCGCTGACCACCAGTTACGATGGTAATGTGGCCAACCTGGTTTCATGAAAGTCAACTGACGGACTGCTCCCTAGCAATCTCCCCAAGTCTAGATCACGAAAGTGGAATCTTTAGTATCGATGGAACTTTCTTTCCAGAATTTATTCCGGATTCTCTCATCACCTCACTATCACGCCCGGATCTGGATCCGTCGTTAAACCATACTCAAGAGTATGCTTACGGCGTGTTCGACCAAAACATACCCTTCACTTTCGATCTTACCGAGATCGATTTTGGGCTTATTGAATACTTCAATTCCCAGGGTATCACAAATCATGCGCCGCCGACCATTCCTGAGGCACCCAATGACCGGGCAGATGTGGACAACGGGATTGCCCTTGGGGCAGAAGCTTACAAGCGCTCCTCGCTGTCTGCTTGGAAGCCCGCGCAGAGCGATAATGCATTCGCTCATCAGAACGACCTAGCAGTCCCAGGCACCATTGACAGCCCCAGTGCGAGTCCGCGGTCCGAGCACAAGATTCTTTCTGAACGGCTGTCGGCAGGCAGTCGTGATTTGATGTTCGGGATGGTGCTGCAGGCCAGTCAGAAGGCCAACCCGCTTCGGATCATGAAGTCATTTCCAAGCACAGAGCTTCTAGATGGGCTGATACAGGACTATTTTGCCTATCAAAGCCGGCAGGTCGACTCGTTCATACACGGTCCGACTTTCTGGATCAATGAGCAAAGTTCGGACACGCTCACCTCTATCGCTGCTGCGGCAGCAACGAGGTCCACCATACCAACAATTCGGAAATTGGGCTATGCGCTGCTGGAAATTGTACGCCTGCAGATCTCCGATAAGGTACGATCCTTCAGGAGCAGAGGTGCTGGTCATTACATATTGACCTTGTTAGTATGAAACCGATAATCGAACGACGCGTGATTTGCGAGCTTCGCAAACATTCGCCCTGGTCCTGGATATCGGGCTTTGGAGCGGCAATGGTCGGCGGACGGAGATCGCGGAAAGTTTTCAACAACCTCTACTAACGGTCGGTTTCTACCTGATTGAGACGATGAACAGAACTAACGCTCTGCAGATGCTCAGGAGAGCTTTAAGACTTCGACGGTCTGTCTACACAGTCATCGTCCCCACCATCAGCGACACCCAGGAAGAGCTCGAGCAGAAGTGGCGGGACTGGGCGGAGTTGGAATCGTTCAAGCGGTACGTCCCTCCGTGGCATTGATCAATCATCACTCGCTAACGCGTCCAGACTGGTCCACCATCTGTTTTTGCATGATGCCCAAGCCTCGCTCATGCTGAATGTCAATCCTCTCATCTCCTATGCGGAGCTAGAACTCCCTCTTCCTTCCATCCGGTCCTTGTGGGAGGCGAAGTCATCGACGGAGTGGAGGGACGTTTACCTGGCCTCCGGGCTGACCGGCCGGGAAAGACTGCCATCACTGGTTGATGCCATGAGGGACATGTCCCGAGTGCAGACGCATGTGGACTCGCAACTGGCCGGATTTGTTGTCGTGCACGGCCTAGCAGCGATGGTCAGTGAGTATCATCGGTTCAGCTTCATCTCCAAGGGTAGTTCCAAGCACTGGAACGGACTAGTCATCAGCTCTCGGCATCAGGAGCTATCGCAGGCCCTGCAGCACTTTCGCATGGTCTGTTACGAATGGCCTGAATTCCCCGGGCCGGAAGTCTTCCTCGTGCATGAAGTAGTTTCCATGTTCTTATACATGTCTCTCGAAGAACTTCAGCTTTTCGCTGGCAAGGAGGACAAGCGCGAGGCCCGTCGAGTCTACCACAGCGCCCTCGAGTGGATTGAGAGCAGCGACTCCCGGCGCGCTGTCTGGCATGCGGGCCAAGTCGTTCGTGCCGCCAAAGCCATGCCGCCCGGATCCCTGACTGGATTCCTGGCTGTTGGGGTGTACTACGCGAGTTTGGCCTTCTGGTCGTACAGTGTCGTCGCCAAAGCCAAGAGCGCCAAATCAACCGGGCAAGCCGGTGGCGGCAGCCGGTCGTCGCCGGGCTTGAATGCGCGGAACAGCCAGTCTCCTCCCATTACCTACCTCGATGGTGAAGAGACTACGGAGGTGCAGAAGTTCATCTCACTGGGATGCGGCTCGCCGGCTTTGCAGGGGCCAGACGGCCCTGCGTTCGTCTCCGACCCGAGGCAGACGATGGCCGTGGCGCAGGGGCTTCTGCGGGCGGACGCCTCCCAGGAGTCGCTTCCGCCGCTGGTACAGGGCCTTTGCCAATTGATGGGCGATCTGGGCAAGGCGGCCAAGTCCTCTTCCTCATAAGTGAATGATGATGTCGGTGTGTTTTGAATGTATTGTATGATATGAAGAGTATGATACCAGGCCTAGTGCAAAGTCCACTAGCATTGATCGAGAATCCATGCGGATCTTGGCAGACCACTTGATGATGTGCCTCATGGTGGTACACACTCGACGTTAAAGCCATGTATGTGCATGAGACAATAAACTTGGGATTAGCGGGTCCTCAAGATGAGAGTATGAGAGTGTATAGTTCTGTCTTCTTCTGAGTGCGTATAAATAATGGTCACGATTAACTATACCGTAGAGCCGAGGCTCAGGGACTACTATCATTGACCCTGGCCAAGCATAGCACAAAATCTCGGTAGGGATTCTTCGATGAGAACAACCATAGATATATTTGTAGCTGGGATTGTCACCCGAGAGGATAAGAGTTTTCTTACATTTGTATGAGTATGGCATGGTCATCAAAAGATAGATAACGAGCCATTACGCTTTCAGGAGGCATTAGTGCTGAGGACAATTGCACCCTAGACTTCAAGACCTTTGCAGAAGGCCAAGGAGATACATGCTTGTGAAGAAGGTACAAACTAGTTCTACAAGCATCAGCACACATCATCTCTCTGTCAGAATATAATCACTTGCTCTAATCACTTGCTCTAATGAATAGGACTTGGGTATAACGCTTGCACTTTGAAAGGATGAAACGCCAAGAGAGAAGAAGAAAAAGGCAACAAAGCTCTGAGGCATGGTGCGACGCAAGGCATGCAGGTAACCAAAGCAAATCGCTAGGGAGCAGGGCTGGTCGCGGACTCGGGTTTTCGAGCGTACACAACAGACACCGGGAGGTAGGCATGCGTTTCGAAGTCGCGTAGGGATTGGCGCATTTGTGCAAGAAATACTTGCGCTCGCTCATATGACCATTCAAGAGTTGTTGTAAGGAGCCGGAGCATGAATCCTTCGACCCCACCATGAAGGCGGAGTTGATTCCAGCGGCCCTGGCTAGCGGTGAGCAAGTTTCGGCTAAGGCGATAGAGCTTTTGCTGACTTACCAGTTCGTGTAACTTGGCATCTGAGCTCCATCTAGAAGCGATCATTAGCGTGGAAATCCAAGTATGAGAATGTGTCAAACGTACGCATTCATGGGCCATTGAAAGCGTCTTTCTACCACGCCGATAAAGCCTGCCTGCCGCAGTCGCGTCGCACTTTCGGCCCATATATTGAATGTCTTTCCCGATAAGTTTCCGGAATTAAGTACTGTCTGACCCCATTCGCGGTAGAAGTGGTTGTCTGGCACGCTACCGTCGTCTGCGATCGGCTCGACCGAGTGCTCGACGACTTCAATATACCCGCCGGGTTTTAAGCAACGCCAGCATTGCTGGAAAAATTCGTCCCAGTCAGGAATACATCCGAACAACTCGCGTACGTGAATAAAATCGAATTGATTCGAGTTATACGTCCATGGAAGAGTTACGTCGTCAATTTCGAACACGCAATTTGGGGGGACAAACAGCGGCTGGATAGGAGAGAGATCCACCCCTGTGACTTTCGCACTGGGGTACTCATCGGCCATGTCTCTGTCAAGAAGTGCCTGCTGTCAGCCAGTGCCTCCGATATTACTTTGAGGTTGTCGCATAACACACATTGCCCAAATGCCGGTTCCTGTTCCCACGTCAAGGATCTCCTACGCAAGTAATCGATCAGATGCTGCTCTGATACAGAAACAGAAAAAATGACCCGTCGCGACAGACAGTACCTGCGGATTGTGGATTGGAGCTAGGTGTAGCTTTCCATCGATTGTCAAAAAGTACATGTGATGGGCCAAGTCTTGCTGTTCGTTCGCAATGTCATCGTTGGGGCCCTGTCAGTCACATCGAAAATCTGTCAGTCAATTCGCGACACGGCGCAATGGCTTTACTCGAAAAGTCGGACCAACCTACCCAGTATGCTCCGTCGCGGAAGGAGTGATAGCGCCGACCGTATTCGAACCGGTAGTCGGTGATGTAAGTGGACAATGTGACGGTGTCGTCCCCGATCAGGGAATCCTCCCCATAAGCCGAATCGTCATCCCCCATTTCTTCGTCGGTCGCATGGCCTGAAATCTCGGAAAAGGGAGTATGGCGTGGAGCCTCGTGAGTCGTCGAGAAAGGGTGCAATGGCACACGTCCATCACCGTCCTCACATGGGGGGGTCATGGCGGGAATCGGGAAAGGAGCCCAGCAGATCGGGATTGCGGAGATCGACTCCGTCCGGGGGTGGTCCACGGGTAGTAGTTGACTTTATAGATACTCGCAGCCGACGATGATCATGGGTCCAAGCCCAAAACGATTCGATCCCAGCGGTGATAACGTCAAAACAGAACGAGGTAGGGGAATGGGGGGGAAGATGTCTTGAGTAGATGACGAGAGAGAAGGAAGGAGGGAGGGAGGGAGGAAGTGACAATGGGGGTTTGGGTTCTAGGTTAGAAGGGATCGAGGAAACGCAAGAGATATGAAATCAGAAACGAATAATCAGGATCTGGCACCATTGCTTCCCCACACGAGTAGGGGAGAAGATTGATGCAAGATTAAAGATTGGGAGAAAGCAGAGAGAGGCAACAGTCACTTCAGTCAGTCATAAGTTTGCTTGTTAGTTGTCTCACAGCCAGTTAAGTTAACTAAATAACTAACTTAGTTAACCACTGTGACTTAGTCAGGATGATGGAAGCAGAAGAAGCCTGGAGTGTGAAATGGAGGATAAAGGCCATATGCCTCAGGCCCTCATGTACATCACATGATGATACGAAAGAGGGGCGGTGAGTCCACAGTGCAAGCAATGATTGGCAGTAGGACATAATTGAGTTCTAACGGGGGGCTGCAGTTGATCTTCCAGGGTTGAAAGGAAATGGAGAGTTTAATTAGGAAGGTGCTGAAAGGCTCAGCTCGTCATGATGGGATTGACTACTACTAACTACCACGGAGTAAATGCTAACTAGTATCACTACCTGTATTCCTTCTCCGCCCGCCCCTCATCTGTTTTACACCACTGAGAACTTCTCCATACATATACTGTAAGTATTCCACAAATCACCCCAAGACAACTCATTCTCCTTCTTCTTCCCGTGACAAGGGTGATCCCCGTTTATCCATTTTCCAAAATTTCCAACCTAACTTTATATCCCACTAGAAAATCACTACTCCCAAACTAGGCTAGCGGCTCCCCCATTAGTGGGTGTCTAGTGCAAGCTAGCCTGAAGAACTGGAATTCTCAATTTGCCCAAATATGATCATCTCCGACCGGGATTCCCCATCCTCCCACCGCACCACTGACTCGGGTCGGGGTGATTGATGATGATGATGATGATGCTGATGTGCACAATGCCCCCCTCGCCCAATCAATCCCACAATTTCAACCGGCACATGTCTTGGATTTGCCGTGGAGCTAAAATAACCCCATCCTGAGCCCATTTGTCGCTTCAAACGGTTGGTTGACGGTTTCTTCTGAAGACTTCTGGGTCGTTTCCACCCCTTGCCCACGTTCGACTGTTAGCTTAGAACGCTTTCGACAAGGTGTTTTCTGCTTATCGCCGTTTCGTGAGATGGCCTGCATCTGCAGCCATCCCGTGTCATCCGACGGTGCAATAAGAGATGCGGGGTGAGTCCGAGTGTCAGACACTCGCGCATCGGCCCAAAGCATGGCAACCCTCCGCGATGACGTTCCCGCTTATCAGTGGCCCATACATTAAAATCTAGAGATTTGATGTTGAATTTTGACCCATAAATCGGCTGGACGCTCTGACGCTCGTATAGGGGGCACTTTGCCTCCTCCTCAGAACCGGAGAGTACGTCAGAGCCGTTCCGTGCCCATGGCTTTCCTTGCTGCATTCAGTAACCCGAATGAAGGCATTCCTTGACTGGATAAGATGTCCTGTCTATCAGGAAAGAGTACCTATTCTTTCATAGTCTCCACCGACGAGGGGAACCCAGGCCCTCCGTGGCTGACGAATGACTGCTGCACCGAGGAATTAATTGCTGCATTAACAGCTGGGCAATGCCCTCCTTCTTCAATTGTGCCTGAAATCTGCATTGGCCCCAGCTAGAATAAAAGGCTGAGGCCTTTCGCCCTTTCCCCCCTCTGGCCTACGAGTGCCCAACCCTGACACCATTGGCCTTGAGCATGGGCATAGTGAAATGGCTGTGGACTCTGCTAGGGGCTAAGCCCGCTGAGGTGATCGCATCCGAGCCAAAACTCACAACTACAGTCCTGGTTGTCGGTGCAGGTAAGGCTTCCTGACTTCCCAGTCCTAGCCCGACACACCACATTCCACTGGGAACTAATCCTCTCACGTTAGGGTCAACTGGGCTTGCCCTGGCCCAGGGGTTGAATAAGGTAGCAATCCTACCTCGCGGATCACCTTCACACCTGTTGAATTGAGCTACAGCTAACTCAACTCTCAGGCTGGGATACCTTGCATCGTCTTGGAGAAACATGCTAGCATTGGGGGTCACTCCAGAGACTGGAATATGGGCTTGCATTGGGGTGCTGAATCCTTGAAAAGTCTCGTTCCGGACGAACTATGGGAGCAAATCCAGTTGGTGCAGGTTGACCCGACTATCTCTCCAACCAAGGATGACGCGCTCAATATCGTCAATGGATCGACAGGAGAGAACATGACTTCAATTCCTGCTCCTTTCTTCAACCGCTTGCGTCGTCGAAAATTACGGGAGCTGCTGGCGACGGGCTTGGATGTACGATATAATAAGCGGATCCAAGGGATCAATTACTCCGGGCACAATCATTATGTCACCGCACGACTTAGTGACGAGTCATGCCTCACAGCAAAGATAATCATAGGAGCCGATGGAGCTCGATCAACGATCCGTCAATTATTGCTCCCCCAGACAGGACAGATCCGCCCGCTCCCGTATTGTGCAACTTTCGTACAGGCACGATTTGACCCGGAAAGGGCTCGCTTCCTGCGGCAGTTCCATCCTTTATATCTGGCTGGAATTAACCCAGCCGGACTGTTTGCCTTTTTCGGAATGCATGACGCGGAAGACCCCGATCGGCCTGAAACATGGACTTTTTTCTTCTACATATCATGGCAATCAAGTTACGAGGAGCAGGAGAAGACAGCAGGCTGGACCAATGCACAAAGGTTGACGCAAGTCAAAACACTCGCCAGGGAGTTCGCAAATCCTTGGAAGAGCGCTTTCGAGTGGTTGGAAGACGACCACCAAGTGTGGTATATGGTTTTGTCTGAGTTTGACCCGGGCGCTCAAGGCCACCGCTGGAATAATCACGGTGGAAGAATCACACTCGCTGGCGATGCTGCTCATGCTATGACGTATCAACGTGGGCAAGGCCTGAACCATTCCATCACAGATGCGGCCAAATTGGTCGAAGCCATTCGAGATTTTGTATCAGGAGGGAGGGCCCAGTCTACTGTGATTTCCGAGTACGAGGAAGAGATGATTGCTCGAGCTAGCGGTGAAGTTAGGCTCAGCACATTAAACACGAGGCTAGTTCATGACTGGGACAATGTCCTGCAGTCGCCGGTGTTGACTTCGGGAATGAAGAATCATTCGTCGGAGGGCTTATAATAGGTATCTATTTTGCGTATATGTCGCAGTGAGCATAAATATTCCGCCAAAAATTCTAGACTTTGGAAACCTCTTTGACAAGGAAGCTCGCCACAATCAGTGTTAGATTGTGGCCTTCGACGAGTCCCTTTCTAGACCAACTACCCAGGATTATCGAACGGCTCTCAGCAGACCAGTTTTCAATGAATTATTCATGAAGATAAGGCATTTTAATTAGAGAACCTTAACAGCTCCTGTCGGAAAATGTCGGTCTACATCAGCTTTCTTCAGCGGTGTGGACCTTGTGATGTGCAGCACAAACTAATGCAGACTCACGCCACGGTGTTTCTGTGTGTCCAATCTACATCTTCCACACAGATACCACTTCATTACACTTACGCATTAGTGTTTGTGACGTCGCTGTTCCTGTCGAAACCTTCAATGCGTAGGTCAAGTAAAGCATAGGGCGGGAGGGACGAAAGCTGAGACCAAAGAAAGAATATTAAAATTCCCGGTCAACCATAGCATTTCAGGGATCTCAAAAAAAGAAAACAAAAAAAAAAAAAAAAAAGGAAAAAAAACTATGGACCATTCCTTCGAGTCTGCCACAAACCGAACTCCATTACAATGACCCCAGAGATCGACAAAATCCTGAATGGATACCCAAAATCCCGGATGCTCCGTCATCTAGAGATCGCCGACTTCGTGACATGACGACTGACAGAATTTTTTACATGGGCAAACGTGCATCGAGCGCTAATCGTGGTCCAGTCCGCACAGGGTACATATTTCTTTTTGGCTGTCTGTTTCTGAATAGATTTTCATATTGCGGTCCTTGACTCTGCGTCTAAGCAGTCTAAATCGGTCATCCTGTTGCTACATGCTAAGGTAGCTCTCTATACGCAAGGTCTTTTGACACTATACCAAGAGACCGCAAACATGACCATTGATTGGCTGACTGTATGAAAGGAAGGGCATCATAAAGGGTGGCACTCTTTTCAAGACTCAGCCACATTTCTTGCTCGACATCAAACATCCTGTATGTTATGCATACAAATGTCCGTCCATCTGTAGCGGGGACAAACATGAGGCCGGCGGGTAATACAACACGGGATGCTGCAATCATCTCATGTCTCAATTTCCTCAGGGCAATTTTGACACCCTCCTCCAGTATGTCTGCGACTAGAGCAGTGTTTGCAAATCCTTCTACGTGCTGCCACAACCTCAGCAACGCTATTGCCCTCACCTGAATAGAGAAATCCGGGGTTCTCCTCGCTGCATTGTACAACGCTGGAACGATGGGACTGTCCAATGAGACGACCGGATGATTCCGCAGCTTCTTTATAGCGGTTTCAGTTATAGAGATCAGGTCCTCACTTTCTTGGGCAAGGTCTGGGGACAAGGGTTTGCTTCCGTCGAGCAAACAAGTCTTGAGCGCGAAGCTCAGAGCAAGGCAACTTATTCTGGTCATGTCTGTCTCGCGCTGTTCTTTTTCACTCAAGCGATTATACGACAGACTCGATAGCCAGTCTAGTTGGCACAAAAACCGATTCAGGGAAGAGAGAAGAAGAAGCTGCTTTCGCTGTAACAAGCCATATTCAGCCATGATCTCGGTTTCCGACAGGGTCCAGCAGCGCGCCGCGAACGGCCATCCGGTGTTCAGCAGTGGGTCACAAACCCGTCTCGCATCTCGCAATCGTTGGAATGTCCCCAGATATTTTTCATAGGGGTGCAGAAATACCATGTCGCTGTCAACATGCAAGTGTACGCCACTTCCGTAGAAGACGGATTGGGCCTGCAGCTGCAAGAATGTCTCTACTATGCATGGATCCACAGGCGAGATGAAGTCGCCCGAAACCTTCCTTCGGATGTTCAGCTTCTGCAGAATCTGAAGACCACCTCGGACGTGTACGCACGCGTTATCATAGTTCCCACCGAGCATCTCGCAGGCAATGAACAAGAGACAGCAGACCAGGATCACCTCTTGAAACTGAGGATCCTGCGAAGACTGTCTCTTGTTCAACAGGGCGATTGAGCGTCCAGCCTGTTCCAGTCCAAACCAGTACCAGATGCTCTGCAGCTTCTGACCGGGCAGCAGAACCTTGTTCTTGTCCTGGGCGTTATTGATGGCCCCAAGCGCAACGGCAGCATGATATACAGCGGGCTCTGTGTGACTCAATCGGAGGATAAGGCGCTGCCAGAGTGACGAATCATAAAACCCGACCATGTCCTGCACCGATCGATGCTGGAAGAAAGAGAGACATCGACCTTCGTCCGAGGTCACGGCCCATTGCAGCGCAAAGTCTACCCGGGTGAGTGCTGGGTGTGCTATCGTGACCTTTTGTTTGAGTAGTTTGGATTGGGGGCCACAGGCTCGGGGGAGCCGGTGCGCCTCGTAACCATCACAAGTGCGACCTGTGGAGACGCAGTTGTTGCAGGCATCGGGCGCTTCATCACATTTGATGCGACGCAATCTGCAGAGAAAGCGTTAGTAACCCTATTTCCCTTCACCCTCAAGACGGGGTATGTCTACGAACCGGCAGGTGCGACACCCCGTCGAGGATCTGTTCCCCTGTGACTTGCGTTTGGATAGCAACATGGCAAGGCTGGAAAGGGGGAGGCAATATTCTGACGGGGTTACTCCTGGATCTAAAATCGATTGACGGACTCGGAAATTGAGGGTGATTCCGTCTTTTTGTCGCCAAGTGTCCGAATATATGGCCAATGATTAAGGTCCCCTTTTCGAGATAGAAGGGAGGGCTTCCCCCTGTCTCGCCCACCCATTGCAAGGCTGAAGCTTCACCTGAACCGGTCCGACCCTATTTGATCGGTCTCTGGCCCACCCTCCGGCGGAGACTAAAAATCTACTGCGGACATGTGGAAAAAATTACTTCCACGTTTTCTAATACGAAACATGTTCCTTCCAAATTACTTTATTTGGGAAAGGGTGTGAATGTATGCGTAAGCAAGATACAGTAAGGAGATGAGGCTGTCAGGCTGCCAAAAGCCCTAAGGGATCGCTAAGGACTGCTAAGCGCATGCCGGTCGGAGACGTCAAATCCTTCTCAGCACTGAATACTCAGACCTTGGCGGTGTCAAATTTGCTTTGACTGAGTAATACTCCGTAGTTAGCTATTGTTAGACTGTCACCTGCTTGAAACCTGTTCTATGATCAAGTCTTCTATGATTATTTTACAGAGCGAAGCGAAGTCAGTCTGCAATTTCTTAGATAGAACAAACCACCTCATCTGCCAAGCTTAGCCTTTGGGGGCCGGGCCACAAACGTGACTCGATAGGCGAGCCACCGGGTCAATTGCAAGACCCGAGCACCCCGTCATCTCCTAATCCCTTTTCACTCAATCTGAAGCTCCCGCAAATTCACTGCCTCCTCCGTAGTTCTCTGAAGATAATCTTTCTTGACACCACCATGCCCAGCACCGGTGTGTAATCAAAAATCAGGTCTCGCACCTTCGCCAGAAGCCACGGCAGACTGTGGAACATGGAGCCCGAAAAGCGGGCGAATCCATGTGATGATTAGCAATCGACTCGCTGCTGCTCATACAGCTCGAACCCGGCGGTGACGGCTCGGCGATCGCGCAAGTTGACGCCGTCGAGAGCGCGCGCCAGGTAGTAGCTAGCCATCCTTGATCGCCATGCCCATCCCGTATGCAACATACGGCGAAACTGGATGCACGGCATCCCCCACGCCGACCACTCTCCCCGTCGACCATTTCTTCATAGATGGCCGAATACACACCTCCCACCGGTAAACACGAGAGTTGAAGTCGGTGCCATAGAGGAGCCGCGTCATCGGCTCGGCCCAGTCCTTGAAGATTGCTGTTAGGTGCGCCTCGGGTGGGATCTGCAGGGACCGGCCTGCCCTCTCCCGAGGGCTCGATCACCCGCCATTCAAAATCAGGCCTATCTGCCTCGCGTAGCATATAAAAGAAGCTGGCCTGGTATTGCCAATCATGTGATATCACTCTGTGGTGTGTGGGGTGTCCGGAGCTTGATCGCACCACGCCAGCCAGACTTTGAGCTCGGTATACCTCACTCATCCGTGCCGTAAGCGAGGTTATCGACACGAGTTCCCCCCACATGCCGACCCGTCTACTACCTTCGATGTACTGCTTCTGCTTATGCTCTGGATAGCCTCGGTACAGGCTGAGCTCCTTGCCTGTGGGGACTTTTCCTTGATGGTGCTGGACCCTGCCAAGAAAGACAATTTCTGTATGTTCCCATTCACACTTGCTTTCTCAAATGCCGCAAAAAGTCAGTGGGTGCATTGCTCAATTTGGGGCATGATTCTCCAATGCGAGTAGACCAGCATCGAAGACTCCAGGAAAAGTAGGGTCAAGCTGGTTATAAGGTTGTTCGGTATTTGTTGCCATGAAGGTGCATCTCTGGCGCAACGATCCTTGGGGACAAATGTACTGCCTGAATGGGGGAGAGATGGGAATAACTATAACCATCGCATCACGCTTCTCCCCAGGGATGATGATGCGGCATATGACACACCGATTTGTGTCTTGTATGGTACGTCTGTGGAAATTGAGTCAATTTGCCGGACAGCTACCCGGTATAGTTCTACGGAGTAGGTATGTCTTTCTTTTCCGCAGGCCCTCAGTATAATTTAGACACATAAGACACAAACTTACAGCATGCTTACATCACCAGGGGCTGTGGTTTAGTGGTATAATATTCCCTTAGCATGGGAGAGGTCCGGGGTTCGATTCCCCGCAGCTCCATTTTTTGATCATGTTGGCATATCGGGAAGCTAGTCTTTTTGCTACCTGTTGGTTTTTCACAGGTTCAGAGCCTAAATGGCTAAATGGACGGGACTGGGTGCTGAGAACTGTGCCTAATCCTCCAGTTTGATATAATCTGGTAACCATATTTACGCCTCTACTCGCCCTCTATCCCAAATCTGTAGGGCGCAAAGCTGCGAGCCAGCACCTTACACAATCAGTTCGATGCAAAGTTATCAACTACGAACAATCTACAATCTCCCTCGTCTTCATTGCTGTTCTTCGCCAAAGCCTATGGCAGGTAAGATGAAGAAGCGACTCGACTCTGGGGAGCTCTGTAAGAAGATATGCATTCCAGGAATCCAATCGCTTCGCCACTTCAACTCGGATGGGCCCATCATCATATCTAATGGCGACCTCTCAACTATGTCAAGGTCCAGCGGTCTCCTGACCGAATATCAGTCTCGGTCTATTATAAAAGTCTTACCCTGAGGTGCGCCGCTCGTATGCTCTCGTGCCTAACCCTCAACTGCCGATCGGCCCTATCAAGCGGTTACCCAAAGCATGTGAAGGCAGAGGAATGCTAGATTACCGCCAACAAAGCGCTGGAAGCCGGCACTGCAAGCTGCCATAGCAAGTGAATCCGTGAGAGCGCGGAAACAGGTATGAGCTCCTTGGCGAGCGCCTTCTGCCGCTTGGTTCAGCGCGGAAAGCATCGGAGGGTCCTCAAACTGACCTGGTCGTCCATGATCACTCGGACGCTTTATTCACAACATCAGTGTTACATCCAACCCCGTTGGACGAGGTTGGTCCCTCTGTGATCTTCTGCATGCAGCATGAACGACATCAAAGCTACTGACAGCATGGCGGGGTCGTCAGCCATTTCCAAATTCTGCCTGAACACAAGGAGCACTGGAGGACTGCGCAGCGGCAGCACCACCGCTATCAAAGTCAAGTCAAGCTTCTCAACAGCACAATCCTTTGGCATCTCTCGCGAAACAATCTTTCCTCGCCGCCAGAGGGCTAGCGCAGCCCGCAAGTGCTCATGCTCGTAGGAAATCGAATACCGCGACGAACTCGCCAAACATGACATGACCCGTCAGGGTCGCTGCACCTCGCATTGGACTTCGATCACATCGAGAGCCTGGCTGTGCGATTGAGCTTCCCCTCGGAGTAGCATGCAGGGTGTCTGGCTGTGCTGGGCATCGCGCTCACCTCGCGCGGTACTAGCACGCCCGCGTGAGTGAATCCGCAAGCTACGCCAGTCACCAACCCCTAATCATTGAATTCCATGAAGGTGGATTGCGCGGCGTTGTATGCCATGTTCATGGAAGCAGGAGGTTGTCGCGCGGGTGCTGGGGATGCCAATGGTTTGTTGCCAATGAGGTAAACATAATGGGATCTGAACTCCTTCTGCGACACGGAACGTGATGTAGCCTTGTTACACTTGGAGGATTCTGTTTGTTATTCGCCTTGAATGTGCACTGCGAGAAGGGGAGAGGACTGTATCTGATTCGGATGAATGGTTGTAAGCATGCGATCCGGTTGTTGGACCAGCTAGCATTATTTCAACTTTTCGCGACTATGGCAGACACTGGCATCGCAATTGCAGGTACCTAAGAGATTCATCTTATATATGTAGAGTATTTTGGCAGAACAACTGAACAGGGGATTTGTTTAATGAATATGAGTGAGTTAATAGTGGCTCGAAGGGGGGCCAGGCTTTTTCCAGCTTTTTTTGATACGAAGACATTGTCTAGTTTAAGGACTCTAATATGAGTACGTACTTGTCTTCTAACCCAGCTTAGTCGATTTCGCCGAGACACCAAGGAACCACCGCTAAGCCGAGTTATCGATAGGGAAGGATGTACGTAACAACTTGAAGATTGTGCTCGAGATGCTTGGGTACTAGTAAGATATATCTATCAATTGGTGAAAGCGACAAACAATGACATTATACTCCGTACATCACTTGAACCTGTCGAGAGTATTGTCAGCAGAAGAACTAATTAACTAATAGGAGGTGTCTGGCTCATTGGTCCGCGACCCGAATCATGCTTTTATCCGTGCTAGGTACGGTCGGCCACATTGCAGGTTTGTGTTTGATCAAGAGAGAGTAAATTACTGAATAGATACCGATAATCTATACAATATACTTTGCACGTGAATCCAGAGCAACGGGATTGACACAGGTCACTCACTGCAGAGGAGACTGACATCCTGTTGCTCGCAATACTACAGAGTACGGTGGTTTAGGGAGACTTGCATGCTGGAAGACACAACCAACTGCAGGCGCAGAACAGGCCAGACCAGACAAGCAAAACTTACTACTACTTAGTAGGTACTCCGTACTGTGCACTCAAGTACCGTATCTTGTAGGGTAACTAAGTACGGAGTACGGAGTACATATGATCTATCAATTGCAGCTCTCATCATCCACTCAGGGTAGTTAACTACCTGGAATGCAGCGACGCCATGCCCACGACACATGCATGGTGACGAGTGACAAAAGACTCCACCACGATCGCTGGCATGAAGTTTTTGTGGGCTCTCGTCCCATATTCCCCTCTTTCTCCCCCCCCACTCACCCGTGGTACGTTTTATGGAGTTTACCCGTCTTTTGCCCTCTCCCCGTGTCAGACTCAATTCTCTTACCGACGTTACCGTACGGTCTTACCCGACCACCAAAACCAAGGAAACACCAGGAAGACAGGGTGGACCTGTCTAGACTCTAACTTCAACTCTGATTGACCATTTCTGTCCCGCGGTCGGTGTGAAACGAATACTCAGCGCCGATACACAATTGTGACAGGCTGCTGAAGAGTGAACTGACAACTAACTAAGTGAGGCT